TCCTCAACAGACAACACCGCCATCTGCAGAAAAGACTGCGCCGGTGGTGAAGCTCGAGTCATCGCTGAGGATAAAGCAGATCGTCTTGGCCATGTCCGTCGCCGTTCCCAGGCGCTGTAACGGCGGCGGCGGCGGTCGAAGGGACGGAGGTCGCTCATCCGCGGACTGGTCGCTCCGTAGCCGGCTCAGCATGGGCGTGTCGATGGAACCCCTGTGCACACACCACAGTCAATAAAAGTCAAGTTCAAGCAGTATCGGGGGGGGAGAGACGGAGGACCACCACTGACGGAGCGAGCACGTTGACCCGGACACCCTTGTCTCCCACTTCCTTGGCCGCCGTCCTCGACAGTCCGATCACGCCGTGTTTGCTGGCGACGTACGAGCCGAGCCCGTACAGGCCCATCAGCCCAGCCATGCTGGAGACGTTGACGATCGAACCCCCAGCCTGGATCACCCTCAACTCGGCGCGCAGACAGTAGAACGTCCCCGTGAGGTTGATCCGGTGGACAAAGTCCCAGTGCTCGTCGGAGATGTCGGTGATCCTCGAGAACCGCCGCTGGCCCGGCCTGGTCTCGACCCCGGCGACGTTGGCCGCCCCGTCGAGACGCCCAAAGTGCTCGACCGTGTCGACGATCCAGGCGTCGACGCTCGGAGAGTCCGCGACGTCCACCACGGTGCCTTTCACCTGGACACCGTTGCGGGCCTCCAGCTCGGCGACGGCCTTGTTCAGCAGCTCCGGGTTGATGTCTGACAAGGCCAAGATCGCTCCTCGATCGGCGCACTCACGCGCCGTCGCCAGCCCAATCCCAGACCCGGCCCCCGAGATGGCAATCACTTTACCCTGTAGTTGTGCCATGGCGCTCCCCTTTTTTCTTTGAGCACCCAAGTGTTTGACTTCTGCCTGTTCTTAAACCTCGGGGGCTCTTAAACTCTGACGATTCTCAATTGCAGTGGATTAGTTCCGAGGAAGTCCAATATCCGACGGGAGAGCATAGGTTATGATGGGGAATTACGGAGTAAACGGAAGATGAGTTCGGGGCATTCGGGCGCGAGGAGATTCAGGGTCTAATGAAGATTCAAGAGCTCGATCTCTCCTTAACGATGATGGTGGCTGTGGAGAATGCTTCAGATCGTTGGGGGCTCATGAAACGGGCGTGACTGATGTGCGTCTGGGCTCACTCCAGCTAGGGACAGTTGCAGAGGCTCATCTGCGCTCCATTTGGAACTACCTACGCGATGCTCATGCCTAGGTCAGTCTGACAAGCTTAATGCTAGTGAGCTCCGAGCTCGTGAAGAAAGGGCTTCTTTCAGCAATGCTGAATCAAATCTTCTCTCTGTCAAGGCATTCGTGACTCGGATGACCCCATTCGTGACTCGGATGACCCGGTTACAGAATTAGAGTGGTCTATTGATTACTATACGTACATCTAGTATACAACCAAATCGCTCTGCGCGCTGTAGTAAAGTCTATCACAGGTAGCCCGGATGAGTCGGTTGGCCCAGTTGATCCATCGCTTCCACGTCGGCCATCGTCATGTTAAATCCATCGCTCGCAAACATCTGAGAGGGCGAACTGGCCTCCATCTCGGTCATCCAAGAATCACTGCTGAAGGGCGGCAAATCCCACATGCTGGGATCGATCCCCGTGCCACCGTCCATCATCAAGTCATTTATCTTGTCGTAGATCTGCTGTCCGTGGCCGGTTTGCCCCTGGTATATCGAGCCGTGGTTCTGCATCGATTCCGTATAATCCGACGCCGGAACACGGTCCAACGTTTCAAATTCACTGGACAACCTTTGGTACGACAGCTGGGTGAGGTCCTCCGTAAAAGTCTCTGGTAGGCTTTCCCTCATGTCTAGATTGTCATTTGGGTCGGGATGCTGATAATCACCCATGCCTTTCATTCCGGCATGCCCCACGTCGGCCGCTGTGACCACGGGCTGTGTCATCACAGGGACAAAATTCTCATGCCCAGCTGAGTTGTGGTTCCTCTTGTCACGCCGTTGCGTGGTGGAGCAGTGTATTTGTGGCGCGACGTCCACATCTCGAGGTGTAGATCGAGTACCCATTGAATTCGTAGTGGCTCTATCACGATCGAGTTGGTGCTGATGGCCGCAGGATTTCAGAATGGATTTGAGAATGGCGTGGTGACGGCCGGCGGTGGGGAAGGAGGGGCTTAGATCGCTCAACGCATCCAGACAGACATCGAGAGCCTTCTTCGACTCGGGATGGGGCCTTTGCAATGCGGCAGACGGTGTGACGTTGGAGACCAGCGTCATGCCTGCGGTGAGGGCAAGGTACACGGCCACCGAAAAGATTTTCTGTATTCCATACTGTCGTCGGAATGCATCAATCATCTTGGCGATGCGAATACTGTTCTCAGTGCAGATGTTGCGCGAGTCGACTGCCGAATATCCAGGCAGCTGTTTCTTCTGAGTGGTGGGAGTTTCGGTGGTCGATGAAGCCGAATTCGCAAAAGGGCGGTGGATGAGGACGATGGCGATCAGGACTTGGGTGTGAAGGGCACAAACCTCTGGAGCAGGAAAGTCTTTTTTGTTCCAGCAAAGATCCGGGGGCAGTGATCTCAACCAGAGGAGCAGGTTATCTGCCACTTCGGACAAATTCTTCAGGTTGGCGTCCTTGTCCAAATCCCCGGGCGACCCATTCAGGATCGCGTTCATGTCATCGAGGATTAGGGAGAGATCCACCCAAGCACTCAGCAGTTGGTACTGAGAACCGACTGTATCTTTTGAGGGACGTGGAATGCTGACATCTTTGATCTTGATGGTGCTAGGTCGGCCTTGACAAACAGAATATATCCTGCAGTCCGGGTAAGCATGGGGTTGTGCTCCCAAGGCATCACCATGAAGTCACTCACTTATCCAGCACATAACAGCCCCAAAAGGTTGAGATCCTCAATTGCCGGTCTCGAGCTGTTAATTTGCCCGTCTGTACTAGGTGCAAACAGTCTCGATGGAGGCCCATATCATAGGCCAGACGAAACGCCATACCTAGCACCACTTGTATCAATTCCAAGTATCCCTGAGGTTTCGCAGGGTAGATACGCACCAGGATAGAGCCAGCAGCCTCTGTCATCCCCTATGCTTCCCAGGAAATGCCCATAAAGACATAATGCTTGGATGGTGGTCACATCTGGATTGTCAATCTCGTTCAAGAGTTCCGATTTTATGCGTTTGGCGTAGAGAGGGATGAGAGAAACAGCATACGGACGATCGCTCAACCGTGCAGACCTGGCAAGGATGCAATGCAGCAAAAACTGGGAGAAGTATGGACTTCGTTCTCGTCTTGCCAAACCTTCCATAAATGCCTCTTTCTGTACGATGGGTAGAGCGGGATTTTGGTAGGTGAAGTAGAGGTCGACCAAGTGAGCTTGGAACTCCTCCAGATCTGCCATTTCTTTGTGATTGTAGGCTTCATTATGGTGTGCCGCCACAGGCGAGTGAGGAGATACGAGGGGGAGAGTCAATACCACTTGCAAGTTGGAGGTATAGCCGAAGTACCGAACTTGGCCCTGAAGATCAGTGCTGAGCCAACCTACCTCTGCAGAGCTGAGAACAGGTCCGAAGTTGCCAATGTCTTGTTTCTGCCGGTGTGCGCCCAACCTTGTGAGAGCAAAATCTTTCCTCATGGCCTGAGTGTTCAATAGAACTTCGGTCATCGGAATTAATGATTCAGAGACATCACGAAGCGTCTCCTTGTTGGAATTTATCGAAGAGAGGCGGCGTGCAAGTGGCGAAGAGAGCAGGTTTGGTAGGGGCGGGAGCCGAGGGCTACCATCCAAACCAGCAGCTGCATTTGGCTGTGACAAGTCGAGGCCGCACCTTTTAACTCGTTCGAGGGTATCAATAAGTTCTTTGTGGAGTTTGGCCAGATCTGCTCTGCTCCTGTATCGCAATTTTCAGGACTGGATCACTTTGGCGGACAGACAACAGCTACCTTTTTCTCCCATCATGACGAGGGAATTCGCACGGGGACTTGGCCTCGATGCAATGTGAGCATGGCTTGTTGTAGCGAGAGTCTCCGTCGCACTGCGTGATCATCTAGTCATTTCATCATATCCTCTATCATCTTGCGTGGCTGGGGTTGGGATGCTCACCCTCGTCCTCCGTCGTCGACATGAGATACAGGCAATTGAGGCGCGTCGAGTGGCCAGGCCAGAGGAGTATATTTTCATGCTGTGTCCGCCGTGCTTGTTTTCTGCCAGGTCGTTCTAAAAGATGCGAAATAGTCGGATAAGGCTTTGGTGGAGAGACGGATGTCGTGAGGAACGGGGAAGACTGCGCTTAGATGGTGACAATTCTGCAAGCGAACCTGGGGACTCCGGTGCTCGGCGGGAGCCATCTGGCCCCGCGCACACTTCTCCAGCACGCCGGGCAGGCGGAGTTTGATGAGGACCCTATGATCAAGGAACTTTCCTGGAGGCGTACCGAGTACCGAGGCCACTGCTATAGAGTTTAGAGTTAGATCCAGATAGCTGGCTGTATCGTCGATAGGACGATAGCGTTGCAGAGCCTTGAACTCGACGACAACATATTCTTCCTTTTATTTATTTCGCTAGTTGTCGCCTTGACACCATTGGATCGTCATGGAGCCTGTACGAAAGAGAGGAAGATATACTGCTCGCGCCTGGTGTGTTACGCCGACTTCTGTCCAACACCATTTTTTGAGTTGTTAAGCTGATTTCCTAAAAGTGTCCATTGCAAGCAGCGCAAGGTCAAGGTAGTACTTATAAAAGATTCGGCCATTAGATGCTGATACATGTGCTCGCAGTGTTCAGGAGAAGACATCTGTGTTCAATGTCGAGTCAGGGGTGACCATTGCACCTACTTGGGTCACACTAAGATGGCGCCTCCTATACAACGGCGTGCGCGGTGCGAATGACCTTGCCATCAGGAATCTCTTTCAAGATAGCTAAATATTCTCTAGCCTACTCCCAGGTTCTCGCCCTCACCACTCTGAACCTCCCTCGTCAGCGTCGATGGAACAGAACATCATCCAGGATCCAACAATAGAGGTCAATCCTTCCGACCCCTCTGAATGCATATTGGGTGGTGATACTACGCACGAATCTCCCACTTATCCTCAGTTACTCACTCCCACAAAGTGAGGCCATACCTCATCACTGCAACCCAAGATTCCAAGGCTAAGCTGACAATATTGCAGCGATGATCGCTCGTATTCTCTTTCGGCAGAAGGTCACGAGGCTGACCAACAAGATGGCTTCTACGCAGACTACAGGTCAAAGGCGGATGCCACAAGCCCTTACAAGAAGGTGGGATTTGCATCAAGGCTTTCTTCTCTGGGTTTGATCCTGGAAAGCTCAAGACGCTTATCCTTCCTGGCGACGACGCCCACATCAAAAACTACCATCTCTCTAAAACTGGTGGCAAATTCACAGATACAGTCGCTTCTTGATCTGTTCTTTGCGGACATCGATCTGGTGCTGCCAATGATGGAGCGACCACACATGACGGAGCGCATATCCAGTCTTCTGAGTGACCTAGGTCTTCCGGAGGCAGAAGACTATGTGGTGCATGTGAGCATGGAAAAATGTCCGTTGGCAGCACTGCTCTGTGCTATCTTAGCTACGGCCGAGAGCTTGGCTTCTGATTCAGTTTGGAGTCCCCAAGGCAAAATCTCTGGTTGGGCATGGTATGTCCAAATGCAGACATTGCTGCAGCATTTCGCGAAACAGGATCAACCGGACATGGACGTTTTGAGCTGCTTCACGCTAAGTTCCTTCTACTTGTTGACACTTGGAAAGTTTCGTGAGGCATCAGAAGCCATAGGCTTAGCCTCGCAGTTGGCAATCGCCTCCCAGCTCAATGTGCAAGACGCACTGCTTTACACCAAGCATGCAGATGCGCGGCATTACAAGCGGCTATGGTGGTCAATCTATGTAATGGACCAACAGATTAGTCGGATTGGCGGCACGCCATATTGGATTCGCGATCAAGTGACTGCTGTCGACGATGTGCTAACGCCTGATCGCGATGCTTCAAACCTCCAAAACCCCGGGGTCAGCGCTGCCACCAATACCGTTCTCGACTACCTTCAGGTCCTTGTACATCTCGCCAGGATCGGGAGGGAAATATGGGACCAGCAAATCTCTATCCGGCAGAATACAACGCGCGATAGAGTGGCGGCCGCAAAGATCGACTCACAGCTTCTACGACTGAGCTCTAGCCTACCATCTCACCTTGCATGGCGCAAAATGGGCGTGAGAGGTGACGACGGAATCGGATCCCGGCATGCTATTTGGCAACGGCTGATCATCTCGAATGTAAGCTGAAGCCTTCTCGGTATGATCTCGCAGCGTGACCAGGTTCTAACGTCTTTCGGTAGAAAATCAATTCTCTCCGATTACTTCTCAGACATGATTCGCTACGCCCAACTGAGGACCATGACTCGATGCTCATTTGCCAGCACCTTGCGAGAACGAGCATTTCCGACATTGCCGCTGTCATGGACAGTGCAGAGGCTACGCCACGATCTGTGGGCCTTCACTTGTCCACCTCGCTGACTGATTTTCTGTGGCACTTACTTGCTCCAGCACAGACTCAGACGTACTTGGACCACGGCGATGAGACTGCTGAATACTTCCGTACAGCCTGTTGTATCCTGGAGGATCTGTCACAGACTGATGTCACGGCCCGACGAGCTGTTGCGGCTTTCCAAAATCTGCCGTTACGCGGCAGCGACACAGTTTCAACAGTGGAACATGGTTTGAGAAGTACCGTGCGCGACGTGCGAACACAAGATCCCGTCGCTGCCTTGGATTCTGGCACCACCAACTTAGGAGAGCAGTCTATGGGCCGGGATCCCTTTCCAATCGCCGGTAGGTGGGCGAGCTCCAGGTATCCCCCTCTTGATGTGCAGGCAGGTTTCTCTGGGTCGGGCTCAGACGGGACCGTGCCAGCGCGGAGAAATACACTCGATGCTCACGGCGACGTGGCGCATGGTGGTTCCTCAGCAGAGGAGCAAACAGGCAATCTATCTCCTCCGGTGAGAACTCACGCTGTCGATGACTTGTCGAAGACGTACGGTGATTTGGACCTTTATTGGAGGACGACATTGTGATAGTATAGCGTGGAGTTATAGCAGAAGCTAATAGCCCCTGGGCTTCCCTTCTTCTCTCAATTTCGATATTCGAACTCTTGGCCAACAAGCTTCTCGCTGAACCTCCAGAGCCTTTTAGCATCCCTGCCAGACACCCCATGGCTGTACTGATCATCCTGGTCAGGCATTGAGCAGTCGCGAAGATATCGCCCGTTAAAATCTGCAGCACACGGATTGCATTATTGGTGGTCTCTCTTTGTCCCACTCAATGTCGATGGGTGTGATCAATGGAAGCCACCCAGGTCTCTGAGGACAAGGACCGAAATACATAGCACGGCGCGAGCACATTGACCCCCAGAATACCCCCTGCGTCTTATAACAGCCATCAACCCCGTGACAGCGTACTTCGTTGCTCCATATATAGTCGGGCTCAAGGTATCCACGTATCCCACGATGCTGGAAACCAGAATCACGCAACGGTCGAAGGACTCCTTTGCTTGGAAACCGGACCCCGCAAGTCTGGCCGTATGCCCAACGCAGACAAAGTTGACATCTACGATCCTTGGTGCTAGGCTCTTTCAAGTCAACCATTATCCCCCAACCTAGCCGCATCAGGGAATTTCCGCCCAGATGTTAGAAGCCCCAGTCTCGGCAGCACAAACATACATTTGACGTAGACGATGCTTTGAAAATTCTGAGGATGAGACACTGTCCATGCACACGCGGGAGGTGGTCACGACGCTCTATCCTGAATGCGCTTGATAGTCCTGTCTCTGGGACGAGTGCAGTTCGCCATGTGTGGCGAGAAAGAATGGTATGATAATGGTATAATCTTAGTCAAGTATTGCGAATATTAGTTCGACTCGTCTCGAACATTTTTGTCGCGGAAAGAGAACCAGGAGCATGCAGCAGGATCTATGCGAACCACCTTATCTAAGGCCAATAGGTGGAATTCCGGTTTCGCGTTGTTCAACATCCAAGGCCAGTATTGCGTGCTTTACACATGTCGGTGCCGCGACGCAATCGACCAGCGGGGAAACATGTATAAGACATGGAATGGACGATGAATATATGTTCCGGTAGAGTCAGACGCGGCTATTGTACTTGCTTCTGCGAGACAGCTGTTGTTGAACCTGTTGACCAGGCATCATGAGCAAGGCAGCAGAGCAGAAGCTGGCTTTGGCCACAGTGGACGTCGAAGCCAGATCATCCGACTCTGCGGAGAGCTCGCAAGAACTCCTTGTGAAGCCGATCTCGACGTGGAAAGGCTACGTATGGGATACATGGGAGCTCCCCAAAGAAGAACGATGGCTATTGTTCAAGGTCGACGCCTTTGTGTTGACCTTTGCTTCGGTAAGGTCCCCCTCGCTCCTTCACAATGCTCGTTGGCGCCGTGACTTGGCTGATGCAGCTTCAATAGATCGGCTACTTCCTCAAGAATCTTGACCAATACAACGTCAACAATGCATTCCTGAGTGGCGTGGAGGAGGATCTTTCGATGTACGGAAACCAACTTGTGACGAGCACGTCGATCTGGACCGTGGGCTATGTTGTGGGCCAGATTCCATCGAATCTGCTCTTGACGAGGCTGTCGCCCCGGATCGTCATCCCGACGGTAAGTGAGATCTAATTCTTCGTGTGCGAAAGATCTGCTTACGAACCCCGGCCAACCGCAGCTCGAGCTGGGTTGGGGAGTCGCGACGATGGCCACATCCTCCGTGCAATCTTACAAGTCGCTTTATGCTCTGAGATTCCTGGTGGGCTTGTTTGAGTAAGTGCACATTTTCTCCCCGGGATCGTGTCTTGGGTGTTTGGTCACTCACTGTTCGAACCCAGATCTGGTTTCTATCCCGGTATCCATTATCTGCTTGGTAGCTGGTACACTCCACGTGAACTCGGCAAGCGCGCCATGATATTCTGGCTGGCCGGTTCAATGGGGCAGCTCTTCAGCGGGTTTCTGCAGGCTGCAGCATATACTGGCCTCAACGGTGTCCACGGCCGAGCAGGCTGGCGGTGGCTGTTCATCATCGACGGCATCATCACGCTTCCTCTCGCGGTCACCGGCTTTATTTTCTTCCCGAACCTGCCGCAAGAGGACAATAAAACGTGGTGGACGACGCAGGCGGAGCATGAGCTTTCAGTCAGGCGCATGAAGGCGATCGGCCGCGCTGGGAGGGAGCCCTGGACGTGGCCCAAATTCAAGAGGCTTCTGTTCAGCTGGCATACATATGTTCTCCGTGCGTGTTGCTTGTTGTCCATCCTCCTTGGTTCTTGGTGCTAACAGCCAGATACAGCCATGCTGTATGTCATCTGGAACAACGGAGGATATCAGCCAGCCATGGGCTACTGGCTGAAGAGCTTCGACAAGAAACCTTACCCAGTCCCAGGCACGTATTTCACAATTCCGCAAATCAACTATCGTGAGTCTTCCTTGGACTATCTGTGACAATCCGCACTAATCATACGGTGGCAGTGCCCAACGTAACAATCGGTATCTTCATTGGCATGTCGTTCGTATGGGGATGGCTTTCCGACGGGCCCCTTCGAGGTCGGCGTTGGCCTTTCATCTACGCGGGTGCCTTTATTACCGTACGCACATGTCGATCCGGCGCGAGTTTTTCCGTGACGAGAATATGTGCTGACGTGAAATGCAGTTGATATTTAGCGTCGTTCTACGCCAAATGCCGCTCTACACCGACGTCCACGGCCGAAAGGTCGTGTATTGGCTCAGCCAGATCGGGTTCGGAGCTGGCCCGCTCATCCTGAGCTGGATCAACGAAATCTGCTCGAGCGACACTGAAAAGAGGGCGTTGCTGGTGGCGGCAGGCAATGACTTTGCCTATGTCGTTCAAGCCGTAGCGCCCAACTTCGTTTGGAAGACTGTCGACTTTCCGGCCGCAAGAAAGGGTTATACGTGGTCCCTTATCCTCCAGGTTCTTCTCAGTAAGTAAAGCCCCTTATATTCTTTTCCAGTAGATGTGGCGGAGCTAACCGGTTCCTCTTTTCGCAGTCCTGTGGACAGCTCTCATTCAACTCCTGCTTTGGCGAGATGGCCGGATTGACGGAAAACGCAGGGTTATTGACGTCGCTGGGTCTGAAGCAGAAAGCTCAGCCGGAAGGAAAGCGCCTGCTGAAGCAGACAGGAAACGGATCAGCTTTGACGCTGCTGCGATTGCGCCTGCGGCAGGGCCTATCAGTCAATAGCCATCAATGTAGCGACGGCCTGCAGCCATACGGTATGATGAGATGGGATGGCCTCATCAAGGGTGAGATGAATGCCTCAACGATGTAGACTATGGAACGGCCTGAAACACCACTACGTAGGACGTCTTCAATCTTCTCTCATCGGCATAAATGCCAGCTACAGTAGAACTTCGGATCAGACCCTGAGGGTCTCTTTATCACGACGCCAGGAGAGAGGGTACGCTCTGGCCGAGCATGGCGATACAGGCTCCATTCGTAGTCCTTCTTCATCTTAGAGACGTATTCTGCCCACCACGACTCAATCAACTTCCGTGTATACTCATATTTTATACCCATTCGTTTCGGCCCGAGCCTATAATTCGTGTGTGATGATATTGAGTCCACCCCGAGCGGCGGTAGAGGTCTTGTACAGTTCGGGCCCAGAACCTCCGCACCAAGCAGTGTGCGCCGCCAACCTGGCATCCGACGGCCAGGCCGATGCGGTCAACGCGCTGGCCCGCACCACAGGCACCGACCCCGTCATTATGGAGGCCGGGCGCGTTGCCTCAAACAACCTCTTCGCTGGCAGCGCTGTTGAGGGTCTGGTACTCGCCATCGAGGTGCCCATCTCGCGCGTCAGGGTCCAAGACGGTTTTGGGACTGGGCAGCTACGGTAACCGCGCCGACGCCGACAAGTGGAAGTCCACGATCATGATGTTCTGCCGCCTGTGCGGCCTGAAGCCCGGCAAGCTCGAGCGTTCTAAACCGGCCGACATCGAGGAGATGTACAGGCATCTCACCGAGACCACTGGCGACGTCGACGACGTTGTGGAGCGTGATCAGGCCGAGCATGTCGGCGTGATCGCCTCGAATATTCAGTAATGTCTTGCGTCCGTCGTCGGAACATATGCTGCGCAGGTCCTGGATGCCCCCCGCCAACCGTCGGACTCCATCAGCTCCACGTCGTTATTGTCCCACCGAGGCTGCGACACGTTCGCGTTGGCGGACTTTACTGAGTAATCCCGAGCCAGGCGTCCCGACAACTGCGACTGATGATGGGGCGCATCGAATGTGCTAGGCTGGCGGGTGTACGCGCCCGCTTGGGATTTGGACGTCCCGAATCTCGACGGCCAGGTTCTCTGCAAGAACAGCCGCGCGGCCGGCATGCATGCGCAGACGATGCTGATATCCAGTTCGATGGAGCTCCAGATGGAGATTGGCTGTAGGTAGACTGCGAGGGGTGCACGGGAACGGAAATCAGCAGAGGTTCAAGATTCCAAGCTCGTCGAACACGATAGAAACGAGTCTTTCCTGAGAGGAGGCAGAAGGTGAGGGGCCACGTACAGGTAAGGTTGGAATTCTTTGCAAAGTTGATCAGTGATTGTAGTCTGATGCAGCTGACAACGGTGACGCTATAGAACAATCGAGGAACCTGTCAGCTTACTTCTTGACTTCGAATCATTGGCCACTTTCAAACGAGGAAAAAAGACTTACAACGAGCCCACTCCAAACATGCTCAAGATCTGGAGCTTCTGCTGTCGAGAGATCTCGAGCTGGAGGATGACGGGCACCGGCAGCGCGAGAATGGCGAGGTCAAGCCCGATGTTGATGCCCGCGGCCGCCCAGCCTCCAGCGTTGATGTTGATACACGTTCCCGCGGTGGGATCGCGCCACTGCTCCCAAAAGAAGGCCACGGGGGTGCATTCGAAGCCGAGAACGAACATGTACGAAACAAAATAACCAATGCAGAGGCCGATGACGACGTACGCGCCTTTCCGGAAGTGCGGCTGTGGGAAGACGGCCAAGTAGAACGACAAGACGGCCAATTTCGTCAAGACCGAGATGAAGATGTACAAGAACTCGCCGATGAAGAAGTTCTGCGCCGTGTCTACGTCAGCCTCCAAGAATGCCAGAGTGGGAAAACTCTCGACCAAGCCACATCATGGCAACATCACCACCCTTTGGTCTTACCTTCAAAACGATGTCGATGTTGTCGGGTGGGACGTTCCACAGGTCTTGCCCTAAGCCAAGGTGTGCAGCTGTGTAGTTCGCACCAAGCATGTGTTAGTCAACGAACTGATGACTCGAGTGAGGTCGTGGAAGAGGGCGGTCATATATGTACCCTGAAAGTTGATCGACGTGAAGACAACCACGCCGAGCTGTGTGGAATCTGTCAGCGCTGCCGAGCCTTTGTGGACTTCTTTTCCAAAGTCAAGATAGCACATACCGTTGCCACCATCATAATCCCATCGTCGACTCGGAACCCCGGAGTAAGAGGCGGTCGGACAGAAAGCCTGATCAGATAGAAGACGACGGCAAGGGCCATGAAGATGGATGTGACGATGATATAGGTGTGGGACGTGTTTTTCGGCATCACACCGCATGCTTTCTCCGTGAGATTGACGGCGCCTGTGTGAAAGATTCGTCAGATCAGGCAAGGAGGATTTCCTCTCAATCTCTCTCCGGTCATATCATCCCACTGCATGCAGGCCACGGTGGTAACAGACTGATAACTCACGCAAAGCTTCGATCACGGTGCAGTTCGCGGAATTGCACTGCTCAATGCGCGTGACGAGAGATGCATCAGCGCATATGCATGCCAGGTCGGTCGGGGCGCATGTCGAGGATGGAAAGAGGGATTCGGCGCACAAAGCCTAAGCCTCGTGTCAGCCATCGTCCATCAAAGAGTCCAGCCGGGGCAGATGGAATACGCCGTGATATCACCATACAGCGCATTGAGGAACTGCAGACAACAATCCCTGGACCGACTGTCCCGTGGCCATACTTGAGAACGCCAACGACAAAAGACGCTTGAAGAATTGAATTGACAGCAGGCACAGGATGGCGTCGAGACTGGGGATATGCCGTTTGATAAACGCTCACATGCCGTCCATAAAAGCTTGAGCGTTGCGGGCCTCTCTCTCCCACTCACTCTTTCTCCCGATACTAGCATCCCTGGACAGTTCGAGAAAATTGGCGGCCGCCGCTGCCTTGTCGTGCCCCCGTCCCATGGTCTAGGTTTCCTTGTGGAGAAGTGGATGTCAGAGGGTTTTGCTTTCATGGAACGATGACCGAAGAATATCCAGATTGACAACTACGGAACGGTATGCGGGGCCGCGGTGGATTTGTCGGATCGCCAGGGCAGGAAGGGCAGGCAAGATCCTGGGATCGCTGAGGAGGGCGTTGAACAAGGAGCGGTCCAGCGAAAAGGTACGATCCTCCAGATTGCAACATGTCCTTGGAGGAAAAGCCCCGGAGGACTCGAATGAGGGCAAGCCAGGAGACCCACGCGCATCAACTGCACAATTACATAGTGTCGGTGGAGGAGCTCAAGGGCCGTTGGCTGACGAGGATCAGTTGAGAACATGACTATGTGGGAGCCACACGGAAGACTAGGCCGGAGACGAGGGCAATGACTGACAGACCTTGAAGAGATCGGTCGGGCAGAATATGCATAGGATTGGGTACATGCCCAACGACGCTGGGTGGCCATCTCAGCTTCTTGCGCCGCGATTCCCAAGCAACGCCTGGCCGACCTGGAACGACTGGGGATTTCGATTTCGGTTTCACAATAGCGCAAGCCTGCAGATCATCCTGTGTGGTGCTACGGTGAGTTGCCCCTGCATCGGCGACCTGGACTGTTCGAGCAAATGGCGCCGATGGGGGGCAGAAGAAAATTCTGTCTAGAATCTCCACTGAAGTTCGCCTCTTGACTGGCCCCCCCACAACCACTGCTACACCAAAACGAAGCAAGGCAAAGCAGAAGCATGTGCTCCTTCTGTTCTTCATATCTACAGTAGTATTCGGACCTTGTTCCTGGGTCTGATGTAATACCAAGATAGGGGGACGTCGTATTGCTTATCAAATAGTACAAGTAGTCCGTCCACTCATCGCCGCGGAGTGTTTGACGTTTCTGTGCATGGTATTCGAGGCCATAATTACTGTAGTCTATCGCCAGCAAAACCCTCTGATGAGACGATCGCCGTCAGCCAACTATTCGAGTTTCAGCCGTTCCAGCTCGCCCTCGACGACAATACGTTCCATGTTTCCATGTCGCGAACTAGCATCAAACACCCACAGTCTTCGACACGCCGAGTCCCCAGTCTTTTCCAGAACAAGACCGAGAATGTTCCGGGCGGAGAAGGAAAACGTGTGCTTCACAATGGGAACGCAATAAATATCCGCAGGTGGGAGACCCTGCGAGGGATCGTCAAAGTAGATCTTTGCATGTCCATGCGACAACAGGGGCAGCACACCATTCAGGCGCAGGCGTCATTTCTGACCTCGGATCGAGTCCAGCACAATATTACCGTCGCTACGCCAGAGGCCGGACCACGTTGATTTTACGACGACGGCGTCGACTTGAATCGCTCCCAATGGACCCGTGCCTTCTGCTATCTAGGAGTGGTGGCCCTTCGTGAGACGCTGGCTCTTGTAAACTGCGTTCTTGCAGTCAAGATATGACACCACACCCTCTAACGATACTCAGGACCACGAAAGGGCACGACCTCGCACGACTCTAGTGTTTCCGTGGCCAGGGCTTTGTCTGTTCTCTTGCAAACCTCGTGCATCTGAAAACAAGTCTGCAGCCACAATCGAGTTTGCGGGAGTGATTGCTTAGAGCCAGTGTGATTCGTAAGACCTGTTCTTGATGAAGTCGTTACTGGGCCGACAGATTTCTCACTTTGTCTGTCTGCGGGTTCTAGGTAGAGGCGCCTCTGTAAGGGGATTAGTATGCGGGTAGGGCTGAGGACGCTTCCGGGGGAAGAAGCAGCGTACATCGTAATACCACGTTGACGTGCTTTCCAAGAGAGAGCCCAGCTATTTGTGGGAGGCTGCTGACGGCGCGAAAAGGCTAGCGTCGAGTGAGAGTGCGCTGTTGGAATACATAGAGAGCGCTACCTAATGTCCATTCGCAGCATCCAGTGCAGGCTCAGGTTTCCCCGCTGGAACCCACAGGTCGACTTGCGAAATCAGGCGAGAGGGCTCAGAAGCTCATCATTGGAAACCTTGCCAACAAGACTCTGCTTTCTCAAATCCTCTGTTTCCCATCCTCAGGCTGACGATGCGCAGCTCGCATCGCAAGTCGCGGTTTGGCTGCCGCGAGTGCAAACAACGGCACACAAAGTGCGACGAAACGCATCCGTCCTGCTACAACTGCACCAACAGCAAACGCCAATGTTCATTCACCCGCTCGACTGCGTCTTCGATGGTGCACATACAGCCGCAGCGGTCCGATTTGCCATTAGATGGCAATATCAAGACCGGTTCATCTGAAGCAATCACGCCGGATGGCGACGGCTGCAAAGTCGCTCAATCTCCAAGCCTTAGACGCGACCTCCTCCACGAGGACTACAACATAGTTCACTTCCAGCTCCTCTACCACGTTGGAGACAGATTGAGCTCTGATGCCCAGCAGTTCATACCCAAGGGGCAAGAGCTTTTCAAGAGCTCCGTGAGAGAAGCGTTCACGGCAGCGTACCTCATGGATGCCCTTATTGCCGTCGCCGCGGCTCACAAAAGCACGCTGCCGGGAGAGGACCAGGCCTTCTACCAGACTGAGGCAATGAGGCTCTTGACGCGGTCCTTGACCAAATTCAATGCCCAGCACGAAATCACCGAAGACTACGCCATGGCCGCGTTTCTGTACACCATGTTGCTGGGCCAACTGGTCCTCTTCGACATATTCTCGCACGGAGAGGACTTGGCCAGCATTCTAGATCGATTCGCGCATTGCATGAAGCTACACCACGGCATACGCAAGGTTGTCGCCCCCGTGTGGCATAAAGTCCAGCCGATCCTGGGCGGGTGCTATTTAGCAGAGTGGGTGAGCGACGGGGTCCCGAGTCTGGGAGAGCCCAACTCTGAATGTTCTCCTCTGTGGGAGCTGCTTGGCCGGAGCGACTTCAGCGCGAGCCCCCGCCAGGCCTACTCATCTTCCATCGAAGCACTGCAGATGATGTTCGACTACACGCGTGGCCGGCCGACGAACCGAATGATGGCCGTCCAGGAGTGGCTGGTTCGGGTTCCCATGGACTTTGTGGATCTCGTCAGCCAACGACGGCCGGAGGCTCTTATCATCCTCGCGTACTATGCCGTCCTGCTTCACCGTGCCAGAGGCTTTTGGGCCATCGGCGGCGCCGGACGATTTCTTATTCGGTCGATTTCGAGTTACCTTGGAGAGTACTGGTTACAGTGGCTGGAGTGGCCGAACGAGGTGCTCAACGGGCCACCAGCATTGACTGAGTAATGTGCTCGGTCATAATAGATCATATAGAACTGAGCGCCATCCATCCGAGCCACAGAATATTCATATTCCATGTACTTGGACTAGTCGACAGACCTCCGCACGCCGGGGTGTATCTGATCGGTAGCTCGACCCGCGAGGTGACAAGATCGCAAACGTCTTCAGCTGAAGATCCGAAGAGTGGACGGAGTCTGACAAAGCATTGACTGGGCGAATTTGGACCGGCGTGTCTGTGAGGGTTGACGCTTCCCTATGCGATACGGTCTTCTCGACCTTCCTATAGAGAGTGGGGCGTATTCCGCGATTTCTGATTTGTTACACCTGTTTGGCTTGCCGACCCACCCGTATTTGATGCGTTCTCATTGATTCAGAACACATCACACGCGTGTAGGATGAGATGGTTTCGGAGTTCCAGTTTGCCACTTGCTCTAAAGCACGGAAGTCTCGTCATAGAGTCTTCCATATGCTTCGGAAGCACAGAGCGGTGATAGGATTTCCTTCAGAATCCGACCCTTTCATGGAAAACCACGCCGGATCACCCTCGACACGAAGCATTACATACATGAAGCAATGGACATATAAGCCGGAGAACCGGTCTCTTTCTCTTGCAGCCACATCTCTCACTAGAGGGTACGACGTTGTACATCGACATATTCGCCCCCTACATTCCTGAATCATGGCCTTCACCGTCCTCATCTCAGGCGCCAATCGCGGCATAGGAAAGGGCCTTCTTCAGCGGTATCTCATCCAGCCTCACCACGTCGTCATTGCGGCCAACCGAGACCCGTCGCACCCGACATCCCAGTCCCTGAACGACCTGCCAAAGGGCGAAGGCAGCCGCTTGATCATCGTCAAAGTCGACGCCTCGTCCGAGACCGACGCCGCGGGCGCCGCCGAGGAGCTGCAGAATTCGTATGGCATCGATCATCTTGACCTGGTCATAGCCAACGCCGGCATGTCGACCGTCTGGCCTACGGTTGTGGCCCTCGCGATTGCGGACCTGCAGGCTCACATGGCAGCCAATGCGTACGGAGTCGTCGCGCTTTACCAGGCGACACGGCCGCTGTTGCAGAAATCCACCAAGGAGCCCAAGTTTATACCCATCGGATCCAAGGCGGGTTGCATGAAGTGAGTTCCTTACGATTCGGTGATGATACCAAGAAGAAGGAGGAGAGGGATATCGGGCCCCCGTGGATCTCACTGACTGAGTGACCAGGGACCAACCCCCCGTCCCGAATAGCGCGTACGGGCCGACTAAAGCGGTGGTGAACTGGCTGACGGTCAGAATCCACGCCGAGGACGACTGGCTCACCACCGTTGCCGTGCATCCCGGCCTGGTCGACACAGACCTCGGCTCTTCCGGGATCCGCTGGTTGATTCACGAGAGCGGCTACGAGTTTATCAAGGGGTTCGACCTGGAGAAGTCTATGATTAGCGTCGGTCAGTCGTGTGACGGTATTGTCAAGGTCATATCTGAATCTGTGAGGGACAAACACGGTGGCAAACTGGTCTCATATACTGGTGAAATTATAGATTGGTAAAGACACAACATAGGTTTGAGACTCACTCGGAAAGCTGCAAGAAAGCAGGAGTCTTCAGTTTGAACACCACGACCCCCCGTTTACATGCTCCCCAACACCACGTCAGAATTGTGAAGTGTCGGCAGGATGAGTGACGAAGCCAGACCGATTTATCATCTCGTAGCCATCGTCGTTGAGGGGGCCGTATAAAACGGCATCCCAATCCGGCAAAAATGAAATTTCGGGCATCGGCAGATCCAGCGATGTAAACAGGATTTGATTCGGATCAGCCATGAACTCTTGACCCTGGAATTCGGGGAACGTGGATGTTCCATGCGGTATCGCTGTCGTGCTGGTGGACGGCGGGACTTCGGTATCGGGACGAAGCTGCGACGGGCGCTGCTCGCCACGGCTGGCCGGCTGGGTCTCGACTTTTGCCGCGGCGGCCACACCCAGCTGGACATGTGGCCTGTGCGACAAAGCTTGACGTCGGATCAGATTGAGACGTCTCCAGATCCTCCCGTGCCCATATTCATCCTGGATCCCCGCCGAATGACCGTGGAGACTCATTGCACGAGGGAAGAGCTCGTCAACCAGAGTCCAGGCACGCTCTGTGTTGACCCCACGGGGATTACCACCGAGACAGCGTAGGACGTAGGTAAGGGCGTACCACGGGGTGTACAGGTTGAAGAACCATTTGAACCTGGAAGCAACGTCTTCCTTCAACAACGCATAGTTGCTTTCCAGCCCCTCGCAGGCCAGCTTGAACGACGACCTGAGCACGTCCGGAGTCCGGTCGCCTTGTGGCCCTTGGTCTTGTCGCAAGCTGATCTCCTCTTGCAGTTGCAGCACGAACTCCATCTTCTTGCGTGCGGCGACTCGATGTTGATCTGCGATGCGCGACAAGGGAGATTTTGCGCCGGCATATTTCGCCGACAAATATTGGCTGCGCTGCTGAATCATCTTGCGCTTTTCCGTGATACCAAGAAGAGCGTCTGCGGGCTGTTGGTCTCGCGGATCCAGAATCGGGTGGAGCAGTCGGCACGACTCGGTTTGAATCAGGAAGAAAGACATGTCCGTCCACCCATCCGACTCTGTGGGAAGGTGTGTCATGTCTGGACAGATCTGATCGTCATTCACGTTCAAGGGAAGCCTCAGTTTTGGGTTCATGATATCAACCGTGGGTTGGAACCCTTGGTCCTCCGATGCGCGAGACTCGAGCACACACAGATGCCACCAGAGGCGAAGACGCATCTCGGTTTCAAAGGGGCTTAGGTGGAAGCAGGCACCATCCAGGTGCAGGTCAATCGATTTAGCGAGGCGGATCGCCAGCCCATTGAGGACCCATACCCGCCGGCCGACTTCATGGGCCCGTAAACAGGTCTACATATTGAGAGCGGTCAGTTAGATAAGGCCGAACGAGCAGGGGGCACGATTCTGGGGGCCCAGCCTCGGTAACTTACCACGTAAATTGCGAGAGCTTGCAGTGAAGTCATTTCAGGGCGGATCAGGAGGTCATTCACCGTGAGGAGTCGGTCCAGGCATCCTTTATAGCGTTTCAAGAGCGTTGGGCCATCGCAGGGTAGGCGAACGGGTTCATTATTCTTATCATCGTGAAGCAGGGCCGTGACGGCGGCGTAATAGATGGCAAATGTCAGCGCCACTGTCGAAGATTGAGCAGATCTGGGGTCCAGAATGGTTTCAACGACAGTCGTCTGGACTGTGGGTACATGCAAGATCTTAAGGACCGGGTCGACCGACTTGACGTATACGTTCCACAATCGAAGGGCTAGTTGGGCATCAGGATAGAATTTCAGCACATCAGACGGCATATCGAGCGGATCACAAGCATCTGCCTGGGCAGGAAGTGTGTGGTGAGCTTTTGTACCCTGCTGAAGATGCAGAGGTGCAGTTTCCGGGTCTGTCGGTTGAGTCATGTGAGCGTTTCCTCCCTGTTGGGAACATCACATTAGCTTGGACGCCTTCTGTATGAGACATTCAGAGAGAGGGGAGTAAAACTTGAACGAGTTCTGCGCACAAATCCAGACTCACATCCTGTGACAGTGTTCCGACATTCGAATCGTTCGTATGTCCGACAACTCGTTCATCATTCAATAACAACTCCCATGTCGACTCGTTGGGAAGTTGTTTTGAAATTTTGATTGCATCGACACCGGCCCTGGATTGAGCCTGGACTGGAGTCTGAGACTCGCCCCCGCTACCACCTGTGGGTGACCCTATGGTGACTTGACTCCTTCCAGCAGAACCTGATAGCAAAGCTTCCAGTCGTTCCAGGCGGCTGGCGATGTTTCGGAGAGTGGGATCCTTCCGCGCCGCGTCCGTGTGCTTTGTGGGATACACACAGGTGATGCCAGCCCTCGTGCAGTTGGTGCAAGGCACACCGCGGTCACAGCGGACCTTTCGCTGATGGCAGCTCCGACAGGAACGTGTCCCTACTTTGTGACTTTGCGGGGACGGGCTCCGAAATGGGTGCGCCATGTTCTTATCGTCGGAAGAGGTAGCTGGTCTCTTTTGGACTCTTGCCATGATTCTGGGTGCTTACACTTTGGGAAAGGTCTTGGGAAAAGAACAAACCTGTCATTGATCCAGCAGTTGTGCAAAAGAGAGAAGGAGATCACCCTTCCATCTCTCGGTGCCGAGAGGTCCGCGCTCTTTGTCATTCACCGGCTTTCTCGGTGTGGGGGCTCCGAATCAAGTGGAGCTAAAGATGCTGGCCAATCATCATTCAGCGGCGACGGAGGAATAGATCTACGGACGTACATTTGAGGCAGCCTCCTGTCCCAAGCATACTGAACAGGACCAAAAGGGTAAGAAGGACCAAAAAGGTAAGGAAGGAAAGTCGTTGGTTCTACAACTAGTATAAAGGTATATCGTGGTCATTCCGACCCGTCAATATGAGTGGTAACAATCTGCCACTCCAGAGACTTACCTGTCTCTACTCACGCCTCGACAGCAGACAGCCCCCTTATTTGACCTCATTGCGCATCAACGGTGGTCAATTCTTCATTCAACATGTCGGAAGTGGTTGTGGAGAAAGGTGCCAGCGGAAGGAACAGCGGTTCCTCGTCAACTTCAGGATCAGCAAACGAACGAGATGAACCCCGCAAGGCCATAAACGCCATGAGCTGGAGTTTGGGCATGAAGATCTATCATACTGCTATCCCTTGCTTCTTGGCCTTTTTGATGTAGGTCTTGAACAACCCCAGAAAGTACGTTGTCCACACCTGCTGACCAAGTCATGATCAACTGCAGCACGTTTTCCGCGTCCATCACCGTCCCCGCCACTTCTGCCTTCATTGCCGAGTTCAACGTCAATCGCACCGCAGCCCTGCTCCCAGAAACCCTGTACATGTTGGGTTTGGCGTTCGGCCCGCTCATCATGGCGCCTCTGTCAGAGTTCATCGGCCGTCGTTGGCTGTACCTGGTCACCTCGTCCAGCATCATTGCGTTCGCCGGGGGTTGTGGAGCCGCACAAAACTTTGCCACACTGTTGATCTGCCGCTTTCTCTGTGCATTCTTGGGATCGGCCGGAGTTGCCATCGGCGCGGGAACAATCCTCGATGTGTGGGGGATGGAAAAAGCTGGAGCAATGGCGAGGCTGCTCTTCATCTGCGGTCCGTTCTTGGGACCATCCATGGCCCCGTTGACGGGTGCATATGTCATGCACGAGTACCACAGCGATTGGCGATGGACTCAGTGGGTGGTGGCCTTGATCGGGGCGCCCATCTGGATTCTAGTCCTTTTCATGAAAGAGACTTCTGACGTTCAGGTGCCACACAGTGCTAAACACCCAGGTCGATTCCCCGTGGTGCAACTGGCCTTGTCGACACTCAAGGCGGCAGTGCTCCGTTCCATGACCATGCTCACCACCGAAGCGATTGCATTTTCCCTGACGCTGTACACCGGATACGCGTATGCCGTGGTCTTCAGCTTTTTCGCAAGTGCCACCTATGTCTATGAATTGGACTACGACTTCAGCAGTCGGCAGATTGGCCTGTCTTTCATCAGCGTGGTCATCGGCTACGGTCTGGCTGCTGTCATGCACGTTATCGTTGACATGACACTCTATGCTCGAGCTGTGCGGCAGGCACCGAATGGTCGTCCGGCACCGGAGCACCGATTGTACGCGGCTATGATTGGAAGCATCTTCTTGCCCATGGGACTCTTCTGGTTCGTTTGATATCTTCTTGCCAACCCCTGAATCAAGATTTCAGCGCTAATCGTTTCCCGCTCTTGCCACTGCAGGTACGCATGGGAGGCTCACCGAGGCGGCCAATGGGCAGCAGTTATGGCCAGCGGTATCCCGTTTGGTCTCGGCGCTTTTATCGTGTTTGTGAGTATTCCATATCCGTGCATTCTTTGAACACGTCAGAACTTTCTTACTGAGGCCTCTTGCTTCAAAGCTGTCCTCGATAATATACCTGGTTGAGTCCTACGGGGCTGGTGCTGCCGCATCTGGTAAGTTCCTTCCTTCTTCCTTTTTGGTTCTGCAATATGTGGTTCGGGACTGATTCTGTCACAGCCCTCGCTGCAAATGGATCTTTTCGATACCTTCTCGGAGCGGTGTTCCCTTTGTTTACAATCCAGATGTATGAGAACCTGGGCATCCATTGGGCCGGGAGTGTGTTTGCTTTCCTGTCTTTGGCGCTGCTTCCTATTCCTTGGATACTCTTCAAATTCGGCGACAGGCTCCGCAAGAACAGCCGCTTCATAGCAGTTACATGAGTGGTAAAGGTACATAACCCAATCCTGTATTATTAAGGCCGATGAAAGGTAGAATTTGTCATTATTTACTACATCATTGTCAGTTACAGGCACTCTACAGTAGCTATACCGCGTAGGCCTAAAAGTACGGGTAATGCCTACCTTTCCTAAAGAAAATAGTAACGGATAAAGTGTGGTCCGGGAATTTAACATAAATATAACCCTTATTGCTAGTACTGCCTACTTCCGCCATACTCGTCTATCAAAAGCCCCCTGGTGTCCCCGGTGTCAGTCCTCACCAAGAGATTTTGGTACCGCCTGCCGTTTCTCTCTCAAGCTGCGTTGCTTTCCGCGTCTCCCAACCTCTTTTGTCCTTTCGTCTTCCCTTGCATCCACAATAGCATCAGGTGCTAGCACTATCCATATATTGATGTGTAAAGGCATGTAGCTGTGCGATGTGTAGACTCTTAACCTTGGAGGGAGTACGTGCCCAAGTCCTTCTTCAGGCAGGCGTGCTCAGAGATTCGCCCTCCGTCTCGCGTTCGCGTTCTCGGGCGGACTCTGAGGTTTTGGTCTTGGGGTTCCCTGCCCCATTCGTCGATGGCGGAACGCCGTTGAGCGCAACGCCGGTTGCGGCCTGCTGTTGTCGTTCGCGACGGCTCGAGCTCGCGGGGTCGAAGTAGGCTGTGGGATCGTCCCCCTCCCCCTCCGCAGAGAGAGAGGGCGAGAGTGTTAGCAGACTAGGATTTATGGGACTGTGCAACAAGACAAGAGGATCTGTATGAAAGGAGAGGGGGATAGGATGAACGTGATAATTTGGTGGAAGATTGGTCTGGGAATGGGACTAGAACTGGGCATTGGAGTTTCGGTGCTGGAGTAATCCAGTCAAACTCACGCTTCTCGCCAAACACCGTCGTCCGGATACCCTTTCTCGGACTGTCGTATGTTCCTGGGATGACGCGATGGGCGGTACATCTACCGTTCATGACGGGTGCGAGTCAGTGTCCAAGTCTGTATTCATGGGGAGGTATCGATGGTGCGAATTTCGCCTTCTTGGCTCGCTCCTCTGCGTACCTGTTGTCCCACATGGCCACGCTGCCGACGGCCCATTTCCAGCGCACGTAGTGGTCGTCGGCCGAATGGAGGTGATACTCGAAGAACTCGAGCAGTTTATCTGTGTCGAGGTAAGTTCAGGGTACGTTGTTAGTGAGATAGAGTGACAACAAAGATGGAGCTGCGCAAGGGAAGAGAAGGCCGCAAGATCACAAGCCATACCTGACTCCTTCTTGTTGAGTTCCGCGAAGCCCGTGACGAAGCCGGGGTTCACGTTCAGCGCTTTCAGACCTGTGACTGGATGCGTGCGGACGGCTGGATGATGGGTGTCGATGGGCGGTCGGTTCGGACCGACGCCCCAGAGGTCGAGGATCGTGTCGTCTGTTCGGATGATGTGGATTGTCAGTTTGATTTCAACCGACTTCGCCGTTTCCCTCCCATCCTTACTGGAACAGAGGCAAGGTCGAATCTTCAAGCGGAAAGGGGGAACTGACACTGAAGCCGCGAAGTGTGGACGGCGTGTAGCCCTTCGACGAACCTCTGCATGGCTTTGCTCAAGGCGTCGTATGTGCCGTACTGCGAGATCTGTGCTCACGCTGTTAGTGAATGGCGGCGCCTCCATTGGTTCTGACGATGCATCGCAGTTAGCGCAGTTTGACATACCCATGCAGTGTCGCCTCCGACTTTGGGGTGCTCTTCCATGCGCAGCAGAGAATAGGATGGAGCTGTTCCAATGAGTATCAGTCTCAGGCCTGCAGATGTGCTAACGAGAAAGTCTCGGGAAGCACGATGAAGGGGCAGGCGTACGGTTGATCTCAAAAGACGTATCGGCGTGCCAGTCCCCTGAAGGCTGCGAGTCATCAGTTCAACCCGCCACGTCTGTGAAAAGTAATCAAGGGAGCGTCACAGACCCACGGAGTGTACTTCAATATCTCGCGATGGTCCTCCTGGCTTCCTTTGATCACCACATGCTAGGGGCTCATTAGCTGATAGTAGTCTTGGTCGACCTGCATGAAAGGGTGCTACCTTTTGATCCTGGTTGAGCGTAGTGTCAGCAACACCCTTGAATGTATCTACAACTGGACCCGACTTACCTTTTGAGCTGGATGTCGATCAAGTGTCCCTAAGAGAACCCTCTCAGTATCACACCCACACCCAACCCAGAGGAGCGCACCGGTTAGGGTTGGACGAGTTTACCGTAATGTTCAAAGAGCTTGTACTGGCCCTCGGTGGTGAGGTCCTGGTCTCGGAAAAACACCACCCCCCTCTCCGTGACAAGCAAGGCGAGTTCGTCGAGCTGCTTCTCATCCAACTGCGAGAGCTGGACGTTTTCCAGCAGCGTGCCGATGGATTCGGTCAGATCCACGCGCCTTGCGATCGCGAAGAGTGCCTTCTTCTCGGGATCGGCAAACAACGCGCGGTCCGTTTTCGGGCTGAACTCCTCGCGAAGAGGCTCCGGGGGAGCCCAGTCTTTGATCTTTGCATTGAATCCTGGGTGTAAGGTGATAGGGAAGCCCGAGTCTGGGGAAATGTGTTTGCGGGCTTCGAGATGTGCCATCGTATTGGAGGTGATACCTGAGGGGCCGTGTATATAACAAAGACGAGAGAAGGGTCTTTCAAAACGACTCTCTGAGAGAAGAATAAAGGTAGCACTACCCACCGTTCATATGAAAGAATGCGAAATCTCGGTAAGTGATCAGATTCTTCCCAGGCGCATAGCAAGCTTTACTTCGAGTTGTAATCAGCAACCTCACCATGAACCCCCTCATTGCGTGATAAGACTCTGTCGGTAATCATTGGGGACTCCGTCTATGGCACTAATCTCCACGTGGGTGCTCACTTCCTCCTGTAGAGGAATAGGCAATTCAATTGGACGGCGTCCGGGATGGCGCAAGCAAGAGAAGCGATCGCGTCAGTCCGAAAACCGGTAGGCTTGAAACTGAGCCGTGTCTGATCTGTTTTTGTCTTGTCCTTGCAGAATGGAGATTCAGAAATGGGGCTCGCGTAGAATCTGATGGTTAGAAGTTGTCTCGGAAGGAATGGCAGGGAGGTGGTGAGGGTGGTATGCACAGTTGGTGTTGCCCATTCCAACGAATGTCTTGTATGGATCAGCCTGTTGTCTTTTCTCCAACATGCAGGGAATATCTTGTCCCCATACTCCTCTAGGTATACACATTAGAGGGACTCCATGGACTATAGAAGTTGACCGACAAGAACTCCATGGAGTGTCGCGACGCGTGCCAGGCCCGGTTTTTCAGCGTCTCCCAGCTCTTGTCGTCGATCGCGGGTGTGTCTATACTGAACGAGAAGGGAGTTGAGATGGACTGAGCTGAAGCAGGGGTGTTGCACCTTCACATCCCAGGCACAGGTGATCGAAAGACGTGAGTATTGGTTCGTGAGCATCAGCGAGGAGGACTGCCTTCGGATTTCAATTCCGCATCGTGTCGCTTATCGAGTGGCGCTATTCCTTTTCCTCGCGCTTGTGGATGATGATGTCGACGTCGCTGCAATCCTGTCTCTCCCTCCTGCATTGTGACATCTAACCCACTCTCAATCAGGACATCTGTACTTTATCGTTGTTGTTTTGTCCAGGTACAGTTGTGCACGCGTTGGACGCAATCGCTCCTCTTCCTGGAGTTCACCGTCGCTGCACATGTCCCGATAAGCTTCTTGTTTTTCTGTGACCTGTACTGTTGTCATCGACACGAGGAAGTTGATTGCCACAGATTGAGGTAGCGGCTCAGATGACTCGCTGGCCTTGACGTCGAGGGAATGCTAGAGTGAGGAAGATTATTGCCTACGATCGGCAAATGGTGTCAAGTACGTCTCCTGAGCTGCTTCACCGCTGTCTGGGCCATTGACTTCCACTGCACGAATAGCTGATGCTAACACAGACCAGATAGTACGAAATCCAACCTGAGTTCAACATCGGAGGAGCAGCCGCCATGCCAACGCCCATTCCTCGCACCGCAGCCAAGCTGCTCGTCCGCGGTGCCTCCAGGACAAGATCATTCTCTACCACCAGAGCACTCAATGTGGACTTTACCCATGCTGTATGTGTCTACCCTCTACAGCTCTGCAGTGGGCGCTGATATTCATCTCCACCACCATAGGTCATCGGAGCAGGAGCAGTCGGTCTCGCGATCGCCCGGCAGCTGGCCTCGAGGACAGGCACCTCGACGATCCTCATCGAGCGGCACGGCACCGTGGGCACTGAGACGAGCAGCCGCAACTCCGAGGTCATCCACGCGGGGCTGTACTACGGGCCGGACTCGCTGAAGACGCAGCTCTGCATCCGCGGCCGGCAGATGCTGTACGAGCTGTGCGAGGCGCAGAGGATCCCCTTCCGGCGCACCAAGAAGTGGATCATCGCCCAGGACGCCGTGCAGTTCGCCGGGCTCGAGGCCCTCCACGACTTTACAAAGTCCATCGACGTGCCCACCCACTTCCTCTCGCGCAGGGACATCGAGGCCCGCGAGCCCGACGTCCGCGCCGAGGCCGGCGTGCTCGAGTCCCCCACCACCGGCATCGTTGACTCGCACGCCTTCATGGCCTATCTGGAAGGGTCCTTCGACGAGCGCGGCGGCGAGGAGGTGCTGCACACCGTGGTGGAGAAGATCAAGCCGCTGCGATCATCCTCGTCGTCGTCCAGCAACGGCGAAAGCGCGGGATACGCCATCATGACACGCTCCCGCGACGGCACCGGCGGCGAGGACACCATCACGGCCGAGACGCTGATCAACTCGGCGGGGCTGGCCGCCATCGACGTGTCCAACATGCTGCTGCCGCCCGAGCGGCACCGCAAGGCCTACTACGCCAAGGGCAGCTACTTCTCGTACTCGGCCTCGCGCCCGAAGCCGAAGACGCTGCTGTACCCGGCGCCCATCCCGGGCCTGGGCGGGCTGGGCACGCATCTGACCCTGGACATGGCCGGACGGATCCGCTTCGGGCCCGATGTCGAATGGGTCGACTCGCCGCACGACCTCGCGCCCAACCCGGCGCGCCTGTCCGCGGCCGTCGACGTGATCAAGACGTACCTCCCCTCGATCGACCCGGCCGCCATCGACCTCGACTACTGCGGCATCCGCCCCAAGCTGGGCCGCACGAGCGGCACCTACGGCAAGGACGGCACGGGCTTTGCCGACTTCTACATCAAGGAGGAGGAGGGCTTCAGGGGCTTCGTGAATCTCCTGGGCATTGAGTCGCCCGGCTTGACCAGTGCGTTGGCCATTGCCGAGTACGTCGAGGGGATTTTGTATGGCGAGGGAGCGAGCGTGTGAGCATGGGAATGTATAACGTGCAAGAGAAGATTTACTAGGGGCAGGCCGAATTGCTAGATCGATCCAGGTTCTCCGTCTGTCGAGCAAGCGATCGCAGTTACGCGCGTTAGATCTGGGCTCCCTTGCAACTTCTGGTTTCAACCCGGGCTATCTGTGTCTGAGTATCTTTGAAAAGGATTGCGTTCCGCGGTCTCACTGTCCCACGAGCACACTTGACTTGAGCTCGTCTAGAGTCATGCGATGACACTGCACAGGCAAGAGAGGTACCGACACGCGTGCGGGCAAACCAGCTAATGGTTCGCCTCCGACTCCTCCTTGTACTTGTTCATGCCGTGCTTGATAAAGGGCGCCTCCATCAGCCTGTCCCAGTTGTGCACGGTCTCGGCCTGGAGGATCGAGACCTTCATCTCCAGCAGCGCCCGCTCCTTCATCTCGGCCTCGTAGCCGGCGACGGCCTCCCTTAGTGATTTGTTGCCGGCGTGCAACTCCCTGAGCTCGTCGATCAGTTTCGCCGCGTCCTGCAGCGCGTTGTTCAGCCCCTGTCCGCGGAACGGCGGGATCGCGTGGGCGGCGTCGCCGGCGATCGTCACCCGTGGCCACAGCGGCGACTGCGACCAGTCTATGTCCGGCTTCCACACGACGGTCCGGTCTGTGGGGAAGACCAGGTCGTCGGGGAGTTGTTTGCCTATCGTGGCCCACGGCTCGGCGTACTGGGGCACTCTCTCGCGCCAGTACTTGAGCCGCGACGCCTGGTCCGGGAGATCTTCAGGCCTCGGGGCACCGGGCCAGGACAGCAGGTTTTGGAAGAGCCACGTCTCGGGCTTGTCGGGGTCGGTGACGTCTTGGATCGAGTTCCACCATGTGAAGTTGTCCGGGTGGTAGCTGTGCTTGAAGATCGGGTGGATCGACCTCAGGTACTCGGCCGTTTCTTTGGAGAAGGTGCAGCTGACGTTGAACATTTGGATGTCCATGTACTCCTCCTTGGCCAGCTCCTCACCCACGAGGAACTTGCGCACTGTCGAGTGAGCCCCATCGCAGCCCACCAGGAGAGATCCAGATGCACTGGTCCCATCTTCGAAGACGGCTGTCACGGAATCACCTGCGTCAACTGTGACGGATGCCAATCGTTTACCATACTGGACCGCCAGTCAGTTCCAGCTAGAGGGTCGTTGAGAGCCCTACCTGCACGTCGATCCCCTGGCTCAGAAAGTTCCTCAGCTTCTTGCGGGATACTCGCCTTGGGTCTATGCCCTGCATCTCAAAGAGCTTCTCGCCGGTCGCGCCATTGTAGATGGGCAGCGAGGTGATTTTACCCTTGAAGAACGGGTCACAGCAGATGTTCTCGTCGATCTGGGCCACCAACTCCGGCGGGATACACTTGGACAGATACTCTGCTCCCCAGTGCAAGGTCATGCCCCACTCGCGGGCGCGGTTCTGATAGGTAGTATGGTCCTCTCGCTCATACACAGTGCAGGGGATACCATTCTACGACCAACTGTTGGCTCTGGATGACAACATCGTTGCGGGATGGGAAAAGAAAGAGGGGGAGGGCGGTGGTCCAATACCTGTTTCAGGCCCTGCGCCAGGAGCAATCCGGTAGATCCTCAGGATACCATTAGCCAGCCTGCGGAACAACATGGAGAGGAGGGGAGAGACGTCGTGCATACCTGCGCCTATCACAAGTACCTTCAGCGGCGTTGCGGAAGCCATGTCTGTGTGTTTTTCTGATTGTCAGGGAAATGGTTGGATTGCTTCGTACTGGGGAGTTAAAGATCTGACAAGTCGTCTCGTCTCGTCTCGTCTCGCCTCGACCTCGCTACTGACATGTCATTCCGGTGCCATTTCACAAGAGTAGTCCGTACTTTTGAGAGGGGGATGGGTTTGTGAAGATTTTGGTGGCCGATGTGGCTCAAAGCTTATCAGTTCGCTTACTGCGCGCGCACCGGAGCCCTGATGCCGAATTCGTTCTCGTGCATGGCGTCGAGGGAGCGAGCGTGGGACTGGAGACGACTGTTTCAAATGTGGATGGCTCCTATTCACTGTCAGCAGCTCTCAGCAGGGCATCCTCTACCCACCTCATGGGGCTACCAAGGCGCCTGTTGCTCGCGGGTGACAGACAAGACGCAATCCCGCGCGCCGCTAATGTTTCCCGTCGACTCCGCAGTCGTATTTTGTTGATGCTGCTCGCCTATGAGAGACAGAGACTTGGTCAGAGGATCCCCTGCCGTTGCTGCCCGTCAATCTCAAGCTCACGCCAAGGAAACGAGTCGACAAGCCGGATGGGGCACGGCTGATACAGATTCGCAGATATTTGACGTGGCTTGTCCTGCATCTCCCGAATACCCTGTAGGGCTGTGCAATCCATCAACAATACACCCTCCCTATCCGCTGAGAACGAGGATCAACATGGCTGGCAGCGAGACGGCGCAGATCGCTTTAGATGAAGATGAAGGAGTATCCGAGCTGTAAGTAACCCAAGCCACTCCGCAGCTAGATCGTCTGGGCCTGACATACCCCTGTCAACAGTGACGACGGCGAGACCACAGCATCCGTCCGTTCAAGCGTTTTACAGAATAAGGAGCAGTATGGAAGACGATACCATGCGTACAAGGACGGGACATACCACCGACCAAACGATGAGGTGGGTAACACTGCTTGAGGTCGGTTTCACACCTACTCACCCAGCTTCCTGCCAGGCCGAGCTAGAGCGTCTAGACATAGCCCACGCCCTCTTTGCAATCATCAACCAGGATCGACTCCATCTCGCTCCGCTCAAACCTGACCTGGGCCGTGTCCTTGACCTCGGTGCCGGCACCGGGCTCTGGGCCATCGAATTTGCCGAGGCGTATCCCTCAGCTGTGGTGGTTGGCGTGGATATCAGTCCTACCATGTCCGAGATCGTTCCGCCCAACGTTCAATTCGAGATTGACGATGTCGAGGACCAGTGGACGTACAGTAAACAGGCCGACTTTATCCATTGCCGCTACATGGTCGGGTCGATATCAGACTGGCCCAAGTTGATGCGGCAATGTTATGAGAACCTCACCCCCGGCGGCTGGGTCGAATTCCAGGATTTCGACATCGACTACTACTCTCAAGACGGTTCGCTGACAGAAAAGCACGCCATAAGACGCTGGCTCGTGCTGTGCACCGAGGCCGCCGCCAAAGTTGGAAGAACATTGCACGTTGGAAAACATCTCGAGCAGTGGGTCAAAGAGGCCGGCTTCACCAATGTTCAGGTAGTCAAAGTTCCTGTACCCATTGGTCCTTGGCCCAGAGACAAGAGACTGAAGCGGATGGGCCTGGTCAATTGGACCCAGATCTTCGAAGGCCTACAAGCTGTTAGCCTGAGATTGTTCCTGAACGTCCTCGGATGGAGCCAACCGGAGCTGGAGTCATTGCTGGTCGAAGTCCGGCAAGATATGAAAAACAGGGAGATTCATTCAATGTACGACGTGTAAGTATCCCCACCCCAGCCTTGACATTTGGTACTTACACAGGGCTAGCTACACCGTCATCGGGCAGAAACCCAAGGCCCAGACCGGATAGTCTCCTTGGTGAGTGACTGACGGGACAGACGAGCAACCGGAACTCCGAAGAAGGACCACAAGAGATCAGATCCACTGAAAGGTTGGACAGCCCGCACCAACCAAGTGCACTTGCCAGCCAGCTGCTTCTCTCATCATCTCCGCCACCACCGATGCCGAGGAAGGTCATTGTGGAACATGGTGCCATGTGGCCAATGAAAATCGTCAGAGCATGGCCTTCTTCGACTTGGTGGCCCACGGTTTAACATAACCTGTCCATCACCGGTGCCAATACAGCAGCATTTGCAAAGTCAACAGAGCGTCATGTTGGCCTTTGTTACAGTACTAGCCTGAACAGGGCCGACAGATGGCCCCCAGGTCAGAGGTCCGTCGCATTGGCTTGGTTCTCGTCGGCTTGCCATCTGCGCTGTTCGGCTGACGGCCGGTGCAGAAGGATCATTGCGATGCCTATGATCTCCTGGGCACCGGGTGGGCAGATATGAGAAAACACAGTTGCCGATCCAAATCTGACTTTGGAGGGAGATGATCGGACGGGGTGACTCACTTCTTCGAGAATGGAAGTCCATTACTCGAGGACACAGCAAAAGGACGAGATGGCCGCGGAGGAACTGTCACTGGACAGGAAACAGAAGGGAAATCCATGATCACCTACCTGGCCGTCGCGACTGAGTAGCCTTTACAGAATTTCGCCGGACTACGGCACACGGCGGCCCGATTCGCGCCTTAGCCTGAACCATGATCTCAGGCCTGTGAAGCCGCCGAAGCTTAAGACTCGCGCCGAGAGATGGTCTGAATATTGGTAAATGAATTACAAGTGCTGTGTACGTAGGTATGGACCTATCCATCTTCAGGGTAATTATCCATGGCACCGCGCAAGTCCGTTGAATCTATCTTCTCGACTGGCCCCGTCATTTGATTAACATTCGATCGAAGCACGTAGAAGCTTTTCTCATTAGGGAAATATCTTTTGACATTACAAACATAACCGAGGGCCCATCGTCACCTTGAGCTCAAGTCTCTACCTACCTCTGTATCTACATGGTGCTCAACAAGCCGCGACGCACGATCAAGATCTACGTGGCCAAGATGAATGAAAACTGCTCTGCCTCACCCCGGACTGGGAAGGAGGGTGATGCCGCCCTGTTCTCCACCTGGCTCGCACGAGCTGGGCACTGGTAAGCGATCATCCCTAAGTCAGGCGTCCCATTTACGAGCGGCCGAGCTGGTCTCGCGTTACTCAAGTCAAGATAGAACCCGGTCAAAAGGGAGCTTCGTTGACTCGTCGTGCAGCTTGACTTGGTTCTCGTTTTATCGGCCCTTTTTCCGCCCAAATGCTTTGGTCCTGACGAGCAGTTTTGACGAGCAGCCTCCTGGCCTATCCTTTGGGTCTGTCACCAATGCACCACCTCTGTCCGCATGGCGCCCAATAGGGGGAAAAGGCACCAGCCAAAATCACGCACGGCATGCCTGACTTGCAGAAAGAGAAAGCTCAAGTGTGGAGAGGAAAGACCACACTGTCAAAGGTGCCTAAAAGCTGGCAAGATGTGCGAAGGCTACCAGATGCTGCTCATCGACGGAGCGATGAGTGTCAGTGGTCGAGTATGGACCGTTCCACCCATCGATGGTGTTTGCATCAGCGGCAGCGCCTCCTCTCTGCTTTCGGCATTTACTGCGACCGCCGACGAGTGGCAGGCTTACCGGCTCTACACCCAGCAGATATCGTCGACGCTCGGCGGGCCCTTTTCCCTCGACGCTGACCTATGGCAGAGACTCGTCCTTCAGATTTCCCGTCACGACGCGGCCGTCCGCAACGCCATTTTCACCCTGGGGAATTTCTTCCGACATGCCGTCCAAGAGAGCAACAACGGCCAAATGTCCACGTGCGCCTGTCGCCGCTGTGTGCAAGCTCTGAGGTCCTACAACAGAGCCATAGCGGCTTCGTTCGCCGAGCAATCATCGGCAAACGTCAAAGATGACCCTGTCGCGTTGAACGCGGCCCTCACTTCGTGTGCCCTATTCATTTGCATCGAATTCTTCCGAAAGAGCGACCGCAATGCGATCGCCCTAATCGACAGAGGCTGCGGAATGCTCTTGCAATCTCTCCGCCAAGCACCACAAGACCTGCAAACGAGTCGCGTGGATCCGGGACTTTGGAATCTATTTGCCCGCCTTCGAGTCTTGTCGGCTTCATTCGGCCATGCTGGGCAGTGGCAAATGTCACCACTAGGGAACTCTGCCCCTAGGGCTATTCGCGAGCCACTCCCACCACTCTCTGACCGATTGGAACGCGCCCGAAACTCTCTCTATGACATCCTTACTGCGGCTCTACGACTGAGGAGACGTTGTGCCGAAACCCTGATCCCTATGTGGCCTTCAAAGAGGACCTGCGTTGTCGAATCGGTTCATGAGTTGCGACACGAGAAAAATCTCGTCGTCTCGAGGTTGCGCATGTGGTATGAGCATTTTATGGGGCTGCAAACAATTCTGGAGTCTGCGCCACGGGAATCACCATCATCCTCTCTCCCCGCCTTGATACTCTACGGTCACTTTCTGCAGACAAAGATATACGCAGAGACGAGCTTGGAGTTGTCACAAGGGCGTTACGACCAGTACCTCTCGGAATTTCAAACCGTGATCCGAGTTGCGGAACGCGGACTACGTCAGTCGTTGGCAGGGGATCAAAAGTATGTCCAAATGTTTTCATTTGAGAGCTGTTTCCTCGGCATGCTGTATCTTTGCACCCTGAAATGCAGGCAGCCGACGATGCGGAGACAGTTAATAGACTTGATGCGCCTCTCGAGTGAAAAAGAAGGGCTATGGCACCGAGGAGAGTCCATCACGGTCGCTTCCCGTGTGATGGAACTCGAGGAAGGCCGCTCCGAATTCATCCCTGCTATCGGGACATTGACTAGAACGGCAACCCCTCTCTTCCACGACGTCTTGTGCGAGATCAATTACGTCGCTGACGGGAGGACCTTGGTCGACGTCACCTACGTCCTCCATCAGGAACGCACGGCAGAGCACGAGTGGTTGGCCATGAAAGAGACCTTGGTTGTGGTGGACCGATGAAAAGACTATAGAACCACATGACCGGCTTTTCTCCCTCGCATCGATTTCTCGTCAGAGCAGAAGATCTACATTATCAACACTGTTTGATGGGTGTCTTCTAAGTAGCCCACTTGGCTTTGTATCAGGCAATCGTGAATTGGAAGATCGACTTGGCCAGGATAGCAGCTGTTCAGTTAGCCTGCAGTAGCGGAACGACAATCTCGGTGTGCAACGATGACCAAGAGGGCGCCCCTTGTACAGGTCGTCTATATACACCGAGGCAGCCACTCCAAAATTTGGTACAAGGTTCACAAACGTCCGACAAGAACCAATCAGGTTATTCGGCATTTGACCTTTCGGCCTGATCCCACCTGAACGTCTATACCACATTGGGTCAACAATCCGACCTGAGTGCCGACAACCGGAGATCCTTGCAGACAGTGCCACCAAGCATCATACCGACCAGAGACGATTGCAGACTCGGTCACCCGAAAGTATAGTATAAGCCGCAGTACGTTTCTAAAAGTGCACTCTTTTTAACTTCCCCCTCGGACTCGTCAACTAATACAGACCATCCAAAAGGCGGCAATGGAAGTCAGATCATTTCCCAAACTACTTCTTCGCAAGGGGCCTCTCCAGAATATGAGAAACACGACGGAAGCTATGGACTTCATTTGCCGAGGGAGGAGTTATTGAGAAGCAATTTGCCTCTTGTATAAAAGCAGGCCAACGGCTTCTGTTCAGGGACACTCGATCTACATTTCCTTCGTGGTTTACACTCCAGCACCTACCTTGATAAATCGGGTGTTTGGCGCGGAGACGCTTTTGCTGTAATCATGGTCCTGAGTTGGCACATGACGCTCGTTGTCGTCTTCTTTCTTCACTGTACACTGCTTTTGGCTGAATGTCCCCCACTCGGACCGATATTGCCCGCTCCGACGGGATTGAGGTCGAGTCTGGCAATTCAACAGCTCGCGAACCAGGGCAAGGCCCTGTTACAAAACCTCACCTCGTCATTCAACCAGACAGCCGTGTCGATCGGTGTGAGGAGCATTCACGACGACGCGCCGCTCTTCGACTTTCACTACACTCCTCCCGAGTATAACACGAGCGGCACTCACCATGTCGACGGCGACACCGTCTACCGCATCGGCAGCACCACCAAATTGTTCACGGCGCTCGGCGTACTCCAGCTAAAGGGCAAGATCAACCTCTCCGACCCAATCACGAAATACATCCCCAAGCTCAATAATATTTCTCCCTCCGCCAACGACAGCTTGACCAAGGTGGACTGGAACAAGATCACTGTACAAGCCCTTGCAAGTCACATGGGAGGGGTGTCGGCCGACAGTACGTCTGCCAACACTAAGTCACCTGTGAACTTTGTCGCCCAGCAGCTGACGATGCGACTTTACTAGTTTCCGGCAACGCTATTCAATATACTCCCGGGCTAAGCGAGTCCCTCGGTCTTCCACAGTTGTCCGAGTCCCAGCAATCGCTTCCTTGCGGCGACGCAGCTGACCAGTCACCGTGTTCATGGGACGGTAAGTCGGGTTTGTCATGTCAAAGATCGTTGTATTGACTTTCTCATCAGTCTTTTTCGACAATATTGGAAAACGACCCCCGGTGTACCGGCCTTTTACCACCCCCGTATACTCGAATATTGGGTATTCCCTGTTGGGTCGGGTCATAGAGAACGTCAGCGGGCAAACATATGGAGATTATATTCAAAACAACATCATTAAGGCGGCCGGAATGAACCGGACAACGGTGACAGGTCCTCCAGCCAACAATCTTGGTTTCATTCCGGCAGAGTCCAACTGGTGGTCGACCTCCCTTGGGTTTAAGCAGAGGTGAGAAAGCGCCTACTCTCTCGAAGCCCCGCTGTGACAGCATATTGACGTTTTGGGCCAGTGAGGGCGGCTTGTACGCGAGCAACAACGACCTGCTGTCATTTGGCACTGCGATACTGTCCAACAAGCTGCTCGATCCGGTCGAAACGCGCACTTGGATGAAGCCGGTTACGTTCACGTCCTCGTCGGGCCAGGACGTCGGGGCGCCGTGGGAGATTGTGCGCGGGCCGAACCTCACCTCGGACGGCCGAATCGTCGATTTTTACGCTAAGACGGGCGACGTGGGAGATTACTCGTCGGTGATGGTGCTCGTGCCCGACTACGACCTCGTCATGGCCCTGAATTTCGCCGGCCCGGACGTCGACAGTTTGACGGGAGTCGCGATTTTTTCTCAACTCGCACAGACCCTGATCCCGGTCATCGACGGAGTCGGCAAGAGCGAGGCTTCGGCAAGATTCACCGGCACCTTCACCTCTGGACAGAATTCGACTCTGACACTCGCCGTCGACGACTTTGGCCTGCTCGTGTCGAAATTTTCCGCCAACGGGGTCGACGTGGCCGAGGGATATTCTGCAATGAATCAAGCAACAGGAGAACAAACCACCATCAGGTTGTACCCCACCAATGTCCAGGGCGGAAACAGGTCGGCCTGGCGCGCCGTCTACGCAATCGGCACGGCAGCAGACGCCGCGACGACCGACGCGCAGTTGTTCTTTCCACAGGGAAGCTGCGACACCTGGTTGTCCATCGACCGGTTGGAGTACGGGCTGCAGTCGCTCGACTATTTCGTGCTCACCCAGGACGACACGGGACGGATCGCCTTGGTGGAACCCATGGCATGGAGATTGGCTCTGAAAAGGAGCGGCTGAGGACAAATACTCCTCACTGTACTGTCAGATGCGTCGTGGCTGTTAGATTGGGAAACGGTCTGCACGATCGGGAGGAGGCGAAGCGAGCTCGCAATAAGAAGCGTCAGCGGTGCGGGACCACTAAGTACCTTCCTACTAGGTGGGGACTTACTCGTAGCTGACGTCGCGAATAGTCTGGAGTAGCCTGATAGGCGAGTCACGAGACGCGAAGGTCCTGTTCCGCCTCTTGAGATCTCATCACTTCTCAGCTACGGAGGGCTTACAGCCCTCCGAGTTGTAGAGGCCGGGAGAGGAGCCGGGTTTCGCTTATTCACGTCTGGGTTCCATCGTGACTACTGTCTTCATTCACCTTAAGAACACGATTAAGATCGTGGTCGACGAAATTGTGGTTCGGCCGGTACTTATTCACGACAAAAGTACCTACAAGTACAAGTCCATCCCCCAATCATTGCCCGCGAACAGAAACCTTACATAGCCATGGAGGTATTTTCACCTGAGCTTTTAACTGAGTCCTGAAGAACGTTACTGAAGGCAAGAAGAATTGTCCACGCAGGAGCACTCAAACAAGATTGTAACTAATGACGAAATGAAAACCCATCTCATGCGCTTCTACCTCCACCATAGCATGCCAGTGTCGCAAAGACGCCTCAACTAGACATTATCCATTCTCTAGTAGGCGGTGATGCCAAGCCACTCCTTGATATACTCCAGCTGGAACTTCTGCGCCTGGAGCACGCCCGGCTTGGTCAGGAAGCTGGGGTTGAATGAGTCCTCGGTGTGCCCGCCCTCGGGGACGACCATCAGGCTCGACGCGTTGCGGTTGGGGGTCATCCTCGCGTACAGCTCCCACGGCGCCCAGCCGGAGACGGGGTCGAGCGTGCCGAACGTGAAGAGCAGGTGCGTGGCCGCCAGCAGGTCGGCGGTGGTGAAGTGGTACTTGGCCGCCAACTGCCCGTGGGTCGGGATGGTCATGTTGAAGGTCTGGGCGCAGAAGGCGGCGCGGTCGCTGCTGTACCCCAGCGCGCCGGCGGGGAAGATGGTGCCCGCCGCGACCAGGTCGGCGGCGATGGGGAAGTAGCGGCACTCCAGGTACTGGAAGGGCAGCTGCTCGGCGCCGGCCAGGCCGAAGGCGTTCTGGCCCGCCCAGTCCACGCACGAGCCGTTGAAGAGGACCGAGAGGCTGGCGTTGAGGACCTCGAGGGCCCCCGTGGCCGCGAGCGTCAGGTTGAGCGCTTGGTCGAACGTGTTGGCCGTCAGCCCCGGCAGGCCCGGCAGGACGCCGAAGCTGAACTGCGAGTTGGCCGTGTACGCATTGAGGATCTGCGTCTGGTAGATGAAGTCGAGGTCGCTCTTGTTCTGGGGCACCTCGCAGAGGTTGAGTCCGTGGGCGAGGTCCTCGTAGTTGGTCCCTGAAAGATCATCAGTATCCCCTTCTCTCGCACTCTCGGGTTGAGGAGGGGTCTGCGGTACCAGTCTTGATGTAACCGTGAAAGGTTGCAAGAGCAGCTTTTATTTTGGCAGCGGCCTCCGCGGAATAGGTCGAGTAGATATTCGATAGCTGCAGCGCGCGTCAATGACCCTTCTCGTCATATAACTAAACTCGGGTGTACATACAACGGTGTACCAATTTCCACGCGCCGGGTTTGCGGAATCCGGTCCGAGGCCCTCCGTCGGTCCAGCCCAGGCAATGGAGCCATAGAAAGTCTGTGGATGGTTGAGTCGCAGCATGGCAGACAGCGAGCCCCCATACGAGCCTGGGAGCACGGATCAGCACCCCTGCTCCCACCATGGTTTGCGAATGATCAGTATTACCGCCATGTGCAATCACCTTGGCATTGCGCAGTTTGGTATTGTTCTTCTTCAAATATTCGACAAAGGAGACAGAGTCTTGGAGAACATTCTCCAGCGTGAGGGTCGCATAGCGTTCTTTGACATTGGCGGCGTTGCTTGGATTGCTGACGCCGAAGAACCGGTGCTCGAGTTGCACAACGGCAGCGCCCAAGGTCGGTGCCCAGTCTTCCAAGACCGTCAGTTCCTGTACACGGTTAGAAACAAGCCACGCCTGCGTGAGCTGGAACGTACCAAGCAAGAGATATTCGCGGTCTCTGCTCCCTGGAAGAAGAGAATGGGACCGCCCGGTTTGTAGTGGTCCATGATAAGTTGGTATTGTTGCTTGAAAGTCCCACTCTTGGTGGCGTTGTGGTCGATGGTCTGGTCATAGAATGCCGTTGGATGCGTACAGTTGACTCCGGTCAGCCCAAAGGCTGTCCGTGCCATTGCCAGCGCGAGGAAAGCGAGAGAAATAAACATTATGAAATGGGCGCAAGAAAAATGTCGTGGATGGTAACCTCCCAGGTCTGTATGCACGGTGCAGGAGCGTACAGATGAATGGGAGAGACGATCTTTAAATACTCGAACTGTGAAATTGCATTCTCGACTTTGTCCAAGAAACAGCTCCCAGAACAACCCATCGAGCAACGCCTTCTTTCTTGTGACGTAGTTTGATAGAAATAGCTGCCACAGCTGAAACGGCCCCATTGCCGGCAAGGCCGCAGTGACGAGAGAAAACACGGATACCTTTCCTCTTAGGCATCGAACACCGTTGGAATGACTGGATAGATCTGGGGGCGTATGTAAAGTACGGTTCCGGGGCGCATGATGGAAAAGGGGAAACGTGCGGGCTCGCTTTGGCGACCAAGAAGCGGTTGGGGCGCCGCTGAGGCTGATTTCTCTTATGGAGCCATCGTCTTGAGTCTAGCTACAAAGTAGCCGATTGCAGTATCAGCATAGCATCTCCGAGTTGATAGAAACAAATGAAAGAAGGTGCGTATTTCTCGAAGCTGCGTCATGACGAGGCTCCGAACTTGGCAAGGCTGAAAGATAAATCGCAAAATTAGCCGGAAGAGGAAATGGTCTCCGTCGCCCCACCCACGATTTCCTGGGGGGAGATCATTCAGGCCGTCTGCGTTCTCTGGAGATCTTCAGCCACCGCGACTTCAAGTTACCTCCTCAGCCATTGACAGACGAAATGAAAGGGTCGAAACTGAGATGCGCACCTAGTATCAACGCTGCTGACCAGCTGGGGTTCAGAAAGACCCCTGACCTGAGCAACCATTAACTTGGGAGAGTCTAGTCCGCGAAGCCATCGGCCCTTCAGTTGAATTCACGAGTTTCAAAAGGTAAATGATTGACAAGATCGCTATGTTGTTGGGCACCCGCCGGACTAGAGCATGGCGCCATCCAAGGCCATCATATACTGTGGTGGCTCAGCCCTCTGAGCTGCGACTTGAACACGGACACTGCTCTGCTGGAAAAGGAGAATTGTCCGACATTCCTCTGCTTGTCTTGACGCAGGATAGGTCCTCTGCTTCAGGACCTTGGTGGCCTGATAACTTCGATCTTTGAGAGCCAGTGCCCCTATCGCCAGCTTCCTCTTGTCACATAGATCCTGTCCACTCTACCACCGTTGATCCCTTTCATTTCGCCGATCTGGTTTCCAGCTGGGGTCCGAATATAGCTTCAGCCTCTCCATTCCCTGCTTCCCTCAGTCTTTTACTGTTACACCTGCGCCATCCTTGTGTCGGAGCAATCTTCCCCAATGCGTCTTTGTGGGGCGTGTCGAGCATCGGTGAAAATTGATAAATTCGACAATGCGCTCCCTCCGTTCAACTGCTTTGGCTTGCCAAACAACACCCTCCTGAATAAAACAAGTCTCACAGCACAACTGTTGTTGACAGCGGTTCATCATGGCACGAGTCTCCGACACAGTCGCTCTCGACGCTACCGAGATAGTCGTCTACATCTTCCTCTTCCCTTTGATCATATTCCTCGGCATGCGCCATGGCAGCAAGCATGCGCTGGCCTTTGTCTATCTTTGCCTCTTCTCCATCCTCCGCATTGTTTCCGACGCGCTGGGGATCGCCAACCGGAACTCAACGAATGAAAACACCATCATTACGACCCAAGCCATCAGCTCAGCGGGCTTGTCCCCCCTCCTCTTGATTCTCGCCGCCTTCACCCACGAAGCCCACCACTACCAATCCAAAGCCACCCTCCCTCACAGCCAGGCGCAAGACGTGCTTCGCCGACTGCGGAGCCTGCAAGGATTCTTCCACGTTCTGTCCGCCGGCGGCATGGGACTGATCGTCTACGCGGCGGAAAAGTCAGCTAGCAAAGACAACGACCACGACTCCAGCACGTGGACGACTCTCCGCAAGGTCGGAGTCGTCCTGATGTTCCTCGCCGCAATCGCGGAAATCCTGTACGCGTTGTACGTCTGGAGCTGTGTGCGTCGAATGACGAAGGCGGTCCGACCACCAAACCTCACCTCTTTGGCAATCTGCACCTTTGTCGGTGGCTTGTTCGTCGGGGCTCGGGCGGTTTACTCGGTCGTCTACACGTTCGACACGAACCTGGACCTCAACCCGATTACGGGCACGTTCGTAGTGAAGCTGATCTTCATTGTTCTGGTCCAGTTCTTGGCAGTTGCTTGTCTTCTCGGTGGTGCTTGGCTGAGTAGAAACATCAGGAGGGACATGGAGTATAGAGCGATCCAGCCCGCCGAGCACTATTCGGGCAATGGTGGCCGTGTGGACGCCGAAATGCCTCTTGCACCTCAGGAATATTCGCAAAAATGGTACCCACCAAGTTATGATGCTTGAGCCGGGCACTGCCAGACAAGGTGCCACTCAGAGACTTTTTGCCCGAGCCTGATAGAGTCGGCGGGGATATTTTACTGGATTGGAGTTCCGGGGGGTTACTTGTGGCTTACTTGTTGGGAGTTGGTTCTTGTGGCTGCTCAGTTCAGCGGTTAGATGGGAGGTATATGGCTGGTGATGTGTACCTAAGAGATATAGAAATAAGGTAGCAGCGAATTCTCGAATGCTAAGCTATTGCCCAGACTTGGTTTAACTGCTTGCGGCTCAACCTCGATTGGGTATTAAGAGACTCACCATCGCATCACGGTCAATTTGAATCGTGTCCCGACGTTCAGTGACTTTGATACTATTGGGAGAGCCGCTTTAATCTGGCCTTTGACTGAGTCATTGACTAAACATCAGGGAGTCCTCCGGGGGCCAAATTAGGACCCCCCCCCCAATTAATCGGCTGTACCTGCCTCGCGGCTGGGCGGTCAGGGAGCCCGGCGGTATCTCTACACCCACTTTTCACCCGTCCTCACTCATCCACAAAGCTTCTTCCCCTACCCTCAACGGCCGTGCCTACGGATCATAGACAAAGAAGAATGTCGAAGGGGCCAGGTTGAAGAAGTGAGATCGAAGAGCGCCGATCTTTACACATCCGAGCTTCGGCTAGTGCTTTTCTGAAAGAAGCTTCTGATGGCGGTTTCGAAAAGCGGCCGATGTAGGGCTGTCCTCTGGTACCTCGCCCCTGTTCAGGCTAGCGGATGCTCTTCTCCGAGGCCAGTATTGAGACTCAAGCCACGCAGGGAGGGGCGAGGAAGAAGAAATTTGTTCACAACTCCACTAGACATCTGCAGCGACGGCATCATTGGCAGGGGTCCTTCTGCAATGGAACTTGTAATCTACAGACACAGCGCCATTCTTTGGCTAACAGATGACAATGTACCGAGGACGGTATAAGAAACATAGGTGCACTCAGGACGGGATGTTCGTGGCTTCAGATGCTGGCTCGCTGCTATCAAAAGGCTTACGTCCAGGGTTCTCTCTTCGTCCTCCGGCTATTACAAGATCGGTTCAAGACTCTGCGATGCGTGGAAGGCCATGCGATACTTCACATTGATTCTTTCCTTGTCGGCGCTCGCCGCTGCAAGCTCTAGCCTGGGCTCTAACTTTACGTCGACGGACTGTGCTTCGTCTTCAGGCTTCGACAAATGCTTCTCGGCCGCTCAGAACAAAGCAACGAAATGTATCGACGACGGAGACGGGTCCGATGCGATCGACATCGCTTGTACCTGTGTTATGTGGCTGGATGAAATCAACTGTGCCGTATCCAACTGCTGGAATGAGGTTTGTGCGCGCACGAACAATGTCATGATCCTTCTGTGCTGACCTGCTGTCGCCTCTGTAGGTCTATTCCTGCCAATACCAGGCCTTGATTATCCGGTACATGACATTCTGCCCGACAAGCCAGGACGGCTTTCCTTTCTTCCCAGCTCCCGACAACGCGCCGGGTGGCTGCTCCTGCAACATTGGCCAAGTCTACTTGAACGCCGCAAATAGCTATACCGAGTCGACAAAATGCTCGAGTCCCTCCTCGGTAGACGGGGAGATTGCTTGCATTTGCTGCATGGAAGCGTCGGCTTATTCCTCGTGAGTTTTACCAAGAACCATTATTGCCTGAACGCTCCAGCCTCCACGGCTCTCTGACAGACCCTAAGAATTTACAATATTTGCCCGGACACCGACCCATCCCTGATCGGCCTAGGCACGATAGAAACGCAACTTGAAGCCTTCGACCAGCCGTTCGATCAGTGTGGCCCCTACCTGGATCAATATGATTGTATCGCTGATCTCGGCTACGCGCCAATCGGATCCCCGACTTCGACTTTGGTAAACCCAACCAACATGCCGGCCAACGGGACACAGACTCTCTATACCACGGGCGCGCAGATCACAACACCGCTGAGTGGCAGTGTGGTGACCTGGAGTCACGCAAGCTCCGAGTTTACCGCGACAATGGCAAATCTGGACGCGGAACGCACAGCGGACGGGAGCACGACGACGACGGGGGCAAGTACGGCCGGCTCCTCGACATCATCAGCGACCGGAGCGTCAAGTACAGGAGGAGCGAGCCAGGTACGTGATGCTCTTGGATGGCACAGATGGGGTCTTCTCATGCTAGGCGCTTTCGTCTGTGAGATGCTTCTGTAAGATGAGCGAATAAACTGCAGCAAACCCCACCACCGTGTACATCTACACCGCCCAAATACATACGAACCTTTGCATCGATTCCAGCGGCAGGGTACTGGACTTTTGTCCCCTTTTGGCAGATGCATCCTCGCATGATCTAGGGAGTTTCCCTTTTTGTTAGAAGCATAGAACAAGGTCATCCGAGATAGACGGTAGCAAAATGTTATTCTGATGTACCAAACACACGGTCCCCGTAACGATTCTCTCTCAGTTCCAATGCCGGAGTTTTCTCTGCCCAACCAACAAACGCACCGTCCGTGCTCCGGTTTTTACAAGGCAATCTCAGCAAACGCCACTAATACTGGTGGAGAGTTACATACTCCCCGCTCTGTATCACGTCCTCTGAAACAAAAAGCCCAGGTTTTGGTTGGATGCACACACACACCCCCCCACCTTTTTATGCACCCTTTATGCATGGAATCGAGAAAATGAGGTGGTCGTCCCATGTAGCCTAAAAGCACTACATAGTTGACACGGGGCGAACGCGCCTGGTGCCCCCCCCCCTTTCCTTGTGAGCCGAGGATGAGCAAAATGTGCGAGCGGCTAATTAATTAATTAATTAACTAGTCAAAATGGGAAGACGAACGGTAGGGGCTTTTTTGGTGGCACGAGATTACTACTTATTAATTGGCGAGCTAGGTACCCCGTGTACTTGTACTTTTGAACATTCCTTGCTAGGAGATCTATTGTTGTGTTGGCAAGTCAAGATCCAGGGAATCTTCTTCCGTGCAATAAAAATACCCTGAATGCTACATATGTAACCCAATGAATGTGCTGCTATATTACTCGCTTTTCATCCACAAAATATAACCGGTGATATAAACCCTTGGATTCCCCTGCCGTGCAAATTTATACTCATCCACCCAGGGGCGGCTTTTCGAGGCGCTCGAATGTGCTTTGCCCACATTAGACGTGCTGGAAAACGACCACGTTGGTCGAGTGACGATTTTGCCCATTGGGGCCTCGCGAGATCAAGCGTGTGGCTTTTCGGCGCAAAAACCCATCGTCTCAACCTCTCCGGTTCCCAAGATCTACAAAATGCAAACCGCTTCAACTTCCCCCTTTCTTACCTCTTCAATCCAGACTTGATTCAGTCCGTCTTCTCCCGGATCTCTCGCGGGACCATCCCGACATTCCGCTCGTAGTCCTCCTGCACGACGTCCAGGTTGAACTCGGCCTCGCCGACCAGCCTCTTCGTGTCGGCCAACAGGTCCGCCAGGTCCTCGTTCAGCATGGTCGTGCAGACCTGCATGACGGCAAAGGCCGAATACCCCGGCTCGCAGATGTGCTTGGTGTCCAAGATGCCCGAGTCGAGCGAGGAGAGCATTTCGCCAATGTGGAATCGCTCCGGCGGCCGCAGGTAAGGCGGGAGGGGCTTGCCGGAGCCGATCGAGCCGGAGAGGATGGCGAGCAGTGACGTGACGTTGTGCGAGGTCAGTTCCAGCGACGCGATGAGTTGGGTAAAGTCCTTGAGCCAGGTGCCGGTCCCGTCAGTGGCGACGACGGGGTTGGGCCCTTCCCGGTGGCCGGCCGACTCGGGGATTTCTTTGAACGTCTTGGTCGTCCATGCGATCATGGCCGTAAAACGAAGGATGCTGGGCGCCTGGGTCAGCACTGTGCCACTCGGAAGGGCTTTTTCGAGAATCAAAGACTTACTTCTCCGTGTGCGCAAGCATCCTCTCATAGAGCTCCTTGGGAAACCGGCCTCCAAACGTCGGCTCCCATCTGATGAACTTGAGATGATTCTTCATGGCCTGGATGAGAATCAGGTTTTTCGCAAAGAGCTGAGTGCGGGCCTTCTCCAGCCGGCGAAGCGGGCTTTTCTTGTCTTTGGGATCCCCTTCTAGCCCTTTCAGCCGCAACGAAACCGCCTTGTGCGAGGAGCTGTAGTACTGGCCCAGTAAATACAATGTATTCCCCAGGTCCTTCCGCATCTCGCTTCTCGCCGTGGTCACGCTTGGGAAGTATGTTAGCAAGCAGGCGACGCCCACACCACCAAGTACACAGGCGAGTCGGTAAGGTGCCAGCTCGTACAAGGGGTGGAAGATTTGGCCGTTCGATTCGGAAATGGCGAGGCCCACCTGCTTGACCTGAAGCTCGTACGCGACGATTAACATGACGGTGATCATGCCGATCATGGGGATGACCGGGTCGTTCGGTTTCGTGACCATGAGGTAGTGATAGAGGAATACGGTCAGGCCCACAAAGACAATGACCCCGGCCGTGTCGCCATCCACGATGTACCAGTCAATGTAGGAGAGGACCATGGCCAGGAACGTGCCAAAAACTCTCACGAATTGTCCATACATGCCCGACCCGGCGGTTTGAGTCATGCTGATGGCAACCATAATGGCACCCCAGATGATGCGCTGCTTGATATAGAATTGCTGCGAGTTGCGCAAGAAGGCGGTGAGTGCGATGATCATGGTGCCCACGGCGACCTTGAAGCCGAACCAGGACTCCTTCGAGCCGAAAAGCCTAGGAATCAGGCGGAAGTAGTCGGTCACCTTCTCCCACCACGTCACGGGCGGGAGGTGCTCAGGATCCCGGTTGACCCCTAGAGCATCGCCCAGATAAACCGTAGGGGTACCGCTTCGATAGCTGTATGCCGTGTAATCCAGGTTGCTGTCCTCACGGCTGATGACTGCCCATGCCCACTTCTTCCACTGTTTCCAGGTAGGGGTTAATAACCGTCTCTTGCTCATAGTGCCATCTTCGACTTTGGAATCGGCGAATCGAACGAGGTCGAGGACTCCCATTGCGGTTGTTACAACGCAGTATTCGAGCTAGAGAGGTCAGCGTAATTCTGCATGACAAGGTGCCACGTACATCCAGAAGAAGGTACAGTTGGGATGAATGTCGCTTATGTGAGGACCGAGTGGACGATTGACCACTGGTCTCTTCGGCTTCATTCATCCGACACCATTCTTTCAAAGGTCCTTCCCGTTCAGCCAAAAACTTGTTGATGGTATTTTCAAGGTACTGTGCAAAACCTTTTCCGTCTGGAGGCTCGCCTGCTTTCGCCTCGAGCTCGGCTTTGGTCGTAAATGCCGGCTTCTTGGTGATTTTCAGTGTGAAGAATGCATAGTCGAGCCCTTCAATCATCGCCTGCCACAGCAGTTTGAAGGCTCCGTCAACCTGGCCAAACAACAAACTCCACCGCTCTTTCTCCACGTCTTTCAATGCTCGATCTGACACTTCGGAGTTGGAACCGTCCTTGTAAGTTTTGATTGACGTCCATCCTCCTTGCTTCTCAACTCGGTCGTTCACCTGGATCACCGTCTCCAGGCCAGCGATTGGTATCAAGATATTCCTCAGCAGTTTTGTGATACTCGAGAAATCCTTACTCGATAATTTCCCAAATGTAACCTCACGTTTGACATAACGCATCTCCGACTGTATCTTGACCTGGCATTCGGTCGCCTCCGCAGTGAGCGCCCGCCATTTGTCAGCCTCGGGCCACGGGGTCAATCGTTCAATCGGTTCGCCTCCTTCGCTGTCACTCTCCAAGCTGCTTGTCCTGCTCCCGCTGTTCCAATCACGAGAAGGCAAAGAGATGAGTAGTGCTGCTTTAGCGTCAATGACGCCTTTGAGGACGTGGAGATACTCGGTCAGGATCAGTGTCGCTAGATCCCGTGAGGTGATAGGTAGTACCACAAAGTGGACGGCGAATGCAAGCCCGAATCCGACAAAGAAGGTATCAAGGAGTCGCCGTACTGAGAATCCACACAGTCAGCGAGAATCCCCCTAACAGGACACTAATCAATACTTAGAGAATATGCTTGTTCCATCTCCGGGAATATGGCACCGTATACAGCCGTGATGTTGATAAATATACCAAACACGATGAGAGGCAGGAAGTACTGCGGCCGAAAAGCGCGAAACCTGGCTAAGCTTTCAGCACAGCTGCGTTGAACTAGAAGACGACCGACGAAAGAAACACGTACGTGTTGTAAGCCCAGAGCCAGAAGAAGAACCACACAGCAAGGCATGCGCTTGCTGCTGCGTTGTAGGGCACGACTTCGGCCCCCGGGACGGGTCCATTACTTCGCTGCTCGGCTGACAGATGGGTCGTGTTTTTTCGAGCTTTGATTGCAGTCCACATGTAGAGAAGGGATATTGCTGCGGCGAGGCAGGTCAGGAACTAGTAGCCAGTGAGCCCAGCACTCCTCGAGGAAAGAAAGTCCGAGTTCGTACACCAGTGACGAAGAAATTCTGCAGAAATCTGGCTCGGGGGAGAATCGGAACGACGAAGAGTGACATGATAGGGATGAGGTAGCCGATTGTCGAGTAGTGAGCTGCGACGCTAGCATCTTGATATCTGGTAGATGTGAGTTTCTGTAGACGCGTCGTCGCTCAAGTCAACATACATGGCGAGGCCAACTGTAGGGGCGACGGCTCCTCTGGTACAGAAACAGGACCGTTAGCATGGGACCCCAATCGTTGGACGGGTCTGTAGGCAGGTTGCCGTGCTGTGACACGAATTCGTGTTCTACGGCTTGTGGCACTGTCCTCCGCAATAACTTACTTGAACATCAACAATATGGTTGGGAGATTGATCTTCAACCCTAGCTTGTCGTTGAGTCTCTTCAGCAGAGACGGTTTCTTTGGGCTTGCCATGGTGCCGATTTCCAGACCGTGAGCAGTTTTGAACCACAGCAACGGAAAAGCTAGGATCCTCCACAAGGGAAGGCCAAAACAGAAGCAGAACTACCGCAGCATTGGAACGTATAGATGCCAGTGAATTTCAGCAGCTACAGTGCTCTTTCGGGGGGGTGTTCGCCTCCAGAATGGAAACACGCAGTAAGTAAACAAAGGATGAGACACAGAGGACGCGTTCGAGCTGGACCTCACAGCGGAAAGGCTCAACCAAGTATCAGGTGAATATCAGGGCAAAGGGTGCTATAGAAGAACAAATGGAATTTCGCACAGGTGGCAGGCCAGCACCTTGCCAAAGTCAGGAGATGCATGCGCATCAGTAAGCCATGGCCTAAGCGGCCATGAGATACCGGTTTGGGATGGACATCGGACAAGGCTGCGGTCGACGCGATTGGCGAGTCGAGTGCATTTGACCGCACACAAATTTGGCAAAGTTTTGCTAGAAAGCGAGGCATCTAGTGGTCGTCATGTCAAGTAGGTAACTTACTGCGATGCTCGAACTCTCAAGCTGGAATTCTCGTCTTTGGTTGTGCTCGTGAAAAGGATGGCAACGAAGGCGGAGAGCTGAGAAGTGTTTCGTAAGCACCATCAAGGCTGTGCCTGCAGAACCTTTTGCTGCATTGAGATTAGCGCAGCCAAGAGCCTTGCGAGCCTTGCAATCATTACTCATCTCGTCGCTCCCCCTTGAATGGTTGGTTGGTATTATGAGGGCCACGCCAATTGTTTTCTCAAAGAGACAAGACTGGCTCAAGTCTTTCGTGGCTTGTGGCCTCCAATTGCATCCAACTGGGTCTCCAACGCAGGAAAGTTCCAGCCGCAGCATCCGACTTGTTGATTGCCGGTCAGGCTGTGCTTCAGCCTTGCAGCCAGTAAGCAACATCATGTTCTTCTGAATTGGTAGTGTATTGCAGGAGGAGCCATCGAAAGTAGGACCAGAAATATTAAGAAACGACCAGGCATGGAAACTTTGGAACATGTGCTTCTCATATATTCAATCCTTTGTGCTGGATGCCCCTATGTTCTTTGCTGCTGGCTGTCCAATTTCATCCCACTAGCTTGTCTCTGATGCTTTGGCACCAGTTGTTCCAGTCTGTGAAGAACCCCGGCATGACTCTCCATTTCTTGTCTGTTAGTTGCCTCAGCCTTGTCGACGCATATGTCTCGACAATCGTGCTAACATTCGCTGGATTGGCTCTAACGAGGGCCTTCGCAACAAGGATGCTCGATAGACTTGCCACATTAGAGTGTGCGTGTGACGAGTCCATGCCTGCTTCCTCGTGAATTGACCGGAGAACGTCAACCGCATGCCCACTGTAAGAGTCATTCGGTAGCTCCGGGGCATTGGGTCCTTTGCATCGAGAGCAGAACTGCTGCAGGATATTGCAAGTACGATCGGCCAACTGCTTTGTTTGTGTGGTCCTCGCCAGCTTGAGGAGAGGCGGAATCAAGTCCATCGTCAGTGAGTTGTGTTGCTGGTGCTTGAGGTATGACTCGATGAGATCGAGGACACGGTTCTTGAAATTCACAATGTTCTCTTTTGCCTCCTTCGCTTCTTTCCTTCTGTTCTTTGACTGTTGCTCATTTCGTGCGCGGAAGACTTCTGCAAGCTTTGAATCCAATTCCATCATTTCATCGTCACCCATGTCTGAATCCGAAGAAGTTTCAGAAGTATCTGACGTAGCATCGAGATCGTCTTGGTTGAGCCGCCTTGTGCCAAGCGCTGAGGCAAGGGCTGCATCGAACGCAGCCAGCTCCGCGTCCTCTGCATCCTCTGCATTCTCCTTCCCAGATGCCTGAGAACTCACAGATTGATCATCTGAACCTTCATCAGAATCAATAGATGCCGATCCAGAATCGGCATTTTCAGATGATTCGCCAGATTCCGAAATGGAAGCGACTTCGACATCCGAGTCTAGCTCCTCCATCTCTGATTCAAAGCCAAGGTGCTCTCCATCCTCATCCTCAACTTCTCCGGCTTCGAACATCTCTTGTTGTCCCTCAAGGTTCTCTTTTGTTTGGAGGACACGGCACATAGCTTCAAGACCAGTAGCGGTGATGTTGGGGGCGAAGGCATCGAAGATCTGGACAGTGATCCGCCTCATGAACTTCGACGGCCTTGACGCAAAGCTGAGAAGAATTTCCATGATAGCATCGGCAGATTCCTGTCTACTGTCAGTTGACACACTTCTTTTCTGTTTATCCTTCCGGCGGCCCCAATTTTCAAGCACTTCCTGCAGAATCGGCACAGCGTCTGTCTCTCCAGTGTAGATCTGGAAAAGCAGTAACGCATAAAGCAGGCACCACCCTTCCGAGAACGACAAAACTTTTGGGCCTACATGCGTTTTCGAGGACTTTGGTAGCGCTCGGCCGGCTGTCGAGGACATCTGGGTGTTGGTCTGGATGTCTGTCAAGTTTTGCCAGGCTGTCTCCACGATAGCCTTGATATCGTCCTCGAAGGCAGAGGTCATCGGGATGTGGAGGGTCTCTAACTCGCGGATATGAAGAATCGCATGCTTCAACAACCAACAGCCTAGAGGGCCAAGTTTGAGGGTTTGCTCAAAGGATAAGCTCAGACGCTCTTTGGCAAAGTCGCGAACCTCTGGCAGAAGCACAGGCCGAATATCACGGCTGAGATTCTCCGGGCTCTCTAAACCTGGTGAGATGCAGACTTCTCTGAGCCATGACTGGAGTATGCCAGACACAAGTTCCATATCGGTCTGCTCGATATCGTCCTCTTGTGACATCTGGAGCTGCTCCCAGCGGCGGAGCCTTGCAGAAAGCATCTTCCACTGCAGATTTACAATCGTCCTCTGTTGTGAAAGAGCCGTCTTCTTGTCCTCCTCTTGAAGAGATGCCATGAGAAGGTCTGTCAAAGCAGAGCTGATCCCCTTCAGCACATCCGTGTTTCTTGCTTCGAACAAGCTCTGCAGAGTTTTTGATTTGGTGATCTGATCAAAGTCGCCGAAAGAGACGCTCTGTAACAGCGTTCGAAGATAAGTTCCGGCGAGGTCGGCACGCTGGTCCCAGGGCTCAGCATCGGTTAAGCGGGCCTGAATGATTTGAGACAGTCTTTGAGCAGATCTCTGGAGAAACCTCTCTGAACTTTTCAGGGAGTTCGCCAGACAACGAGTCGCTTGCGGTGTCAACGTGCAGATTAGTAGCTCTTTGGGGGCTATTTCGAAAACCTTTTTCCAAAGGCTGAATCCCCAGGATTTGCGCTCGGCGCTGCTCGCAGCTGCGAAAAGACTTTCATCCACAACGACTTTCCAGAACAGATCGAAGGTGACTTTATCTTCGTTTCGAATGCTGCTTTTCACACCCCTCCCCTCCCCAGTTCTTTTAGGGGTGTTTCCGAAGGTTTCGGCCAGCACAATGTCCCAGGCAAAATGTAAATTAGCAGACCACCTCGCAGCACCTTGGGAGGTTAGATCGGAGTCTCCTTCCTCTTGCTGGACTCTCGCGTCTTTGAGTATATCGGCAAGGATATTCACATCTTTCTTCGCCAGAGGATGGCCGCTCTTCCAAGCGGACTTAGGCAATTTCGCATTTGGAAAGCGCCTCGACGTCACCAGCCAGATCGCCACGCCTTCTGGTGTACGTATGAGCTTGTTCGCTACCAGCTTTTCGATTATGTGTAACGACAAAGACTCTGTCAGCTCGTTCTGACCGGATACGGTGCAATTGTAAAGCACCCAGCCACATTCTTGACGAAGCCACGGCTTCTTGATTGCTAAAGCACAAACGACATCCAGTAGGCGCTTAAAGTGGCTGTGGTCCGCTTCCTTGCCGAAGAGAATACCCGATTTCAAGATGGCGTCGGCACCAAACACTCTGCCAAAATAATGGTCGCGCTCGTCCTGGCCCGAAGTTCCCTTCTCTGGCAAGGTCTGAGCCTCAAGGATGTCAATGACAGCCGAACTGGAAACGTCGCTTTCAGGGGAAACGTCCGGGGCGGCTGCAAGCTGAGACAGAAGTTCGGTCAAGGCGACAGAAAAGCCTAGGCGGGCAGACTTGCGACTGCTGCAGAGGCCGCGGAAGAGCCGAGTTAAGATGGTTTTGGTCTGCTCATGGCTGGTGATTCCTGGCTTGTAGATTTTGGACAGCAAGGTATGGGCGGCAGCGAGACGAACGCTCTCCTCGACGTCGGCCAAGTCTGCGTAGACTTTGACGAGCTCGACGTCGACTTCTCTCTTTCGCTTCTTGGACAATGTATCCGCACCCATCGCTAGTGATCTTGGGTGCGTTGCAACCGTTCCTGGTGAAGTAAACCTTTGAGTGGAAAAAAAAATATCGCTGGCTCCCCTGCGGCGGAAAATGGAGATCCACTTCTTCGACTCCTTGGCGCAGAGGAATGCGGGGTGGCCAGATTGGGAAAGCGGCAAAAGTCAGGTGCGGCTTTGCAGGAATCTTCTCGACGGCCACCAAGATACATTGGGTGACGGCCTAAACACCACGGCTAACATCACATGCTCATCCTCAGCTCAACCAACTGATCCTCGTCCATCAGCTTCCCACAGCGAGTCCAGAGTGTATATCCCCAGACTACCACCGCCTGGAGTCTACAGTGCACGCGACCCATCGCCCTGTTCAGCTGCCCGTACCCTCCATTTCAAACCCCGCAGCGATGCAAGCCTTACCGGAGTCTCGTCAACAGACTTTCGAGGAGATCTACGGCCCTCCAGAAAACTTCCTCGAGATTGAGGTACGTTCTGGGACTGCTCGTTCGCTGCAAAGCTTCTGTGCTTCGCTCTGGCAACGGCATGCACATCGCAGAGACAAGCCGGACTAACCCCTCTGTCCATAGGTGAAAAATCCACAAACCCACGGTTCTTCTCCCCGTAACATGTACACTTCTTATGAAATCCACACTCGCACGAACATTCCCGCCTTCAAACTGCGTCACTCGGTCGTCCGCCGCAGGTACTCTGATTTCGAGTACTTTCGAGACATCCTGGAGCGAGAAAGTGCCAGAGTCACCATTCCTCCGTTGCCGGGGAAGGTGTTCACGAACAGATTCTCCGACGACGTGATTGAGCACAGGAGAGAAGGACTTCAGAGGTTCCTACAGATAGTGGTCGGACATCCGCTTTTGCAAACCGGGAGCAAGGTTCTCGGAGCGTTCATACAAGGTAGGGCAAGGGACTTCGACAGACGGGAACGAGACTGGACTGACAGAGCACAAATAGATCCGAATTGGGACCGCAATGCTTGGTGAAAAGACCATCCACAACCACAATAAAAAATTGCCAAGAGAAATGACAAGACCAGAATGACCAACGAGATGATGAGCAAAATGACCACTCGAAGCGAGGCTTTCTGCGGGCAAATCTTTGCAGGCATTATTCGACCCTGTATACTTGGGTATTCCCTTTGAGCATACGCATGAAGGAGCGGGGTGCACATGGAGTACTGGTGACGGCGCACAGTCTCGGGACCTTCGCAGCAAACTTGAGCGAGTTGGTTGGGTTGGAATACAAACGAATAAACCAGTTCTGAGCCTCCCCTAGGACAACAAGGAACCTCGCCGCAAGTCTGAAACTACATGGACGTTCTTGCGAGTGTCTGGCAAGTTTGAGGGGCGTTGAAACGTGATGTGCGTTGCCGTTATATCAAAAAAACACAAGGCTGTGTAAGCATTGCCGAGCAAGAAACCGGAGCATAAAGAAGACTGACCGTGCACGCATCCTTCAGCCGACGTTCGCTAACAGCAAATGCCGACATAGTACACATGCCTTTACACGTTCTGTTCTATTCCTCTGTACTGCTCTTCTCTCTCTCCTTGGATGAACGCGAGTTTTCCATCTAGGCCCGCCTGTCGACTGTCCTACGACACCGCGGTGCCAAAATATCGACATCAGAAAGGAAATATATTGCCCCTCTCTACAGCCCTATAGATGTTCATTACCTAGATACAGACGTATTTCCAGCCGAAGCCGTTTGTTCCACAGCCAAATGTCCCATTCCTATCCCGGCTCGAGTCAAGTATAAAAACAAGGGGTATCACAAACGCAATAGCAATCCTTCCCTTATCCATCCTCCCATTCCCTGGGTCCCGTTGTCCTGCGCTGTGTCGTCCACGGTTGTATAACAACCCAAAAACAAATTTGAGAAAAGATTAATACAAATGAGCCCAGCCCTGTCGCTGCGTGAGCCGTTCCCTTCTCTGCCCTTCCATGCTCATCCCCATCCAATGCCGCCATTGTCCAGTATGCTTCTTTAACATATCCGGCCGAGCATCAATTTTAAACGCCCAGGAAATCATCCATTCTTCCTTAGTCTTCAACGCATATGCCGTTTGGCCGTGCTAATCACTAATATCATCCTCGTCCCAGTCATGTAAAGGGGGAAGTCTGTTATCCTCCCAGTCCATGTCATCGTAGAAGCCGAGTGAAAAACTGGGCAATGTGACAGGGGGTTGGAGTTGCTCCTTTTCAGCCTCCCCTTCTCTTTCCCTATCGTGTTCCTCCTGCATGTTCTCACGGTCTTTGTCCACGTCATCACGAGTCAGCTCGCCAGGTCGAATCGAGCGGGGTTGTGTCGGAGGTGCAGTTGTTGTGCTTTTGTCTGTTGCTGTCACGTTCTCGGATTCCCACTGTGCTCTCGTGGTGGCCTGGGTCGCGTTAAGCTCTCGCCCGGGAACGGCGACATCCCATGGTGTTGGTTCGGCGGCTTGGGCTTCTCTCTCTGCCTTCTTGACCTCAGATCTCAACGGCGCAGACTCAGCGTGCTTGTACCCATCTGGGAATTTATTTCGAATGCGATCACGGAGATCTGTTGCTCGTCTGTGGGATAGATCAAGGTCTGGATCATCGTGAATGGCAGTCCACTGAAATCCATGTCGGGCCACGCCTTCCAGGAGATTCTCGTCCTCACGGTCCGTCCAAGCACGGCGCTTACGACGTTGTTTCGAACCCTGACCCGAGCTCATTTGGTCAGCCTTTTCGCGACAGTGCCTTATTCCTAATATTTCAATGGAAGGAGACGCCTCTGCAATAGGACTGTCCGCTCTCAAATTCGTGTCTGACCTCGAGGAAGGCCTGTCGTTGATGCAGACGCGATACCGATCTTTCAAGTCGACAGAATTCCTGTCCAGAAAGTTGAAAGATGGATCATCCAGAATCTGTTTCCATCGACCGATGCCATGCTTTTCCACGCCAGCAAAAAGGTCTGCCGTTTCGGCGTCAGTCCATCTCCGCCTAGTTCGACGCTTGAAGCTCTTTCTGGTTGTCTCCTTCCAGACAGGATGGATCACCTTTGGGATGCGCTGACGGATCTCGTCTGGAGAGACTGTATTATTCCTGAGGTAGGCTCGAGTAAAAGTAATCCGTCTATCAATGATGGGGCCAGAAGGGACAGGGACGGGCTCGGGCTCGGGCTCGGGTTCGGGTTCTATATCTGGCTGATCGGACTCAGGACCGGGGTTATAAGGCTCAGGACTTGGGTGATAGAGCTCGGATCCTTGGTGGTAGGGGTCAGGGTCTAAGATGGCGGGCTCAGGGTCGGGCTGATTGGGCTCGGGATCTGGCAGGTAGGGTTCAGGATCTGGCTGGACAGACTCAGTGAGCATGTCTCTGACATGGATTCTCGATGTTGTTACTGGCCGACTAATGGCATGTATCGGATCAAGGTCAATTGATGGTAGTTGGGCCACAGGAGGAGGTGGTGGTTCATGCAGCCCCGTGCCCGTGGTATGTATCGACTCTGAATAGATTGATGGCAGCAAAGCTGCAGGTTGAGGGTCATGCAGTCCTGTGATCGTGGCATTCCTCGGCTCAAGATCAATCGATGGTAGCAGAGCTGAAGAAGGAGGTTCATGTAATCCTGCAACAACGGCGCGAAGAGAGTCAAGGCCCATGGACGGTAGCAGAGCTGCAGAGGGAGGAGGCTCGTGCAGTCCTGTGACCATGGCAGGGAGGAGCGGAGCCGGTCTATTGTGGCGTTCTTCTTTCTGAGCTGGGGGAGGAAGATGCCTGGTCCAGTCAAGACCGACATGCTCATTGTCCGCGTCCAATCTCAAGCGCCTCAGAGAGTGAGGGTGTTCGAGAAATGAAGGTGTTTGAATAGGTGATTTTTCCACCACGGCCAAACTAATGAAAGATGGTAAATATGTTGGGACGGGTTCCGGGCCATGGTCGGCTTCCAGCAGCTCGCTGATAGCCAAGTGTGGCCTTTTGGCCTCTCGTGCGAGAAGGACATCGTTGGGTGTGATTTTTGGTGCCTTCCTCCTCTCAGGACTATCTACAGGATGTGGAGCGTTTTTGCTTGGTCGTCCATTACCCAGACTATTGTCGGCAACAGGCTCGAGAGGCAGAGGGACATTTGCGTGACGGCTCGGAGCAGGATTCCGCAGAGGCGCGATTTGAAAGTTGGTCAGAGCAGGCAAATCAGGGATTTGAAATAGAGGATCATCAAGGAGGCCGGGTAAGGGCTCGATGATGCCGTTCATACTGGCTGTAGGAGGTCATCGCAGACTGGACTTGTGGGGGAATCAAGAGAAGAGGACGAGGGCGACGGCGATGGCGACGGCGACGGCGAAGGCGAAGGAGCAGGCAAGAAATGTGAAGAGTGGAGGGTTGACAAGCACTCTTTGCACATGTATTCAGACACAGAGAGAATGACAGTAGCAGGAAAAGAAAGGGAGTAATCCGCAGCAAAGGCGTGGGTAGATTTGAACGAGCTATTGCCAGTGACACTTAGATGTTGAGTTGAGTGGAAGTCATGAAAAGGCGGTTGTCCACCCGCAAGCCGAGCTTGGCATGAACTTTGGCCGGACTTTGATGTTGGTGACGCTCCATGCTTGGAGAACGTCCAGCCCTTCACCTTCCACAATAATCATCACAAAATGACGGTATACAGTACACATCCACCCTTCGCGACTATCACACCAAGGCATTCCGCTATATCAGTCTTCTACGGAGTGACTAACTTATCTTTCAGAGTTCAGCCGTTTCTGCCCCGCCGTCGTTGCATCTCTGATTCCATGCCCCACACCCACCGAACACTCATCTCAAACGGTTGGCGATCGAAGGAGATGGTCTCGGTGATTCAGGACTAACAAGCACAATTTCTACACCAGTCACAGTCTCTACGTCTGATTTCAGGCCTCGGTGCTCCCTTTCCTGGTTATCATCACATCAACATCTCTGTGCATCTGAAACGAAGGTTTAATTGATGCGTGACACCTGGTTCTTGCGCAATCCCTAATGTGCCAAGTGGTGATTTTCACTACCATCAAGTTGGCTTCAAGTCCGTGCCCATGAGGGCAAGGCGCTGCAGATCACCACCCACCAGCACGGAGAATGCATGCATCGTTGCCGCCCAGCATTCGATCTCACTATCCCTGACTTGGCGATGAGACTTTGCACTTCAAGAGATGGGCTCTACCGGACAAGCAACGTCGAAAGAACCCAGGCTGATTTCTCAAAGAAGACTGAGGATCGCCGCTTAAGGCGTTCCTATCGAGCCGTCAAGTCTATTGCCCCTAGTGTCACTCGTCGCGCTGGTAATATGCGATCCGAAAAGAGTTATCATCTCGAGGTGACATATACTAGCTAATACGAGTCATGGCCTTTGCTCAGGGATGGAAACTAATAATAGGGGTCTAGGCGTCCCGACTATGGCTTGTTTGACTGCTATGCCTGACCTGGCGCCAGCAAGTACTTCAAAGAACAGGGAATTACAGACCATATCGATTAGAACCGAGGGCCGTTAGAGGGAATGAGCCTGCTGCGTGAAAGCTGAATACTGACTGAGCTTGGATGCTCATGTTCTATATTGCCATTCATTCGTGAGGGTCAAGGATCAACTGTGGTGTGACCTCTGCGAAGCCCAAAAGGTCGACTGCGCTGGTGAACAGTCTTCGACGGCTTAGCGTTCAAAGTCTCCAATATTGGCACTTTCTGGTCACAGCCCAAGGCTGCCACAATTCCTCCACAGTAGCATCGCCGTCATCTTGGTCCATCCAGCCAGCTTGTTGACTGAAATAAATGTGCCCGAAAAGATACCTGCTCGGCGGTTGGCCAATGTTGTGAGCAATCCACGTGACTATCAGCAGCGATTCTACTCGGGGCCCAAAACAGTAGAAAACCTGGTTCGTAGGCGCTTTTCAGCGTGATATAAGGATCCAGTATTAATAGTGGCATAAGAAATGCGCACGCCACTGGCCTGTTATTCGATGGTTGCCTGAAGCAAGGAATATGAGGAATCCGCGCAATGCAGCCCTCAGGGGTATTTTTGGGTTCGAACCAGTATGATCCCCGCAAAAGATGGAAGCACAGATGCTTTTTCAGGGCACACAGGCGCTCAGGCCCAGCAAGGGACATGCTTCGCAGGGCGGAACTCAAAGGTGGATGACCTTTGAGCTGAAGCTGGATGGTTGGTTGGGGGCTGGCGGGCACCAGTGTTTCATGTTGTCCGTCGACGCCAGCAGGGTCGAACAGGTACGAATCGGACGTCCAAGTGGCTTGAGCATAAGCGTCTGCCCAGCAATGGAGCTTTTACCGGGAAGCTTGCTTCGAGCTCAAGTCCAAGGGGCGTTTGTCAGTCACATTTTTGGTCCCCAAGGGCCCGAGGGGTCCAGGATGATGGATGTAAAATTGAAGAACATGGTGGACAGACAGAAGGTGTTTCATGGGTACCGGTTGAATGGACTCGGTGGTTTTGGAATGCGGGACAAACGACGGCCATAGGCTCTCTGAGTCGGAAAGGGCCACCGACGAGCTGGCATGATCCTTCTCCGGGGGACCATTCTCACCCGCTCCGTGTTGCATTCTGGTAGCAGAGTCGTGGGAGAAGATGATGTGCGATGAGTTCAGTCAGTTCGAGCTGCGAGATGGTGGTGGATTATGGGCCCATTGGCTTGGCAGGTACAGCAAGCAGCGCGGGCACTAGGCTGCCGGCGGGCTCTTATTGGGGGTTTCACAGGGCTCCGAAAATTCTTCAGAGGGCTCTGGTGGCTCCCTACAGCTGACTAGGCCTAGAAGGGTGCCCTGCCGTCAGACAGAACTGGGTGAGAACACATCGGGTGATTGATTATGGCTCGGCCGCTCGTTAGCGGACCCTGCTGGTTGCTGTTCTTCCCCGTACTTTTTTGCTTCCCATGCCTGTGGCCCGTGGCCCAGGGCCCATATCACCAGCTAACTAACTGGTGGCCACCGAGTACGCCCAGCCGTTGACGTGTGCGTCTCTCTGTAACTGCATTTGCGTCTGCGCAACCCGACAACCCTGTTCCCGATCTGCCCCAAACCTCACCTTACCTATTAGCAACTTCGCTGCCCCCTAATTCATCCACCACATCCTGCTGCTGCTTCACCTTGCTTCTTCTCTACTTCTTTTCACCTTCGGCTTTCCTCTAATGCCCCCTTCAGCCCTGGAGAGCTGCTACGTTCGATTCTCTCTATTCCATCATTTGTGTTAATACGGCCGCCGACAGTCCCTCCTTGCCCGATCACGATCCAAAGCCCCCTCTAAAGTAATATCCTGCAATTCCGAACCCTCCTGTTCCTCGAACTCCCGGCTTCCTCTCGACTTGACTCTCTGTTCGAACACGAATCCATTCCTCGTCAGTCGGCCATTACCTTTCTGTGCCTTGGAATTCACGTTCAAAGACGTCTGTGAGCTCTACGCACCTCGCCGCAGGTCCCGAAATCCTACATATTCTGGCCATCTCCTGCGTACACGCAAATAAGAGCACACGATATTACCTGTACAATCATTTCTCTTGGCACGAAAGTGGTTCTACGGCAAAAGAGGGACATCTACATAATTCGAAATCGTCGCATAGACGTCCATTTGTCTCTGCAATCTGCAACGTACTTGGAAGAGCTCGACAATGGCTCCTCCCACTACCACGCGGCCCGACGGGCAACTCAATATAAACTTATCTGGACTGACACCCATCAGCGAGCCTTCTTCAGTGCCCACCAGCAAATCTCCCTTTGGCGGTGCCAAATCCTCCTCGGGATTGGGGGGGCTGTCCAATACAAGAGTAGGAGCTGGCTCTCCTCTTCACGAACAAGCCTCACGACTGTTTCCAAAGCGTACACGGGAACTGCAGTCTCAGACTTCTTTGACCCCTAATATCTGGGGTCCTCCAACCAGTGGCACCTCAACCCCGCTGTTTGAGATTCCGGAGTCCCCCAACCAGGATGGTTTCCCAGATTTGGTTCCTCTGACCGAGACTGGGATCAATAGTCCCGCGAGACGAGGACGAGCTGGCACCCTTCCCTCCCGAATATCACCAGTCGGTACGATAAACGGAGTCAATGTCCTAACGTCCAAGACTTCTCGGCCAACCCCTTCCACGAGTCCATTTAGGCCCGGTTCAACGTCTGCCGCCGAAACCGCATTCTACTCAACTGCCTCTAGCCAAGCCAACGCAGGAACTTCAGCTCTTCTATCCAGGCTTCGTGCCGGGAGCATGCCTCAGCGGTCAAGCCTGCTCGGTCCCTCTGGCCCGTTTAGTCAGAACGCCTTTAGCTCCAGCTGGGGAACGAGGACTCGGGCTGCCACTCTGACAAGCATCAGTTCTGCCGAGGATCCTACCTCTCCCCAACCGTCCGGATATTCTAAGGATGGCATGTCCGACTCGGGGGTGCGCACCCTGGACTATCTTGGGCTTGCTGAACCTCCCCAGCATTCGAAACCTGATGGTCTTCGTCAAAGTACAGATGATTCCCCACGTCCCGGGGACCCCAGCTTGTCCGACGTATTGGCCGGTTTTGGCATGCGAAACTCCAGTCGATTCAGGTCCTTCTCTGTCAATACCCAGTCCAAGTATGCGACTGAAACTCAAGACGGAAGCAGTAACTTTCCGATGTTCCCTAGCGGGTCGTTAACACCCTCTGCGGCGGCGGCGCTGGAAGCCGAGTATGAGTTGGTCCAAGAGAAGGTTCGGCTGCATAACCAAGCAGTTCAGGCATTTGCGGTGAATGCCAGCGCTGCTCGACCGCGAGCTCGGACCGCTGGACTTGTCGAGACGCCTCAACGCACATCACTTCGTAATCTGTCGCAACAGCCAGCGGACAACCTTGGTATGGCATTCGATATCCAAGGTTCGAATGTAATGGACCAGTCAACTCTTGCAGACACTCTACAGAGTCTGTCCATCGCCGAGAACGTGACCTTGTCATATGAAGGCATGGACGAATCGGAAGTCCAGGTCTCTCGTTCCCTGTGGATAGGCTCGATCCCGAATTCCACAACAATGTCCTCGCTGGATGCTATCTTCAACCGCTACGGCCCGATCGAATCAACCAGGGTTCTCACTCACAAGAATTGCGGTTTTGTCAATTTCGAATCGGTCGAACATGCCGTTCGCGCTCGACAGTTGCTCAACGGGAAAGAAATCTTCCCTGGCGCCGGCCCCGTTAGAATCGGGTTTGCAAAGGCTCCAAATGCGTCTGTCTCCTTGACTCCCGTGCAAAACGCCACGCCTCCGCCGGGGGCAAATGGAAATGCCGAAGCAGGGGCTTCGCAAGCCAAGGATGCCACTGGCAGCCCTACCGGCTCGACGAACATGCAGCAAACGTTGAGCTTGCCAGCTCCCGACCGCCTAGCGGAGCTGCAGCCGGAGATATTGCAAATCGTGCTCGATTTCGGTGGGCAACAGTCGGATTTACCCAGTATATCGGCAAATATTGAGAGTGCCATTTGTTACAATCGCCTAGAGAAAGAGATTCCTCCTATCCCAGAACCGAGTTCCACAAGAATGTATGATGCTCCAAGGCTTCGGGACATACGCAAACGCATTGACAACGGAGCATGCGGCCTGCAAGAGATTGAGCAGATCGCTATCGACATGTTACCTGAAATTGCAGAATTGTCTTCAGACTATCTCGGCAACACCGTGGTCCAGAAGCTCTTCGAATACTGCTCCGAGCAAACCAAGGAACAGATGCTGGCATGCGTAGCACCTCATCTTGCTGAAATCGGTGTGCACAAGAATGGTACCTGGGCCGCTCAGAAGATCATTGAAGTGTGCAAGACCGAAAGCCAAACTCGAATGATTGTCGACGCGCTTCGACCCTACACTATACCTCTGTTCCTTGACCAATATGGCAACTATGTTCTTCAATGCTGCCTTCGTTTTGGACCACCCTACAATGACTATATCTTCGAGACCATGCTTAGCCAACTTTGGGAAATTGCTCAAGGACGGTTCGGGGCCCGGGCCATGCGCGCTTGTTTGGAGGCTCATCATGCTTCAAAGAACCAGCAGCGCATGATGGCGGCGGCGATTGCTTTGCATAGCGTACAACTTGCCCAGAATGCCAACGGGGCACTGTTATTGACTTGGCTCCTCGACACCTGCACCTTCCCGCGGCGGCGCTCAGTTCTGGCCCCAAGACTGATCCCTCACCTCGTTCAACTCTGTACCCACAAGGTTGCATATCTCACAGTGCTCAAAATCATCAACCAACGAAACGAGCCAGAGGCTCGTGATATGGTTTTGAATGCCCTATTTTTCAGTCCGAGTGACACCGTGCTGGAACAAATTCTCTGCGACCAAACCTCTGGTGTGACCCTGATCTTCAAGATTTTGACCACACCATTCCTTGACGACCACATGAGGCCAGAGGTGGTCCAAAACGTTTCCAAAGTCCTCACAAAGATAAAGGCTCAACCGAACCAAGGCTACAAGAGAATCATGGACGAAGTTGGGCTGTCATCAAGACCTAGTCAACCTGTTATGCAGCAATTCCCGTCCCATGGGCACCCGAACCTGAACGATCGGACCAGACCATTGGTCCAACCGCAACATGTCCCAGGGAACGGGATGCAACAGCAAAATTATCCCCAGCGGCAATACAGCGGCAACTTCGTCCCCAATGGCAGCACCTTCGAGAATGGTCTGAGCCCAATTCGGACAGGCTCGGCCGACTCGTTTGGTTTCGCCCCTTACACCATGAATGGGTTCCAGTCTCAGCAGCAATATTCGCAGCTTCCTTATCAACAAATGACTCCCCAATCTCAATACCAGAGCTTCCCAGCTGCGGCCCCCCAGCGGTCCAACAGCGGGTATATGCCCAACGGTTATGCTGGATACGCGACACCCCCTTCAGCGGTCGATCCTTTCCGTCCGTTACAGAATCCCAACTCTTCACCTCTCTCTTTCTCGGCACAAATGAGTCCCGTCATCGGTTCTACCGGTTTTCCTCCACAGAACTTCCAGCAGAATATGCCTTCCAACATGTACAATTATCCCCAACAACAGTTTTTCTTCTCCCCACCAATGCAGACGGTTCATTCTGGAGGGCGAGGCCGTCGGGTACGTGCTGACTTTCTCCGAACCTGATTCGTGATGCTGACTTCCATCAGAGATAGAGGATTTGATTCGCGCACGGAAAGAGTGATTGTCCCTTGACGAAATCTGCCTGACGCCTTCTTGCCATGTTTCATCCCTTTGATCACTGTCCAAATTCACGAATCTCATATGGTGCAACATGTTTTCGAAAGACTTGACAACTTTGGAGAGCATATAACATTCTTGTGCAATACACATGGGGAAGGGGCAAATTCAATGATACCCGTGAGCGCAAAAGGGGGAGTTTTCTTGAATCTAGTAGGGAATGATGTCGCATCATAGCCACCATGGTGTCTATCTGGCGTTTCCTCGAGCAACACGCTGCGTTCGCCTTATGTTTCTACACTCATGAAGAGTCCGACATTCTTACGGCGACTTCCTTTGTGCTGCCTGGATCTCGTTTCATGCACGCGGTGCCGTGCAGAAATCCGAGCCTTCCAAACAAAGTTGGAGGACGCGCGTTTCTGGAAAGAGCAATGGGAGTGGGACCCGATCATGGGCAGAGGGCTAGGGGCATCAAGACAGGGTACTTTTCTCCAGGCCATGGGATCTGAGCTATCGTGGACGTGGACGTGGACGTGGACATGTCTTCTGGGTCGTGTCGTCCGTGGCTGAGTGAGCACGCTCTTCGCAAGTACCGAGTATGGTTTCTTAGGCTGGGGGGCAAAATCGCCCCCTTAGACATCTTTACGAACAAAGACAACTTTGCGCATTGGGTTGGTTCGGCGCGAGTTGAATTCGACACAAAAAAGCATTCGTTACAATTGAAATGATGACGGTTGATTTTTCTTCCTTTGTTCCATTCTCCTTTTCCTCTTGGGTACGTGCACGCCGGCTCGGTGGGCACTAGGCGTGTGTGCAAGTCTGGATGAGGTATTTGTATAGGAGATGTATGTTGGTTGGATTATTGGCGCCCTTTGTTCTCATTGCATCAAATAGCATTCTCGGAATCTACCTAGCTGGGTACATATGTCGAGGAGGGCGAGGAGGACAAGGTATGGGAGTCCCGCCTCGCGTCCACGAGGCTACATCAAAGGTTACGCAGACAGACAGACAGACAGACGCACCCATCCGATCGATGGCCCTAGAGAGCGAGTCGACCGTCGCCTGCCCTGTCGATGCGGTATGGTGCGATGCGATGGAATGCATTCATCTCCCATCACTCATCATTGCTCAATGCCTAGTTGTATACAGCCCAAAAGAATTGGCCCCCGTTTCAAATCTCAGACGAAAAAGCCGTCGCGTCGCCGGGCTAATTAAGCGTCTCTCTAATCTAGGGTCGGCGCCAAGCCCGTGGAGATGTTAATTTAGTCGCTCGCAGCTAACAAACCTGTGTTACCACCACAATGCCTCGCATGCATTACAGAGACAACATACAACGTGCAACCCGGGCCTTTCTCAAAAAGCTCGATTTTTGTAAAGTGTGGATGGATGGCATCAACGGCAGTGGCTTCGGGCTCGACATTCAGCCTAGGATGCAGAGATTGTGCTGGAAATGCACCACAGCCGTACCTCTTCACGCTATGACACGAGGAAGTCTTGGCTGAAAGGACAGGTGATAGGAGCCCTGCCGGGTCCAAATGTGGGCGACAGCTCTGATAGACGGAGAAAGAACAGCACTGCTGGTAGTAGACCCCAGCGACGTGCATGAGGAACAGGCAGCCGAGCTTGAGTGGACCAGGTCAAAATCCCCCTAGACATCGTGGTCGTGTCGTCTCACACCATTCCAGCCATAAAAGGGCCCCCGCAACCCCGGGCTAGTTTTGTTTTCTCGACAGATTTGACCGATGCCACTCAGCCTAGGGGGCGGATGGTGGATGTAGTGCAAAACTGCGAAGAGTGTCTGTCCATTTCCAGACTTGAGCTGTCAAACGACGCCATGGGCCATGGCAATGACCCAGCCATCTCCCAAAAGAATCTACCGTGTCTTGCATATGCAGGATGAAGGTTCAGGTGCGCCGCAGTCTGAATCCCGTGAGAAAGCGATTTTTCCACTGCAGCTCGGAATGAACGAGTCACATTTGACCGGGACTCGGGTTGAACACTTGCCTGTTCAGGCAGGCTGCTGCGTGACTGTTCAAATTAAAGTGTTGAGCGTAACAGAGGGTCCCATTTTTCAGCTGTCGGTGGTGCCAACACGTCCCCTTGCATTCCAGATCATTGGCTACCACGAGGTAGAGCGTGGGTCTAAGCGCTCGCAAGAGTGGTGGAACCAGAAGACAATGTCGTTCATCTGTAGACCCGGCAAATGCCTATAGGGCATCACGGTCAGCACAACCTAGGTATCGGATTGCCGGTCGCCGAACCCAACTTTGGGGCAAGGCGCCTGTTGAACCTCTAGTGCAGAGCCCAGTGGCCCCCCTACACCGCTTGATCACCTTCCTTTCGATCGCGTAAGGTAGCCAGACCGAAAGGCAGCATTAGATCATGAGTGGCGATGCGATGGCGAAGTCGTTCCACCACGGTAGCTAACCCTCTTGTCGTTAGGGAGAGGGGTCTTCTCTGAACCAGGGGGAGAGGACAGGGCATGGGATATTTGAGCCCTCAGCAAATCATGTTGCGTTGAGTGATGGGCCAGGAGCCATCGCAACCATGGGCTCGCACAGGCGCCTCGGCGTAGAGTTTAGAGCAGAGGGCGCCCGAGCCATGCCGCTCTCTGGGCCAAAGGTAAATGACAGCAAAAGTACTCCTTCGACTGTGGATCTCAATCCTGTCAACACCCCTTACTCGGCTTGGCATACACTGGTCATGCTGGTGAGGGAAAGCCAAAACATACAGGGTCGCAGACAAAGCCTTGATGTATTCGGCAAGAGCGAGTTGCATCCGATGGATCCAGAGACTCATACGACGAAGTCTCTTGACGAGATACGCAATGCTGTAACAACCGAGATGAGTACTGAATGAGCCAGATCTGTGGCAGGCAGAGCTCGGACTCGGCACCATGCTGATCGGGGTTTACACCACTGGTGATAATGGGCTAGCAGCACATCATCTTTCCACGTCGCAATGCTGAACGCTGGTTGGCCTCCAGAGGCGCGATTAATCTTCCGCCGGGCGAAGCTGTTTCACTGGCCGGATCGGAAGCATTAGGTAGGGACTAAACCCGCTTGGACCAGCTTTCAGAACTCGGACCAACGGCCTTTGCGATCATCGATGAAGGTAGGGAAAGTGAGGGGTTTGCATCTCAAGGCAGACCTCCACAACCCGGTCAACCCAAGAAATGAAAAGGGTGCTGAGACGGAACGAAGTGCCGATCGGGCTTGAATGAGGGAGTGGCCTTGCAGAGTCATCCCTTTCGACAGTATTCTGTCGATGGGGATCCGATATTCATCGATTATTCACGCTGTGACATTCGTTGCCTTAAGCTAAGCGAATATTCAGAGGCCTGCACAGTTGACGATCGTCCTTAATCTGCATGCGTGGTACTGTAGAGGGTGAATCTGGGGAACACCTTGCTAAGGCTGTAGGCAGATGACCTGGAAGCAATGCAGGCGGCAACCTGTGTGGCGCTGAGCAGCACATGCCCAGGAGTGTGCCGCATCGAGCTGCCCCACCGAAGCAACCCAGACCGCAGCGATAGTCGGTTGCAGATCCAGTATCCCTAGTTCCACGCGAGGCATCAATTGGCTGAAAAGCCTGTGTGTGGCCTGGGGTCTGCATTAGAGGTGTTCGAATCCACTAGCAGATGCAGAGAGGGTAGCCCCTCTCCTCCTCTTCCCCAGGGACGCTGGGGAAAGATATAGAATTCTCTTCACCATGCGGTCCCGTAGAGCGCAGGCTTCTGCGCTAATTCATAGTTTTTCATTGGCCTGGCATCTGGAGTTCGCCTCTCTGACTCAATTCATGTTCGGCCTTGAGGATGGAGAGTCCCTGACACGGACATGCCACTAGACAGAGAAGCAGTAAAGCTCGAAGCATCCGGAGACATCGTATTGCTCGTAAATTGTGGAGCATTCGCACGGGTCGCCTTTGGATTGCAACAAAAAAATGAAACCTGGTGAATGAGAGACGCTGTTCGGACGTACTGTTACGTTCACGTTGGTCTGCTCCAGATCCCTGATCTGTCGCTTGGGCTACAGGCCCTCATGCCCACAAATGTCGGATGTGCATTCTTTGGGCTTAGTCGGGCGCATGGCCGCGCGACGTGGATTGCTGTTGTGTTTTGGCAAAACCTGAGAAAATATATGTCGTGTGCATCACGCTGGCGTGAACCACTCTGTCGGGTCGACTTGAGGGCCTATTAAGGCCCCTGTGTTTGCCGCCATGGAATCTGCTGTGTTTCCTGTGTTCCTTCCAACACATAAGGACAACGTATCTCTTTGGCTTGCCGAATCGATTTCACTGGCCCCAGTAGTGACCATTTGTTCGTGCTGTGCGAGACTGAGAGCAGAGTCATAATGTCTTCTCCCTCTGAAAAGAACGATGATATCTCAGAGCAATTCCGCCGGGTGGTCGACAAGATGTGCATTGCGTCAATCTTGAACGGCGATAATCAAGGCCCGGACCAAAGCCTCGAAGACCACACAAGCCAATACAACGATAGCCAGTCGACAGATGAGGACTTGGAAAGCAGACACTCCACCGAATATCGAGCGAGCGAGACCTCACCCGGTGGCTCCATTGAGTCAATGATGGCGGGACGAAAGCGTAGACGACCTCGCTCGCCTTGCAAGAAATACGAGCTCGAGCAAAAATACTTCATCTGGTATCACCGAATAGATTTGGAACAAGAATGGGACGACATCGAAAAGGCATTCCACCGCCAATTTGGCGACCTCAGAAAAAAGGGCGGACTTCAATGCAAATTTTATCGTGTTCTCGAGGAATCAAACGTCGCCAAAGTAAGAGAACAAGCCAAATCGGGACACCGAGACCGACGTGGCAAAATCGACAAGTTTGGAGTGGTGCAAAGAACCACCCAGCGATTCCTCTGGATGCGGCCAGAGGATCAATCGAGACCTCCCCTGCCCTGCTTTATCAAACGGGATGGCTGCGGAGATCCGACCTGCGAGATATGTGCCCGAGCGCAGAAGACATGAGGCAGTGGAGTAGTGTCTCAAGTCATTCCGTGATGACAATCACGGTAGGCATTCATGGAGCAGTTTCAAATTTTCATGAGAAGTCGTCTGGGATCCAGGTATGGTTGTGCTGTATTGGTAATGGGCATGTTGGACAATGTAGTTTGTTCGTTGGCGGTGGTCTGGCTGGCTTTCGAGGTTGTGTTCCCAGGATCCCCACAGACCGAGTACCATGTTATCGAAAAGTGTGGTCGTTATCAAAGTCCTCTTGGTCAGAGCCATAGGTACGATATTTGTACGGGTTGTACCCGTACTCGTCGTCTGAGCTGACCTCCTCTTCCGGATAGTCATTCGCGGGGTTGTCCTCAGCTGTCTAGTGTCAGAATGTTAAGGATATGAATACTTCGATTGCTTACCATTCGAATCTTCTTCATCCCAATCAGTGTCATCATCACTGTCGATGTATTTCTGCCACAAGTCCTCATCTTCTTCGTCAATAACGAGTATTCCATAATTGGAGTGTAGACCCGTGGCAGTGTCTGGACCATGCACTTGAGCAACGTACTGAACCCGAACATAGGTCTCGTAAACGTAATCATCCTCTCGATCGTGGGAGGTCATCACGATATCCTGGGGTTTTGAAGGGGGCGGCGTGGGAAGCACCGCTTCGGTCGGTTGCTGCATATCTGGATCGAGCTCCATTGCGAGCGCGGCCAGCTCGTCTGCAAGTTGATCAGATTCGAGATTCCAGGTGCTCGGGTGATCTCTGATGGAAGTCCCATTCCTTGCTGCCCCAGAAGCTGTCTGAACAAACGTGCTCGTCTGGCTTCGTCTGGATGCTTGCAAGGCTTCGAGGTTCGGCTCTGGGACTTCATCGGATTTCGATCCGCCTACGCCATTGTCTTGTCGAACGTCCAGCATCTTGTCAATGGGTTGATCACGGTACAGAGGATTCTGCTCATGGCTAAAAACGGGGGCATGTCTTTCAACAAAGGTTGCGAGAGGAGGTCGAATAAAGTTCTTAGGTTTCCGGATTCCGCCAGAAGTGCTTGGACTGAGGACTGACGAAAGGTGACGAGTGAGGTGGAAGCGGCGGGCTTGCTGGAGAGCCTGACTTGCAGCCGGTGTCGTTGGCGCTGACTTGCTGGCGGAATCCGCGCTGGCATTGTCAGGCGCCTTGCTCTTCTCTTTTGGGGCCGCATCGTCCTTTTCTGTACCGGGCTCCTCAAGATCTCTCTTTGCATCATCCGGTGAGGTCAGACGAATTGGAGGAACACCGGGCGCGGGAGGCTCTGACCAGATGGCTTGACTGGTGGCTCGTTGAGAAACGGGGGCAATCACATCGTTCTGGAGGCGTTGGAAGTAAAAGTCGGTGACTCTCCTCTTCTTGTCTGGGCCAGTACCGTGCTCAAGGTCTAGAGGGATCGGGTTAGCACACATCTGACAGTGTAGATGGCAACGGAAAGTACATAATGCCTCGACAGGTTCCTCCTGTCTTCTGCGTTTCACACTGATGCGCTCCGGAGGAAGAGACATGTTGGCAGTGGAAACCACGAGCAACACACCGTCTTATATTGCAGTTTGGTTCACAGGTCCAGAGAAGCAGTGATTGGAATTCCGAGTGTACACTGAGGTTCACAGTGCAGTGATGTTGGGTTCTGTTCTGGGGAAATTCGTAGAAAAGACTCTCCCCGCACAATGTCGTCGCGCGGCGCGCGTAAGTTACCGGCGCAGTCAGTCACTAGCGAGTCACGCCTGAGCAATTGTCCTCATTCGATGTACAGACTAAGTGAATCCATACTCATCTACTCAAAACATTGCTCTACCTAATTGAAATGCCGGCCCCTCCGAAGCATTCTGTTTGACAGGAAATGGCAGAAGAGCATTCGTTCCCATCGGTGGCCCGCCCAAAGCTCTCACCAGTTCCATCGCCTCCCCATTATGCTTTGCCTTCAAGAACCACAGTTCTCGTGCGCATCTGGTCTTGATCTCCTCCGGAGCCGCCCGGCTGTATCGCTGCAAAGCGTCGATAACAGTTAGGAAACCTTGGTCACTGCTACTCACGAAGCGGCACATCCCTCGGTGATCAGCCGCAATACCACAGCGCTCAACATCGGGCAGGCCGGGGGCAGCGCTGCTTTCATCCACAATGTACGAAGCACCCAGTCCGGGGATCGGAGTACGTTCCTGTTCCCACAAAAACATCAGGTGGAAGTTTGACATCAAGGCGACGAATTGATCCGTGATGTTTTGCAGTGTTTCCGACTCTGCCTCAAGGGCCTTGACCAGATTTGACTCGGTTCGCAGAATTCTCTTAGGGATTGTCAACCTTGTCACCTTTTGCAAACTGCTCAAAAGCTGTGCTTTGCTTGAACCATGGTGTGGAGTGCCAAAGAATATGATACCATAGGTGCAGGTGAAGATCGAGTGGAGATGCGAGTTTTTCGGTCCTGTCCGACTTTCTGAATATGCCAGGGCCTAGAGGTGTCGACCTTGATCAGCGAGTCTGGCCACAGGAGATTCTTACTGTGTACATGCCCACAGCAACGGCCAAACCTACTCTTTTGACAACAATGCCTCCAAGAGAGTGACAAAGAAAAATTATGGGCCTCTCGGTGGCGCCTTTGAGCTGTATCATTCCGGTCAGCATTTGCGATGCCCTGCGATATCCCGGGAGCTCTAGGCAGCAAATGTGCTCACAGTTCTATCCCCTTGCAATTGCTGCACCAGGCTTTGGGCATGTTGGAGGATCCGGTCTGAACTGGTTGGTCCTTTCATGGAGGAGACATTCGCGTTGTAGCCCCAAGTCAGCACCCTTGCACGGCTGATGAATTTTGGGAGGAAATCTGGGTGGTTAAGCCAGCAGATTGGTTCGCCTCCTTTCATGGGACTTTCTGCAGTCCAGGTGTTGATGGCATGGCCATTAAGACCGTGCACGGCAACAATGCTGGCCAAATCAGTATACAATCACGTTGGGGGATGGTATGGGCCCTGTGGTGCCTTGCCAGGCCTTACGTACTCTAGTTCGGGCTCTTCATTTTGAGGGCGATAAAGCTCGCGAAAGCCAAAGACCTGTTCTGGTATTTTCGAACCCATGATTTGACCGTGTCCGTCAGTTTCGCTTTGAACTCATGCGTTATTTAAAGTGACTTGAATCCTAAGAGGACAACGTCGAATTATTATGGTCCTCTTGACAGTCGGTGCGGTAGGCAGCAGTTTGGGTACTCCTGACGTGGAAATGGACCGTCTTGTGCCGGAAGGCTTAGGACAGAGACATGCGCAATCTAGAAGTGTGCGTCTCAATTCACAGCCTGGAGGCCGCCCGGGCTTAGACGCCAGCCACTGGGAGTGACCAGGTGGGAGAGAGACACACTGCATGAATTGAGTGTCTTCTGAAACACTAATCTTCAAAATGGAACCCTAGGCTGAGATCGACCATGTCTGCAGTCAGCCTTGTTCAGCCAGCAATGGAAAAGATGCCCCAGCAACCAATCCCGGGCCTATATCTGTTGGAGATGAAGGTCTATTGCCGGCCATAACAAGCTACAACAAGCGCTGAAGGAGTCCTATTAAGGTGCGCCCTGGACGAATGGACGATGGTTGCTAGTTCTAAGAGAGGATCTGCTATCGTCGGACATACTGGACCCTACAGCCATCGGCGCTTGACAAGACGAGTGTCAGCCTTTGTTTCTCCTGGCCTACGCCCTCATCGATCTCGCCATCTGGCAGATCAAGGGTCGAACAGGCCTGGAGCAGCCTCACTATCGTGTACGAGACCTCCATCAGCGCGAAGTCTTCGCCCAGGCACTGTCTCGGCCCTCCATTAAAGGGAAAATAGGCCCAGCCAATCTTTGCAAGCTCATCCCCTTCCCATCTTTCAGGGCGAAACTCGTCCGCGTCTGGCCCATATATGCTCTTTACACGGGAATTCACGTATTGCGAAAACACGACTAGTTCACCTTTTCTGACTAGGATCGGGTGCTTCCCGTCAGGTCCGCCACCGGTTGGTAGGATGGTTGTTTTGATTGCTTGCCGGTTGTTCAAAGGCACTGGTGGATACAAGCGGAGACCTGAATCTATTAGACCAGCTGCGGCAGGAGAACAATCACAGGTCATAGGTAAGCTACTCACTCTCCTTGATGACGCACGAGAGGAATGGCATCTTGCGGATTTGTTCTCTGGTTGGATGTGCACAGTTTCCCATGACCGCGGTAATTTCTGTTCGGAGACGGTCCATCGCCTGAGGATGGCGGACGAGAAGACGGCTGGTTCCATGAAAGCCGTTAGCTTGATGATTTGACTGAATTCATGAGATTGAGAACAGAATCTTACAACGTCCATGACAAGCAACAGGCCGTTGTGTCACGACCAGCCAGGAGGATGTTCAACAACTGGTCCCTGAGTTCGGTCCTGCTCCTTGACTCTTTGGCTATCTGGTCAATAAAACCGTACGTATCTTCATCAGAACGGTGCTTCTTGTTAAAGAGATCTCTTTGCTCGATGTACCGTTCCACATAGGCGTGGACGCTTTTACATGCTCGTCGAAAGGCCGGTGGATTGTACAGAGCGTGCCATGGAGCGATACGGAATCGCTTTGCAAGCCCTTCTTGAGCTATGTTGAAGCTCTCGGAAAAATCTCTGTTTTCGGCGTCCTGGTCAATATTTGCTCTCAGGCTGTAGACCGACCTTCCCATCAACAAAGCCGTAGTTGTGTCCAATGTGAGGCTGAAGAACAGGGGTTGCAAATCGACCACTCCCTGGTTTGGGATATGGGTCAAAAGATTATCAACATGTTCCTGGAAGTGGCTGAGGTTCTGATATTGTGCTCGGACAAATTGTTTCCTCAAAAGCTCACGGGAATGTTTCCAGGCAGCACCTTCTTGCGTAAAGATGCCCTGGCCTAGGAGAGGAGCAAAAATCTCCCCGCGGACTCCAAAGCCGTAATCTGTTTGCAGGTATCAGATCACTGTAAAGGGCAACTATGCCTTGGTTGGTGGCGACTCACCCACGAAGTTGGAAGACAAAACTGCCTCCAGGTTCCGGGGTTCGAGGATATGAAAGGCGCGCGGGCCAAAAAGCAGATACTGAGAGAGCATATTGCGAGGCTCATAGTCCTTGGCGATCGAACATAGGAATGCCAGAAGACGACCCTCAGCATTCGAGGTCCATAGTTCGCGCACCCGGTCGATGCCCAGCGGCCATTTGTTCGGGAGCTCTGGGGGTGGCATACAATGTATGCGATGCCCAAATGCTGAATCTCTCTGTATATGATCAGACCCAAGCAGCCTTATATGGCTCGAGTCTCGGGAGCTTACCCTGTAAGCAACGAGCTTCTTGACGACTGGACGAAGAATGAAGAGGCACAAGAATAGCAGGAGTAAGCTCGCCCGTGACCAGCGAAAACTCCCCCACTTGCCGTCCTCCCACATTGTCTACTCTCAATTCGAGATGCTCAAGGGTTGACGGAGTTCTTTAGGTCTAGGAACGCAGGAAGGGCCATTCACTTGGGAAAGAGCAATCATCATTATATGCAAACCTGGTGGAGGGTTTAAGACACTGCGATTTGGTTTGGCGGGTAATGAAGTTGTGATACATGGGGACGGATAGGCGCTTGAGTTCTGGAGTTGTGCCTAATCGAGCTCTAATATTAATCCCCCGTGCCTATTACCAGGCGGCTGCAGATACGTTCCAAAAACAGCTCTAGTCAATCTCCTGGTCGCCCAATTCCACGACGAGCTTGTCGAAGAGTGGCCCACAAGTATGAGGCGATGGATTGCGCCTCGGCGCTACATGAGACAGGAACCAAACCCCCCCAAAAGCCCCTAGATGTGGGATGCCGCCGTGGCTGCAGTAGCTGGGCAGTCGACAGTTGCAATGGCAATATGTGGCAGAATCTCCAGAGAATCCAACAGACCATGATGAGGCCAGCCCAGCCCAGCCCAGGATATATCTGTCGTCGCCGCCATATGCTCTTCACTGTCTCGAAAATGCCTGCGACCTTCTCCCACAGGGGCCGCTCTCTGCTGCCCCGAAGAATCGAACATGCCAACCAACTTGATCACTTTGTATTCCTCCGAGGGTCAGTCTTCCCAGGCTCTTGCTGGGCCACAAGAGCGAATCGAGCCTGTGGTAGAGTAAGCATCACACACGTCAACCTCTATCTCGGAGCTGACCATGAAGTATTGTTGCAGTACACGGACTCCAGGAGGACCTTGTTAGCGCCTGGACAGATCCCAAGGCTAATGTCCTTTGGCTTCGAGACCTGCTCCCCCAAGATGCCAAAAACATCCGAGTGTTGACCTTTGGATATAATGGCTCTCCCGAGTCTTTCTTCGGCAACGGAGGCGTGGATCCATTGTATCCAACAGCAGAGACACTCATCGCCACCCTTCACGCCAACCGGTCTCAAGCCCAGTGTCTCCGACGACCTATCATTTTCGTCTGCCATGGTCTGGGGGGACTCCTTGTCAAGCAGGCTTTGCTATATTCGCATGACCAGATGGGCAAACGGACCAGTTTCTACCGCGATATCTATACCTGCACTTCTGCCATCCTATTCTTTGGGACACCACATGGCGAGATTGATAAAACCGTTTGGCTACCCCCAAAACGGCTATCAAAATCCTCGGACACTATGCAATATGGACCCATAGATGCGCTGAGCAATACCAATCGCGCCTTCAGAAGCCATCAAAATGTCTTCAACATATTGTTCCTGTGGGAAGAAATCGTGACCCATGTCAAGGAATCCTCGGCCGCCCCGCCGCTGGATGCGCAGCGCTCAGGCATTCCCGCAGACCATATGAACATGACCAAATTCACGAGCAGGTCGTCTCCAGGCTACTGCACAGTTGTCGCTCCGCTGCTTGGTTTCATCCAAAATGCTCCTTCAGAGGTCGCTCACAAAGAGCAGGATCAAGGCGTTGACGACACATCTTTTTTCTCGCAGAAGGACGTCTGCAGTATTTTCGATCCTCCGCTCGATGTATTACAGCAAACCTTTGCTTTTGTTGGCCGAGAACAGGAGCGCAAACAACTTGAGGACGCAATGTTTGCATCCCATGCAAACCTGCAGCCAACGGAACCAAAAATATTCGTCATACATGGTATGGGAGGCTGCGGAAAGACCGAACTCTGTTCCAGGTTTGCTACCAGCCATAGGGACCGGTAAGGTCAAGCAGAACCCAGAGAGAATGGAACAAGGCTAACCTATTGTCCAGTTTTCAAGCAGTGTTCACCATCAAGGCGTCATCGCAGGACCAGATCCAGACGACATACGCTGAAATCGGAAGCAAGGGTGGTTTAGAGGCAACCGAGAAGGCGGCCCACCACATCCTATCTCATCTCTCGAGGCCCTTTTTGCTCATAATCGACAATGCCGATGATCCAGGACTTGCCATAGGAAAACTTTTCCCCAGAAACAAAAACGCCCACATTCTCATCACAACTCGGAACTTGGAGCTCCTTAGCGTCGCGAAGGCTGGATCACTGGAATTGAAAGGTCTCAAAGAAGATGAAGCACTACGTTTGCTGCTCAGTCGTGCTGACATCCCATACCCGGTGGAAGATCCCGCCAGAACTCTCGCCGCCAAGATATGCGAAACCCTTGGTTTCCTGCCTTTGGCTTTGGTAGTCGCAGGAACCTATATCAAAAGCAGACAGTTCGGCTCACGCTTACAAGATTATCTCGATTCCTATGACTCATGTCGAAGATCCTACAAGCCTTCTCATATCAAGATGGATTCTGCTAATATGGCCAAAACTACGAATATGAAGACAGTGTACCCAACTTTTGATCTCTCTTTAGCATACCTTGAAGCTCAGAACTCAATTGCATGTCAGGACGCCCTTGAAATCCTCAGCATCGTCGGGTTTTATCACTTTGAACGAATCGGAGTTCATATCTTTACAACCGCAGTGAAGAACAGGTCGATATCGTTGACCCGTCAGCGTATACCTTCGATGAGTGCGAAGTTGCTTGCCCCTTTTCTCGCGCGCTTACAGCCTCCCGTTCTACTACCAACCTTCCTGAAGACTCGATCTGCAGTTTTAGAGAGATGTCGCGCCGAAGATGCGCTTGCAGAGTTGGCGTCTTTGTCCCTAATACGCTGGGATGGACGCTCGGATGGGGCGGCGCCAACCTTCTCACTGCATCCCTTGGTTCACGCTTGGGCTCAGGATAGGCTCGGGGAGCAGCAACACGTATACGCCCACATTGCATTCAATATTCTCGCAGAGGCCATCGTGCTGCCCTCCGATAACCCTGGCAAGGACGACATTGATGTTAAGCAGGACCGTGAAAATTTCCACAGAAGTTTGCTCCCTCATCTGGACGCCTGTTTGAGTACCTGCCGTATTAAGATCGGGCCTTACAAGACCTATTTATCAAGAGTCTGTCTGTCGCTAACACCTTTCCTTTCCCCGACATCGCTGTCAATATTGATGCAGCAATCATTGGCAGCGGCGAAGAGCGGGTATGTTTATGCGGAATGTGGCAAGTTCCAGAAGTCAGTCCACTACTTAACAATGGTGAAAGACCTACTGCATGAGCTGCTAGGTCCGAGACACAAAAGTACGATGAGCATCATGCTGGGTCTTGCCAAGGTCTACTGGGGTCTTGGTCGTCTTGAAGAAGCAATTGACCTTCAGACACTTGTCGTCAAATCACGGAAGCAAGTCCTGGGCGAGAACCACATCGACACCCTTCTGGCCATGGACGAGCTGGGACGTTCTCGCTGGTTGAATGGGCAATACAAAGAAGCCTTGGAGCTCTCCAATATCAGCATGAAGCAAATGAGACTTATGCTGGGACTCAAGGATGACCGCACCCTGGCGGCGATGGACAACTACGGAGTTGCACTTGCGTCGTGGCATCGATTTTCCGAGAGCGCCGCCATTCACAAGGAGGTGCTCAACATGCGCAAGGCAAACTTGGGCCCCAAGAACTTGGACACCCTGATATCCAAGAATAATCTGGCCATGTCTCTTCTCGAGCTGAAACGCTTCGACGAAGCTCAAACTCTGATGAGTGAAGTGTTTGAGGAGAGGAAGAGGCAGCTCGGCAAAGAACACCCCTGGACGTTGTGGGCGCTTTGCTGGCTCGCAAAGATCAAGGTCAAGATAGGGAAGCTCGACGAGGCGGAAGAACTACTCCTCGGCGGAATCGAGGCAGGCGTACGAAGTTTGGATGAGAATCACCTGGGCGTTCTCATGGGAAGCGGCGAGCTGGCTCGCGTATACTCTCGCCAGGGTCGCCTGCACGCTGCGTTCGACCTCCTCTCCGACACGGTCGATCGCCTCGAAGGATCCAGGGGCATTGAACATCCGGATTGCTTCTACTCCCTCTGGAAATTAGCTGTCCTCCATCATCGCCTTGGCAGAGTGAGGGACGCGAGCGACACTTGCAAAGTCGCCCTGGAACGGGCTCGCAAGAGGTTGACTGATGCACACCCGTTGGTGGACATGATCGCTGCCGATTTGAAGGGCTTCCAGAAATCTCTTCGGCCACCGAGTGAGTGGGAGAAGGAAGATCGATCCGATGTGTCGCCTTGCACTCAGCCTGGAATGCTCGATCGAAAACGCAGTTTCCGGCCTCGCACCCAACTGACTTGGTAGCGGTTCATGTCAATGTTTACGCTGAGATGAGGGCGATGCCAGCACGAGAATCGAGAAGGGAAGGAGACGGTGCACAACATCAGGTGTGGACTCTTCCTCTGCCACAGAAGTCAGAAGAGTACCTCATATCTTGATCGACTCTGTGAACAGCTAGAGTTCTGCCGGCGGCTGTATTTTCGCACCGTATCTTCTCCCACAGAGCCTCGCTCATATGCTCGAAGCCTTGCGGGTGGCACGCGATCTGGCACAGAGACCCTTCGCTGCAACCCTCCCGGGCACCACCCGCGACGGTCAACATCGCAAAGAGAGATACATGAAAGAAGGTCGACCATGTTAGAAACAAGGGAGGAACGGAGGGCATCGTGACAAACAATGCTGGATCGAATCAGAAACCAGCAGCTTCGATTTCATCATATGGATCGACAACATTCTTTCATACTGACCGGGACTGGGGGGGGGGGGAAAGGGAAAACAAAGACAAGCCCGCTACGACTAGATTCGTTCTGGGGAGAAGCTTGCAATGCGATCATTTTATGGTTCAGCCTCGTCCGAAGACGCTGACAGCGGCAAGATACCGGTCTGCCTGTCGTCCACTCAACATCGGGGACCACCGAACCACTCTAAACTTCGGCCACACCATCCGGCGCGGCTGTATCAGCACAAGATCACAGCAGCCGAGGCTTGTGGACAAGCCATCGAGAGCGAGGAGAGATCTGCGCGGTGTTCCCAACGAAGGATCTACACGTCAATCCATCGAGCCATCCATTTTTCGGTCACCTGCGAATCCCTGTTAGCTTAGAGCGGTATATGGGTTGAGGGATGGTATAGACGGCAAGCCCCAGGGTAGTCTTGAACGGCGGAGTGAGTGATGCTTACAGCTTTCGCTTCGTCCACTAGCCCCAGCTCGAGCAGAAGCTGGACGCTCGCTCTGACGCCACTCTCCAGTGCACTCGCGATCCACGAGCTGGTGTAGCTGGTCCCTTCCCCGCTCATGATGACGCCCTGCTCCGTGTTGAAGAACGCCGGGATGAAGGACTTCCTCATCCCGATATCCGGGCTCGCCCAACTGATCGTCTCGTACTGATCCAGAATCCAGCAGCGGCGGTTGTAGGCCCCCGTGTATTGCTCGTACACCACGGGCCCGTGGATCTCGGCCATGGCGTCCACGACGTACTGGACGTGGACGTCCTCCGGGATCGACGCCCAGCGCAACCCGTCGTCCGAGGACGTGTAGCTCGCAAGCATCACCCCCTTCCCGGTCGAGTTGATGTCGTAGCTCGGGTAGCAGATGCTCCCGATGCCGGGGATGTCGGTGGTCGTGCTGCAGGAGCCGTAGATGGGCTTGTCGAGATGCTCCCAGAAGCGGGTCTGGAACTGCAGCGCCACCTTGCAGACCTGGGAGTAGGGGTAGCTGTCGATGGCGGTCTGCAGGAGGTCTGAAAACGCCGGCAGGCGCCACGTCCTGACCAGAGGCATGGGAACCGTGACGACCGCCAGGTCGTAGCTTGCGTTCTGAAAGGTGCGGTCGAGCGGCTTGGCCTTCCACTGCAGCGTCACCTTCTTTGTCGTCTCGTTGTATTGGACTCGCTGGACCTTGCGATTCATGTAGGTCACATCGTCAACAAGAGCTAGAGGTCACCCTATGCGTTAGCACCTTTGAACTAGTGTGCTCGAAAGGCTATACGTACGGTGGAAGGCACTGGGGAGACGAGTCAGACCGCCATCAATTGTCCTCCAATCTGTCGCAGAGAAGTACTGAAACAAAAAAGGGCTGTCAGCATCGGCACTCGAGATCAAGTCTCACAGGATGTCTGGTAGCGTCCACCCCTGGGCACGCAGGATTTTGCGAGCGGCTCTATTGGACCGGGCTGGCTTACCATCGACTCATAGAGATTATCCCAAAAGCTCTCGCTCCCAGGGCCTCCCAGCTCCACGAAGGTCTCATTCAACGCATACCCAAGCACGTTATGGACATAGGCGAATTCGGAAAAGTCGTCGCCACCCAATCCACCAAGTCCTTGATCGAGGAACGTTTTGTGCGCCATGTATATGTTCCGCGCCATCTGGTCGAGGAAACTCCCATTGTTGTAGATGGTATTGATGTCCTCGTCGAGCGCATCCAGCTTGGGGTCGTCCGGCTGCGTAGAGGTCGTCCCCAGCAACGACGTATTCGCTTGGACCTCGGACAGCGTCGGGACCTGGCCGTTGGGTTTCCGGGCGCCGTTGACGTAGTAAAGCCCATTGGGCGAGTTCTGGTACCATTTGATAAAGTTGACCGTAAAGTTGGTGTTGTTGTTGTTCAGTCTGTTGACTTCGGCGGCCAGATCAAAGACGATGCGGTGATCTTGGATCTGGATCGTTTCGTTCGTCTCGGATGCCGTGAAGGAGAGCGGGAAACGCATGGGCCCCATTTCTTGATACTGTCTCTCGCTCGGGTCGCCAAAGTAAGCAGTGTGAACTCTCCCGCCGAGCCGCTGGGCTGCTTCGATGAGAGACACGTTCGTCATCCCGGATTGGTTGAGGGCGAGCCAGGTCATCAGACCGGCCATGCCGGCACCGACGATGGCGATCTCCTTCGACTTTGCTTCTTGGGCGTTGACCGCACTGATCTCTTTGTTCTTGAGGGCAACCACGCCGTCGAACCACGGCCCTTCCGCATCAATGCCGCTCGAGTTGTCCATCTGGATGGAGAAGTCGGCCTGGCGCTTTCGGAGACGTCTGCGAGCGGCCTTTGCATTGGGAGCAATGGACACCGGAACGCTCCGTCCCACAAGGTTCTGCCGGGCGTCCCATGCTGAGAGGCATTGGCCTGTGGGGGTGTATTCTGGGACTTTCCACAATAGCCTGTCGTGGTCACAGGAATGGGAGCGGCCAACTAGATGGTGGGCTTCACCTGGAGTCTTGGCCTTGCAAGGACCATAAGTGAACACGACCTCGGTGGCGATAGGTCTGTCGTAAGCCAGATGGATGTTGGCAAGACCCGAGTCAACCGCTCGCTTCAGGTGCAGCTTCACTGGCAGGGAAACAGCCAATACACACGGCAAAAGCAAGGCTGATAGCATCAGTTGGCCAGCCATTCTTGTGAAAGGGCAGCAGCACCGCTCGATGGATGTGGTGCGGACGTAGATCGATAGAGTCTTGTAAACCTACCAGGCGAGCATAGGTCTTTGTACACAAGCTACAGCTCGTTTATCCGCAAATCCTACCTCCAGCTTTGCCATTTCCCCCGACTCTTGTGGATGTTCTGGGTATCGGGACATCGAAGGACGTCGTTCAAATCCGATATGAAATGCATACCCGTGATTGGTTTAGATTAGTAGGTTGCATGAGAGGAGAAAGCTCTATGTACCTGCCTTATCCAGGAAAGGCAAATGGACTGCATCGATCAATTCCTGCGTTGAACCGATTTATGCGGATCATCTTGCGGCCAGTTGTTACCGAGCCGAAGGATTGGCGAGGTGGGATGATTGGGGAATGAGGGTTGTCTTTGAATGTTGCGAGTCTATTAATAGGACCATATTTCTGTACCTCATGTGACTTCTTCTCTTAGAGCAGTGTCTTTGCGCTGTTCGCGAGGTCTTTGGTGTGCTGGAGGTTGTTGCTTGCCATCTAGCATGAGGATACCGTTGGACTGGAGAATTATGCTGACCACGGATCCATTACTGGCATCCTTTCGCTGGAATCAATTTTTTCCGATCCAAGGATCGAATGATTACTTGGCAAGCGACTAGTAGATAAGGATGGAGAATCGTTCTAACAGAGAACTCGGAATAGAGGCTATACGCCAGTTGAGCTGTTAACCAAATGAGGTCCAAGGACCATTCGTCAGCAGGTATGGAGAAAGGTGGGCGCCCGTACTCGTACTCGGAACGGCACGCTTGCCCCACAGCGATTGGCGGTGACGGGTATATATATGTCAATGGAAATCAGGATAGAGGAGAATGTGGGGTGGTAGTGACTTGATAAGAAGGTTGATATCTATCAGGCTACCTAGGTCTGTACTCGGTATGCACCTCCACGACTCGACAGGACGGAAGCTGTGAGCTCTGTCGTTCCGTGCCAAGACGAGGTAATGATTCGAACACCCAGCTCACCCCCCCCCCCCTTTAGGACGAGGGTGATGCCGCCCTATACTCACCCGTGCTCAGCGCTCCATGTAAGGTAATATGGCGAATTTATGATAGACGTCAATCCGGCGATGCTTTGAGCGTGAGTGAGCACCTATCGACCGTCACCTAAGCCAGACCCCAAGCTCATTTCCACCCCTCCTGAAGTGATGTGCGAAGCCGGTGTCCTGTTTGGCCAGCGAAAGTTGTTTCTGGGATCAGTCTAGTGGCTTCGCATTGACAGCCACCTTACTATCAATACTCAAGCGTAGCGCCGTCCTGGAATCCAAATACATGAGAGTACAGTACGGAGTACATGAGGCAAGATTGTCATTTACACCACCGGCCCCCGGGAAAAACCTCCTGCCGAGGTCGCTTATTTTCAGCCCCTGGTATTTCGATGGTGCTTTGGAGACCAAAGACGCCACATATGCAGACGTGTAGCAGTCAGGAGCCCAGAATAGTGGCCCGGAGCGCCCCCCCCCCCCCCCCCCGGGAACAAGAACCGGTCAGTAGGTCAGAGCACGTCGGGTTCATCTCTCGCTCAAACCCAATCTCAGGTCATTCTGGTAGAATCCTGACCTCTCCGCCTCTGCCATCCATGCGAGCCAATGCTCGCGCGAGGCACGGTTTATGGTATTTTCACAGTCTCTGGCCTCCTCTTCTGTGAGGTAAACGACGTGCAGCTCTGTCGCGTCTCGTTGATTCATGGCAGTGGTTTGAATATCTGCATCCCGCCGGATATGTATAGCCCTCCATACCGCATCCTCGAGACTCCCAGCCCAGGTCGTGTAACCATGGCCACGTTGAAAGACAACTTTCTGTTTGGGGACATGTACTTCCGCCCCGTTCATTACCATCTCATTGTTGTTGGATTTCTCGAACATTTCGGCTAACATATCTCCGAGATACTGATTGTTGACAAGTAAGTTTCGGGGATGCGACTGTGGTAGGTTCTCATAGAATCTTGCAATGTCAAAAATGGGCGCTGAAGAGCCCACGAACCCGGCCATCAGATAGCTAGGTTGCAGCATACTGCGCCAATTATTACATAGGCCATAAACAACTGCGCTCGGACAATGTGAATGGACAATGCTTTGTACGCCAGGATACCGGTCGTAGATGGAGCTGTGGGTGTAATGTTCGGACAGCTCAGAGACTTGCTCAACCTTTTGGCATCCATCATAAGGATTAGAGACTGGAGAGCCGTCGGCAACACGCCATTGATTCAGATCGGTCTTCGACGAGATCAGAATGGCGGGGACGTTGCTGGTGAAAAAGGTCGAAGGATCAGTAGGATTGCGCACTGATATTTGGCCATGTTCATCGAGCACCTGATGCTTATGAAGGATATGAAATGCTGTTATAAGATCCGACAGGTGCCAGTCCAGGCTGTCTATTTCCTAACGTGCCCTAATGGAGATCGAATATATCTTTTAGCGGTTGCGAATCTTAAGCTCTTAGATCCGATATTCAAGTTGAGAGTGCTGGGAGTTTGATCTCTGAAACGCCCGGAATATCGGTCTTTCCCATCAAGTTATATACTGCAAAGCTCGGGCTGGTTAGATATTTGCAGACTCCTATTGACGCATGCCTACGTCATGTCATAGATGGGCTTCTAGCTCGAAAAGCCCCGTCTCCGATAGTTATTTGTGAGTTATATGCCTGTACCGCATAGCGTGTCGTTAGTCGAACAGATGCTGGGTCTTTTTTCCGCCTCTTCTGTTACTGGCTCGCTTGGGCCATTGATGTCCCAGGCGGCTAGGGCTGATGTCATACGCATTTTCACAATGACGTTTTCGGATCTGAACCGTGAATGTTCCTCTCTCCCTGCACCTAGACCTGAAAGGATCACACTTGGTCGTCACGGATATCACTTGTGTCGTGTAGGAGGTAGTCTTAGAGGTGTGCGAGGTAGGCGACCAAATGACAGCGCAGGGACGTCCAAGCCATTGCACTTCAGGATGTACAATAAAGACGACGGTTCAAGCTCGACGTTCTGCATTTCCGCGCACTCCAGTTTTTCAGTCACATTTACACGCAGTCAGCCAGTCTCTGTATATTGGAATATTGGAATTCATGGCAAATTTGAGTTGCAACTTCAAGCTATCGAGATTCCCGCCAAAGTGCTGGGCAGCTGGACGGAGGAATTTTGGTCATCGATGTTCCATGGACATGTTTTTGCGTATAGACGGTGGTAAAGCTCTTCTATCTTACCGAGAATGAGGCGTTCAAGATCTGCCTCGAGTGTGTCGTATAGGCGAGTATCCGAGTTTTCTCGTGACTAACCGAGAATCATCATCGTAGCTTGTTTAATCGTGAGATTTTACGGCAGCAAATTCAAGTCGTCAACTAAGTGGCCGACAAGCTTTTTAAGGTTGGGCTTAGGAGAGCAGCGGAGGAGGCGGACATCTGACAAAGGTCTCTTCTGGGGGTTTGGAGGAGACGTTAGATTACTGAGAGCAGGAAAAGTGAGCAAAGGGTCGAACGTATTGCATCCCTAGAACACCTTTAAACGATCACGCTGCGCCGAATGCGCCCTCATACAACGTACTTAGGGTTGAAGAGGTTGTTCTATGGCAGTCCTAAGACCTCATATAGCTTGTTGTAGTGGATAACACTGGCGGTGTTCAGGTTCTATCCATCAATCAAGACTATTTCGACGTTCTCGCGGCCATGGTATTCGAGATGTTCAGTTCTGTTGAAGCGCACAAGGGATTGGGGGTTATGGATATGAACGGAGTAGAATATTAGCTTCCGTGTTTGACCAGCAGGAGAGCAACTCGGGGACTATCTCACATATTGTTGCCGTGAAAGCACAGCCACTGTGCTAATAGTGATCGAGTCGCTTCTCCGCGTTAGACAAACCTGCCATCATATCTTCGGATCCCGAGTTATGTCCCGATGTGTTATCGCAGATGGTATGGAAAAAGGGAAGACGATCAAAAGTCTTCCGCAGTTTGAGGACAGATTCAGAAGTGTTGTTGACACAAACCTTACTCCTACTAGGAGTCGAGTCCTCAAGTGTTGTCCTTGCCAAAAGTTCTGTGACACCATCTATTGTTGCGTCTGGTATGAAGTAATAGATATTGCATCCGTCGAAACGTCTTGAGGTATGTTCGTTGAGCCGCGACTGACAGATGGGCTCGGTCACACTCGTGGGGTAATGCTTGGCGAGCTATAAGGCTGCCTAAGGCACTCGACGAGAATCTCTGTGGCCGATTTTACAGAACACGCGGTAAAATAATTGAGCTTCGGACGACGGAAGGCATGGCGTATGTAAAATGAGCATGCATGGCCCCGTTGCATCAGGAAGCCTTTTGATCGAATGAGGAGGCTTGAGGATCGCCATTTCGAGGTAAGTGTAGTTCACGGTGGAGTAAGCGTAAACGCGACTGTCTCTCCACGGATTCCATGTGTCTTTTAAGACACCGTTTTTGCACATCACTATACTAACCAAGGCACGTGGAAGTTGTCGGAAGGGGGTGTTCTGGCGTGGGCATGTGGTCCATTCTCCAGAGTTAAGTGCTAGAGTAGTCTTTCAAAGCGTGTCCACAGCGTCCGCAGTGGACAAAGTTCTTTTAAGCCTTCTGGTAATGAGGTGTTGGGAACGAGATGGCTGTAGATCAGACCACCAATGTCCACGCTGCCGGCTTTTCCTCAGCCGACAATGCTCCGTGGGCGAAAAACTTGAGATTTCGACCCTCTGCCAAGTGGAAATTTGCCGTCTCGGGGAATGTGCAGCATGTTCGTGCCGGACGACCATCCCGTCGTCTTTTAATTGAGGAAAAGCCAAAAAATACTTAGTGGGAAGTCCCAGAGAAAAAGAATACGAGTCAGCTCGGACATGTATGGGCTTGGAAGAGGTTGCGGGTAACAACAAGGGCACATCGGCTGGTGACGTCGTTTCTGGGATGCTCGTTGGTTCCCCGTGGAATCAAAGATACATTCACGGATAGCCAGATCCGACTGTCAGCGAGACACCTCCGAGCTATTGCGAAGTTTGTGCGAAGCTGACTAGCTAGCTTGGTCCGTAGGGAAGTGGAGTCCACAAACTCGGAGCAGCAAATGGTTGCACCTATCGCGCACCAGCTAACGGAGAAGCCCAGCCAACGCCTTGAGGTTATGCGAGTCCTCCTCGCCCGTTGATCCCATATTTAGTGGACTGAGCGGTGGTCTGCTGCGACAAACTTCCGACAACATGTGCCTTAAAGACTGGCCTCTAAGGAATCGCTGCTCCTTAGAGGGTCACCCAATCGCGAAATATGGGTCCCTCAAGGTCCAGAACGCTGCGGTCTGAGATCGTTGAACATGTGCATCAGCATCGCGCAAACCTTTATGTAAAGCCGCTCAGACGCCCAGGAAGAAAATCCGGGACCCCCGTATGCCCTTCAGTGTAACAGAGCTGTAACTAGATGTCTGCAAGAGATCACATCACCCAAGTTCCAACCACAATGGTATACTATCAAGAGCCCTGTCTCCTTGACCAGGGGCCACAGCAATTTCAAGATGAATCATATTTTAACAATTTTCAGTCTAATAGTGATGACCACGACTTGGCCGCAGAGGGCTTCAACGCATGGTCTATACCAATGGAGACCCAACAGATGCAACCCAGGAGCTATGGAATGCAGCCATATATAGACGCTCCTTATCCCAGCCTATATCTGGAGCCCTTTAAACCTACCGGCGTTCAGACCGTCGGGCTAGCCCAACTACAGCTCAATGGTGGCTCTGAATTTCCCATGGATTACCAGCCTGATCAATCGCCCGAAGAAGAGTTTTGTGCACTCGGTCTCAAGGATGATGGAAGCGACGTATCGCCGTTATCGTTGCCCGACCAGGCAGATACGGCAATATTTGGCTCCAAGAAGTGCCTCCCCCGCAGTCGTGCTGCCCCGCGCTCTTCGCGAACATCCCAGCCAAAGAAAGGGAGACCGCGGAAGAAGCGCAATCAGTCTAACTCGTCAAGTGAGGATGAATCAGCCATTCTCAAAGCAAAGTTTGCCCATTCCGTGATTGAGAGGCGTTATCGTGACAATCTCAACCGCAAAATGATGCAACTCCATCGAGACCTTCTGGCCGTAGAGACCAGTCCAACTTCGCCCGCCTCTCAATTCAATACCTCACCTACAGGGCAAACACTCTCTAGCAGAGTCCGCAAGTCGGACATCATGTCGCGGGCGATCAACTACGTCCACCAGTCGGATGTCGAGATCCGGCACCTGGATGGCGAGATCAAACGCCTACAGGACCAAGTCAGCGTCTTTCAGAAGCTCGTCAACTGCGACGACTACTCGCTGCTCAAGAATATGGTGTAACTCGGCGTCCAAAAGCAATGACATTGTGCTTTCCCCAAGTTCTCCGCCGTCTGTTTTTCTTCTGTCCCGCATCCTCCTCCGCCTCATCCTCCGCTTCGTCTACTCTTCTCCGCGCCGGTCCATGTTTTCTCCAGTCTTCTCTGTATGACTGTGTGTTTGCATGTCAGTGTGTGGACCCGACTTTTAGCGTCGGTGGAAACTCTGTCTTGGATGTACATACCGAAGTACGATATTGAAATGAGTCGTCTTGTATTCCCCCCCAAACTATTGTCTTTGTGGGGTTTTCAGCTCCTGCTGCTGTGGCGATCAGTCGCTGCTTGGGGGTGGTGTCTTTTTTTTTGGCGTTTTCTGCCGGGGAAGAGAATCTCGTCCAGAGAAGTGCAGGCAGTCAGGCAAGCAAGGAGGATGGAATATGACGCATATCATGATGATATGATGATGCTTCTGGTCTGGTCAGGGTCAAAGCGCGTTGGAAAGGGCAGCGCTGGGAATCTCAGCAAAAAAGCTTTTCTAGAGCCGAGAAAATTGGATATGTGTGCAATGAAATATCCTCTGGTGTGACTTTAGTGTTTTTGATGAAGATGAAGATGAAGATGAATATCCCCGTGGTTATGTGGCGATGGTATTCCCACTTGAGGAACCACTATGTACTATTAGTTACCACGACTAGACTTCAGGGCTGAATAGCTCGGCGCAAGCCAATATTCTCCATCTGTACTGTGTACACCACAGGGTTTTCATGTTTTGATGCCCCGACAACTAGAACGATATTCTGAGTTGTGTACTATCAATCTTCATGCCACCTACGTCTCAAGGGCCGAGAGGCTGAAAGGTTATCTTCTTGCCTATCATTGACGAGATCCTGCAGAGGTCCTAAATTTACACAGAGCTGTTGCTGCAGGGGCCATTAGGGATTCTTGTTCCCGCCTCTGGAATTCCGAAGCTCTCGAAGGCGGAGGCCAGTCGGCCACAGCTTGACTTGCTGTCGCACAACCATATTATGTCACTTTTGTCTGCTTTCTTCCCACCACCGCCAATTCTCCTCACTCGCGCGGCCTTCCCTCATCCGTAACGAGTTATCCACCAGCGATGAGCGCTGCGCTGGCTTACCGAGCCTTGGCACTTCTGCCCTCTTTCAGGTAGACCGTGGCAGCACACGACGTACAGCGTGACTTCAAGGCGCATTGATTCAGTGAGCGGCCCGTACCGGGGAAGGGAAGTGTGCCCCAAGAACCGGCTACTGCCACGAATTATGAATGATAGGAGTGACTGGCAACTCCAGGCATGGGCATCTCGAGCAGGCTATGCTTTGAAGGAGAAATTGCCCGCTCTGCCGGATTGGCGGATGGTCATGAAGCGTCGAAGAGCGCAATACCGACCGTCGATTGCCGTAGACGGAGGAGTGCCAGGCCGTGCCAGCGGAGGCAAACATCGCTTGCAAAGTCAGGGGACAGATCCATCTCGCGGTTCTTGCCGTCGAATAACAAAAAGTATTACGTAGGCTATCTAAGCTAATAGGATAATCCTTAGATAAAGTACTCTAGAAGAGGAGATAGCGTATAAAGATTATATATTAGTATATCGATTAAAAATAGGACTGTCCGGGCTCTCAAGAGCGATTGAGCGTAAACGTTTTCACGCAACCGACCACGCCCCTAGCCGGGTTTCCTTCAATTGCATGACAGTCGACCATTTCTTGTTCAACGTGCCGATCATCGTCACGACGAAGGACTTGCCCTTGGGCAAGATGGAGTGCACCGTCGTCGTCGAAGTTCCAGTCCCCGACTTCGTCCCCAGCGGGGCCTTGCTCTGCAGCTCCCAGGACGTCGGCGCTGCTCTCTTCCCATCGGGATGGTTGACCTTTCCACGGAACTTCAGTCCTGCGTCGTTCTCCAGGTATACTTTCCCGTCCACCATTTTGTCTGACGGGACGGTTTCCTCGAATGTGATGTCGGCGGTCGTGAACCAAGAAACTTAAGTTAGTACCGGTGGGCCCAGTCAAGGCCGCTCGCTCGGCGTCATTTCTTGTGCGTATCGACGTCTTGCCCGACCGTCATTTTTGCGCCATTGTTCTGATACTTTTCGAGTGGCACAAGCTTAATGTCGTTGTCGGACTTGTTTGTTGCTGTGAGCTGGAGAGAGACGAGTTGGTTGCTGTTTGGCTGGCCAATATCGACTTTGTACTCCAGTATTATTGGTTTGGGCGGATTCGTTCCGAATGACGTGCCTATGCCCCCAGTTTCGCAGGCGTATCTAGCGTCGAGCCGTCCCTCCCCTGAAACTCTTCTCAATCACCCTTCATACCGTTCGCTAGGCATGTCAACGACTACCAAGGTATGAATTGGCCCTCGTCGCCTGGTCTTCATGACCCCTCTGGTACGCCTCCCGATCTTCCTCTCGGTCGTCCTTTCACAGTAAGAGTTTGGTTATGATGCTTAGCCTGACAGTCTGGGCGCAACATACAACACACCCCCCTGAGAATACCACACATACAACCGTAATGAAACGGCGGGTTACTGTCATTCCGTCTTTCCGATTATCACCCCAGCTCATCCAGCCAGCCGTGTTGCTGCCTGCCTGTGCCAGACTACTCCAGAATGGCTGAGCTCCAGGCGCCCTGCAGGGGGAGATGTGACACTAAAGATACGTCTATCAATCAAATGTTGGCGTCTAGCGAGGCCAGGCCCTGCCTTTCCTGCCAATTTCCGTGGGGGCCAAACAAGATCGACAGGTAAGTCGAGCTAATCTTGACCACTTGCACAATGGTTTATTGTTGTTGAGAAGAACGCAAGGCCACATAGCGGGGCCTACGAGTATTCGATTGTAGGGAGCGATCACATCCATGGGTTTGAAGGCAAAACCCGCTTGCCGGAATCACATTGGCACTCCGAACACCTGCCATCCAGCTGCTAATTGCGAACACGACCGAGCAAAGGGCAGCCTCATGCAGTAGAAACCTTGTAGATGGGTTTCTCGGCTTCGCTCTCCCTTTCTCATCTGCATTGTCACGATTGTCAGTGCGGCCTACGTTGCGATGGCGCACAAACCGTTTCATCAAACATCGCCGGTGAAGAGGAAGTCGCTCCATCGAAACTCAAGACACAGCAGTGGATTCAACGATGGCGCCTTGGATGAGGACGCGTTCCCGATGATCTCATTCGATGCCAGATCCTCCTCGACTCTGCCTGCTTTTCCAGATCCCAACCATACGGACACGACATACGAGCCCCAAGAGCATCTCAATTTGCCAAGACTGACACAAAATCAGTGGCACGGCGCCAGCCAACAATGGGTGGGAGGCAGTCATATTTCCGAGGTGTCTTCCCTTGCAGATGGATGGGACGAATCTGTATCTTCTAACAAGGCCCAATTTGTCTCGCAAAATGAGATCCCCCCTTACAATGAGACGCATATGTTTCCGCGGCCGTGGAACCCAAAGTGGCTGCGCAGGCCAATTCTGTTCGGTTTCATCCTACTCTTTTTAGTCCTCGTCGCCGGGCTGGTTATTCTGTGGCGTTTTGCAGAAATCAGGCATGGAATTAGGACCGCTATCACGAGCAATCATTATGCATGGACTTATGGACCGACTGCGCTCTTCGTCTTGGTAGGAGTGCCCTGGAGACAAGTCGACTTCCACTGCCGGACTTTGGCACCATGGGCGCATCTTCGGGGCGGCCCAGCTTCAGCAAAGGAATCTCTGCTCCTGGACTATGTCTCTCCTCCTTTACCCATGGCTCTGGTAAAGGCTGCTTCAACCCATGATTGGGCTGTTGTGGCGAGTGGTATGGGCTTGTTGTTGCTGCGAATTGTCAACGTCTTCAGCACCGGCCTGCTTGTACTTACACCGACCTCGGATTCCAAAACCCTTCCCGATGTCATCGTGAGCTCAAAATTTGCGGGGACAAATTATACAGTTGGACCCTCGGTTATCGACACCGAACTGATGCAATTTTATGGTATAACAGAACGAGGGCTAAACTATCAATACGGCACGTCAGCAAGTGTCGCTTACGATACTCTTGACTTACAATCCCTTCCCACAAACTCGACTGTGACAGCGACGGTGGACGGCGTGTTCCCGTTCTTCAACTGCGAAGTGGTGACACCTGAAATTATTGGCAACAACTTCACCTGGAGCAACGACGGCGAATATCCGTACGGAGACAAACTAGAATTGAGGCTGACTTTGTCTTCTGCCAAGTGTCCTCCTTGGGTATCTTATTACGAATTGTGTCAAGCACCTGAATGTCCCGTTGGACGATCTCTCATCTCTAACGAATACTGGGGTCCGAATTCGCCCCCGGGAGACGATCTCGATCCTTGTTCCGCCTACTATACGCTCAGTCTGATTGATATTACGTTCGAAGAGGTCACGGGACACGCAAAAAATACTAGTGCTGCATGGAACGTGACCTTGGCCGAGTCAGTTGGCATTGTCTGTCCTCTGGGATACACGATCGACAAGGTCAACATCACGGTCAACACTGCAGATCCCACCTCGAGTGGGGGAGTCAACACCACGGGTCCCCTGCAGCGCATAGCAGATGTCCTTCCTGGATACTCGTATTACAATCTGACTACAGCTTTCCAGAATGAAGTCAACGTAAATAGCCTTCCACCTACGCCGGAGGCTCTGAACGTATATTCATTTGCCAGATTCTTTGCCATCCTTGCTGGTGGCTCCGCGGTTGATTTATTGAATACAACCAAGTTGAAAACCACAGCTGAAACAGCGTTCAAGGGGGTAGGGGTTCAACTCGCCCACTCATACCTACGCAAGAAGGACAACGCAACGACTACGGCCAATGTCTTATACCAGGAACCGAGGCTCCAAGTCCGGGAACTAAGCTTGTGGGCCATGATCGCAGGATGTGTGTTACTAGCACTTGCTGCTGCCGCCGTTCTCCAATGGCGCACAAAGGACGTCGTCTCGCGCGAGCCCAACTCTATTGGCGCTCAAGCAACTATACTTGCTGCTAGTCCTGCGCTCCAGAAGTCATTAGAGACAGCCCCAGGCTGCTCAGGTGTGCGATCCGAAACTCACCTACAGGATCTAGTTGCGGCGTCTCACATCAACAGCGAACGTCCAACCCCCGAATTCTCCATCACAACCACCGTGCCGGAGGGAAGTCAACGAAGACTAACGGATGGTCCCAGCAAATATTCTTGGTGGGAAACCAGCTCTTCCAATCTCTGGTTCATGTCCGCGGCTCTCGGGCTACCGCTTGCCGTCATCGCAATTTTGGAAGTCTTGCAACGCGAATCAAATGCCCATAATGGGCTGGCCACCGTTTCTGACTCTCCCATCGATCGTTCGCTACCAAACATTCTCGCTTCAGTCGTTTTGATATGCATCGCAATCATGTACGATGCCATTGATTTCGCTACAGCGACGCTCGCGCCGTATCAGACGCTGGCTCGAGGAAGTGCGCCCGCGAAGCAGACACTGCTGAGAACGTCTTCTGGAAACCTCCCAATCTGGTCCACCTTAAAAGCAATCCGTGAGCGCCATACGGAAGCTGCCGTAGCATCAATGGCCGCCCTCGTTGGCAGTTTGCTGACAATCATTGCCTCGGGCCTCTACACGATCGAGGCTGTCCCAGTGGTACTCGACGTTGCCGTCATCACGTCCGACAAATTTGTGCCCTCATTTGGCACTTCAACAGATGGATCGGCTGGCGCGATTTTCACCCTCATTGAACAGAACAACGTGTCTTACCCAGCACTCACGTACGACGGATTAGCATATCCCAACATCCAGATGTCTAGCTTGGGAGCAGAAGCCCTGAAACAGCTGAGCGATTCTGCACAGGCAGTGACGCTTCAGGCCAACATTGTAGCCATGAGGGCATCGCTCAACTGCACTTTGGTGCCCAGAGAGAATATGATCATGACGATGTATTCGGAACCTAGCGTGCATGTGGATCCAAGCTGCCGAGACAACAACATCACGTTTCACGCGGACTTGCCTCCATCGTGTCCTCACTTCTTGAACGGGGAAAATCAGACCGCGACCAACATTCCGTTCTCGGCCTATGTACAGCATACCTGCGATGGCGAGGCTGGTCTTGCTATTCACGAGCAAGTGGTTCTCAACAACCAGGGCGCAATGGGCGACTCGACCGCCGTCACCAGCGCAGGGTCAACCTTGGGAGCGGCGAGTAATCCCCCTGGATGTCCATCGTTGGCGTTCATGTCAGGCTACTTTGTCGAAAACGTCACCTCGACGGAGAACGTCACCGCCATGACGTGCATCCAAGGATTGGAAGAGGTGCGCGCCGAGACTACCTTCCTGGTGTCGCAAGACTCTGTTCAGATCAAGTCAGAGCCGAGGGTAGATGAGAGCTCCGCTCGGTGGCTGCAGGCGTTCAACAGCACGTATTGGTTCACGGCAAGCAGCACCTTCGCCCCGTTCGACCGTGAGGCTCCGACTCTCCTCACCGACTATTTCTACTCACAGGTCAACTACGGCCCTGATGGCATCCCCGCCGACGAGCTGACAGGCCCTGCAAACACCCAGCGCTTCATCGACGCCACCCAACGCATGTACCGTCGCTACATGGCGCAGCTCATCAATGGCACCATGCGGCGTAGTCTCAACCAGACCGAAGCCGCCTCTGCGCCCCAGTATCAAGGGTCCGTCACGGGCGTCAACCGGTTGAGGCTCAAGCAAAACGCCACGTCGAAGCTGGTCCTCCAGATCTTCCTCGGAATCATGCTCGCGTGCGGCATATTCGTGTACGGCGGGCGCAACATGCGTCGGGTCCTCCCACGCTGTCCGTGGAGCATTGCAGGCACCATGAGCTTGCTCGCAGGCAGCGAGATCATCGACCGGAAGATCATCCCCGTCGGGGCGGAGTTCATGAGCGACGAGGAGTTGAAGAAAGTGTTCGAAGGCTACGTGTTCAGTCTTGGGTGGTGGGATACTACGACCGACGGAGTGAACAGTCCAGGAGGACAAAAACAACAGAGGTTTGGCATTGACGTCGGCAAGGCTGATGCAAGTGCAAAAACATGAGCACCATGAGTGTACATGTACTCGTAGGTTTGGTACAAAATCATAAGATTCCGAGATTCACGACGCTTGAGAAAAGGACCAAATAAGACCGCTAGAGGGGATGCGAACGATTGCCTCAAAATCAGAGACGGAACCTTTACGCAAATGCTTCGTTAAGCCCACGACGCCCGCCGCCCCGCCACCCACCTCGCCACCACCCACCACGGTAGGAGTTTGTGCCAAGTGCTTCTTCACTCGGTCGAGTCCGTCCACTTTGGATGCCCTCCATGCTATACCGGAGCACACCGTACTCTTCATCCGCTAATCCTTGGGTTGCTGGCGACCGCTTCTACAATGCCGTTTTGGCCCACATCAGCCACCCGCTGTCTTTTAGCATCGGTTCCGTCCGCGGTGATTGATGTTGCGTGATGCTGTACATTGCTCACATCGCCTAGCGGTGTTCTTTTCGCGGCTTGCAAAACGCGGTCTACTCCGCCGGGATCGACTGAGCTCACTGTGTGACCGGTGCCTGATTCCAGAGGCCCTCGTCTCGTGGGAGGTCGGTATGCAGAAGCGTTAGGCGCTCGAGTGCCCGACATTGGTCCGCTGGGACCAGGAGCGCCCAGTCGTCTCATCGGGTCTGATTGCGGATTGATCACATTGGTCCGTATATTGGTGGTATCAGGAGTCAAGTCTCGTTTCAATGGTATAGACCTGTTGTGATTGACTCCAGACGTTTTGCGGATTGACGGGCTTTCGGCATGCGGGTTGAAACGCGGAGCGGCTGCCGCGGCGGCAGGAATCACGTTGTTGTTCTCATCCAGAACCTCAGCAGCCCTGGCTGAGTAAAAGCCGATGCCTTGGCCGGGCTGCTGGGCCGGCAGATGATGGGCAGATATAGGCGAAGCTGCACGATGGAGATTGTCAATGGGCTGTCGAGAGTCTCCTGTCAAGGGTTTTGCGAGAGGGAGTGGTGCCGCTTGGTGCCGCTGCCCGGGCAGAGGTTGAGGTACAATAGCCGTCGACGGACGAGTCTGGGCGGCTTTGGGGAGAGCCATTCTTGGATCAGGATTTTGAATGGCTGGTGGTTTGGACGGCGTATTTGTCTGATCTGCTCTGCTTTGTGGGAGCATCCGTTCTGAAGCCGAATGACCTGACTTGTTTGTTGAATCTGTCGCCTCCGCAGGTAATGCGACTTCATCTGGATGCCCCATGTCGACCCCATCAAAATCAAGCTCTTCAAAGTCTGCCAACTCGAAACTGTCCTCGAATTCTGGTGTCTCTTCTTGCACGAGAGCAGACACATTTGGCTTTTTCTCCTCTGACGTCTTTTTGGGCGCAAAGTCTGCATGTCGATGTAGCATACCCTCGTCCCATTTAGTGCTTCCAACCTTCATTTTTGTGACTTTGGACAAGTAGGTCTTGTCGTAGACGCAGTTCCCCAAGACATTCCCAAAATTCCTCAGAGTCCTCTTCAATGCATCTGTGGTACCCTCCTTCTTGGCCTTCTCGAAAGCAGCTGCCTTGCCCTTGCAGTTGTCAATTTGTCCGTAGCCAATGTCTTCGTGATGTGTGCCATCTTTCAGTGTCACTCTTACGATGACGGAGAGACCAAGAGAGATCTTTCCCGTCTGAGGGTTCTCGTCGACGAAATCGATCTGGATGTTTTGGATGGAGCTGCTCCAGCCATTGAAGCCAAAGACTTCATTGGCAAGACTAATGGCCTTGTCGGCTGCTAGATAGTGTACTTTTGAGCCGCCTGGTCCTGCGCGTGATGAGATGTATTCTGGCCCCAGTTGTTTGTCTAGCCGACTTTGCAAGGTAGCGATCTCTTGGGCAGTATATTCCGCTATCCGGGGCGGTTGCTCTTCGAACGGGTTGGCTGTCGCGCTGCCGTTCGGCTTGTGCTGGTCACCTACACTGCTGCCACTCAGCAATTGTTCAGTCAAAATGATAGTCTGGAGCGACTTACGCAGGCATGGCAGCTGCAGAATAACGGATGGCTCTCTCCTCGAGAAGGTTGTGATACTATGACATAAGGAATAGGAGAGTCGGCTCGACATTGGAGGGGAGCAGTGCTAGACTCACTCAACGCGCCGTCTTCGCGTCGATGTCATCCGAGCGACCCACGCATTGGAAACGCCAATCCACGTGACTAGCCGCAGCCTCGCAGCCTTGCCGATTCAGCGCGTCGCATCACGTGCAGCCCACCAAACCGGGATTCGGTATGACGCAGCTGCCCGCCGTTGAGGCGCCGCCAAAAAAAAACTGCTGAGGGACGAGAAAGTTGTGGGTGTGGGGTTGAATATTGGAAGCCCATTGCCCATACCGTACTTCCCATGCACCCAACGTCCAATTCTCCAACTTTCAGAAGAAATTCGTACCTTGTGACCATTCACTGCAGATGACACTCGAGGCCTTGAGCTTGCAACCCTCATGTCGCTGACATCGAGACCGCCTTCGATCATTTTATCGTTATCCTAGTTGTCACAGAAGCCTTGATTGCTCCTTACTCTCCCTATACATAGCTAGGTCTGCTTCCTCCGCGACCCGCCCGATCGATACCTACTTTGCACGAAGATGTTCTTCCTCCTCCGATACGTTCTCTATTTCCTAGGCTTCTACTTCGTCACCATGTTATCCTGCTTCGCTCTCTATGCCTATCTGCCGCAGCCTCCCAAGATCCTGGGCTTCGTTGCCCGCACTATGGCCGCCTACATCAGCCTCATAGCCTGCGCAGCCTATGGCACGATATCCTCTGCTATCCTCCGAGTCTTGGGACTGCATTTTGCGTATGCTCAATGGACGACGGCCAAAGCATTCAAGAATCTCTGCACCTATACAGTGGGCGTGAAATTCGACGTCTTGGACAACGGCTACGAGATCCTGAACAACACCCGCCCCGCGGTCTTCATCCTCAACCACCAAACAGAGCTAGATGTACTGTTGCTGGGTTGGATATGGCCAAAAAACTGCTCTGTCACGGCAAAGAAATCCCTTCGCAACGTCCCATTCTTGGGCTGGTTCATGACCCTCTCTGGCACCGTCTTCATTGATCGGGTGGACAGAAGTGCAGCTCTGAAGGCTTTTGAGGGTGCTGCCATGACCATGCGAGAAAAGAGACAGAGCGTTGTCATCTTCCCAGAGGGGACAAGGAGTTATTCCACCGAACCGATGCTGCTCCCTTTCAAGAAGGGTGCCTTCCATCTGGCTGTACAGGGCGGTGTGCCTATTGTACCGATTGTGGCAGAGAATTATAGCAATGTGTTGAACCCCAAAGCTAAGAGGTTTAACGCAGGAACAATCCGAGTCAAAGGTAGGTTGGACGCATGAATGAAATTGGACCTGAAATCCGCTTTCGAACTAACACTTTGCACAGTTCTGGATCCTATTCCCACGAAAGGCCTCACGGCGTCGGACGTTGATAAACTAACACAAGATACTCGCGAGAAGATGCTCGATGTCATAACGGCCATGGGCAAAGACTCGCAGTCACAATCCGTGCAGAATAAAAAAGACTCCTGAGGCCGAACCAACGGCTCGGCTATTTGTTATGAAGCTCGAGTCTAGCGGTCTGCGTCAGATTGTACCGGAAGGGCGATGAAGATGTTCCAGAAGTCAAATTCACTTCGCTTCCGCTCGAAGAAAGATCCTAGAACTCGCGTCCTGAGAGCGCCAGAAACCGCGCTTCTTCGCCCCATGCCCTACATTTTCTCGTTGTGGAATACCCATTATGAGTGGTTCTCACCAGACAAAGCCAACACTTTTACACAAGACTTCGAGCAGCACGCAGCAGGCGCTGCGCTTCTCACTCGACACGGACTGAAAAGAATAACCCGTTCACGACTTACAGGATATATTTGAAAACGTGCTACGGCACGACGGCAGGACAAGGTACGAGTGGGACTAGGAATTTCGCTGAGTGTCGTGGTTGCCGCTGGATTATCAAAAGAGCTATACCATGCAGTCAGGAGAAAGGAGGGATTCAAGTGTAAGAAACGAAAAGACCCAGATCAAGATGGCTGGCAATTCTGATACCCAATGCCTTGGAGGCAGGCGCAATGACATACCCGGCTGGGGATTTGCTGTGATTTTCAGCGCGACGATTATCCACGTATCATTGATTACATCGGATAGAGGCATGAGCAGATCGAGTTGCAGCGCATAGCATCGCATAGCACGGCGTGACGTGGTGTGGCCCAGGGTTAGAGCCACGAGCATAGATATTCAAAGACAAAACTATTTCTTCCCCCCCTTTGTACAGCCTCGCTCCCTTTTCCGCCTTATCATCAGCATGTCTATCATCTATCATTTCGGGCGGAGACAAAGACGTCAAAACTCCTCAAAGGGCCGGACCAGCAGGCCCGCCTGGCCGAGATGCTCCTTGACCTGCGCAACTGTGTATTCGCCTCGATGGAACTAGAAGAGCAGCGCCCCAAGACGAAGGGGGGACGAAAGTCAGCGCACATCACACCGTAATCTGCGCGGATACACGGAAAAAAGGAGCACGTGGCTCGACAGATTGAAAGACCGAAAACAAAGGGGAGGAAAATTGGAGGAGGACGAGAAACTCACCATGCCGGCGCCCAGCGCCGCGTCCACGCCGGTCTTTCGAAACACCTCCTCGAAGTGGGACGGCACGCCGGCGCCCGAGGAGGCGATGACGGGCACGCCGACGGCGGCCTTGACCATGTCGATCAGCTCGAGGTCGTAGCCGCGGTTGCTGCCGTCGCGGTCGATGGCGTTGAGCAGGATCTCGCCGGCGCCGAGGGCCTGGACGGCCGTACACAGCTGGACAACGTCGAGGTCGCGCGTCTCGCGCCCGCCCTTGATCGTGCACGCGTACCAGACGTGTTGCCGGCCATCGGCATCGGGAAAGGCCGTCCGGACGGTATGGTGGGCGGTGTCGGACGGCGAGGACACGAAGACGCGTTTCGGGTCGACGCTCACCACGACCGCCTGCGCGCCATACGCCGCCGAGATGGTCTCGATCGAGGTCCGCCCCGTGAGGTGGCCGCCGGAGGCGTGGTACTCTTCGGCGGCCAGCACGGCGTCGGATCCGATGGACACCTTGTCGGCGCCGGATGCGAAGTACAGTTTCGCGACGTCGAGGGCCGAGACGGTCTTGCCCGTGGCCGGGTCCGTCATGTCGCGGATCCCGCCCCCGATCGTCAGCGGCACGAAGACGGTCTCGCTCGTCCGCCGCAGGATCTCCAGCATGGGCAGGTCCGTGATCGGGCAGTCGCGGAAACTCGTGATGTTGAGGAACGTGATCTCGTCGGCCCCTTGCTCGTAGTAGCGCCGCGCCATGTCGACCGGTTTGCCCAGGTTGCGCACCTGTCCTGGGCCCGTGGTCGAAGTGACGGACTTCTCGCGCACGTCGTACTGGTCGCCCTTGGTCACGACGAGATCGCCCTGGTCGTTGGTGCGGACGTCCAGACAGGCGATTATGCGTCGGGTCAGGCCGTTTGTTCCTCCATCTGTCTTCCCTGCTAGGGACGAGGGTGCTCCGTTGGCTGCTGTTGAGCTAGTCCCGGGGACGGATGGAATCACCGGATCCGACCAGATGTTTCCCTCAAGAAACGCCTTGATGACTCTCAGCCCAGCCGCGCCGGATTTCTCGGGGTGGAATTGCGTCGCAAACACGTTTCCCTTGCCAATGGCGCCCACGTAGGATTCGTCACCGTAAGTGGCGGTGGCGACGACCCATCCGCTGGCCTCAAGCTCGCCAGGCACATACGGCGCAAAGTAGCTATGCACGTAGTAGTACTTACTTCGTTGGTTGAGACCGTAAAAACTCCTTCCTTTCTCCAGCGCCGCTGTCTGGTTTTGGTCTGAGTCATGGTGAAGCGTAGAAGCGTCATTCCAGCCTATACAAGGCACGGACTTTTTCGACCCGTCCGCATTCTCGGCTGAGAAGCGTTTGAGCGACGTAGGAATGATGTTCAGGCCAGAAACACTGGGTGCCTCTTCTGAGCCAGTGAACAGCGCCTGGAGGCCCACACAGATGCCAAAGAAAGGCTTTCCACTGGAGATGTGGGATTGGATGGCGGGGAGGTAGCCTGCCGTTGAGAGAGACGTTAGGCAATGACCAAAGTGGCCGACTCCTGGAAGGATGATTTTCTGTTTGAAGAAGAGCGCGGATTGTTAGAATCGGAAGATGCGACATATAAAAAAAAAGCGAGAAGGGAAAGGAGCGCGAAAAACGGAGAGGAGCCAGCCGTCCGCAAAGAAGGTCCACGAAGAGAAGGACAACAAATCCTTAGTCCAGCAAACGACCGATATCGTGAAGTCTGTTGTCTCTCTAGACCTCAGGGCGGTCCGACTCCCATTCCCTGGGTCTAGAAGGAGAGAGGGCCTTCCCAAGGACCATGCCTTCTCGACAAGCGCAAGTCCCAAGGCCCGCAGAACAAAAGATGACGACCACGTAGAGACGTAGATTCGCAAGACTCACTTCTGCCTTCTGGACGTCCTCGGGACTCCGGATCCACTCAACCTCCCAGCCGCATTTTTCGATCGCGTTCACCAGCGAGCGGATGTTGCCCGCGACGTAGTCGAGAAGGTGGACTTTGGGCATTCTTCCCATACACCAGCAAGTCCCTTTCTCTTATAAGACAGACAAGGATAACAGGAGGACCGGGTTTCGTCGGAGATCTAAGACCTTGGTCCAAGGATTGATGTATCGCAATTCGTGAGGCTGCGCAGGTCGTTCAGGGCAGATCCATCTCGTCTCCAGTTTCTGCTTAAACACCAACCTGTCGCTTTGGTCGAGGATTGTTGTGGGTTAAGCGTGGGAACCAACAGAAGGATGAGAAGTTGTGGTCGAGGTCAAAGCAGAGAAAAAAATCACGAAGTGAGTTTTCCGCCTTTGCAGGCCAAATTCGGAAGTGAGTCACCAATTCGATTGGCTGAAGAAGGACGACAGAAAAACGCCCTCACGACCACAACTGAATCACATCTTGACCGGCTTATGAACTCGAGGCCAACGACCGAGACATGACAACTAGGGATTGGGGCACCAGAATCCAGAATATTACATTAATCGTCTCATTCATCGTCCCTCCAGCACTATATCATAACTGCGGACCTGCTAGACACCAATAGTCTTCCACGGAGACGCCTCCCCTGCCATCCAAACACGCCATTTCCATTCCCATATTGTACATTTTTGGTATCACATCGCTGGTCGTTTCTTGCATTCCGTTTGAGCCTTGAGCTGTGGGCGCAGAACTTCATCTACTGTGTGGTAGCCCGGATCGCCTGTAGCAAAAGCGCAAAGATCAACCCCTTCGCCACATTTTCCATCTGTAAACAGTCGAACACTTTCCCCAGCGCTTCTCCACTGGCGGCTGTGCCCATCACGCTGGTCAACGCCTGCGGCATACCCCTCTCAATAAGAAGCTTTCTCGCCTTCAGACGCAGCTGCTCCTTCTCTTCGGCCGTCAACTCCTTCGGCCAAGTAGACCTCTCTTCCGCAGTGGGTAGAGTGTTGTATCGCAGAGTGTTGATATGCGTTGCCACTCCCTGGTCGGAGAAATTTGCGTCGAGCACACTTTCTTGCAGCAACGCACGGATGGACTCTAGTTGGGGATTGTTTGGACGGAGGAGGAACGTCTTAGCTGCACCGAGGAGGGACAGCCGGATTGACCACGCGCCCGACAAAGAGTAGAGCTCAGTAAGTATGGCGAAGATAAGTTCTATCAGGATGCGGGTCTCTTCTTCCGAGACCGGGATATCCTTTTTGGCTCGTCTCGAGGGTGTCTTTGCGGGCGCATTGGTCGTCGGGGGCGCCGAGCCTGAGTCCTCCCATTTTAACGATGGAGCAGGTGTTGATGGATTGGCCGTGATGGTATCTTGCCGGGATCGTGGCGGCGTCTCCTGTTTGGGGAGCGTGATGGGTTGATAGTCGTCTGAGATGACACTGGGTGGCGGAGGCATTGATATAACTTCCTCTGATTGACGACCCGATTCGTTCAAGCTGATTGGTGATTGAGGATTTTCCTCCTGGACTGCGACTCCTGCACTGGGTCTTGCGGGTAATGGGGGCGGCTTGGGTTCAGCACTGTCGGTGCTTGGCCGTGGCAGCTCCTGACTCATTCGCGAAACCGAGGTGGAAGATTGGCCCGTATGATTTCTTGACGGCGTAGGTCTTGCTGCAATGAGCCTCTTTGGTGCTCCTCCGACCCCGGTGGCCACGGCTCCGAAGACGCCCTGGACGCCTCCCAGCACGGCCTTGCCGCCGCCAGCAATGTTCTTTCCGCCCTGTCCCAATACATTGATGAAGTTCTTGCCAACGTTTTCCAATGCTGCACCTCCTTGTACCAGAACGTTCTTGGTCTGTGCGGGCGCCTTTTGAAGCCCGGTCTCTTTGTCGAGGAATTTTTTCATAGCTTCTGTCTCGGCCAACGGCTCATACTTGACAACAAATCTCAGGTAGGCCTCCAAACTTTGGGAAAGCGTTGCGCTCGTCTGGCCTCTCCAAGTTGGCAGGTTCGGATACTTTTGCGCGAATTCCGGGACGCCCGAGATGCGAGCAATTATGGTCAGAGTCTGGTGAAGGGGCTCGAATTCCGGGTACCTGCGGGACACCATCCACCCAGGGTAGCGATGCGATGCGGGCTCTATTTGGAGCAAGTACTCATTGTTCGGTCTCTGTCGGAACGCAGCTCGTTCGTTGAGGTCGCCAAGGTCAAGAATGGTGATGGAGGCATTGTGCAGTGTCAGTGGGACTGCGATCATGGTTTCAACGGGTGCCGGGGCCGTCGAGACAGGTTGTAGCACGTTTGGAACTGTCTCTGCCAATTGATCAAAACTGGTGAAGGACTCTTGTTCTTTGCTGGGGCTTGGAGTTGACGATTGGTAGGCATTGCCGTCATTGTCGAAGACCAACGATGTGTCCAAGGAGTTTTCTCCATGCCGATTTCGATCACTGTCCGAGGAGGTCGGTGTAGCCATCCCGACATCATTGGTGGCGACGGAACTGGTTTCTTCGGGCTCGCTCGGGACCAGTCCGCGTTTCCGCCGGGCTTCATCCTCCGCAATCATTTCGTTCAGCCTTTGAGCTTCTCGCATGGCCTCCTGCATGGCCTCTTCTGCCTTACTCATGCGGCGATCGTGGATCTTGCCGGCATCACTGTTCTCCTTGGCTTGCGACATGGCTTCATTCATATCTTCAACCCCAGCATCGATAGCATTCATGAGTTCGGGTTCGCCATCCTGCAGCAGGTAAACAATCCAGCCATTGATGAACTCCGGTTTGGAGCACATGTCAATGGTGGTTTCGAGCACAAGTCCGGCCAATACCTCCCTTAGGAACGTTTTGACCGGCGGACAATTGTAGGACTTGGGCTCGAGGAAGTTCTGTAAGATGTCGTCCGCCACAAGATTGAGCTTCCGCTCTTGCTGTTCTCTGCTGAGCACATTGGCCAAATTGCTGTCTGGCTGAAATTGCAGATAGGTCTTCACGGCGGTCTCCGCGTCCTGATTCGATGACGCCTTAATGGCGGTGGAAAGTTCGTTCAGGAAGACAATGATGATGGACGTCGAGTTGGCGAAGAAGTCGAGGACCGGATCGGCAGTCCGTTTCCGGGAGAGATGGTTGGAGAAGGAGACGACGAAGCTGGTAAAGGTCTGTCTGCACATGGCTGGAAATGACTGGTCTCTGGGAAGCAGCGGACTATACCACCATTTGACGTAGTCTCTCATAACAGCATCGGTCAGATTGGTGAGAGCGGCTCTTGTCTCGGGTTCGAAGTCGGAGTAATCCAGCGTCTTCACCTCGGCCTTGGAGTCGACGAGACTGTCGTCCTCGTCATCCTTGGGCGCTTGTCTCCTTTCTCGCCAGTCCAGCACTCTGTGTGCGACCTCGATGCCTAGCTCTTTCCTTCTCCGGTTGATCTCCTGATTCTCACCGTCCAGTTTTCCGCCATACTGATTTTCCCAGGTAGCATGAAGGACGACGCCGCCAACGGCGCCGATGAGAACTAAACCGACTCTGCCTAACACTAGGTAGGTAGAGGCACAGAGGCCCACAGCGCAGGCCCCGAGCGTCTCATTACTCGCATTCGCAATGAACCTGAGGGTAGCATCGAGCACCGCAGACGTTGTCAGCGCTTTCGACGGTAGTGGTTGCGGGGTGTGCGTAGGATTTGATTGTGGTTTATGTTCGGGGGCCGTGGATGGTTCGATTTGGACACCGTCGCCTTGAGGCGCTTCGCGAGGATGAGATGTTTCTTCCATAGCCAATTTCTCTCATAGTTGTCGGTTCCCAAGTCCGCCAGCGCTGGCAACAGTGACTCGCGGCGTACGGTCTGCCTTATGTAGCAGGGTAGCGCAAAGGACACCGTTGAACCCGCATAAGCCGGGCATTCGGAGCGCGTGTTGAGGGCCCAGGTCAAAGAAGGGGGCGTGCGGCCCCTGCACGGTTCGAGCCTCCACATGTGAGGCGCGTGGCATGCGGGCGATTGATGATCGACCCCTGTCGCCCCGTCAAAAAAGGTTTCTGCCGCATATGAGAAATTTTGATTCGAGGGCTGCATGCTTCGAAAAAAGTTCATAGACCTTTTGGTCCTTGTTTCTCTACCCGAAAGTAGGGTAACCTAACCATAAATTTTCTGTGGAATTACTACCTGTACCATGTCCGACCAACTTTGCTCGAGCTGCCACGAGCCTCTGCTCATCGAGGTTGAGCCAGATAGCGATGTTGAAGAGAGCAAGGCGGCGGCCCAAGTCCAAAGCGTCCCCGATGATGTGGAATTGTCCTGTGGCTGCCATTACCATTGGTATGTGTTCCTGGTCGTCTTAAGGCTATGATAACTCATTTGCCATGTCAGGGAATGTTTTCTAGAGTCCTACACCATCACACAATGCCCAAACTGCACCAAAGACATATCCTCTCTTTCTCCCACTGGGTCGCAACAGGTATTGGTTACTCTCCGGAACGAAGGCGGCGTCCAGGAGCACTATGACATCCTCCCAGCAGCCACCGAAGAAGCCTACCTGCGCGCATACCCCGAAGAGCGGAAAGGTCATGCCTACCTGGAATTCTGTCGCGAAGGCGACATCGATGCCATCATCCACATGATCAAGGACTCTGAGGAAGAGGAGGACGAAGAAGACGACGGGGAGATTGCTGACATATTGCGATACCGGGGTACGTTCGAGGGTATTGAAGGTTCGGGGTTACACGTCGCCATTCGATATAACCAACAAGAGGTGGCATGGCTACTGCTGGCTCTCGGATCTCAACTCGACTGGGCCAAGTTTCCATCACTTGTTCTCCAAGCCATGCAAGGTTTGGGATTGCGCAAAGAAGACAGGAAAGGTGAGCCAGATATCAGGACTCTGGTTGACAGTGATGGGCGAACACCCGCTGCATTGGCAGGAGAGCTCGGAGGCTTGTGGTCAGAATGGCTTAATGAGGGCCGATTGATCCCTTGACTTTCATTTCGAGTTGACTTTGTCTCACGCCATAATTCTCACAAGGACCTGCGTTGTGTCATCGGTCGCTAGAGATCTAAAGCAATAGGCATGATATGTTTGTTCTGCGACGTCCGAGTGAATCATAGCAGAATGGAGGAGTGTTGCTGCCTGATGCAAAGAAGACGCCGGGCTGATTGAGGTATCTCGTCGACTCACGAGCTGTTGGTCTGCTCCCGGTCTCGAAGAATGTATTTTGTATGAGTGCCATGGGCCACCACGCTTTTATTTGTCTCTTCGCCTTTGTATATTGTGACAGTGGTAAAACCCATGTTCTTTCCCACCTTGCTGACATTGGCTTCGATGGTCAAAGTGTCGCCTAATTTCGCGGTCGAGACGTAGGAAACATGAATATCGGTACTCAATCCAGTCTTTTCTAGCCCGGTACTGGCAATGGCCATGCCCCCGGCCCAATCAACGATAGTTGCGGAAACTGAGCCATGCAGACCACCTTTGGAATTGAGCAGAGTGGCGGAGACAGGAAGTCGAGCGACCATGGAGCCATCTGTGGCACTGACGAGTTCAATGTCCGAGAAGAAGAATTTGTAGACAGGCGAGTTCTGAGAGACGCGTGCCCAACATGCTTGGACGCTCTCCAAAGGTGTCTTGACCGAACCCATCTGGACAGCTAGAGTCGACGGAAAAGCAAATGTTCAAATCCCAGCTCTATGATCTTGCAACTGAACGCAAACGCAGGTAACGCAAAAAGAGATGGAATGACTACGCACATTGGGAGAGCGGACACTCAACGAAATATGAAGTGAAACTCCGAGCGCAGGTGAAGGAATTTCGCCGCACACCGCCTTTTGCTCCGAAGCGGCAGAAAAAGTTCCCTGGTGCGTCTCCACAAATTGAAACTTGCCCGCGACCTCGAAATTTTTTGGAGCCTCTACATGCGCCTGCCCTGCCAGCCACGGCATTGAGTCCAGTACGCAGCGCAAATGGCCGAGTCGAAGAAGCGCAAAGCCGTGACTAGAGACGTGGACGAGGATGCCGCCGTGGTGTCCGGGGACGAATTCGACCTTGCAAATTTGGACGGTACTCTCGCGGACGAAGAATCTGCCAGTGGCAGTGACGATGACGGTTTGAGCAGTGGAGCCGAGGACGAGAGCGATGCAGTGTCTGTAGGAACTGGAGAATCAATGTCAGGAGATGATGAAGATCTACTCAAACCCAAAAAGAAAGGCCAAGCAGAAGATGCCAAAGAGGTGGACATTGGCGTCCAGGACGTTGTCTCTACATCTGAGGAGGAAACACTTGATGAAGAACCCCCCAACTACGAGACCGTCAAGGATGCGAACGGAAACGACAGATATATCTATCCCGAGATCGACCCCGGTGACGACTCGGATTACTCGGTCCCAGACAACGAGGCCAACACGATTGGGAATATCCCTCTGTCTTTCTATGATTCTTACCCTCACATCGGCTACAACATAAATGGGAAGAAAATCATGAGGCCAGCTAGAGGAGAAGCACTCGATGCGCTCCTGGATAGTATTGAGGTCCCCAAGGGGTGGACCGGCCTCACAGACCCTGCCACGGGGAAGCCCTTGGAGCTCAGTCAAGATGAACTGGAGCTGTTGAAGAAGGTGCAGATGAACGAGGTCGCCGCCGACGGATACGATCCGTACGAGCCCACGGTCGAATGGTTCACTAGCAAAACCGAGACGATGCCTCTGAGTTCTGCTCCAGAACCCAAGCGACGGTTTGTGCCGTCCAAGCACGAGGCAAAGCGGGTGATGAGCCTTGTCCGCGCGATTCGAGAAGGCCGCATCTTACCTTACAAACCGCCTCAAGAGGAAGAGGAGGAAGAGGAGGAGGTACAGAATTATGACATCTGGGCCGACGAACAACCCAGGGCAGACCATGCCATGCACATGCCTGCGCCGAAACTTCCCCCTCCTGGATTTGACGAAAGCTACCACCCGCCGCCAGAATACCTCCCAGACAAGAAGGAGAAGGAGGCCTGGGAGAAGACCGACGAAGCAGACCGAGAGAAAGATTACTTGCCCACGGACCACACGTCATTGCGGAAGGTGCCAGGTTATGAACGATTCGTCGAGGAGAAATTCGAGCGATGCCTGAATTTGTACCTAGCACCTCGAGTGCGCCGGACGAAGCTCAACATCGACCCCGACTCCCTCTTGCCCAAGCTGCCGAATCCAGATGAACTCAGACCATTTCCCACGCACGAGGCGGGCCGTTTCCATGGCCACACAGGTCGTGTACGGTCCTTGGCCATTGATCCATCCGGACTCTACCTCGCGACTGGGGGTGATGACGGTACGGCCAGAGTTTGGACCCTGCTGCCTCCGCGCGAAATCTGGTCTGCGAAATTGACCGCGGACGCCGCAGTCAATGTCGTTCGGTGGCGCCCGGGGAAAGACACGCCTATATTGGCTGCCTGTGCCGGAGACGACATCTATCTCTGCGTCCCCCGACTGGGTACCGACTTCAGCGCCGAAGCCGACGCTGCCCAAGCAGTTCTGGATGCAGGATGGGGATATGCCGCCTCCGAGGGCAGCAGCACATCCAAGTCCACGAGCGTCAAGTGGAGCCGACCGAGCTCTTCCCAACGGGATCAGGACGTCGCTCTGGTCATCCATCTAGGCCACACAGCGAAGACGCTATCGTTCCACTCGGCCGGCAACCACTTTGTCACCATCTGCCCTGCCACGAGCGTCCCAGCGTCCCAGGCCATCGCCTTCCACACCATCTCCAAACATCAAACCCAACTGCCCTTCCGCAAGCGTCTCAAGGGCGGCGGCACCCCGCAAGTGGCGCACTTCCACCCGAGCAAGCCGGTGCTGTTCGTGGCCAACCAGCGGGTGATCCGGGCGTACGACCTGTCGCGGCAGACGCTGCTGAAGATCATCCAGCCGGGGGCGCGATGGATCAGCAGCTTCGACATCCACCCGACGAGCGCCGCGACGGCGGGCTCGGACCACCTGGTCGTCGGGGCCTACGACCGGCGCCTGCTGTGGATGGACCTGGACCTCTCGCCGCGGCCGTACAAGACGCTGCGGTTCCACGAGAAGGCCGTGCGTGCGGCGCGCTTCCACCCAGCCGCCACCCGGTTCCCGCTCTTCGCCGACGGCAGCGACGACGGCAGCATCCAGGTCTTCCACGGCCAGGTCACCAGCGACATGATGAGCAACGCCCAGATCGTGCCCCTGAAGGTGCTGCGCGGGCACAGGATCACCGGCGGCCTCGGCGTCCTCGACCTGGACTGGCACCCCCAGCAACCGTGGCTCGTGAGCGCCGGAGCGGATGGCACTTGTCGACTGTGGGTTTCTTGAGATAGACCCCCTTGGAAGAAGTGGAGTTTTAGGATGTGCTTTGACTAGGCAACTGGATTCTCCTCACGAAGGAGGAAAATAGTGGCACATATAGCCGTTGAAATGATTCCTGTCTTTGCAGAACGCATGTGAGGGGCATGTGTGCTTCTAGTTGGCTATCTATCCGCCCGTCTCCTCTCAACCGGGAGAACAGTTCCACTCTTTTCACGTCCTGTCGGGATCTAGAGGAAGTAAATGCCTGACTCATGCATGCGAAACCGTCTTCAAGAAGGGAATGGCCATGAAACCCCTTTCGCCGTCGCAACAAATGCCTCTCTTACGCCCAACCCTGGGGCCCATTGTCACTCATCCGTATCACGTTACATAGACCCGGCCACGGCGACTGCCATGGATCCCATTCAAGGTGAGACGCACGATTGAACCAGGCTCTGGTCACGCGGTGAAAGATCTGTTCGCTCTGGACTAGCCTCCGAGGTTTTCAATGTATCCGCGCTCATCTCTCTGACGCGCTTCAACTCTTCCCATGTGCGACAAATGGATCTGTTTCCGCCTTTTCGCGCGGCTTCGAGCAATTCATCCATCGGACTTCGACCGGGAGGTCGGATTGGAAAAGGCTTTCTTTTGGAATGTGGTCAACAGATTGGATCAGGTCAGCACCGCGCTCGGGCCCCCAAGCAGCATCGATCAAGGACGTTGACATTCAAACACGGCTACTTTTGCAAATTCTCGGGGATGGGAGAGTGGGAGGTGATCCAGAGGGGGCCAGGATTCTATGTCAAGATACTATATCTGGATAATGAATGACCTGTGTCTCATGATTGACGGATTTCAATGCCATTGACGAGTTGCTGTCCATCTATTTATTCTATGAAATCGGGTCATGGCCATTGCTTTTGATTTCGGATGCATATTTCCCGTTGCTGTGCTTTTCGTACAGTCCTGATGCATGATTTCCGGGTGCGTGAATCGCACTGTCCTGGACCTGCGTCGCTGCCCGTTGTCCGTCATACCATGCGGAAAAAGTAGATGTATGCGAACTTCTTCATTTCGTCCACGTCCACGGCCTGGACGACCTTCTCGTCGTTGAAAAGAACCCACTGTCGTTCCTTGCCTTCGCCGGGAATCGCCTTCCGAATGAATGCGACATAGTGGCCGGCATGAATGCTGGCACCTTTGTGGCATACAATACTCTGAAGCTCAAATTTGGCGGGCAGTTGATCGCTGCCGGGGAGTGCTTTTGGCTTACTGGGGCCCTCATTGACATCCTCGCTAAAATCCCCTTGGTCATCTGGATGGCTGAAGACCCAGTCTAGAGCTCGGTTGACGTCGCCGTTGCATTCTCGTAGCGCTTTCCGTGCCTGTGGCACACTGATCCCCATGTCTCCAAGCTGAGCAATCTTGTCAGCGTCGTCGCCTGAGCCGGTTCCACCGCCGCCACCACCACCAAGATTTAGAGGTTCGTCAATATCAGGGTCATCCATATGCGAAAACAGCCAATTCATGGCTGCCTCGGCATCCGCGTTGCCCGTGGCGTGCAGTGCCTTTTCGCATCGCACCTGAGGGAAGCCCATTGACGCAAGCTGCTCGAGGGCTGCTTCGTTCGGTATAAATGCGCCTGAAGACGATTTAGACTCTCCCACGTCTGCATCTTCAGGCAATTCCTCCTCACTCGGTTGCAATCCAAGAGATTTGTAAGGGCTTAGGTCAAACGGTTCATCCGATACCTGGACAGGGATGTCGAGTTTGGTGGGCACCCAGTTGATGATTTCGAAGCGGAGAGGATTGATCGCAAGGTTGCGGGGGAATGTCTTAAACTTGGACGACTTTGAAAACCCTGCCTTGGAGCCACAAGCCGGGCAGGTTAGTTCCACGGAAGTGGAAGCGGTGAAGATGTCTAGGCATTCCTTAAGTGAGACCGGCTCGAATTCGGCACCTTTCGTCGTATCTGCCGCTCCACCGTCGCCGTTGACGACCTGTTTTCTTCTGACTGGTACAGGAATAGAGATGTTGTCTTGCTCGTCGGTTCTATATCGCACTCGCTTGCACTTCAGGCACTGCAAGCGTTGTTCTAGTGCGAAGCGAAACGACTGAACTGGGTCTTCCGAAGGGCGAGAGCCATTGGAGATATTGATGAGCTTGAAGAGATGGAGGAGCAGTTCAAAAGCGTCCTGTTGTCTCATGGTCGAGAACTCCTCATGTCCTCGTCCGATCAGATGTTTGAACATGGCAGGGGAGAGACCTTTCTGATGTGGAACTTCCGGGTTGTCGGGCGAGGCATGAACGTTCTTTTCGGGGCGAGAATAGCGGCCAGAGAGGATACCGTCAGCAAGCTTCCGCAGCTGTGTCTCTAGATCTTCGGCGGGGAGTTCAGCGGCTGGAGGGGGTTCGTTAGGATGATAGTACCGCTGTTGAAAGTCTGGCAATGCGAACAGGCATTGTACAGTGCTTGCAAGGTAGCAACTGTTGCCGATATTCTTTAGTCCTGTGAGACCCGGCCCAAAGAGCGGAGACAGCTCTTTGCCATCTTCTGTTGTCATGGAAAAGTCCCATTTCAGGTTTTGTTCCACCTGCATCTCCATGAGACTCTTTTCGGTCTTTTCCCGTTCAGCAATGTTGATACCCCAGTGAGCGAGGTGCTTGGCAAGGTCATTATCGACACGCTCTTCGTTACACTGGTAGCAATAGACGTCGGCACTGCCTTCCGGAGTGATGGAACCGAGCTTGACGGCAACAGCATGACCAGTCTCTGTGGCATGGCCCAGGCCGTGAGAGTTGCCACCGATACCACCGAATTGTGCGCGGCCACATCCCAGGTTGCCACATTCCAAGCAGAGCCACAGGTTCTCTTTCAGATCGCACATAGAACATGATCCCAGGTTCTGAGATTCAATTTGTCGGCTAGGCTGCTGCTCCAGGCAGAGAGTGTGTTCGCACGGCGTAAACTCTTGCTCCCATGCCTTGACTTCTTCTGACTTGGCAAAGGTCATGGCCTTCATGACTCCGTCCACAACTGCAGGCAGATTCCCCGAATTCTTATTCACATCCTGTATTTGACATGCATAGCACTTGACTCTTGTGACTGTGTCATACTTGTCCTCCTCTGTCTCCGCGGCAATGGCGAGTTTGGTAAGCTTTGGAGGGGGCTCATCTCGTTGGACTTGTTTTCGGGTTCGTTTGATGTTCAGGACCAGTGGATGTTCTGTAGAGGAGTAGTGCAGTAGAGAGTGATTACGATCCCCGGCGCAGCCACCATTGAAGCAATGCAGGCAGACGTCGAGGCCGGCCGCATCGTCTATGGAATCGAAGCACTGGGTGCAGTCTTCGCGGTAGACGCTCTGGTTGGGTCTGGGAGGATGCAGAGTATCTAAATAAGCATGAGGACACTCCATGACGATTTCGGAGGCGGACTTATGTCGTGTGAAAGGTAGGGAACGAAGGTTGACCAGAATTAAAGGACGATGAGGTGGCACGGTGGGAAGGCAGAGGCACAGGAGCAGCCCGCACTTCAAGTGACGAGGCTCCGCCCACCAAAGAGCTGCGAGGCTGACGTATTGCTTTGCGCCGCTGATTGGTCACTGGTGGCAAATACTTTGAGAGCCACTTACACCTTTGTACAGGAAAAGCTTACGCTGAAAACGACCTCAACCTCCAGAAAATGTATCAAAAATACCTGTTGTATCTAGGTTGCCGAGGAAAGAACTCAAGATTGCAATGAAACGATAACATCCCCCAGCCACATTCCATGCTTCAAGTATCCGCCACTCCAATCCTCCCCACAACAGGCCACCCCGTCGATCTGGGGGCGCCGGGGTAGGAGACCACTTGAATATGAGAACTTCATCGCAGGCTACTCCGGACACGAGTACGAGCACCTGCCGCCATGATCCAAGTCCTCGGATCCAAGAATGCGAGATTCTTCCCGTGAAGCATCTTTGGGGGTACTCCTCCACCGATGCAGACGCCCGATTCGTTGTGAGTTATGTATTGAATTGTAATCGAGTCCACTCAATTACCGACTTTCCATCGACTACCAGACTTCAGAGACGCACAATCCCGAAAGGCTTTGCAATATCGATCGCATGGTGGGAATCTTCTCCTTCATGGCTTGTAGATCATATTGATTTGTCCTCTGTCCCGGCAGGTCAGAATTAAGACTGGCATGGTGACAGCTTTGACGCGGAAGATTCTTGCGGCTCTTGTTGGGGCTTGAAGTGGCGAGCAACCCGACGCCCTTGCGATGAGGACGAGCAGTCGCATGCTTCGTGACATTTTTGCTTGCTTTGGGGGCTGCCTTCAGCGATGCTCCATCGAGGTAAAGTTTACCAGGGGATTTCTTCGCCGTTGAACGACAAGAACTTCCCTGAGAACTCTTCTCTCGTTGCTTTGTCGATCTGCTCAATCATCCCGTTAACCCCATCCTGAATGGGTACAGGTGCAGCCGCCATCCCTGCGCCCCTTGCAGCATGATTGCCTAACTGCGATGAATGGTTAGACGTTCGAAGCTCAAGACGTGTGCATCGACTTACGTCTGTTTGGAGCCAGCCCGGGTTGAGGGCAAATACGGTCAGATAGGGGTTTTCATAATGAATCCTTCGGCAAACGAAGTTAACTGCTGCTTTGGATGCGCCGTATGCCGTATTTTCGACCGGTAGCTTCACCACCTGGCTGAGACTTCCAGCACCCGACGACACGACCACGAATTTGGGTGCTGGTGCTGCTTGGAGGAGAGGAGCGGTAGCTTGAAAGAGGAGCAACGGCGCGACAGTGTTGACAGCGAAGTGGTCGAACATTTCCTTTGCTGGTGTCACCATTGCTTTCCCAAAATACTTTGAAATGCCAGCATTAGCAATGACGATGTCGAGCTTTGTGAGGTTGTGTTTGGACTTTAACGTCTCGACCGCCGCTTTCGCATCGCTCTCCGAAGTACTGTCGAGCTTGAGCACTACCACCTTGCTTTCCGTGCCATGGGTCAACATTTGGATCTTTTCTGACGATACGCTGCCTGGATCGCGAAGGCCGGCAATTACAATATGATTTGGTCTCGCAAGGTACGTCGACAGAAGAGCGTTTCCAATCCCTTAGAAACTAAGTAATCATTCGCAAAACCCGCATATTTTGGAACCAAGGCACTGACCTCTGTTCGCCCCGGTGATGAGAACTACAATCTTGTCCGACATATTCGATTGATGGAAGAAGGCTTGACAACAATATAGTATACTTCAAGTTAATTGAGGGATATTATAACGAGTCAGAAGTATAGAAGGCGCTAATAGAGCTTAGAGGGAGACTGAGCGCCGTTCTAGGTACCAGGGATGAGGGAGGCGGGGATTCTGAGGGGATGCTGATTGATGGAATCCTGAGTGCTCTGTATACGCCCTCCGCCAAATGTCATGCATGCATGGTAGTCTAGAAGTTGGACGAATCCCTCCCTGTTTACTGGTTTCAAAGCGGGAGTATTGTTGGTCTCTGGTGTTAGTAGGCGAGTTCCTGTCGGCAAGGCTGGCCAAGTGAGGCTGAAGTAAGGGACGGGAATCTTGGCATCGAGAGAACGCACGCTCCAAAAGCAGCAGCACTGAACCGCCAGATTTGGCGGAAAGTTCCCTGCAACGAGTGTCACGGTTTCGGTTGTCAGCCGCCGCCTACCAGTACCTGAAGCCGCCCAGACATCAACCCCTCGATGCCAGTCGTGTTACCAAACACCACAGGTTTCTTATTCACATACCGCATACCGCGTTTGAACAGAGCCTCCCTGCGGCATAGCCTCCTTCAAAATGCTGCGCGGATAATCAAAAGTGCGTTGTCCCGCGGATCACTTGGTCTGCTGATGGATTCACCTTCTGATCGCGCCATCCTGGACTGAGGCCCTTCTACCTCATTCAAGGTATGCACCATGGCACTTCTGCAGAATGAAGAGTAAGTTGGTTCCAGGTCTACCTCCCTCGACTGAACTCCGTCCTCAAGTTACCATAAATCACACATTTGCTGACCCTGCACGCAAAGTTTTGCCATCTGGTTTCTGCGCACATCTTACCTGGGAAGTGCGAAAGATGGCACTGCGGAGCGACTCATCAATGTGAACTCATCAATCTTAAACACTCCTGGTTTTCGCGCAGCAGGCTGGTCAGCGGATCCCGTTCACCGGACATACTCTCCACCCATTCCGACTTCGATCAACAGCGAGTATCTCAAGGAAGGCGCCGACCTGCAGCAAATAAACTCCCAAGCTGACGAAGACGATGAAGGTGGTCTCGTCACTGGCAGGACTAGCAACGACACCATTGGCCCCGGCTTGAACATTAGGCGAAGAAGAAAGAAGGAGCATGTCGAGGATGACGATAGTAGCGACCTCACCGACGAGTCAGACGAGGAGGCTGACGGTGCGCAACGTGCGGCACAGCAAATTCGCTTTGCAAAGATGCCCTCCCGTCATCGGGCCGACTCTTCTCCAATCCGCGGATCAGATGTAGACGGAGAAAGGACATCCCCATTGAAAGGTCCGACCGACAACAGGCGCCGAACGGGATCTCTTGGTGCGGTTGAGGCCGTCAAAGCTCGTGCCAGGCGGGATACCACCACGAGCAGCGATATGTCCTCGGAGAATGAAGTCGATCCAGCCTATTTCCAGCGTCGTCAGGTCCATGCAGGCCAGAGGTCTAAGTCTGCACCTCACCCCAATGAAGTTCAGTTGAGGGCCGACGCACTACCGGGTCAGCCAGGAGATGTGCAGGATGACTCTGATGCGGAATCTGTCGGATCTGCCATGTCTTCAGAACTAGGCGACACCATGGACTCTGCGTCCCTTCTCAACACCATGGAAGAAACAAATCTTACATCTACACCACCCACGCTTGGTAGTCTGACTGGCTCAGGCTCTCGTTCATCTCAACCAGAATCGCCTAAAAGACAGCGGACGTTGCCGATCCTGCATGAGCTACCGCCTCCTCGACCTATTAGTATGATACAGCCCAAGAGCTTGCTTACAGCGGCCCTCGGTGCACAGAAAAGGGCACCGAGCAACCCCGTGCAGGCATTTGCCGGCCTCTCTGGTAAAGGGACCCCTAACCCACTTTGGATCAAGGTATACACGCCCTTTGCCAATGACGGCGACGAACCTTTCGAGATGCCGCTGGCTCGGAACTCTAAGGATGGTAGTCTGGTCATCGTTGCCGAAGCGATCGGTCACGCTCTGTGGAGATATTGCGAGGAAAAGCGGGAGCCTCCTCTTAGGCCTGAACAGCTCGATGTCAATAAGTGGACACTACGAATGGTGGAAGATGGAGAGGTGGATGATGATTTCCCACCGCTTGTTCGTACGAGGCCCGTGGCGGACTTTACGTACAACAACAACAGAGGCGGTAGAGGTCGTGCAAGAGATCGTCCATTTGATGAGTTTGCTCTTGTTGAAGCTTCTGCCGCTCAGTATGAAGCGAACAAGAAAGAAACGCCTCAGTTTATACCAGAAGCAGCGGCAGAAATTGGTCCTGTCGCCACGCTCGATGGAGCTCCATCACAGCCTCAGGCACCACCGCTTCCCGCGTCAAAGGCACCACCATCGCGAACCAACATTCTCTTGGCTGGCCAGCCGTTCACCTCTGCGCTCAGCAACACGTCCTTGACGCCTGCAGATCTTCCAGCGCCAGCCGCGCCGCAGGCCACTCCGCGCATGGGCGCCACCAAGACGATCAGGATACGGTATCTGAACCTCGAGATGACCGCGCAGACCATGACCATGGAGATCTCGACGGACGGCTACATTGCCGAGATCCTAGACCATGTCTGCAAGAGATGGAATCTTGAGAAGGCTGGGTTTGTGCTTAAAGTGGCGGGGACAAATACCGTTGCGCCCCTGGATCGCACCGTGGAAGCTCTAGGCGCACGATCCGAGCTGGACCTCGTGCGCCGAAGGTTCGGGGCTGGCGCCAGTTTGACGGGCTCGCCGGGCAGCTCTTCGCCCAACGCGCCCCTTTTGCTCGACATCCAAGGTCCTAAGAAGGGCAAGAGAGGCCAGCCCCTCCATCCCCTGGCGCAGAAACAGGACCTGTTGTCGAGTGCCAGCAACTTCAAGAAATACTATGTCACGCGGAAACAGTTGGGCGGCTTTGCTCAAGGGAGTCAGAGGGTTCTTGTGTTTGATGGCGACATCATACATGTCATGCCGGCAGACACAAGCTCCAACGCCAAATTTAGTTCGATTGCATTCAACGATATCTTGAAGTGCAAGGTCAGCTCGAAGCACCCCAAGCTTGTTCGAATCGTGGTGCGACGAATCAACGAGTCAAAACGATATGATTTCGAGGCGCGTACGGCGGGGGAAGCGCAGGAGATTGTGGACGAGGTGACACGGGAAATGCGGTTGGCTCGAGCATAAGGGAAATGTATCTCGCTGGGTGTGTATTGAGTCACGCAGAACATTATCTACCTCGCTGTTATATCGGCACCCTCTGCACGATGTGAGCCCCTAGCGACCTACATAGACACCGACACCATCGAGTACAGGTGGAATTATGTCACTCGGAGATAGCGGCCAGATGCGGTGGTGGCGCGGTTCCCGGGCCCCGGCAAGCCTCGGCTGGGTCGGTCTAGTGCCTAGCGGGCTACTAACCTGTTACCGCACCTGGTACCTCTGGTGCCTCTCTCTACGACATACGTAAGGAGGGGTTGTTCCAGCACCACGGATGACACTAGTGAACGGTGACATACGTGGCTGAGGGGGATGAGGTGAGTGGGCAGAACAGGGAACTGAGAACAGATGGATGGCTATCTGCTTGTAGTAGTGAACAGCACTGAGGGGAGAGACAAACCTAGGTGGCTGTTAGAGGAGTCTAACTACCTGCCTGCGTACGAGTAGACAATCGGATTGTCAAACGTTCAGTTTCCCCGCGTCGCTCAACAGAACAGAGCCCACCGCCATCAGAGCATCTCGCCTGTGGTCGCTACAGTCTCCCTACCAGGTAGCCATCGTGCTTGGCTTGGTGCTGGGCGCTGGGTGCTTGTATTCAACAATCTAGATCCCGCACACCTACTCACCGGCTACTGTAACCTTGCACCCTGCACCCTGCAACTCCCCCTCGCTCGCCCTCCCTCTCCTCTGCTCCTCCTGTCACCGCCCGGCATTGGCCCCTCACCAACTGGTGCTCGTCACTGGTGCCCTCATCGCCAATAATACCATCCACCACTCCCAAAGCTTACAGTTCGGTCTCTGTCGCTCTCTTTACCTAAACTACTTGCTGCTAGTGACGACCCAGAGCCCTGCCCCAGCTCTGGAGGGCAACACAGAGTTCAAAGATCCCGTCTCTCAGCTGTCCAACTTGCAGCTCTTACCTGCCTTTCGATTCCTAGTCGGTGTGTGATACACAGCTTGTCGCCCCTGCTCGATTGTACTTCACTGTTCCTTGAAAAGAAGAGAAAAAAAGAAGGAGCCAAAGCTACAATCTCAATCTTGACTGATCTTGTTGTCGCGGTCGTCACCTTCCCCTCTGCCCTCCATTGGAGCTTATCAGCCTGCGCTGCAGCTTCCCAGCGGCCAGCCCATTACCCGACCGAATAATCGAGCAAACCATCTTGGATTGATCCTGGCCTTTTTTCCTACCTTGCTGCGAGCTGCGAGCTGCGGCTGTTGCTACCCCTCCCCACTTCGCAGTCCATTGCCCTCCCTCACCTAATTCCACGTTCCACGTTGCGACTCGGTGGGCAGTCCAACAGGCCTCCGAGCTCCTCTGGAATCATCCTATTGTTAGCATTCCAGCCTCTGGGAACGTGCGCTTCCCTCCGTCACCCAAATGCCGACCTTTGGAGGTCTGCTCAAGAAAAAGAAGACCAAGGAGTCTTCTGACGACAAACCCGCTCAATCAGGGGGGGCCAGTTATCAGCCCATTCAATACAAGTCCTCACAAAAGACCGACACTGCATCGCCTGTCTCTTCCAAGACCACAGGCGCATCCGATGCCCCCTCCCAAGCTACCACGGCTGTGACAACCACCTCTACTCCAGAACCCCATGCTAAGACAGTCGAAAGCAACGGCGGTGTTGACATGAACGCTGCCCCTGTCGTCAGCCCTTCTGGGGGCGTGGTGGATTCCAAGCCGGTACAGAGACAAACAAAAGGCAAATACACCCTCTCGGACTTCACGATCCAGAGGACCCTGGGTACAGGCTCGTTTGGGCGGGTGCACTTGGTGCAGTCAAAACATAACCAACGCTTCTATGCCATCAAAGTCTTGAAGAAGGCCCAAGTCGTCAAGATGAAACAGATCGAGCACACCAACGACGAGAGACGTATGCTGCAACGGGTCAAGCACCCTTTCCTCATCACCCTCTGGGGCACGTTCCAGGACTCGAAGAACCTGTACATGGTCATGGACTTTATCGAAGGGGGAGAGCTTTTCAGCCTGCTTCGAAAGTCTCAGGTAATGTCATGTCCTTGGTTTGTCCACTGACACCTTGACATTGACCTTCTGTGATAGCGCTTCCCCAATCCCGTAGCCAAGTTCTACGCCGCCGAAGTCACGTTGGCACTCGAATATCTGCACGGACAGAACATTATCTACCGCGACCTAAAGCCCGAAAACCTGCTGTTGGACAGACATGGCCATGTCAAGATCACTGACTTTGGTTTCGCCAAAGACGTCCCCGACATTACATGGACCCTGTGCGGTACCCCGGACTACCTGGCTCCCGAAGTCGTCGCTTCAAAAGGGTACAATAAGTCAGTGGACTGGTAAGTTTGTCGGTCGCAGCGTTTTGATTCCTCACACTGAGGCTTTTCCAGGTGGTCTCTAGGCATCTTGATCTTCGAAATGTTGTGTGGATTCACACCGTTCTGGGACGGTGGCTCCCCTGTCAAGATTTACGAGAATATCCTCAAAGGAAGAGTCAAATATCCGCCATATATTCATTCTGACGCCCAAGACCTCCTGGTTCAGCTGATCACAAGTGACTTGACCAAGAGACTGGGCAATTTGCACGGAGGTCCAGCAGACATCAAGAACCATGCGTGGTTCGCAGAGGTAACCTGGGAGAGACTATTGAAGAAAGATATTGACGCCCCGTACGTTCCACCAGTGAAGGGCGGAGCTGGTGATGCCAGTCAGTTCGACAAATACCCTGAGGAGACAGAGGAATATGGCAAGAAAGGAGAGGACCCGTATGATGCCTTGATGACCCGCTTTTCCGAGTGCTTTCAGAGCTGACATGATACTAAGGTTCGGCCATTTCTTCGTGGACTTCTAATTATTACATCGTCACAGCAAAGAACGCAAGGAGCATCGTCGACAATACTGCCGAGGACGGAGTGCTGGAGAGAGAGAGAGAGAGAGAGACGGATAGACATCAGACCATCTCAGCTGGCAGGATAACGGCCAGCTAGTCTGGTTCGATGCGACGTGAGCAACAACAAAAAAAAGTGGCCCCGAATTCGATTTGTACTGCAGCCGGTGCAGTCCTCGTATTAACGACTTTTGATGACAGCAGGTATGAGTCTAATGGAGTGGCCACCTTGAAAATGTGGTGAAGGTGGTTTCTTTTGGATTTGCGGTTGCAGTTTTCAGTGGGCCGCGGCGGTTGTGGTTGTGGATGTTGTTGTTGCGCTGTATAATGATCGCGACGACGATGCGGGAAGCTGGAATATCTACTCATGACTCCAAAAAGCGATATGGGAAATCGCACACAGCGCTCAGTGCATTGTACCAGGACAATATCGCCACGGGTGGCCATGAGATATGGACTTTGCATACTTGCCATTCGAGAAGTTAACCCTCTGATGCCCAGAAGCAAAGCAGTTGAGCCTTGGATGAGCCTCTGACTTTTCAATGCAGTAATTGTTATTCTTCTTCAAACCATTGCATCTGATCTTTCGGCGCTCACGGTTCATATGTCTGCCTGAGATGAGCAGACCTGAATGGCCGTAACCGGTGGCAGGCAGTTCGCAACGGAGGATCCGTGATTGCAACATTTGCTCTTCTAGTTATAGCCGCATCGTTCTTTTTCAATATTGGTATTCTTTTTGTCTGTCCCTCCCACCGAAGAATTGACTACCTAGTGTACAGCTATTGCTATGAATTGGAAAAGTCTACAGGGACCTGTTTTGATGTCGGTCTCGGATCAGCCAACCTCAAGCAAGACGCCTTGAATGGGCCGGCTGAGAGAGACTGATCAGCAGCGAGGTGTTGCAGGGTTGGTTGGGTTATGTATACATTTGAGAGGCGTGTGCGGTTTCCAAAGGCGCCGGGTTTGGTGGGAGTTGACTTCCAGGTGGCTCTGCTGCAGGGGAGCCTGAGCTCTGAAGCGGCCCAGGACTTGTCCACTGTGTTTGCTGTGCTCCGGTGCCTAGTATAGCACGACCTAAGAGACACCAATGCATGGCAAGGCAGTCGGTTGCTCGGATGTCTTTTGAGGATGGCCCGGCATGGCCATTCTCTCTTTCCGCCTCGCCTCAGGCCAGAGCTGTTGTAGTACCCAAGTTCCCAGGGATCTGAAAGCTTCAAAGATCCTGCTCTTTCCAGCACCGGTCGCGCGCGGAGCTCGCTTCTGCAACCCCATCTAGTGCGCAGCTTAGAACAGCTCCTTCCCACCTCCTGACCCCGAGCCACCGATCCCGCCCGCGAGCGATGCGCTCTCCCTCTGCAACCTCGCCGTGTACGTCCGACTCGTCACGTTCCACGCATCAATGTACTTCTCCATACAGGCAGTCAAGCACTTCTGTTCCGTCGAGCTCAGACTGCTCCCGGGATTGGGGACGCATTTTTCGAAGCAGTTCGTGTGGACATTGGAGATGAGCTGCTTCGCGTTGGCGACGTTGGATTGTTCGCTGATGGCGGATTGGATCCGCTGCAGGGTCACGCCCGGCGTCGTTGTGGTAGCGCCGCTGGGAGGTGAGAAGGAGGAGGATAGTGGGTTTGTGATAGATGTGGACGAAGAGTCGGATGATGATGACGATGATGTTGCTGAAGAAGAGGAGTTGTCTTTAGAGCTACCGCCGCCGAAGAAGCCACCGAATGCCATTCTGCTGCTGGTCTTCTGATTGTGCAGAAGGAGCTTTTTCTGAGTATTTGAGCTGAATGGGGCTTTGGAGGTGCTGGGGTACTGCTTGGGACGTCGTTTTCGTAAAGCAAAAGACCTTTGCCGGCAATGTTCATTTCTCTGTTTGTATGGAGTAGTCGACTTTTACCAGGGCAGGTCTGCCGGTGCCGGCGGCGGCAGCCCATCAAGCCACCACAGCCGCCTATAACAATTGGCGGAAATGACTATTGGCAGGGGCTATCAGCAAACCATTTCACGTTCTCCACAAGCCCCAGTTCACCTGCGTCGAATAGTCTGGCGAAACTGAACACCTTTACAGTAGTCGACTTGACATTTCACTATTTTTCTGCGCCTTTAAGGGGGGGCTGCGACACCTTTTTGAGCACAAGCCGTGTTCGTGCCATGAAGTCTCTGTGACATATTCTTTTCTCTCCCCGCTATCGCGAAACTTCCGAGCAATAGACATCGTCCCGTTGAAGATGTGGCCGTCCACCCTGTGCGCCTCGTTATGGCTGCTGGCAGCATGTGCGGCGGGCACGCGAGCGGCCGTAGAGGCAGACCCAGAGATGAAGAGCGTCCCTGTAAGTTCTGGCACGACTCCTTCCGCAGCTGCGTTTGGACGATGAACTAACCTCGCTACTTCGCAGCTGCGGACGCACAGTCTCGCACCCCCATACCTCGACTCGGACATGTCAAGCCGGTGGTTTGACTTTGGCGGCGACACGATCATCCGCGCCGACCAGTACATACGACTCGCCTCCGACATGCCCTCACAATCAGGGTGGATCTTCTCCCGAATACCGCTGACGGCGACCAACTGGGAAGTGGAGTTTGAGTTCTCAATCCACGGCAAGGGCCACCTTCACGGCGACGGGTTTGCGATGTGGATTACCAAGGAGAGAGCGCAGCCCGGTCCCGTGTTCGGGCACGCGGACCGGTTTGAAGGCTTGGGGATTTTCTTCGACACGTACAAGAACAACAGGCCCGGGGTCGTGTTTCCTTACGTGATGGGCATGATGGGAGACGGGAAGACTTCATATGACGCGGCCAACGACGGGAAGGCGAACGAGATTGGTGGTTGCTCGGTAAGAGATGAACCTTTCAGTCATGGTCCCAGATATGAGATTGACCAAAGTTGATACACAGGCTCGAGGGTTGCGCGGTGCTCCCATCCCCACCAAAGCAAAGTTGACCTATTTCCAAGACAGGTCACTTACACTGCAGCTGCAGTACAAAGCGACCGATGCATGGGTCGACTGTTTCTCTATTACCCCTACAGCAGACCTGCCGTTGAAGATGCCTAACACGGCATACTTGGGGTTCAGCGCGCACACGGGCGAACTTTCGGACAACTTTGACATTGTCAGCGTGGAGACACGGAATTTGTACAATCCAGTGGCAGCAAACTCGGGGAGAGACAAGGCGGCACAAGCGCGGGCTAGTGGGAGAGGAAGGAGCACCAAGCCACAGGGTGGTGGTTGGGGATGGTTCTTCTTCAAGGTGCTGCTCTTTGCCGGTGTGGCCGGTGGCGGGTATGTTGGATACAAGAAGTACAAGGAGAAGCAGCGGTACGATGGGTTCAAGGGGTTCTAGGTAGAGTCAAAAGGAGGAGTTCGCGGTGGCATGGGTAGGTCTTGACTCGTGCTTGTACAATGATCAATCGTAAGATTTTCTGCAGCCTGTTTGTTGTTCGCTAAGACTGCCACGGGTATATCGGTCCATTTCTGTGGTGAGAAGCCAGACCTTGTATGGTATCTGTTTCCCTTGTCGCGGTACTTGAACTCTGATACATACGTTCTCGGTATCAAGCGGCGGATGGGTCAACAAGGACCTGCCAAGGCGGAGATCTGGGCCTGGCACGTGATGACGCCGCTAAACCCAGCAGACTCCACTACAGCTACTAAGCTACTAGCGGCTCGTGATCAGCCTACGAGTTAGAACACAAAGCAAACCCAACATCCCACAGCCAATCAGCAGCGCGCAAACGTGCCTTGTTATGAGTGAGTGATTTCGAGCACGTCTTTTGCCTGATTTTCAGACCGTCCTTTTCGCAGTCTGAATCAACCCCCCCAGCACCTTCGAGGATCAGCGCCAAGCCCCCGACCTGACCTGATCTCGCTGTCACTGCCCACCCTCCTGCCCGTTCGCTTATAATCCTCGTTCCCTCCTACCGACTTTCTTCCTTTCTTTCTCCCTCCTTTTCCCGCCCACTTTGACCATCTCGCGCCACTACTTTGGTTTGTTCCGCATCCATCAAATCTCATCAACCAACCATCAATAACTTACCACCTGCACAACTTTTCATCTTTCAAACACTTTTGCAAATATGACTGGACGTAAGTTAAGACCCTGTTGCATCAGTTGTTGCGATAGTGGTGGTTGTTGTCGTCGCTGCGCCTCGTCGTCGCCTGAAGCTGCACCCCGAAGCTATCGCGCGCGCCACCTCCACACCTTTTGCTCACTGTGACAACACCACACCCTCACTCAACAATATAACTAACAAACTCTTCTACAGGCGGCAAAGGCGGAAAGGGCCTCGGCAAGGGTGGTGCTAAGCGTCACCGCAAGATTCTTCGCGACAACATCCAAGGTATCACCAAGCCTGCCATCCGACGTCTCGCTCGCCGTGGCGGTGTCAAGCGTATCTCGGCCATGATCTACGAAGAGACCCGCGGTGTCCTCAAGTCTTTCCTCGAATCCGTCATTCGTGACGCCGTCACCTACACCGAGCACGCAAAGAGAAAGACTGTCACTTCGCTTGGTAAGTCGAGACTGAGATGCATCCTGTACGTGACCAGAGACTAACATGGAGTTCAGATGTTGTGTATGCCCTCAAGCGACAAGGCAGAACCCTCTACGGTTTCGGTGGTTAGACTTCCTGATGGTCGATGCCTAGAGACTTGGTCAACGCGAGAGATATGGACATGGGCTACGGGGGTTATGGATGATGAAACATGGCGCATGGGTCTGGCTGTATTACAAAACTATTGACGTTGGTTTTTTTATGGCAAGGGGTTGAAGAACTTTGTGTCCTGCTCGACAAAGACGCAGCAATGCTCGAGATGGAATTTTGCATCCTTTTGAGTGGACCTCTTACAGAAGACAAGTAGTCAATTGTAACACAATGGAAAACAATTGAGTCGAAATCAAGTGATTCTGCTCCATTTCCTGGGGCTCTTGCTCTTCCCCGGCTCCCTGCGACGCACAAGTACTCGAACGTTCTGCTGACGCAGGGGGCCATCCGTTTCGGCTTCAGCTCGGTGTACGCATCTCTTACGCATTTCTAGTGCAATCGTCGTCCTCTGTAAGTACCTAGGTAGTGTGGCTACAATGAGATTGTCGAGGTGCCAGCAGGTGGAAATAGACCTTCTCACCTAGGCTGCTTTATTGAAGCACGAGCAAATGCAAGGGACCGACAAAGATCATCATGGTAAGGCAGCAGAGTTGCTGCACTGGAGGACCCCAGCTGGAGAGTGTGGCTCAAGCCAGTCGGAATCATGGGCGCCTTGCACAAAGGCAGCCTTCAATCCTTGTAGGCGGGCCAATCTCAGGCGGCACTGTGGGATCCCGAGAGTGTGGCGAAAATTGGCTGATGCGTCGAATAACAGGCAACAGGATTTCCACCACGCCGATATACTCGGATTCACCCCGCTCACACTTCTCGGGCCTTATGCATAAGCAGTCCAACACTACCGACCTCGACTCTACTGCCACAGATCCTCTTTCGAACGATGCATCACCTTCAGCCTCGTCGCTCGCAGTAGTCAGGACGTGAGCCGGGAGCGCACACGATAACTCCCAACCTCGATTCGCCCGCCAATTGCCACCATGTTTCAGCGGCGTGGCACCTATCTTCAGCGCCTGTCCAAGCTCTACTCGGACACCAAGCAGTCCTACGAGAGCGCCAAAGTCACTCCCGCGGCTGCGAATGTCACGGACCTGCCTGAGCTGAGGGACTTGAGGCGTGATTTCCAGATTCAGCAGGACAGGTTGCTGGCATGGGGGATGCACTGGACCGACGTCGGCGCGCCGTATTCCGCCCAGGGCGATGTCGACATCGACAAGAAAATCGACCAGGCCGGGCTAGGCGAGGTGGTGGCCAGCGTCATGTCGGAGATTAAAAGGCTTCTGGAAGAGAGTGGCCGTCTGGAGCATCCCGAACGGTATGAGATGAAGAAGTCGGCACGAGGCCCTGGTGCGAGTCCTGTGGCCCCGCGGAGGGACTGGACCAGTCACGAGGTCATGACCGGGCGCGCTCTGCTGGAGCAGCTGACCACCTGTATCGACGTCCTCTACAGCCTCGAGGAATCAAGGAGGGCCGACGAGAAGGGTGGTGACGCGAAACGAATGAAGCATGCCCATGGCTCTGTCGCTGCCGATGGTACCGACTATGGCCCCCTTTACGACCACCCTCTGCACATCGACTTCAACGGTCTCGAGTTCAGTACCTACTCGCCCCAAGCAGCTGACCCACCGCCATATGACCCTGCCGAAGGCTCCGTAACTTCGAGAGAACGTTCCATCGCCTACTTTCGCCAGGGCGCTTGCCCGGTCCTCGTTGACTTTCTCACGGCAGACTGCCCCCCATATGTCGTCGGAAGCGCCGAGGATGTCTTTGAGCTCCATGAGCTCGGCGAGAAGCTTTGCAAAGATCGATCCCTGTCGTGGTGCGGCCACCTGAGACTTCTCGGGTTCACTGTCGACCCCAATGGACCACGTTGTGCAATGGTCTATGCCTTGCCCGAGGGACACGACCACAAAACTCTTCAACAACACAGGACTCTCTCGTCCGTCCTATCGTCAAGCAACATCCAGGAGGGATCGTCGCCAGCTCTCGAAGATCGCTTCCGACTGGCATACAATCTTGCCCTGTCCATTATGGGCTACTTCGCCCAAGGAGAAACTCATCAGTATATCAACAGCAGCAATATCCTTCTAATCGGCAGCAGAGAGCACATGAATCGCTCCAATTTGCCTAAAGAATTGAGATACCCCTATTTACTACAGTCGTGCCAGGACTTTCTATCTCGCTTACAAGCAGAGGAACAGTTCACAGCAACCATCTACCGCCACCCTGACCATGACATTCACGCATCAGAAGTGGTTCCTGCTTATGACATCTACAGCCTCGGCTTGCTTTTGCTAGAGATTGGTCTATGGATTCCACTACAGAAACTGTGGAAGCCAAAGTATGACCGCCGACTTTTTATGGAAAGAGTCCAGCGGATCTACGCGCACAAGCTGGCTTCGAAGTGCGGAAGCAAGTACATGCGGGTGGTTCAGAAATGTTTGCAAGCACCCACGGAGCTGCAGTACAGGAACAACTATGAGGATGCTGGGGCATTCCTGCTGCAAGTGGCCAAGGACCTGCTACAATGCTGCGCCCTTGATGAAGAAGGGCCACCTCCAGCCTCTGACATCGAGACTTTCGAGCTCATCATCATCGAGCAAATGTGCAAGGCTGAAGAAAAAGCAGCCGAAGAGGAGAAAATGCCAAAGATACCGCCCGACGACATCAAGCCCGACCTCCCTAAGAGAGCGAACTCAAAGCGAAAGGCCGACGCGATCCAGCAATCCATAACGCCAGCAGAGAAGCCGCTCCGAAAATGGAGTGATGTTGATATCCCCCAAGAAGACCTGGACCAGTGGAATACCATGGTGATGCCAAAGTTAGGCAAGATGCTGAAGACTGCTCTCAAGGATTCTCCCGAATCATCTTGCAGCCTCAGTCTCATGATGTTCGGAAACGCGCCTGAGAATGCCAAGACTACCATCTGCATTCAGTGCCCACAGATTGGCAAGGTCCGTGATGTGTTGAGGAAGAAGTTTAGACCCAAAAAGGGATGGGGCGTTGTCCTTCTCAATGGCGAAGTCAGACGAAGCGGCACTGGCAGAAGGCGAAAGCCGAGGCGGTCGGGGTATGGTGCTTCCTGCTCGAAGTATAGAGGACCCAAAGCCATGGCTCGAAGGCCTCTGGAACAGAAATACCAGGAACGTCCGACTAGTGGAGCCAGCATTGGGGCCTTCAAGGATGCCGAGCATCTGCCTCCCGTCTCCTTCGGAGGTACTATCCTCGTCGACGGCGAACCCTACGGAATGACCGTGCATCACATGCTCGACCTTCCGAGCGACGACGAAGAAGAAGACGACGATGATGACGATGTTGTTCGACGCAGCGAGCAGCAGCAACAAGCTCGAAGAGCAGCAGCACCACGTAGAATGCCTGGACAATTTGACACTTCAGCCGATGTACGTTTCATGCAATCAGAGGAAGACCTTTCGCGGTTTTCCGATCTTGCCATTTCTGACGAGGATTTTGAGAACAACAGTGATGACGACGACGACCAAAGTGACGCCAGCACCATCCGACCAGACTATGCCATCATGGACGCAGACGGCAACGAGTTCTGGTTCCTCGAAGACAGCCCCCCTGGGCTTGATGACGACGACGGATCCGACGCATCCTCGTCTGAAGACGAAGCAGACGCAGACGACGCGGCCTCTATCGGCGACAAGACAGGCATCGCACCGTACTCAGATGACGACCTCTGCGTGACTCAACCGGCCATCGACGATGTGGACGATGACTTCTTTCCCAGCGAGGAAGATCGTGACGATGACCATCTCGCGAGCCATGCGTTTGGATATGTCTTTGCAAGTAGCGGCATCCGGCGCGTAGTAAGAGGGGAAATGAAGCATGAAGTCGACTGGGCTCTGATTCGGGTCCATGAAGACCGCTTGAAAATAGAGAACGCAATCACTTCGCAGCAGAAGGGCACTAACATGCCACCAACGACATCTTCGTCACGGCAAGGATCGAGGACTGCCCCCCAAAGGCGTGATCCTATCCCCGTCCTCACAACAATAACGCCCCTTTCGTCCCTCTCCGGCCTACGGGTCCACTGCCGCGGTCGTTCATCCGGCTTCAAACGAGGACGCATCTCGCAGGCCATGTCACTGGTGAAAATGCACGGCCGGCAATCCTTCTCTGTGAGTTGGTGTGTAGAAGGAGGCTTCGGCATCCCGGGAGACAGTGGTGCATGGGTATATGATCCCGTGTCGGGCGGGCTCTGCGGCCACGTCCTGGCCTGGGGCGAGAAGAGCAAGACAGCTTACATTGCGCCTATGGAGGTGTTGTTTGAGGATATCAAGGGACGACTTGGCGCCAGGTGCGTGGAGTTGCCCGTCCCCGAAGGACTGAGGAGGCAGGTGAGAGAGGACGAGGGAATCGGCATGGGCACGACGAGCACGAGCGGCGGTGAGCAGGAGGATGTAGCTGCCAAGCTGCGGGACATGAGGCTCGACAGCAACACCAATACTGCCGCCGGGTCTGGGTCTACGTCTACCTCCGGTGCACCGGGCGGAGGAGGCAAGACGAAGCAGGTCGTCGGTGTGCGGCCGCTGGTCATGGCTGGCGCTGTCTCCTGATTGCTTTTTATTTTTATCGTCGTCGTCGGCGTCATTTTCATTTTCGCCCAGATCTCGCGTATATTAGCACGGAGTCCTTTCTGTACTTATTCACTTGTCGTTATTTAGGATAATTGAGATGCCTTTTAAGGTGCACGGGATTAGGGATACACTCGCGTTAGGCCATGGCAGTGGGTATCCACTCAGCTATATATTCCTCAGTCCGACTATCCTCTTGACCCCGACACACTTCTTACACATACACACATTCGACACCTACCTATTAGCCTCACATCGCAGAACGATTAATGTTCCGGCCAGTGAGACTATGCCCCTTCGCGGAGTTCCAGCTCTTTTTCCCTGACTGAGATGAAATGGATTTCGTTGAACTCGCCAGACGACCCCGGGAATCGACCTTCAATCAAGGCTTTCACTCCAACCTTTGCCTTTATCCCTTCCTTTGGGGACCTCTAGGGAGCCTAAAGCTGGTCGATTGTGCCTCGCAAATGCCGGCAGCTCTCGAGCCTATCGCCAAAGCCAGGTGTCCTCCAATGGAGTTGATCGGACGACAGGCCCGAAACTGGGCCAAAGACCTGGAGCGACTTCATGTCCTCCCAAGTCTTTTCTTTCTGTTGATCAACACAGTACGTTCTGATCAACTGGCCTAGCTGCGCACCAGATCTCTTCTGTGACATTTTCCATGACATTGTGTGGTCTTTTATATACAAAATCTCATACCTGTCTATAGACCTTTGTTGTGACAGCACAGCAGTTTACTTTCGGCATCAACTGGCACCTAAGCTGAATTGGGTTGACAAGAATGAGGAATGTTCCACGGTCTTCAGTGGGGTGATATGGCTATGAATACCACTTAACCCACTAATTTCCCGCCCAAGGCGTGTAAACGCATAGTCTCCCTCACCACGGATACATAAAGACGCCAAAGATCCCTAGCAGAAAGGAAGCCTTGTCTTCTTTCTTTTTGGTGTGTGACGTCTCGCTGTCCATCGCATCTTCTCGTCATTGCTGAAACCAGACATGAGCGTGCTGCGGAGAGCCATCACTGGAATATCTGTGATGTCCTGAATTGTCAGACTCCTTGATTTTTAAACCCCGGGCATCCATGGGGGACATTTGTGTACTCCTGGCGAGGCAGACCTTTGCGGCTGTTAATGCCACGTGAAATGCGCGGGAAACAACTGGCCGCTCTCAAGAACTTGGACGCTAGGCCTATACGGAGTACAAGACTATTTCACCCTCTTCTGACGACAATATACTTCCGCCGCTTTTACATCCTGATGACATCTTGAAGAGTCCTAACCCGGGAGCTTCAACTCTTAGGGTGCAGTGAAATAAGATAGAACCTTTCCTTTCTGAAGACGCGCGCTAAGGAAGCAGAAATAAGGCTTACTGCTCAAGAAGTATCAAAAAAGCCCCCGTCAAGGTCATCCAAATTTATCGGTCCTCAATAGGCACCGATGTCTGCACGTTGGGCCTCTCCTCCGGCTGAAGAGTTCGATAAAAGCGAAGAGAACAATATTCGGCGGTCGTGTTCACTATTCGGTGAAATAGAAGGGTTCGCTTTTGCTATCCATTTGTCGTCAGACCCTGTGAATGAGCCTCCTGGTTGAGAGGAATTGGCCTGTTGCAGATAGTTCGGCATGATCGTGCCATCTTGAGAGAATCGTCACAACCATCTTCACCACCGCCATCGGCGAAAGTGTTGTCGTTCAAGAAGCCATCAAAAGTGCTCGTCCCCAAGTCTGGTAAAGCGAACTCGTTGGCAGCAGATGCCCCAGCATTTCCAAAGTCGAATCAAGTAGCCCCGTCGCCGGATTCGCCGTTCAGCTTCGTATAGCTTTCCAGCTCTGGTAATAGACCCATGTCGTTCCTAGGACTATTCTTATCGACCGGGGGACCGCTTCTAGTACCTAGACAACCCCCCGGACCTTTTTGGTGACGAGCGAGTGCGTCGCCTCTTGCAAATTTGTGTCCACATTGGCTGCAGATATGTGGGGTTTCTCCCGTGTGAAGCTTTGCATGCCGCTTCAAGTCGTGCAGTCGACGAAACCTTGACCCACAGGTTGAGCAAACCAAAGGCTTTTCTTGTGAGTGAGTCAGTAGGTGGCTCTTCAGATTGTGATGTCGCGTGAATTGTGTGGCACAATAAGGGCATCGGTGCTTCTTGGTTGAAGGCGGCCTGTCGTTGGCGGCCTCATCAAGCAAATGATGTTGCGAGAGGTTCTGTTGCTCTTGTTGCATGGGTGTCAGCTCTTGCGGAGGGCTAAACGGTCGCCCATATGGGGGAAGATTGGATCGTGGAGGATAGGATTGCGAACCATCGCCTGTCTGGTTGTGTTGACTCCTCTTGAACTGTTGTTTCGCATCATCCAGTAGGTGTTGACCATTCACTTGCTGCCTCTTGCTCTCATCCAAGAGCCATGTGTCTTCAGTTTCTCCCTTTACCCTGGAAATTGTGTTGTTCTCTGGAATCCTGTGCCACTTCTCTTGGAGAAGAGCGCGCGGGGATGGACTCGAACTTGTCCCTGTATAAGGTGCTGAAGTGACATCTTGAAACAATGGCGTTTCAGGGTTCCTTGGTGCTTTTCTTCGAATCTCCTTTTGTCGCCGCGAGGCACCTGCCGTGTCGAGATTTCTCGGCGAACAGTCTATACAGAGATGTTCCCCTGGCACCTGGGAACGATAATAGTAGCACGCAATGTGCTGCCATGTACCACACCTCTGATCCAAAACAATATTACCGTCGTCATCGTCGAACCCACATATACACTTAAAGGTAAAATTCTCCTCATCATCTTGATCACTGTCATCATCACTCTCATCCTCCTCTTGAGGCAATGCTGCTAGCGAGATTTGTTCAAGATGCTTTCCCAAATGAGTGAAATATTCGCGTTGCGATTTCCAGTCGGTTTGCGCACAAAGAGGGCACTCTTGATCTGTAAAAGACCTTGGGACTGACTGCGCTGCAGCCTGTGCCATACTCAGAGCGTGAACATGTGTAAGAGCCTTGCGCCCATGTACGCGACTCAGGTGATCAAGGAAGCTCTCCTGGTCAGTGAAAGTGACGGAGCTTTTATGACAGTCGCGACATCTAAACGACTTGTCCGAAAAATGAGCTTCGAGCTCGTGTCGAGACCACAGTGTTCGTGTCGAGAAAGTTTTGAGGCGTTCAGGACAATCGTTGAATGTGCAGATATAAGCTTGAAGATCAGAAAAGACATGCATCCTGGTAGAGTCAGTGAAATATTGTTTCTATGCGTCTTCACAAACTTACTTCCAGTCTATCCGATTCCGTAATGTTTTGAGCAAGGTACCGCAAAATGAGCATGTAAACGGCTCGTTTCGCCAGATCTGCTGAGGAGTTCGAGGTACTGCAAGGTGACTCCTACCTTCACCTTCAACGCTTGACATGAAGGAAGTATGAGAGGCAACGGAGCCGGCAACCTGTGACTGAGCTGGGATCGAGGCACCAAGTGCCGAATCGCGAAAAGTGTGGACTGTCGATGGTTTGAAGATGGTCTTGGGTTCTTCAAAGCTCTCTTGCGCCGTGCCACTGTTAGATATCAATGCCCGGATGCGGACAAACCTCTGCCAATTAGCTTCTCCAAGCCTCTCGAGTAGACCACTATCAGCTGTCCGAAACTTCTCGTATACTTGACTGACCCAAGGAAGAGCGCTCTCCGTCACTTCAAACGACTTCAAGCCCAAAGCTGGTTCATTTCCTCCTGGTCTGTGCTGCCGTGTATAGAATGCTTGTTCTAAAGTTGGGCAAAGGTCCATTAACAATTTAGAGTACACTTGTAGTGATCGAATACCTGCAACGACTGTATCCTGACTTTCATCATCGTCGGTTTCGCTAGCTGAGTCGCTGTCGCTTTCACAAATACGGGAAGATGGTTCGTCGACCGATAAAATGGATGCAGCTTTTGAAAGAAGCTCTCGCAAGGGTTTTACCAGGCCCCATTTTGCCTTCTTGCCTTCCCGAATGCTGATCGACTGTTCCATGACTGTGTAGAGTTAGCGCATCTGCCGACGGTGTCTTTTATCATGGCCGAACCTGTAATAAGTGTTTTGCCTATGCGGTCCAACAGGCTAATCAAGCTCTTGTGAAGCTCGTCCTCTGGTGAAAGGCATGCTTCCAGCCGCCCATCACCCAAGGCATCTCCCCAGAGGCACATGCGGTCACGAACATGGCCGAGGTCACGTTTTGACGAAGCGCTGAGATGGCAATGGAGGTTGGAAGTTTGACAGATTTGACAGAGTAAGGCAAAATTTGCCTTGTAAAGGGCAGTGGCAAAGAGCTCTTCCTGGGATGGATACGCAACTCCCTTCGAGGGTAGAACTGTCGCGACCCGCGATTTCGTTTCAATCCAGTCAATGACAGTGCTGGAAGAGGTTGAGGTAGGATCTGGCTTCACGGCGGCCGGGGCTGCCGGCATGTTCTTTATGCCCGCAGCGCCATGATGTAGCGCCATGGCATCGACGAAGGGTGAACGTCTGGCCTCCTACTTAACGCTTCTTCGAGAAGCCGTAATTGAGATCAAAAGAACTTGATTGTGTGCAAGATTGGAGAATGGTTTTCGATGTTGGCATGCGGCTGAGATAGCGCCGATAGACAGTCCAGACGTGCACTGCCACGACGTGCAGTGCCCCCTGCACCAACCATAGGCCTACGTTGGTGGCCTCAGGCTTTCGCTCAGCCCCTCCGCCACCGTTGGAAATGGAGGACGAGCTTTCAAGGAGAACGTGGCTGAGCTTTCAGACACCGCAGGGGGTCCAGAAATTGAGTCGCGGGTTTTTAGAATGCTCTTGAATCTGTATGCTGTGTTGTAAAATCTTGAAGTTCTGGTTGATACCTGGAGGGAACATGGCCGAGGCCGCAGGATTTGTTCTTGCTGTGGTGCCCATGATAATAAGTGCCTGTGAACACTATGGCGAAGCAGCTCGTGGCATTCAGCGGTACCGGCACGCAAACAAGGGAGCGGAAGACTTGACAATGATGCTCGAGATTCAAGAGGCAATCTTTCGATCGGCGAACGTGAGACTTCTTGCTTCCTGCGTCGGCGAGGATGAAGCACGCTTGATGCTGCGCGACTTCAATCATCCAGGCTGGAAAGAAAGCGGGTTGATAGCTGACTATCGGGCGAGAGTGGGAGAATCACAGCATGCTTTCACCCACTCGATCAAGCTCATCAACGAACATCTGGAAAATTTGCGATTGACGATCGATGGCTTTGGCAAGCACAGCGATCTCAATGAACAAGTCTGGCTCACCACAATTCCGGTACATGAAGTCCTGCAACTGACTTGAGTTGATCTTAGGATGCTCATCACGCTCATCATCGCAAGCTTTCATTCAAGAAGAGGATCAGGCTAGCTTTCTCACAGTCTGACATTGAACAGTCCTTGGAAAGCTTAATGAAAAAGACTCAGAACTTTTCCACCTTGATAGCCCAAACAGAACCGTTGCAATCAAGAACCTCTGAGACCAAACCTACTCTCTCGACAAGAAGAGAAATTGCAAAATTTGCCAGGATCAGAGACGCAGCTAGCAACTTGTATCAAACCCTGGGACACGCATGTACGAAGCACGCAAGTCACCAAGCTCATCTGAGCCTCGAATCATCCTGCAGAGACCTGGAATCACCCCCAACGGACCCTCTACAAGTGCGCTTCACTATGGCATTTAGCCAATTGACCTTAAAACCCCAAGCCACAGTGTCGGATGTATCTAAGCCCTCAGCCTGGCTTAGGATCGAGTCAAGTGTCAGCGGTACGATACAGCCAGATACTGATAATGTGACCCTTCAGCACATGCAAGCCAGCGCAAAAAGGACGCGAGATAGTGAGGATGACGAATCTCCCCAGGCTTCGACAGCACAGGCAACGTCGAAACAAAAAAGGTCTGTCCGGTTCCAGTGTGCTCAGCCAGTAGCCCTACCAGTTGTGCCTGCGGAAGAACCAATTTTACCAAACCTATGCACAAATGAGAATTTCTGCCTACAGCTTCGCAACTTCATCAATCAAGCCAGACCCAGCACCAAAGCCGTGGGCTATCTAGGCCATCAAGGATCTCAGAGACATCTGATATATGTCGACGCAAAGTCACAGCGAGTCACCCAAGGCAACGACACGAGCCTGCTCAAATCTCTCCGCCAACTCCTCCGAAGCACCAGCAACGCAGGCCCCAGCAGTCCCATCCTCCTACACTACGAACGTCTCCGCCTGGCGCGCCAGTTGTCGATTGCAGTCCTTCAATTTCGCTCGACGCCCTGGCTAGCCAATTCGTGGAACAGCAACGAAATCCTCGTTTCCACCTCCCAACCCTCCTTCACCACAACCAACGACACCACAATGACAAACTCCCACGAACCCTTTGTAAGCGCCTGCATCCGAAACCCCTACGACACGCCCGCTCGCTCCAACACGCTCCCCAGCCACACCTTAATCCGTAACCAACTCCTCTTCCGCCTCGGCGTCATGCTGCTCGAAATCGCCTTCCAGAAACCGCTAGACGAAATGAAAGAGACCACCGACATCGACTGCCAAGACGACGGCAATGCTGACTTCTGGGCGGCAGATCGCCTGCGGCATCAAGTCTCTGCGTGTCTGGCGCCGAGGTATGCGGAGGTGGTGAGGAAGTGTATCCATTGTGATTTCGGGAAGGATTTCGATCTGACGGCGACGAAATTGCAGGAGGCTTTCTATCAAGATGTCGTTTGCGAGTTGAAGAGGTTGGAGGACTTGTTTAGGGCTGCTTCGACGGTGGGTTGAGCGGGAACAAAGATTATAAGGTGGAAGGCCGATTCTATACCGATCTTGTGCCACGGTCGACGAGGTTGTCTTGGCCGTCTTACCATGCAAATTACGTGGCATTGAGGGAAACCATGCCATCTACCTACAACCGTTGTCATCATCAGCACATCTCTTCAAAAGAGTCCGCCATTACAGAGTTGAATTGGTGACCGATATGGAGCACTTGAACTTCAACGAGGCACCGGAACAGAGAATTTGCCTCCAGTTTCTCAAAGTTTTTGCTAGACGAAGGGGCCGACCCAGACAACAGCGAATTCCATGGCTATTCCGCAATTGAGAACGCCACCTTATAAGGACACTAAGATCTTGTGGAACTTCTCTTGAAATGCGGTACCGGACGACATCGTGGTTCACCACCCTTGGGTCTGGCTCCCACTGGAGGGCACGAAGTAATTGCAAAAATGCTGTTGAATAAGGCCCAACAACACAGACCAAGAGCTCATTATTAAAGCGGCTGCCATTGGAACTAAAGAGGTGATCAACGTCCTCCTCGCAAAGGGGGCCGATCCAAATACGACCAACACATACCGTCGATCGCCACTTTCCGAAGCAATAATGTACGGTCATGACGAAGTGGCACAACTTTTGATCAGCGCAGGTGCCAACGTGGAATCATCTGCGTCATTGCTTTCTATGGCCTCGCAAACGGGAAATACAAGCTTGGTAGGATGTCTTCTTTGGGCTGGGGCGAATGTTCATGCCAGAGACGATGGAGGCTTTACTCCGCTGATGTTTGCTGCTTTGTCTGGGTATGAAGACGTAACATCCATGCTTCTAGAAGCAGGCGCCAACGTTAATCCAAGATCCTCCAAAGGGAATACACCGCTGAGCCTCGCAGCAGGCAATGGTCATAGAGAGGTGGTAAGTATGCTTCTGAGGGCTGGTGCTAACCCCGAGTCCAAGGACGACGTGGAGGTTCCCAAGAGTAAGACAACCGCCAATGCCACCACCAAGACCAGTATGGCCTTCAGGAAGAGGGGTCGATGAGATGCTCACCTCAGCGGACCTCCTGTGAGGGATACTCACTGGCTGCGCTTCTTCCTGCCATCTGTATTGGCCGTATCCATCATCGATGGCACGGGCATGTCACCTCGGGTCGCGAGATCCACGGAGGTAGTTGCTCGATTGAGCCTGGCATTTGAGGGAGAGGACTTCCCCTTCCGCATCTCTCCGGATTATACGAAACCTTTGCAGAAGTCTACACATCAGCAGTGGTAGATCCAGTACAGCAAGGTCATAGCGCTCCTCTTGTGTCGTCAACCCTCTCCGTCACACCGACCATCCAGAGTCCACCCTTTATGCGAAGCTGAGATGCCGGCGGAGCATTCTCTCCGTGAACATGAGGATCTCCGAGTCGCGATCCGGATTTTGTTCAATGCTCTGCCAGCATCGGAAGGGAGCATAACCTCTCCTGAATACAGTCAAAAGAGATACTTTACCTTTGCTACAGAATGTGATTGTCCTTGGCGTCTTGGCAGGTCTAAATATATCCATCCCCTATTCCTCAACGTGCGCACCACCCAGGCAAAAAACGAATGTACCAAGAGAATCGGAACAGTAAAAGAGAAAGCTTCAACCACCACTTCGTTCCCTAACCCAGAGAAGGATCAAAGGCCAACCGAACAAAAAAGAAATGCCTCCATTGAGAGTCGAACTCAAGACCTCGACATTCCAGTAGATAGGGGCTACTAGTGTCGCGCTCTACCGCTGAGCTATGAAGGCCGCGGAGAACTCGCTGCGAGGCGCGTCTCCCGGCACTTCTTGGAAGAGTTTGCGAGAGTCCAGGATATATAGATTAGTTTTTTTGAAGGGTCTGTGTGAGTGGAGTGAGCTATGTACAGCTCCGTACGGCTCGGCGAATAGAGAGAGAGGGAAGGAAACTAGTGGTAGTAGTAGTGGGCACCGTTGGGAGCTGGATCCTTCAGCTAATGATCCTAACCCTAACCCTAACCCTCGGCGATGACCATGAGTCCTATGATTGATTGATTGATTGATCGACCTGGTATCATTTCGAGGACTTACGTTACTCTACCCACCTGCTCATACTTACTTGTAAACCATATGAGTCCCTCGTCCTCCACGCCATGCCCAAGGTCCGAGAACTGAGGGATCAGAGAAAACAACCATCCAGAGACGAACGGATGACCACTCCCTCCCTCCTCTCGTAACCTCCACCAAGATCACTATCACATTCTCTTGACCCTGACACAGGCAGCTAGGTAGGTGCTGGAAGGAATTTGGCAACATACTCCGTACACACTGCGCGTAAATCTTGCAAGACTACACATAGCACGGCGAGGCTCCGTCGGCCGACCCTCCCAATATGGAGTATTGCCAAAAACGAGAAACACCACGGGAGAAAGTCAGACGGGGTATGAGGCGACTGGGTCGTTATTGAGTGACAAGCGCGAATACGGGACAGTGAACAGCAACGGCAAACACATCCGAAGCGCACATTATCAATCCCCTGGCTGGCATCTTCTATTTGGATGGTCTACACAGCATGCCATGTACAACACAGGTATCTGAACCTTCGACAAAGAGCTGGTGCTAGACTTTGACCACTATAGTATTCGTGTTAATACACATTCCGGAAAAAGAGTTGAAAATATTCCAATGATTCTCCCCGTGTATGATAAGGACGAGCTGAGGATCTCTGGCTCTGTATTAGCAATGCATGAAATGCTCCTAGAGAGGATAACGGGCTGGGGCCCATACTTACATCATGTTACAACATAGCTACTTCAAGTTGGCCTCTGTTTCGACGAAGTTGTGGGCCTGTTCAAGAGGGCAGACGTCCGGAAGGGCAAGGTAGTATAGCCCTCGTAACCTAACCTCCATGTGCACCACGAGCCTCTGGATGGGATTCCCTCTCGAGTCTCTGTAGTTCTGTGGAACTCTCTTGGACTTTCTCTCCGCGTAGACTATCGGAAAGACTCCGGTTTGGTGAAGAATACCCTGGATGTTTCAAAGGGCAGAGCGGTTGCCATCTGATAAGATCCTCCGACCGAGACAACGCGGTCTCGCCCTTCAACGGAAATAGTGTTGCCCAGACCAGAATGAGAGGGCCGGATGGTGTGTAGCCCCCTTTCAGACTCCGGCAGGGATTTCGCGACCGCGTTATACACCATTCATATCCAGCTTTAAGGCGGACTGTCGGGATTCGCGGGGGTTGCAGGAGGTGGCACTGGTTGCGCTCGTTTCTTCGGTTTGATGAGCAGGAGGACAAACATGCCAATAACAAGAAGCAACAACAAGAGCAGAATTTTGCGCTTGGTGTTGCGTCGTTGGTAGTTGGTTGCGACGATGAGCTCCTTCTCTGCTCCTTTCACATCTGTAGCCATGCGTTCCACGTTGTAGTCAATGCGATCGAGCATGGTGCCCTGATCGATAACCATTGCCTGTAAATCACGGAATATGTCGGCCAACTCAATGATGCCTTTGGCGATGTCGTTGATTTCCTGTTCGCGTTGTGCAATGGCGGTGTCGTTTCTGTGCAATCGCTTCTGCGCTGTTTGCTGTAATGCTGATTGTCCTAGCCGTTTGTCGGCGTCAGACTCCAGCAAGGCTGGGTCGGAGTATGGGTTCTGAACTGGAATCGGAGTCGATGAACGGCCAATTGGTGATTCGAAGCCACCCAATTGGCGAAGCTTGTTGAGGTAATTGCTTTGTTTCTTCCTAAATGTGGCGCTGACTTCTTGAACTCTAGATGCTAGAGCGACTTGTATATTCTTCGCCATGATCTCGTCCCCTTTTTGAAGGTTGCCTGTCTCCCTCGCCTCTTTAACCATACTCTCGATGCGCTTGATGGCCTTTTGGCATTCCTGGAAGCCTCTCGTTATCTCCGTCGTGAGCTGCTCTATTTCACGCTCCTCCTGCAGCTTGATCGACTCGTCATCGAAACCCGGAAGGACATGTTTTGAATGAAGCTTTTCCAACTTTGCAGCTTTGAGTGTGATGTCCTTGAGGATGTCGCTGACTTCGTCCTGGACATCGATCCAGCGTGGGGGGAGCAGATCCATCTCTATGACCGCATCGCCATCATTCTCGTATGCCCCAACGGACATGAGTCCCCTGGTCTCCTCCGATGCTTGGTCGCCATAGCCGTTCGAGGAGGATGGGAGTCGGGGCTTCTTCGCGGGATGGTGGGAATATGACTGGCGATAAGAGATATAGCTGGAAGATGGTTAGAAAATCTCGCCTCATACCAAGGGGTTTGAGCTATACAGATTCGTCCGATCCCTCCACATATTGAGATTTGGTGGAATGGAGGGCGATCACATGTGACTGTGGTCTTCCGCTTGATCTTTGGTTGCTCTGACTGGCATGCTGGTCGACGATATAGCTGAGTAGGGGGGAGGATGTAGTTCAGACGATGCTCAGGAACTCAGTGCCATCGGAGCAGCAGGTATTGTCAGAGCGGCATTGAGCATAGGTTGCGCGACACAGGCAGCCGATGAGCAAAGTGGACAGCAACGGCGACTTGTGGACGGTGACGAAGGTATGGCCCGGAGAATCAATGATCCGGAATCAAGAATCCTCCCGCAATCCTTCGTCCTTTCAGCTGGGGGCCAAATTCCAGCGCCAAAATCCAGTGGAGTTCGAGGCTTGCCCTGTCCACGGACAACGTTAGTCGTAACCCTGCAGTTCAGTTTACGCCGCCGCTTCAGCTGCTTTGGAACGAGATATATCCTCCCTCTAGGACACCACACATATTTATACCCCCTTTCCACCATTGCGCACCAACACAACTTGACCTTGACTGCAAAGACCACCGTTTCGTGATCGATTTCCACCATGGTATGGCATCACATGGCAACTCCGACTGCGGCTGCCGTGGTGAAACATTTCTCTGTTTGTGCACTGACTGACAACTGTTGGATATAGGCGGACTCCTTGACCGAAGAACAGGTCTCTGAATTTAAGGAAGCCTTCTCTCTGTTTGTATGTCCATCTATCTCTCCCACCGCTGCCTTCAATGCTGACGCATCGCCCCGCAGGACAAAGATGGCGACGGTATATTGACCCCCTTCCGACCCCGCCGACGTCGTTGCTAGGTTCGGGATCTCTGAGATCTAACACATTTTGGCAGGCCAAATCACCACCAAGGAGCTGGGTACGGTGATGAGATCCCTCGGCCAGAATCCTTCAGAATCCGAACTTCAGGACATGATCAATGAGGTGGACGCAGACAACAATGGCACCATTGACTTCCCAGGTATGAGGCACCGTTTACGTTTGGTAGCATTTGTGGGTTGCGGCTCACGGCCATGTTAGAATTCCTCACGATGATGGCCCGAAAGATGAAGGACACAGATTCTGAGGAGGAAATTCGAGAGGCATTCAAGGTGTTTGATCGCGACAATAACGGCTTCATTTCCGCCGCCGAACTGCGCCATGTCATGACTTCCATTGGTGAAAAGCTCACGGACGATGAAGTGGATGAGATGATTCGAGAGGCCGATCAAGATGGCGATGGTCGCATTGACTGTAAGCGGGATATATTCTCCATTCCCACCTTTACGTGAAGTGTGTTGCGACAGAACTAATCGGCCCAAAATACAGACAACGAATTCGTGCAACTGATGATGCAGAAATGAGCGAATTATTGACGAGAACCAGTGATGGGCACAGAGCAAGGGACAGGAGCGAGGACACGGCTTCTAGCAGATGAGGGAGCCCATCAACAACTTAGTGAGAAGAGCTACTGGGCGGTGATGGCACAACGGGATCTTCCGGTTTCTGCTTGATAAAGACCAGTTCTGAACTGATTCAGGCGTCCTGGGCAAAGTGCGCCCCTGAAGTATTTGAGCGAGGTACAATGAAACCAACTCAAACAATCTCCTGGCGCCCTGACCACGTTATCCTTCCGATTTCATTATTGATTCCTGGGTATCGTTATGGCTCATACGAGCTATCTATTGCCGTCAAACATCCTTGAACAGGAAAGAAGCATCAGTGCGACTTCAGCCAGTCCAGCATTTGTTGAAATGCCGCTGCCTGGGCTCTTTTGATCTCAGGCGAATCGTAATCTCCATACACCGCAAATCCTATACCACGTTCAGTAACTCCCCCTTTACTCACTCTAGGATGTGTCTGAGTTGAAACTCACCATGCGGAACCTCAGGGTATGTCTTGATCTCATGCTCAATGCGGCTTGCTGCAAGGTGTTTCCGACCAACTTCCAGCACTTCGTCGGGAAATAGAGGGTCATTCTCTGGGAAAGATAGTCAGCCATGAGTCTGAACAATCACCAGCACAGCAGTCTCGCCTACCGACACAAACCATTGTCAGAGGCGCCTTGATGGCCTTGAGGTCCTCGCGCGTCACCAAGGTCGCATGCGCTGCAGCGCCCGCCTTAATAAGCGGCTCCTTCTTGATCATCCCTTCTTCTTCATCCTTCCCCCCTGGCCCTTGCATAGGAGGGTCAGGATGTTCGCCGGCTAGCATAATCACATACTTTCCACCAAAGCAGTATCCCACGCTATAGATCCCTTGTCCATGGGCGACAGCATCCGCATATTCGTCTTTGCACGTCTCGATCACCTTGAATAAGATGGGAAGAACTTTCTCCGGTGTTTGGCGGGCTAGCCACATATCCACGAGGAACGATTTGGCCGTCTCGGCGGCACCGAGCTTTATTCGTTCGAGAATGCCCGGACTGTGCGGTGGTTCCCCAGGAGAGGTGGGAGACGTGAGCACTGTAGTCTTGTTGGAACTCGGTGCCGGATCACCGTTGAATTGGTCGGGCATGATCACAACAAACCCTTCGGCGGCGAACATGTCTGCTTGAATCTGATTGTTTACCGAGTGCACACCCGTGCCAGAAGTCAGGAGGAGGAGAAGATTGGCTGGAGTGTTTGGATAGTCGGCCGGCTTGGAGATGTAGACGTCGACGTCACCCATCTTGGACATTTCGCCGGACGGCTGACGACTATCTGGTGCCGGGCGGTCTGTTACGCAGTGTTCCCCCATACTGGGACCAGTTTGGGCTTTTGAATCTGCCGATGAGATTGCAGAGGGTTCGACTTGAGGTTCCATGGCATCAGATTCGGGAGCCCTTGTTGCAAGTTCAGAGTCGGCCATGATGGAGCACAGAAGTGATGGGTAAGCGTTACTTTCTCTGGGGTTTGACTGTCGTCTGCTTCGCACCAGATCTCTATGGTTGTTTGTGCGATGATTCAAGCATTGGTTGAGGGATGTTCACCGGGCAGGTTACCTTGTACGGTCCCTTGTAGTGCAGAGAGGTGACCTCCCACTTGAGAACAACCTAGATAATTGCAGGTCTGACAAGAAGTCGCTCTCCAGACCTGTGACAAGATCCTCGTATCCTGCCTGGAGATGACCCAATGCGCTTCACTGCGGTAGATACCCGAATGCTCATATGACTCATACAATCGCAGAACAGACTGATGACGACCTATCCAGAATACAGACACGGTCTAGATACTATGAGACTGGGAGCCGCCAGTGCAGAATACGGCGAATGTTGAACATGGAGCCTGCACAAAAACACCACGTCAGACGACGGCGCTTTGTAACCACCGAAGTTGGTTGCGCCACTCTGCGAGGCTGATGCAGCGGTGGCGGGGAACCACTTAACGCGTTGGAACGCGTCGAAGAAAGTGGGAGCCCGCAGGCATCATTAGGGCTCTCCCGCTATTCAACTCACCAACATTTGTTCCAATCTGCCTTTTGCAACATCTGTCTCGTTCAATCCGCCTCTCAGTTCTAGCCATGAATTCTCCTGCTGCCGCGCTCGCGCGCGTCGATGCTGGCTCGCTCGCAGACATTTTTGAGGACCGTCCTGGCAGGGTCGAACACCCCGTCATGCGTAAGTTGCCATCTCGTGTTTAGAGGAGCCCACATGGTTCAACATAACTGCATTCTCGATGGAGACTGACAGCAAACAGAATGTGTTCAGATCAAGCCCATTGCAACTCAACAAGGCGGACAGGAGCGCCACCGAGTCATTTTCAGCGACACGAAGAACTACATCCAGACGATGCTGGCGGTGCACCAGAATCAGCTTGTAGAGGAGAAAATTCTGCGCAGAGGAGTTCTCGTGCAACTGATGGGATATTCTGCGAACAAGGTCAAGGCGAAACGGTAAGACGGGCTCTTTCTGACCTGTGATGGCGCTGATCGTCTGTCCCAGTATCCTCATCGTGACAGATATCAAAGTCCTTGAAGAGTATGGCGAGCACGAGAAACTCGGCGACCCTAAGCCACTGGAGTTGAAAGCCGAAGAGGAGGAGAAAGCCTACCCTACATCGATTACGAGTAATGGATTCTATGGGACCAAGCAAGAACAACCAAAACAGAGCCGCCCCATGGGCCATGTGAAACCCTCGTCGTCAGCCCATGCGAACATCTACCCCATCGAAGCAATATCACCATATTCCAACAAATGGACGATCAAGGCGCGTTGCACAAACAAGTCGGACATCAAGACATGGCATAATCGCAATGGTGAGGGCAAATTGTTTAGTGTAAACCTCTTGGACGAGAGTGGCGAGATCCGAGCTACTGGGTTCAACGATCAGTGTGATCAACTCTACGACTTGTTCCAAGAAGGCAACGTTTACTACATTTCCAGTCCTTGCAGAGTCACTTTGGCGAAGAAGCAGTTTTCAAATCTGGCGAATGACTACGAGCTCCATTTTGAGAAAGACACCACTGTGGAGAAAGCAGAGGAGCAGGACGGTGTCCCTCAGGTTCGATACAACTTCACCACCATCGCAGACTTGCAATCTGTGGAAAAAGACACCACCATCGACGTCATTGGAGTGCTCAAGGATATTGGCGAGACTTCACAAATCACTTCCAAAACCACGAGCAAGCCGTATGATAAGAGGGAGCTCACCCTGGTCGACAACACGGGATACTCGGTCCGCCTCACGATTTGGGGGAAGACCGCAGCCTCGTTTGACGTACCCCCTGAATCGGTTGTCGCTTTCAAAGGTGTCAAAGTCTCGGACTTTGGCGGGCGCAGCTTGAGTCTGCTAAGTTCTGGCTCAGTGACCGCCAATCCTGACATGCCTGAGGCGCACAGATTGAAGGGGTGGTACGAAGATCAAGGTCGGAGTGGCAGTTTCGCGACGCATGCCAATATTCAAGGCACTGTCGCAGCTGGAGCCGGTTCTCGAGGTGATCCATTCAAGACTATCGCGCAAGTCAAAGATGAGCAACTTGGCATGTCAGACAACGCCGACTTCTTTTCCGTCAAGGCCTCAATACAATACATCAAGCAAGACAATTTCTGTTATCCCGCATGTTTGTCGGAAGGATGCAATAAAAAAGTCTTTGAAATTGATCCTGGCCAGTGGCGCTGCGAACGGTGCGACAAGAACCATCCGAAACCTGAATATCGGTACATCATGTCGGTCAACATTAGCGATCATACTGGACAACTCTGGGTCAGTTGCTTTGACGAAACAGGCAGATTGGTCATTGGCATGACTGCGGACGAGTTGATGGAGATCAAGGAGGTGGACGAGAAGAGACTCGCCGAGATATTCTCGGAGGCAAATTGCAAGACATGGAATTGGAAGTGCAAGGCGAAGCTCGATACTTTCCAAGAACAGCAACGGTAAGGCAAAACCCCATATTTTCGACGTCGCGACTAACTCGGATTCCAGGGTTCGCTATCAAGTCACCTCGGCAGCACCGCTGAACTACGTGACCGAATCGCAGAAGCTGATCGAACTGATCAAGCAGTACAACATCGATTAGAGGGAGAGAGGGCCATTCTTGTGGCGTTGAGGTGTTAGAGGGACCAACTGCGGCCGCAATGTCATTATACCAGAATGATAAGCCTTTTACCTGACTTTGGCAAAGAGCTTGTGTGTGGATGGACGGTAAGAAAGCCACCGGGGAGCCAATTAGGAGCTTAGGGTGAAAGATGTTTTGTCAGAGGGGCGTCTGCACTGTGTCTGATAGCTGCGACTATGAAATGTGCAATGATGGTGGAGGCCAATAACGATGTTCTTCCGGCGGAAGATTGCAGCTAAGGGCCGTGTGTTTAGTAATGGCGTCATGTCATCAGCAAATTCCTCCTCCAGAGAGTCACATGTAATTGCTGTTCTTACTGTCCCCTCCTCGACGTTTCTGGCGGCATTGGACAGAGCCCAAAAGGAGCAACACCAGGTAAGCATATCCCCTAGAAGCCGTGTTCGCGATCTCCTCGAATCTTTCACCCGCAAGCCGTCGATCCCGAGGCTGCGATCTCCCCCCTCCCTTCTCTCTGCCCTCTATCAACCTTGAATGAACTCGACGGCAACTGTCTGCTCGAGGGTCGCATTAGAAATCCCGCGTGTCCAACGGCTAAGGGCCGGGTATTCCCCGTCCTCAGGACCAGTTCTTCTTCACGTCCAGCGCAGTTTTCCGTCTTTAAATACCTGGCCGACATCTCTCAGGGCCACGAGATCCTTCTCAGCATCAACAGCGCCGCTAAGCAGTGCCAGCAGCAATCATAGTCAAAGAGCCGTAACCGGATATCTTCCAATTCGCGCCCGACGAACACCTACAAACACCCCCGCAAGAACCATGGCCACCATGCGCGCGGTCGACGTCAAAGGCGGCAAAGGCCCCATCTCGGCCCTCTTCATCAATCCCGACGTTCCCAAACCGGTGCCCAAGGGCAGCCAGGCTCTCGTCAAGGTCAAGGCCTTCGGTCTCAACCGCATGGACCTCTTCCAGCGCGAAGGGAACTACCCGCTACCCCCGCAGGCGGGCCCCATCATGGGCGTCGAATTCTCCGGCACCATCGAGTCCTTCGGCTGCGAGCCGGAACGGGGGTTCAACGTGGGCGACGAGGTGTTTGGGCTCGCGTACGGCGGGGCCTACGCCGAGTACATCGCGGTCAGCACGCACATGCTGGTGCACAAGCCCAAGGAACTCAGCTGGGAGCAGGCGGCGGGCATCCCCGAGACGTGGATCACGGCGACGCAGGCGCTGTACCTGGTGGGCGAGTTCAAGCCGGGCATGTCGGTGCTGTGGCACGCGGGGGCGTCGAGCGTGTCGATCGCGGGCATCCAGCTGTCCAAGGCCGACAACGCCTCGGCCGTCTACGTGACGGCCAGCTCGCGCGAGAAGATCGACTTCTGCAAGTCCCTGGGCGCCACCGAGGGCTTCTCGTACAAGGAAGGCGACTGGGCCCAGGCCCTGCTCAAGTACACCGACGGCAAGGGCGTCGACCTGATCGTCGACTTCATCGGCGCGGGCTACTTTGACCAGAACCTCGAGGCCGCCGCCCGCGACGCCCACATCGTCAACCTCGGCAACCTGGGCGGCAACGTCGTCCAGAAGCCCGTCGACGTCTCCCGCTTCCTGCGCAAGCGCCTCCGCTTCGAGGGCTCCAGCCTCCGCAGCCGCGACGAGGCCTACCAGGGCCGCCTGCGCGACATGCTCGTCGAGCACGCCCTGCCCCGCTTCATCGACGGACGCTTCAAGGTCATTGTCGAAAAGGTCTTCCGCATGGAGGACATCCAGGAGGCCCACAAGATGCTCGAGAGCAACCAGACCATGGGCAAGTTGATCTGTACGGTGGACTGAAAAGTGAAGTGAGATGGCAAAGTATTAAATCATAAAATTCCGTGCACTTGTGGGAAATTGAGATGCCGTGGGAGGAGAGAATCACCCAGGCTGAAATGTACGAGAGCGGAGATAAAAAGTCAGAATGCGAAAAACAATGCAAGCTCAGAATTGTGTGATCATCGTTGAATTTTTTTTCTCTATCAGCTCGGTATAGAGAGCGGTATTCGGTGTTCCAGACACCCCCGACATCTGCGCGATGAGAGCATTCACTTCTCAAGCCGTGTCAATTGTTCCCCAATGGCTCGAAACGGCAACTTCCCTGGGCACCAATCAAAGCACGGCGGGTGTCCTCCCTCTCTAGAGATCTATCACAAAGCCACAGCGTTGCTTATGAAGACAGCCCATGTGTGCAGATGTGCCGTGAGCGAATAGAGCCATAGAGAAACATCATCCGTCCTTTGCTGAGGCCTGTGCATGTTGATTCCTCGGAAGCTCTGGTCAGTCCGCTGGTCCGTAACCCGTGGCTCGCTTGGTCACCATATCGACAAGATTGTCAATGAGGCTTGCAAATGGTGGCGGACGAGTGTGCTGACTATGTTAACTCTCGCGGCATGATGAGGCAGTTCCAGCATTCTAGCTTAAGAGCATTATAGAAGAGGGTGTTCATTGAAAGGAAATTTGCTCAGGGCTGAGAATATAAAAGTTCGATGCTGCGCTGAGGAGTTTGACGAGCCCCTCCAACAGAGCGCTGCACATTGCTGGGCATCAAAAGCCGTCGAGCGTCGACACACAGATTCGACTAGATCACCATCGGTCTAAACTAACCATGTCTTCGATCTTGCTTTTTGGTGTGACAGGCCTTGTTGGCTGTGAGTCTCCACTGCGCTCCTCTCATCGATCCAGTTGATATTAACCTGGTGTCAAGCTCATCTGGTTTTGGCCCTCAAGAACGAATACCCGAATATTCCAGTCACAGTATTTTTGCGGAATAATTCCCTCGACACCTACCTGTACGAAACAGCCGGTGTTAAACGGATCGTGCATGGCACTTTCGACGAGAAGGACAAGATCGCCGCATTAGCCAAAGAACATGACATTGTAATCAACGTTGGTTCGTCATGGGATGTGCCCCTGAGCGAGGCGATTGTGGAAGGGCTGAACCGGCAACCGGAAGAGAAGAAGAAAACCCTGATTCATATGAGTGGAGCTGGTAACTTTGTGGACAAGAGGTGGACAGATGGGGCGTTCCACGAGCAAGCGAAGATCTGGAATGTAAGTGGGATGGCAGCCGATAATCTGCGCGTGGCGAACTAACAGGAGTGCAAACAGGACAAAAATCCGGAAGACATGAAGCTTATCAACCCCTCCATGTTAAATGGCGGGCCTGACACTGTGTAAGATCTTTCCCGCGCGTGAAAGCACCATAGTCCTTGGCTGACGATTCGTCGCGCGCAGAGTCTTGAACGCTGGCAAACGAGGCAATATCGGGACCTACATTGTCTTCCCCTCAGGCATATACGGCGAAGCCGCGGGCCCAATCCCAGCCCTGGGAGTGGTCCAGCTCATCTACCGGGAGAAAGCCAGGGAGCTGGGATTTGTGCCGTACGTTGGAGAAGGAAGTGCCATCTTCAATTGTCTCCATGTCAACGCCATTGCCCCCTTCATGTTGAAGGTCTTGGACCTGGCATTGCACGAGGATACACCTCAAGGATCTGTCTATGAGCGATGTTTCCTGATCGGCGGGCCAGAAATTGCCTGGAAGGAGGCATCAGAAGCTTTTTCGAAGGCTTTGCATGCGGAAGGAATCGTGCCGAGCTCTCAGGCCAGAAGTGTGACTTTGGAGGAAGCAGGCGAGGGCGAGTTGCCGATGTTGATGGCAAGCAATGTGAAGTTTGTGTCTCATCGCGCAGAAGGATTGGGTTACGTGCATAACGAAGTTGGGCTGGTGGAATTCTTGAGCAAGTTGAGATAATAATCCCGGTGGTGAGTAGATGAGGCTGCTGCGGAAACGAGGCTATTCCTGATACGGAGGTAATCAACAATGGCGTCATTATCACCTGCCAAAACTTATTGCGCAGCCTCGCCCGGGCCAGCGCCCAGCCTTGTTCCCCAGCCTCTTCAGTGCTTCCTGCCACCTCATATTCACAACGAAGCAAGAGCCTTTTACGAACAGAAATCTCTTCACAGAGGTGAGTTTCTCATCTAACCAACTGGACATCTCATATCTAACCCTCCGCAAAACCACAACGCACTTAAACTGCCTGCAAGTGCAACGCATTGAGCAAACTGCCTGCCATCTTTCCCTTACGCACCGAACATCTCCTGGATACGACACAAAAATTGCTGCACTGACCGAGTGTTCATCCTGAGGGCATTATTGCTCTCCTTCTTGCCATCATGGCTCCTGTCGGCTCCAATATCGACATTCCCGACCTCAAATTCTCCTCACTGGAACTCGATGCACGCTCAACCGACTCGACCGAGATGCCGACGAATTCTTTTTCGAAGCGGAACACCCTCCCTGAACAGATTTACAATCCTCTTCTTCCCCGAAGCGATGACTCCTTCATTCTCTCTCCAATGGATACCTACAATGTCCTCACTGCAAGAGATGCCCATAACACAAAAGACCCGAATCCGGGTGCAGGGTCAATTAATCCCAACGACATCAACATGAAGGGCATTCAGGCGCTCTTTGCCATTATCGGGGCCTCTTTCGTACTCGGTGCCATTTGGTTTTTCTTTTGGGCCAAGAACGGTGGCTTCAAATGGCGGAAAGGTGACTGGGATGAATACAAATCCACTGTCTTGAGACGTAAAGGGCCCAATGGAACGACTCTCAGTAACGCAACCAAAAGTACCAAGCTGGGTGGTGGTAGCGTTGTAGGAGACGGGTACTCAGACAAGGACACAGCCACGATACCAGATACCATGACCGAGGGTATGACCGAGACGATGACCGAGCTGTCTTCCGAAGCGCCCATCATGAAGGACAAGCAGTGGAAGAAGAAAAATGAGACCGCCAAAGACAGGAAGATTCGAGAAGCCAAGGAAGCACGCTGGGAAGGTGGCCATGACTACGATGTCCGCGCATATCGACATGAAAAGCCTGCTCGTGTGGGAGGTCTGAACAAAGACTCGGACGCCCAATTTTACGGCACCGACTACACCAGGTCAGAACGTAGCGGCAGTGACATGGCCAGCAACAGCAACCGACCAGCCTCGTCTTATCGTCAACAAAGTCCTGAGAAACGTCAATCACGCCGTGACTTCTCGTACGGCCAAGAAAGCAGCTTCAGCGTTTCGACTCCACCACCGGCCGCTGCACCATCACCTGGTCCTCGTCCACCAAGGTACCACTCGCCGAGCAAGAACCCTAACCCTCAACGCCCGATCCGCACCGTACCTGGGTCGTTCCACACGCAGCAGGATATTGAAGCCCAGAGCGTTCAAAGTCAACATACTAAGACCTATCATCATCCACTTCCTAGCTTGAGCGGTCAAGGGCCTCCAAGAGCTGGCGGATACAGAAGGGACAGACGGGACAGCCTGGATGACTGATCAATTGGCGATATCCATAATCGTGCCTCTACAAAGACTTTGGGGTCGCGAAGTTGGCTGGTCTTGTTAGTGGCCGACCCACCAAGGGCAACTTCAAAGAAGCATTACGGAGGAAGAGCTGAAAAGGGCGCATGAAGTGACGACGAGGCTGTATTGTAACTTAGAAATTGTTGCATGTTAAGGGCAGGAAAGGTAACCTCGAAATGGCGTCTTCGGTTTGAACAACGAACAGAGTTCGTGGAAAGGGACGGATGAAAAAGCGATATGGCCGGACGAATGAAAGGAAATGGGAAGAACGGAATAATGAAAGTCTCGACGTCGACAAGCTGCATTAGGTCAACATTCCACGGTTGAGGGATAGTCGCAAGCGAATACCCATGAGCATCATGCACAGATATTGTGCCAGCAGATAGAAAATACAAGTACAAGAGTGCAAATTCAAATTGACCATTATTACCATGTCAGCGTGTTCCTGCGTTGGGGGATATGCTATACCTCGCTACAAGACAAAGTCAGGTTGTATTCTACCTGTGTACGAGGTACTGTTGCTAGCTTTAAAGCTATCTGGGCACATTACTACGAGCCCTGCCCTGCTCTCCCACGGTAACAGATGATCCTAGAACCGCGCATCCAAAATCCAAGCCATGTATTGCGTTGCGAAACTCCCGTACTAGTACCCGACTGTCGTCATGTCACGTCGTTCCCTGAGCCTGAGCCCGATACAAAATCTCTGAATCGCAACAAGAAGTCGGGGAAGGGCATGGGGGAAACGGGTCGAGCCTCAGTGAAAATCCCCCGGTGGCCTGCTCTCCTCTCCTCTCCTCTCCATTCCAATCCATTCCAGCCAGCGAAGGTAAGGGGGCGAAAAGATCAGTCCAATGTGTTCCCACCATATCAAAGTGTGATCGGAAGCTCCCAGTTCTCCCTGATCGTATTGTCGCAAGAGAACAGACATCTGTGTCTGTCTCTCTCCGAGTCAAAGCTCCGATTTATACTTCGACCTTCGCGGTCTTCGACACTTTACCGCCCTTCCCATCGGTGCCTCTCATCTTCTTCGTGCCTGCAGCCTTCTTCCCGGGCTTGCCCTCGACGATACCGACGACTTTCTCGACGGCACCTTCAATCTTGTCCACGATTGTGGGCTTTCTCTTGTGGTGCGTCGCAGGCGCACGCGTCTTGGTCACGCCCGCTTTCTTGGAAGCGGTCTTGCGCTTTTTGGTGGCGCCACCCGTGGTAGTGGCGGTGGTCGTCTTGCGTTTGCGGACAGGCTCAGTCGAGACCGTGGCGAAGACTCTTGGCTTGGAGTGGCCAGTTGCGCCGCGTGTTTGGGCCATTGTTGGTGCTGGGTTTGGCGGGGGTTGTGTGGATAAGGGTTCTTGCAGTTGTATGTAGGTTCAACGGTGAGAGGCGGTCTGGAGAACTAAATAGGGCCAGGTGTCAGCTTGTAAAGGGAGTAGAATCGTTGTTCAAGTGCTCAAAAAGCGGGGGTGACAGGGTGACCAGTGAGGCGGGCGAGGAAGATACGGTCACAACGACGCGGGGACACGAGCAATATTTATAGTTCTTTGAAGAGCGATAGATAAGGTGTCCGCGACAACTTATGAGTCACGGGAGCAATGGAAAAGCAGTGGTGGAAGGTGGTTCGCAGGCAGCCAGCTCCAGGCGGTAGGGCGACGACACCCGGATAAGAGGGAAGACATGTTTACGTACCTTGGGATGCAAAAGTGCCTGCTTCCTGAAAATTATCTGAGGGATCAATAACGACCAGGCGACCAGATTCAGGTAGTGACCAGGATAGGAGAAGGTGTTGTGGGTGGGATGGAGTGAGGAAAAGGTTGACGCGATCGACGAGGGTGGGAAGTCGGGCCCTTTTTGAAGTGTCGGTTGCGGTTTGCGAAGCCAATGACACAGCCAACAGGGCGACTTGGTCGGATGATCCAAGACAACACACAACCCTGCCAACATCCACACTTTCATTCAATCTTCCCCTGCAAGGTGTCAATTCTGCTCGATGGCGTGTCTGGTATTTCACAATTGATCTCTGTCCATTCGTCCATTGCAGCTGCCAATTGTTGCTCGATCCCTTTAAGCGCCATCCTCGCTGGGCGCTTGTCGCAGCAGTTGTATGGTCACTCCTCGACCAGCCGTTGATATCCTTGGAGATAATCCTGCACGCAGCAAACTCTGGTCGACTTCAGTCGTACCAGTCTTTCAATTTCAGTGATCGATCTTCCAAGGCCGGCCCGCCTGCAAGATGTAGTGCATTTCGAACTTCCCACTCAAACTCGGCCAGGGCTCTCAATTCCGACCCCACAAAGAGACCCCCAATCAACCCATGGAGCGTTCCAGCCATGAGTCCCAGACTGCTTAGCACAATCAAAATGAAGGACACGAAATTCCGGGGTGACCACCAGATGGCGACGAAGCAGCCAATCGACACCACGGCAGAGCCAACGAAGTGCAAGAGACCATAACGTCGTTGTTTCCTCTCTCGCAGGGTGTATTTGTGGACCATGGCGAGGATGTCTTTATAGAAGTCCTGGCCGATTTGGCCTCGCGTAGGTATGCTCGATATTGCCTTGTCGAAATCTTTCTCCTCAAAATCCGCCATCTGAAGATTGGGGTCTCCGGCACTCGAGTCATGCAAGGCTGCATGAGCTTCGACTCTAGCCGGAGGAGGCGGTCGAGTTTGGGTTCTTTCTAGTGTCGTCTGCACAGCAAAATGGTCGCTCAACGAACAGAGGAGGGTCGGGTGTCGTTCGGTAAGCGCGACTTTCACATCGGCTACTCTCCAACCCTTGCCAATACCGCTGAAAAAGATGTAGTCCAACCGCTTCGCTTTGGGGTCCAAGTCTGTGCCCGAGATTTTCCGGTCATGTCCTTGCGCTAGTTGCTTCTGATGGGCCTTGTTCCATCGCCACGTATTTAGAACAGAGTCGCATGTGTGGCCGTGTTCGCCTAAACTTGTCTCGACGCTCGGAGTCTCCTCTTCGCCCATACGTTTTCTGCGCTCCTTTTCAGGCGGGTCCACGCTTGCACCAACACTGCTTCCAGGTTTCACGGCCCGCCAAACGTCCTGAACTCCAGCACGGCTTTCTACCAGGACATGTGCAAAGCTCAACGGCACCATGTTGAAATCACCCAGGCCAATGACTAGGCTGCCTCTGTCCGAAGCTGCACGCATGAGCTTTGCAATTTCCCATGCTTGCGCTGTTCGATGGCAAATGTAACTGTCGTTCGGTTCCTTTTCGTACGGAGCGTGTAAATGTGTGTTGAATACTTCGATATTGTCACCACCGGGCAGTAGAATCCTGGCACATGCGACACCCTTCCCAACAAACCAGTCGCCGCGGAAGAAAGCTTGAGGTCGCCCATTTAGAGGATAACGGTACATCGAAGATTCGACGATTGGCCATCGACTGAGGACGGCCAAACCCGCACCGAAGATGCCGGAATAGTAGAACTTGCCGTATGGAAGAAAAGAACGAGTGCTGTCTCGGATGGATAGGTAATCGGTAAATGTCCAGCATTCTTGCAGGCCAACGATATCGAGCTGAGGAGAATAGGTGGCTAGGCGATTTCCTATTTCGGACAATCGCTCGTGTCGGTGTTTTGCGATATATTTCAGTCCCCAGCAATTCAGGGTCAGGATGGTTATAGATGAGATCTGAGAACCCTCGTCGCTTGTGGTTGGATGTGGCTCCATTATGGACGAATATGGCGAGTAGATCGAGACAGATCGGCGAGCATTGAAATCCCTCTCAAGAACCACTAACGCCAAGCAGTTCAATTGATGAACTAGTGAGGATGCAGGGCAATGACATGGTAAAATGCCAGATGGTGAAGAATTATAACATTGTGCAGTATAATCAAAGCTGTAACCAAAAGAACGTCAAATAACCCGAGAAGAGGACCCAAACCTCGCTGTGGTCTGCTGGAGCCGTGACGCCTGAGAGAAAGAATTGGAGGAAGAAAAAGAAATGCAGGAGGATTGATTTGATGACAACTCGGCCCGAGAGGAAGAGCGCAGCTGGCGCTGTGGCACGTGTATGATGACATAAGGGACAGCCTCGTCCGTCACAGCCTGGCGAGACCTGACACTAACCGCCTTTGGGAACTATACACCGGCAAGGCTGAAAATTATCAACCCACTACTCCGAGCTCGTGTGCTTGGACTGCACGGGCATATTACATCGTCTTGCACAATTAGTTGGTCATGAAATATTGTAGATTGGGTTGCCGATTGTTAAGGGGAGGTAACGGCACCCCAATCATGGGTTACCGAGAACCATGTCCCCTGTGCAGCTCGGCATCCTCTTGAGCCTCCTGTCTGCTCTTTTCTTCCCAGAGCAACATCCAACGACGTAAGATTGACAGGATGGTCACCAACAAGTCCTGAGCATGTGGACTCAATAGATAACATCATCTTCCTGTCCACGCTCAAGTTCTTCGCCGCCATGGTCATGGTCGTCCTGGTCCTTGCTACTGCTGCTTCGCCGCCGCTCTGTCTTCGATGCGCTTGCGGCAATGTCGTTATCCTTCAACGGACCAGAAGAGTCGCTTGGGGATGTTTGATCATCCCTATCCGTTTCATCGTTGGCTTGATCTGATCTTTCGTCCCTAGGGTTTGCCTCGCCCTCTGGATTGTGGCGATCGTCCAGTTCATCTGTTATTGGCCCTGGCGCCTGCTGCGCGTCCTTCTGTCGCTCCCCATCTCGTTTCAGCTCCTCCTCCCTCACTTTCTTTTTCTGCTCGAACTCCTCTATTTCCCGCTGGATCTTTACCTCCGCATCCTCAATCTGCTGCTTGACTTCATCTTCCTCGGACTCGCGTAACTCCCAGGGCTTGTAATACAGTCGTGGCTCTGCCTTGGTCTGCAAAAATCCAGCAGCAGCTCTCAAATTCCGATGTCTCATTCTCATCGCTTCTTCATCCCAGCGCACCTGTTCAACTCGTCGTTCGCGCTCGAGCTGTTCCCTTTTGAGGCGCGCGGATTCGGCGATCTCATGGGACTCGCGTTTTAAGCGTTCCCGTTGACGGGATTCGATTTCTTCGCGGCGTGCGTTTAATGTCGTCGTCTGATTGTTTATCTTTGTTCCAGCGGAAGATCTTCTAGGAGCATTTGAAGATTGCGAAAGGGTGCCGAGCAAGGCACCGAAGAGTCTTCGGTTTCGAGATTTGTCTTGTTCTACGGTCGACGATGTTTGTCGCCGGCGAGGCGGAGGAGGAGACATCGCCGATGTTTGTCCTCCTGGGGCGGTTGCTGTGACGGGAGAGTTCGCTGATGGCGCCGTTGGGGACGCTCCGCCATCGTTCGACGCGGTTGCCGAAGCCTGAGAATTGAGGCGGGGACGTTTATTTGATTCTGAGGTTTCGGAGATGGAGGATTGACGGCGTTTTAAGGAGCCATTTTGTTCTGCGGGATCGAGCTGAGGCTCTTCGGGAATGAGGACAGCTGAGGATATCATTATTCGTACAGCGAAATGGGTTCAGGAGCTAAAATTCTGGTTAGGGAGGCTCCTGCTGCTTTTTCAAATAGTTGGTCGAGCAACCAGGCTGTCGATGTGTAGATGAGATGCAGAAACATCGAATCGGGCCTGCAGGCGGAGCTCCACAGATCTTTTCCTGCTGCACGTGCCGCCTTTAGTTTGTGCGGGGAAATGGAACGAGGCTTAGAAATTCGCGCAAGGCTGAGCTTTTTCGATGCGTTTCTGTTTTCCATCCCACTACGACTACGATAATCGATTTATCTACGGTGCCTTCCCTTTCTGCGTTCTCGACAAGCTCCGTATCGATCAATTCCTCTCCCAACTACCAAGAACCCCACAAAACTTCAAGTCACCTCCGAAAAGCCCTGAACATACGACCGCAACAATGTCGCGCCACCACCCCGATTTAGTGATGTGTCGCAAAGCCCCCGGCATCTCGATCGGCCGCCTTTGCGACAAGTGCGACGGCAAATGTCCCGTCTGCGATTCCTACGTGCGTCCCACGACCCTTGTCCGAATATGCGACGAATGCTCCTTTGGCAACTACCAGAACAAGTGCATCGTCTGCGGCGGGGAAGGAATATCTGACGCCTTTTACTGCTTCGAGTGTACGAGGCTGGAAAAGGACAGAGACGGGTGTCCGAAGATCATCAATCTGGGATCTTCGAGGACGGATCTGTTCTATCAAAAGAAGAACTTCAGAAATCAACAATATTAGAAATAAAATGACGCCGCTGAATCACACAAAGGATGGCTTGCGCTGGGAGTGACCACATATCTGCAGGTGTGAGCCAAAAAGAGTGAACATCCCAAACCCTACATGCCGTAGCTTGACGGCGGGGGAGATACAATATCGTCTGATGTCCTGACCCGGCGCGGATGCTGTTCGAGCCAGTCTCCCAGAACATCGAATGCGACGCGGAGAAGCGTCTGAATCTCTCTCATACTGTGGCAACCTTGCGTTTGGTCTTATCCTCTGCGCTTGGAGAAACATGCCCGACCGAAATATCCTGCGGAGCTAATACTGCCTTCTGTATCTGCAGTATCCATACTAAGCAGAAGGACAGTCGCACGTTCAAGTCAAGTCGCCAAATGACAGATCTACTACGGACCAGAGTACAATTGTCGATCGATATCGCGTCATTGATGGCCCAACATCTGTGTCAACACAGTGACGAAGGCAAGGAGGAAGCCCTCAGTAAGGAGCTCCAATATCATCAGGAAGGTGGCAAACAAGAGTTTCTAGACAACTAGCGGGTGGTTTCAATTGATTCTTCGCTTTTGCCGTCATATCCCCTTGAGCAGGACTGCCGGTTGCTTTTATCTTGAAATTCTTCTCAACTCCATATGTGATTTGAAAAAGAGCAGTTGGTTTGCATGTCTGTAATGCGGCATCCAGTTCATCCCCTGGGACGGCGGCCCTGCTGCCGCACAGAATTCATCTTTGGTCACCTTTTCCCCGGTCTCTTTGGTCTGGCAAATCCTCCTCTGGGTGTTGCTGTTCCCGACCCAGGCGCCGAGCTGTCGCCGCCTTCTACACCACCGACTCCACCAGTGACACCTGCGGCCGCGATCAAAGTCTTGACCTCTTGCTCTAACCTCTCACCGAGTAACTCTTCCGGATCTCCGGCCTCCAGTCTTTTCACAATTTCAACACCTTCAAACCCAGCAAGTTTGGTCATTCCCAGCCTTGAACTCGCATGAACCATCCTTTCCTTGATCTTGCTTGTCCCTGGACACACATAAATAAATATACTTCCGGGAACACCCTGTGCATTGTAGAACGTATAACTCGGTCGATCGCCCGGGATCTTTCCAGCCACTGCTCCTGGGTGAACATCAGAATTCGTGGATAGCAGCCGGATCTCTTCTGTAGCGATATCAATTCCAAAGACGGCCATGTTGCCGGCCGAGCTGTCGCTGTCTTTAAACCCCGTCAAGGCAGACTTGGCCTCATCTGCAATCTTCATCATCACACCACCTTTCCCCTGTCCTGAACCACTTCCTCCCTCGCCCATCAGATCCCTCCCTCGTGTGCCATGTCGCTCTTCCTCCTCGGCCCGTTTTACGGCTTGTAGCTCCCTCTCCTCTGCACTGAGAAGCCCGGTGTCTACAGCTCCTCTTGAACTGGGGGTCGGGACCCCACCACTCGCGGCCGCAGAGCCCTTGGAACGTTCATCCCATTGCGAGGGGTCGAGGATCTCTTCCCTCTCGGTTAAAAAGACGGTCTCGGAAAACTTTTCTGAACCGAGCTCGCGCATAAGCGTGTTACGCGTGGAAGCAAAGAGAGTCTTTTGCCGCACAGGGGCTCGTGAGGGGACATATGTTATTGCTATCAGCTCACTGGAATTGGGAGCACGACGTAAGAACAAATAGAGGGGGTCGGTCGGCGTGAGAAGGTCGGAGAGGGTATGGATACTATTGAAGAGGCCGGAATGAGAGGAAGGGAAGCGGATTGCTGGCAAAGGCGTGAGGGATTCGGATGTTATGCCTGCAGGGAGGCAGAAGAGAGAAGTGTCGCTCGTAAAGGTGGTGAATGCTGAGTGAAGGTCGGAGGACGCTGCAGTCAGAGAAGAGGTGATTGTCAGTCTTACAAATACTATTTTCCAGGCAGAAGGAACAGTCATAAGTTACCTGTGATTCCGGACTGCATGGTGATGGATTTCTACCCCTAAAGTAGACCTCAAGAAACAAAGGAACTGGTTGGTTCTTGCAGCGGGTGTGAAGGAGGCCCAGGTATTCGAGGTGAGAAGTGGTTGGAAGCGGATTGCAGAAGAGACGCTATGTCGGTGTCGAGGATACAACTTTCAACAAAGGCGTACGGTCAGGGTCGCATCCTCTCAGTCTTCGAGATAGTAGAAGCACCAATCTTGTACATAAGTGAAACACGTTGTAACCCTGTCGGCATTCAGGCTCCTCTCAATCTACACGCTGGCACGGCGCCGCAATAAGACCCCGCCGTGGGGTGCTGGTCCGAGGCTGCACTTTGCCTGACTTGGCAAACGACAGCCTCGTCAACTGCAACCATGACTTACTTCATTGCTTCAAACCCTGAACGCTGCTGATATTGCAACAATGGCCGTGGTGTGCAGGCTATCTTGCGAGCCCTGCACAATCGATGTGGCCAGATCAATTTAGTTCGGCGTGAGAGTGCGTAGGCGTCGATTGAAGACCATGGAGAGTGTATATTGTCTTTGAGCCTCAGACCGTGACTGAGATACTCTCCACCGGAGACTGATGATTTACTGGGCTGCTATCTCGTTCGACAATATTTGCAGACACCTACTCTCCAGGGTCCGACGCTTTGTGAATACCGTCTTACCCACCAAATCCGGAGAGCAGTAGTCGGAATGTTCCGAGCGTGGTCAGCACTCCAGTCGAGCCCCGGACGATCCCTCTCCGCAACTTTGTGGGTGAAGAACGTATGGAGCCTATCAGATTCGACAGTCCGTCATGTACCTCCTTGCTGCTATGACCAGCCCCGGAAAAGTCCTATTGAATGCCTCGTTCCTCCAGGAAATGTACAGAGATGTGCAGTCAAGCACGACACCTCGGAGTTTGGTATGTCAAGGAGAGTAATCAGGTTCGGGACCATGATCAAGGTAAGACTAACAAGCTGGCATGGGAGTGAAGCCGCCTATAAAGAGTTGGACGGGTCTTCTACGATATTGCCAGCAGTAAAGAAGACACGATCTGGTCAACTTCAAGTACGGACGCTCAATTGACTGACGGAGTTCCTCGAATAATGATTTGATAGCATCGACTATCAACATGGCTCTCACGCACCTTTCGGAACAATTTGCTTCGGAGAAGGACAAACCCCTCTACTATGATGTTATACCTCTGCTGATTGTTCTTTTCCTCGGGAGTGCACTTCTCTATGTATGCCTTTCACTTCCAGCAGACGTGGACTACCCTTAACCTCGTGGTTGCCAACTTCAACAACCCATTGACACTGACGCAAATTGCAGACGCTCAGTCTTGTCATATATAGACTCTACTTCCACCCACTCGCCAAATACCCCGGCCCGTTCTGGGCCAAGGTCACGAATTGGTATTCGGTGTATCACGCTGCGGTCGGCGACAGGCACCTACAGATCTACTGGGCTCACCAGAAATATGGTACGTAATATCAAACTATATGTGGCAGCGCTGGAGGCTCCTTTCACAAGACTCCAATGTGGAGCATAACAAGGTCATCGGAAGAGACGATAGTTAACAAAGCATTTGCGTACCGAATAGGCAAATTCGTCCGTGTCGCCCCCAACCTTGTGACGATCAATGACCCGGCGGCCATCAAAGGTACGTATGCCTGAACAGAGATACTGGTCAGCTGGAGACTGGTGGTTTGGATCAACGACCCTGACCCTGACCCTGACTGTTCAACCAGATATCTACGGCGTGAACCAGAACGTGCGCAAATCGGTCTTCTACGAAGCCTCGATTGCCCACAATGGCTTCCAGAACATGTTCTCCGCCCGCGATCGCGAGATCCACGCCCGCAAGCGCCGCATCCTCGCTCCAGCGTTCACCGAAGCGAGCCTGTCCTCCATGGAACGGTACATCCTCCCACACATTGACGAATTCTTCCACGCCGCTTCGGGGGAAGAGCGTTGCTCGGCATTGCGCAAATGCTGGACCGCAGACTTGGGCCGATGGGGCAACTACTTGACCTTCGACGTCATGGGCGACCTCGTGTTCGGGAGGGACTTTGGAATGCTCAGGGGAGATGAAAGCCGCGAACTCCCCGATGTCATTGACGCTGCGGTGCATCAGCAGCTCCTCGTACGTCTTTGTTCTCTTCCACCCATAATCTGGACAGCAAGGGAGAGGGAACACACACACACACACCAAACAAAAGGTTTGAGAGACCCTGTGAGCTGATGAATCGTGTGGTCACAGAACGGATGCAGCCACTTCATGCTGAGATGGAACCTCGACAAGCTCCTCTTCCCAGACATTGTCCGCCGTGGTCGGCAGTTGCTCGTCTACGCCAAGAAGCAGGTCCAGCTTCGGATGAGTGCTGATCAGAACCGCAAGGATTTCTTCTCGTACATTGCCAACGCCGAGAACAAGGACGGCACCAAGGCATACGCTAATTCCATAGAAGTGTTTGCAGAAGCGAGGGGACTGATTCTTGGTGGTATGTCATTCCCAATGCCTCTTTGTCTTATATCGGCAATTCGGGAGAGAATATCACTCACTCACAAATACATAATTCTTCCGCGACAGGCTCCGATACAACGGCCACTCAGTTGGCGGCGAATTTCTTCTATCTCACCAACAATCCCCACGCACTGAAGCGGCTCGTGGAAGAGATCCGCTCTACCTTCAACTCGGCCGACGAGATCCGCCTGGGTAAAGCCCTTGACAGCTGCCACTATCTCCACGCCGTCATCAACGAATCGCTCCGTCTCAGTCCCAGTCTTCCCGGTGTCCTGCCTCGGGAAGTGCTCAAGGGCGGCATCACAGCAGTCGGCGAGCGCTTCCCCGCGGGAGTCGAGCTCTCGGTCCCCATCTACGCGGTTCATCATCTAGGAGACGTCTTCTTCGACCCGCACATGTTTGTCCCCGAAAGGTGGCTGCCCGAACACACGAGTGAAGACGATGTCAAACGGTGCCACGAGGCCTTGACCCCTTTCTCGTACGGCTCGAGACAGTGCATCGGCAGAAGATTGGCGGTGATGGAGCTCTCTCTAGTTATAGCCCAGTCGGTCTGGAAATATGACCTTGAGTATGTGGCTGGTGGCAAGGATGATCGGTTTAAGAAGAGTCCGGAAGTCGTAGAGTACAAGTTGCTTGATCATCTTGCTGCAGGGAGGTCGGGCCCAGTGATAAGATTCACAAGCAGGGAGTAAGAGACAGGGGAAGACAGAGAGTTCGTTCGCCCGGGAGTATGAAATTGTTTCGCCAAGTGCTCATCAAAGGGATTGATTGTTAGCACTCGAAGCAGGTCACTTCGGTAGGCAATAGTAGCGTGACAGTGGAATATGCAGAGTTCCTTCAGGATAACTTCATACCAAACGAACTGCTCAACTCGATGCGTATTGATTGCAAGGAACAACTCGGTACAAATACAAATCTCCAGCCATCGGTATTGTGTCAAGGCATCCACAAATTGTTGACCAAGGTCCCAAGGTCTTGAGGCAAGCCAAAGTCGGGTTCCGAAGAAGGTGGCAGCTGAAATTCCCATACGGTCGGGTCCTCGGACAGGAATGGGAAAATCAGCCCATTTTCGCCGTTACTTGGGCCAAACTCGGTGAGTGGCAGCGAGTTGAGGCCGATTGCAGTTTCAGTGACGGTCTTTGTGTCTTCGAAAGCTTCGATTCCGGTGACGGACGTAGGGAGAACTTCGGCCTCAAGGCCTGTTGCAGCGAAGACGTGGTCAGAAAAATTGAGACGCGAGGCTACACCTCGAACTCTTTCCCACAGGTACTTTGACTGAACCGATGTCTCAGCCAACGTCTGGAGACGGGCCAGTGCAACTATCGAGCTCTGACGAGCTTTTTGGGCGATATCAGCGGGGACAGAAAGCTCCTCTCCGTTCGCGGAAGGCGACCCCACGCCAGATGACTTATGCGTAGTGGCGAAAAGTAGGACGTCCAAGGCAGAAATGAGGAAGTGATTGAATTGCGCCTGGTGGAAAAGGTATTCGCTCTTGAAAGAATCCAGCTGAGTGAGAACTTTGACCGTGTCCGCGGCAATGCCCACCGAGGTAGTCCAGATATCCGAGGGCGCCGCATTGCGCAAGCCAGAGCAAAGGAAAGCTCGAGCAATCAGCGTCCGGAGATGGTTGGCTCGTATGTATAGAGTCGTACGAACCATTTTTAGTCCTGGACTGGAACTCTCACCAAGAGTTAGGGTTTCGAAATTGTCGCAAGCCCGACTCGCCCACAGATTAACTCTGTAGAGAAAATAAGCATAGTCATCTTGGAAGGTCGAGAGTTGCTCAGGGTTCAGGATCTTGTCGTTCAGGAGGGCATCGCAGGACTGTTTTCCGATGCTTGCATACTCAATCATGAGCTGCAAAAAGGGAGCTTCGACCTATACATATCATGTTAGTGGGCAGCGCTCCAAGTATATCGCCACAAGTCCGTAGATTTCTATTCAGCGATCTAACTCACCGGCTGAGGAAAGTTCGGCTCCGGATGGAGGTTTTGCATCGCATTAGAGAAGCCCAAGGCATAACTGAGATGCTGCTCGAGAACAAAGACCGTCCAAACGGTGTTGATTGCCTGCGATCGGCTCTTAATGTCCGGGAAAGAGCGATCAAGGACCATTTTCCGATTCAACCCCAACTCAAGTATAATCCGGCTGACATTCATCGTGAATCTCCATGCCAGTCTCCACCGAGCGCAATGCAGATGATACAAGATCTGGGTAGTAGATCAAGAGTTAATCGACCTGTTCCGGTATACATTGTCAACGAAGTCAAGACTTACCACTAAGGTCATCAGCACCAGGTCTTTCAGGTCAACTGCAGCACTCCATATCATAGTTTCGATTTCCGAGTGAAGAGATTGCAACAGCTTCGAGGTCAACTTTTGATGGGTATCACCTTCAGCCAGGAGGCCAATTGCGACCACCATTTTCAGGATGGCCAAGTCCCCCTTGCCAAAGGCATATGCCCTTGCACGGCTTGAAAGCCCGCTGTTGGTTTCTAAGCGGTCATTTATGATCTCCTCGAGGTCGGAGATGTCCAGGATAGGATACATGACCCATTCCAGATTGTGAAAGGCTTGTACTCCCTGCCAAAGAAGGTTGCGGTCCGTCTCGTCGATCGGATCTATCGATCGAGCAGGTGCAGAAGCACCTTGACTCCTTGAGCTCGCGTCTGAAATTGATTTTGCAACATGCTCAATTTCACTTCGGCTGATGTCACTTGATTCACCGTCGAACACCTCACCGTGGATAATGGACAAGGATGTACGTGTTTGCGTAGCAGTAGACTCATCTGCCATGTTTTGCGCTTGTGACAAGTCAAGTCCAAGTTTTCTGACACCTGCGTCAATGACGTTGATGCAAAAGAAAGCACTGGTTGATGTTTGGAAGAGGGGCAAAGGATGTTTTTGAGCCGATAGTCCAGCGTCGGCCTTTGCAAGACGAGTTTCGGCCGCTTCATAGGCTGCTTCAATCGCTGCCGTCTTTTTGATCAAGAGATCCAACTTGTCGTTCTGTTGTCGGAGGAGCGTTGAGACCTCTGTTTCAAATTTGCGCTCGTCATCCCTACTGCGGTCAGATCTCGCTAAGACAAATGAGGGCGTTCGTACTCTGGTCGATGCTCGTGGACCTGGAAGTTTGGAGGCGCCTGAGCACTGTACAGGCAAGTGGCGTCTCGAGAGGCACAGTGTTTGCAAGGAAGGCGGCCATCACATCTCACTTTCGCGGCTTTACATTTTTCACACGCATGGGGCGTGTATCGACTTCTCTTTCGGGGACGTTGGGACGAGGCCTCAGTATCCGTCGCGTGTGCTGTAGTAGCGCCTTTCCCTCTAGAGACTTCACGTGCCCCAGCCATCGTTGAAGGGGAGATACAGTGGTAAAAGAGAAGAAGGGTAACTGGCCCTTCTCAGAGACGGTGAAGGATGGCAACGAGAACAGAGTCGACTCCAGCTTACTTCTCATGTCAACATGACTAATTCCGGCCACCTGCGGATGCTTGGTCGACGCGGAAATCTACCGAGATCGTCGCACTACGGGTTGATCGGTGGGGGAATTGGGCGTCGTCTGCGGGGGAAAGTCAGCTCTGGGGCTGCTTATGGCCCCTGAATCTTCAGCCTCATTCGCCTGGCAGCCCATGATTCTTCCCCGGCTCACTCAACTACTAAGCTTACTCTCTTTCGCTACCTTGGATGTATCGAATACGAGATAGCACTCGAGTACTCCCCAACCACCTTATATGTAACGTTATGTTCTGCATGGAACTCGTGTCTAATTAGGCGAATCAATATCGTCGTCGCCACCACTTGTATGGAAGCCGTGGTGTTATTGGGTCCAGCCTTGTCAGTCAGCCTCGTGCGCCTCTCAAAGACGCTGCAATATCGGAAAGTAACACAGTGTACAAACCATTCAGTCCTATCGAGCGACTCTCCATTTGTTCAAGGGAGGCTTCTGATATGCGTGCAAAATGACTGGTATAAAAATGCGCCGAACTACTCCTGAAGCTCAGAATAGAGAGCGGATATGCAAGTACTCGCTCTCGGCCAGCGACCCCGTTAGAATGTGCCAAAACCGGTCTGAAATTTCAGGTTATATACCGCCTTGGATGTCTCTTCGATGAAATGGATCGCTTCGAGTGGTCTTGATGCCACAGTGAAAAAAAAAGGTTGGGACTGAATTAAGAGTTGATTATGCCTATTGCTGGCAAGACAGCAATGTTGACGACTTCGAAATGCCGGAAACGCCCAGTCCAGAGCCTCGACCATGGTTGCGCAGGGCTCGGGTACGGCTCAAGCTGCTCGCATTGTTGAAAGTGGGATGCTGCCCGAACTTGCTCGACGGTAAATGTTTATCTTCAAAGCGAGTACGCGAGAGCGAATGGTCTTTGGCCACAGTGGGAAGGGGCTCTCTCAAAAAGCGGCTTTCGATGTGACGAGCGTACGAAGTCATGGGTCAAGGAACGCCGACAGCCCTCTGGGGAAGAGGGGAAATGCATACTGCGTCCGGTGATATGCCCTGGAGTATTTGTGGAAATGGAAAATGGCCTTTCTCAGCTAATGGAGTGCGCAGAGCTGGAAACCCCTATCTAAAAAGGGGTGCCAGATTACAACATCGAGCGCAAGGTTATACACCAGCTTCCGCCTCAAGATGGCTTGACATCCCCATCGATGAAATGTCGGCTGCTCAAGTCTGGAAATGGAAATGGATTCGGAGATGTTCTTGTTTTGCGACGGTAGAAGTGGCGACTTGACGGAGCATTTTGTATTTCTTCGACACTCTCCGAGATAGATACCAACAGGATCGTCGGTGCTTTGCTTTTGGTCACTTCTCCAGAGGAATGGCTACTGACTTGACGGACTGCTCAAAGACCAACTTTGCGAACGAGCATTAGCATTGGTGAGGCACTGGACGACTTCCCTAAGCACTTCCCCAAGCTAAGTCTTGTGGCGGGAATCAGCCTCCTATTGCCTCGAGTACCTAGTACGACAATGAAATATCGCATGGCACAACTCGTGTTCGGGAGACTTTGATTGCCAAAACAATTGTGCAACGTACTGCCTACCGCAAGATCCTGTGAGTCAGGTCGAAGAGAGAAAGGTGGCCGATGTAGCCCTTTAAGTTATTGTGAGTGGTACGAGACATCAGCTCCGAGGCGGCGGTTCCAGAGAGCAATGCTGGATGTTGAGGAGGGACGCGGAACGTCTTTCACATCCCATCGAGTCAACTTGATAATGATCCGAGTCAGGAGACATCAGACAACTCACGATGATGAAATGTTCCGATGTAAGGAGCATCGACTATGGCTCTCCCGGTAGAGTTGCGCTCATATTCCCCGACAACGAAGGTATCCCGGAGTCTAGATAATCGAGGTCAAAATTGAGGTCGTCAAAGCTCACACGGTTGTCCAAAGCTGTTTGCAGAGCTTGGAGGTTGTTCTCCAGTAATCGCAGCTGTCTGTCGAAATGTTTCGCAGGTACATTGCCCGCTAAGCTCTGCTGACGAAGGATGCCGACTATGGTATTGAGGGCAGACAGGTCTTCGTCCGTAAATAGGAGAGCGTCCTGGTTGGGATACGTGAATGACCGCAGGGTTCTAGCAAGGTAAAGTGCTATGGCGGCAGTAAAGGCGTAGCTAGCATCAAAATAGGAATTGATGACTGCACGTGTTTCCAATCAGTATTTTCTCAAAAATGGAAAACCCAGAATACTTACATAGTGCACCTTGGTATTGCAGCCACTCCAAGATACCCGCTGTTTCTCGCGCAGAATCCAGGATGGCAATGTAAAATGCTCGCAGCATCGACTTTAACCCTGGATTGGCGTCGATCGTCTCCGAATATTCCTTGCTCCGGACTTCGAAGCTGTCATTATGAATATTGACTAAAACAGGCCTGAGTAGTACAAGGATGGTCTAAGCCTAGTCAGCAAGAATGACAAGAGATCTTCGTGGTGAAGAGAACTGACTTGATGGTAGATGAGATGTAAGTTCGCGGTCACTCGGCTTGGGTTTAACCCCGACCCTTCAAAACTCCTAGCGAGCTTCAACTTTCCCGGGAGCTCCTGCTGCCAAGCGATTAAGCCTTGGTGAAATTCATCCATCTTGTCCAGGTGTTGTTGCGATAAAGAATTTCCCAGGTCAAAATCGAACAAAGAAATATGAGAGTAGGGATTGATCGCGGTGCCTGCGTAACCATACAACGAAGAATAAGCCTGGCCTCTCAGGCGCATGAGTTCCAGGTGCGCATTGGACTCTTCGGAGTCAAAGAACTCCATCATTGAGTCACCAGAGATACGAGTGGAGTCGGCATATTCAGTGGTGATCTCATCGTCCAGGATACCCCACGGGCGGCCTGTGGTGGAGGAAGTAAGTCTAGGCAAAGGGTCAGCTTGTTGTGAAGAGGTAGTTGCGCTACCACCGTACAGGTCCTGATAATACACCGTCCAGAATACCCGCCTCTGGTGTTCGCTTTCAGCTATACGGAGATCCGAACCTTCCGATAAGAAGTCTAAAGAGCTTCGGTGCAAGCCCAGTGAAAGGGCCGCACGCAAACCAAGGCCATTGTACATGTAGGCGGTGTTGATCTTGTTCATTGAAAACGCGTAGACTGCAAGCAAGCACAAGGTCTCAATGTACAAGACGTCAGGATTCTCGGCCACCTGCTGAAGAAATGAGACGGATTGGTGATAATATTCGGCGCCGGGTGGTTCCTTGTCGGGAGATGTCGATGACCGGCTTAATCCCAGGCCATCATCGGCGGGGGTGTATCCATTGCTGTTGTATAGCTCCCCAACCGCAAGTATGGCAAGCCAAAAGCATAGCCAACCCCGATCTTTGCTTCGAGAGGAATCCGGATTCTGATACATTTGCGTTACCCTGGCGCGAATGTGTTGTCGTCGAAAATAATGCTGGTCGTGGCCAATTGCGAACTCAACGCATTGAAGTAGATGTATGCTGTGGTTGTAGGGCGGCATGCGAATCTTTACTGGTCGGCTTGCCTCTGATTGAGCCGAGGGATGGGATACTTCGGTGTCAATTGATATCTCCAACCCAGGGTTCATCAAGCCAGAGTCTAAGTGTCCCAGAGATGCCCATGATGGATTGAAAGAGGCCTCATCGAATGGATTAAGCTGGAGCTTCTGCACCGCAACCCAAGCAATAAATTGCTCAACAAACGTGCGGCAGGAAGGACTAGCACGATAGGTTTGTCTTGAAACTCGTCTTGCTTGGTCCAATCGACGTGAGCTGAAATCTTTCTCGGAACGTCTATAGCTCCCGGTTTTCGCTGTCACCGATAGCGAGGCTCCATTAGCAGCAGTAGTTGATGTTGGATGATCGTCCTTGAGACTGTTAGAAGGCGAGACAGGTCCCTGCTGACTCGCTGAATTTCGTGACTTGCGAGGCGGCGGAAAGATACATGGCGAATCGGAAAGCGTGCAGTTTCTACACGGAACACCTAACCCCCAGGTCAGTGTCATATGCATCATGATATATCTTGTGCATACCGCCTAGGCACTTAATCCTTTTCGTGTGACATCGTGAGCATCTGTAATGAGCCGTTAGCGCTTCAAAGCTCAATCACGTCGATTTTGAGTGATGAGACTGAGAGGGTAGACAGACGCTTGCTTCCTACGTGGAGTGTAATAGATCGGCTCCGGTCTTTGTACACTAGGGGTCTCATTGAATGTCACCGACGAGAGAGAAGCCGGTATGGACGGTGTCTGCCACATTGTCGTGAACACGATAAGTTATCATTTCCCAAGCAGGAAGCTGCTCTGTAGAGCATCATCATAGAGTATGGAGAAATACCCGGGATGCCCTCATAGTTCAGAGATGCATTTGATGGGACTTATCTTGTCTGAGTGTATGAGATGTGATATGATAGGACTCAAATGCAGAGCCTGGACCGCCGAGCGGAAATGTACGACTGCAGCCGACAGGCCGCCACGTGACTACACTAAAATGTCTTGGCAAGTTCAATAAAAAGATTAGTGCTGACGCTTAATTGTGCCTCCTTAGAAGACGACAGCCCCAGATACAAGTCAACTTAGCAAAGGGTGCTTGCTGTTTCTACGTTTATTGCTTAGAGAATCCCGTCTGATGCACACGCCTGGGATCATGCCCTGTTCGGCCAAACGTTGTGTCATCGAAGAAGTTGGACGCTTTTGAATTGAAAATGAGCTCTCACTTATGAACAACGGTGGCGATGGTGCATCCTAACAGACACATGAACATCTAGGTATCTGTCTCAACAGACACTGACCAGGCATGTCTTCGGATACCCACGGTCTATCTTTCAAGTCCTTCACGCTGTGCAGGCCGACGCATCTGCGTATTCCATAACAACGCTCTTGGGTTCAACAAACACACCCAACGGTCGATAATCTATGTTGTATCCAAATGCTTGCGGTCCGCCATATTCCAAACCTCTTTTTGTGTCTGACCATCGCGGCGAGCAAGTGATCCCAAGTACCGTCACAAGCAACCCGTATCGAAATTCTGGAACCCCGAGCGCGCATCCTGATTGAGTGTCGAGAACGGAGATCAGGTCGGGAACTGTTGCCAGGTATGTTTCGGTTCCGTCATCGGCGATATGCTTTGCATATATGTTTTCGTTCTTAAAAGGGATCTTGACCACCCCTCCTTCAGCAACTGCAGCTCTCTCGTAACTCTGTTCCTCTTCGTCTTCGTCTGTTTGGGCTATGGTTATCTCGCCATAAGAATGTCCTTTGAAAACCCTTCGTTCGACTGCCACTATCTTCCCTCGGAAGAGGATCTTCGCTGTGGTTGGGCCGCCAACTTCGTCGATAATTTGTTCTGCAACAGTGTGAATGGTGCTCTCCTGTTGGGCACGGGCCACGGTCCTGCCAATACGCCAAGAGAGCGAGAGAGTGTTGATGACACCATAAGATCTCACACGGTCAGTCGTTGTGGGCTTGGCTGCCATGCCCACTCGAGATCCCATCTCCGAGCAAGAAGCTCGCAAGGCTCGATCAACTATTTCATCGTCAGGCGACTTTGTCATGATGATTGTTTTACCGTCGCCTGATGCAATCGCGCACGGTGTCAGCTGCCCACTTTCGTGGACCGCGATTGTGGTTTGCCAATATGTCGGATATGCTCGACCTGATACCGAGTCAGCAACTCACAGATAGTTGTGCGGTGCGCAGACGGAGCACAAACCCATCCAGTCTGCGTCAATCACTGGTCTATTGAACGCCTGAGAAGAGCCGATTAGCAATGGCTCTAAACCGTTGGCTCCTCCGATCTCTAAGCCCATGACAGCATCGAATGATTTGTGGCCTAGATACTCCATCAGGTCTGCCACGGCAGTTATGCATTCCGAAGAGTTCAATCGCTCAATCGACACTGCTGGCGATCCCATCATACCGCCCCCTATTATATTGTCAGCGGCAGGAGAGGCAAAGGCGTGTTCCATCGGACTCACAGTATACGAGCGCATCCTCCCGTAAGGAGGAGCTATCGATTATACGAACCTTGCCTCCTGCTCGGACTTGATCCCGAAGTTTGAGGAATTCAGCTTTGGGTGAACCGCCACCAGCACAACCCAAGATGTAGCATCCTACACTGAGCCACTCCAGATCGGTTTCTGAAACAATCCACTCATCGACACCAGTGTCCGTATTTCGTCTGACCAACGGCCGGTATGCGTCAAAATCGAACTTGCCACGGGCAATTTCTTCCTTCGAAGACAATGAGATGTCCTTGACCTGGTCGGCAAGAGTTTCACTTGCGTCGTCTTCCGCCTCAGGGAGGGTTTTGCTGTCAGCGACATAGTCAAGAGACAGATCTCCGACTGCTTTGACCAGGACGCGGATTTGTCCAGAAACGTATGGTATCGGCAGGGTGTCGATTTCAACCACGGTCACGGTACTTGAGTCGGCTCCTCCCTTCACGGCTTTTGCAACAGCTTGGGCTTTTGCGTCCTCTATGACTTCGGATAAGGACATATCTGTAATGCTGTAAATAGCATCCACCGAGCCGCAAACCCTCGATATCGCTGCTCCAACAGCGTTCGCCACGGAATGAAAATTTGGTACCACAACCTGCGACACCCCTTCGAGTTCCAGCGGACAGATAACAGAGCCTCCACCAACTAAAAGGACCGGCAATGGTGCTGGGGTGAGCTTCAGTCGGTCGATGACACGCTCAAGCATCTTCTTCGTCCTTGCACGAACGCGCTGTATCATTTCAGGCTGGATGTCGCCAACCAACTTTGGATCTCCAACTGCAAGGCCGCCAGCAACCGCAACGTCGGTGGCTGTACAGGTGTCACCGCCAAATACCCTCGATTTAGTGGTCAGCTGGTATCCGACCGAATCCGGCCCGATGGAGACATCCGTTCCACGCTCGCGTATTATTGAACCTCCCCCGAGGCCGATCGATTCCAGGTGAGGCATAGGGAAGTTCATTGTCACCCCTGCTACACTGACGTAGGCCGAAGCTGCACGCGGAAATCCTGATGGTAAAAGGACGCCGCAATCCGTTGTTGTACCACCAACGTCAATTACAATTGTCGACGTTCGTTCTTCGCCCTGTAGTCCCAGTTGCCCGAGGCCAAGATAGGCAGCTCCTCGCATAGAGTTTGTGGGACCTGAAGAGAATGTCTTGATTGGCAATTTTGCGGCCGAGACGGAATCGAGGACGGTACCGTCGTTCTGCGAGATGAATAGAGTGCAGTCGAGCTTCAGCCGCCTCATAGCAGCTCGAAAGCCACGAATCGTGCGTCTCGCAAACTTCAGAATCGATGCATTCAAGATGGAAGCGTTTTCCCGTTCCAATAAACCGATATTCGAGACTTCGGAGGAGCAAACAACGTCGACATTGCTTAGTCGCTTTTGTATTATGTCGCGAACGCGGCTCTCCTGGTGGAAATGCTGGTCGATGGGGGAGAAAATCCCCGAGATCACGACGGCGTTGATCCCGAGCCTCTCAATCGCCTCACACTCTTTCAGCACTTGCTCTTCGTTGATCGGAGCTTCTTGGGCGCCGTCAATGTGGAGACCTCCGTCGACATACCCATGGTAGCCGTGAAGAAGGTCAGCCAACACTGGAGGAAAGTCCGAAAAGGGAGGGATATCTCTGGTATAACTCCTGGACAGCCGAATGACGGCGACTTTCGACAGTCGGTGTACATCCCGTTCAATGACCGCGTTCAAGAAATGTGTTGTCCCAACAATGAGGCAGGAAATTTCTGAAACCCGGTCCTTGGCTTGTTTCAGCACGTTCCCTACGGCCGTCTCGATCCCATCAGTGACGTTGGGACTTGTCGTTGGTGTCTTATGCCAGGCCAGCACTCCACGATTGGGCTGATGAACTGCGTCCAAGTCAAGAAGCACAGCATCTGTATTGGTGCCTCCGACATCGACACCAATCCTCAGAGCTCGCTTTGCCCGGATTGAACCCATTAAACTGTGAGACCGGTCCGGAAAATAACGATGGCTTCAGGAATCGAGAGTGGTACCGTGTACAATTTATCGTCGAAGACAGCTCACAAAGGCAATCCTGTTTAGTCCCAGGAGGGCGACTACGCATATGGCCAGGCAGTGAGGTTTGGCATCAATATGTAGGCGAGGCCATCAAGACCATGTACAACTCTGTCATATTCCTGACTAAGACTTCATTGTCAGTTGCCAATTCCTCTCACTCAAATGGAGTTTGAAGCAAGACCAACAAGTCTAGAATACGACTTCCATGCACCCGGAGCACGACCTCCAGAAATGTCCGAAGAAAAAAGGTTGATCCGTGCCAGCCTTGACCTATCTTTGGGCGATTTAACTATTTCATTTGTGGCAAGAACCTCCACTGATAGGTTCAGATAGGCATGTCGCCAATGTCCGCAGCCTTCGATACTTCCTCATTGGTCGACTCCTCTCTAAGATAGGTGACAGCGATCAGTGCCCCACAAAACTAACTGACAGAATACATCCCCGTGGGTTTGCCAGGCGGCATCTAGATGGTAGTGGCTACTATCGAGGCAGTCCCCGTATTCTTGAGTGTCTGATATTTGCTCTCCACAACGTTGATTTCTGGTACTGACATGAATCTAGACTGCTTTTTGGGGACTCTCGATACCAGAACTACATTTACTTCGTGTTAACAAGGGGTCCTCAAGAGAGTTCCCTATCTTCGCGATATCGTGTGTTTGGGCGAACGATAACGGCTTTTTTTGTCACTGGAGGCTAGTGCCACTTGTGCACAGCAGCCAGCTGACGGGGTCGCTATATACATCCCTCGGACAGTCCACGAACATCAGATCCTTCTTCCCTCGAACACTACCTGCTTGTGCGACCGGCATCACATTTCACTCCCAAGCCTTCCACGATGAAGATGCCAAATCTCAGACCACGTTCTTTCCACCTGCGGCTCCAGGGTGAATCCTCAATTTGGATCAACGATGACATTCGACCGCTCCCTCCTTCACGTCGCCTTTGGGACACATGGGCATACATCTCATTCTGGGCTATCAATCAGATTGCCCTGAGTAACTGGCAGCTTGGAGCATCCCTCATTGCAGTCGGTCTGTCTGTCTGGCAGACTATGATCGCAGTTATCATCGGCAAGCTTATTATCGCTGGAGTCGCGATCTGTAATGGAATGATTGGTGCAACCTGGCATATTGGATTCCCCGTCATGTCGCGTGGCATTTGGGGTGTCTGGGGATCCTATGTCATCATCATCCAGCGGATTGTTCTGAGTCTAACCTGGTTCTGTGTACAATCCTGGACAGGTGGCCTCTGTGTCACGGCAGTTCTCAGCTCCATATTCTCCTCCTTCCAACACATGAAGAACACCCTGCCCGAATCTGCCAATACCACGACGAAATCATTGACGGGCTGGATAGTTTACAACATCATTACGATACCCATGCTCTACATCCCTCCCGAGAAGACCCGACGGCTACTGTTCATAATGAACTTGATCTCTGTTACCACGCTCATTTCAATGATGATATACGTCCTGTCGACTGCAAAGGGCGGCGGTCCACTGTTGTCAGCGCCTGCGGCAGCACAATCTGGCAGTGAATTAGGCTGGGCAATCGTGCAGGGTATAACAACAGTGATTGGGGGCATCGCAGTGGGACTCACAAATCAAACCGACTACTCTCGCTTCGCCCGCCGCCCAGGCGACCAGATCTTTGGCCAGTGGTTCTCCATCCTCACTCTGGGGACAGTCCTGCCGCTTTTTGGGTGTCTCACAAGCTCAGCATCCATCAAGCTCTACGGCCAAGCTTACTGGAATCCACCTGATCTGCTACTCCGTTGGCTTGATGATGACTATAATGCTAAGTCTCGAGCCGCGGCTTTCTTTGGTGGCTGTGGACTAGTGGTCTGCCAGCTTGCAATTAACACTATCGACAATGCATTTTCTGCTGGAATGGACATGGCTGGTTTGTTGCCAAAGTACTTCAACATCAGGCGAGGCTCCTACCTGGCTCTCATCCTTTCCATTGCCATGTGCCCGTGGGAGCTGCTCGCCTCGGCTGGGACTTTTATCAGTGTCATGGGCGCCTGTATGTCTCTCTTCTTCTTCCTACGCAGATTTCCCACCCTCTGTCCAGCATAAGCACCATTCAAACAAGCTTGCTAACTATGTGCATGACAGACTCCGTCTTCCTCGGACCCATGTGTGGCATCCAGATCTGCGATTATTTTCTGGTCCGCTCTCGCCGGATGAAATTGTCGGACCTGTACAGACCCTCCCCATCCGGCATCTACTATTACTTCCACGGCGTCAACCCGCGCGCATTTGTGGCATGGATCTGTGGTTGGGCTCCCCAGCTACCCGGGTTCATTGCCAACGTCAATCCAACCGTGCATGTGCCAAAGGCTTGCACGGACATGTTCTACCTCGCCTTTCCTCTAGGCCTCGCCATCAGCTTCACGCTGTACTATGGACTCAATAAGGTGTTCCCACCCAAGGGTCTCGGCGAGTACGACGATGTCGACTATTACGGCACCTTCACAAGCGACGAGGCTGCCAAGCTTGGAGTCTCTCTTTTGGAAGAAACACAAGGCCAAGAAAAGGCCGATCAATTTGGCTACCCTGTGAGCCAGAAGGTCGTGGAGGCGGATATTTACGAAAGGAAGACTTAAGAGCGGGCGGAGGACATTGTGATTCAAGCATTCTCGAATGCTTCGTTCTACACCTGGCTTAGAGTCCGTGGTCAAGCAAGTCAGTGCTTGTGCCTAGTTACCTGTATACAACTTTCCTCAGCCAGGAACCCCGTGCAATTTGAGAAGAGCCATATCTACACGGCCTTGTGTGTTTATCCACTCGCCGCGAGGCAGCTCCAAGACGATATCCCTTGTCTTCTGCTCCCCTCTCTGCTTCCACTTATCATTGCCCGTCATCACATCCACCCACTAGCTTAGCCGCTCTACTCGTATTGCACAGGTGGTAGTTTAAGCGTCAATGTAAGCTTAGATGACCTCCGTAGCGCATGCGTTTGCATTTCGCCCTCATCTGGGACCATCTCCGTTTCCTGGGCCGAATCTCGCCCCTGCGTCCTTCTCTGTGGCGCTCACGACTGCCTCAGAGATTTGTATTCTCTCGGCTACTCCATTGCTAAGATGTTCGCCCGGTTCAGTGCTTCGATGATGAGATAAGCGGGAGAAGGGCGAATATAGCCGGAATGTTCCGAAGGTTGGAGGATGGCGGTAAATTTGGACTATCAGGGACGACATCCACTCTTCGACGCCCGGAACATTGGTCTTGTCATCCTGGCACGCCCTTTTGAAGCCGTGAGCTGAATTAATAGATCATCTAAACGTCATGAGAAGACTTAAGCGTCCGCCTCCATACGACCGCGTACCCTGTCGCTTAAAAACGCTTTAAGCCCAGCATGAGCGACTGGCCTTTCACATCTTTGAAGCCTTTTGCCTTGAATGCGACTAAATCTACTCTTTACCACACGCATTTGGAACACAGTCCTACATTCAAGACGTCTTCTCGTGCCAGCGAGCTGTCTCTCGATGGTGTAAACAGGGTTCACAAGCGACAACGTGGTTATATAGCGAAAGCACAATACTCAAAGAGGCACCACAAAGTGTGAAGAATCTTCAGATGAAATTCCAGCAGCCAGTTCATCCTGTAAAGCAAGCCATGCGACGATAGAAGCCTGAAAATGTTCGTTTTGATCTGTTTTGGAGTAAAGAATTTCTTGCCGCCATTAGCTCGAGAACACTATACCTGAGGTTCAACATCACCCCTCGCCGTGATGATTATCAAAGAATCTGAAGACGATCTACCCTTGGGCCACTTCAGGCTGAGTACTACGCTTCTAGGACTTTTGTGTCGGCCGGCTTCCGCAAGAAGCTACAAAACTCAAGAGGCACGAGGTGGAGGGACAATCCGATAAAGGAAGAAACGGGACCAACAGCCATCCGAGGGAGCCGCAGGGTAAAGTGAAAAGATGGAGAAGTGACCAGAGAAGTCTAGAAATTCGAGGCCTCCACGAGATCTAAATAATATTCCAGCATTATTTCAAGATCAGCGTTGCCGCCTAGGTGGACTTTCCATGCAATGCTCCGCAAGGCTGAAAAAGACGGGGCTTTTGGTTGAACAAGACTCCGCATTCCTTGAGCGACTGAGATCCAGCCCACCAGCCCCTTCGACGATCTGCTGGCCCGAGCCTTGTCGGCTTGATCCCCGGTTGACCAAGACGACGCCGGTGTTCCGCCGCCATTGTTATTTAGCACGGCCGCCCAATTTCTCCCACGAGAAGATGAAGAACAACACGACAGAGAGATTGCTATTCAGCCAGCGAAGGCGAGCGTCGTCTGAACATTCTTGCGTGTTCCTCTGATGATGAAAACGGGGCTAACTCCGACCCTTTCACCATGATAGCTGGCCGCGCACGCAGGAGGCTAGTCAGGCCCTCTTGACATGTTTATCGGTAGGATATCGGCCCGTGATAGGAGTCAGGCCGAATGCAGCCTATAGACCAATTACGGGAACATAGCCTTTAGCGTTGCATATGCATACTGAAGACGCTTTCAAATGAGACCAGTGCTCGCATGCGCTATCTCTCATGCCTGTTCAGGTAATTCGCGACCCGTGGCGACGCCGGTGCGGCGATGATCGACACGCCAGCCATTGGCCTGTCGCATGGTTCGACGGATGATAGCATTGCCATGGGGTCACAGGGCCCATTGTTGCTATCGGATTGCCCAACGTGGAAGGATGGATGAGACGTCTCTGTAAGTCCATTGGACCAGTTGGCTCTGATTGTCGTCCCGATAGCTATGGGGCATTTGATAATAGACCAGGGTCGTGGACAATGCGGCACACGAGAGCAGAGCGGATAGGTTTCCGACTCTGCGGGACGGGGTTCAAGACTCGAGTATACTAACAAGGGTGAGAGAGCTATGTCCTTAGCCTCGTGCTTCACCACCTCAAGCAACAAATAAATGTCAATCTGTCCCCCCGGAGGTTGCAACACAGTCGATCGAGTAAACCGCCATTCCAGCGACTTCTCGCAACTCATCCTGCTTCACTCACATCTGCCAAGGTGAAAGGAAGTCTACCTCCGGCCATGGCAGACGGGAACCGCAATGTGGTCCCTGGGACCATCCATCTCGTCGACACCGAGGCCGCTGAGCACTCTGGCAAGAAGGACATTGTCCTCAACCCACGCCCGAGCTCAGACCCGGAAGACCCCTTGAACTGGACCAAGAAAAGGAAGCTGTGGGCCATCACCATGGCGTACATCTACATTCTGGGCATTGGCATGTCCACAACCGTGCAGTATTCGATCTTGACCAACATAGGTGAGGCAACCGGCATCACAATTGCCGATATCAATACCGGAACCGGTCTGGTAAGCTTGTCCATACCGAAATATCTGGTTGGTTGTCCATTCTGACAGCACTCCAGCAATTCTTGTTCGCGGGCTGGGGATGTCTGTTCTGGCAGCCAGTGGCGCTTACATACGGACGGCGAGGAGTGTATATCCTGAGCAGTCTGTTGGCGATCGGCCCTATGATCTGGACCGTTTACACGACCTCTACAAGTATATGGTGGGCCCACCGCAGTCTCTTGGGCCTCATTGTTGCTCCAGTGGAGTCACTGGGGGAAATTTCCGTCTCCGACCTCTTTTTCGCCCACGAGCGCGGCAATTACATGGGTATTTATACTCTGCTCGTGTTCGGCTCCAATGCGCTGGCCCCTTTTTTGGCCGGGTTCGTCACCTACTCCATGGGATGGGAGGCGGCCATCTGGTTCGGAACCATCATCCTCGGCGTCTGCACCGTCATCATCTACTTCGGGATGGAAGAGACCATGTACTTCCGTCAGACCATCGAAGGCATTGACGAAGGAGCTGCAGAGGTGACCTCCGGTGTGGAAACGCTGGGGGAAAAGACCGATACTGTCTCCAAGAGCACGCCTCTCCAGGAGCCAGTCTCTCCCATTGCCGAATCCATCCGGGTAAAGAAACGAACCTACTGGCAGAAGCTGCAGCTGTTCAGACTCGACAAGGATCGACCTTCAGTGAAACAGATGTTCATCATGATGGTCCGACCACTTTGGATGTTCTTCTACTTCCCGAACGTCGACTGGGCCGGCTTCCTTTACGGTGCCTCACTGTGCTGGTACAACGTCCAAAACGCCACCATGGCGTTGATTCTGAATGCTGCCCCTTACAACTTCTCTGCCAGGGCTGTTGGAATTTCTTATTTGTCGCTCCTGATCGGATGCTGCGTCGCCTGGTGGTGGGCAGGATGGGCTGGTGATGAAATCGCCATCCGAGTCGCCAGACGCAACCGGGGCATACGTGAGCCTGAGCACAGACTTTGGCTTCTGACCTTCTCCGGGACACTTGCAACAGCCGGACTCATTCTTTGGGGTGTGGGCGCAGCTCACCAGATCCACTTCATGGGGCTGATCATTGGCCTTGGTATGACGAGTTTTGGCATTGTGAGCGGCGGAAGCACTTCTCTTGCGTACGATGTCGACTGCTTCAAGGAGATTGCCGGCGAGACTGTGGTTCTAGTTATCGTCATTCGCAACACGGTAAGTGTGCTCTCTCTCCTTCCGACCCTGGCAGAGGATATAAAATGCCGTTTCCACAAAAATTGTGACCTGCCGCTGACTTTTCATAGATGGGCTTTGGCATGAACTACGGGATTACTCCCTGGTTGGAGAACACCGGGACGCAGAACTGTTTCATTGCCGTGGCCTTCCTCTGTCTGTTCTGCAACTTCAGCTTCCTGTTCATGACGGTCTGGGGGAAGAAATTGAGGCGCCTGTCCGCGAAGAAGTACTGGGAATATGTGGACACGTTGATTGTTGGGGCACATTAGACATCCGGTTGCCCCGGTCCAAGCTCACTGGCAGCATATGGATGATGAAGGAAGCTCGAAACAGTGGGATGAATTGGGGAGACAATGCACTGCCCGACTGTTGGAGGAACAAGGTAGACCGGAGACTTTGAGGTAGAGGAACGAATACACCTGTTTGAGTCCGACGAACAATCCTCATGCGCAAGAAAATAGGGTCTAAATGCACGCTCCACATACCCGATTGAAATGTTTGTAAACACAGCGAAAATGAACGAATGTCCAGATATTGGTAGAAGCACAATACTTCTTGCAGCGAACAAAGTTGAACTTTGGGAAATGCTCGTATTGCAAATGTACATCACAACCAAGCTAAGCCTAAGTAGAGCCCGGGATAGGGGGATCGACCGCCTAGTAATAACGGACACGGTAGTGGCGCTGCGGGCTATCCAACAATTACGAGTACTTGCTCCAGGGCCATTTTCCAGCCTAGTCCCCTTGGTGGTGCCGATCTACTTGGCTAAGTAAACCCCTCAAACCAGCTCGTACTCCTAGGCCCTTCTTTTGCGAGTTGAGAACAACCCGTTCGATGACGACAGCTATCAAGCCAGCCGTTGAACCAAGGAGATTCAACTCCTCAGTCTTGCATAAGGAAGGGTAGTGTCCAGCTACTGTCGCCCCGTCAATTTCCTCTCTAGAGCCTTATCAAATGTCGACAACGATAACACAGTACTGCCACTCTAAAGCTCTCTTGCCTGATAGGGAAATCTATCCAGAAGCTACGCCTGACGACAACGCTTTGTTATCCGCACAAAGCAACACCGGGTGGCAGGAGAATGATCCTTATCGGTAACAGCCCGACACTACTTACCACCGGAATCAGTCGTCTGCGGCTCGGACACCTCCAGAGGCAGTGGATCTTCCAAGACCATGAATTGATATCAGGGCGCGGCGAGTCAGTATGAAAAAGGTTCGATCGCAATGCTACTGTAGGACGAATATCAGAGCAGCAACCAATCAGTGACCATGGCTAGGCATAAACTTGGTTGCCTCTTCTGGAATTCTCCAAGTCCGAATCCATATCCTTACCATTCTATCAGCCCGAACAGCCCAGAACCCCGCATGTGGATATCACCGCCAGCAGGCGCCTGACGCCTTTCCCTGTCACTGGCCAACAGAAGATACTTGATTGATTTCAAACCAATGGGATTGGTATCCCCTGCCCGAGATACCGCTGATCAGCGCCTGACCATCGTCAATCAGGAGTTCGTCGAATGCTCCGTGTCTCAGCGAACGTATGGACTGAAAGCCGGAAAGACGGCCGAACGAAGAAGGTTGAAAGCATCGAATCTCTATCGCTAACACGGGAGCAGTACAAATGAAGTTGGCTGTCTGAGACGGTCATCACGTCTTGACCCCGTTGATATTCTTTGTATCTTCATCCTCCGTGGGCCGGATAACAATATCCCAAGTGTGCAGCGCCTTCAAACGGCAGTCTTGGACATACATCGAATAGAGTCCTTCCGAACTACTCGAGAGAAGAGCAGCCTGTGAGGCGATTTCGTCGTGGTGTTTCAATATGAGTACAATCGATACCCCTCCCAAGGACTATCCATCAGAAATCACCGGATATGCGGAGCCATGGATTGCCAGTCCTGGCGACGACGTCGCCATTAAGGTGTCCTGCACAGAGCCCGAGTACTCCTATCGCACTGTCCGTGTAGTACAGGGCGTTCAAGAAGAGCATTCCCCCGTGAAGCAACTAGAGGAGATCTCCCAGATCCCAAAAGGAGTGGCTCCAGGACGGTTCCAATATGCACGACCAGGTTCTTATGCAATTGTCAAGCGGCTGAGTTTGCCGTCTACTATGGAAGGGGTGGAAGTATCACTATACTTTCAAGCCCATCTGCCCAAGGCGGGCCACCCACAAGCCATCATCTCTAACCTGAATGCCGACACAAAGACCGGACTGGCGGTGCTGATCGACGAAAAGGGACTCGTGGAAGCGTGGATCGGGACAGGAAGCGGAGTGGAAACTGTCCAGACGGGGTTCAGCCCAGCACGACGAAGGTGGATCAAGCTGCAAGTGGTGATCAAAGGCGCCGAATGCTCCATTACGCTCCAGCCAGTGGTGTATATCGTGGAGAAAGCACCAACTGCCTCGTCGGTGCAGGCCACGTTCGCCGCGCCAGCCGTGGCCGCTTCGACACCGTTTTCCGATGATCTGTTACTTGCAGCGACCTACGCAGACAGCCCAACCTCTATATTCCCACGGGCTACACACTTCTTCAACGGACGCATCGACAGCCCTACGATTTCTATCCTCAAAGGAGCTGCCAAGGAAGTCATCGCCAAATACGACTTCTCGCGTAACATATCGGAAGACACCATTCTCGATGTTTCGGGCAACAACTTCCACGGTGTCCTGGTCAATGCTCCCACGAGGGCTGTCACCGGCCACGACTGGAATGGGGGCGAATCGGATTGGACAAAAGCGAAATACGGCTACGGCGCGATCCATTTCCACGAAGACGACCTGGACGATGCGAAGTGGGAGACGGATTTCACAATCAAGATTCCGCAGGACGCTCGATCCGGCATCTATTCTGTCGAAGTAATCTCGACGAACGGCAAAACATCAGACATGATCACTTTCATCGTCCGCTCTGTACCGCAGACCACGGCGGCAACTGGGGCAAAGGTGGCACTGGTGCTTTCGACGTTCACTTACCTCGCCTACGCAAACGAGCAGATCTCGGACCCGAACCGCTCAAGCTCGATCGACGCGGGTCCAGGCTTCGACCACTCTGCCATCAAACGGACAGAAGACTTTGATCGTCTGACGCGGCGTCGCGATGTAGGCCTGTCGAACTATGATGTCCATAACGACGACTCCGGCACGGTCTTCTCGTCTGCAAAGAGGCCCATCCTCAATCTGAGGCCTGGTTATGTCATGTGGGCTTTTGAACGACCTCGCGAGCTCAGCGCCGACTCTATGATGATCGGATTTCTGGAACGACAGAAGATCCCTTATGACATCGTTACCGATCACGACCTTCATTTCCACGGTGCTTCGGCATTGGCCCCCTACCACACCGTCATTACGGGATCTCACCCAGAATACCCGACCGTGGAGTCCTACAATGCTTATGAAAATTTTGCCCGACGAGGCGGGAACATTATGTATCTCGGCGGTAACGGCTTCTATTGGGTTTCTGCTCTGGACACCGCGCGGCCCTGGCGCCTCGAAGTCCGCCGTGGAGACCAAGGTGTCCGCACATATACCCTCCCCGGCCCTGAGAGGATCATGAGTCTGAATGGAACCCAAGGAGGACTGTGGAAGAGCCGGGGCCGGTCTTCGCACGGGCTGTTTGGCATTTCCTTTTGCGCCGAAGGAGTTGGTCCCGGCGTGCCCTTTAAACGGACCGAGAAGAGCTTCGCCCCAGACTTGGAATGGATGTTCAAGGATATCTCTCCGGAGCAGCTCATCGGGGAGTTTGGCCTCGGTGGCGGCGCCAGCGGGGATGAAATCGACTCGTTCGATCTCGCCTGTGGGAGTCCCACGAACGGAGTGGTGGTCGCCACAAGTACAGGCCACCCGGACGCCTTTGGCATTGTCCCGGAAATCACCATGTTCCCGATCACAAAGACGCTGGGGACACAGACGGACGAGATCCGTTCGGACATCGTCTACTACGAGACCGACGCCGGGGGTGCCGTCTTCTCGGTAGGCAGCATAAACTGGTATTGCTCGCTGGGGTGGGATGACTACAACAACAACGTGGCGAAGCTGACGGAGAATGTCATCAGGGAGTTCTTGACCAGAGCAGAGAGCAAGAAAGAGGCTGGGAAGGAGAGCGTGGTCGTCAGCTCGTGATCCCGGCTGAGTTGCGTTCGTTTGGCATACCAAATAGATCAGTTAGAGTCGTCTCTCAGAAGCTGCTCTGGATAGCTGCAACCTGCTGTTTTGACAGGAAGGTATTGAGCGGTCTTATTTCAAACCTGTACTTCATCCTCTACAAACGTCTTCCGCTGTTCATCGCCGTTGAACTTGCTATTGATAGAGCGAAGTGACACCGATCTGCAAATGAAGTGGCGCAGTGCAAGCGAAATGCTTCCGCCGCCTCGCCACAACTCGTTCAGCATTGTTGCCTCGGCACTTTCGAGTCCCAACTTTCCTTTTCCATTGCTATGCATTCTGAGCTACGGCGTGATCGAGGTCGGACTCGAGGAGAATTAATGAACAAGCGCTATATTATCAATGCAAATCCACGAAAGCGAATCAGACAGACAGGATCAGAACGATTCATCGCGCCGTGGAGATGCGCGAAGAGCAGCCAGCCCGGATCCGCAGCATGAGCGCCCAAAGCGTCGCAAGATTTCGCAGGCGTGTGACCAATGTCGAGCGCGCAAGAGTCGATGTGATGGGGCCAAACCGGTCTGCCACGAGTGTGCTGTGCGAGCCCACCAAAGCACACCTTGCCGGTACAGTTCGAGCCAGAACAAGGATCGCAGCCATGACGAATACATCTCCAGCTTGCTCGCCCGCATTCAAGAGCTGGAGGGAAGAGACGGCCGAGCATCAAGGGCCGCCGCGGAACCAACCCCGAGATCAGACACCAACGCACCTGCTGTCTATGAGGAGATCATGAATGCACTCTCGCCGACGTACAAGAGTTCACGGGCGGGCATGAGGGCGGATCAAGCGGCCTACCCGACAATCAGTCCGATTGACGCGATGGGGGCCACTTCGAACACCAAACCGTCGGAGCAAAGCTATAACGAGAGGTTCTATGGCAGTTCTTCGGCGGTCTCCTTCATGCAGCAAGTCTACAAAACGATCGAGACTTCGAGAGCGGCGTCTCCGTCGCTCATAGACGACGGGCCGCGGTCAAGGCTCGACGCTGACAATCGGTCTAGCCTAAGCGTGACGCTGAACCAGCTCTCCTTGCTTCCTCGCCCTCTGATGGACAAGGTCCTCAACACCTATTGGGAGAGGGTATACCATCTTTATCCATTTATACATCAACCGACCTTCATGTCGGCCTACGAACGACTCTGGTCGTCGCAGCCCGGAGGCGAAGAGTTGCTGTCTTCAGACCTTCTTGGCTCCAAGTTCTACGGCCCGACTAGCATTGTCTTCCACTGCGCGATGAACCTCATGCTGGCCTTGGCCACGCAGTTCATGGATCTACCGCCGGAAGAAAGAAGCCAGCTGGGACAGTTGTTTTCCGAAAGAGCACGAAGTCTTTGGGAGCTCGACCTTTTCGACGATGGCTCCTTGGCCGTCATCCAAACGCTCTTGCTCATGACCCAGTATCTACAATCCACCCCGATGCCTAACCGGTGTTGGAACTGTATCGGGATAACGTGCCGGCTGGCCCAAGGGTTGGGACTCCACGTCGAAACTCCGGAAGGAATGAGGAAGTGGAGTCCGCTGGCGGTCGAAATGCGTCGCCGCGTATGGCACGGTTGTGTCATGCTCGACGCCGTCGTGAGCATGACCCTGGGAAGACCACTGCTGCTCTACAAGTTTTCCGAGATCCCCTTACCGATCCCTGTCGACGACGAATTTCTCGGCGATCCTGCTACGCAGCCGAGGGACCGGGTCTCGTTGATCCATTTCTACATTGAATCCATCAAAGTGTACGAAATCCTCGCCGACGTGGTGTCGCAGGTTTACGACCTTTCCGCTCCGGCTCGCAGCAACACAAAGAGTGACAGCAACGTCGATACGATCTTGAATATCGAAGCCGCGATCTCGAAGCTCGAGAAGAATCTACCAGATCACCTCGACTGGTCGAGACATCACCCGCCGGCCTATAACGGCAGCGGCGAGGCTGTATTTGAGCAGCAAACGTCCGTTCTACGCTCCAGGCTCCTACATTTGCGAGTCCTACTCTACCGGCCGAAGTTCACACGATATTGCCAGTACATGTGTGCGCACGAGTCAGCGAGGCTTTCGGACCCCGCGCTGGACGCGGAGTTTACTCAAGTATCGCTCGCGATTGTCCGGTCGCTGTCAATCTCCTGCGTCGACAACTCCATCAGCCTGATCGAGCAGCTGCATCGGTTCTCCATCACGTCTGCCACGGGGGCGTGGTGGTACAATGTGTTCTACGCCCGGACCGCGGGTGCGGTGGTGCTGCTCGCCATGGCGTGCGCGGCGATGATCGACGCCGTCGGATGGGAGAGGATGACCACGGCGTGGCGGAAGTGTCAAGAGGTGCTGTCGTATCTCCAGAAGTTCAGCCCCACGGTCGGGCCTTGTCTCCAGGGGCTGCAGAAGCTACACGGCCACATCATGCGCTTTCGAGGCCGCGCGAGCAGTCGCCGTGGTCATGCGAGCTGTGAGCCGGTCACGCACGATACTACGCCCGACAATCGCGGTGACGCCCATATACCTCAGGGGTATGTCGTTGCCGTGCCAGGATCCGATGTCGTGGCTTCCGAGGAGGGGGCCTTTATGAGCCACGAGGACATGGAAAGCTCGGCGGACTCGGATGCCGCCTTTTTCGAGATTTTCAACTTTGACTTGACGCAGCCGATGACCACGGGCGCCACCGACGGCGGTATTGCGTGGTGAAGCTAGTATAGGTACAGCTATTGTCTCGAGGATTGATTTATTCTGGACCAGTGCCCTGGCTTGGACAGGTAGGACTTATTCACAAGCGGACACTTGACATATCCCCACTGCCCGACACGTCAAAGTCGAACGAACCGCCACTCTCGTTTCCTCTGAATCGCAATGAACCAAGCCTGCTCGTCGTTTCAACTCTACATGCTCGCCGCAAATCGTCCGCTCCGGTTTGAGCTACTCAAAATACTGCCGCAGTCTCGGAAGCAAGGCGAGGGCATTGCGGAAATAGATCTTCTCCCTGAGCTCCTTGTCCATGGGGTACGATTCCAGGTCGGCCCGGAAGTTGGAAATGCTTGTCGACGGGGCGTAGGGAAAGTCCGAGCCTGGTTGACGAAGACCGTCATCAGCAAAACACCAACCTTTCCCTCTTCTGAAAGAAAAAGGTGTGGGACAGAGAGCAAGGGAAGGGGAACTGTTCTCTCCGTGCTTACCGTAGGTGATGTGGTCATGCGGCACGGCCGCCAGGAGCAGGTCGAGCCCCCGGTGGGAGGTGGAGAGGGCGAGGTCGAAGTAGAAGGAGCGGAAGTCGGCCATCATCTGCTCGTAGGTGACGCCGTCGGGAATCTGCTCCGCCGCCAGGCCGCGGCGCGAGTAGATGGTGCGCGGGAGGAGCCAGGGCAGGGTGCCGCCGGCGTGGGAGAGGATGACCTTGCAGCGCGGGAAGCGGCGGCGGTTGCCGGCCAGCAGCAGGTCCATGGCCGCCCGGGTCGTCTCGTGCGGGTAGTCGACCGAGGGCTGCAGGAGGGCCGGGTGGGCGCGGCGCGTGTCGACCGGGTGGGTAGGGTGGACGAAGACGGTGGCCGCGCGGGCGTCGAGCGCCGCCCACACGGCGTCGAACTCGCGGTGGCCCAGGTAGCAGGGGCCGGGGCCGTAGCGCGTGAACAGCGTGACCCCGTCGGCGCCCAGCGTGTCCAGCGCGTGCGCCACCTCGGCCAGCGCCCCCTCCGTGTCCAGCAGGTCCGGCAGCGCCGCGAAGAAGCCGAACGCCGCGGGCTGCGCGTCGCGCACCTGCGCGCAGAACTCGTTGGCCCGCCGCGCCAGCGCCCGCGAGCCCTCCGTCGACGGCGCGATCGCCGCCCCCGGCGCCGTCAGCGACAGGATTGCCGTCGTGGCCTGGTTCTGCGCCAGCGACGCCTCGCTGGCCTCCGTGCTCCAGCTGGGCACGTGCCAGCCCGACGGGTCACCTCCGGCCTCTTCCACCGCTGGGGGAGCATGGAAGCGTCTCGTCAGCGGATCACTTTCAACACGAAGGAGTGAGGGATGTACTCGGGAAGGGAGTCTCGAGTCTCTTGGTTGAGAAGTTCTCACCTTTGGCGTAGAAGTCGGGCACAAAGTGGTGATGCGTATCTATCATCATCTTGGTTGCAGAAGGATGGGCAAAATCTATCGAAGATGGCTGTGACTGTCCACGCTTCACTGATTCACTGCTTCAACGGTAAGCAAAGTCAAACATATCATGTCGAGGACACCGGCGCTACATATGTATTCAAGGCCACTCATCCCCAAGCTGATGGGGCCCCCCCCCCCATGCTCAGCCGGTCGGAACGAACCCGGCCGGAACCGCGCCTAGGTTTTTGTTGTTGCTTTGCATTCCCCAGACATAACGAGAGTGTCGAATTACATCTCGTGCTCCGCTATACCTGGCCCAGCATCGGTGCCAACCCCGAAGAAGTAAATATACAGTCTATATCGAGTTAGTGCGCTTTCAGGCGGGGGGGGCATTGCCTATGCTTTGCCCTTGCCTTGCGCGAGAATTCCGCCCATCCATTAATAAGTTTGTCGATGAACTATTACAACATGGAGAACGTTCCTCGGGCAGTTTGGCCTAGGAAGCTGGAGAGGTGGCGCCAGGAGTTGTTCCTGGTACCCTCGTGTTCTAAGCCTGAAGCCTGAATTAATGCCTCTCGACCTTACCCCCAGAGTAGAGGCTTCGTTCTTGGACACGAGTATGGCAGTTGCAACGTAGTTGAGGTTGCTTCTCGTTAATGTCGAGGATGTGCTTCCATTTGTGCCGGGTGCCGAGACGCAGAACTCAGGGCTAGAAGCTGGGAAGACCAAGTGCCAGAGGAAGAGGACCGCAGATTTGTAAGACACAGTGACAGTCGAGGGGGTGCTCACCTAGGGATCAAGTCCTTGCACGTCTCTCAAAGGCAGCACAATCTCGGCTCCGCTCCCATTGCTGGTGACACAGACGTTTCCGCATCCGGTCATGTCCAAAAATCGACGCTGACACCGGATGGATGATAAATTCCCCTGGTAGAGAGAGAGCACCGCCCCAAGCATCCCAGATCCGGTATCCAAGGCGAAGCAAGGAGCCTCCTCGCCGTATTAGTATTCAGAGAGATCGAGATGTTGTTGCTCACAGAGTGTCTCTGGTTAGGAAGTTCTTTGGTGCTGTGTGAGGACTTGCCTGTCGTCTTTTGCTGTTGGTTTCTTAGGGAGGAACTCTTTCGCTGGTTCTATAGCATGTCCAGGGACGAGCTTTGACGTCCTCGGACCTGTCTCGCCAATAGTGTCATGCAGCATGCTTCTTGCCGTCACTCGTCCTCGATGAAAATCTTGGGACTGCCGTCGGAGCCGCCCAATGCCCCGCTGGGCGCATCTCCACTCACTGTTACCGGGGTCTTTCGTGCCTGAATTCGGCTTGCTGGGCGACCAGGACGACGTCCAGGATTTACCCGAGATCGTGGTCTCTCTGAAGATCTGGTTTAGGTAGGCATATTTCTGGCTGGTGGACGATCAGGCCCCGGAAAATTCATCATCCAGCACCTTTTCTGCGGTCTCCGCTGTTCTTCCCCAAGGAACTGTTTTCTAACACCAAACTGAAGAGGGTCTCAAATACTCGCAAAGCATATATACCTGTTGACCTGGTGGATTCTAGGCACAATGGTAGAAGGGGCCAGAGAAGTCCCCCGAACGAGGGGAGATATTGTAGATGCGGCTTCTGTTTGGGGAGCCTTGTGTGGGAAGAACCGTGTGTACCTTTTTGCCTAGATAGTCAGGGGGAAAAGGTAAAGTGGACATCGGCCGGAAGTGTCCCGTTCTAGCGCCAAAACCCTCCTAAGATCCCACGAGAGTCTATAATATTCTCGATTTCAAGGTGCCAGCTTCCAGTGCGCTTTATTTCCGTCTCTTCCTCGTCGCGGAATTAGATGAGCAGAAACACCCTTGTTTTGATCGCGGCGTTCGGCTCTGTAGACGACCTTATGGCGGTCGTTGCATTCCGGGATCGTTCCGATTGGCAACGAGCCCACGCACATCGAGTTGCAGGGAGTCACTCCTGTGCCGTGTTCCGAGCACGCTCACCTTCTATCTTTATTCAACGGGGAGTTTCAACGGGACATCTCTTAGCTGTCTATGGTGCATAGGCCAGACTGGCCCTGACCCTGTCAGACTCCTCCTATTATATCGCGCGTCCAAAGAAGAATCTCATCGTCAGACTCATCCGCACGGAACAGAGAATGAGCAACAGTCACGTCTCACGGGACCTCGATCAAATCGAGGACCGCTCAAGGCTCGGGAACAAGGTCAGGGCGTTGCGGAAGTTGATCTTCTCGCGCAATTCCTGGTCCATCTGAAACGTCTCGAGTTGCTCCAGAAATGCCGGGTACGCCGGCAAAGGAGCGTAAGGAAAGTCACTCTGGCGGCGGTCAGTGGATTGTCGTGGAGAAAACCTATGTTCGTGCGGCTTACCCCATAGAGGATATGGTCATGAGGAACCAGTTCCAGGAGCATGTTCAGCACGGCGGGTGAGCTCGACAGCGCCAAATCAAAGTAAAACCTCCGGAAGTTTTCGATCACCGTTTTGTGCGTGACGCCGATTGCAGCCTTCGCCGCCAGGTCCGGGGTTTTGCTCAGGGGCGTGGCGATCCGACTGATGATGTATGGCAAGGTCCCACCGGCGTGGGACAGGATCACTTTGCAGTCACGATATTTGTTCAACGTGCCCGTCATGATCAGATCCATGGCGGCCCGGCTTGTTTCGTGTGGATAGTCGATCATCGGCTGAGGCATATGCTTGTTGACAGGACTGGTGTCGACCGGATGTGTTGGGTGGATGAACACCACGCATTTTCGCCGGTTCAACTCGGCCCAAACTGGCTCAAGGGCAGGGTGTCCGAGATAGACATTAGATTTGCCATATCGTGTGTACAGAGTCACGCCGTTTGCTTCAAGGTTGTCGAGTGCATAGCGTAACTCTTTGAGAGCGGCAGTTGTGTCCAGGATATCGGGGAGACTTGCAAAGAAACCAAATCGTGCCGGGTTACCGTTGCGAATTCTCGCTCCTTCGAGATTCAATCTGCGTGCCAGCTCAGCGGACTCGGCCCCGGTCGCAATGCATGCTCCTGGTGCTGTGACGGATAATACGGCCGTCCTGGTGCCTAGTCGATCCATCAATTGCAGAGAACTCTTGGAACTCCATGTCGGCGTAGGCCAACCACTGGGATCCCCTGCACCATTAGAGACGATCACAGATACTGAGTTTGCGTGAGCATACCTCCTGCCCTTTCCACTGCTACGGTCTTGTCAGTCATGACCGAAGGTTGGATGCGACGCAAATACCTTTGGCGTAAAAATCGGGCACAAAGTGATGATGGGTGTCAATTTTATTGCGTGGAGGAGCTGGTGGCCAGTGCAGGATGGCACCCAGGACCTTGTCTCTGAGATGTTGGGCCATTTCCAGAGTGAAGCGGGCGGACAAGTCTAAGAATGCGAGGATGACGACGATGGAGGTTGTCAACCACGACGCCAGGTTGATATAGAAGCCTGCATAGAACAGCCGCACAGATTTGACTGAGCTAGATGCCGAAAAACGGGGTTTGACGACGTATTCTGAGCGGGAATCGAGAGGCGTCGGATTGATTCCGGGACGTCAACTTGCAAGCTATTCATCCGGGATCGACACCGGCGTGCGATTCTGGCCTATTATCAGCGGCTGCTCATGAGCTAAGCAGTTCATGGAGTAGATTGTCAAATCCACTTTGGTGAGCAATGACGAGACTTGCCAGCCCTCAGAAGCGATAAAAGGTCGAAATGGTACTACTTGAGGCTGGGACGAAGCACACCTCTCGAACGCTCATAGAGCACCTCTATTATTCGCGCACGAAGCACCTAATTGCCATATTCGACTTGGTCCTAGAGGGTGAGCAAAGGCCGCTTTAATCTGAGCTCTAACCGAGCCTTAAGCTGATCATCAGGGAGCGCTCCCGGAACACTCGGTGAACAACGCCAAGTTCACGGCAATCGACAAGCTGTACTTGTATATGGCATGGTGGAGACCACGCTTCGCAGGAGACACGTCGGAATTCAACCACAACGCGGACTCTATCTCTGAGCACATATGTGTTAACCCATTATAGCCAACTACGCAATATTTCCTTATTGCTCAAACTTCAGATAATCGCTCGTCCTTACCACTGCTATCTTCACAATCCGAGACAGCTTCGCCGCCACAACTCCAGTTCAAGATCAAGAACAGCCCGCCTCCGCGTTCCCACTGTGATTTTTGTCGCCCAGCTCTCAATCGAGTATCGCGGTGAATGTCAGGGTGTTGCAAGTCGCACATGCGGCAGCCGTCCCGAAATGGGCGACGACGTCTTCACTAAGGCAGAGACAGAAGGTTGTATCGGCCCCAGCAATACACTCGAGCTCATCATCAACAATGTCGCAAGTAGCAGCCAAATTGCCCGCAGGTACAGGGTTCAAGAGTTGAAGACCCGGCGGAGGGCTGACATCGGCGATGGTGACACTGGCGATCTCGCCGCTGAAGACATCGACCAGATTGCAAGCATCGTTGAATGTGAACAGCGTCCCGCTGTCCTCCCCAACGTCGAAGAAGATATAGTCGATTTCGTCTGTGGTCATAGGCGCCACGGCTCCATACAGGCCATTGAATTCTGCAAAGTCGCTGCCAGCTTCGAGTTTAAACGTTGGCTGGGCGCCTCCTGGGTTGCAACTCGATGGAGTAGGTGCAGCACTTGTCGTGGTAGTAGTTGTCGTCGTCGTTGTTGTTGTCGTTGTGGTGGTGGTGGTGGTAGTGGTGGTGGTAGTCGTCGTCGTTATGGTAGTAGTTGGACTGCTGTTGGTGGTGGTGGTAGTTGGACTGCTGGTGGTGGTTGTGGTTGTGGTTGAACTGGTGGTAGTTGTTGTGGTGGTGGTGGTGGTGGTGGTAGTAGTCGTCGATGTTGTGGTGCTAGTTGTGGTAGGACTTGTCGTGGTTGTGGTTGTGGTACCGCTGGTGGTCGGACTTGTCGAAGTGGTCGTGCTAGACGGACTGAAAGTACTAGAGCTTAATGGAGTGGTCGAGCTGGCTGTAGATGTCGTGGTCGGGGATGTGACCTGTGACGATGTCGTACCGGAAGTGCCAATGCGCGAGCTTGTGGTGCTAACTCTGGTCGTGAATGTACTGGGAGAATGAGAAGTCCACGTGCTCTGGAAAGAGGCCGAACCAGAAATTGAGGGAGAATGCCATGTAACCCGTTGGATTCCTGTACTGCTACTCAACTCATAGATTGCGGTGGTTGAGACGGGAGCGGGGGACTGTTTGGATTCGGGTTCACAGCCTGATCCCTTCCACCATGGCTCTGGCGAGCCTAACACGTGCCCGACGTGCGAGAGGAGAATACAGGTGACCGAAATCACCAGAGAAGTAGGTCGCATTCGTGCAACAGAGTAAAGGAAAGGCTGCTCCTACGAGGACTGTTGGAAAGGAGCGTGATAAGCTCAAAGGAGTGTGCTACAGTACGAGGTAAAGGAGAGACGGTGAAATTCAACATAGCCTTTCAATCGCTTTCTATGTCTGAGACTTACCAGCCTACGAATACTCATCTTCTTTTGTCACCTCCTGGAGAGCTCAATGAGGAAAAAGCCCGTTGAATGTCCTCCACGGTAGCGCCCGTTTGGGGAAAGATAGTGGAGGAAAGCTCCTAACGAAAAGAGCATTCTGTGTGGAGCACCAGGCTCAGTTTGGTTCGGCTCACCACTGGCGAGGTACTAGCGAAATCCATACGAGATTAAGCAATTTCGTGCCGCGCAGCCATGTTCGACAGTTCGATTGAGAAGCCTTATAATGGATCGATATTCGGTGTGTAACGTTGGGAACTTCAAATCACGAGGGACAGCGCAGTACCGAGTATACTGCGGAATGGCCTTGTGTATGCGATGCTGCAATGATCTCTTGCTCGAGTGCTTTGAGCCATGCTGGCGTGACAGCGTGCGGACATGATTGTCCAAAACTTGGGTCAGCAACTTGCGTGCGATTGTATGGCTAGCCCAATAGGTAAATTCATTGATCGACTCATCCAACCTCGATCTCGGCAGTACGCCGATTAAAAATTTAAACACTTACGGAGCGAAATGGACTTAGCTGCGAACAAAGACCTGGTGTGAGGCCTCCCTAGGTCAACCAGTAGATACAGCGACATAGGCAGCGAGCCAATTACTAGATGGCAGATACAAGAGGTGTATAACAGAGATTACCCACAGTGTTGGAGAGAGCAAAGGAAGGTAGCCTGCTCTCCGTGTGCGATAAGCTGGAATAGGGCAGAAAGCGAGATGCATTCGCCAGGTGGGAAGGGCGTGAAGAGTTCGGGACCGGAGTAAATAAAACCCGAAATCGTCGAAGCGGCGCAGCTGGATCGCTTTCTCGCTTTCTCATGGCATCCATTCGCAGCCCAGGTTACTGTGCGGACCACATATGTATAGCACTCGTGCCGGTAACAAGACACACAGAGTGCAGAGGCCTCCAACGCAACTAGCGCCGCTCTCTAATGCTCAGCGATGTGGTTTCTTTTCCGACAGCAAGAGACCGAAGGGTGAATCTCTCCATTTCAGCTGACATCAAGGCACAGAACAGCTCACCCTCGAGAACGAGTCCCCCACCCTAACCTCTGCGAAGCATTCGACCAAGCGCTCCCTTCTCCTCCTGCGTCTGACGAGGCCCGTTCCATCTCTTGTGCCACCTTTCAGACCACGCATGCGCGTAGAAGACCAGGACTAGCCTGCAGCCGTCATGGGGATGCTGGACCGCTCCCTCCGCTCCCTCCGCTGGGGTTCGATGACGAGATACACTGAAAGGGCGAGAGGTGCTGCAGAGAACGAGCCAATGACTCTCCTTTCGAACAATAGATTGAAACACTCGCATGTCGACTATGTACACGGAAAATGGTCCCTGTGGGCGCCAGTCAAAATGATTCACCGCCGTGCTTTTTCCTCTGCCCTCGCTCCAGGAAGATGCAACACATCGCAAAACATGGCATTTGGACATCTCGGACCCTCTCAAGCCCTCGGCTGTATCCCCTCGATCACTCCTCGTATTGCCCTCCCACAAACAAGAGGTTACTCCGTTCTAGAGCCCCCTTCAAATATTCATAGACGGTGAATGTGACTGCTTGTCCCGGAGCCACACGCATCACTCTGGGCGTGATACCCTTGTAGAACGCCTTCGGTCCCTCCTGCTTGAACATGTCGCTGGATATCTTCATGATCCTCGAGAGGGCAGTCTGACCGGGCTCCGCCGGAGTCTTCTGCAATCGCGTCTTGATCGTGTCGATCGGGGCATTGGAGAATGGACCCATGGCGCCCGATATCAGCCCAATGACAGTGGTCTGATAACCTGGTAGGTTCTTGTTGTTGTATTCTGGCTGCCACCGTTGCAACATCTCTTTCAGTTCAGTGTATACGGTGAAGTTGACTGCCTGGTTCGTGCCCTGTCGCAGAGCAGTGAGGGAAACGCCGCGGTAGATGGCACCGATGCCTTCTTCGCGAATGACGGTCATGAGGGCGTGGGGCGCACTTCGGTATTTGGGGACATCGAGCGGATCGGAGAGACTGTGGTATTGGGCCTGCATTCGGATCTTGACGACCTCCATTGGAGTCACCACCGCGACTGCTTCGGTGACACCGGCGGCCAATCCAGCTGTGTGTCCCGGGTTAGCCCATATCCCGTCGCCGGTACCTGTGTGGGTGGGAGCATACCTAGGAACGTCGCCCGCGAACTCACTTTCCCGTCTGGATCGGCCAGTAGCTGCTTGTACCACTCGTACGAGGTGAATCGAATGGCCATCTTGGGGACAATGCCAGTGAGAACGGCGCCTAAACCCTTATATAGACCAAAGACCGTTTCCCTCTTGACAATGTCCCTTCCGGTCATCACGAAGCCTCGTTTCTTTGTCCCCGGGGTTCTCCCTCTTCTGGACAATTGCATTCGCACTTTTATCGTGTCGAGCGGGTGACACACCAGGGCTTCCATCATGCCCGCACCACCACCGGCGATGAGATTTGTGGCGGCGCTGGCCGGTTTCTTGCCGCCTTCGCCTTTGACACTTTTGGCGGACATGTTGACGAGAGGTCTTCAGCGAATACTCCGCGTGTTTACCTGCTCATGCAAGCCGAGCAAAATCTAGTCTAGGAGCTTGTTTTGAGAAGGCAAACACGGTTCACGAAGTCGGCGGATTCGAAGCTGGGGGCTGCTGAGCTGCTCGACTCGTACGATCACCTGAGGAGCAATGAGGGTTGGAAAGAGAGCGAGGTCGGCTGCAGGCGTGTTTATGACAACACAGACCGGGTCGGGGACAAGGAAAGAATGAGGACAACAAAGCTCCCCAGCGCAACGCCAATATTTCCGTGAGAGGAGAGACGATCGTGACTCAACGCTCCAAGAAGTGGGAAGAGGAGATCAGAGAGTGAGGTCAGGTTTGCACGAGCCAGAGCGAAGAGGCAAGGGAACCACAGCTAGTCTTATGACAAGCCAGACAGCCAACAGCCAGGACGTGGCACTCCAGCCAAAGCCGTTCTAATCCGGAAAATCATCGAAGATTGCAGCTGGTGAGGGCCGAGAGGCAAGAACGACAAAACGCGTTACCTTCGCAGGCAAAGATTTGTGTGAGCGTCTGTCCCCTTCCGCCGAGGCAGGATGAGAGCGCGGGACCTTGAGTGGGCAGCGTCAAGGGCCGAGCAAGGATGGAGCCATGGGAAAGAGATTTCATCATGGGCCCAGAGCCAGGAGCTTAGCGAGACCTTAGTTAGCCCCAAGGGAAGCTCCCCCAGGCACGAGGGCGATTTGGGAGAGTTCAAGGACGAGTGGAAGCACGGGACTGGATGGAGTCAGAAGTCAGAAGGAGACACAAGGGTCAGCTGGATGGCAACAACCCCAAGGACCCCCACCAAGTGCCCAGGAAGAGCTGGGTTGAAGTAATTTGTGACGCATCTTTTACGAGCATTCAGAACAAGCCAGTTGAGCGGAAGCTACTTGTACAGCGACAATGATTGCGGGGAAGAAGCAAAAAGAAAGACCAAATGACGAGGAATTACAGTCTGTCATCATCGAGCAAATTCCCCCGCCAAGCATGTGATTTCCATCCATTGACATCTGCCTCGGCAAATCTGTTTTTCCTTTTCCTGAAGCCTCTGCCTCCTCCTCCTCGGTCCCTAGGAACCTCCTATGGTTCAATGCACTCGTGTGGTCGACTGCTCGTACATGACACACATTGTCAACGACATTCTCAACTCTTGGACATTGGCCTCTCGGGCACACGGTTCTCCCTACAGTCGCAACGCAACTCGTCGTGCCCAAGTTCCCTGGACTACCCTCCGACTATAACTGAGTCCTCCGCATGGCACCGAACAATACCCGATCCTCCCGATTCTCTTTCGTCCCATTCTCTGCTGAAAGATTGCTGACTCCGACATTTTCCGGTGCTACCGAGAGACCAAAGTCCACTTTAACTACCAGGTCTACCTGTATCGCCCATTGTGTGGCCTCGGTCGAAGGTACCGGTGGCAATTTGTGATCCGGCGGAAGAGTCCAGCCCTGAAGACTCAAGCTGGGGGATCGCAGTATGGTCACCGTAGTGCAGCCGGAGACAAGAACTTGTCACCGTAGTGCAGCCGGAGACAAGAACTTAGAGAAGTCCGTTGTCTTCGACCCAGGGTTAGCTTGACATATCAGAGTACCAGTCTTTGACGGTCCAAGTATCTGTATGAGTGCGTCGGCGCGCCACACTCCCGCTATTGCCGTTTTTCTGTCGGAGTGCTTGTGAGTGTGAGTCAGGTTCAGGATTTGCGGGGTTGCGTTATAGTAGCCTCAACGATCTCGGGTGACAGTATCGCAATTCCCCAGGGTATACTCGGTATACATGGCCTTTCAATCCACAGCCTTTGCTCAGTCTCCAAGATCAGCGTGAATAGCTCGCTGTAAGAGCCACGTCAGTTTGATGAGACTTCCCGGTTTCAAATGGTCTAGCAGCAGAAATCTCTCCTGTATCGGCGTGAAGTCTTCCCAAGAGAAAACTCCGAGCTTCTTTGCAAGTCTCTGGAATTGCACCGCAAACCATTCTTGATTATCGACCAATTCGCTCGCCACGGCGCCCAAGCCGGCAACCCACAAGAGCATCGTTTCTTCTTCAAGACTTGCCGGATGTTCAGGTAGATTCGAAATGAATTTTCCCAGCCGGTACCGTAAAGGCCTCGCATCGACAGCCGCGCGCAGGGTGACGAGTCCTGCACGAGCGGCATACGGAACACACGCTGGCACGAATGCCATCCAAACAATCAAAGCCAGTCGCACACAGTCCTGAAAATTCGACTCCTCAGAAACAGGGCTTTCAGGGTCTTCCTCAACAATGCCATCCTTGAAATTGATCAGTTCGTCTGCGATAAAATAGCTTCGAGCAATAGCCCAATCTTGTTTTGGAATGAGTGTTGGTTCAGTGATGCCAACCCAATGGCAATGAATGACGCAACAAAGTTCCAGAACGGTGTCCAGAAGAGTCTGAAAATGCTCGCTGAAGACACTATTCGTCTCCGTAAAGCCATAACCCATTGGCTGCTTGCCATTCTTGCGCAAGGCAGCCACTGCGCAGGTGTATTGTTGCGGGGTAAGCTGTTCAATCTCCCACCTCTCCTCGATCAACGGTGGAGTCTGTGTAGCAGCAGCCTGGAAACGATCAGCAAGCCAGAGCATCCGGCGCATGTAAGGATTCAGGTTTTGGAAGCCGCCCAGGTGACGATTGCAGAGGTACATGATCATCTTCCCATGCGTCCAAACCGCCTCCCAATTTCTTCGGTAGCTCTCGACTGCCCACAAATATAAGATGCTTTGCACCAACTCATGGGTAATTGGTCGGGCTTGCTCCAAGTAGTTCCTCAGGAGTCGAAGAGTTGCATCTGCCAACCGTTCGGGTAGATCCGCTCGGGAGAAATGATATCGATCAACAAACTTCATGCGAGCACTAGCGGCAGCCAAAAGGGCAAGGACATGCAGTTCGTCGGTGGAGGCTCGGCGGACAATTTGCACAGCAGGGCTGGATGAGGGTGCTCGAGGATGACCCATGAATGCGACCATATCGCTTCGAGTCACCGCAGGGAAGAACCTCAGTACGAAGTACTCGAGTATTCGATGCTTCTCGACGTTCATGGGGACTCTGAACTGGCCAAACGGATCCAATGAGCCCCATGTGGGCATGACAAGCGAGAGCTTGGGCACGTCGTTCTTGGGTCCATCTGTAGTAGTGCAGCAACCAGCGTCTGCCTCGCGCCGGTGATGGACGTGGGGCCTAAGGGGAACAGAACGGGTACCCTCGCTGGGAGGTGTGTCTGAAGACACCGATAGAGGTGCCGAGGCGGGCGTTTGCCTGGGTGCGACGGAAACAGGAGTCCATCCAAGAGAAAGCAGCCTGGCTCTCTTCAATTTCCTCCTGGTTTCCTTTTCCTGTTGGTAGTCGCGAGATTTCTGGACATGCTTGTGAATCTGGCGCGAGCTCTCTAGGTCACCTTTACTGTTGGAAAGGGACTTTGACGAGGGCGTCTTGTTCACAAAAAGAAGACCGGCCTTGTGCGCGGGCATCTCAGAGATGCATATTCACAGGTCGTGCTTTGTAAGAGATGAGTGCGCATGGCCACTTATGGACAAGATTTCAGGGACCGGAAGAGGGATCTGCGGACAAATACAAAGAGGAAAGAATGGGTGAGGCAAAGCACTTGGGGACCTGCAACAAGCGGTCAATATGCTTGCCCGAGCAGGACTGCCAGCTCCGTGGAAATCAGCTGGCTCAGAACAGACAATGGTCCGTAGCCCTCGTGCGCGATAGCCTAGCCTCTAGATCATCGACTCCCGTGGTAAGAGAGGGGAATCGAGGGATAAAGAACTTCCGGGCTGCGGCAAGTTGGTGCCAGTGTTTTGCAGGGACCATCTTGATAGGCGTGGTGCGCCTTCGGCCTTACGCTAAGGCAGACACATGGCAGACTTGTTTGTGGGGGGGGGGGGGGGGGGGTGTTGGTCCTTAGGAGGAACGTGCTGTAAGCCAATTGAAGGCGTGAACGGAGCCGCTGGGCTGTGAATCTGTCAGTCGCAGCTGACAAGGGAGTTGCGGATCTCGATTTGCGGACGGTGTCGAGCCTGATTTGGGTATCGTGAAGCCGCCCAAAAGGGCTTCTTGATGCGACGGTGATCAAGAGGCGAAGATGGTGCACATGCAGGTTCTCTCAACTAGGTGCCAAAGGATGGTGTCAGCCTCCGTGGTTGTGAAGGCAATTCAAAAAAGGTAGGAGAGACTGCGGCCTTGGCAATGCCTTTGCCTGCAGCGAGATCCTCCAAACTATTCCCGGACCTTGCTGTGCTTGCCCAGTTGACCATTAACCATGGGACTCGACTTTCATTTGTCTATAGTCATGGTCTCACACATTTCAGTCGATAACCTTCTGTACACACGCCGGCCGACCGAAGGAACCGAAACCCGGCGAGCATGAAATTCCACTAGCATCGCGTTGTATCCCCGAACGGAGGACAACTACCTGTTGCCCAACGATGGCTCCCCGCCTCTTTGCTTTTCCCTTGTGCATGTGAGGCTCTCGCACGGCAAAGTCTGCTCGGTATGGTTTTGACGCAATGTTTGACGTAAGAGAAAGGAGATGTACTGCAAAGAGGAAGATGCCAACTTGAATACGAGGGTGCGGCCAGCGGAAGCAAGGGACGTCAGTTATGATGTGAAAGATATCGATAGAATCGTCCAACTGGACCTTCCGGCGAGACAACTAACGTATAGCAATACAAAACCACCCCAAACCGTGGCTGCGAGCAACGTAAAGAATCTGATCATAGCCACCCAAACTGAACCTCAGGTAGCCTCCCGAACCTGTATAAACCAACAGTTGAAACAGAGGCAAAGGAGACATCGCCAAGTGTCAGTCCATCAAGACAAGCAGGCGACCAGCAACCCCTCATAATACTTGTCAAAATGAATTTCACCCTTAACCCTCTGGATCAGATCTCTCTTGTACCGGTGCGCATAGGCGCGCTTGACCTGATCCAAATGCATTCTGTCCCAGTGCACCCTGATGACCCGTTGGACAAGCAGAACATCCTTCGTGCCCGGCCCTGCCATCGCATCTTCCAGTTGCGTGGCATCGGACATTGCGCGATCACACGCCCTCCGCACCATCAGCAGCAGCGCATCCTTCATATGTCCTGAGAATTCGGATTCGATCACCTTTTCGAGGGACGAGCGGTACATCTGGTGCCAATGGTGTGCAATGGCGCGGATCTGGCCATCAGACCGCCTGCTCAGAATGGTACATACGGTGAGCTGATCGGTGCCGACGCGCCCATCCATGGCGCGGTGCAGCTCCGAGCAATCACGCTCGAGCTCCGCGGGGATAATGGGCGTGGACTCCTCGTTTCGCGTAGCCGACATGACCAAGTCGAACAACCTTTCCGTCTTGAGTGAGAGATCCCCCTTCACATCTGCTTCGAGGGTATGTTTATAAGTCTGCTGGTACGCCTGCTTGATCGCGCGCATGTCGGCATTCGAACGGCCCAACAGGACATCATTCAAAACTGACTCCTTCGTCCCTAGCCCTTTGATCGCGCCATGGACACTGGTCACATCGTGCATAAGCGGACCCTGGACAAGCGCGACCAGCCCGTCGCGGAAATATTTGGACGTTTCCGACTTGATATCTTTCTCCAAATCGCGGTGGAAGCGCTGGTTGTAGGTATTTCTCAGCAGGGCCATCTGCAAGGGGTCTGGTTTCGAGAGGACTTGAATCAAGGTGCGCTCATCGGTGCCGAAACCTTTCATTGCGCCGCGCAGTGCTTCTGCGTCGCGTGATGCGTCACCTTGCGCCTGAGCGCCAAGGACGTAGCCGGGTGAGGGTTGCGCGGGAGGGGGACCATATTGCTGGTGTTGCTGTGGAGGAAAGCCGCCGGGGGCAGGAGAGCCATAGCCGCCCTGCGGCGGCGGAGGTCCGCCATATTGTCCTGGGAAAGGGCCTCCTGGAGGAGGCCCCCAACCACCTTGTTGCGGGCCGCCAAACTGTTGAGGAGGAGGTGCGCCATAGCCTCCCTGTTGATATCCTCCCTGCGGAGGGGGATATCCGCCGTGCTGTGGGGGTCCTTGGGGAGGGTAGCCATGGCCCTGCCCCTGAGGAGGATAACCTCCGTACGGAGGTTGACCCTGCGGAGGGCCGTATGACATTTGCGCGTGTATGTGAGGTGAGATAAGAGGATCTAATGTCAACAGTTTTCGTGCGAGTGGGATGAAAGGAAAGAGAGGGTTCGCTATAGATAACGTCGATGCGCAAAACGAGAGGGAAAAGGCCAACAGGTTGCCTTTCGTGTCCAGGATAATATACTTTTGATCCTCCCTTTCCAAGAAAGCACGAGCCGTTAAGAGGGAGACCTAGGCAGAATCGCGTGAGAGCTTACAACTAGGGATGACGCAGCACATTGGAGAAGGCGGAAAGTGATACGGAGTACATAAACTGGTACGGACCACCATGCTGTCAACCGCCTCCACAGGCGGGGGCGCAGTTCGTAGATGCCTTGGCTAGCGGGCAGAGGGCGAGAGGGGTACCATCTCAACTGTGGCTGGGCGCAATCATTTCCGGTCCTGATGCGGATTAGCTCAGTCATGTGACCGACTCCGCCCCGTGGCGCAGGCTTGGCAAACAGGTGAAGTGGCGCCATCGTACTCTCGTACAACTTGGATATAAAATGCCGGTGGCCATGTCGACACCATTACGTGGTTGTAGTAGATCAGAGGGGGCAACCTGTGTGATTTGGGCAGAAAGCGATGCACTGACACGCTTTCCTCCTGGCTTCCATCTATTACCGACATGGTCTCGAATATGCAAATAGTGATCGGAGTCCGAACATCCAAGAGTGGATGACGCAGTCTGTAGTGGACACTAGCGTTGGGAACACTAGATGATACGAATAAGAAAAGGTATCGCAGTGGAGCATTATGATAAGTGCAATATAATTTCACGAATGCGCTTGACTTGGCACCAGAGTAGAACTACCGTTGTTTATTCTGCGGTCTGATCCTCGTGGAAGACCAATGCTCGCACCTCAATCGACTCTCGCGAGTACTCATTGACCGTCTCGGGGTTCACAAACGCCGTATGTGGCACTCTCCTGGCCCGGCCGTCCAACTTTGAGTCAAAGCATTTGATCAAAAGCACTTCTTCTGGCGTCTGGCCATACAGATAGTGCCACTGGTGCTCCGGGTTGGGTCGCACAGTGTAGGTCTCGCCTTGTCGGTTGGGGTAGATCAGACCGACGCCAATGAGGTCGGAGTCTGGCACCGAGTGTGCCTCAGCCACGGCGAGGGGATCCTTGAGGATCGTCTTGATGGGTCGCCAGACGTTGATGATCTGGTAGCGGCTCTTGAGCAAGGTATCAGCCTCGTCGGGGAGATGGTAAGGAACTCGCGACTTGGCGGCGCTGTAGCTCTGATCGATGTGTACACGGTTCACAGGGCCACGCAGAGGAGTTGTGATGGGACTTCCTCGCTGGTCCTTCTGCGCTCGGCGGATCGTGTGATCGAAGATCAAGACCCGGGAGGCTCCAGTTCTGCCATACACAGTCGTCAGCTAGAGTCAGACCAAGCAGGTAATGTCCAGGACATCACTCACGCATCCTTCAACAGCTGTTCGGTCTCTGGGTAGTAATTTGCCTTGATTTGTTCATCGTCAAGAAAGTCCTTTTCAATACTCGTGTGACGATAGATCTCGAAGCCATTCTTGTCGAGCGTGTAGTTCTTTTCTTCACCTCTGATATCATGTATCGTCACATCCACTGGTTCGACAGGTCTCTCGTAGGTCTCTGGCTTCCCAACGTAAGTTGGAGCCGGGGGGCTTCCATCGCCAGGATCCTTGTAGTAGTTCAACTGGGTATGGACATGATGTTTCTCGGGTTGGGGCACGGAAGTGCTCTTCAATTGTGCCGTCAGAGGTTCGAACGAGGTCGAGTGACCACCAGGCTGTTGAACTGCTGCCGATGCCATTGTCGTTCCTGCTTGCTAGATAGTTCTTGGAGCTGCGCCAACAAGTGAGGACGCCCCATACTTATGGCCAATGCCATGGCATTTCCTGATTTGTCAGATAGCACGCCATCCTGGGTTGTATACACGCGATGGTCAGATAGAGTGTGGGGTAAGTCATCCAGAACGCGTTTGTGTCTATACCGAGGCCAATGGGCATCTATGCCATTGGATGACGTGCCCGAGTTGCTCAGGCGTTCAGGGTCTTATGTTCAGTGAACCGAAGCGTTCACAGTGACTTGTTTCACGCCCTTCCAATCGGCACTCGTTGCGCTTATCAATACAGTGCGGTGATTATAATTCCTTGCGGACGAGTTTCGTGATGGTTGTCCCATCACCGAGGACATCCGTTTCTTCCTCCAACCTGTAGCCTCTATAACGCGGTAGCGCAATCGTCCACACGAACCAATAAGCGAGTCCGAAGATGAGACTATAGATATGGTCAGCATACGTCGTTTTTGGGTGGGGATGCGGCTTACATTGAAATTCCGACCAAAGCATATGTAGCGTAGAAGAAATTGACATCCGAGGATCCCTTGCTGGAAGGAAATAGCGGAGCGCCAATCAATGCCACAGACAATACGATCCTGAACCATACAGCTGGAATCCAAGCCTTGAATGGACGGCGCAGCTCGGGCTTCTTGTTGCGGAGAACAATCAAGCCAGCACCAACGGCCAAAGCGAAAAATTGACCTGCGTATCCTTCAACATCGGCAATGAAAGCATATACCGTGGCAGAGGGCGGTAGGACGATGACCAGCACCGATGGCACATAATGGACGAGAAGCCCGCCAAGGGGTGCGCCAAATGGTTTTGAAGAAGCCAGAATTTCCGAAAAGGGGAGAAATCCTTGCCGTGCGACTTCCTGATTGACTCGCGCCTGTCATAGTTAGGGTGCTGAATGCTCGAGAGGGGAAATTTCATACCAAGCTGAACGTGACCACCATGACATTCCCAACAGCGCTTAGGGCAATGGCAAGGGGAAGGAACTTGTTGCCAAAGCCAGCCCCAAAAACACGCTCGAAGAAAAGGGCTGCTATGAGCTCTCTGCTGCGCTTGACCTCCTCCAGCGGCACTACCGAGAGGTATGCGACGTTGACGAGCACATACATTGTACAAGCCGTCAGCAACGCCACCGGGCCGACTGATTTGAGAGTTCGAACAGGATCCTTCACCTCATTGAGGACATTGTTGACATTGCTGAGACCCGCGTAAGAGTAGAGAATCTTGAAAAACGCTGTCGACAAGTTATTCCACGCCCAGTCGGAGCCACTCCACAGGTCATCCCAGGCTGTGGCTGAGGCATGGTCGGTCATGTTGCTGGACGAAGTATGGGGGTGCAGCAGAACCACAAATAACCCAGTCAAAATCATGAACACAATCAACCCGACCTTGACCCAACCTAGGACATTTTGGATCCAGATTCCTGTCTTGTAGAAACAGCTGTGGACGATTGTGATCCAGGTCAGCAATCCGACAGCCAGTAATTTGGTGTTCAGGTCGTCGGGTGTGGCGCCGGCGGCGAAAAGAGTGTATTTTGCAAAGACGATGCAATTGCTTGCCGTGAATCCAAGCAGCACGGCCTGGACAGCAACCAAAGTAGAGGTGAGGAACCGCGGTTTGCGAAAGGTATACTCCAGATACACTTTTACTCCGCCTGAACGAGGAAGCATGCAGCCATATTCCATGTCGATGGCGAGTCCTGCCCACGCAACAAGAGCCCCAATAACCCAGAGAACCAGAGCCAGACCGGGACTGCCTACGTTCTGGACGATTGTTCCAGGCATGGCGAAAATGCCTGATCCGATGACTCGAGAGATGACCAGGATGTAGGCGCTGCCCCAGCCGATGTTTCTCCCCGCCGTCGACGTCTCTGGAAGCACATCGTTGTCGACATTTCTCTCATCCTTTGCGGTACCAGGTACGAGGCTTTCCGAATCGTGCACGGAGCTTTGGTCAGGGTTGGGGGATAATAGAGGTGACGTTTCGAGGTCTTGCATCTCGGGAGCCATATATTATTCGAATTCAACACTCACAAAAACAACGTCCTCAAAGCAGACCCGAAAGACAGAGTGACCACAGCACACCGGCATATAAGAGAGGGCTGGGATCGTACAGACCGGCTTGGACGAAACATGCTACTGCACAGGAAACCCCGTGCTGACAAACTTGACATACAGGGACGTATGTCGACATGTCAATATATTTGGCCAAATGTATCGCATCAGTTCGCGGGTCAGTCGCGTCACAGTGCTGTGGCCAGTGAGGACATGATTGGGCTTGCTCATTCGGGGCCTCCATCACGCCATAACCTCTTATCTCAGGGGCTGATGTTTCTGACGCGGCCAGGTCAGATAATATTCCCGCAGAGGCGCAGGATGAGGGCTCCTGAGTTCCCTTTCAATGCGCCTTTGCGATAAGTGAGGCCGGCACAAGCCATTCATGTTCTTCTTTCCTCACTGGCTGCTTCCATCTGATCTGGACAGCCTTGTTGAGGCGAGGTTGCTTGCCCAAAGACTCGCCAAGCCAATTAGTCAGCCGGATAAATAGCGGACCACTCGGCGGCTGCCAAGCTTCTCCCCGCAAAAATGCTCCGGGGGCAATTCACGTGTTTAGTAGCTGAGCCTCGGCCCGTGGCTGGCAACACTTCCTAACTGATACCACAGCTATACGCAACGGCTACGGCGGACTGGCCGTGTATCTCGACTTATATTTCTCATCATCCTCCATTTTCCCAAGAGCTATCTCGAGGATATCAGCCATGCCATAGGGCAACGCACGAGCCAGCAAGTTTTGAGCCTATTTGACGATCAAGGGCGGGAGAATCCTCAGTTGGGCCGTGAACCGAGGGCAAGATCCGGATACATCTAAACAAGCAAGGGAGCGAGCCTAGCATTCTATTGGCTGAGTCAGACCTTTGAAGCTGTATATAATCACAGCAACATATCAACATCTGGAGCAACAGGACCCAATCCTTTGTCTAAGGGAAAAAGAAAAGGAGAGGGAAGAATTGGAGCATTTAACGGCCTCGAAAAGACTTTGGCGAGATCTCCACCATGGCCAACAACCAACGCTTGACGGTCGACAAAATCAGAGTCAAAGATGACCCGCGAATCACGTTCCTCTCGGCCTTCTTGAACGGGAAGACGTACGGCTACCTGTTCAGCCCGGCGTCGCCCTCGGTGCCGAAACGAGGCACCATCTTCCTCATCCACGGCTTCCCGGACATCAGCATGGGCTGGCGCTATCAGATCCCGTTCCTCACCAAACTCGGCCTCGACGTGGTCGCCCCGGACTCGATGGGCTACGGCCGGACCGACGCCCCCAAGTGGACGCTGCAGGACTACAGCTACAAGCGGGCGGCCGACGACATGGCCGAGCTGTGCCGCCAGATGGGGCTCAGCCGGATCATCCTGGGCGGCCACGACTGGGGCGGGTCGATCGTGTACCGCGTCGCGCAGTACTACCCGGCCCTGATCGCCGCGGTGTTCAGCATCTGCACGCCCTACTTCCCGCCGAACGCCAAGTACGAGCCGCTGGGGATGCTGGTGCAGAAGCGGCTGCCCAACTTCGGGTACCAGGAGCACTTTGTCTCGGGCGAGATCGAGGAGGCAGTCCAGTCCAAGGCCGAGATCCGCCAGTTCCTGGTCAACATGTACGGCGGCCGCACCGCGGACACGCGCGAGGTGGCCTTCGACGCGAACAAGGGGCTCGACCTGGCGCGGCAGGCGCGCATGGGCTCGACCAAGCTCCTCGCCGCCGACGAGCTCGAGTACTACGTGGACGAGTACGCGCGGCACGGCGTCTACGGCCCGCTCAACTGGTACCGCACCCGCGAGGTCAACTACATGAACGAGTGGCGCGACTTCTTCGGCAGCGGGCGCAAGGCCCCCGCCCAGGCCGACCGCGACCAGAGGCTGAACCAGGAGGTGCTGTTCGTCCTGAGCAAAAAGGACCAGGCCCTGCAGCCCTTCATGGCCGCCAAGATGCCCGAGCGCATCCCGCGGCTGACCTGGCGCGAGGTGGATGCGGGCCACTGGGCGCTGTGGGAGAGGCCCGAGGACTGCAACCGGCTCATTGGCGAGTGGTTGGAGGAGAAGGTCTTCCCGATGATGGCACGGGAGAGCAAACTGTGAGTCGAGAAGGCTCTGAAGGCCTCTCTGAAGAAAGGAAACTGAAGTCTTCTGTATCTATCATATTGTCAATTGACTTGCACTTGGCTGGATAATCTCGGGGCCCATTTCGCCTTCGAGCTATTTGCAAAAAGCGGTCGAAAAAGATTCATCAAGTAAGAATGCTACTTTTGTTGTCCGCGAGCTCTTTACGAGGACATTTTCACGCGTGCCTCCCACCATCGTTATGGCACCTTTCAAGCCCTCTTCCCACTCATAGTCACCACTCGCCGCAAACCCAATGCCACTCACAAATGCATTCCTCTCACATCGCTCAAGATCAATTCCGCAATCGGCTCCGTCAGAGTCTCATCCACACTCAGACTCATCAACTTCCCGATCTTGACATTGATCGCGCTCTCCCTGTCATCCACGATGCTCCATATCCTGTCCTTGATGTCGAACTCGGTCTGGTAATCCAGCAAGAGCTTCTCGATCCGCGGCTTGTGGTCCAGCACACTCAATTGCGGATCGCGGCCCAGGGATACGGTGATGGTGTACTTGTCCATGTGCGGCGCCGGAGGGACGTGCACGAGCATGGACGGAGTGTCTGGGAACTTCGAGATGGAGACCTTGGTGTCCGCGGTGCGGTCTTGACCATCGACCGTGACTTTCAGATCCTTGGGAATCTCGGTGACGGCGAGGAATCGGAAACTCCACGTCCGGCCCGTGACGTGGGCGGTGAGTTCACCCTTCGCTTGGTCGTATTGGATGAGTGAACCGCGCTCACCTGTCTGGGGGCTCTCGTTCTTGACTTGGTCTGAGTCGTCAGCTGGATCTTCGAGCACGGAAGTCTGTCCGTTGCGTCCGATCACCACAAGCACCTCGAAGTGTTCTGGGTTGAGGCCACCGTTGCCGGGCATCTGGTTGGCGTCCAGAGGGATGATGCTGCCTTCGTGTGCCAACACAGGGATTTCATGCAATGGGCGGTACATGTTCAACTCCCTGTTCCCGTCGTAGACTGTTCCGGTGAAGATGTCCACGTGGCGATGCATAGGCGGCAACCAGGCCTTGACACATGCCAAATTCGTCCGCCTGTCCCGCGGCTTCACGATCGGGGCCACAATGAGTTCCGAGCCAAAGAAGTACTGATTCGGCACCTGGTAAGCCTCTCCGCGCTCCGGGAAGAGCCAGTACATCGGCTGCATGAGTGGCTCGTCTTGAGTCGAGGCGCGGACGTTGCATGTGTAAAGGTAGGGGATCATGCGGTGCCGAAGGCGCATGAATCCCTCAATGACCTCTTCGCTCTCCTTGCGATACAGCCAGGGTTCCTTGGATGTCCACCTCGAGTTGGAGGAATGCAGACGCATGATGGGGCTGAAGACGCCAAACTGCACCCACCGGGTCACCAGCTCGTCGTCGCGTTTGCCAAAAAAGTGGCCTCCAATGTCGTGACTCCACCAACCATACCCGATATTTGAAGCTGTGGCGGTGAACTCGGGCTGAAACTCCAGCGAGGCCCATGTTGTCACCGTGTCCCCTGAGAACCCCACGGGATAGCGATGGCTACCGGGACCAGCATATCTTGAAAAGATGAGCGGACGTTTGCCGTGAAGGGCGTTGTCGAGGAAATGGAAATGGTTGAGTAACCACAACGGGTCGATTCCCGGCACCTTGGTATGAGAGCCCTGCTGCCAGTCGATCCACCAGAAGTCGCAGGCAATCTTCTCAATACTCCGATGAAGAATCCCCAAATATGCTTCCATGAACTTGGGAGTCGTCGGATCGAACAAAATAGGATTCTTTTGAGAGGTGTCGTGGCTCAGAAACTTGGCCATCTCCTCATACGAGTCTTCGTGCGAATGGATGCCAGAGTGCGGATGGTCGTTGAGGGTGATCTTCAGATTCCGACTGTGAATCTCTCGTCCAAACGTCGCGGGGTCGGGGAACAGCTTCTTGTCCCAGGTGTAACCCGTCCAGCCAGCATGAGGTACTCGAGGATCATCCACCATGTGCCAGTCCATATCAACCACTGCGACGGACAAGGGAACATTTTTACTCTTGAATTGGTCCATCAAACCGATATACTCGTCCTGATGGTACTTGTAGTACCTCGACCACCAATTTCCGAGAGCCCATCGAGGGAGCAACGGTTGCTTGCCGCTGACGGCGTAGAAGTCCCGGATAGCACCCTTGTAATCATGACCATGGCAGAAGAGATACCCATCGATCCGATCACCAGGTCGCCGACCGGCCACGAAACCCTGGCCGTCAAACAGCATCGACTTGCTGTCGTCAAGAGCGGCATAGCCAAACCTGGACAGCACGCCGTCTCCCATGTCACATCGCCCGTCGACCTCGTCCAGAGTTCTAGCCGTGCCGCCCAGATTCTCCCGCCTGCCGTGGCTGGGCTGGGCACCGAACCGCCATTGCGCTCCCCAAAGAGTCACTTTGGCCGAGAAGCTGCATAACAGTCCACTGGCGCTGAACCGCTTCTTGTCGTAGCTCAGGTGGAAATGGTCGTTGATGATCTCGAGTTCTTCTGGCCTGTCGACCACTTGAAACTTGGGCACGGGAAACTCGCGGTTGATGGCAAAAGTCGAGGCTCGATCTTCGAACTTGCCGTCATAAGACCATTCGTACCGGATCAGACGGTCAGTTAGGACAGTGAAGCGGTAATGGGGCCCCGAAACGAGAGCATGGGCATGGGTAACAGGCTTGCTTTCAAAGTGGTAGTGCTTCATTTGGAAGGATACTCTGCTTTTTGTCAAAGACTTTGAGGACGAGGAATTAGACCTAAAGATCTTGTTCATATAAACACCACGTGGTAGAGGGGAAGGCAGCAAGAGAATCTATCCGAGTACCGAGTATACCACAGCCAGTGTCGGCCTTGTTGTCTGGTTTGGAAACCCAGGCGGACAACAGCTACGCCCTTTTGAGGCTTCAAGGTTTCAAGAAACGAAAACGACTGGTCTGTTGCAAAGAATAGAGTCAAGAGACAGGTGGCAGACATGTGCTAGGAATGTCATCATACTTACCACAGACAAATGGATGGCACTCGGAGTAATGCTCGGGGAAACGAAGTCGATCAGCCATTTACCAACCAGATCCATGATCATCGCTTAGCTATGCGGTCATAGCAGACGCCGATCATATATCCTGTAATCCGAGTACCGTGTTGGAAGTACAAGCAGATCCACTTGTCACAATTGTGGCTGGAGGACGAGGCTGAAAGCATGGCACGAGGCTGAGGCTAGAGAGCGAGCAAGACGGGCAAGGTAACAAATATATGAAGAAAGTTCATAGTCGTCTCTCTGAGGAAAGCTGTAGCTGTAGCTGTGATATGCCGTGCTGTACTGTCCCGTCCCCTGCTGTTCACTTCTTCACAGCCTTCCTCAAAGCTGATTCCAAAACCTCATATTGCACCTTTTGCTCTCTGCACCCGTGCAGGCAGCGATTGAAACAAATGCTTGACCAAAAGCCATATTTGCAGAGGATAGCATATCCTGAAGAACCCTTCCCTTTTCCTCTCAAGTACACAAGCAATATGGTATGTGCATAGGGACCTAATCCAAAGCTTCCAGACGCTCGACAACGCATTTCAGTGTGTTCGTAACGGCGTTCATCCCTTCCCAAAAGCCCCCCTACCTAGTCGTTGTATGAAAACCCTCATCAAACAGCAGTTCCGTCCCAAGCCCCCCTGATTAGGCATCAAGCCCGAATCACAAACTTGCCATTGATCCTGTTCATAATTTCCGTCCCAATACCCTCCCAATACTGATAGCAGATCCTTCCATGCCCCTGGAAGCATCAATTACTGAGCCATTTCTCTTTGGTTGTACAGACGTTGATATGCAAGCGGCAATTAGGGTCTTGAGCGTGTGAAACCTCCCATGCTAAGCTCAGTGCCTTCCCAAAAGACATCTGCGTCGTCGATATGAAGGAGTCGTTCCCGTCACCCTGATTCTGAGTCTGTTTCTTCCCCGGTATCGGGAGTATGGATCTGATTTCGCTCTTCTTTGACTTCGGCAAGGATCGTCGATATCTCGTGCAGGACCTCGCTGATTGGCTTGGCTTGATCAAAGAGACTGACTCCCTTCTGGAAAGGCCGGTACATATGTCGAAGCTGCAGGGTCGTTGCACATGCCTGTAAAAAGTCAGATTGTTTTCCCCAGACGGACGGGAGCAGCTGGTCTGCTTACCTCAACCCGCGTCACCTGGTGTTCTAGCAAATTCATCATGAAGCCATCGGTTTGGACGCCGCCCCGTTCTTTCATTCTCGTCAGCAGACTCAATTCAGGCTTGTGCAGTCCGGCTGCCCGCTCGGGAGCCTCTAGACAGCTGCACAACATCTCCAGGCGCAGAGCGATGTCCCATAGTTTCCAGACCTCATCAAGCTGCAAATCCTTCAGTTGGCTGTCTTTACCGAGAGTGCCTGGCTGGCCTTTCTCGTCGGCCGTAGCAGGTCCCTCGCCTCCCAGCTGGACTTTTTGTTCCGCCCCAGGTGGTATTTCTAGTCGACTCGCCAACGAGTGCGGATACATCAGATAGATGTATTCAGGATTTTCCAGACCCTTCAGCTTCTTCTCTCCAAGATCTTTGACCTCAAAACCTTGGCTGCTTAGTTGACGGAGCTCACGGCGAATCTGTACCGACAGTGGATCGTCATTAACGGTGTCCTCTGAGCCTACAGAATCTCGTCGGTCATCGTCTGCATAGCTCTCCAGTGTCCTTTGAACCTCGGCAATAAAGTCGCTGCTCACAGTGATCTGTCCACCGTCGGCCACAGCGGACACTCTGGCAGCTTTGTTGACCATAGGCCCGAAGTAATCCATTCTTCGAGTGATTGGATCCTGCTCGCACACGGGTCGCCCCCAGTGCATACCCATTCTTACCGACAGTCCACGGTAGATGGTGTTCTGTTCCGAGTCCAACTTTTCCTGACAGTGAACCGTCTCCAGAATCTCTTGGGGCCAGGGCAATTCCAGGAGATGACTCTGGCAGCTGAAACACCAAAGTAGCGCCGATGTCACGGTTGGGAAAGACACCATGAATGCATCGCCTTCGGTCTTGACTTCGTAACCACCAATGATGCGAAGCTGTCGCCGCATGAGCTCGTTGTGCATCATGATCGCCGATCTCATGGGCACTGGGAGGATTTCCCACAATGCTGTTGAATTCTTGATGTCAGTGAAGCATATTGCCACGTCACCAACCGGCGGCTCTGGCTCTTCGAGTCTCGCAAGCCGGGAATCGCCCACAAGCGTTTCACCTTTCCGTCGAGCTTTCCGGGAACTTGGAAATATGGCACCTTCATCGAGACCCATCTCCTTCGCCATCGACAGACTGGTCCCTCGGAAACGATGATTACCTCTCTTTCTGAGGTCTGAAATTCCGAGGACCATGACCATGATCTTGTCCCTGGCACCAAACGCCATTGCTAGATCCCTCAATTTCTGGGCAGCCAACATGAGATCGTTCTTTTCGGCTCGAGCCGCATCGACGGCCACATCAACCGTAACATAATCCCAAAATTCTTTCGTGGCCACGACGATGAGCTCGTCCGACTCGGTAATCTGGCATTTGAACGTGTGAGGCGCGGCGATGACTGAGGGCATATGACTATAATAGCCAAATGCTCGGCTCACTTCGAGGACATCGTTGAGTCTGCCTTGCCTAGAGACATATCCTCCCGCCTCCCTGATCCGCTCCCGTTCACCAGGCTCCGCGGGGTCGTGTTTTCTCGTCAATTGTCGATGTTGACCATTGGACTGGATGAGTATGGCCTCAATATCACCAACATTCGCGACGTGGAGTTCCTGCCCATTGATGTACAAAACTGCCGCCACGCCACCTGAACTCAAATCGTCGGGCCCCAGGATGTTGGCGACAGTCGAGCCCCTGTGGCCATTAGCCAACCTGTGCTCCTTCGTGTCGAAATTGCTGCTCGCAAAATTTGCCATGTCCTTGTTAATTGCGAGGAAGGTCCGTCTGAGGGCGTCTATTGGAGTATCTTTCAAGCTCTCGGCCTTCTTCAGCTCGTCGTAGAAGACAGCCGAGAAGTTCTCGTGCAAATACTTTGCAACCCTGGACCCGCCGCTCGACATTGTCTGGCCGTCGAACATCCCAATGAGTATCTCGCTATCTTGGCCTCGAAAGTTTGGTTTCAGGAGATCCAGGGTTGACAAATGCTCGTTCTTGCCCAAAGTGTCTGCCATCCCATACATTAACGCCCCAACCACGGAAGCTGAGGTTCGTACACGGCGATCTTCGTTGTCATCCGGAATCGTATTCGTCAACAATGTCACATCCATGAGACCCAGTACGCGGAGATACTTCAGGGTGTTGAAGCTTGTAAGGTCCGTGGTGTCATTGCGGTTCATTGAATGGAAATGCGACTGGTTCTGGTGTGCGGCAGGCTTAATTTCTAGGCGCTTGTTGGCGGAGAAATTCAAGTACTTGAGGTTTGTGTTGCGATTCCAGTTCCAATCATATGGCCAGTTCGAGACGTTGTACTTTAATGAGTTGCTCCCGACATCGAGGGTGGATAGTTTGTGCACATTGCAGAGCTCGGCTGGAAGCACTTGGAAACGGTTTGCATTCAAATGCAATATTCTCAGATTACTACTCTCTTCGAGGTCATCGGAAGGCAGAGATGTCAGCTCGTTTCCAGAAAGGTAGAGCTCACTCAGTTGAGGCCAGCGTCGCAGCACCCCTTGAGGGAAGTCGTCGAGTTCGTTGTATGATAGATTGAGAACGCGGAGCTCTGGCAAGAGAACGAGCTCTCGGAAGACGTCGTCTTCAAGGCGATTGTCAGCCAAGTACAGATACCGGAGTGATCCTGCAAATGTGTTGTGTAGCCGCGCTTGTGATATGTTGGAATCCTTGCGAGTGGCAGCCGACATTGAATACTCTGTATTGGTTCTCGAGATCACGGATTGCTTTCGATGAGCACTCAGTGAAACAACAGAATTCTTCCGAGCGCCCGGAGAACTACCAATGCTCATCATTCCCGATGATGCCTGGCTCGGTCGGCGGGCTTGAAAGTCTTCAAGCTTGCCAAGGTCGTCGAAGCTGGGAGACGTTGATAGTCCCGGAGTTGCGGTCGGGGTGTAGTCTTTGGGCTCACTTGGAGGCGGAGCCGCGTTCTGCTTAGGAAATGTCTCCAACACATTCGAGGAAAGATTCAGCGTCTCCAGTTTCCTGCAATACCAGATTTCAGGAGGGAGGCTCTTGACATTGCACTCCCTGAGGTTCAGGAATTTGAGCTCCGCGAGATTTCCAATGGAAGGAGGAACTATGTTCAGCGGATTTTTGGCCATGCTCAGGAATTCAAGTTTGGTCAGCCGTCCGATCTGGGATGACATGTTGGAGAGATGATTCTTGTCCAGATTTAGCTTCTGCAAGTTTGGCATATGATCGAACATTGTTTCCTTGAACTCGACAAGTTTTGCTGAGGCAATGTTAAGGCTAGACAGCGTCGGCACAGGTTGATCCAATTCGAAAGACGTTATTGGGCAGTGATCCAGGACCAATACCCGCAATTTCGGAAACGAGCCTTTGAATGTCGTGATGTTGTTGTGGCCAACGAGCAACTGTTCGAGATTCGGAAGGCTTGTTACATTGTCGATGTTGGTTATTGCGTTGAATCTTGCATCAATCTCCTTCAGATTGATCAGACTTGCAAAAGTCTCATTGAAGGGGCCTTTTAGATCATTGTTCGTGACCCAGAGGCGTTCGAGAGTGGTCAATTGTGAGATTTTCGGGAGCGAGGAGAGTTTGTTGAAGCTGATGTCAAGGTCCACCAAGGACTTCAAACTGCATATATTCTCTGGAAACGTGGTGAAGTTGTTGGAAGAAAGATTCAGGCTGCGAAGCTGGCGGAAATACGAAAAGCTGGGCGGCAATTCCGACAATTTATTGTTTGCCAGTTTCAAACTCACGAGGCCCATTAACCTGTGCAGCTCTGCGTGTTCCAATTGTTCCAGCCGATTGTTTGACACGTCAAGCACAGTTAGTCGGCTTGCCCAAGCCAAACTGGGTGGTAGCCGCCACGCTTCATTGCCAGTGAATTTGATCTCGCGAAGGTTGATGCAGGCGGTGATAAAGTCCTTTGGCACTTTGAGTGCAAGATTCCGTGAAAGGTTGATTGAGATTATCTCGGACGCCTTTGTATAAAGGATAATCGGTATTGTCACCAGTGACTTCCCGGAGAGATCCACATGGCTGAATTTCTGCATTTTGTTGAACGCCGGGTCTTTGTCAAGGCCGCTGCCATAACCCGTCTGTTTTTCATGGCTGAATGTGAATCGAATGAGATAGCTGTTGTCCTCTCTGCCCACCTCCTCCACTCTGTCTCTTTCTGTGTAGCCTGCAAGGTATAGGAGTTTCTTCTGCATGGCCACGGGACGTTCTCCCGACCCTAGCTGTCTCGACAATTGATGTTTGCGCATGAGGAGTTGGTAATTGTCAATAGAGTCATGCAGAACGGATTTCTTGGCAAGCGATTGGAGCACTTCGGCCACAGTGGCGTTGATAGACATGGACAATGTCGCAAATGTGCCATCCGTTCTGAAGACACGCATAAAGTAGGATATACCATCCTCTTCCTGTATGGCCGGCAGGCCGTCCTCCGTGGCTTCTGGTAAGCTGTCAAGCACCTCATCTTCCTGTCCCTTGACAGCCCAGCTATCTGGGGCATCCCAAGCAGGGGCAGAGAGCTCCGACATTGGTGTCGCGGAGGCTTTTCCCGTCCAAATTCCTGCTTCCCCGGGAGTTTTCGGAGCCGGCGGCTGAGAGATGATGTCCGACATGTCATCAAAATTCGTGTCAAGGCTGAAGACGCCCGCCTGCATTGGAGCTTGTTGGCTTGTTGCTTTGCCCTTCTCGGAGGTATCGCTTTGGATGCTAGGTCCACGATGTCTGCCATGCCGAGTGAACCTACTCGCCTTCGATGAGGCCGTCTGCGTCCGGTCAAGCTTAGGAGAAGGATCGGTCGCTTTGATTGTTGATGCGCTGTCCACCGATGCAACACTCGTCTCTCGATCTCGTTTATTATCAGAAAGGTCGGAAGTAGTGGTCTTTGTCGACTGTATCCTGCCCTTCTTCTGCTCCTCCGGTGGCCGTACCACCTCCACGTTGGTCTTGATCGGCTCAGGCTGGGGTGACTGCTTATCCTTGCGCGATTTGGTGAGTTTCGAAAATATCGATCTCTTCTCCGATTGTGTCGGGGGTTCCTTGCGTGACTGGGGTGCTGGGCTGGCATTCCGAGTGAGCGTCGTAGAAGAGCTCATTGGCGTGCTGTTGGGTGGCGTGTTGCGGTAGAAAGCCAGGTTGCTCGTCGACGATTCTCGACTTGTCGAAGGTCTTTTGGGTATTGATGCAGGGGTTTGCTGGCCTTTCGGGGGGTCTTCTTTGCTTCTTGTGTGCCGATGGAGCAGGCCACGTCGGTGAGTAGACGCCGGTGCAACTGGCTGTAAAGATTCGTGTTGCGGCTGCAATTGTTGTTGCTGTTGCTCCTGCCGTATTGGTGCAGAGCCGAAGTTCGAGACATCTTCAAAATTCTGATAAGCCCAAGGGGTGACATCGCTTGAGGGAGGAGGAGCAGGGGTCTTAGGTCTGTCGTCGACAGTGGTCTGAGTCTGGACCGAACCACTCCGCTGTGATGGCTTGTCCGATGAGCTGGCAATCGGCACTGACTCTGCCAAGTCTGCTGTTGAACCTTTCCGCGAATCTGTAGGATCCTCGCCAAAGAAACCCTTCAAGCTTTTATGAAATCGGCCATTAGCGGTGCTGCTCCTTGAGCCTGTACTGCTGACTGTTGTAGCACTGGCTATGGACGGCCGTCTTGCATCACCATCATATTCTGGCGAATCTGATGTATTTGTTCTTGCAGTATCCGGACGCCTTGACGAGCCCGGAGCATCTCGGCCGCTTGAATCGTTGAAATAAGACGAGTTCAATGGCCGTGTGCCTGAGATATGTGCCTGGGGGTCTCTTTCCCAAGGCGCGATGTCGTCGTCATCATCCGGATGCTGGGTGTCCCAGGGCGCGATGTCATGGATAGCTCGTGGTTGTGGGAATTGCTGACGGCCTGTGGCATTGGGGTTGGTTCCGGTTCCAAAGATGGCCATGGCCTTCGGGGGCATTGGCTGCGTGGGTCTGGTGTCCCATGGCGCGACCTCGTTGTTGGAGCGGGACATGGCGAGAAAAGGGAGAGTAGAGGCTTGTATAGATCTGAGATTCCACGTCAGCTCAACTGAGCAAACCATGCCTCATGTGTTTTCGACAGAGAGCATAAATGAGAAATAACAATATGGATGGCCTGCAAGTGAGACCCTCAAGGGGCACAGAGCGAGTAGCGGCACGGGGCAGATTCGAGCCAGGCCACCGAAAACCACCCAGTTCGCAGTGCGATGTGGCAGTGATGATCAGATGCTGAAGTTCAAAGTCTCAAAGGGAAGATAGGCTCGTGCTGGCGAATTGCAACATGTGTGCTCTGTACCTTCTCTTCTCCCCAGTGCTTTTTTTCCTTCGACGTTTGACACTTCACCCTTGTCTCTGTTCCCTTCAGCTCATGGTCTAGTATAGTCGGTATGAATTTCGCGTCGGGCGCAGACAAGTACAGTCAACCATGCTCGGTTCAGTCGCGGACAAGGCCAGCTCAGGTTCGAAAATTGAGGTTCTTTGGGGGCACTGAGGCGTCTTCGACACCGAGACAGACTCGAAAGGATTATGTGGATTTATGAGCGAACCTCTAGATACGCATGGGTAGATTCAGGTGTAGCTGGTCAGGCATTGCGGGCTCGCGGGTTCAATTGTCGAGGGTGGCCTTGTGCGGGCTGTCAACTGCTCGATCGAAGAACAAGGGTTGGAGGAGGACTGGAGATGGGCGTCTGGGCGTCTTGACGATGGTCGACGAAGAGGAAGGATCAAGAAACATCGAATGTAGGCAGGCTGCGGGTGAAGACGACGACGCAGTTGAGGTGAAGCCGATGATGAATGGGTGATGGCAACGGGTCGAGCACGCATACGAGTAGTAGGCGAGCAGGCGTTGGATCGTCTTGGGTCGGTTTGTGGAGATCGCAACGAGAGAGGAGATGGGGTTGACCTCGAAGCCCAAGTTCTGGACCGAAGCCGATCAATGGGCATCAATTGGCTACCCGGGCGCCCACCCGCTCTCGCCTGCCTTAATTTAGCCTTATGCCCTGGGCCGTGATGCCGGCAACTGAGCCTGGCAGCCCCTCACCTACAGCGACTTCCTCTCACCCTCTCCAGCACAAGAGAACGGAGTATCTACAAGCGGCACCGCGCCCAGTCTCCCAGCTGCGTTCCACAGGGCAAAGTCCATGAATCATACCGGTCAGCTGTTCATCGTCCAAACTCACCGCCGCCCACTAACCACTCACCCCTTTCACCGGTCCATGCTCTGCTCTGGCCTTGATTTGGCTCAGTAGAAAATGTAACCGAAACACAAAGAGCGAGTCTGCCTCACTCGCTGTGGTCGCATCCGCCCAGTGACGCCCCAAACTTCCCACTCCCTCCTCATCGGGCGCTTTCAGTCCACCTGTCGACCACGAGAAACTCTCAGGACGAGCAACTCTGAGCCGTTGAATCGCGTGACGGATCGTCCTTCTCTGACTGGCGAGAGCATCCCGACATCTCAAGCTTGGACCGCTCGGCGGACTGGGGAGCTATTCGCTGGTGTGCTCTGCCATGCTACTCCGTACACTTTTCAAACCCGTATTCCCCATCGCCCCGTACTCGCTCGATACATCGGCATTCCCTCCAAACTATCTGTCAGCTCTTGTTGCAAAGCAACCACGGGTTTGGAAATAGACATGGGATTAGATTAAAAGGATTTATCATCTTATATGCACTCTGCTCACCTGCTCAGCATGCATAGATTGCTGACGGTGGCCCGGCAACCGAGAACATCTTCGATGTTCCACTCCGCCTCTATCAAAGACTGCGCTCAAACGATACGCCAGGTCATTTCTTCGTATCGCCCTTGAACCAAAGTACGTCTTTGCCAGACGTCGTCATCATATCCGCAACGGGGGCGGGACCTGCCTCCGAGCCTGCGCCAGACGCCGATGCAGAAGCATTTGTTGCAGTTGTCGCCGTGGTGGTCGTTGTTATAGAACCCCCCTCGGAACTCTTTGCACCACCGCCACCGATACTGTCCGCAATGCTTCCTCGGAACAGACTTTTCCATCCACTTTTGCTCCCCCCAACTGTACTGTTTTTCTTCTTCTTTTTCTTCTGCTTGCGTTCCCCATCGAATTGACCCGCAGAGGCGAAATCAGGGTCCACCATGGGTCGGCCTCCAGGAGCCGGCGGTGCAGGTGCCTGTACTGGGGGTCCTAACGAACGCGATGATCGATGTGACCAGCACTGTGCCGAATTTGAAGAGACGCTCGAAGCTGATCTGGCATGAATAGGTGAACCTGGCGGTGTATACGAGAGTCTGTCGATGATATCTGCAACAACATCTATTTTGAGCTTAGGCCCAGGACTGCCAATTAGCGGCTTCGAACTCCCGCCAGGGCTGGGGACTTGTACGGGAACAATCTTGCCATCTTTCTTGGTGAGCTTCAACTTCAAGGGTCGGATTGGCTCTGGTGCGTTGGAATCCCCAAAGTCCTTGGGCTTCATGCCAGGTTTGATTGTAAGTTCGGTAGGCAGCTTGAAAAAATCATCGAGCCGGCCTTTGCTGGCACGAGGAACTTCTTTCTCTGTATTCTCAGGGGCGGCGACTGGTCTGGGAGGGAGGTTGAAAGTCTGATGTGGAGCCTCCAGCTCTACTGGTCCAACCTCTTCCTTTGCCTTGGGCTGCAGGGGTTTGGGAACAATGGCCTCTAACTCGGCAATAAATTCTGTCTTTGAGGCCACGCCATCGGGGTTCTGAGCAAGCACATTATTTGAGATGCTGTCTGAATTTGTTTTGGCTGTGGCATCGCCTTCAACACTCGTCGGCACTTCAACGGTGACTTGTGACTTTTCGCCATCATCGGCGTGTCCAGTTTCTTTAGTCGGCGGAGGCGCTGTAGCTGTCATCTGAGGCTGCAATGGCCCTGTCACCACTTCCTCTAGACCATTGTTTGTGGTGTTTGTCGTCTCTAATTGGCTGTGGAGCTGACTCTGCATATCGTCTTCAGCCTTTCGTTGTGCGGCTGCAAATGTCTCTTCCTCGGCAGAGGCTGGCACGACAGCGACGGTAATGGTTGATGTGTCAATGAGAATTCTCGTGTCCAACACCGATCCCGAGGTCGACCGTGTCATTTCACCTTCGTTCAACTCCGGTCCAGGTTCACCCAGGCTCGATAGTTGAGAGCCTTTCCTCGATGAAGAAGAGTTTGACCGCTCTTCTCTCACCGCTGGCTCGACCGGCGCAGGAAGCTCTACTGGAGGAGATGCCATCGCCATCACAGCAGGGTGCGAAGTAAACGCTGGGTTAGGGATTGATGAACGACGTGTTACCGGCCTAGACGGATCCACTATCGAGGCTCGAGCTGACGCCTGAGCAGCGGTCGGAGACGCTTTGGCAGAGTCGGTGTCCTTCCTGTAATCCAGATTGAACAGCCCAATCGAAGGACTTTGTTCATGCGAGAGGAAGAAGCCGGCCTCCCCTTCCGACATGACGGGCGATATCATAGCCTGCACAGGTGTGCCTTTCGACTTTCCGGGTTGCGGCGTAAGTAACAGAGAGGATATAGCGGGAGACTTCAGAAGATCACCCAATGCTCTCGGATAGTAGACACTGGATATGCGGTGGCTCGAGTTGTCCTTTGGCTTCAGCCCAAGTGTCATACTCAACCGGTTTTTGATCGACACCGGCGCTTGTCGAAGTACATCTTCAGGAACATCGGCCGGAAGCTCGACAAGCTGCTCCTCAACGTGTTGGATGAGCAATCCTCCTAGACTATGCATTCGGTCTGCAGTGTGCTGTGGCCCCTCGGTCGTCAACGCCTCGGAAGAAAATGGCCGCCCAGAAATTTCTCCGTTGCCTGGTCTTCTGGACCCAGCGGATTGCGGCGATTGATGCCCAATAGATTGTGGTTGCGAGGCCAATCCTTGACTTGATTTCTGGCCGCTGTTCGGTCGACTGGAGAAGCTGGTAAGTTGGGTACTCCGAGATGAATTTCTGGTCGAGTGTTGGCGACCCGGCTCACTCGGCAGCGGCTTGTGTTCGGCGATAGACCCTAACTGAGAAGGAGCACGACCAGCATCCTGAGAAGTAATGTGTTTCGTCTTTTGAGCTCTAGCCTGACAACAGTGAGACGAAGTTCGATAAGAGGGCAGAGACCATCTTACCACGAGATTCCTGCTGACTGCAGCAGCTCTTTGCTGCATCTCCGAAACCACCTCCGCGAGCTTCTTCAGAGAACCAGCCAGCTTGTTCCCTTGTAGATGTAACTCCAAGAAAGCTCTGCGCCATCCTTCGACATTCCCAAGCATAGCGACTAAAACAGCTTCATGCTCAGGTGATCCTCTCTTCCATGTTGAGTTCAATTTAGACAGGTATTTTTCCATCACGTTGGTAGCATCGAATCCCTTCTGGACGTCCTTCAGTGCATCCTTGGCCGCCTTCTTGGTCCGGCCAATGACATGGTCAATCTTTTCGTTCCCATCGAGAATTGAAGCGCGAAATGCCCGATCTTCCAACATTCGATCAAACACTTCTCCGTGTGCGAGTGGGAGTTTGAGACATCGTATTCTCTCGTGAATATCGCTTTGTGCAAGATCGAAGTCCTCTGTGGTACGCTCTAGGAAAGCATCGATGTCGTCGACGTGGGATTGCAAGATTCTCATGACTTCGTCTTCTGAAATCGCCATGTTCTGTGATAGAAGATGCATTCCAAAGGTCAGTTGGGCCACGAGTTTCCACAATGGATGATATTTTTCTCCTGGTTTCTGCTTCCACCTCCCGGCAATAACCCGTTGATAGGTAGGCGCCTCGAGAAGGATTGTCCTTCGTGACATGGCATCAGTAGGGATGTCTTCCGCCACCTGATCAGATATTGATTCTAGCATCGACTCCTCGAAAGGCTTTTGCAATTGCGGCACCGGGTGCGCGGGCGGGCGAACAAACGCCTGCCCTCCATTGCCGTCCTTGTCTATCGACATTGCGCGGGAGCAGACAGTCCGAGACAGCCCGAGACAGATGTCAGTCAATTCAGGTAATGGTGGTTATTGTTCACGAGCACCCTGCCCTCACAAGAATACATGTTCATCGAACACAACCTTCTGGCTCTGAACCCCATGTACTTAGATGTACGATCCCGACGATCTTTTCTTCTGTGATCTTGTATGCACGCACCAGAGGGCCGATAATCAGGAAGAGGATGGCGAGTTAAGATTTAGAACTTGGCCCGTGTAACTTGAGTACTTCCACGTCTCGGCTGCTGTGTAATGATGGCAGACCATGGGCCAGGCAGAGGAAAATCGAGTGCAAACGCGGAGAGATGCTCTTCAATGGCTGGTTTTTGAAGTGCGAACTTTAGTGACTCGGTTCGAGCGGTCGGGGTTCGCTGGTCTGATGCGGCACGCGAATTCGAAGGAGAGCAGACAACAGGAAGGACCTGGAAAAGCCGGTCTGAGGATGGCTTGAATGAGGAGAGAATAGAAGTCTACCGGAGAATCTGAGGCCCAGGTCCCTGTATGAGTGTCCACGCAGAGAACGACTGGCGAAAGGAGGAGGATGAGCACTTCTCGTCGGTGGAGGTAAGCAGCAAATGCAGATCCATATCAAGCCACCCACGGAAATGGCCAGGGTATCTCGCCTGCGGCCGTGAATTTGAGGCCTGATGCGCCATGGGGGCGAGTCTTGACCAGGCTCCCATCGTTTCAGCCCTTTGAAAGCAGCGTGGGACTTTGCGCTCTGCTCGAGAAGCTGCAGAGCGACAGAGGCAGAGTCAACGGCGCACCAGGTGGGATTGGCCAGGCCCGTTGCGGGCGTTAGAAATGGTGAAACCAGACTTGCATTTCGGCCTCTCCCGCGATAGGCCCCAGGAAATTTCCCGACCACGAGCTAAGGAGTAGCTCATCAAAATTGCCCAACCCACAGATCAGAAAGGCGATCGGGATACCGCCGATGATCACCTCCCCGGCGCGATATTTTAGGTGATGGACGACTTTGTCATCGTCCTCGAGCAGAAGATTGGGATGAACGAGGTACGTACAAGCTTCTACTCGTGTGCGGAAGTGGACAAGCTTCTCGATATCTATGGTTCAGCATTGATTCTATCCAGAAGACCGTGCCAGAAGAAAGGCAGCCGAGAGGACAGGAGCACCTGGTCTGACCCATCCTTCTGCTCCTGATTCATATCTCCTCCGTGGAACCCTGGCTCGCCCCCGCTGTGGGTTGCACGGGTGTCCCTTGAAAGGCGCCCGCCGCTTTATCCTCAAGAGGCCAAAAAAAATCCATCTCAATCACATTGAAGAGATAACACGCAACCTGCCACTGTCCCCCTCGAACCTTCTCCCTCACGACGGACGTCCCAACTATACGGCTCGTATCACCGGCCTGGACAGGAACGCTGCAACTCCTTAAACCCATCATACAGCAATCGAACGTAACCTTATCAAACCATAGCATGTCCACAGCGGCCTTTCCACTCTCGCCAAGAGATGCCCTACTCCAGGCGTACCAAGCTCAATCGCTACATGACGTACCTGTCCCGGCAGCGGTTATAGATGTGGCAAAGGTAAAGGCAAACTGCATTTCCATGCTGAATGCCGTCGAAGAGCTGGGTGTCAGTTTCAGAGCTCACGTGAAAACTCACAAAACAACAGAGATTACGAGGCTTCAGGTCGGCGAAGATTGCAATGACGTGAGGTTGATTGTATCGACCATTATCGAAGCGGAGCAATTGGTCCCTCTTCTGCTGGAATATAAAAGTCGGAATGCAAAGATCAATGTCTTATATGGTGTCCCCTTGGGCCCTTCACACGTGAACCGGCTTGCTACTGTAGCCCGCCAGCTTGGTCAAGGGTCCATCACAGTCATGATCGATCACCCAGAGCAGTTGAAGTGCTTGCAGTCATTCAAAGAAAAGGCTGGATTTCCCGCTCTGGTCTTTATCAAGACGGATTCAGGCTACCACCGAGCCGGTCTGATTCCAGACTCGAAGGATATGATGGATTTGGTGCACGAAGTTAGCATTGGCGAGCAGCGAGGCTACCTGTGGTTGCTCGGATTCTATTCACACAACAGCCTCAGCTATGGCGGATCGTCCCCAGACGATGCGATGGACACGCTCAAAGTTGAAATAGACGTCTGCCGGCAAGCTTCCCAACACTTCAAGCGAGACCGCCAGACACCGCTTCTCGTCTCTGTTGGGGCGTCCCCCACTGCTCTGTCCTTACAGAACATTCTGCCATCTGCTGCCAGTTCTACTCCTTCGGCTAATGCTCTCAAGGATACGCTTGAGTTGACCAAATCTAATCTCGAGCTTGAAATCCATGCCGGCGTCTACCCAATCTTTGACATTCAGCAGGTGGCTGCCAGCAGCCGAAGCTTCACCTCAGATCCTCATGATACCATTGCAGTATCTGTGCTTGCTGAAGTCTGCTCTTTATACCCCGACCGAACTAAACAACCTGAAGCACTGATCTCTGCCGGCGTTCTCGCACTTGCGAGAGAGCCCTGCAAGGACTATCCTGGATGGGGGGTTGTAAGTCCGTGGAACATGCCAGGCGATTATGGAACGACGAAGAAAGATCGCATCATTGTCAGTCGCATAAGTCAGGAGCATGGCATCTTAGCTTTCGAAGACAGAGATGTAGAGAACCGACAACTTCCTTTGCGGTACGGACAAAAGCTGCGCATTTGGCCGAATCATGCATGCATCACCCTGGCAATGTTCAGCTGGTATTATATTGTCGACACAGATACAGACACCCCCGACAAGATTGTTGATATCTGGATAAGGTGGCGAGGCTGGTAACGGAAGGAGACACTGGAAGAACGACTTTTTGGCCTCCGGTACTTACTAGGTACAGTTGGTCAATTGTGCCTCTTTCTAGGGCCACAACCAGGGACCCGAACTACCTCCCAGCAAGGGAAGGTCCAATACGACAAACCAGGATTCCTCCTGACAGACGAGTTGTTCCTGGCCAAGTCTTCCATATCTATCAGCACGCAGCAGGTCATAACATGGTCGCAAGCTTGAACCAGAACATGAGGCTCCCCTTTCTTTGCTTCGATCTGTGTGACGCTGATGCACCCATATCCAATATCTTCCTCCGGTTTGCACGCTACTCCACGCATTTTCAGGGAACCGACGAGAAGATGTATCCTACGTAATCAAGTGCCAAAAGCATGCGGGCTGTGGTTGATCCCGGAGATAACATCCCGTTTTGTTGGATAATGAAACTCAGGCATTTGCCTGCAAAGGTAAGAGAATTTCCACGTTTGGGACTGGATCATAGATCTGGAAACATCCTTCCTCAATTGTTGTCTCGCAGAGCTAGAATGTGGAGAAAGAGACGGTATAGGATGGGCAACATAGACACAACCAGGATGGTGTATCCTCCGTGCAATCACGAACTGAATCTGCCCGGTGTTTCTCTCCGGCCGTCCATCAGAACCCCTTTTGGACATCAGATGGCATCAGACAGAGCGCTAGCCAAGGCTGTTAGCATGATCGCCTGCTGACCTTACTGCTCTGGGGCCTCGACGATGTCTTACAGGAATACCGCCTCCACGGAACATAATACCATTCGGGAGAAAAGGCCTTTTTGGACAATGAAAGCAAAGACTGCCTTCCTCAAGTTTTTGCAACCAACGCAAAAGACTGGCGCAATGAACGACGGTCCGAGAGAAGCCCTTGCTCGTGATTGCAGTGTACAAAACTCATCAAGGTCATCCTTTGTTGTCTTCTTTGTTCCCAACACAGCAGCGACCTGGGCTCCTGAGACGGGTTGAGGACGCAGCGAATGCTGGCTGCACAGTGTGACCCGAGGCTCTATAAACCTCCTTGCTCTCCATTTCTGACTTGCCATCAAATTCCGTCACATCCTTTCAAGCTTCGTCATCACGCTAGTGTCCCTCTCAGGTGAGTTCAATCAACAGAGACATGACTAACTTCTATAGACAGAACCTTGGCAGAAATCGCGGATTTGAGGGTGGTTGGAGGAAGAGCTCTGCACCTCTCAGGGATATTTCGGGGCCGTGGAGACCAAGATCAGGTGCAGCTGTCGAGAGAGATCTCAGCCGTTCCGTTGACTCGGGCCAATGCATCGGCTTAGGGATCCACGAAGCCTCAACTATCAACTCGCTCTCCTCAGGTAGTCAAGGATCCGAAAGCACGGAGGCAGACTCGCTCTCCACGATGCAAAGATCTCAGCCTAATGCCTATACACACAGGTACGCCCGCCCAGAAAACCAGCGGCCCTTCACCCTCCTCATCCTCCCCTTCTTCCCAGTACCCTGCTAATTTCCGCAGAAAGTTTCGAATCCATTCCATTCAAGAGCTTGCAGCTGGCACCATCATACGCGGACTTCACGTCTCTAGAGCCGTAGAATCTGCTGCTGGCTCGCCGGACTGGCGCGTGCCACATTTCACGCTCAGGGTGGACTCGGATACTCAGAGACCGGTTACTTACAAACATCGGTTTTTCGTCGTCGTCCGAGTTAGAACTCCCACTACGTCGCATTGCCCATATTCACGAAATCCGGAAGGGGCTTGGAGCGCGTTCCAAAGGCTGAGAAGGAAAACTTCATGTCGGTCCGCGACGATCGAGCAGCCAATTTCCAATGCCAGAATCCGGAGCTGCCGGTTCTAGAGGCGGAGGAAATGGAATCTCACGGTTTTTCCCTCGCACCAAAGGCCGTCGTCAAGTCCACAGCTCCCCAGACGTTTCAGATTATGCACGCGATTGAGATTGTCGAGGCAGCTGATGGCAGGTAGCTGCCCTGTTACGGACTGTATCGAGGTCGTGAGAAACACCTTGTTGCACGTTGCGAGAGAGCTGCCCCAGAAGACTAAGACGGCAGTCACGGAGGCCGGTTTGACTGAGACCTTTGTGGCAGGGATTAGACACGAAAGGGATTTCTCTGCAGGACGAGAGAGAGTAAGGACTCTGGACAAAGGGAGGGATACGCATCATATCGGCTTGTCGGGTAGCCTTCCCCTTGAAGCCTCGAACATCTATCTTCCTGTGAGGCGTTAGCGCGCAGAGCTGGATGGAAATGGTCCAATGGAGATAGAAACACACGTACCCAGATTCATCTCATTCGGTCCTATCCATTAAGTAAGTGCCTCTTGAAGCATCTTTACGGCTTTACAGCTGCCTCAGCCGCGGTTCGCTCAAGGTAATCTTAGCAGAGCATCCAGAAACCACACAGGATCACTCAGCGTGGCAAGGAATAGCACGGCCGACCTGCATCCTTGCTTTACGCAGTAAGGCGAAGGCCTAGTAGAGCACAGTGCAGTATACATATACCACACAATAAAGACATTCCCAACTGGCGAGAAGTTGACAAACAAGCAGCACGGAGGCAAGCGACGGGTCGAGTGTCCTGATCAGGTTAAAGCCGCGAGACGGAATCTAGAAAATCCATAACATCTCACGCTTTCTGCTCGTCTTTCGTTGCTCCCAACAGCATGCACATCGTCTACCCGCCGAGCAGTTTCGAGTAAGGCCCCAGCAAATTCCTCAAGGGTGGTTCGAAAGCTTGCAAGATAACGTGCGCCACGACACACAAGATCTGAGGTAGTGGCCGTTATCTGAGACCCCTTGCAGAACAACAATGTGCAAGCGGCCAGCAGCTCGCTTTGCGCAAAGGACAAATCACCAGGATCAAGAGGCCAGTCAGCCAGGTACCGCAGCTACGCACTTCTGAAGCACGGGGATTGAGACAGGGGGCCCTTCCATCCGCTCTCGACCGTAGCTTGTGCGACGTACCGATACCCAAAAGGTGAGTGTTCGGAGGAGTTGTCGTTCACTCCTTCTGCCGAACCGCCATGACGGTTTCCTCGAGATCGAGAGGACTTACTCGCCGCGCTCTGAATGAAGAGAGTGCAAGCAATAATGAGACGAGACGATCAAAGAACGAATGACTCTCCCCAACCACTCCACTCACTCACGTCGCCCTCCCAGCTGAGAGTCTGAGACTTGTCTCTCCCGAACCAAACAGAAATGTCATCTCGTGTACTGGTGCCTGGGCTTGAACCAGGGTCTGCGAGGGGAGAGAGGGGGGGAGAGAGGGCCTGAGGTTGCGTTGTGGAGAGTGAGTTCAACCCAAAAATCTTGTCCAAGGTGCTGCTATACTGTGTGGGACGGTGTCCGCAAAAGAGGACGGGAAACCCCCAAATGGGCGAAGGGACACCTCTTTTCAGCACTCGCCGTACCTCTCTGTCCTACTACCAGGTAGGTCAGAAGATTTCATTCTCCTTTTCCCGATGACGGGTAATATGCATCTCCCCGCCGCCGCCGCCGCCGCCGCCGCCGCCGTCAGATGGCGACAGCGAGATGTCTCATCCAGACACGTCGCCGGCTCCTTGCACATTCCCGACGGGAGGGGAGCGGGAAAAAGCGACATGTCAGACAGGCTTCGCGTCCAGCCGGAGCGGAATGTACCTTCCCAGCCACCATCTGGATCGTGACCGCATTGACGAGTGTGAAAAGGGGACGGGAAGCTGCAGATGCAGATGCAGATGCAGATGCAAGAGGCCAAGCGAGAAAGGGATCACGAGGACAAACAGGACCTCATCGAAGAGGATGGGAATCAGGGAAGAAAAAGAGAGAGAGCTAATAAATAGCCTTGGAAGGGGAAAGTCACCTTTGGGAAAGCCACGCGTATGCATGCATGCATGCATGCACCATGATGTATGAATGTATGTATGTATGATGGTCCCGTGCGCATTACCCTTCACCGCTTCGTTGCTCGCTCTGTCCACGGTATATTCCTCGCCCACAAACAAAAAGGGCATTGCGCGCAAGCAGACGTGTAGTGGAGCGGAGCCATGGGTGAGAAATCATTACAGCACTGCTGCACCTCTTGAGGGAGTCATGCAAGCAGCAGCAGCACGACGAGATGCTGTGCCGCTGACACGGTCGGAAAATGCCATCCATCGCCATTCGAAAATGCGCGGCATTCGGCATATGCAAGGGATAGAATATAGTTATTTGATGACATCAGGAACCAATTAAACCCACAACAAAGTCGCGCGCGTGATGCGACGGAGTGCAGAGCGCAAAGGGAGAAATACTCTTCCAATGTCCTCTCCCATACCTAGTTAGATATGTCGTTGAGGGATGTCAAAGGGTTATGGATGGTGTGAGAGCAAGTCTTGCTATGTCATGCAAGGGAGAGTGATCGTTGTCCCCACTCGGCTATAGAAACTGCTATTTCCCCAAGGTGAGCAGCCGGAATGATGCAAGAAGGTGGGACACATCTCTCCGCTGCTCCTTGACTTTCGAGGGAAGTGCCGCTGGCAACATCCCATGGCCTTGCTTGACCTTGCCTAGCCTTGCCTTGCCCTGCCACTCCATGACCGAATGAGTCCCGGACGGACGGAATTGGCATGGGTTTTTCCCTCTCTCTGTGTCTCTCCTTTGCGTTCGTCTTGTGACAAGTATAGACAATACATGAAAGACATCACAAACCGGCCGCTTCTTTTCTCCGAAGATAGAATAAAAGGCACAACTAGCTTGCCCAAGCTTCGATGCCCCAGCAATCAGATAATGAGCTAGGTATTGGCCTGCTCGGTATTGATCACCACACTCTCTCACCGACGAAATGAAACCATTTAGTCCTTTGTGAGCCCGAATAGCGGCCCCGTTCCCCGACAGCATGGTTCGCACTGTGGCCGAGAGGAGCTCGGAGAAATATAGACCTTGTGAGCATTAGCTAGTGCTGGTCACCAACGGCACAAAGACCCCATCTGCAAGCACAACCCAGAGAATCAACATGGAAAAGAAGGAATCCGTGGCATGTGAAATCAGATTGCAAGATCTGGGGAAAAGGATTTCTTCAGAATCCCATTCAAACCACCCCTTATGCGTGCAGCCGTTGATGTAGATTAAAGGGGCTGTCCGCAGCGGAAGCAAAAGTTTCCTTTCGAATTGTTGGCAATACAGCTGCCCTGGAGACGGTCACAGGGCCAAGGAGGCAGTGACAGGATCATCGGTGATGTGGCAGAAAACTCCGAGTGGTTCTTTGAAGCCTCGCATTCTTGTCGCAAATTGGTTTGACGTTTGGGTAGATTCGCAGATCCGGGTAGAGGGGAACTTAAGCAGCAGGGTATCAAACTTCAGATGAAGCATAGAGCTTGAGGGATTTGTGGTAGCATTGGAAGATTGTGCGCATGTCCGGATGTTGAGGCTGTCCTAGCGGACGCGCATCAGAACTTCGGATCAAGCATTTGGAGAAGAAAGTTCAATGAGTGGTGGTTGAGGTAGTTCAGGTTAGTCACAGTTAATAATGGGCACTGAGTGGCAAAAGGCAGGGCACACCTAAGACACTGAGATTGAAGGCTGGAAACCTTCACCCGGGGCATAATACAAGGTCGCTCAAGAGCTGCGAAAGGGGGGGCCGGGCATGGGGTAGGGTAACTTTTGATTAAATGTGAGGGAGGGAATGGGATTGAGTTCCAAGAGACGCCATAAAACGCCACTCCAGGGAGGGTATTTGCCCAAAAAGAACAATGTGCTTGTTGGCAGTGACGATGGTGCTCTCGCAATACGAGGGCGTTGCACGAATGGCAAGGCTGCGAGAAGCGAGTAGCCTACCAGATGGTCTGTTGCATCTCCGAGATGGCACCCATGACGAATTTGGGGGTGAATGGACAACCGGCATGTGCCACCATCGACCAGCTTGTGCAAAATGGGCCCCGGCCTCCTGCAAGTCGTTGAGTGACCACCAGGCTATCTGTGAGCGCCCGTGTTCCCCGCCATACCCGGCATATGCAGACGCAATGGTCCGCCCGGGGCGAGTTGAGTTCAGCTGCAGTCGGCGGCCCAGCAGCTGGCATCGAAAGCGTCGAGCAGAGACTACTCGTAGCAAGCGGCCATGGGGAAAGGGACCCCAGGAAGGGGAACCTTAAACCAGGAGTTTGGGTGGCTTTGAGCCATCCGAAGCGACCAAGGCCAGCCCATTCGTTGGTCGGTGGCAGCTCCGGGACAACGGTCTGCGACTGTGCGGTTCCGAGTGTCCCACCTAATATTGAACCGGGTGAAAAGCCGGTGTCCGGGGGCGCGCCAGGCCAGTGGGAAAGTCTGGGAGGCCTACAAGGGAGGGTTGTCTCTGCGTCAGGATTTGCTGAATCGACAAGCTGCCGTTCCCATTCGAGATGGAGGTTTGTCTCGAGAGGCCGATCACTTGCTCGATTGTGTCCGACCGTTGCTCTTGGTAGCGTGACCAGTGTCGACCCAAACTTGATCGAAATGTGATAGTTGCGAGAGGATTGAGCACACCGAGGGCTGCAAATGCAATGCTCCCGCGAGCTTCACGGGAAAAGGTAGCCGACGAATGAAGAGGAGATTCGATCATTTAACCACCATTGAAGCAAAAGCCCCGAGGCACAGAGGGGTCGCGGATGCCACTGAATGGACGCCTCTTAAGCCACAAACGCATGGGAGGTAGGGCCCTAACCGAATGCCGAGAATTGAAACTCGAGGGTCAAGGAACACATTACAGTGTGGCTTCGGGGAAGGCTGCATCGTAGGCTTGGTGGGCGTAAAGCCGGGACCTTTGAGTTGAACGCGGTCGACTGCATGCAGAAAGCATAGCAAAGATCACAGTCCAATTCCCTCTCAGACCCAGATGGGACGCTCAGGAAAGATGCCCGTGCAGCCAAACAAGGCGCTTGAAATATGGATCGATAGTTGCCCGGTGAATGCGCTGCATTCGGACCATTCGATGGATCGGTACCAGAACGTCGGAGCGACGAAGATTCCACATTCCTCCACAGCATCCTGGACACACAAAGAGAAAGCTACCTGATTTCGCGGTGCTTTCGTGGCCAGCGACCACACACCCACACACTCACCCCAAGTTCGGGAGCGACACGTACTGTAGCATCGGGGCATGTTGTTGAACAAGACCAAGGGGGGGTGAGGTAAGTCGGATGCGTAGGGAAATGATCTTCTCGGCGCGCAACCTGGGCACATGTCAAGGCAAGATTTGCAAGCTGGCCGAAGCGGACATGGGTTCCCAGTTCCACGTGCAGATCGAGAAAAAGATGCTCCTCTCGCTGCTGTCCAGCTGACTCGTCTCCGGACCACTTACCGTCTTTGTTTTTTCTGCCCTCTGGCCTCTGGATGGGCTTTACCTTGCAACCGCGCTTATGGAGATGCTCCTGCTCCTGCTCCCCCACTCAGGTAGCGTCAACGGGGAAGCGGAAGGCTGCTGAAGAAGGGTGACATGCTTACTCGACCTGCTCCGGGACAGAGTGTACCAGTAGTGGCTGGGAGAGATTACCTTTTTGGCGGAATTCCACCTTGGCCTCTTGGTCCGCCAATCGCCGCGGTATGATGCTTGAATGCTTTCCATTCGCTCGAGTCGAGTCAGCTGCTTTGACGAATTTTGGGGGCATTCGAGTACGGAGTATAGCAGGGAGCTTGAGGGCGTTGATACTTTCCAGGGTGATTATGTTGGTCAGTCACATTGACACTCTTAGCGAAAGCATGTCTCTGTCGCACCTGGTCCAAAGCAAACACTACCACCCAGCCAGTCGCTAACTCTTCCCTGGATCGAAGGGATGGATTGCCCTACGGCGGAGGTTAGATGTGGCTGAGGCGAAAACAATCCTCCATAGGACCAAGGGCAAATGTTATTATTGGCATGTGACCGCAAAGCAGCTTCCAGACCATCGAATACATTTATCCATCTGTCTCACATGCCACTAGCAGTGATGAGTGGCCAGTTTGTTGTTTGGGGAAAGGGAAAAAGGAAAAAGAAAAGAACAGGTACTATGTATCTCCGACCTTTTGAGTTGTTTGGTCCAGAGGGATGTACACGATCCCAACGAGAGTTTCCTGATGGGTGATGATTTGGATGCCTGGCCCAAGGAACCTTGATGCCTAGACGGGCTGTCTCCTGGGGGTGATCGGAGGCCCAAGAAAGATGCCAGATGGGCTGTGTGGGTGGTGCCCAAGGGGGCCGGGGCCCCTACGAGCAACCCACTTGTGATGCCCTAGGCACTATTGGTTTAACGGAGGGGCCCCCATCGTGGTAGCCAACAATCAGCTCCGAGCACTCCCCGAGCATCTCTCTCGGTCATTACATCTGATACCAGTGGGTTCTAGTGTATTCACTAAAACTGGTCTTTTTGCCCCCCCCTCCCCCCTTGCCTCCCCCCAAATCCCTCTTCCCCTTGCCCCTTCTAGGCTTTCTCCCACTTTTTTCCCTCGTGTCTCGAACCTTGCACCCCCGGCCAATAACCACCTAGCCAAAGGCTCAAATCTGCAGTCACCTTTCTCACTTGGGGCTTGTTGGCTCGCCCACTGCGTCTCCTCCTGCCCTCTCGAACTTCTGGTCAGTCCTGGTCTATCGACCCGAGCGCCGGTCCTCTGCCACCTCCTCCACCCCATCCTCTTGCTCCCCCCCTCGCACCCCTGCTCGCTTTTTTCGTGCCTTGTGCCCTGGTTTTGCTCCTTCTGCAACTCACCACCTCGACCATTGCCCCCCTGCAAGTCGCACACCTGGTCCGGACTTGTGGTCCTTATACCGGTCGTCCCCATCCGCAAAGCCCCATCACCATTTCTTCACCACACGTCTCTTCAACTAACCGCGCTCTCACACATTACATACCTACACCTCTGCTCACATCCTCCTCACAATCCTTCCTCCTCAATACACACTTCGTTCGACCTCGACATCCGTCTCACCGACTTTTACCTCAGCCTCTGTCAAGTCGTCGGTTGCGTCCAGTCCTCTGAACACGTCCGTTCTGAATCGGCCCGAGGTCTCGCATTGCGTCACAAGCCGATCCCACCCAATTCCCACCCGTTTGCGGTCTTGCAACCTCCTGCCAACCGCCAGCGCCAGCGCCGTCCTCTCTATTTGATCCTCCTCTAGAATCCGTGATTTGGCGTCTCATCAACCTCGTTTCTCTCCTGCCCAGTCCGCGAAGTCTCCCGTTACGATGCCACCGCGCAAAATCCCCCATGTCCTGTGCCTGGACAGGGGCAAGATGCACCACATCGATCCTTCCAATGCCTGCAGTTTAATGGCAATGTGGTCCATGTTCTCAAAATGCTCAGATACCCTAGACGAAGGCCCACGGTTAGAGAACTTGAGCTGGCGGATATGGTCGCGAGAGTCATTATGTGTGACACCTATTGACTCCTCTCCCCCGAGGGCGAGCCAAGTGCCCTCCCTCTCGAATTCATGGTCGTCAGACGACAGTCTGAGCGAAGGACGATGCAGTCCTGTCCACGCCAGGACGAGGTCCAGATCACCTCCACAAGACGACTGCGCCAGCTCTCTCTCCAAGTCTCGACACCTGAGCCCCATTACACTAGAAAAGATTGTCGCTTCAATACAGGAGAAGACCGATCTGTGTCCGCTGTCTCCCTCGCTCGAGGCCAGCCGTCCTTTCACTAAGGTGCCGACCCTGGAAAAGCAGGGCTCGGACAACCCAAAGAATGGAACCGAAGCCCGACCTCAACCTGTGTTGAAACCCCTTCAAGATTCCACCGACTCGTGCCTCTCCGCCACCACGACCACAACACTAAGCACAGCTCGTCAGAGTGAGCATCGTGATTCCGACACTTCGGTATCCTCGGAAGGACTCATTCCAAGCGGTTCGGTGGTCCACGGATTTTCCCCTGTAGCATCCTCGTGCCGTTCTCGAAAGGCCAGCTTGGGTGTCAAGCCGACCCCCGCTCTGACCAAGGCCATTCCTCCACCCAGAGGTGCGCTAAAATCAACAGCAATGTTTACATTAGGAGGCTCTTCGGAAGATGATGAATCTTCATTCGAACAGCGAGTGCTGTCTGTCAGAGCTCCTCCGCAAAGAAGTTCACTCTCTCAGAGTTTGAGCAAACAGAATCTGTCGGAACGCAAGAGTGATTTGCCGCCCAAAAGAACTTCTTTCCGGGATGTCGTCGCCGAGCGGAGAATACAGGAAGATGCTGAAAATGACGAGGGGGCTATCGCAAGCAGTGACGATGAAGACGACACCGACGAAGTTATGGAATCAGCCATTGATGAGGACGAGGAAGACGGCGATGACTGGGAAGACTCGACTTCGGACGATGGAAAGGTGGTTCAAGAACCTCATCTTTTCCGCCGCGTGGACAGCCGCAGTGTGTTGCCATCACGGCGCTCCATGTTGACCTTGGCCTTGAACAAGGGCCAGGCTGGGCTCGCCCACGCATATTCCCAACCTACACTTCATCGGTCTCGGCAAACGTCGCCTCCACAAGGACCCTCATTCGCAAATTCGCCCGAAGAAGAGGACGGCATGATGATGCAAACGTCCAATCGGCGACCTATTGCCATTCCACCCCCCAAATCATCCTCCAAACCTGTGGCTCATTCGCCCAGGACGACAAGACGTAACATGCTGTCTACGGAATTGACCGAATCTCTCCGAAAGAACCTCCTCTGGGAGAGACAACAGAAATCTCAAACTGTCAATGCTTTTCTGAAGCGGAGCAGAAACGCCCAGTCGATGGCGAATCTCTCATCTGCTGCTGCTCAGGCCGGAGGTCCAGCCCAACCTCCAGCTCCCGCTCCCGTGGCGGATTTGTCAAAGGACGATTCCTGGACCTTTGATAACACCTGGGAATACCATACCAAAGGCTGGTAGACTGGGGGCAGCGAGAGACTCATCTCTTGAATTTTTGATATTCTTGCGCTATTTTTGTTTCCATCTGCGTTCCGAGCGGTGATCATGTTGTTCATGTGCTTTACGACCATTTTACACCACACTTTACGAATTGGCGAGTCCGGAAAAGGGCGAGGATGGTGAGGCCTGGTCCCATCCCTGTACAAAGGCGCATTTCGGACCATATTCTTTTTATGGAGGGCGGCTCAAAAGTGACCATCGTTTTTATTGTCATGTTGAATGAATGGAGCTAGATACAATTGACCTCAAACCTTGCCGGCTACGGAAAAGAGGTATCGGCTCATCAATGGGTAATGCTCTGCTACTCATCTACATTGTACTATACCACGAATATACCAGATAGCTCGGGCTAGTTCGCTGCATGTAGTTGGCTGAAGGAGAAGAGAAGCGAGAGAAGTTGTACCATTAGCAGCAGATCCAATCAGACCCAACCCATATTCTTTGCTTGACGCTTTTCTGTCGCACATAATAATATCAGGTAATATGTTTTTGATTTTGCTGGTTGTTGGACGTGGTGATTGGCCCAACGGCATGCCTGACATGGCTTTGATGACTTGTCCACTCTTGTGCATGGTGGTGTGCTCATGTGAGTCTCTTTTGCCAGCCTGGCCATCGAGCTCATTTGCCAATTTCCCGGCCGGGACCATTTCCAGCGGTTGCGTGTGAGTGAGTGTGTGTGTGTGTGTGTCCCGGACACGTCAATCGGGCACGGAGGGAGTCAGTACGGCCACCAGGTCCATCACGGCGGCCATCATCATTTGCCGAGTCCACTGTCAAGTGGTTCTAGCAAGTTTCACGGCTAAAATCCCCTGAGGTTGAAATTCTGCAAGAGCGCGTGAGCGGAACAGCGGTATTGAGGCCCAGCTGGGATGGAATGGAAGGGCATGGAACTACCTCCTCACGAGAATGTAATGGTTACATGTGGTGCCTTCTTGCAGGGTGGATAATATACGACAGTACCGTGTAAGAGAACAATCTATTCAAGTGACCTTGCCACGCAAGGAGGACGCAGGAACGTTACCTTCGGCGGTCCCTGTGTGTGTACTACTGTGTACAAACATTGGTAGGGGGCAGCGAGTAGGTATGACTATGGAGAAAGGGGATGTACTCCGTACTCCTACCGCAACTCGCCAAGTACTACTCGGTACTAACTTGGTCCCTTTTCCAAAGTTCCTTTCTTTGGCTCGCTGACCCAAGTGCCGAAAGCAATTCATTGCGATTTCCGGGATCTGGCACAGCAGCCCGCTTTCCCCCCTCTCCATCTAGTCTGCCAACGAAGAAGGGGGGGGATGAACAGCACCGAACACGGCCAACGAGCGCGAATACGCACACAAAAGAGAGAGAGAGCGAGAGATTGCAAAAAAAATGTAAAATACAAAGGGTCAGAGCGAAAACGGGCCCCGTTGCGAAACCGGGGAAGCCGATTCTCTGGGTTTGTTACTACTGGTAGGAGGAGGTTATTGTACCTGATGACCTGAAAAGAAAATGTGTCGGGCGCCCGTTTTCGTGAGGCTGAAACGAAACGGGGACCGTTTTCGTCGCCCTGTTGTTTCTTATTCGGCGCCTGGGCCCTCCCTTCTCTGGCCCGTGACCGACTGTAGAAGCTACCTACAAGTAGGGCTAAGAGGTTTTGTTTGTTGTTGTCGATGCCTGACCCGGCGCCGGATCCGAGCGAGCGAGCGAGCGAGCAATTCTCGTCGGGACTTGTTCCTAGCTGAACCTGGGAGTTCCCCTTAGCTTGAGGCAAAGGTGCCGCTACAAAGTTGCGAGGTACGAGGTACAATGCCGAGGGCCGTCGCTCAACATGCTGACTAGGCTATTTATCCGGCAAGCGACTCCAGAGAGGGGGGGTTGTTGGCCTGTTTGGCGGGTTTTGCCAGAACCAGACACCAAACGACAGGGTTTGACACAGTAAAGGCCCCGGAAAGAAAAACGCAAACCACATAGAAAAGGAAAGAAGAGAGGAGGCGAACGAGGGAATGGTGGATGGTGGATGGTAACCCGACGATAAATCGCCGGCCATGTGACCTTCCAAACGCGCCCCCGGTAATTCCACCCTTCAAAAAGGGTCAAGCCTCGCTCCTCCACCGCGCTTCGCATTCTTTTTCCGTGCCTCGCCGCCTGGCGCTTGTGGGTAAAAGATGGGTAGTGGCGGGAATGTATGGATGGATGGATGAAAGGCAGGCAGGCAGGCAGGCAGGCCGGCCTTCCTGGGCTCGAATGCCACGGGGTTATGGAATGATTAATGATTCTGAGACAAGGGGATCTTATAGACAATAGCTAGTAGTGTAACTTAGCTTGAAGGGAAGGTTCAGGCCTGCAGAATTCGAGAGAGGAGAACTGGGCCAACGAAAAGAGACGACGACACACCATTACCACCCACACCGTTGAACACTTCAGCGCATAGAACACGGCACAGAAAGCGGGGGAGATGATTAAGCTGCCCTTCCCCAGCCCGGGTAGAGATGGAAGAATGGAACATGGCCCGGCAGGCGCCCGGAAGAAGTAATAGTGAGTGATGGTGAAAAAAAACGAGATGGTCATGATGGTGGATGGAGGTGGGACACATTCCGGGGGTGTCCTTCCAGCCTCCCTTCACACCACGGAACGAAGAAGAATGGTTCAGAAAGTACGACAAGTTGGAGGAGAGGGGGCGCATAAGCAAAGAAGCTGAAGTGAGATTTGCGGTGTGGTATACAGGACGGTGCGGTTGCTGGGTGTCGTGGTGTGGTGTGGTGTGGTGTTGGTCTCCACGACTCACGAGTCAGTCCAGGGTGCGGATGTGGACGCCCGGATGAGGCACCTAACACGCCTCCTTGTAGGTACATGCTCGGTACTCGGTACCTACCCAATGAATCTTCGGCACATCATGGACGGGGCACGGAGGCACATCAAATGACTAAGGACACCTGGGGTAATACCTGGAGGCATGTACTCGGTCCTTTCCTCGTGCCTGCAAAGTCAGGGTTTAGGCGGAGAGTCCAAGCACCGCCTAGCAACAACAACTAGAACAGCTTGAACAACGGCATTGTTGGTCGGTACGTGCGAGGTACTCGGTACATACAAGTTCCTCCCTAAGCAAACCTCCCCTTGGCCTAGCCTTGTCAAGGCTTCGGTACCGAGGAACCATTGTTCCAGGTACCTACCTACCTACGTGTATGTCCCTACAAGGTTACTCCACACAAAAGTCACAAGTGACAAGTAACTCTATACCAAGCGGTAATATTCCTGAACTACCAAGCACCTACTATCTCCTCTCCTTTGACAAGTCTAGGTACCTAGGTAGTAGCGTGACGGTTCCCCTTCCCAGTACGGAGCCACGGAACCCGTTCACCCAGTACAGTAGTAGTACTCGGTGACTTGGACAAGGGGAACATACGGAGAACATGTGAGAAGACAAACGACTAACAAACACACGGCACGGAAGGCGTGCGGGAGGGCTGAAGAGGAAATTGGAACGGCCGACAGGCCAGGCCAGGCCAGGCCACCGCACCGAGGCCAGCAGAAGCTTATTACTCTTTGGTGACAAAGTACGAGGTGCAACAGGTGCGAAGTAGCGGGTACCTACCACGCCCGCCAGCAATGGGTGGAGAGGGAGGTACCCGGGACCTAGAGGGGGCCTGGACTCGACTCGACTCGACTACTGGGACCTGGACTGGATTGTTGAGGCCCCCGCGAAAAGTTCTGGGCGCGCGCCCCCCCCCTGCCCCTCCGAGCCCTTCCCACGACATCCCCGTTGGTCCGTTCGGTAAGCTGTCTCCAGGAGGGCAGGGTTTCTGAGGGCGAATAAACAGGGGAAATAGTTAGACGGAGAGGGGGGGGTTGTGATTATTCATTTTTGGTCGTACGTTTTCCCCCAATCCTACAGTCAGGCGGACAGAGGCCAAAGGGGGAAATGGACCTCGTCGAAGGAGTCGGATGCGATGGAGGGGGTGGGAAAAGTGCGGAGATACGGGAGAGCAATGGCGACCTGACGAATCGTTGATGGGGTAAAATCACGAGAAGAGAAAAGAGAGCACGAAACAACCCCCCCTGGCCTACTGCAGCGGGTGATTCTTCAAACCTGCTGACACTTTTCAAAGGCGCAGCGGGATCAAGTGGTGAAGATCAAACGTGCAGAGACTCAGCTTTTGCTTCTCGCCTCGAAGCAAAGCCAGGCGCGGCCTAGAGCCATCATGTGAGGCTGAGTCCATGTCCACAAGGGTTCCAACGTCCCCAACGCCCATGGTCCACAATGGCCGTGGATGCGTGCCGACAACAATCCCGGCGTTCAATGATAACCACAAAGTAGAACAAGTGAGCTCTAGTTCGTCCGAGAGGAACTACAATGCTAAGCCATCGTGCTTGGTCCCTCGTTGTCCAGAACGGCAGAAACCTGGAGTGCAGGTCTAGAACATGCCAGATATTGTGGGGTACATGGGCTGGCATTTCTTCATGCGCGTGCAAACACTGCGCTGGCACCGGATGGGCCGGCGCTCGCTTGTCAACACACCATCCCCAGTGTTCAAAGGAGTTCGTTATTGGAGGGCAAGGACGAAACTGTTTGACGGACGATCAGACGAGACGGCTCGAAGCGAGCAGGCCTGGATTTCTTTGCACCCTTTCCCTGTCCGAGGGAGCATTCGATTTGATTACCTTTGAAAAACGGCCCTGCTGCGATTGGCTGCTTCAAACGTCCAACAGGAAACGGGGAATATTTACTACCATGGGCAGGACGGCCACAGCAGCGTGTCTGGGTATCCATTGGCCCCGAAAACGAGGGCTGGTTGGTGGAGCACGGGACAAAATTCTGCATGTACCTGTAGTGATCAGCAGATGGACAAGAGCCCTCGTTCTCCAGCGATGCGAACATCGATTGACGGAAAAGCAAGAGTTGTGACCAAGCAAAAGCCACCACTGATTTTTCTCCCAATCTGGAATCCATCCATCTTCCCGAGAGTGGTTCGATATTTCTGCAGATTCCAGCGGCTGATTGGAGCCGAATTGATGGACGCCTTTGGAGACTTCCCGTGCGAGCCGCAAAGACAAATACTCGGCTTCACGTGATGATATAGCTGAAATCGAACCAGTATCATCTCGGTCTAGCACGAACCGACGTGCATTAACAAGACCCCCTGGACGTTCGAGTATGCAGGGGGGCCCCTTGTTACAGACGAATCCATGAATGCGGAACTCGGCCTTACGTACAGGAAGTCCCCGCTTGCACATGCAAGAAAAACACCCAGCCTGTCAATTTTGTTCGATTTTTTCTTCCATCGTGACGCGCAATCTCCCTCAGAATGGCGAGATCGAAAATCCAGACTGGGGCAAATGTCGAGGCGCCCGCCAATCCATCCGTGGGTCCTGGACAGCTGTCCAGCAATACACGGTCCATGTGTAATTGTATCGGTCAGAATGAATGTTCACTTGCCACGGTCATGACCTCAAGAATCGTACCAGGCCTACTGGCCTCGAGCCATCACGCCCACCGAGAGGGTTTTCTCTGCAGGGTCAAACGTTCATATGCACCTCCCGGGAAATTTTCCTGTTGTAGCTTACGTCGAGGATTCGGAATTGTGGCTCATTCATCCCAACCGCCGAACCACCGAGTCCGCAACCGGAGTTCCGAGATGAGTTGTCCACAGGAGAAAACGCCGATTGACTTCCCAAAGAACTCTCAAGCACCGACCTCTGTTATATGATTCGGCAACAATCCCTACCTGTTTGTTCCGATCCATATTCGTCGTCCCGGCGGGGAAGGCTTTCCGGAAACCGAGGTTTAGGCTGCCTCGATTACTTTGGACTGACCAAGATCGTCGTCGGCGATACTGGGTATAACAGGTTCAGGCCTGGAGGCGGTATTGTGTGTTCCCGTAGATGTCTGGGGTTGACTTTGTCCCATCATGTTTTAAAAAGGGGCTCCAAACTCACCAGGCCAATACCGATGAGTCCTGAACATGAACGGAAAAGGCCATTGCGAAGTTTGTAGGTCCCAAGATTTGGGTCTTGTGCCGAGGATCAGGAATCGTTTCGCCATTCGACGTGAACTTGCAGGAGCAGCATCACCTGGGCTCCCAGATGCAGTTACATACCTCTTCATCTACGCGATGCCACTCATGAGATGCAAGAGTGCAGCAAGCTGAATAGCAACGACCAGGAAAGGACAGCCCAGGCGGTGCGGCGAGAACACATCACACGCAGGAGCGGTGTTCCAGAGATTCAAGGCATCAACATGGATATGCTCTGGTAGATAATTGCGAGATGCTTGCTGCCTTCGTTGCAACAAGGGAGCCGACCATTCATGTCTGCAGACGTGCTCCCACTCCATGCAGAGGGCTAGTATCGCCTTGATACTAGAGAAGGGGCGTGGATCGGTTGACGGGTCAGCTGTTCAATGACTTGTTCTTGCTGACAGCCATGTAGCGCTACGCCAGGAGGGCCATCTCGATATCTAGTCAGCACATACCCAGTGGTGGCAGCCGCTGCGCAAAAGTCACCTGCAATGTTGCAGGGGTTTCCTGAGGTCTGTTCTCAGCCAAGTGCGAGATTCACGCCAGGAGCCTGCAAAGTTTGTTACTTATACACAACTTCCCCAAGAGATGTTGGGTCATAGGCAACCAGCAATACGGGATGCCACTGTCGATCACCGATACTCCGCGTCGAGATAGAAGGCTGTGGCATGCATCGGGGGGGGCTTGTTGACGCCTCCCGCACATCACACATTTAGTTAATCTGTGGGGTAGCGGGAGATCATTTACCCTGCATCAAATGGGGCGCAAAGAAGCGCCCCCTTTCGAAAAGGAACCTTTGTATCACCACCATTCACTAGACGATTGGGAGATTGAACCAAGCTTGTGACCAGGTCAGGTCGGTCTCAAAAGTGTCCATGGACCTTCGTATTCGTTCATTTTGGACTTTCTGGCACACACCGCTACGAGAATTCTGGGGGGAAAGGATGTAACCTCAGGTCTATAGTCTCGCAAGATCCCACTTAGCGGAAGGTGATGGGCCATGGTGGGGGGTGATCTATCTCGCAGACGTCAAGGAGGCCGGCAACATGGGTTGACAGGGGGTATTCTCTCGACAGTTGGATAGAGAGAGGGGCCATGCAAACAATGACGAGTCATGGTGACCCAACGTGAACAATTGGCAAGGGCCTATGGTTTAGTCGTGGTGTCCGCGGGCAGGTGATGAAAAAGCTAGGGGCTTGAGGTGTCTGTATGATCTCCCTATGCAGATAGGTCTGTCACAGACATCCGAGTTGTGCACATCCCGCACCATGTCTATGCAATCTTGTGAACGTTCGAGGATGCCGGGGGGCACAAGTTCCAAGATGCTTCTGGAAATTCCGAGTGGGAGTGCCGAGTACAGGTGGGACAAAGGGCTGGCGAGGACAACCCAATATGTTTCATCTGGGCAATTTCCCGCCGGCGCCGACTTGTTAAGGCTGTGACTGCGTGAAAAGGGAAGGTAGTTAGGTTTGGCCAACATGCGATTTGAGCCCAAGCAAGCCACCGGCGCCTCTGATTCAACGGTTCCAACGGTCAAGGATTGCCACCTCCACACCCCCAAGAGAAATCCTCCGAGGCCGATGAGGCATCGGCCACGAATGACTCTGATGCAGCCATTACACGATTTACCACTGCGTGGCTGATACTGCCTGCCCCATCTTTATCGGTGGTGATTGTGGTTGACTGGACTGCCTGTTTTGGCAGTTAAATGGGAAAGAGGGCGCCAAAGACACCGAGGTCCCCTTAGAGCCAACACTAATGTGGACTGCTACCTCAAGCGTAATTGAAATATGCGCCATGTGGGAGGTCCGAGGACCATGTATCTGGTTCATGTGGGACCTCCATCGGCGGCATATCGTGAGGGATTGAGGACCCCTTGCTAGCAGGTGAGAATTGCTGTGTGTCCCACCAACCCTCTGCATGAAGCAGGGACAGGGAACAGGCCTGCGACGAAAATGATGATGAGACACCAATCTGGGAAAGGCGTGTCGGTGTCTTTCTTCAAGCACCAGCAAGCGAAAAGACCGTCGAACAGGGAGCGGAATTGCAAAGCCTACGCCAAACGCTTGAAGCACAGAAGTCGTGAACAATGTCTGCGAAACAAAAGTTTGGAACATCAACTATTTGGATCTGAACTGGAGCAAGGCTGAGAAAAGCAAACCCCAAACATGTGGGAAGGTACAGCTTTTCCTTGTGAAAGCCTCGGGCTTTCTGGGGGTATATCGCCATTGCAATCCCATGGTTGCAAGGTCTGTGATACATGGCGACGAGAAGCGTGAAGAGAGCTCGCTTTCTCCTGCAGGGTCAACACATTCCCGCTGTTAGTTCCCGCCTCAGCTTGCAAGTCGAGGGTCCTGGATACAGATGCAAGTTCGCCGGGGCATGCCGTGCAGCTACCAATGGTACAGACAACGGGCGAGATCTTATTTCTCGGCGCCAGCTCCTGCGGTCTCGAAGTCAAAGCACATGAGAGTACTATGCCACTGTCCTTCGGGGGTTTAGACCCGGCAACAATGGACCTGCAATGTCAATGAGTGACATAGATGTTTTTGGAACTTATAGCATGGGAAAACATCAGGCGTCCCTGTAACACCGCCGACCAGGTTTGTGAGAGCTCGAAGCCCCCATTCCGAGTAACAAAGTTGTGAGCCGGCAAGTCAGGAACTTGCTCAATTCTATGGAGTGTATTCTTGGTCTCGGGCCCGAGTGATGTCGGTGCGAGCACACAAATCAAGCGGTCAGTGATGTCGCAAGATCTTGCCTATCAAGAACGACGGTGCCAATGACGAATCAGCCGACCTGTCCGAAGGATCGAGCCGCGGTTCCCTAAGGCGCGGATAGCTGGAGTTGATGAAGATCGTCGGGATGTATCCACAAGAACTCGTTTCTTGGGATGCAAGTTGAACGAGTACGTACCTGCTCTTCATGCAACCAGACATTTATGGGCATGGGAGAGCAGACTATGCACCTTGTCAGGGGACCAAACTGTCGAGCATGTTGGCAAAACATCGACATGGCTAGTACGGTGTCCTTGCTAGGGTCGAAACACAAAGGTCCGGTCTCGCAAAAGCTAGCGAATCTATCCCATGATCCGCTAACAGACGGTCAGATAGCTAGAACAACAAGAAGGAAGGAGGAAGGAGAGAATAAAGTGGTGAGAGATAGCGTCGCAATTGATCAGGCTGTGGAGCCTGGAGCCTGGAGCCCTGGAGCGTGGCGAGCTCCTCCCAACAGGAACGGCACCTGCCGTCGCCGCAAGCCACGGGGGTTTCGAAATAAGCGAACCAGGTGGTTTACGAGTAGATGGCTGGACTTCCGAAGGTGCAGGCCCCGGTGATGATCGATCCGCACTAAGGCATCCCGAGGAAATGGGTGTGTGTGCAAGTGTGCGTGCGCGCGCGCGCAAAGCAAAGCAAAGTGTGGTCTAGGGGAGGGCCGAAGGGTGACGCTCCACGTGGGATGTTCTGATAGCGATACTCGTACATCCAGCCAAAGCCTATCGAGCCGGGGTCTGTAATCAGTTAGGACGATGACAGAAGCAGAGGTATGATGTTCCACAGAGATCGGAAAAAGAAAAAGGGGGCGAATGGGGAGGAGGTTCAGAAGGAATGTTGCAGAAAATAACAGGGAATTCAACCAGGTGTCGATGGATTTGTTGGCACTCTTGGGGTGGGAGGTGAGACGGGCAGTAAAGTGGCCAGTTGAGGGCTCGAGGGCTTGACTGATTGTTTGATTGACGGAAGAGATATCAATCTCAGAGTATTGCTTATGCCAGCTGTCAAAGATAGGTAGGTGGTTTGGGGGTTAGTGATTAGAGCAGGCGGCAAAGTTGGTTGCGTTTGGGGTGTCTGGCTAAGGGAGGCGAAGGGGGGGAGGGCGGAGTGGCCATGGCCCTGGAGGCTGCGCAAATAGGTGCTAAACCAATTATTAGCCAGGTAGCACGGTAGGCAGGGCACAGGTATAACCCACCGAGACAGGCCTGTGACTTGATTAGGTCTGGCGAACCAGTAGACGGCAATGAAATGGTCACGTTGGGCCCCGAGTGTCGCTGGGACGTGTACCTGAGGTATCACCAGTGTTGATAAAAATATGTGACAACGGCCTCCGTAATGGGCCAAAACAGGGGATACAAACGTTACCGAATTCTGGTTTTGATACACGGCCCTTACGATACAGAAAGTGATGTGACTCCCCAACGAAGAATTCAACAGAAGTTCAGTGCATGAAAGAGACGATGATCAAGGTGATGGATGAGCACAAGCAGCAGCGAGAGGCCTCTGAACGAGACACAGGGGGGGCAACTGGCTAGGCCACCTACAAGTACACAGGATCGCATTCCCAGCAATGATGTCACTCCCCATCTTTCGAGTCTCTCACTTGAACTTCACTTCTGCCTCACTTGTCGCTCACTTGTCGCTCACTTGTCCCTCGCCTTCAACGCCTCTAGCGAGAACTCTCCAGACTCTGGCATATGGGAGGAGTCATGCATGGTGTGACTCAAACTCCTCTCTTGCCACAGCCATCCGTGACTCGATCACCGTCAATATCCTTCTCTCCCAACAGTAGAAAAAAAGGCGCTCGAATCGTTGTGAGTGTGCCGCTTTGGCATCACTTGATCACTTTCCCTTCGTCCTTGTTCGCTTCGATTTTCCCTTTCATCTCTCATCCCCGATCTACATCTAGATTTGTTCGCACCGGTGCCCATCCCCCATCATCCATCATCCATCACCCTTCAATCCACCGCCCTTGATCAGATTCGGAAGTGCATCGTCCGCCTCCTGTGCCCCCAATCCAAGACTCTCTCCCTCCTCGCATAACCGGACCAGGACGTGGTCTGTTGGTCTGCCGACCACCTCCGCCAGACCGGGAAGCGATTTCATCATCTGGCCGGCCAAAAACTGAAATCAAGGAACCTTTGTCGATGAATGAACAGCATCGTTTTGCCAACTCATCAATCATCATGTCACTTGACGACGCCAGCCTCAGTAAGCCTGCAGCTCCTTTGTTGCCTTGTCCAGCTTCGCTTTGCCCTGTTGCGCGCGTGGGCTAAAACCCGTGGCCACCGTCCAAGCCGCCCCCATGCCCTTCTCAAGCCATTCCCGAAGGCGCCTCTGCGTCGAATCCCCTTTCTAGCTGGAAGTGATGGGGGGGCCGATGGTTCAGCCGATGAAACACTGCCCATCGGTCATCTGACTGCTGAGTTGTACCCCAGTTGCTGATCGCTTAATGCGTATTGCGCCCAATGTCCAGGCACCAGCCGTGTCAGCACCCAAATTCAGCATCAACCACATCCTCAAATTCCACCGCCAATCACTTCGGCACCGGCTCAATCACAGCCAAGGGTATGTCGGTTTTTCAATACAAACAAAGGTAATCACTCTTCTGTCTTTTACCATGCAATTTTGTCATTGGCCCAGCCATGTAATCAATTCCTCCAATAGCCTAAATTGAAATATGCACGGCATTCTGTCTCCTGCCTGGCCTTAGCTGCAGGAGTGATCACTGGCCATCGCGTATCCTCAATCGTGGGCCTGGACATCATGTCAACGATTTCACGTGATAACGCAGCTAATCACCGTGCTAGGTTGTCGAGCTGGCTCGCAATGCCCCTTCAAACACCTTCAGCCTAAAGACAGAGTCACAAGCACTAGGCCGAAACCTGACCATCAACAGGCCGACGCTGCGCAAGGCCCGTCGGTCGTGCAAGAAAGCCAGTCTCTGTCTCACCGAGCCAGGGCGTTGATCCCCGGCTCAACCCCAAGTCAGAAACCCCAATCCCGATTGCAGCAGCGCGATCCTCGTGAATTCGAGCTTGGTCAAGTGATTAAGAGGTTTTCTCCAGTTCGGAGAGAGACCAGTGACGGCACATCCTTGTCCTTCGCCCTTGCTCCGTCGGACCCGGACTTTCCATTCGAGCTTGAAGGTGGCCTCCGTTGCATCCTGACACTGCCTACCGCCTATCCTCAAAATGGCAGACCGACAATCAGAGTCACAAATGCCGAAATGGCCCGGGGTTTCCAGATCAACGTCGAAAAGGGGTTTGACAGCCTTGTCGAGGCTACCCCGAACAAGACGCTGTTGGCGTTGTTGAACGAGCTGGACAAGAACTTGGAGAGGTTCTTGACATCTGAAAAGGCCCAAACCATCAAGATCATTGCAAATGCCGACAAGATTACCAGGGTTCCTGATCCCGTGCCAGAGGTGGTTCGCCCTGCCTTCTCTCCGACCAGATCCGTGGCACCACGCCCACCAACCTGGACAGCGGAGCAGAGATCCCGCGCCGTAACCAAGAGAGAAGCTGATATTCGCCAACTCGAAGCACGCATGGGACGAATTCCGCATTACTCTAAAAGTTCTGATGGCACGACATTCAACATTCCTGTTCAAATAGCCAAATCAGACAGACTGCCCCTCAGCCTGCAACCGCTCAAGGAAGTCACCCTAATTGTCCCCCGGCTTTATAACCTTGAGCCTTGCACGGTGTTTCTGAAAGGAGTCACAGGGCCGGAAGCTGAAAATGTTCAATGGGCGTTTGAAAGACATGTTCGGAAGAAACTCGACATGACCCTTATGGCACATATCAACTACCTGACGCAGAACATTCATTCAATGGCTTCCGAAACCGCAGAGGGCGCGGCCCCAATAGCTTCACTCGATGTTCCGGCCCCACCAGAGGCTCCTGTGGACGAGACACAAAGCGTTGAGTCGAGAGGGGAAACCGCAGCAGAGTCCAGACAGCTGATCTTGGATGAAGACAGACCGCACGTCAAGATCATCCCTCGACCGCCTGAATGGGACCGACATGATTCCGAGGACGGGTCAGAATCATCGTACGACTCTGGCGAATATTCCGACTCGGAAGATGAGGAACAAGACGACGACGAGGCAGAAACCGAGCAAGGCGGCGCCGCTCTTCCAGTCTCATCGACCTCGACGGAAAGGGGCATCCACATTTCCTTTCCGAATCTGGAACTCCACAACATTGAACTTCTGACCTTAGCGTCCCTATCCATCTCGGTCAAATGCTTGCGCTGTAAATCTCCCCTGGAAATCTCGAACATTAAACCTAGCGGTGACGCAGCTGGCTCGTCGACGTCCAGCGTCCGCACCGAGACCTGCTCGAAGTGCACTACACCGTTCACGGTCTCTTATACACCCAACGCCTTGCACGCCAACACAGTCCGGGCAGGCACGGTCGAAGTCACAGGCTGCACCATCGCCGACCTCCTCCCGTCGGTCTTCCAGCCCACGTGCGCGTCGTGCTCCACGACCTTCCCGGTCCCGCCAGGCATGGTCTCCGTCCGAGGCGACACGCCGATCCAAGTCTGCCGGGCCTGCCACGCCAAGATGACCTTCACGATCCCCGAGGTCAAGTTCCTGCGCGCCTCCTCGGCCTTTGCCTCGGGCGCGCTCCCGGCGCGGCGACCCAAGCGGGAAAACCTGGGCATCTCCGCCGGCACCGCCCTGCCGGACCACGGCACCTGCGCGCACTACCGCCACAGCTACCGCTGGTTCCGCTTCAGCTGCTGCCAGCGCGTCTACCCGTGCGACCGGTGCCACGACGCCGCCGAAGCACACGTCAACGAGCACGCGGATCGCATGGTCTGCGGCTGGTGTTCGCGCGAGCAGCGCTTCCGGAGCGAGGACTGCGGCCTGTGCGGGCGGAGCGTCATCCGCCGACGCAAGGCCGCCGGCGGCTTCTGGGAGGGCGGCAGGGGGACCAGGGAGAAGGGCCTCATGAGCCGCAAGGAGAAGAGGAAGTATAAACGGCCCGGAGGCAGCGTGGTGGGGTCCGCCGCGGCGGCGGCGGCGAAGAAGGATGGTGCGAAGTAGGCAGATAGACCTTCGCACATGCACCAAACAGGCTGTACAGCCCCTTGACATTCCGCATTCTGCGGAAGATGCGACGCGGTCTCAAAATGGGCGGTGTCTACCAGTAGGTCCGAGGTTCCAAGTCCCATCACAGAAGGGATATAACACAACGTACCTTAACAAAGCTCATTTTATACCGTAAGATACGTTGAGAAGGGGTCATTTCCCTATACATGTCCGACTTCCTGGGTGATTTGTTCACGACTCCTGTGCGATTGCAATACCCCTTTTCCGATGGAACGAACTTGCGCCAGAGAGATCTCTACCGCCAGCTGACACGCAGCTTTAACCATCCCCAAATCCCGGAACCCGTGTGTGTCGAAGCACGAGCCTGCCTGAATATATCTACCCTGGGTATAGGGCCTCGTATGGGCGCGTCTACCCTGCACAGATCAGGGACATGAGGTGCAAAGACCCACCGACTCCGTCCTTTTGTTGCTCCAGCAGAGGCGCGTTAGGACGCCCGTCCGCCTTTTCTAGGCCCAGACCACGCGAAGCTACACCGCCATTGTCGTCGCCATCATCATCGTCAACGATGCCAGCCCTGATGGTCGTCCACACCCCGAACGCGCCCTTGTCACAAGCGCGCTCTAGCCAGAGGAAGCTCCGCATGAGGGCTCGCAGGCGGGCGAAGCGCACGACCCCCAACCTCGTAGACCATGTTGACACGAGGTTGAGGAAGAAGGGGCCATCGTCGGTGTTCTTGGACGCCATGGCGCCCAGGACGGCGAGCCACAGGAGGAAAGCCACAGGGGGTGACGGTGCGTTCGTGGGCACTGCGGCATCTGCGTCTGCATCTACTCTCTCTTCTGCCTCGTTCTCGCCGAGCATCGTCGCGTCATCATCTTTCGCCATCGAGGGACAGAAAACATAGTCCTCCAATGCAGTTCTCAACTGCTTGGCCAGAGCCCGCAACGGCTCCGGCCGGGCCACGGGGAAAATGACGCCGTAGCTGAAAACCATGGCTCCAAGGCGACAGAGCTCCTCCTCTGGGCTCTCGTAACGGGGCAGACGCAGGAGCCGGTACTGGATGAGGTTGCGATAGACGTGCGTTTCCCAAGCCACCGACGCGGGCACGAGGTCGGCATCGTCGTCACTGACAGAAACACCCGACTCGGCGGCAACTCTGTCCAGGTCTCGGCAGTACATTCTCATGTCGAGGAGCAGGTCCTTGAAGTCGACGTCGCCGAGGGCCGGAAAGGCCTCGTCGAGTCTCTCCCGGGGCGGACGGATCATTCTGACGTGGTTGTCCAGGACATGCTGGTAGAGACGGCAGAGGGCGAAGTGCGGGCGGCCGAGCGACAAACTAGCCTGGAGGATGTCTGTGGACTGGATTTGCTCCGCGACGCCCGGCGTTGTGATGTGTTGCAGGCCGCCTCGCGCAGCCACCAGGGACTTGGCCGCTCGGATGTGAGACGGCGTCCAACGAAAGTGGGAGAAGTACTGAATCCAGCCCAGCGATCGCAGCGGAGGATCGAAGCCTCCAAAGCAGTCGTCCCCCCGCTCCTGCATGGCGACCCGAGGGTTCGTGTCGCGTATTGTGAGGCCGAGCACGGCAAAGATGACCGAGTCTGAGATTTCGTTCCGCTCGATATGCTCGCGGATGCTCTGGACGGCTCTATTTTGGCACGTGAACATGACCGCATCGTTGTCGACGGCGGTCTGAGGCAGGTGCATGGACATAACCAACGCGGCGGTCCAGACGAATGAGTTGAGCAGCAGGTCATCGACCATACTCAGGTGGAAGAAGGCTGAGGTCAAGGACTCATCGGTCTCGAGGCTGTGGTGCCTGAACGAAGGCCAGAGGGTCGTGAGAGCGTAGTGGTGTACCCTCCGGACCTGGGGATTGGACAGCAGCACTGCGCATCCGGGGACCGGGGAGGTGATTTGCTGGAGCACGGTCTGAGAGCATAGGTCGACCTGAACCCGACCGAGGGGGTTCTCTGGACACGGGGCATCTCGCTTAGAGGCCGTCTCGATGACTTTGCCTTTTTGATGTGCCGTAGGTACAGGCTCTCGAGGCGCAAGCGGGACGGGCTTGTGTGGGCTGCAGGCTGCTGACGCCCTTCTGGCCGCTCGTTCTGCTGCTCTTCTGCGGCCTAGACATGGATTAGCAGGGAGTCGGCAACAGCGTGGTGGTGGTGAGAAGGGGTCTTCAACGCACGATAAGAGCGCTGGTTCAACCGGTTCTGGAGCCTCCTCCTGGCCCTTGCGTCCGACAAGCCGCCCCAGTCCTCTTGCTCCCTCCTTGCTTCTGTGGGCAGCCTCCTTTCGAAGACGATCCGGGACGGTTGGACCACCATTGATTGTCTCTGTCGTCTTCTACGTTGCTTTTGCTCGAGGTGCTGTCATTTTTGCGACAAGATGCTTGCCAGTGCATTGCATACCAGGCCAACACTCAGTCCATGCTGCAAATTGCGCAAAGTACGAGGCCTTTTCAATGCGCTGGCCCAGAAATTGCGGCGAGAGAGGATGTTCCCAGTCCCTTTCTACTTGCCGAGCGGATATGCAGGCTGCTTACCTCTGCAGAGCCAATCAGCATCTGTCGATTTCGCCGCCGCCACCTGCAGCCTTGCGTGATTTCGGCCCTCTGGACTCGTGTCGATCGTGGTCAGACGATCGGGACCTGCCCCTTGCATCGATCGACATAGTCTGTTCGTACGCAGCTAAGGAAGAACAAGAGAACCTGGAAACACTCAAGGCCACAGTCGAGGCGGCACTTACGGCACTTGCGGCACTTTGGAGGCCACGAACGCATAGAAGATCAAGGCTACGTCTCACACTGGGCTCGTCAAACCGCACGGAATGATGCGTCAAGAATACTTAGGAGACGAACTGAACTTTACTCCACCAGGGAGAGGTGAACCCTTTGGAAGGCCAAATAGTCGATAGCAAATTCATGACGTCCGACAGCTTTTCATTTTTCTATCCGATCTGCCGACGGGTATCATTTTGTACATTCTTTCCGATCATGTCTTCATGCAGGACTTTTGCATAAACGCCGTGAGATGCTGACGCACTGCTGATGGAACAAGTCTAGAAGTCATTATCGTCGCTGCCCGCCACAATCACGTTGTTGATCTTCAGGACCTGTGCGATGTTCGTGAGCTACTTGGCGCAGGCCGCCAGGAGGTCCAAACTTACCATTCGACACAGCTGAGTTGCAAGGAGCAACTGCTGCCGTTTTCCAATTAGGGGGTCGATGACAAAATTCGCCCGCATATCTTCCAGAGTCAGTACAGGGCGGAACCCAGCAATGCAGTTTAACATACCATTGTTTCCAGTTCCCATGCAATCAACGCCTAGCCGAGAGTTCTGTTCTTTGATCTGCCGCGACTTCACCTCTGCCAATGTCTCAATCGGACTTAAACCAGAGTTCTCTGCCAGTGCCATCGGGATTGCATCCAGAGCGTCTGCAAACGCTCTCATGGCATACTGTTCCAGGCCTGGTGATTTCGAAGCCGCGTCCTCAACAGCGATAGAACAAGCAATCTCAGCAGCGCCACCGCCATAGACGACTCTGTTGTCTCTGACGAGGTTGCGAACAACACACAGAGCGTCATGGAGAGATCTCTTCGCTTCGTCGATGATCATCTTGTTGCTGCCCCTTACGAACACGGTGACAGCTCGGGTATTGGCGCACTCTTCAATGACCAGCATCTTTTCTCGAGTGGTGCCAAAAGTCATTTCCCGGACCACGCCAGCCTTGCCTAGCTTCTCTCTACTCAGATCCTCGAATCGCGGTACAATGCGACCATTGGTGGCGATCGCTATCAGCTCGATTTCAGGCCCGCCAACCCATCGTACGGCAGGAAGTTTGTTTTGAAGAAGTAGATGGTTTGCCTCATCGTCAAAACCCCATTGACAGATCACAAGATTTGCCCCTGTATCTTTGATCATGTCGATCATCTCCACGAATTTATTCTTTTCGTACTGTTGTAGCTTCCTGAATTCTTCCACGGTAGATATATCGAGCTTATGTTTGGTTTTCGGTTTGGGCGGTTCAAAGGCACATGTCAGGATCGCCAGTTTGGCGTCCCTCACTTCGCTCGGCATCTGCGGGTGGGAAAAGTCTTTGTCGATGATGACTCCTTTGACAAGCAAGGAGTCTTCGATTGAACCGCCTGCTTTGCCGTCGACTTTGATGAGCTCGAAATCGACGTCTTTTCGATCCAGATCGGCGACAGACATGACGGCGTCGACGGCAATCTTCGCGAACTGGTCGTGGGATTTGCTGACGATCTTGCTTCCGAGACTCGTTTTGGCAACTTTGATCAGATTTTCCTGCCTCTCGCGGCTGAAGGCGATTTCATCGCTGATCTTGTCCAGATGTGCCACAGCTACCTCGCAAGCCTGGTCGAAACCGTCCGCGATTCGAATGGGATGGATACCTTTGTCGATGAGGTCTGCGGCCTGATCGAGAAGAGCAGCAGCCAAAACAACGACGCCAGTGGTACCGTCACCAATCTCTTCATCTTGTGATTTGGACAGTTCGACCATAAGTTTGGCGATAGGATGTGTGATTTCCATCTCCGACATGATTGTGCGGCCATCGTTTGATATCTGAATGTCCCCGTCCGGAGATATGAGGATCTTATCGAGACCCCGTGGGCCCAACGAGGTTCTGACAATGTTTGCGATCGTGCGAGCCGCAACAATGTGTTGCTTGACAGCCTCTATGCCATGTGTCCTCTTCTTCTTGCCCTGGTCTCGGACGACAATGAAAGGTCTGCCCGTCTCATCTTTCAGGACTTGTGCCTGAGATAGGTCCAGTTGCATTGCCATAATGAGGGTGTGTCAATCCAACCAACGTCGCCCGCCTCCTAATGTTGGTCGTGATTTCTCTTTTCCTCGAAGGTGGGCGGAAATGTGGTGTGAGTTGGTGCCTGCGGGATGGGTAGAGGTTGGGCACAGACGAGGCGATGCACAAGGTTTTTCGTTCCCAGATGGTTGTTCTCACACACTCTCTCCTGTAAAATCCAACCTCAACGTAGACAGGAACAGTCCAATGTGCGTGCTGGAAGTGATTGCTAACTCGCTGCGGGAACTCGTTCGCGAGCGGTAAAGTGAATATCTCGAAATTTTGGAGACGCTTCTTGTCCCGCTGCTTTTGCCCCCAGCCAAGACGTATTTACCCTTTTCAGAAAAAGTGGAGCTGCCCTACTTCGCCTTTCATCTTCCTGCTTCACCACATTGCCTGCATCGATCCAGTCGAGACGGTGGGTACTGCTTGAAACGGCTCACAGTGTTTGAAGACGATGTGTAGCCGCATTTTAAATTTGCTGAATCAATAAATATGCTCAGACATTACAACTCGGGAAGCTCGAGTGCTCTCGACGATTTCGTATTTCAGCTGACAGTTCCACACTCTACAAGGCTGTGCTTCCCGTGCAACTTCCTCAGCATATATACTTGACTTGAATTCTTTCGAGGAAGAGACCGGTATGGTCACCATCTATTTTCAGCGTTGTTTCCTAGGCCACGCTCTCACAGCGAAATCTTCTTGGACGACCACTGAATTCGATCTCACTTTGATGGGGTTGAAAGGATTGACGACAGTAAAGTCATAATGCCGCAATAGCTATCGTGGGATGAGTCAAATGTCTCCAAAGACAATAGAGAGGAAAAGGTTCCACTGACCTCAAAAACAGCTTTGCTCAACTCCATTAGCGCAATGCTCTTGCCCAGACAGCTCGATCTCCCGGTTCCAAATACCAATTCATTGATTCTCTCATACCCCTTAATCGTTTCGTCGTCGCTCTCGATCCACCGCTCAGGGTGGAAGGTGTCAGCGTCTGGCCCATAGAAATCCTTGCGGTGGCCGACTGCATATGAGGCCACTCCGACTTCAGTTCCCGGTGGGATAAAGACTCCGTTGATGGTTGCACCATCAGGGTATGGTGAGACTCGTCCTGCGAGACCTTGTAACGGCATAAACATCCGGAGGCCTTCTTTGATACAGGCCTGGAGGTAGGGTAAAGCTTGAGCCTGACTGTTGCTGATGACTGGATAGTCGATGTTACCAGCATCCACTGCAGCGGCAATCTCCTCTCGCAGTTTGCTGTACGTTGGAGGGCTGGTCAAGATATACAGGAACGTAGTCCGGAGTGCAGTGGCAGTTGAATCGGCACCTGCCAGGATCTGGAGCAGAGATTCAACCTCACATTCCTGCTGGGAGAGGCCGTGGTTGACGAATGAGCCCAACATATCATCTACCTTCTTTGCATCAGGTCCAAATCGCTCGGCCACCGCCTTGTGGGCGACGCCTACAATGGCCCCGAATCCTATCTTGTCAGTTGGCTTGGGTGCCGCCCCTTGCATAAGTCGGCTGTTGAGAAACGCCAGAATTGTCGGGTGATTTGAACTCATCTCCATGATTGGATAGAATGCGGCGCTCGACTTGTGGTAATCGTAAAGATCTTCGTTCTTGATCAAAAATCCAATCGCCTGGCCGAAAGCGATTTGAGTCAGTATGTCAAGAGTGAAGTAACCTGCTAGCTTTGCAAAGTCCATGGCCTGATTCTTTTCAACGTAGTCTCGACGAATCAAATCTAGTAGTTCTAGTACTCGTGCATCGATATCTGCTTCAAGCCTAGGAACTTCTTTTCCGGTGTACTAAGAAAGAACGTGAGCCCCGTGGTCCATAACAGAAACCCACTGAAAGGGTATCACGTACCCCCGGCATCAACTTCGTCCTGAGATCAGTATGGGCCTTCTCATCTGCCATGGACAGCAGATTATCTCGACGTGGATCGAACTTCATTCCTCTGAACCAGCGACCCTTAGTGAAAGGTGATCTGGGGGCATTCATATGTCTTTGGATCACAGGGTCATCTGTCGCTATGTAGTCGGGGCCGATGCGTACAGGCGAGCCTAGCATTATTCGTGTGAACCAACGTTCTTCTTAATGAATGTGACCATTGCGCACCATATTTCCTGAGCGCGTCTTCAACTGCCAGGTATAGGGTGCCCCTGCAGGTGTAGTAGAACATCCATAGAGGTGAGATAGCGGCAAGCCAAGGACCTTTGATGTGCTGGAGTTTTCGATATTGCATGTAGGTGGTCACGGTCCAATACAGCACGTACAGAACGATGCAGGAGGCGGCGATCAGTGAAAAAGAAAAGCCAAAGATGTCGGATAGAGCCATTGTGGAATCCTTCACATCAATGCTTGCAGTCTTTTGCGCAGCTAGGACTCAGGAACCAACAACACATCAGATATGGCACCCACCAACAGAGGTAACGTAGCGAGGAAGCGGGCGACAATCGGCGGCATAGCTATTATACGAAACAGCTGGGTCGATCCTGCATGGAGTGACCAGCATCGACGGCATCCATGGGACAGCAGTTCAAACCACTACTGCAGGCGGTGCCGACATTTGGAACAGGGCCGAATAGTTCCAAGCCCCATCCGCTTCCACGCCGTCGACTAGAAACAGGGACTTTGTGTAGAAGCTGCGTGCGTGGAGCTCGCCTGCCGATGCAGCTTTGGCGGCGTGGATTTGCACGTCTTCGCCCTAAAGACTCGGCCCGCGTCGCTTGATTTCGACGACTTGGAGGGCATGCTTCTCCAATCCATGTATCGTTATCAATGCTAGTATAGGCGAATGTCTAGGCATCAAGGCCTAGCCACTTAGTCTTGCGCGGGGAGCTTCCACGCCGGGGAGGGCGGAATGCCCCAGCGATAGAGCTGACTGGCAAACCTACGAGTGAGTTCATCCAAGTGATCGTGACGTACTTCCGGCAGTAGTTTGATTGATATCATAGCGATAGATGACTGAATAACGCCAGCACCCCGTTTTGACGGTAAACAGAAGCTGTGTGCGATGTTTGCAAGGGTTCTGCCACGAGGGGCTGCAAGCCTATCTGGACCGACACGCTAGACCATGTGGCTGTCCAAGGTTGTTGTTCTGGAGGGCGTGTATACGAGAACTTCCTCTCCCGGTTGGTCCGACCAGCGGATGCATCCCTTCGTGCTGACAGGAATCATTCTTGCTCTCCACGATGCATGACATAGGGCCCAGGCTCTTCGTTCCGGGCTCTCCTTGCTTTGCGGATACTTGAACAGGGAAATCGATCTCCAGCCGTTCAACTCTGCTTGGGACATTTCATCATTGCGGACAGTATAAGCAAGTAAGACGTTTCTGAACCTGGTCCGCTTTCGTCTGAGCTCTGTCGTCCCTTTATCTCTCAGATTGGACTTGCTTGCGACCTAGAGTGTATGGAAACCAAGCCATCGACTCGGAGTAACCGCGCGAGATCGCGACCATGGCAGAAGAGGAGGAAGTAGGCGACATCGAAGTGCGCGAGGATATGTCGGTATGCATCCCAAGCGCTTGAAATACGTCCTTGGTGGTAATCACTCATCCATTGCAAAGACGCTGAACGACAACGACTCTGGGTATTATGATGACGATGCGTGGGTTTGGAACAATCCGGCCAAAGATCTCCTTCTGACCACGGTAACAGTGAGTCGTCAACGAGGTCTGTAGCTTCAAGTATTTATGATTATGAGCGATCTCATGGACGGACATATCATGCGGTAAGCTTTTATGCACACTTTTCCATCATACCAAGGCTCAAACTAACGTAAGACAGTACCATGCCGGCAGTAAGTCTGATGGTCTTCTTATGACCCATTGCTGACTATATCAGAATATATTCTTCCAAACGATGAAGTACTGATATCTTGACCCTCACCATATTTATGTTGCATGCTGACTTGCTCCCCAGGCCGAGCAGGACAGGTGATGCTCGATATACTCCAAGGGCGAAACCGCCAAAATGGCTAACCCAGGCAGGATCGATGTCATGTATCATGCTGTGCGCCTTTCGGTTGGAAACAGACTCTTCTTTGCCCCAGTGAATCCAACTTCCGTCCTCGACGTCGGTACTGGCACAGGGCTCTGGGCGATCGATTTTGCAGACGCACACCCGGAAGCCGAAGTCATTGGAACTGACCTCAGTCCCATTCAACCAGACTACGTGCCCCCGAACTGCCGGTTCGAGATTGCAGACGCAGACGAGGAGTGGACGTTTCGCCAACAGTTCGACCTCGTCCATTCTCGTGTCATGAACGACACGTCCTTGAAGGACTGGCCTCATTTTTACCGGGAAGCGTTCAACGTCCTCAAACCGGGTGGCTGGGTCGAGTCTCAAGAGTTCAGTTACAAGCGGTACTCAGACGACGGTTCTCTGCCGGCAGATTCCCGTATCACTCACTGGGAAAACCTGTGGACGGAGGGAATTAGCAGGATCGGCCTCAAAGGCCACTGTGATCCTGACCTCGTGATGCAGCAGATGCGTGACGCAGGGTTCACGAATATCACAAGGATGAATTTCAAGTTGCCCATCGGGCCATGGGCCAAGGACGCGGCGTTGAGGGACGCCGGCCTGTATGGATATGTGAATTTAATGGACGGTTTCTACGGGTTGAGCGTCAAGGTTTTTACGCAATTTTTGGGCTGGACCGTCGAGGAGTTGGAAATCTTGCTTACCGAGTGTAGGCAGGAGTTGAGGCGCAAGGATATCCATGGCTACTGGCCCATGTGAGTTTGCATTCTACCATTCTACCGTCCTCGAGTCCTACTCACAGACGGCCTCAACGCAGCTGGATCATGTACGGCCAAAAACCTCTCCACCCTTGACGGGTGCCCGAAGGAACTACCCTCCTCGGAACATTGTGATCCTCGAATAATCAGGGGATCTGCGATCTCTCGGTTTCGATACAGCGCCGGCGTCAGCATTGTGCGGAGAGCTTCGGCGGGAGTAGACCCAGTATATACCAAAGGATATTCGGCAACGGAAGGGGAATGCATTTAAATCTAGTCACCCCAATGACGCAGAAATGACGACTAGGAAGCTCGGATACATGAATTGGCATCCCAGTTGCCTTGACTTCAATCAATGGTTTATTTCTGCCCCAGCATTGGAAGCCGTAGATTGGCATATCTGAATCGACTCCAGAAGTCCAAGTGAGAGGGAGCGAGGGAGCAAACTAGTTAATGCTAAAGGTAAAGGCGGCATGTTTAACTGACCAAGACAGACGCTAGCGTTGTTTTAAAGCAGCAGGCTGGGGTTGGATCCACATGAAGTCCAAGACGGCTCCGAGTCGCTTTCTCCGCGTCGCGAATCTTGTCGCATCTCGTTGTGAGCAGCCTACAGAGGGCGGCGCCTCTGTCTATCACAGCTTCACCGTGTCGCAAGCTTTCAAGTACGACAGGCGTCATTCGGCTTTGCTCTGTATCCGCTCTAGCATCGCCCCCCGCCCAAAATGCCTCATGGTTTTGGTGAGTTATCGTCACCCGCTCCACCTTGGCCTCAGCGTCACCATGCCTGTACGCTTTCGCAGAACAGTCTTGACCAAATACTGAACGTCGCGTAGAAGACATCGATGATGCAGACGCCATCTTCCACGACCCAACGGATGGCGACCTTGAAGCAGAGGAACAAATCAATGGGGAATTGAAAGACCAGGCTGAGGAAAAGAAGGAAGAATCCGACGAAGAGGAGGCGCCAGTGACTTCTAAAGATGCGGGCGATGTTCCGGAGGATGACGTGAAGGACGGTGCAAGAGGAGAAGACGACGCCTCCGAAGATAGCGACAAGGAGGAGGAGGAGGATGAGGAGAAGGAGGAGGAAGAGGAAGAAGGCTCCGAGTACAGCGTCGAAGCTATTCGAGCTCACAAATTCCTTAAAGGCGAGGTTTACTACTTGATCAAATGGCAAGGCTACGGTGAACATGACAATACGTGGGAACCTGAAGATAACTTGTTACCGTAAGTCTGACCACTGCCGCAATGTCGCATCAGCGTCGCCGTCGCAAATCCAGCTAACACGACATGCCTTCTCCAGACATGCTCGCCAGACCCTCGCGAAGTACCACAAGAATCTGGGTGGACCGCCGGTTCCGCCCGTGAAAAGGACAAAGTCAAAGCAGAGGTTGCGTGGACAAGCCTCGTCCGAAGACCTCCCGGCCACGAAGCGTCGGCGGCGCAACAACGGTGACGTCTCAGAGAGCCCCGGGGACAACCCCCCTGAAGAGACCGTTGGCACGTGGCTTCCTAGCAGAGAAGACTGGGAGAGTCTGGTGGTCAAGGTCGAGATGGTGGAGCGAGATGACGCCGGCCAACTACTCGCCTATATCAGGTTCAAGAATGGCAAACGGTCCAAAGTCGGCATGGATATGGTCTACAGACACTGCCCCAGACCGATGCTCAGGTTCTACGAAGAGCATCTGAAGTTCAAGTAAGACAGGGACATATCAAAGGGTTTGACCGCAGAAAATACTGACGCTCAGCCAGTGGACCCTAATGAACCACCCTCTCTGCACTGTATATTAACCTCCCCCACCTTTTCCACTCGGCAGATCAGGGCGAACCCGCCCAAAGGTTAATATTGTTTTGGGGACATGATGGGAGATTTGATGATTCTTTGCTGTACGGCGCTGGAAACAAGGACGGGAACGAGGCTATGGGGTTTGGGACCGTGGACAACCGCCAACGGGGTTTGCGGTGGATGTTGGGGGATTTCCCGACATGACAAAGAACGAAGAAGAGCACAATCTGCCGACTCCTCTCTCGAGGCCGCGGAGTTGCCAGTGGAGCTCAGCAAAGCTTTTAAAAGTTGATGGAAGCGAGAACCGGTAAAGCAGAGAAAGAGTCGGGCTTTTTTCTGTGGTGTGGTGCAAGCCTGGGGTGACGGACTTTGATGGAATGGAATATGCCACTTGCGGCGCACGGTTCGGCGCTTTCCGAATCGAGGAATGTATGAAGAACAGACAAGGTTGATGACGACTTGGTTCGAGTTCAAGAGGGAGAAGGAGGCACGCAAGGAAACAAGCAGGGAGGCAAGCTTTGGATGACCAGCCGAGCTACGGCGGGAATGGCTACTCTTCGTCTGGGTTTGCGCAGCCCGGCACCGCAACAATTTCAGCGCCAACTACATTGTTTCTTGTTTCATTGCGGAATTGAGCTCAGTAAGGGTGGACGAGGCTGGCAAGCACTGAGCTGGAAGCAATGAAAAGGCAAAGTCTTCGCAAAGCGACCTTGGAACCGATCAGGATACCACCGGCCAAAGCATGAACACTGGGTTCCTGCAGAGATCCTGTCGTGATAGCTGTTTCTTCTCTTTTTCTTTCCTTTCGCTTCTCTTCCTGTTTGACTTCTCGCTTGATACCAGCCAATTGATAGCCTTGCTCTGCTCTGCTCTGCTGTCTCTGGCCCGTTCGAGGATATCGCGGCTTGTGCATCTCAACATGTCACAATATGCGGTGCGCAGGCAACAGCTAGGCCGCCGTCTGACCGTCCTGATCTACAAGGTCGTGTCTCATCTGCTTCGGCAGGTCCAAGTTCCCATTGCGACAGAGGTTGCTGAGTGCTGTTGATCCTCACAAATCCTCCCGTCAGTCCTCCACAAACTCCGCTAAAAACACGAAGCGAGTATCACATATGTCACGTCCGTGTTTCCTCAACACCTTGGTCATGTCGCTTTCGTCCGGACTTAGGAGGAGAGAGTCATCCGTCTCGGTCCACACGCCGCGCATAGTCTGTGGAAGAAGACTCTCCATATCCAAGTCAGCTTCTGGTAGAACAGTAGACCTTCCGACGCCGCTAACTCGGTTCTGTCTTTGCTGCTCATTCATTATACGACGACGGTTCGCCAGCATGATATCCACGACCTCGTTTGCAAGTCCGAAATCGAAGCTGGTAGACTCGACGGCCTTAAACAGCACAGGCTCCAGGTTCGGGACATGTGGGTGCAAGCTCCGCTGAAGAGCAATCCATTCGTCCGTTTCGTGGCCGTCAGGCTCTGGTGAAGAACCTTCTCTGGTTTGCACCTGCTCTGTCTGCTCCTCAACTTGTTTTTCTTTACCCTTGGCATTTTCCGTGGGACCTGACATATCTCTCGAGGCCGGTGACGATCCCAAGGTCGGAACATGAGGAGGTAAGAGCAGAGGAGGTTCAGAGAAGCTGTGGTCTTCCGTCATGATCTCAAGTTTCGGGGGATCCCGACGGTGCCCGGATTCAGTTATTTCTCTGCCCCTCGTGACATTCGTGTCATTCTCCATGAGATTCCCATGTTGACGCATCGCAGATGGGCCGAAGCCAACTACATCGAACCTGCCCAGTGGCTGCGGGAGTTCGAGAGCCCTATCAAGCCTGTCTTCGATGTCTTGAAACAGTGCCGCCGTGGTCCTCCCTTCATTGTAGGCACGAGGCAATTCTTCGGGTCCTGTTTCATATTCCTGGACGGACTCCTGGGCGGTTTCAAACTGTTCAGAAGGCTGGTGGTGATACGATGCAACTGAGCCGCTGTTATCCGCATCCAGAGTCAACTCTGATCCTTCGTTCCATTCGTGCTCCTCATTGCTGTTGTGATGTTCTGAAACAAAGAGTGGCGAGTAAGCAGGATCGGTTCGTACACGCTTTGGTGGGTTAGAGGGGGTGGTAAGATGCGAGAGCTCATCATCCCATTTTAAGTCTGTCGTGGGAAGAGTGCGTGGCGGACCGGGTGCAGTATTCTCAGTGCCGAGTGAATGGTGCTGTTGAATATTTGTGCCCCCCAGCCCATCTTGCGGCTGCTTCCGTTTCCCTCCTGTAGAGAGTGGGAATGCCGCAGCAGCTTTTGGTGATGCGTCTCTCGCGCTCCATGTTGACCATTGTGTTTGCGCATCGCTCTCCTTCGACTGGGCTTCTCCCATCTTTGCTGCCAGATCTTGCGACGGTTCCGTTTGACTTTGACTCTCCGATTGGAGACTGTAGTTCAGGGTCTGACCCTGAATACCGGATTGATTCGATTCCTGCGTAGATTGCGACTGTGAACCTCCTCCAGCACGCCTCTTCCTTGACTCGTTGGGCCCAGGTGGACGACTTGTGGTGGAAGGTTCCGGTTGGAATGGGAGAGGCTTGAGGCGTGGAATTTGAGAGTTGTCTCGGGGAAGAGGCGTTGGAAGGCTGGCGTTGCCTTCTGTGGTCAACAAAGGATCCGGCTGTCTGCCGCCAGCAAGACTAGAGTCTTCGAGAAGGATGACTTGCGTGCCAAAATCGTTCTGGGCATCTGTCACGGGTGGTGGTCTTCCATGTATGCCCGATTGTCCGTTGTCGACACTTTCGCCAATTGACCAAGTTGTCGATGGTCTATGATAGCCGTGTCTCCTCATAAATTTCGCACATTCGTAGCAAATAAGTTTGCCTTCGTTGTCATGTCGCCATTTGACACTTCCAACAGTAAAGCAGTTCGTACATTGGTAAGCTTCTTGGGTGTCAGATGTGACAGATGTTGCTTGATCATCTTCCGGGGCGCTGACCGGTTCAGATGCTTTAACAACTTGTTCGTTGGTTTTCCCAGACAAATAAGGAGCAACTTCTGACAAGGTCAAACTGTTATTTTCACAATAGTCGGGAAGAACTCTTGAGACAAAGAAATGCTTCCACTCTGCAGGGGTGTGGGTACCACGGTGCTGAGCCAGCTCCTCCCATGGAGTGTCGAAGTCATCGAATTCCCAGCCGGCATACGTCTCTGCCATCTCGTAAAGTTCGTGATATTCCTCTTCGGTGAATGCTCCGCGGGACGGAGACTGCGGTTTTGTCGAAAGCTGCGCCTCTTTGCCGACGTCAAACTCACCTGCACGTTTGGATAGCTCAGGAGAAGTTCGCACGGTGCGGCTTCCCTCCCCATGCGGAGCCACAGCGTCTGGCAGCCTGTCTGCATCTCTGCCAACCGCGGCTGTCGTGGACCGATTCGGCGCAGACTCAGGTTTGGCCCGTTCTTCCTCTCCATCGTCGTGTAGTTCTCGACGACGCTTCTTCTTTTGTAGAGGATGAGCTGGTCGCGCGGCAGGCTTATCCACGTGAGAGTTTTCAAGAGCAACAGCCTCACTGACGGGTCTCTTCTGGAATTGGGTATGTTTTATCCATCTATCCCGCCAACTCTGAAACGTATGTCTTGGATTCACCTCTTCCATCTGCTTGTAGATCTCATTTCCTTTCCAGGCTCCTCCGCGGTCAATGAATGGTTTCATCCACTCCCACAGAAACCGATCGTCCTCTGGAGTGAAAGGCGTCCTTCCCGACTTTGGGGCTGTGACAGTACTACCAACAGGTCGCGAGACTCGTGAAGGGGCTCCGACTGCATGGTCGGCGAGATTCTCAAGTTGGCCATTGCGGATCGAGAGCTCGACGTATCTGTACGAGTGGGTTCCTGGCGCATTGTTCTTCCTGAGGTGGTCAACAAGCCTCACATCGGCGTCGGTGTCTCTGTCGACAATGATAGCGCCATTGAGTCGAGCATTCTGGATCATCTGCTGGCGCTGAGGGATGACGTGAGAGAACCATAGCCTTTGCCCCGCGAACAGAGTCGCGCGAGGTTGACTGTCATTGTCATCATTGTGCGTGCGCGGCACACCATGATACACAATGTGGCCTGACATTGACTGCCGGGTGGTGAGGATGAGGGGGTTTACGGCAGGGTTATCGTTGCATCTTGGGGGCGCAGGTGGTGTGCAATTGTTTACGGAGGATGGAAATCAACAACGACAACCTCTCCGCATTTTTGGTCCTGTCCGCGACCTGCCCGCACGAAACCACGTGATGTTCTTGGACCTCTGTCTGGATACCTCGCGAGCTCGCTACCACCCGCGCACGCCCCAGATTTGTTCCTGAAACGAGATACGGAATACGTCCCACATCCCAAGGAGCCTCCCAAGAAAGGCAAAACACCCCGAGCAAAGAGCGAAACACAGGGCGGAATTGAGCGCGAGTATAGACCAGAGAACAAGTCGGTGGGAGACGGCAAGTTATCGGAAGCGGGCTGACAGGTTTGGGGCATCAAGTCCCGCCTTGTTGGACCTTATTATCACCTGGGCTCCGATTCGTGTGCCGAATTGTGCGAGGTCAACGGGATTGTGTACATGGTGGTTGCTGTGGCTCCACCATCTGGACCCTGCGGCGCTGGCCTCTCAGTTTCTCTCAGTTTCTCGGCTGCTGCTGGCTTAATTACTGCCACCACTGCTTTCCCCGACCGACAATTTGGCACTTCTCTTCACAAAATCAATTAATAGATTCCTTCCCCTTCAATTGCACCCTCGCTGCTCCCTGCGCGTCCCTCGTCCATCGCCTTCGCACCTCCACCGAGTCGAGCATCATCCCGATCCTCTTCGTCGACCTCCATTCAATAGAAGCCGTCGTCCTCATCTCACGCAGTCCCCAACCCCATCTCCTCAGCCATGTCTCAAGACCTCACATACGCCGAGGTGTCCAAGCACAACACCAAGAAAGATCTCTATCTGGTCATCCACGACAAGGTCTACAATGCCTCCACTTTCATTGATGAGCATCCGTATGTGACATTGTGTCTCCAATGTCCCCAATGCCCTCCTTCATTCCCCCACTGCTGGTGGCCCCACATTGCGATTGACATTTGACGATGCTTCCCAATCTCCATCCTCCAGCTATGTCGATGAGTTCGTGACTGACAATCGAGCGTGAATGTTCTAGTGGTGGTGAAGAAGTCCTCCTCGACGTAGGAGGTCAAGACGCAACCGAAGCATTTGAAGATGTCGGCCACTCAGACGAAGCCCGGGAGATCCTCGAAGGCCTCAAGGTCGGCTCCCTGAAGCGCGTTCCAGGTGACCCAGCCCCCAAGGTTGGCGCCACTGATAAGATCTCTGCTGGTCCTGGTGGAAAGGGCGATGCTGGCACCGGCATGGGTGTAGCCATGTACGCTGTCCTCTTGGTCGGCGCGGCTCTGGCATATTTCGGATACACATACATGCAAACCCAAGACAAGAAATAGATGGCGTTCCATGTGATGGGAGTGCTGGCGGTGAAAATATTGGGTTACTGGGACGGGTTGCGTAATTGAGAACGTGTCGACCTTCGATTTCGTTTCTAGGACTTGCACATTTACCGAAGGTGGCTGCATTGCGTTGTGTTCGAAGCGAATGCACAAGGCGCCGCAAATCTACTTGGGCCAGAACAACCCCTTCTACACCTTTTTGCTCAGCTGTGAATACACAAAGGATGAACACCAGATCATGCTACTTCGACATCAACCTGTCCGGGAAAGCCATCCATCCAGCTCAGACAACTCTTCTGGAGGAATCCACCTACGGCGCAGACTTGGAGTTTCTCTCCTCATCCTTGTGGTGTACCGGGACGCGTCAACCAAGTCAAATGTTCTATGCTTGCTACATGGATAGATCTAGGGCATTGGGTTTGGCTTTCTGTAGTTGAAAGAGCTACTGAAGTTCTGAAATGTTGTTCCAGTTCGCGTTGGTGGCCTCTCTCGCTCGCTTTTGCTTTCGTCCCAGCCATCAGACCCAGTGGCTTTGTGCTGTTCTTTCGAACTCGACCAACCGCATATCCCAGCCAAAGTGATCGCCGACGACTCGCTCAACTCAAATCATGCAGTAGACCAAGGCTTAGTTTCTCAACTTCTCGCGGGGCGGGCGCTCCCGATGAATAGGTGTCAGGCACTTGGCCATGAGTATACAAAAACGGGGGTTCTCGACTGGATACCTATTGTAATGGCAACACGTAATCCATGACCGACAAGGCCAGGCAGACGAGGCTGTGTACTCGGCACAATCGACATGTTGAGATTTCTTATCTACTGGTGCGTGCGTGCCAGTCCGTACGCATGCTTTTCCTTACCCACACGCTACATTAATGTACTCCGTACTGGACGTACAGAAATACTCGTACACGGCTAGGCTTTTGCCAGCCCGAAGAGGGGCTATAAGAAAGGCTACGTGCCCCAGGGGCAGGCTTCAGAATTGATCGGATCGGGTGAAATGGAAGAGATAGATGCACGGACGAAGCCCGTCGGTAAGTACGGGTGTGTATAGAAACGACACACACGACTAGGGGCTCCAAAATAACCAGGTATCGAGAGCGCCGATGAACATGGGGCTTGCGAGCGATTTTTCGAGGTTTCAAAACGTGGGAAAGACTTGAGCTTCAATTGCAGTCATCTTTTTCGACCCTTGGACCTTCTTCCTTCCAACTTCCCCATCCGAACGGTGGCCGCTGAGCGTATCTCGTGGGTGCTTGATGCTGAGCCAAGCGGAGAGCTCGATGGCCACGGAAATCGATCGCCGCGGGATATCCATGACAATCCTCTTCGTTTGGAGGTTGCTTGGAGAGGAGGGGGTTCGACATGGTCGACCGTCGTAAAGGAACCTTCTGTCGTGGCAGGGCCATTGTTGGCCTAGAGTCCACCACACACATGCCACCGTGAGCATCGTATCGCACTTACGACGTGGGCCTACGCAAACGCCATAAAATGCCCTGGAACCAAACTCCCCCCTTTACTCCTCCTGGTCGTTTCCCGCGCGTTTCGATATTGTTTACCATCGGCCAGGCAGCCGACGTTGAAGACTTCCACGCCTGGGCTTCCAATGCACAGACCCAGATTCTCGCTCTCATCGCGATGCGAGTGTCTTCCTGCTTCTGGAAAGCCAGTGGACGCCATTGCTTCTACAGCACATTCCAAGTCTTGCAGGGCAGAAGAGGGAACCACGGATTGACGAAGGGGACGGAGGGAAGCAAGGCTCTGCATGTATCCCCATAAATTGTGCATTATGACTCCTCTTACTGCAACCCGAGGTCAAATGGGATCCTGGCCTGTTGCTAGGTCCGTCAAAATCATGAATGCGGTGCATCAAACGGCTGTTCCCTTCCTCTAAACTCGTCGCAAATCCCTGATCACCACTGCCGCATTTATCTGTAATAACTTGTGGGCCTCTGACTATACGCTTGATACTGCGGATTCGCATGTGCCTGCGTAGGTGAAAACACTGGATAAGCCGAGCTTTGTGGTAGCGGCGTGATAGGCCTCTGCGCGGGATCGACAGGGACTGGAGGAGGGACGTGACTTGGAGCCGGGGGCGGAGAGCTGACGGGCGGGACTGGATAATCGTACGACACGGGTGGCTGAGATGGTGGATATTGTGAGGATGGAGGCTGCGAGGGTGGCATTCCTTGTTGCGGTGGATATGGCTGTGGAGGCCCTGGGGGAGGCTGTGATGTTGTTGGCAGATGTTGGTGGCTGAGATCCTCAGTTGAGTAGTTTGAAGGTGAATAATCTTTCCCTTCGTCTGCATACTGTAACTGTGCTACATTCGGCGGTTGGATTGCTGGGTACGGTTGACGTCCTGGAGGAGCAGAACCGTCGTTGGGTGGAGGGTACCCCGCGTAAGGATCTGAAGGTGGAGGATGTGATTGACGACGGAGTGGTCCTTGTGCTGCATTTGGGTAAGAGGCGTAGTTATCGGGCACTTGAGAAGGGGGAGGTTGAGTTTGATTTGAGGGAGTCTGGCTCTGAGGCGGTGGCGAGGCCACCGGATACGGAGGCTGAAAGGCTGGTTGTTGCTGTTGCTGTTGCTGGTTTGAAGCGTAGGGTACAGCGTTGTTGGGTGGTTGGCCATCTGAAAATACCATTGTTTAGACCTTGTTCCGAAGAGCTTGTCCCAAAGATGGTTCAGAACTCACCAGGCGTGTAGAATCTTTGAGGCGGATAACCCTGTTGAACTGGCGGGCCGCCTCCTGCAGGCCCGTATCCGTATGCTGCAGGGCCAGGACGAGCGTATTGTGCGGCGGACTGTGCCATGGATGACTCCAAAAGGGCTTCATAATCGCGGCGTGCCTTGATGAATTTCTCGTTGAGTTGCTGGAAATCGTCTGAACGACCGATAGATGTTAGCATTGTGTTGCACCGTGACAGTCTTTCTCTCTCCTCTGGATTTACCTTTCTTTTGCGTATATTTCCCAATCAGCTCAATTAACTTGGGCCGAATCGCCAACGTGCTGTGGTACAACTCGGTAATCTCCTCGTTGTCTCGCACGTTCATGTCCCCCGTGCTCGTGCTTAGAAGGGCGAGCAGTTTCTCGACATTCTTGATCTGCCCAAACACCTCTGCCTCCATTTGTGCTTCTTTCTGCAATTCCTCGGGAGTGGGGTCTTGTAGCTTCTCGACGTAGTTGAGGGGGAAGATTCCCGTTTGGCCGCGTAAAGAGCCCTTCCACCAGTCTTTGTATACGGATTCAAGAACGGCAATTACGTCGCCTTTGCGGAATTGCAACTCGCCGGGTTCCGAAGGTTGAAAGTCGAAGAGGGCCCGTACCCGCGAAACGGTGGCAGCGGTCGTACCTGAGGGCACCGCCTGATGCTCTGCCTGCTGTGGAACACTGCCTGGTGGCTGGGCTGCTAACTCCGCTGGACCGCCAGAGGGTTGGCTGGAGGGACCGGCAGCGGATTTGTCTTGAATGGAGAGTTTGAGAGCCATTTGCAATTCTTCCTCTTCTCTCCGTCTGTCCCAATCTGTGATTGCACTCTTGACGGGGGCTTGAGGGGGTTGGAGGTTGGGATCTGGACGTCTCGGTCAGCCTTGTAGAGAAACCGGGGTGAAATCTCACTGTCAACTCACTCTGTGCTTTCAATCTCATATATGCCTGCTCCATGATGCCCAACTCGGTATTACTCGAGAAGTCTTTGGTCCAGGCCTCCATCCTTTCCACTATCTTGGATTTGACTTGTTGATGCGTATTCTAGAGCCCGCCCATCAGCAAATTCCCTTGTGGTATGACATTACCGCGTCCTAGATTCTTTGAAGCGAAGCAGAGGGTTACGTACTCGATCATTCGCCAAACGCAACAAAGCCTCAGTGAAACTCCGACTTGCCAGTTCCCTGTGCATCTGAATCCCACAATTTTGCGACAACGCATTGGCAAGCTCTAGGGTGTAGAGCTGGACATTGGCATTACGATGCGCCAGCCGTTTGATCATGGCGGCCACGACATCTTTGCTCCCGCTCTCGCTGGACGAGACTCTGTCGCACACGTCGAGGATGTATTCCCAGTTCTCGGAGGTCAGGTTTTCATCGGTGGCCTTGGCTATATAGGAGAGAACCAAGAGAGGCAAGAGTCAGCACATGTACACAGATGCGAGGCAGCAGTGGAAGCGAAGTGCAGTGCTCTCAAGATCGTGAGCTTACCAACGGCATCGTCGAATGTATTTTGTTGTGCCCGGAACATGGCGGGCAAATCAGCTTGATTAATCGAACCAAAGGATGTAGCAAGGAGAGCGAATGCAGATAGTTATGACATGAACAGAAGGCTCGGTATGGAAGCACGACTTATCTTCGGCCTTGATGCGGCGCAGCCTAATGACCAGATGCCACAGGGTGCTAGCATGAACTCACCTCCAGCTTTTAGCGCATGTTGAATCTCGGTGACGCAGCAGGTCAAAAGTGGCGGGTGAAAGGTGGAGAATCCTCCACACAAGCCACACTGCGTACGAGCGAGGTACCCAGTACTGCATAACATCACTGACACACGCAGCAGCAGCAGCAGCAGCAGCAGCAGTAGAGGACTCGGAAGGGTGTGTAGCAGTACTCAACCCAGCGGTGCACATGCAGAAACCATCTCCCAGGTAGATGCCTACCCACGAGCGCTTGAGGTGTGGAAAGACAACCCATCATACACACAAAATGGAAGCTCTTTATTTCGAGGAGCTCTCTCGTCTACATGGCTCATCTGCCTTGCTGTTACACTAGAGGTCAAAATTCCTCGCTCATCTCGGCTTTTCAGACCTCTACATACTATCGTCCCGGAATTGCGTAGCCACCAGACGGGCCCGACCCTTTCATTGCCCATTGACCTTTGCCCATATTCCACAAAACTCCTTTGCCCGCTCGTCTGATCATAATGTTTCCTTAAAAGTCGTAAAAGCAACGGCAAGCTGACAGCCTGCAGAGAACGCTGCGCGAGAAAAAAGAATACCCGTAAATGGACGTGGGCAACCCTCGATGGGTCCCGTGTCGAAAAGAAGTTCCGTTGCGGTGCGTCTAGTAAATCGCCTCTTCCCAAGTCTTGATCTGGTAGTTGACAATGCATTTTGAAGGATGCAAATGAGCATATAACACTCCGGCGCAAGGGGCCGACAGCAAATCTCGCCGAGTGTAAGGTCGCGTCTGTCCAAAAACACAGGCAAGTCGGATAAGGGCTCGTCTCAATCACACGTGGTCATAGTAATTGTACAAGAATCAGACCAGCACAACCATCAGTTGCCTCTATTGGCCTTCTCGGCGGCTCTGCTTTCTTTCGCTGACTGAACAAGAGGCGCTAGGCTGGAAAGCGGGGCACAATTATGCATGAATGGATGCTGTTGTCCCAGGTTAGACAAGTAAACTCGAAAGTGTGGGAGACCGTCTTACATGTAACAAATCGTGAGCACTTGCTCGCTTCTCAGGTTCGACTTTCAGGGCGAAATGGAGGAAATCTCGGAAAACTGGCGACAGTGCTTGCTCGTCCTTGATACGTGGTGTCCCGTACTTAGCGATCAAGTACAAGGCCCGCAGCGGTGACTCTGTCAGATATGGCGGTTCTCCCTCGATCATCTCGATCGCCATGATGCCCAAACTCCAGATGTCGACCTTTCGGCCATATTCTTTTCTCGTCACCACCTCCGGAGCCATCCAGTATGGTGTTCCAACCATCGTGGTGCGCTTGTTGTGAGTGTCATTGATTTGGGCACAAAACCCGAAATCTGTTAGCTTGATGTCCCCTCTTTCCGAGAGCAGGATGTTGTCAGATTTGATGTCTCGGTGTATCACATTTTTAGAATGCAGATGTTGTAAGCCGTAGAGTGTCTGAGACCGTCAGCAATGGAACGCGGCACCGATTCTCCGGGACAATACTAACCTCCCTACACACTGCAGCAATTTGGCCTTCGCTCATGACATTGAAGGTCACCACATCGGTGAGACTGCCACCTTGCATGTATTCCATGACAACCCACAGGTCTCCCTCGTGCAGATAGCTGTCGATAAAGTTGACAATGTTTTTATGCTTGCTGTCCTTCATAACAATGATCTCGTTGATGATCAAATCTTTCTTTGGTTGTTGTTCGAGGTTCATTTGCTTAATGGCAACACACCGTTTTGTGCCATTTTCGAACGCTGTATAGACACCACCAGAAGCACCTTGTCCAATTTTGTTGAGGTTGCTGTACTTTGTGGTTGGGTCACCCGGAGTGCATATCGCTCGTAACCTGGCTGTGACATCCACGATGTTGCTTTGTTGCCGCTTCTGTCGCGGGCGAGGCACAGCAGCAACCTGCGGAGTTCCTTCGAGGGCTGGTGAAGCTGTCACTGCAGCAAATTGCGCTTGTGGAATATTGGGGCTGATTTGTTGAGGCAGGATCTTTGGTGGAACCTCGGGGGCTCCGTGCGCAACTTGACGCTGGCTTCGACTCCGGTCTAGTTGTTTACTCTGAATGGCTTGTTGTGCTAGCAGCATTGCCTGTTCTTGCTGTTGTTGATACTGGGCAGGAGATTGGATTGCCGGCTGGGTGCGCGGCGGTGTTGCATTCGGTCCTTTCGAATTGGACCGACTTCGAGCTTCTTCTTGGGGAACTGATGGTGTATTGGGTAGAGAGACTGGCGGCGGTTGCGCTTTCGGCGGCTCCTGAACTGGCCGTAGCGGTAGGTCTCGGCTCATAGGAGGAGGCGGCGCAGGCCGAGAGGGTGCCATATCTCGCAGACTCTGAACAGGAGGTTTCGGAGCAGGCCGATTGGGCATCATCATCACTGGTGACTGACCTGGTTTCATGCTTCCCATTGCGCTAGCGGGAGGACCTTTTGGGACAGGTGGCGGGGCGCGAGGGTTTTCAAAGCTGCCCTCGTGATTCTGGGGGAATCGAGGACTAGCGGGGGGTGATATTACACCAGCCATGGGGGAGTACGAAGCAACGCTGGTCCCGATGATTGGCGTCACTGGACTCTGGTAGCTGCTGTTGCTGCTTTGAGGAGAGTCGGAGAGTTTGGCGTGGTCGAACTTCTGCCATACCCCGTCGTCATTGCCACCCAGGTTGTTCTTGTACGTCTCGACGATGTTGACCATCATCTGTGGATTTTGATCTTGCTCAGTTTTGGTGATGCCACTGTCGGCCAGGATCCTCTGCCAGTCCGCAGGTAGTCCCTGTTGGATATGAATCAGCTTGTCAGGTTCGAGAGTGGGGGCCGTTCCGATCAATGGAACGATAGATGATCCATCCAACCAGTCGATGACTTACCGTAAACTGCCCGGTCTGGTTGTCGTAGCCAACATGTATCATGTGCAGAGGATTCTCTGGGGCTGAGATCTTGATGGTCCTCGGAGAACCCAGCATGTTGTTGACGAAACTGGAGAAGCCGCTCTTCTTGCGAAATGGGCCGGCCGGTTTTGTGTGGCCGTCGCCTGAGAAGCGCTTGGGACTGAGCGTGCCATTTTCTGATTTTGGAGGCGTCACTTCCATCATAGCCACCATTCCAGGCCCAAAGGTCTGTGAGTTCCGTAGCGGATGAGACCGAAGGTCGGGGCTGGTATGGGTTTGGGTTAACGGCGGCGGGTATGGTGATTGAGCACCGGCATTCTGATTGTCGTTCATCCCGGTGGCTTGAAAAGAGGATAAGAGACCTGAGGCGTCAAAGGGCGCTCCGATCAAGTCCTTGTGACGGTCATCTGAAGTCTGGGGCGTGAGGGGGAGGTGTTGCGGCACCTGGTAGCCGTTGACTGACGACGCGAGGAAGTTTGCTGAAGGGACGATGGGGGACGGTGCGCCACTGCTGTGTTCAAGCGAGGATGTGGAAGAAGCAAACGCGCTGGATTGGGTTCTCTGATGGAAATCGCGAGACGACAGTGAGGCGTCGTGACTGCGAGGGTATGGGGACGGAGCTGACGGGGCCCGTTGAAGTGCGGCAGACGACTGTTGTTTGCGTAGCGAGCCCTTTGAGGGGAAGGCGGAAGGGGGGGGATTCTTGGTCAAAGTATTTCGACGTCGCTTGGAAGAGGTGAAGGTGGTCAGGTTGGAGGAGGTCGTGTTATGGACGTTGTCCATGGCTCCAAGTCAACGTGAAGGTTGGCAGGTGCAAGTAGTTGCAAGTGCAGGTTGCGGATTCGGTGCAGGTGCCACTGGACTGTCGACTGCGCACTGCAGACTGCGCACTGGCAGTTGGAGGGAACCAAGAAAAGCGGGCAGCAAGTGCCAGGTGGGTGCCAGATGGGCGCCAGGTGGACAGCCCGAGCCACTAATGGTGCTAAGGGTTTAACTGAAGGCCAGCGGGAGCGGCAGATGCCAGATGGGGAACTGAGCTGGTGCTCAGCGCTCAGCTTAGCTTTTGCAGCCCCGGGTGTCTGGCGCCAGGCTTTCAGACTTCAGGCTTCAGGTTCTGAGGTGCTTCGGGGCTCAGGCACAGGTTCAGGCTCAGGCTCGGGCTCAGGCTCCAGCTTCCAGGCCTCATCCAGGGCTTCAAGGGCCTCTAGTCCAGTTAGTTCCTGTGAATCAGGGCGAAGAACCAAGCAAAGCACCAATGAGTGACGCGTGCTGGTGATATTTCTCGCCTTTCTCTTTCTCTTTTTCCCAACAAGGACAAGCGACAGGCGCGCAGCAGCCACTCACCAGTCACCGGTCACCAGTCACCAGAGACCAAGATAGTCACAGCAGCAGCAGCAGCAGCAGCCCTTCGAAGACCCGTTCGCTTGCAGGGTTGGGGCCGAGGCGTGAATGGGCGTAGCACGGAGGACGGAGCACAAGGGAGAAAGATCTGAAGGGCACAAAACACAGACACACACACACTCATACACGGGGGGTTGACGAAGCTTTGAGTCTCTACGGAGTCTTGCTGTGTCCTGCTCGACATGTATCCACCCACGCGCATCGCAGTGCAGCGCAGCGCAGGAAGCATCGACAGCGGTAAGAAGCGCGCACCAACACGTCAAATCGACAGAGTCAAATCCCACCCAACAGGAACGAGCCGTAGAGGAGGTATATTTAGTTACTCCTCGTTGCTGTTTGGTTGCTTCGTCGCCAACGGTTTACCCACAAGGACCTCCAACAGACGCTCGCAGCAGCCGTGTCCACACGCGTTCCTATCTCTCACGAGAGTGTCGCCTGTCTTTTGTCCGGACCTCTCAAAAGGTGGTCAAACTGCTAATGTGATATCAGGTGCGGTCAGATTTCGGCTCAAACCAATTTGGTCTTCGTTTTGTCCGCATCCAAGCCACGCTGCTTCAGCCAGCAAACCTTCGTCACTGTCACAAGCATGCATCACCAAATGCGCCCTATGCGTTCATCCTTGGTCAATCTCCATCCCCCACTTTGGCCCTGCTAGAAATCGATAGAGGCACTGCACCATATCGACATACCACTGCGGCACTGCGTAGCCAATTTCCCGGACCATCTTACGCGCAACGCCGCCCAATCCACACGGGATTTTCCACTGCTCAGAGTCCAGAATCCAGAAAGCCCAACCCTGCACTGCCACCTCCACGTGGCCCGCTGAGTATTCCCACCCTCGAGAAACCCAGCAAGTCAACGGTGTCTGATCGGCAGGAAGATTGACCATTGCCACCATAGTCCGATTGGGGATGCTCTCATTTCGTCCTCTGAGCCCTACGAGTGCGAGGTGTGCCAGGATACAGCCGGTCGGCCAGGCTGGATTGATAACCCTCTTGTGGGCATATGCTTACTTGGTGCTTGCTATCCTGAAACAGACCAGGCCCGATTGTCGCAGAATAGCCAGGCCTTGCTTGCTGGCGCGAGCCACGCTGGCAGCGTTACCTACATATGTTGAGGATGCCATGTCCCGGAACGTTTTATCAGGTGCATCCGCTGCAGGTTCAACGCGACAGAGGCGCTGTGCATCGCTCCCTCGAGAGTGATAGACAGCCCCTTGGAGACGGTCGGGCGATTTGCCCAGATTTGTGCGTATCAAACCCATGACGAATTCACCTCCAACGCATGTGTCATTGGGCTTGCTGCAATCTGCGGCCCGCTCCTGAAACCCAAGTCTTTGTTATGACCGACTGGATGCCCACGACGCCAATAACGTCGCTCGCAGCCCTCTCGAAACAATGCTTGGAAGAGCTCAATGCAGGATTTCGACGCAAAATACCAGTATCACGTTTCCAGTGGACTTATAAGCTGGTTCCATCACCCGGTGATTCCGCGCCACCATCTGCAACATCCTGATTGAGATACAAGGTACGTACTCCGTAATACTATTAGTAGCTTGCGTAGGATTTCCTAGAGAAAGTATCAAACATTGCTCGAGCCGCAAAATTCCTCAAACCTGTCCTCCCGCCTTCCGCTCTCTCAACCCCAACGTGTATGCCATACTCCGGTCTGCGTATTTGTTTGCTTCTTCTCTTCGGAACTCCCAAGCACCCTGTCGAGAGTGTCTGCTTTGCTCAAAGCCCCCCTTCCTGTTTCCTAATCGGTTACGGACGTGATAAAGAATAGTGCAAACCCGGCGGAACTCCGTTTCAAGCCGCAGAAAAGAAGAGGAGGGCCAATAAATGCCCGACCGCATCCTTTCCCCATGAGTGTTCGCGAACCGAGAGACTGTCCAGAGGTCACCCGAACACGGGCTCGGTCTGCACTGCTGACCGTCCAGCTGTGGGAGGAGCCATCGGGATCAGGGCGGCGGGAGGATACCAGATACTGGGTCGTGTCTTACACATAACCAGACAGGTCGGTGCATTAACAGGGCGACCATGTGAACTTTTTTCCAGCAAGAGAAAAACGTGATTGATGTTGCTGCAGGCGTCGCACGAAGGACAAAAGCTGTGTTTGTAGGGACTGGTGTCCGCCCAAGCTTGACCAGTGCCAGGCAATCAATCGTCCATGTTGCCGGATTCGACAACGCGTCTTCGAAGGTGCTAATATGCTCATCGCCGTGCCGTGCTCAACGTCATGGGGATGGCCACCCTGTCTTCGATTAATTCATTGAGCACCACTCCATAGTCAGGCAACTCGATGGCAAGAGTTGGTAGATCGCGCATTACAAGACGATACCCGGCAGTTTGGGACACCTGTACCTCCTGTCTGGCGATGCTTCTGCGCTCCCATCGGAACAATCTATTGCAGCACGCGCAATGCAGCGGCTCGGGCATATCAGTCTCCAGAGGTCGCGCAGCAGTCCTCCTTTCGACACCGCCTCGTCTGGCGGCAGAGGAAGCTGAGATGGTCCCAAGACTCGAGTAGAAGTCCTCGGACACCAGGTTCAAGGCGAAGCCACATTAGAGGCCGAAGGCAGGAAGTCCACAGTGCCAAACACCGTCTCCCGCGGCAGGTCTTGAAAGCTGCACTTCCCCGGCTGTTGTTGGGGCCATGCTTTGGGCTGGCCTTCGGCGAGGTCGGTGGGGTCGACGTTGTTGGTAGCACAGTCACGGGCGTCGAGGCCTGCTTGGCTCAACGGCGGTTTTGCAACCCCCAAAAGCGTTGCTGTGTGAGGGACAAGCGTCTCACCCTAGCCTAGGCCAAAAAAGACGGAACATCGCCAACTGTTGGCAGATTGACTGGGCGCTGTAGTGGGTGGGTAGAGGTAACCACGAAGTTCCTGACATTATGGCAGAAAAGACCAAGTTATAGCCGCCGAGACTCCCAACCTAATACTCCGTATATCAGACGCGATCCCCAAATAGTTATAGGTGGCTATTGTGACGAGCAGATGAACAATTCCAAGTGAGGGTTCACAGTCTAACGTTGTAACACAACATAAGGTTGTCAAGAGTGAAGATTTGGAGTTCCGCCAGATTGATTTGTGTTACAAGGTCTTCGATACTGGCGAGGACCGCGTTTGTCCAACCTCTGGGACTGCCTGATGTTCGGCCATTCGGGCGGCTCGCAGCCTCGCAACTGTAGCTTCTGTGTGTGAAGCAAGCCCAAGACCTACGCCTGTGACAACGGGTATGAAGCCCATAGCAGCCAGTGCGGTAGGGCTACCAGGCATCACTGACTTTGCCTTTGCTGCCGAGGACATCAGAGCCGCCCTTTGTGCCATTTCAGCAGTAGTACCACCGAGGTTTCCCTTCGCCATCATTCGTTGGGCCAGAATGCGTGCAGCCTGTGTAGGGAACCAGACCCGACTTCCCAACACGATTGTCCAAGTCAACAATGCCAAACTCCCTGCTTGGTGTGCGCTCGCCAGTCCGGTCGGTACCAAATATAAAAGCGTGGAAATGCCTAGGACGACCTGCAAGCACACAAATCCGACAACACCGTGGACCCCCCTTTGCGCTGCTCTGGGTAGGATCTTCTGCATTGTGGCTGAGCGTGAGAACGCCCAGAGTGCCATGACTGCGGTGAAAGTGGTCGTGGCAAGGATCCGGTGATCGAGTTGAACCAGACTGGGATTTTCGAGCAGATTGCGCCACCAAAGGTCGCTGTGGTCAGGTGCTCGACAGTAAAATTTGTCCCATAGCTCGCTCCTCGGAGGGGTCAGACCGAGTCCCATGTATGGAAATTCGTTGTAGATCAAGCCTGCATCGAGACCTGCGACCAGACCACCGGACATGGCTGTAATGAAGACTAAACCTGCAAGGAGCGAGACATATCGCTTGAAGGGCCTTAACGCGGGGTTGCTCAAGCCTTTGAGCGTCGCATTTGCAGTGTCGGGGGAGACACGCAGGATTTTGTTCGTTCGTAGAATTTCAAGGCCGTTCCAGAGCATGGCGAGATAGCAGACAAAAGCCGCGCCCAGGTGAGCGGTCAGTCTGTACTGTGAGACGCGCGGATGAGAACCCGGTGCAAATAGGTCATCTTTCAATCCCGACTTCACCATCCACCAGCCGATAAAGCCTTGGAATCCAATCAAACCTGCAATGCCCAGTAATCGCATGGCCATGGAACGGGAGACCTGCTTCCGTGCGACGAAGTAAGCGGCCGGCAAGACGAAGGAGAGTCCAATAAATCGACCCCAGAGCCGATGGATCCATTCCATCCAGTAAATTGACTTGAACTCCTCGAGAGTCATGCGCGAGTTCAGCATGTGGAACTCGGGACTCGAGCGATATTTGGCAAATTCAGACTCCCAGTCTGCGTCAGACATGGGTGGGAGGGAGCCTGTGACGGGTTTCCATTCTGTGATGCTTAGACTAGTTTTGTTGCACGAGTCAGTAGGTTCTCTATACACGAAGGATTCCAATGTCCAAAGGATTGTAAGGAGTGCGGTGTGGCATACCCTGACTCTGTAAGTCTCGTCAATCCTCCAAACACCACTATACCAAAGACACTGGCGGCGCTGCCGAGCAGCCAGTAGGCCACAGTATTTGAGGAAGTATCTGGGAAGGAACTCCTGCTCTTGCTCTGGCTTTCTTGTTTTCCCGCATCCTTGCCATGTGTATTTGGGCCTGTAGCTTCGTCCGCGGCGCCTGAGGCTTTGGTGTTGCCAGATTCAGAGAATCCTCGGACAACAGCACCTGTGGACGATCTGTTGTTCGAAGGATAATGAGGCTTCGGACGACTGCAATTTCGTATTAACGGACCACAACGCGTGGTGAGGTTCCGAGCCTGCCTGATGGTGACCGACGTTGGTTGCGCTCTTCGAGAGGCTGTAGATTGGGGTTGGAGCTTGCTCAGCTGAGAGGTATGATTGCGACGGCTGCATTCGAAGAACCGCCTCGACAAGCCTGGTGCGACTTCACGAAGCGTCCTCGAGAAAGCAGATGCAGGCAGCATCGCGATTCCTTGGGAGGGTCTAGCTCTCTGTCTCTTGGAATAAGGACTTCTGAATTAAAATATTATTATGTACCAAACCGGGAACACCAATATGAGCTTTGCGATTGGCCAATCGGAGGCCTCAGGAGACACATCTTACATCGACACCCATTGAGTGCACCCGACAAAGAGTCTATCAGACCACTTCTCCTTCTTCAGCGTACGGGTTGGAAACATCTTCTGAAAATGAGAAACTAAGTAAAATAATGTGCCAATTTTGTGTTACAGAATCTAGCTATTAATCATCGTTACTGTTTCGTCACCGCGAGTCCGCAAATCGCTCTGGTTTTCAGGATGGCCAACTCTTAATAATGGTCCAATATGTCGTCCACTCCCTGACTTCCCTGCCTCTGTGGAGGCGGCCGATCTCGTGGACCACTGGGGAGACCTGTCTGTGATCCAAAGGGCGTGTATGTCCTTGTTGGTTCAGTGACAGTCCGGATGGTGGCACTGGGGGGAATTGAAGATACGGGGGTCATTGATCGCTCCGCCGAATAGGGGATATAACCACCAGAGCTTGAGGTCTGCAATCGAGGCAAGGTTGGACCTCCAGTCGGTGTCACAGCCCTCATTGGACCTACAGCGGTTGGTGTAAACGATCTTTCTGGAGGTCCTTGAATAGGAGTTTGTGATCGGAATTGAGGTCCCGGTAATGGTGAGTTTCGTCCTCTTTCTTCGGGAATAGCAGAAAATGCTGGTCCAACAGCAGCTCCAGGCGTACGACGACCCGATGCGTCAACTTGGTTGTCGAAGTTTGGTCCTGCCCATGATGGTGGCTTGGTCGATGGGGTCGAGCTTCGATCATCTGGGTACGGAAGAGCACTGCTATTTTCCAAAGGATACCTGGGCCGTCCATTGCTAGACATGCTAGTACCTGGTCGTGGCAGAGGATCCATTTGGTATGCACCAGGACCATTTCTGTCACTCTGTGCTGTACCTGGTCGTGGAAGCGCAGGACTAAAGGACCGTTGCGGAGGTTGCGACAGGTTCGATATGCTACGGTTTGGTGCCTGTCTTCCATACCAGGGACTGTTCACATCAGATGCTGGCGTCTGAACTCGATCAGCTGCAAACCCCATGTCCGCGGCAGAGCCCATTAATGGAGCATTTGAGCTGTAGCTTGACCACGATGCTGCGGATCCATGGGTTACGGTACGAGTAGGCATAGGTGGACGAGGCGCGATATCAGGTAGCGTCGGAACTGCATCATCACTGCTCCTGCTTGTTGCTGGTCGCGAAGTGTACTCCGGGAGGGTTGTCATTGTCGTCTGTCTCGACAGCGGAGGAAGCGAGTCCTCATCGGCTCCTGCGATATTCGGCAAGGTCGGTTGTTTCTTCATATCTGTACCTTCACGAGCCGCCCTAGCCTCTGCTCGAGCTCGCAGCGCGTTCTCTTTCTTCAATGCTTTGTCAACCTTGATCTTGACGACTCTCTCCATCCGTCGGTTAATCTTGTTACGGCAATATCCAGTTAGACCTCCATCCTCGCTAGGAATGTGGTGCCAGAGGAACACGAGATAGAGAATGACCGAGATGATCAAACTGATGACGGAGATGACCCAGATGACCAGAGTCCACAGCATGCCGAAAAGAATGACGGCCTGCAGATGATTGGAATCGGCCAGAATCCCAACATTGACAAAGAACTGGACGACCGGAGAGTGGCCATCCGATGGAGCATGTTCACCCTCTGGGACCAACTTCAACCTCAACACCGAGTACAGTGTGATCGCGTTGACCACTTGTCGCGGCCCTTCTGCAAAGACAATACGAAGCCATGCTTCGAATGAGAAATATGCAAACAAGGCAACGTAGTCGGCGCCTTTTCGACTCTTTGTCAACTCGGCAAAGACCAGGAAACGCTTCCAGCCTCTTGCCTTTCCCCACCGGATCGATTGTATCCGTACGGCCAGAGGGTCCAGGTAGGTTTTCGCGACGCCACCCTGTCGCATGACTCTGACTGCCCTCATCCACCGGTAGACGAGTAGAACAAATGATAGAATGATACAACCGGCAAAGATCCATCGAGAGATGTTGAGTGGGATCTCAGGCTTTATCTGACCCGCCCATCTATCGAAGGCGAGGAGGTTGATGGCGGTAAATGTGTCAACTGCGTAGACGGATATCGACACAACAAGCATCAGCAAAAGATAGCCATAGGCAAAAGGGGTCCAGCATGAGGAAGATTTGAAATCGTCAAGGTTCTGCGATATGGGTCAGTCCCTGGTGGCTTTTGATGTTCACATGTGCCATACAATGTAGTCCCATTTCTGCTCAGCACTCAAGTTCCCGAACTTTTCTCGTTCACCGCCGCAACACCCCATAGTGAATATGGTATTTGTATTGTGTAAAGATCGTTTGATGCGCTGCGACCTGGCAGCGGCTTATCAATAATTCGTGAGAGGGAGCAACCGATCACGGGGGGTCGGATTTCTATTTCTGAGGCAGTTGTACTTTGTTGTCTCGGGCGCGGCGCAGCCGAAGGCCAGGTGTAACAAGAGTCCAGCTCAATTGCCTCGGAGATCGAAACCTTTGTCTTGTATTGCCTTTATTGCATCGCTGTCAAGGTCGGTCTGTCATCCAAACAGTGACCGCAACTGCTCGTCTCGTTTCCAGGAATTGACTTCCTTCACCGTTGAGGGAGAGCGTAGAGAAGAGGCGTCGGGGGCAATTGACCGGCTGCCGGCTTGCTTGTCGTCCGTCAAGGTGGACAAAGCGTGCAGCAAGGAGACAAGGGGTCTGGGAGAACAAAAAGAACGAACGTGGGTCGAGAGCGGACCAGGAGAACAATGACACAAAAAGAGCCGGGAAATAAGGACGTGTATTCTGAACGAGAGACTTGATACGACAATGCTAAGGAATGGATGGAAATCAGGAAACCTGAAGTGAAGGGCGGGTCGGTGAATAGGACGAAGAAGCTTGAAGACGAGGAGAGGGTGCAGCAGAATTACGACTGGAGTGATTGATGGAACAGGAGCTGCTGCAAGCCTCGGTGCCTGAGCGCGCCTGGGGCCCTGATTACCCGCCCCCCAAACATCAAACTGCGCTAGGCATCCTGGGGGCCTCGATCTGGCTAGACCTCTGCCAATCCCACGCCCCTGTCGAGCATCCTCAAACACCGCCTCCTTGACCTGTGCACCGCGCTGATTCGCCCTCGAATCCCCCTGGGCGATCGTGCTCATGCAGGAACCCGTCACCCCGTTCACCGACGAGCGTTGGGCTTGCGAGATCTCCAAAGTGTTGCATCACACTCTAGCCCCAGTTGAGACAACAATCTCCGCCACAGCCGTTGGATACTGTTCTTGGTGCGTATAGGTCACGACCTGGAGTTCGTGGAGACTGGTGTGAGCAACAATTCTATTTGAACCAAGCTATCGTCCTACACACAGATGTTTCTCTTCTACGCGCCTGTGAACAGACGCAGACACCACCCAGACGCCTTCGCTTCAATGTACCGCCACTCAGACTGATACCTGTTTTACCGAGCCGACTTCAGCTCCTGCTTGCCTTTACCACCCGCGCGGCCATGGAAACCCCACGATATCTGGCTTGCAACATGTATCTCGACACCGAGTTCCTCTGCGAAGGTCCAAACCAGGCCGGGATTCTTCTGGAAATACCGTCCAACTAACGCGGCGTCCAGGCCTTGGTCGAGAAGTTCTTGGGCCAGAGTTCCGGTTGTGATGGAACCAACAGTTCCCACAAGCAAAGAATCTCCGACCGCTTTCTTCACCGCCAGTGCAAATGGAGCTTGATAGCCCGGCCCGCCCTTGATTTGTTGCGCCGGGTGGATGCCGCCTGAACTGGTATCGAGAAGGTCCACGCCCAATTCAGCCAAAATGACGGCGAACTTGCTTGTCTCTTCGATTGTCCAGCTCTCTGGGAATTCGTCTTGACCTTTGAGCCAGTCGTCGGCGCTGATTCGGAAGAAGAGAGGCATATCTTTGGGAATGACAGCCCTCGTGGCCTCGACGATTTCTCGGGCCAATCGTGTTCGATTTTCAAAAGATCCACCATATTGATCGGTTCGCTTGTTGCTGACTGGGCTAAGGAACTCATGAATGAGATAGCCATGGGCGCCGTGGATCTCGATGACGTCGAACCCAACTTCGACGGCTCTCTTGACAGCAGCCACAAAGGCGTTCTTGATTCTTTGGATGCCCTCAAGCGTCAGAGCATTAGGATCAGGGTAGGTATCCTGGAAGGCGATGGCGCTTGGGGCAAGTGTCTCAGTTGGCCAGCCGCCGGCTTCTTTCTGCGCGGTATCGCCCCTACTCAGCCAAGGGGCAACAGTGCTAGCCTTCCGACCCGCGTGACCCAGCTGGATCCCGATCTTTTGGCTCTGGCTGTGCGCAAACTCGACGATCCTCTTCAGAGGGCCCATTTGCCCATCTTCCCAGAGTCCGCTGTCCTCGGGGGTGATTCGACCTTCGGGGGTGACTGCTGTCGCTTCGATGATAGCGAGGCCAGGTCCTCGCTGAATGATGCCGCCAAGGTGAGTCACATGCCAGTCAGTCAAATAGCCATTTTGGGCCGAATACTGGCACATGGGCGACAGAAAAATGCGGTTCTGGAAAGTCACCCCGCGAATGGTCAGAGGCTGGAAGAGCTTGGGAATGGCACTGCCATCGGACTGGGGATTCTTGGCTGAGCCCGAGGGGGGCGATTGCGCGGGCGTGAAGTACGAGATACCTGGCGCTCCCTTGTTGATGATGAGAGGCTTTGCGTCGTGAGACTCCATTGGGGATGTATGTGAAAAATGACGAATTCTATGATGAATTGGCGCGCGTTCTAGGCGTTGAAGGGACAATATTCGGCAAATGCGGACCGGTGTCGTGAGAGTGACTGAAGATTTGATGAGATGAAGAAGAGAAAGGTGATGGGCCGCATGTACCATCGGGAGGTTTTATGTGCTACTGGTCACGCCTCTTCACTCTCCCCGAGAGCTGTGGGAGGGCTCTTCCACAACCGACGCGAAGTGAGCTTTGAAATCAAACTCTGTCGAATCTACCAATGAGCGTCACTCCACCACATCTGTAATGTTGCTGCGGGCGTGACAATGACATGGACGGACGGGCACAGGCAAGAAAAGAGAACATCGTACTTGGGAGTTGGAGGTACAATCCATCTGCGAAAACTGGGGATAGGTTCGCCAGGATCCTCCGGGAGAGGGACCAAGAATACCAAGAAAGACCAAGGAAGATGACATGAAAGCGGACATCAAGTCCTCGAGTCTATAGTTCCAGAGGGTCTTTGTCAGGAGATTGACGTACGTAGCATAGGGCCCAGATTTTCCGTCCCCAGAGAGCAACCGCCTGGTTTTCGTGGTACGGTCCTTACATGGCAGTGGGAGCGCTGGGAATCGGGGATGCTGAGTAAAAGGAATAATTAATGTACGACGATGTCCCGAGTCTGATGGTCCTAAATGGCATTTGTCTGACAGCCATTAACCATTAACGGTTGCTTGTTCATTGCGTGCCCAGTCACCCGTGGCCCAGTGGTCTGCGGCGATATTTCTTGTCAGACAGGCTGGCCGTTGGTGACATCGTACTCCTGCTCCGCCGCCGCCTGAGATTCTCTTCCGCCGGATCTTTATCTCCATGCTTTGTCAATGCCCCCGAAGCTCTTATTCTCATTACCAGGTGCCCAAAGTCAGCAAGTCCCTAGAAAATGTGTCGAAAATGTGTCGGCGTCCTTTCCCATTCGGCAATCGCGTTTCTTGTAAGCACTTCTTGTTCCTGGTACACATGCCTATTGTGGTGATGGCGATGTTCAGCCTCGTCGAATTCATAGCTGAATCTGGCTTGAGGCACGACGACGCCCCCGAACCCACGCGGCGCTGATCAGTGGCTGTAGATGTTGTTACTCAGTGAGCGAATGATAATGTTTTGATCATTTTCCTGAATGAAAAAATTGTCATTCGTGTATTGGATAATCAAGAGGCCCAAACATTTCTTGCTCAGGGCCGTCACTGCTTGCTCGACGCTTCGTTGCTTGTTGAAATCCATAACTCGTCATCTTGACGCTACTTGAATGCTTGAAATGCAATGCTTTCCCGGTGTCTTAGATGTTGCCAATGACGACCATATACCTCAACTTCCCGTCCTTACTCGACTTTGTCGTGTCACATCCGCCAATCCCATCATCGAGCTGCATTTGGCTGCTCTTCCATCCCCAACTCTTGCTGACATCGAACTTGTCTGGTGCACTCTCGTAAATGCTCAAAAGTCGCCCGCCCTTACTCGGTGAATAGATCTTAAAATATGTTCGGATTGTTGGACGGCCATCCATGTATGGCGGCATTGCGGAAACGTTGTACTTCCTGTTGGCCCGTAATAACTCGGCGTCCTCCTCGTCCGAGTCCAGCATCAGCCCGTCCGAGGGAGAGGAATCGCTGGATGGTCTACCTGCAGCCTCGGGGTTTTGTGAAGTCTTTTGTACCGACTTCGCCATCCGCCGCCGCAAAGTCACTCTTTCACCCTCCGAAATTTGCGGATTTGAAGTATCATACTCTTGTGTCGATTCGGCTGATGCTTCTTCCTGTTCCACTGCCGACCCGCGAACAGGCTCGTTGACGTGCCAACTTCGGTTTCGCCGTTCGTTCTTCCGAAGCAACATCTCCCGCTCCAGCTGTCCGATGCGATCGTCCACAGTGGAAGACATCCAAAGGGCAAGGGGGTCTTCACACGGATCTTTATCCTTGGCTCTGTGCAGGTATATGCCCAACTGTGGGACTTTCGAGTTATTGACCCGCTGGATATAGAGGTTCCACAAACTCCCCGCATACCAAACCGTGTGAGAATAGACCCGTTTCTTCTCCTTGAGCGTCCGGGGGCTCGGGAACTCCGCCGAAAACCGAAATGGAGGATAATAGCTGAAACGGGGCGCCGACGTTGGCGAATAGCCTCTGGACGGGGGCCTGCCACTGTCGATTACATTGCCACTTGTGAAGTCGAGAGCCCATGCAACATCGGTAGGCTCGAGGCTAGCCGACAATCTCGCTGCATGCGTGCTCCATTCTGCAATACTCGTAGAGTTGGCCGCTACACAAGCTTCTTGAGTGCCTCCCATCACACAGGAGACATCGTTGCTCGGAATCCAGAATTTCCTAGGTTTGCCGTTGCCATCCCAGGAGCCAGACTCCATCTCTGCAGGAACTTCATTTTGGCTGGCTGGGCCGTCGTCTCGCAACTTTCCTTTCTTGTGGACCGATGCTTGCTCAGCATGATCTTCGGCTTCTTCAAACTCTTCTGCTACTTCACTCAATCCCAGTGTCTCGTCGGTTTCCCTGGCATTGAGAACTTTCTGTCGAAGTTCCATCGACATCCATAACGCATCACCAATGACCTTCTCGGGGAGAACCGGAACTCCAAGGATGTCTTTTTGCGTCCGAATCTGCTGCAATTGTTCGAAGCGAAGATGAACATAATGGATCCCTTCGTCCAGCAGCACGAGCAGGGGTGCGATTTCCGGAGACGTGTACAGGGCAACCCAGGCCTCATCTTTTTCGGAAACGTAGCGGTTGTGTCCAGTTATCCTGTAAGGTGCATCAAATCTCACTGCAAAGAATCGCAGACTTGTCGGTTTGGGATAGAGATATCGACCACTCGAGGAAACCAGCCCTCCTTCGATGGCTTTGGCCCTCAATCGGCGATTCAAGAGCTTTAAAGCAAGATACCATCGCTCCCACTCGCTTGGCACGAAGAAAGGATCCCCGCCAACAATCTCGCGGATGATCTCAGCCGGGATCTCGTCCCAGTATTCATACGGCATCTCCCAGCCTTCTTTGCAGAGCATGGCCTTCGCAGAGGCGAGGATTCGATCCCCGGCTTTCCCATAGTAATTGTTGGTCACTAGCTTAATCAAGCTGTGAAGGGTAGCTGGCTGCATCTGTCGAAGGATCGAGTCGACACAGGAGTCTACTAGGTCGGGCATATCAAGCCAACATGACGTAGCGAACAGCCCGATAGCTTCTTCCTCTTCCTGGCGAGGGAACTGGGTTCCATAAATCCTCTTCAGGGCCAGCTCGAAAGCATTTTTGGTGATATTGGGATCGAGGTCTTCACAAGGGATTTTCATCTCTCGCGCTGTACTTTCTGCCCAAGATCCGGAGAACGCAGACGAAAAGTAAGGCACACGATCGAGAAGCAGTTTGTGAAGTCTGTAGCTCTGACCAAACGCATACACGGTAATGTCTGAGTGGCGGCCTTCCTCGAAGCCATGGTGAAAGAGATGACCTTGGAGTGACGCCGTGCCACCTAAACTTCGGCTGGTACTGGACACGGTTCGAAGATGGGAATGAACTCGAGATGTGGGATCAGGACTTGTTCCGTCGCTTGTTATGAATAAGCGCGCAAGGGTAGTGGAGGTGTTGACAGAATCAGGGTCAAAATTGTTGGTGACTGCGCTCGTCGTGGGATCATCCACATCCTTTTCGGGGTTGAGGAGAGGATGTCGACTGCTCGAGGCGGCGGGTGAAGCGAAAGGCGTGGTGTCTCCTGCCTTTATATTAGTACGCCGACTTCCGCCAGCATTTGTCAAGGCCGCTAAAGAGCCTGAATTGTTGGAGGAAACGGCAGCGCTCAGAGATGCCAGGGCGGTGTTCGCAGAGACCGAAGCAGTAGGTGGTCCAGATACGAAGATTGATCGAAGAGGAGGCTCGAACGACACAGGTGGAGATTGCTCTCCATAACCCAAGCCAGGGATTTGGTTTGAAGAAGCTATCCTTCGCTGGGGGAGTGGTCTAGAGCTCGGAACTGTGCTGGTGGGCTGTTGAAGCGGCGATCTGATAATCCCGGGAGAGGAAGGTTCGAGATAGCGTGACGGGCGAGGAGAGGATGTTGCGGTGCCCTGTTCACTCCAAGCGGCCCGGTTGACCTCTGGCGTAATAGTAGATGCATCATACCCTGAGATCAGACCATCGAGATCGTCTCGTGGGGGACTCCAGTTGCTGAAGTGTTCTTGATCCATCAGATGGACTATTGTCTAAACCTTCTGAACGAGAGGAACGAAGTTCTTGACATAGCCGTTGAATGGACCCTGGGGCTGTCAAGGTTTTCCAACAAGAAGCATCTTGGACATAGACCGAAGAGAGAAGGGGAGTGACCGCCAAAGATGGAAGAGACAGAGGAGTGGAAAGCCAATAGGGGTGATCCTGGAGGCCGCTGAGTGTTCTATCAAGTCCTCAAGGCGCAATTTCGTAGTTACAGCTGTCTCGTTCCTTCATAAACCGTGATAAACGCAATGAACTGCAAAAGTTGGCAAGATGTTGAGAGATGTTGCAAGAGACAGCGGGACAAGGCGATCATCAAGGCGTCACCTGGACGTTGTGCCGCTGTGCTGCAGCCACGCAGCCACAAGCCACAAGCCAGAAGCCACGTGTGGCCCCGGAATTACGGCGGACTTAAATTATTTGGGCGACGTCTTCCCTTCCGCAGGAGGACATTCTGCTCGTCCCTCGACTCACACCGACACCCAGCAGAAACAAGGCGATGGCGGTCTAGAGATTGGACTTTCACTGGAATTGCGATCAGCCCAAGACCATCCGATCTTCTTTTGCGGCGGCATAGCAGCATGGCCGGCTTTGTATCTGGCACGTCTCCCTCCCCTGTTCATCATGGAAGGGCCAACCATCGCAGCCATCGTGAATGGTGACCACTATTCCTTCGCCAATCGAGAACCACTTACACCTCCCAACTCTCAGAACACCCCATCACCGATAAGTTCCCCTACATTTCGAAGGGATGCCCAAGATGGTCTTCCGCCGAGCCACGACAACGGTTCATCCGAGCCGAATAATACACAACTTCAACCAGACGAGGGTCTAAGCAATGGTCTCGAGACACATGATGGAGTTAAGAGCGTCACCAGACTTGTCGACGTGGATCATGTCCACGCGGCTACACCTACGAACATGTTGCCAAATGGCGAGCCAAAAGACCTGGCTTGTTCGCCTCCTTCAATGACGGAGTCAGGCCAATCGGGTCCGGGGCACGTCGCAGAACGTCCAAATGGAGTGGAAGGCAAACAGAATGGAGGAATAGTGTATATGCCATCGCCAGATATATTGCACAGCCTGACGACTACAGTAGACTCTCTTCCTCTGAGTCCTGACGATCCACAAACAACAGTACCAGTCTCCAATAATGACCTGAGCCCTCACACGGCCGTACCCATCACCGCCAAAACTCCTGAGTCTCCTAAATCTCCTAATGAAGATGTCTTCATCTCCACTCCCCGGGCGGAACCAAGCACATTTAGACAATCTGAAACCTCAGAGACAAGACGAAGTCGCAACCTCACCATCGAGACCGGCAACCAACTGTTGCAATCTACAGGCAGTCCTTCACTCAGACCCAATGTTCCACAAAGGGCTCTATCCACCCCCGGCTCCCTGAAAAGTCCTCAGTCCCCTCAGAGACACGATAGAATCGGTCCACGACCAACGCTCAAGATTCCTGAGACCGGTGCGAAGGTTGATGGAACTGGAGGAAGAAGGCATTCGTCTTCAGGGCGACCTCTCCCGTCCCCTATGCCGGCGTCAATTCCACTACCGCCCTTATCGATTCCGACCTATCTTCAGCTCGAACTATCGTCACAACGACCCTCCCAGCTATACATTCACAGGTCCGCCAACAGCGACTTTCCGTACGAGTCTTCACGAGTTAAGATCGAGAGGTTGATGAACTTCTTACTCCTGCCCATGTATCTCGAGAGCGTCCTCTGGTTCGGGACTCTTGCATGTCTCGATTCATGGCTCTATACATTCACGATCCTCCCACTCCGACTCCTCAAATCATTCTACATCCTCGTCAAGTCTTGGTGCATTAACTTCATGAGCGAAGTGCAATTCGTCTCCAACTTTGTGTACAACGGGACCGGGAGAATGTGGAGAAGACGGAGGAGCAGTCTAGCGACTGTTTCTACGCGAAAAGTCTCGGGTTCTGACGCTGGCGAAAACAAACCGGCTCAAACCGTCGCAGCACAAAATCGCAGGTCAGGGAGACAGCATCAGAGAACAAAGTCAGTGCCATCGGCATTACTTCCGGATGACAAGGCGGACATGCTTAAGGGCCTGCTGATAATCTGCACATGCCTTATCCTTCTTAGGCTTGATGCTAGCCGGATGTACCATTGGATTCGTGGTCAAGCCGCCATCAAGCTATATGTCATTTACAATCTTCTGGAGGTCTGCGATCGGCTTTTCTCCGCAATAGGACAGGATGTCCTCGAATGTTTGTTCTCCAAGGAAGCGCTCGAACGCAAGCCAGATGGCCATAGCAAAATTCTACGGCCATTCTGGTTGTTCGTCCTGGCACTCACCTACACAGTTATTCACTCTACGGCTCTGTTCTATCAGGTCATCACGCTCAATGTGGCTGTCAACTCATACTCGAACGCCCTCATCACATTGCTGTTGTCAAATCAGTTCGTGGAGATCAAATCCACTGTGTTCAAAAAGTTCGAGAAGGAGAACCTTTTTCAACTGACTTGTGCCGACGTCGTCGAACGCTTCCAACTTTGGCACATGCTGGTCATTATTGCATCTCGCAACATCGTGGAAACCGGAGGATTGAGTGCGGGATTAAGTGCTCTTACCAGAGCGTCAAGTGCAACAGCGGCGCCTCCACTGACTACAAATAGTAGCATTCCCTTCACCAGTGCTCTTCCTCCGAGATCGGTTAGCTCGATCCTTCCAAAGTCATTTACTCTGTTACCGGCGGCGGTCAATACGATAACATCGTATGCGCCAGCTGTCAGTCAGGTGCTCGGACCGTTTCTGGCAGTCCTTGGGTCTGAAATGTTGGTTGATTGGCTCAAACATGCTTACATCAACAAGTTTAACAACACCCGCCCTGCAATATACGATCGATTTCTGGACGTGTTAGCGAAGGACTATTACACAAATGCTTTCGGCGACCAAAATTTAACCAAACGATTGGGTCTGCCAGTTATCCCTTTGAGCTGTCTCCTGATCCGAGCCACTGTGCAAACATACCAGATGTTTATGGCAGCCTGGGTCCCTTCAAGTTCGCCAAGCTCATCAACAAGTCTGGCCAGCATCCACGAGCATTACTCTGCGGCCCGGTCAAACATGCCAATGACCACAAGCACCGCGATTTCCAAAACCGTCGACGACATCATCAGAGCCATTCCTGCAGCCATCACCAGCTCCAGTGTCGTCACACACATGACGACCATACTTTTGTTCCTCCTGTTCTTCCTGATCCTACTTGCCTGCAAGCTCGTGTTGGGAATGCTTCTCCTCGCATTTGCGAGATCTCGCTACCGGTCGATGAAGCTGCGCGAGAGAAACCCCATTTACCATGTTGACGGCGGTCGGCGCGTTGGGGGATGGGGCGTCGTTGAAGTTGACGACGATAAACGCAGATGGATCTACGAGGATGACCCTGCCGGTCTCAAAGCATTGCGTGAGAGGGAGGAAAAGGACAAGAAGAACAAGGAAAAGGGGACTGGGGTGGAGAGCTTCGACAAAGTCAGGCGATACGAGATGGTGGCAAAGAGGATATGGTAGCCTCCCGGTACTCAACAGTTATGTAGATAGCAGGTCATCCTGGTATTTGAAGCAGTCCGCTTGAATTGGATTGATATTCCCCTCATTGGTGCCAGACATGAATTGGTATTTCTTCTTTCGTCAGGTCCGTGAGAGTCATCTACGTAGTTGCGCACATTTCTATCCTTTCTTGATCTCATGTGGTATTCCCGTGCGTATTTCTTAATCCGTGGACATCAGCATATCGCCCACACACACCTCCGACACATTCCAAGACTGAAAAATCCGGGGGGGGGGGGGGGAGGGGCGCATGAGCTCATCGAACGCTACTTTGCAGAAGCTGGAGTAACAGCAGCAGCAACAACAACGACGCGAACGGACTCAAGGCAAGGGCCTGGTGGCGACGAGCTCGTGGACGGTGGGATTCTCCTTGCCGCCGGGCGGGGTCTTCTCCTCCTTCATGAAAGGGAAGGCCAGGACCTCGCGGATGGTGTAGTTGTCGGTGAGGAACATGACCATGCGGTCGATGCCCATGCCCCAGCCGCCGGTGGGGGGCAGGCCGAACTCGAGGGCGGTGCAGAAGTTCTCGTCGATCATCTGGGCCTCGTCGTCGCCCTGGGCCTTCTGGCGGGCCTGCTCCTCGAAGCGCAGGCGCTGGTCGAACGGGTCGTTCAGCTCCGTGTACGCGTTGACAATCTCCTTCTTGCACACAAAGGCCTCGAAGCGCTCGCAGATGCCCGGCGACGCGCGGTGGTACTTGGCCAGCGGCGACATGAGCTGCGGGTGGCCCGTGATGAAGGTCGGGTTGATGCACGTCTCCTCGATGAACTCGCCGACCAGCTTGTCGAGCATGCGCGCGTTGGTCTCGGGCGGCGGGCACGTCACGTTGCACTTCTTGAGCACCCGCTTGAGGAACGCGTTGGTCTCGTCCGTGTGCAGCTGGTCGCCGGGGGGGAACGTCTCGCCCGTGGCCGCCTCGAGCGCCGGGATCATGTCGACCCGCTTCCACGGCCGCGACCAGTCCACCTCGTACACCTCGCCCGTCTGCGTGTGGAACGTCGTCTGGTACCCGCCCGTGACCTCCTTGACCAGGCCCGACACCAGCTCCTCGGTGCGGTCCATCACGTCGTAGACGTCGGCGTACGCCTCGTAGAACTCGCACGTGGTGAACTCCGGGTTGTGCGTCAGGTCGGCGCCTTCGTTGCGGAACTGCTTGCCCAGCTCGTACACCCGGTCGATGCCGCCCACGACCAGCATCTTGAGGAACAGCTCCGGCGCAATCCGCATGAACATGTCCGTCTGGTACTCGTTGATGTGCGTCTTGAACGGCTTGGCCGTCGCGCCGCCCGCGATCGAGTTCATCATGGGCGTCTCCACCTCGACGAACCCGTTCGAGTCGAAGTAGTTGCGGATGTAGGAGACGATCTTGGCGCGGGTGAGGAGGATGTTGCGCGACTTCTCGTTCATGATCAGGTCGAGGTAGCGTTGGCGGAAGCGCGTCTCGACATCCTGCAGACCGAAGTGCTCCGAGGGGATCTGGTGCAGGCAGGGCGTGAGGAGGATGACTTGCCGCGCAAAGACGGAGAGTTCGCCCTCGTTGGGCCGGTTCTTGGGCGACGTGCGACCGGGGTATCCCACGACGCCGATGATGTCTCCTCTCCGCAGGTGCTCGTGCTGCGCCTCGAAGGAGACGTCGCCGGCCGCCTCTTGCGCCTGGCACATTATCTGGACCTTGGTGCCGCCGCTTCGGATGTCGTAGAAGACCAGCTTGGCGCCTGCGGATCGCTTGACGTAGACTCGCCCCGCGACCCGGATTTCCACCTCCTTCTTCTGCTCGCCGGGTTTGAGAGAGGCATATTCCTGGACAAACTTGCCCAGGTCCGTGTTGACCTGGAACTTGTGCGGGTAGGGGTTGGGGTCCTTGGTCTCTCTCAGCCGGTTGATGCGCCCGCTTCGGATCTCGAAGTACTGGTTCGGGTTGAGATTGCTCTCGTCCAGTTCCGCCTTCATGGCCTTCTTTTCGACTGGGGGCGGGGCTGCGGCGGCCTTTTCTTTCTTCTTTTCCTCCAGTTGTCTTTGCTTCTGTCTCTTCTTCAATTCCGACTTGGACACTCTCTCACCAGTGACCTCGTCGAGGTGGAGATTGGCGGTGTCTTGCGTTACAGACTCGGTGGCGTCCGCCATGATGAAAGGGCCAACAGGCTGAGGGGGACAATGGTTATGACTTGTATCCGTCGAGAAGATCGCAGCTGCAACGGGTTGATTTGAGAGTCACGAAATAAAATGTCCTGAAAAATGACTCACTTAGTGTGGGGTCGTGTGCTTCACTGACTCATGTTGCTATTGATGTTGGCGAGGGGCACGCGAGGGCGAAGAGGGATAACTACTTGTATGCGAATCCTCTCTGCGATTCTTTTGCGACTGTCTATTAAGCCTCGTCGCATCAACATTTGACCTGCGAACAGTCGAGATTGTCGATAGGCATACGTCGCCCGTTACTATGGAACTTCAAGGATACTTGTATCGCCTCTCTCATCATCTAGTCCATCATCTCTGCCCTCTCCCCGTAGTTGCCAATCTCAACGTCGAAGCGAAAGAGAAACATGCCTCAAAGCATCTTCAGAGCCGTAGACACGCACAAGCCCCAGAGTCCACCTTGCATCAACCAAAAGGCGCTTCCGAAAAACCTGCCGGCTCCATTCTTCTTCTGGCTGCTGATATAGCCAAAAGCGAAGGCGATTCGGAAGGCGAGCCAGGCCGTCCCCAACGCGGCCGTGGCCGTGGGATGCTCCAAGCCCGCAAACAACATGTAGGCGATCGTCTGGGGCATGTTCTCGAGCAGATTGCCGTGCGCTCTCTGGGCGCAGTTGAACTTGTAGGCGGCTTGGCTCTCCTTGCACTTCTCCTGCGACGCGTAGGCGTTCGGGTAAGGCACGCCGGCTGGCTTGCGCAGGCGGGTCACCACGTTGCCTTGCATCCAGGAGAGGAACGGAATGGCCCCCAGAGCGACGAGGACGACATAGCTTCAAGTTTTTCATTTCTGTCAGCTCGTGCGAATCCGGGGAAGTTGGGTTAGAGCGGAACTCACCCGTAGCGGTCGGGAAGCGTGAGAGTGTACGCCATTGTTGAGATCCGCGCTTTCTTTAATGCGTGTAGCCGTCGAAACTGGGCCAGAAATAGTCGATCGAATCCGTCGGTGTTCAGCTTTCTCTTCCAAAGATGGATGGAGTCAAGTGCTTAAGAGGAAACGAGCTGCCGTGTCAACCAAGGCAACAATCAATTGACGAGAGCTTCATCTCGGATGTTTGCATCGTTCCGAAGGGAACCCGGACGAACTTTGGTCCGAGGAGCTCGTTATGCCAGCGTGTTCGTTCCGTTTCTGCGAACAGGTCTTGCTCAATGCGCCCGGATAGGTGGTTGAGTGTCCTGTCCTATGGTGTTCGATGGAGTTTGGTTGGGTTGCCTTTCCACCAAGGCTTCCCAGGCGCTGACGAAGTCCAGGGCCAAAAGCCACGTTATCGACTGGGATCACACGCCTGCGAGCGATTCTACCGCAGTCCAAGAACTCACCGATTGTGCTTCCCAAGGCATTCGAGAAGATCAGAAGGCATGACTGAAAGCAACAGGTAGTGGGGAGGGCAGAGGCCAAGCGTCTTTAATATATGATATGTGATCTTGCATCCTCTGATTTGGTAGTAGTTCTGGACGCCTTATTATTATTCATCTCATCCGCGAGACGGATTGCGTGATGGGGGAGACGAGAACCAATCATGGGAAGAGAATCTGGTGCCCCAGCACTGGTACGTATCTCTTGTTCGAAACCCATCATAAAGTCCCTGGGACCTCTGGGAGCATAACCTAATAACACAATCTGGTCCTTTTCTCTATGGCCTGCTTCGCCCACAAAAACAACCGCGTCTGCACCGGCCTCTATTTGTCCCGAATGCCCAATCGTAAACCAGGTTACATGATGACCTCGTTGGCAACGTCACGCTTCAACTCCTTGTACGGCAGACAGATGCAGTTTTGAACCCGGACTTCATCTCCAACACCACACTCCTTGCCAAGGATAGTGATGCTCTGGACTTTCACCCCGTTCTTGATGATGGTAGTGCTGTGGTTGGTCACCGGTGTGGCAGTGCCTTCCACTCTAGCCCAGGCTCCGACACGACTGTTCCAGCCGATGATCGCATAGAGCACGCAGGCATCGTGTTTAATCTCTGCCTCGTCGAGGACGATGGCCTCTTTGACACGTGCTCCTGCGCCGATGATGGCCTTGGGCCCAATGGAGACGTTTGGACCTAACTTCGCCGTAGGATCGACTTGAGCAGTAGGGTGAATGAAGACTGGGGGTACGATGTTCGCGGATGGCGTGGCAATCTCCTCCGATTGCGACTGGAATGCTTTTTGGAGATATAGGGCGTTGGCCGGGACTGCAGACCCAGCCGTCTTGATCTGACGCCAGAAATCCTTGGTTTCATGGACGAAAAAGCGGTTGCTGTCGGCCAGATCAGGGAGAATGTCCTGCTCCAGCCGCATGACCTCGTTCCTTTCACCGTCTTCCTCCGGGTCGGCCATGAAGGACGAGTCGAGGTTCTCGGATGAAGGGTAGGAGATCATTCGTGGACGCTCGGTCTTGCGTTTGATGGCGCTCTTGATGGAAGGGAAGATGGCGTCTGTTGCGAAGAGGTACACACCACAGTTGATCAAATTGGAGATGTGGCTCTCTGGCTTTTCGACGTAGTGAAGGACTCGTTTCGTGTGGGCGTCGGACACAATGCAACCAAAGTTGGTCGCGGCATCGTTGCTGATACGAGTGCCAAGAATGACCGCCTCAGCGTCTTTCTCTTCGAAGAGTTTCAACATGGCCTCGAGGGGGAAAGAACAGCAGACATCCGAGTTCAGCACGAAGAATCTGTCGGGTCTGCCCTTCAGGATGGCATCGCGGAAGTGGTACAGACCTCCGGCGGTGCCAAGGGCCTGGTACTCGCGCAAGTACTGGATCTTGAATTGGGGGAATTCTCTCGAGGAGTCTTTGATGAAGTCACGGAAGACGTTTTCTTCGTAGTAGCCAATGAGGATGACCTCCTTGATGTCTGGGACTTTGGAGACGGCCTTCAGGCAGTGCCAGATGATGGGATGGCCGGCCACATCGAAGAGCGGCTAGAGGAGGCTTTCGTCAGTCACAGTTGAGTTGAGTCCGGGGTCGAACCTTGACTTGCCTTGGGGACATCGAGACTCAATGGTCGGAAACGAGTTCCTCGCGAAGGACCTCCGACCTGCTTACGTTCAGTCGAGTTTCTTTTGTCCAACTTGATTCGCTGGTCTTACCAGAATGACGGCCTTGGTCACAGCCTGGGCCCCCGTGGGCTTCTGGCGCGATGGAACTCTCAGCATCCTCAACCGGTCAAAGTCAATGCGAGTGATCTGGGGTTGATGGATGAGTGGGAAAGGGTCTTTGGAACAAGAATATGATGTCGGAGTCGGGTCGTCGAAAGGGCTGATTAACCTGCAGCTGAGGCGGCGCAGAGGCCACGGGGTCAAGTTTTTTGCCTTTTCACCGCCAAAGTGTCACCGGCATCTGATTGGTCAGTGGGCCAAGGCACTAAGCTGCTTCTGGCCGAGTCACTCAAGTCACTCATTCCACTTGGACGCCCACGACGCCCCCTGAAGACGCATGGAGACGCATGAACACGCCTCAAACACCCAACAAGGGCGGTGAAGGGCCCTGAAGATCGTTCCAGCCCACGTCTCTCATGCTTGGTCTATCCTACGCCACCCTTTGGAGCACGTGGATCAACGAGAGATTCAATCATTGTTGCAAACCATGGCCTTCACCCGTCAATTCTGCATGTTGGAAGCCCCTATTTCGATTCAGCAAATACTAGATAGGTATGTACGAGGTGGCCGCCGCCCGAAGATTGTCCAGACTGTGTCCCTGTGGTCTTTAGACACGCTCTTTCTTGATGTCTTCCTCCGTCAACTCGCGATGCACCCCGGTCTGAGCCACACCACCAGTAAGAGCGGCAGTTCCAACCTCCTTCAGAAACCCAAGACTCGAGGTCTCCTTCTTCCAATACACGATGTACTTGCTCTGAATCTCGATCAGGCTCATCCGAGGATCTTTCCAGGTCCCGTCGTGGACACCGTCCTTTAAATCCCCGAACCAAGCACTAACTCCCGTGCTATACAGCTCCTTGATCCTAGGATCGTCGTTACTGGCTGTCGTCGCGATCCCACTGATGGAAATCCAGTCCTGGGTCTTGCTGTCTTGGAAAGTAATCTGGACTTCCTTGTTCTTGTCAAGATCCTGAAATTTCTTCGAATGCTTGTTCGCCAGGTACAAGATGTCCGGTCCAGAGCGTTTGGCAACAGCCATCGAGCGGCCAACGGGGCCCACTCCCTGACGGTAGGTGTTCAGCATGCTCATCTTTATGCCGTCAATGAGCTCGTAGAGTTCCTTCCACTGGTCGGCCTTGGGAGTCTGCCGGTCATACTGTTTTGCAACCGAGGGATCGGTCTCGGAGCTGACTTCTTTGGGGTCTAGTGCTTCGGGCATCTTGAGAGGCGCTGTCGCGCTGATATTTCGAGTCTGAAGTCGATATGCAGAGAGATACCCTAATGATGAGCCACGGAGCAGACTTTTCGAGGTCGTGAATGTCACGAGCAAACGTCTTACGTTCACAGCAAAAGGCATGGCAAATGCGAAGAAGTCGAGGTTCAACAGCCGTATTTATCTCACCCCGTGGAAATGAAATCATCATGACTTACCAATGTGATCGATTTAAAGTACATGACGGCACCATCCTCGTCTTTCTGTCAACCAGTTAGAGAAGTAATATGCCGACGAGGAGTCCATCCCAGCATCTTCTGACCAACGAGACGTGCCGCTCCACGTTTCTTCCAGCCGTCAAAGCTGCTCTCATTGGTATGGCAACCGCCTTCTGATTGTTTTGACTGGATGGCTGGATCGATGAAAGACAAAGTGGTGACGACAGTAGAGTCTCGGGTTGAGATCATGCGTTCGCCAAGTCCCAAGGTCGGCATTCGGGCTGCGGACGATCCGGTAAGAGAGCACTTGGTTCTTCAGGACACCCGTCCAGCGTAAGAGTTCTGTGTGCGATGCGCATAACAGGAGCTGTCGGCAACCGGCGGTGGTGAATATCTCTGGACTAACACACGGTACTATGTAGAAGAGGAAGCGATATGACCTTTCAACCCGTGATTTGGAACGTTTCAAATGTTTATATAACTTCGTTACTTTCCGTAGAAGATGCGGTGGTAGCCACACTATTCTCAGACTTTATATGCATGTCTCTAGCTTATATAGGCCGAAGGCTCGATGGTCCAGAGCCCTAATCCTTCTCTAGCGCTCCCTGAGCAACAGCTTTACCGACCACCAATCTGCTTCTTTGACACAGGGGGGATCCAGCATACCGCCAAGTTGATGGCAATGGTGATGACACCGATGATCCAGAATGACTTCGCATAATCGGTCTTTTGATAGCGGAAGACGATGGCGAAGATGATGCCACCGAAATTTCCCATGCCACCAGCCATACCAGAAACCACGCCATTTGCATGAGGATTGACGTGAGGGACTAGAGCAAAGTTGGCTCCATTGCCCGCCTCCAAGAAGAAAGCCATCCCGGCGATGAGGCCGAACATCGTGTTTGTATCATGCGGGTCAAGAACGCCGATGACAATGAGGAAGACGCCGGTGATGACGCCCAGGGTATGGATCCAGACCTTCTTCACCCAGACGTTGTGAAAGCGCTTGAAAAGGAGGTCTGCGAAGATGCCTCCACAGGGGCGAGTAACAACGTTGAGCAAGCCGAACATAGCGGCCCATTGCCCGGAGGTGGTCTGGCCGAGCTGCTTGAAGTTCTTCTGGTAATATGTTCCAAGGATAGAGTTGATTGACAGTTCGGCACCGAAAGAGCAGAAGTAGCAGAAGGCGACGACGAGGGTCTGAGGAGCAAACATGGCCTTGACGACTTCCTTAGGCGTAGGCTTCACAACAATTTCGCCACGAGCCGTGTCGAGCATTTGTTGTTCAGTCATTTGAGCCTCGTGGTCAGCGTATACGGATATCTTGCGTTCGGCACTGGCATCATATTGCACCTTCTCGCCCGCTGGCGGACTGACTGGAGATACCGAAGTAGGCTTGTCAGTAATGCTGACACTGGGCCTATCAACAATGGTAGCCTGAACACCATGAGCCGCGAGGTGAAACTCAGCAGCACGATGGCGCTCGCTCCAGTTGCCAGTGGGTGTATCCTGACAAAGCACAAGAAGTCCCAGCGCAACGGCCACGATGACAATGCCCGGAACCACAAAAGCCACACGCCAGGCTGTGTGAGGGGTCAATCCATTGCTGAGGAGAGAATCATAGATGGATGGCATCAGGAAATAAGTGACACCGCCGCCCGCATTACCAAAGCCAGCGGTGAAGGCGTTGGCAGTGCCAACTACATTCTTGTCAACTGCACAATTTGTTAGCCTGCATTCCTATCTGCAGGAGATCAGCCCATGGCTGATTTGGTGAAGAGGAGATAGAACAGTATGCTAGGTGAAGGAGTACTTACAGAAGCCAGTGCTCCATACTTGACATGGAACGAAACTGCCACCAAGGATGCCAACAAAGAAACGAACAGCAAAGAGCTGACTCTTGGTATACGCAGTTCCAGCCAAAAATGTGGGAATGGCACCCACAACCAGGCAACCGGTGAATGTCCAGCGAGGCCCGAAACGATCGCAGCACGGGCCCGCGATGAGACGTACAAGCAAAGTTGCACACAGAGCGATGATGTTGGAGTTGGCAACATCGATTTTGGTCAACTTGAGGTCTTTTTGGATGGTGTCGTGCAACTATCGCCCGTCAGCCAAGTCTCTGAGATGTATACAATTCTCGAGAGTGCTTACCAAAGGAGGAAACGCGTACCATGACCAGAATGCCACAAAAAAACCGAACCAAGAAAAGAAAAATACTCTCCCGTACATGTTGATCGGGTTCAGGAACGGAATGGAGCGAGCCTTGTAGGTGATAGGGTTGACCTCAGGGGCCCGAAAGGGTAAGCCGAAGTCCATAGCCATCGTACTCGATAAGTGTAGGTTGTCCTTCTGATAGTGCTGTTGTTGGATTGTCTAGACTCCGTTTCTTTTGGGAGGAATGCTGGATGTGTGAAATTGGTTTCTGGAGGGAGCGGTGTGAGGGTACATATAGCCTCTGGGAAAGGGGTGGTTGAGCAGGAACCCCTCGTGTACTTGCAAATTCGACGTGACGTCTTGTTGTCCTTCTCCGGGGACAAAGTATAGGTGCAGTTCGAGACCACACTTTCTCTGAAGTACTATATCCGCGGCCGATCTCTCGCAGAGATCGGGTCACTCTGGACAAATCAGGATCGTCGTATGAACAAGCCACCTCAAATCAGGCCAGGGCCTTGCTGATAACGGAATAAAAATGGGTCTCTTCTTCGTTAGAACTGACCCCAGTCGATCAATGACGAGCTCCGAGGCGCTGTCCAGGTTCAAAACGTATTCAAATAGATGGACGTACACACGGCCAGCCCACCTTGTCAACACGCCTCGGAAATCCTTCTGATGTTCATCACGAGGAGTTTCTGCCTGCAAAATACATTGGGATTCTAGGCCTTACCACTTTGTGACTTTGGCAGAAATCACTTCGGTCCTGCTGAGGATTGTTGTGTCACTTCGATTCTTGTTAATCGATGCGATCATAGAACTCTCCTAAGTCTGGTGCTTGGACTAGATTGTCGATCCAACCTCCAGGATCGATGGATGAGATAAGTTGATATTCGTCGATCCTCCGATCGCAATGCTGTCGCTCGAGAGAGGCGTGTTCTGTTTGGCGCGGGATAGACGTGATGTCTTGCCTGGGGGACTAGCCTCATGGTACTTGAATGTTCGATAACCCAGAAGGTCCAATGCGTTGAGACTTCAGGCAAGATTGGCACAAGTCCCTTGAGCTGAGGTTCGAAGCTGAAGACGTGAAACTGTGGTTGGACGAGGCTTATCTGAGGCATGTACGCATTGGACCAACCTGGTGGATCCTGCTTATCAGACCACCAGCTTCGGTCGCATGTCTAGCGTCTTCAGCGCTTTCAGTTCCTTGTCGCAGGCATGGCATTTTGATAAGAGCCCGGTACTGTCTGCACGTCCATAACACTGCATCGTCTCCGCGGGGATAGCATGTCAGATAGCCGACCTCCAAAGTCAAGATCCTGTGGCGTTTGGAGGCTCTCAGAACCTACATTGAATCCAAGACAGATGCAAATATCGATCCCAACCTCCCTCTGCACGACCACTCAGTGTTTATCCACTCATTTTCGAGGCCCAAGGCGCTTCAAATGTTTTGCATTGATACCACAGGGCAGGCGAGGTGCTGGCGTTGGCAGTTGTTGAGCCGTGTGAGAAGGAGGATGTGGTTGAGACAGTCGCCCTTATCGAGCTCCGACGAGCCAATGGGGAGACGAATGTGGTGGACGGCAAGAGCATTTCAACGCTAGTCCATTTCGGCTCGTACATTCTTGGCATCAAAATTCCCTATTCCAGGAAAACTGCCTTGCTGCCGGTTTGTGAGTGACCAGCCCTTGGCTGTCCGTTGAGAAGCACTGCCCGCAGCAGGGTCCAGTGCACACATGGGTCGTCTTGGACGAAGTCGTCATTTTCCAGCGCAGCCAGGCCACTAGCCACAACGAAGATAACGACAAGAGTGTGTCTCTCTCCGTCCTGATTTGCTCGAGCATTCTGCTCAGTCCACCCTCTCTATCAATGGCCCTGCGTCGACCAGCACCCCCGAGAGATATCTCGGAAGCATATGCGTGTGTGACCGCCAGACGCTGCAGCATGGTTGAAGGTGCAATCGTCGGAGAAGGAACTTCAGCACCAGTTCCAGAATACCGACTATCCCCTTCCCCCCCACCCTTTCGAAGACTTGGACGCGCTCCCCTTGCCTCCTCTGCCGACTGCGTCCATGATTTCACGCATCCATGACTCAGGGTATTTCACAAGCCTGGCCTGTCCGCGCTCATTCCTCCGAATCCTGGTCTAGCAAGACGTGGACCATCTACATACGATGTCTCAAGTCAAGTGCATATTGGAACCCCTTTTGCTCGGGGATGTACCAATTGTGATCTACATGAAGTCTTGCAGCGACCAAAGGTGCTGATACTCAGAGAGTAGCGGGCATCATCTGCCTCCACCGCAGGGAAAAGCGTTCCCACAAATCTTGCACCATCTGCGAAATGTCGGCTGGTAATTCGATCAGGATCGTGGAATATCTCACCTAATGAGATTAACTCGATACAGAACCATGCACAGAGTCTTTTCTTGAACCTGTCTCGGTCGTATGCTGGCTTCCTCCCTGATGGCAACCCGACCGCCTCGGACAGCGCCCTTTCTCCGTTTGTGCCAACGGGCTTTCGAAGGTGTTGGATTATAGAGTGAAGAGCAGCGCAATTTGCAGTACACGTCAAGCGCTCTATGCACGTTGACACGGATGAGACACAGTACAGCTTAGCACAATACTGTCGTCATTGAATGGTATGCCGAAGCACGTACGCGTTGAGCGACTGCGCCCACAGCCAAGGCGCAAAAAGGTACATGTGAACAAAGCTCGTGTTCCCCTCCTCTGTTGATGAGATGAACTAATGTGTGAATTTTCCCACCCTTGCGAAAACACATGTCTCTACCTCCCTATGGTGTAAATCCTGTTCATATTCCCCATAATTGGAAGCAGCACAAGACCAAGGTCCCGATGTGTCTTTTACCGAAATCCCATAACGAGACGACGTCCAATTTCACTAGCCCTTTCTTTGCGTTACATGAACTATGTATGAATACAATGATGCGAAGCCCTTTCATCGAGCTGCTTTTTCCACGAGTGAGCCACCAGCATCCACCCGATGTTGACGAACACGACCAGGAGAACTTCATAACCGTGATACAGAAGAGGAGAAGAATCACGACGCCGTTCCAAACTTCTTTTTCCTTGCCTCGGCAGCTGCACGGTCCGCGTCTGTAGAGAACGCCCCTTGCTTGGTGACCCCAGAAGGCTTCTCTCCCGTTCTCCGCCGCGAGTTATCCCTGCCGCCTCTTCCGCGGAATCGACCTCCACGGCCTCGCGCTCCTCGACCACCAAAGCTCTTTCTCAGACCGGGATCATCCATGGCACCAGTCTCTTCGGTTCTGCCTCGTTTCCTTGAACCGCGCTCACGCTCTTCCGGCAAGGCTTCGTCCAGCTTTCCCACGGCTGTCTGACCAGTTCCAAAGCGTCGCGCGCGCTCCAGAGCTTTCTGCGCATCGCCGTCTGTAGCGTTTGTTTCTGTTTCGCCATTTGTAGGGGCTGCGCTGGTACCGAACCTCTCAGCGCGCGCCTTTCGCTTGGCCATCTCTGAGTCCACGTCTGATTGCGGCAGGTTCAGGGCGTAGGAGGTCGAGTTGGCAAGTGCGGTGTCGGTATTTGCGGAAGGGGAGTCCTTTTCATCCACGCTTGCAGGTGCCGCTGTGAATTCTGTGGCTGCGGGTTCCTCAGACGTAGTTTCTGGTGCTGGTGCTGGTGCTGCTGAGGATTCTGGTGCTGGTGCAGGCTGCGCGGTGGTAGACTCTGCCGGGGGTGCCTTCTCAGTCTCTGCGCGCAAGTTAACCAAGACATGCCTATGGCGCAATGTCATTGAACCCAGAGAAGGGCGGAATGGCATTAGGAGAGGATCGGAGCGCACTCGCACTTAAAGCGACGTACCATTTTCTTCGGCAGCTTTATCTGCTTCATTCAGCCTTGCGACAAGTTCAGCCTTCTTTCCCGAGTGTGGTAGGCTCCGCGACTTCAGGATTTCGATCAGCTCAACCACTGTCTTCTTCGAGTAGTCGACCATGGTCGCGGTCTGGTCAGGGATCTGAGGAGCAGGAACGCGCCACCGGCGCTGGACAGGAGGCAAGATCGAATCAAAAAGAGGAAAATGTATGGGATAGCAGGGCCGAAATCGTAGAAGGGTCCCAAAAGATCAATCGAGAAGGCATCAATTCCCCGTATGTGAAGAATTGCAACAGTGTTCGACCAAGGTTCAGCGCGTTCGCAGGGCGACGCAATTGGGCCACCAGGCTGAGCATCGAGGAATGTGGGTATGGGCATATCTGGCCGCTTTAATGCCCCATTGATCCAACGTCATTTCATGTTCCTTTCAGCTTCCCTTGTCGAGGCGGTCTCGCACTCGCTGACAACTTCTCCATTCCATCCAGCAGGGTAAATCTGCTGGCTTTCGTTAAGGTCCTGCAGGGCTCCCAGCTTTCGGCCTGCACGGCGCCGCGGCAAGCATCTTTAGCACCGGCTGATATGCCCTTGTCTGAAAAGGAGCTCTAGCCTCAGTCGACGTGACTGAGGGGCCGCCACACAACGCGTATTCCATGGCCATGTTTACCTACGAAGACCGTGGCTTTTGTAGGTAAGCCGAGGATGTGATACCAGACAGGTTGGCAGTATTGATGTCCTCCCGATTTGCCGCCCATACTTCGTCTGGCAGTGTGCCAGAGATGTGCCTTCCGACTTTCATCTCAGCGAAGGGTTCAAGAAGGCTAACAGAATGATAAAGCTGGATGATCTTCTCGCACGAATGGTTGGTGCAGTCTTACCGATATTCCTGCGGTATTTTCCACCGGCGGCAGATAGCTTACCGCTGGGCCACTCCTGTTCGTACTTGTGTTGCTGACCCTCCGAATCTTTGTCTTTCTGCAAGGACTGAGGGATTCCATCGGCGTGTTGGTGAGTGAATCTGGCAACAGATAACCTGGCTAGTATGCCGTGTGTCCTGAGGCTTCGCCGTCCACCAACAGCCGGTCGATTGGAAGATATCATGCGAGCCCTCCTACAAGGTTCAGGGGAATGGAGTCTCCACCTGTCCTGTCAAAGCATTTTACGTGGTGGCTGAAATGGGAAGCACATTTCTTCAAGGATGGGCGACAGGGAATTCTGCTGCATAGGTCCCTGTTCTGGCTCTCGTTCATCGACTGGTGTGTGCAAATATGGTGGCCTAGACCAACAGCGAACATTCACATTTTTCCGCGCTGAAACGCTTGCACTAGGTGCCCTTCGTAGTCTGAACGCCATGTTTCGAGGAGGTCGGGGCTCGCTACTGATTTGGGACGATGCGCCAGCCTCGTCCATTGCCAAGGATGCGTGTGCTAGCGAGAATCTGACTTTTTGTCCTGGCCCCCTTCGGTTGAAGCTGTTGGATACATTTTGATCGGATCTTAGCTTCTTTCAGCCTCAGTTTCAGCTGGGATGGTCCCACGATCCCAAGGCTGAAGAGCCCGACAGCCTTGCTATGCCGAATCGGGACAGGGTGTTCGGCGAGTCATTGGATCCGAAGGCGCACAAGATAGTGAGTTGTTGCCAGCGCATCACTTCTTCCCTGACAGGCCAGCTAAGGTCAGGAGGGATGCTTGACGAATATCGGACTTGGCTCTGGCGTCGTGACCGAGGATCACTGGATCCAAGGGCTTAAGGGTTTTATTTGTTTCGTCCGAGCAAAATCTTGACATAATGGCCCAGCACCGCCAAATGAAGCATGCTCCGTCTGTTTCCGGTATCTGTTCTAAGCTGACTGAACTTACACAGGCGCCGCGTCAACTATGGATATGTATCAGAAGTAAAACGCCAGCAGCCCCTTCAAACTCTGCGACAGCCAGCCACCAAACTCGGCATATCGATCTCTCATAGGAGGGAGACTATCAGAGGAAGTTCTATCAATGGCCGATGGTTGACTGATCCTATTGGGTCGCGCCGTCGCGTGATACTACGGCCTGCCACCTTTCAAGACTCTGCTTGGACCACACATCTTGTTCATTATAGTTGCCGTCTTCGAACGCGGGGACCTTGTCCGAGAGGATAATCCAGGGTTGCTTCTCAGCAGCCCAGATGTGGGCATTCGGTGCGAATAGGTCTGGTTTGTCCAAGGTCCCCACACGCACAATGCGGATGTGTTCCTTTACATTGGCTGGGTTATCGAGGTAAACACTCCAAACAGCAATCTTGCATCTTGGACAACGTGCGATGTTTTGCCCGGCGCCACTTTCGCTCGGCACGGTGATCCATTCCGGCTCGTTCTTCAGGAGTTTCAGCCTGTCAGTTTCGATCATGGCGTTAAGCGCAAAGGAAGCCCCAGTTTCCCGCTGGCACCATCGGCAGCTGTGCAGTCTCAGCAGAGGACATTCACATGGCGTGATATAGTCTACAACTCACTGACAGCAGTGAACAATCATCGGCTCGGTCAGCAAGGAGTAGCGCACTTCTCCACAATCACAACCCCCTTCAATGGGGAACGCAACTCCTTGCGGCGCCATGGTGCGAAGTTGAGGCTTGTTTGACGGAGGTGCTAAGAGGACAGTGCTGGATGGCGAACAGTTATGGTTGGCTCACAAGATCTGGATCACACACCACGTCCCGTTGGAAGAAGGTAGCTCAAGAATTGGGAAGGGAGGTTTTCTGGGACACACAAACCCAATTGCGGTAGTCAGTCTCCAAACCCCAACTCATCCCGCATATCAGGTGATCGGATAGACCTGCTCACAGTTGAGGGTGCAGGGATTACCGTATCGAAGGCACATCGGAGAATTTGCGCCAACAAAACCACGAGAACCTCCACAAGGAACGTGGTGGGCACGCGGGCGGGATTCGCCAGACATCCTTTGGAGCACATCCTATCAAACGTCCCGAGTCTCAAGATCAGCCACGAACAGAGATATTTGCCCGTCTCTCGATGCTAATTGGTGGCAAGGGTAGAAAATGGCGGACGCACGAGGGAGAATCGGGGAAAAAGAAGTCTGGAAAATTCGAGCTCGGAGGATTTTTCCAAGCCACCGCTTGATGGGGAGGCATGCAGATGCGCAGGGCTGGCCGAGCGTCCTTGGGGCATGCAGAGCGCTAAAGGAGTTGCTTGCTGCATTGTTGACTCGCAGGAGCACGTTAGAGAAGTGTGACTTCCTGCAGGAGTTGCAGTGATGAGCGTGATCTCAAACCGTTGCCGAATCAGCCACATGAGCGGATGTGTTTCATATGGTGATGAGAGATAATAGCATGTGGCGGAGGCCAGGCATGTTGCCGTCGTCTCCCGTGGTGGTGACATTGTCTCTACCAGTTCCATAGTACGAAGTCCTTTGGACGAGAGGTCGATCGTAACGGGGCGCAAGCAAGGTCCAAGGCCTTAGTTGCGGTTTTCTGGTCTTTACCCCTCCCGTACCGGTATCGCCAGAGCTCGCTCGGCCCCTGTGAATGAGGCTTTTTCTGTATAATACAGTTTGCCTCGATCAGATGCTTGTTCTGGCATGGTAAAGCCGTTCAACGCTGCCATCGCAGTGCCCAGAGGCAAAAATAAAAACGACGGTGCGCTCCCCAGAACGGACGGGGCACTGGCAGTGGCCCGAGCCTCGGTACAGTGGGGGGAAGGGTGCACCTATCCAAGGCGCTGGGAGCGACATGACTTTAGGGCTAATGGGCTATGCAGTGGGCTAGCTGGCACCTAGCTCATTCAGCCCGGAGTGTTGCCACCACCCGTAAGAAGCACCCCCAATAACTCGGCGTTGTCCTGACTCCTCAACTCCTCCTGCACCCCCCACTTTCGCGGCCGCTCCTCGACTCCAGACCCCGTCACTGGCTCTCATCCTCTTCGCAACTTTTGCCCACCGGTCTCTTTGCTGGGTTCAGCAAAGGTCACCCCCCCTGCTGAATCAGATTCGACTCCATTGTGACAATACGAGGGCGCCAGTCAGTTGAGAGCTGCTTCCAAGCGTCAGTTTCAACCGGCGCAGATCCAAGCGTCGCCACATGATGGGCCTCGAGGCCACTCCTCTCCTCCGTGACCTTTGTTGACAGCCTGGCGTCGGCATCGCCTTCGGAACCCTGAATTCTGCCTATGATGCGGCTATCCTCGCACATGCCACCCACATTGGTCGTCATACCATCGCACATGACCTCGTCAACGCACGATTCCCACGCACGACATCTAGCGAGTTACGCTTGCGGATGCCTGTCCGTCCATTTGATCGGTACGTACACAGGCCCGAATCGGTTGCTGAGTTTGACTACAGGGACAGTCTCCCTACGAAGCCCCAGAGTGTCTTTGATCGTATTTGTCCAGGCATGTCAGCCGCAACCCTGGTCCGGCCTCTCCAAGCTGTGCGCGGGAGGACCCATGACGGAGACCCGTCCCATATGCAAGGCCTATCAGAACAAGAGATGGCCTTGGAACTTGGACAGCCCCAAGAGGTCTTGACGCCTTGCAGCAAAAAAAGCCAGTTGACTCCAGGTGATGAATACGAGTTACCCGCGGCCCAGTTACCGGGCCCCCCGCCCCGTTGGAAGGTTGAAGACCATGCATGCATGGTGGAAAATCCCTCTGATCATGAAGCAAGCCATCAGCATCAGCCATTCCAAGGGAACGGGGTTTGCTTTAACGCTGGGCCCAGCATTCTCTCGTCTTGTGCCCCAACTAACCCAATTCGCCTCGGCCGGTCTCTGTGTCGTTACAAGATGCCTGCAAAGTCCGCTTGGTCTCATGCAACCACTTCCCTCTCGGGCCTTTATCACCCCAGAAAAGGACTTCGCCTCCCATCTTGATTTCCTTTCCCTTACCCTTCTCACTGTACACGCGTCCTCCTATCTGGACGTCGCCAGCATCTGGATCATCGTCTGCAGTGTCACGTGCCTCATTCGTGGCTACTATTTTTTGCCTCGGTGTGGCCGACCGGGCTATACAGGCTTATGTGGCGCATTCTGTCGATCAAAATTCCCACCGCTATACTATTCCCGCGCGGCTGCCCGACAAGACACTGAGCATTTACCAGACTGTCTCGGGTATGAATGACTTGTGCGACATACGGTCTGAGTCATTTTGAAAAAGAAACATTGACAAAATCCATCTTGGAGGCCGTCTCGCTTCCTCTGCAAGCCTTCGACAAGAGTAACCAGTTTTACTTCTGCGCCTGAACGCCACCTGCAGGCATGTGCCAGTCCAGTGTCTGGTCTTGATCGCTGAGGAAAACGGAATGAGTCGAACGTGTTCAACATTATTGCGCGCATTCAGGGAGGCCGGCAAGGAGGATCCCAACCGACACAGGACATGTCGCACAGAAATCCGACGTATGACACCCAACATGGTGTTTCCAGAAACAGAGATGCTACCGTGCCACGAACCACCAGAACAACAGGCTCTCGTCATGGAGCCCGTCAGTTCGACTCGACACGACCCACCCCAAGCGCACGTCCGGCTTCACGCTCACCACCCTCTATGAGGGAAGCCCCGGCGAGTCCTGGTGAAAAGTCCGGTCAAAGACCAACAGCCATTCCACGACCAGCGACAAGAAATCCCTCGCAGCGCTCTATTGCGACTGCGAAGAACACCACTGCCTCTGTTGGAATGAGCAAGCCAACTGCACGTTCAGATTCAATGTCGCAGGAGGTCCCTTTACTCATGGAATCTTATCCGGGATCGAGACGGAGAGATGAGGCCTCTAGTAACAGGAGATTGGCTTATCCCTTGGGTCTCTCAACTGATGCACAATCTTCCTTGGATGTTGATCAAGATGCCATCTTCGGCATAGTGATGCCGAGAGCAAACACGTCCATTCGCACAGGCGAACTGCCGCCTCGATTGATTCCAGAGTTGCAAGCTCTTGCAGCTTCGTCGACGAGACAACCGCAAACACTGAATAAATCCGCAAGCTCGATTAGCAGTCCATCAACTCGGTTCTCCAGTTCTCCAAGTCCATGGAGTGTATCCACCACAACGACAACTCCGACATCTTGGTCTTCGGCATCACCTGGTATTGTGCAGCAAGTCCCGGTGACAGGCTCGGCAAAGCGGTCGCAAACAGTCCCACTTCCTGTAGGCAAGCGCGAAAAACCTCCCAAAATGCCAGCTCTTCCAGAATCCCTTCCAGCTGTGGCGAGTGAATGGCCAGCAAGTTCGAAAGAGTCTGTGAAGTCGTCTGGCAGGAGAAGAACGCCTTTGAACACTCCAGCTCCTACCCCGCCTCCAAGGTCTTCGTCTGCCAAACATTCACTGAGCAGGAGCAGTAGCAAAAGCGATAGGCAACGCATTAGACCGGAGCAACAGCCTACGCCTTCCTCATCCGACCTGGAACGCAGCCCATTGGCGGCGCGAGGCCATCCAGATCTTGGAAATGTCGGAGAGTCACTACAGCATCGCACGCTTGTACGTGCTCATGCCAATCTTCAGCAGTCTTTACGCGACACACCGCCCGGGGCAACCATCCAAGCCGCGGACGCCTTCGACGACCAAAGAACTGGTGCGCTTGACAGTTATCGCTCGGGTTCCAGTCGTCGCCACCCAGAATCATCGCGTCGAAATCTCGACACTCGGCCTCAGCCGGCTGACATTCCGCCGGTACAAGAGAGGGTTGCGCCCATGGCCGCTCGTCCGAAGACTCCTCGGGACACAGAAGTCGCGACACAAAGCTCCCCAGGCCGCACAGGCAAATTCTCTCGCTTCGGACTGTTTGGTCGCAGAACCAAGTCCCCAGCCGCCGATGTCGAAAAGTCCCCCCGGAAACTGCAACGCAAAGGACCTGCGGCTGGGACAGGTCACGAAGGGTATGGAAAATATGGAAGAAGAGGCCGCAAGACATCCGAAGAGAGCGGCTCGGCTAGAGGAAGCGAGAGCGAAAGGTCCGTGAGCAGCACTAGACGGGTACCTATATTCTCCTCCAAAGGCAAGGAGAGCCGCAGTAGCAGCCGCCACAATCGAAGCAGCCAATCCGATCTCGATGAGTTTGCAGCAAGTCGCATGAGGCCCATTCCTATCATTGGTGGCTCTGGTAGCAGCATGAAGAGCAATTCTGGGACTCGACTTGACGTATTTGAGAGCTCTTCCGTTCCACTTGGGTTTGGAGTAGAGCCGTGGCAAATCGCTTCACAGTCACAGACCTCTATTGGCCAACAGTCAGTTCAAGACAGCCCGCAGATCGCTCGGGACCGGGTATCGAGTCAGGGTAGTGTCCCTACGCTGGCAATACGACGATCGCAGCGCTTTGGCAACGATGCAGAGAGTTTCAGTCTCCCAACACCAATTCGGACCGAAGGACTTTCAGCGCCAATGTATATTAACAGCCAAGACGACAGCCGTTCTTCAGCTTTTCCGAACTCTACACCTAGCACAACTACTGATCCTAGCCGTGGCGATGCTGCACTGCAGAAACCCAAGGATAAGAAGTCTAGAAAGCTCAGATGGAATATCTTTCGGAGAAAAGGACCCGAACCAGAACCCGAGAGACCCATCGGTGCATCTTCGTCGTCGCCCGAGGAGATGCCGGTGAGCATATCCTCTATTCCTGTCTCTCGGCCTATGCCGTACTACGCCGTGATGGATTCTGAGAGTGAAGTCAATCCACCCGAGTATGTTGGCGATTACCTGGCGCAGGTTGTTGATTCACCCGCAGTCAGCCCATTGATCGGGGGATACGAGCCAGACTTTGCAGAGGATGAGGTACAACCACCCATGCATGAGGACAACGTCTTTCTCCCAACTGCGCCAATATCGCCACCTCAGTCATTTGCGAGGTCGCCGCCAGCAGTGCCACTGCGAAGCCAGACCGAGAACGCTTCAGTGCAAATAGATGAGCAGCCACAGAAACAGCCGCGCCTGATCCGAGTCGGAAGAATCCCACCCGTGGTACCAAGGAGTGAAAGACAGCATAAACCTAGCCGGACTTCGTTCTCTCAACCGTTCGTTAGAAATCCTACTTCTGAGAATCCATACGCCCAGTCGGACCCCTCTGAATCCGCGCTGCCTATGCCACTCCAAATCAGCACGGATGTGCTACCGAGCAGACCGTTCGCTACTGTGGATAGTGCCAAACCCGCCAGTGCTCCTACATTGGGAGAGACAGAGTTCTTGCGATTCCCGTCGAGGCAACCGTCGGAAGTCTCTGCATCCAGCAGCTCGGAAGGAGTTTTAAGCATCCTTGGACCACCTTTATTGCCTGGCAGTGGCGTCTCTGCACGACCTCCTCTAGCGGAAGATGTCTACCTAACAGGGAGTCCTAGCCTTGACGAAGTCTGGAATGAATACGACGATTTTATTGACCATGTCATGTCCCCTTCTCGAAGCAGGAAAAGTGTGAAAGCCCTGGCACAGCGAGGTAAGCCAGGACCACCGCGCCTAGAGACTCTTCCACAGTTTGCGCGGTCGGATCAGCAACCGGACGAAGAACAACCAGATCTCATCTTGTCAGAATTTCCCACCCCTGGCATGAAGAGACCTGTCTTCGCACAGACCCTAGCCACTTCAGCTACCCCTCCAGTTGTGTTCCCTCCACCCACAATGCCTGAGCCCATCGTAGGGGAAGACATTCGATTACGCCGATCGAGAATCGTTTCGGCGCTGCACCCCTCGAGCGACCCTGCATCGCCCTTCTCAATTCGCGACATACTGAGCGAGTACGAAAATCATGCACGACATAGTACTAAATTGTCCGACCGCCTGAGCACATCCACGGCGAATCGATCGCTGGAACGCTTGACCACGACAAGCAGCGCACCCGAGATGCCTCCAGAATCCACTCATCAAGAAAACGTTACTCTACTTGATGTTGTCGAGCGGGGCAAGGACCCGGTCGGTCAGTCAGAGTTGCACTATGCCTCGCTTATGGTGTCGAAGTGGTTATCATTTGGACGAGTTTTATTCTCACCCGGTCATGATAATATCCTTAAATCCCCAGTGCGCCATATCCTTGTCATTGACGGATTAGGGAATGAAGATTGGTCAATATATTGTGCAGTGACTTACGAGCCGCAAAAAGCATATGTCCACGATCTTAAGGAGAAGGCCACAACAAAAGGAACGAAGACATCGAAACACTCTCAGCATGCCCCAGACAACCATCGGCGAGCAGAAGTATCGAGTTTCTACGAAAAGTTCCCTTTCCCCCAGGATTTTTTCTCCGTGGTTGTCCTTCGCTTTCCTCCTGCAATGGCTGAAGCAAAAATGAAGAATATTGTGTCTGAATGCAAACGAGTGTTGCAGCCAGGCGGCTATCTGGAGCTGATGCTGCTGGATCTTGACATCGTCAACATGGGCGTGCAGACTCGAAGGGCTGTCCGAGAGCTCAAGTATAGAATGACGACCGCAGACAAGCAGATCAGCCTCCGACCAATTATTGACAATGTCCAGAGCGTGTTGGGCTCCCGCGGGTTCACCAACATCAGCCGCTGTGTAGTCGGAGTACCCGTCGCAGGACGCCCATCAGGATCTTCCGATTCTTCATCATCGTCGCGCTCGAGTCGAGGATCGGACGGCTTCTCAAAGCGAGGATCCGGTGACACGCGGCCGGGAGATGCGTCTCCACGAATGACATTCGGTCAAGGTCGTAGAGGAGCCAACCTATCTCTGAATGACCTTCTTTCCGATCGCTCAGATAATGCGGATCTCCGCATTGGAAAGATCGTGTCGAGGACGGCTCGGACGTGGTGGCAACACTGCTTTGAAGCCAGCGTTATTAGCGATGGCAATCTCGCCAGAAGTATTTTCGCTGACAGAAATGTCCTGGGAGAATGTAAAGGTCGAGGGTCGAGTTTCAAGATGCTCATCGCATACGCTCAACGACCCATCGTCGAATCATCACGTCGGCGAACAATGAGTGAGCCAGTTGTCCCAACACTGGCTACAGCAGGAGGGAAAATACAACATCAGCCATCATCCCGCAATCCACGCACAGCCTGAGTCTGACCGAGCTAAGACATCAGGCTGATTTATTCCACACCATAGTTGCCCTGGCGGCGTTACGGACGAAGTATATGAGAAGAATTGCCACGACACGACATCGAAAAGAAAGTTGCATTTGAATGATTTGTTTCGAAGATACCCCTCTCCCACATACCGCCGGCAACTTTACGACTGCTTTGTTATTTGGAGCGACTCAGCACTTGATTTAAGAACGGAGGCCTGAAATATCGTTGTACCCAAAAGTTCAGCGTGCAAGAGACGACAACGGCTACAGTGCCGACCAAAGAGTCCGGATTGGCGCAAGCCAGCTGGGATAGATGGATGACGGACGTCTGGAAAGCAAGGCTGCAGGTCGGCATTCCTCTCAGACAGAGTCATGATATAGACATAATAACTATGTTCTAATTCTAAACACATCAGCGTAAGCATGGTTCTCTCTGCTTGTACTACAGCGAAGTGTGTCACAGCCTATGCATCGTCAAAGGATGTATGAGGCTGAAGCAGGGCGGCTGTCTGAATGTCTATTCATAGCAAAGCGCAAGCGCCGAGGTAATTTAATGGTTTTTGTTTTCGATCCCCGTGCGTTGTGCGCAGGCCTAGCCAGCCACCGGACAAAGGCGAGAGATCCTGACCAGTTGCAAAGGCTGGACTGAAGGAACAACAGGCGAATGGCGGGGCAAGACAGGCGCCCGGGTCTTGCAGGGTCTTGAGGACAGAGGTTTTTTGCTTCGTTTGCAGGAGAGCAGTTGTCACCGATGTGTAACCCATAGCCAGGCACCGATATCCCTGGCATGTTCCTTCTAGCCGCTCGTGGCAAATGATTCGCGTTTTACTGGAGTTTGGCCTGATGCGTAGAGGCGAGACTGAGGATCGTCGCTGGCGAGAACCAATACTAGTAAAATCCTAAAGGCGCTGCCTCTCATTTTCTGGGCCTGGGTTTCCCCCGTTTCTCTTGACATGTCTTCTCGTTCCACATCTATTCCTCATCGTACTTCAGTCTCCTCGACTACATCGACACAGCATTCCCAGACCCAGTCACTGGCTCCCACTCAACAGAGATCTCGCCAGCAACCTCAGAGGCTTACTGCGCAACAACTTGCCGAGCGGGTCATCTCGCCAGCCTCACTTCTGTTCCCTGGCGGTGCCCCGCCTTTCAGACGAGAAACCCAGCAAGAGCGACCACTACGCACAGAGATGGATCGGAGGCATCCCAGCTCGTTCCAACAGCTGGAAAAGGTACGTTGGCCGCTGTGTACCCTCCCGGCCATGAGTTGTCCTTACTGACCGAAACCCCAGCTAGGAGAGGGGACGTACGCCACCGTCTACAAGGGGCGAAACCGACAGACCGGTGAACTCGTCGCCCTGAAAGAAATCCACCTCGACTCCGAAGAAGGCACGCCGTCGACAGCGATCCGAGAAATCAGTTTGATGAAGGAACTCAAACATGAAAACATTGTCACTCTGCACGATGTCATACACACCGAGAACAAGCTCATGCTGGTCTTCGAATATATGGACAAGGACTTGAAAAAGTACATGGACGCACGGGGGGATAGGGGCCAACTCGACCATGTCACCATCAAGAGATTTATGCAAGATCTACTTCGGGGCACAGCATTTTGTCATGAGAATCGAGTCCTCCATCGGGACCTGAAGCCCCAAAATCTCCTGATCAACACGAAAGGGCAGCTGAAGCTGGCGGATTTCGGCCTTGCAAGAGCATTTGGGATTCCAGTCAATACCTTTTCCAACGAAGTGGTCACGCTGTGGTACAGAGCGCCAGATGTGCTTCTTGGGTCAAGGACATACAACACGAGCATCGACATCTGGTCTGCGGGCTGCATCATGGCCGAGATGTACACTGGCCGGCCCTTGTTTCCGGGGACGACGAACGAGGACCAACTTCAAAAGATTTTCAGGCTCATGGGGACGCCGTCGGAGCGGACATGGCCCGGCATCTCTCAGCTCCCCGAGTACAAGAGCAACTTCCCATCTTACGCTACGCAGTCGCTGGCGATTCTCTTGCCGCAGATTGACCAGTTAGGGCTCGATCTGCTGGGCAAATTGCTGCAGCTCAGGCCAGAGAACAGAATCAGCGCCCAAGACGCTTTGAGGCATCCGTGGTTTTCGGATCTGCCAAACTACGCTGGACACGGAAGGACCCATGTTAGCTCGACGATGCAGCAGCCTGGACAGTTGGGACATCAGGGTGGAGTTGCAGGAGCGTATGGTGCTCAACCTGGTTTGGTAGGCTCTGGTGGCGCATATTGACCCGTTTGGTGATGAGAGACATATCCTTTTGTCTGCATGAGTGAAATGAGAGGCAATGTGACGGTCTCCATGAACCATTACACCTGAGAGTTGTTCAATGTTGGCGGGGGATGTGGAAATGGTTTGAAACACCAAGGTTTACCATTGTGATACCCTCGTCTCTTTGAGGAAGCATCCTGCAGATATGGCGTGGAGGGTGGAGGCATCTCGGTATGGGTGCAACACAGGCAGGCATTTCATCCTTAGGCGCAGCAATTGATAGTATGAGTTGACGACTCCCTAATCTTCTTGCGTACACGCAGTCCAGTATCTTGTGTTGGCGGAACAGTTTTGGGGCGTTGATGAATTGTTAAAGCAGCAGCACCGGAACTGGCTGGTGTCGGCGACGGGATCCCCCAATTTTTGGCTTTTTTGAGCTCCGCTGGAGGACACTAGCGCTCCTTTCGGCCTCCCAACATACGAGCACCAGCTTGACAGACTCCCATCCACTTAACTCTTCGTTGGCGCCCCCATTGAATCTGTTGCATCTCTTCTCCTTCCTTTTCCCCATTCAGAGATGCTGTCAAGAGCGTGTTTAAGAGGCTTCGGCCTGCAGTCACTGCCGAAGAGACAAGCGTACCAGCTTGCTCGACGGACCGTCACCACTGACGCTGCGAGCTCTCACGCAGAAAAGGACGATGTCCCCGAGGCAAGGCGCACCCGTTCCTTCTCGAGTCTCGTTTGTGTTCGAGGAGAAGCTGACAATGCCCCTGCAGGAAGACGATAAGCCCTTCCCGGTCAAGCTCTCCGACGAGAGTTTTGAAACCTACAATCTCGATCCTCCCCCATACACCATGGAAACCACGAAAAAGGAGTTGAAACAGATGTACTATGACATGGTAGCAATACGGTGAGTAGAATATGACAGGAACAAATTGCCAAGATCGTTTCTGACGTTTGCAATAGCCGTATGGAAATGGCCGCCGATAGATTGTACAAGGAGAAGAAGATCCGAGGATTCTGCCACTTGTCAACTGGTCAAGAAGCCGTCGCCGTAGGCATTGAACACGCAATCACCAGGAACGACGCTGTCATCACCGCCTACCGATGCCACGGCTTCGCACTCATGCGTGGTGGCACCGTCAAATCCATCATCGGGGAACTCCTTGGCCGACGAGAGGGCATTGCCTACGGAAAGGGAGGCTCGATGCACATGTTCGCTCCAAACTTCTACGGCGGTAATGGCATTGTTGGGGCCCAGGTGCCTGTCGGCGCTGGTATTGCCTTCGCGCACCAATACACTGGCAGCAAAACTGCGACGGTCACTCTGTATGGAGATGGCGCTTCCAACCAAGGCCAGGTATTTGAAGCCTTCAACATGGCCAAGCTGTGGAACCTTCCCGTTTTGTTCGGTTGCGAGAACAACAAATACGGTATGGGGACTTCGGCGGCCCGATCGTCCGCATTGACCGAGTACTACAAGCGAGGACAATACATCCCGGGTTTGAAGATCAACGCGATGGACGTTCTTGCTGTCAAGGCCGCTGTTCAGTACGGCAAGGAATACACGGCCAGCGACAAGGGACCCTTGGTGTTCGAATACGTCACATACCGATATGGTGGCCATTCCATGTCGGACCCCGGTACAACCTACCGAACCAGGGAAGAAATCCAACGGATGCGGTCGACCAATGACCCCATTGCCGGACTCAAGCAGAAGATTCTGGACTGGGGAGTGTGCACAGAAGACGAGCTCAAGCAGATCGATAAGAAGGCGCGAGAGGACGTGGACGGAGAGGTCGCCGAGGCAGAAAAGATGCCGCCTCCTGACCCGACGGAAAAGATCCTCTTCGAGGATATCTACGTGCGTGGGAGTGAGCCAGCTTACATTCGTGGGCGCACACCCGACGAGACATATTACTATTGATTGGCCTATTCGACATCGTTTTGGAGGGAACGGTTGGGGGTAAAAAGCGGGTTTCTGAAGGAGCTGTGTATATTTAGCCAGGTCGTAGTTTACCCTTGCAAGGACGTTAGCACAAGTGGTTGGTGGTGAGATTAACGTCTGCTTTGAATCAATGGACTTATTGCCGGGGTCCTGTTGCTGTTGCAGCGGGATATCTTAGGGAATTGGTGGTGTGTCCATTGTCCTTTTGCACGTGTAGGGACACATGAAGCTTGCTCGGCAGCAAGTAGTAATGCGCTTGCAGACTAGAACTGACTTAATAAGCAAGCGCAAGTGGAGCCGATGGGGAGCTCACAAAGTTGCCAGTCGGAGTTGCAGCAGCAGGGAACGATGATGCAAAGCGACAAGCCAGAGGGTTGGGCTGGTTAAGTTCGTCTCTCAGCACACACCACTGCTGGCTTCTTAGCTTCGTCCGTTCGTCTCCCACTCTGCAGGCTGTGAAGAATCACGACCTTTTTAATCTGTTTCAGTCTCTCCCTCAGTGTGACGTGCTTCCCTGTCGAGAGCCGGAATCATGGCGACCACGGTGAGCGAGTCGTCTCCCTTACTGCCGCAGCATGCGTCTCCCAGCGAGTCGCCATCCCGTCCCGCTTTACGCACTCAACGTACTGTCACATTCAACCCCTTGGCGTCTGTTAGCACTCAGTCCGGAGCCACATCGTCCGCGGCTCTCAGACCTATCCAAAGTCCGTCGGCGGCCCTGACCGGTTCCACCCAGGCAGTTCGAGATCAACCGCCCATGCTGAGTGCATTCAACTCGAAACTGCGCCGAAGAAATAGCCACGGATCGCCGCTACCGACCACGCAGCCCTTCACTCCAGTTCCAAGAGCAGGTGCCCAGAGGACGACCAAGACCACGGAGAAACTAAAGATATTACCCAACCCGGATATAGGTGACGAAGAACGAGATGAGGAAAGTGGCAGAGATGTATACTCCCAGTTTACCCGGATAAAGGACCCTACAGCCAGGAGGGATGCCGCGAGGCTGGGGAAGGCGGATCGGGATCGATTGCCTCGAGTGACCGCATACTGCATGGCACAGGGATACCGACTTGAAGGGATTATGAAATTCATGAAGTCGAGGTCAAGGACGAGAGGTGCCAACCCCAAGCTATTCGACGAGTGTCTCTATAGCCCCTACGACTACGAATATGTGAAGAAGAACAAAGGAGGGGACAGAAGTTCAAGTCCGGTCGAGGAAAGGATCGCAAGAGTGATGGCGTCGCCGAGAATAAGCCCCAGAGAAAGACGGTTCTCGGATAGCGCCGTGGAGGTGGAAGACAACAACAAAATTAGGAGAGATCAACTCATCGACCTGCAAGAGGAACTGGATATGCCCGCAGACCATGCTGCAACGACAGAGGATACAACAACAGACCTGACTGCCATCGCCAGCCATTCTTCCACCGACCTCCGCCAATCCGAAAGTGATGCGATGCGCCCACGTGCGGACTCGGAATTCTCCACGACTGTTCACATACCCGAAATCTTCATCTTTGATTACGGCACCGTTGTCATATGGGGCATGACGGTTCAACAGGAGCAAAGATTTCTCAATGATATGACCAAGTTCAGTGACGCGCCTTTACCTACTGAATCCGTCCAAACCGAGAACTTCAACTTCTATTACACGAAGGAATACCAAGCGCGGATATACAATGATTTCATCTCCCTCCGCGAGCCACGGAACCATATGATCAAACTAGCCATTTCGCACGCCCTGTCCCAGTCCGTCAAGACGAGTCTGTTTGAGGATCTTGTCAGCGAGACCATCGAAACAACGGCACCACTACCGGCACTCATCGCACAGACCGGCAGCATCAACTTGACCAGACGTCAATTAAACATGCAAATTGGGGAGCTGTTTATCTTGCGTATCAATATCCATCTGCAAGGCTCCGTTCTGGATTCTCCGGAGTTGATGTGGTCGGAACCGCATCTGGAACCCGTGTATGCGGCTGTCAGGAGTTATCTGGAAATTGAGCAGCGCGTTGGGTTGCTGACAGAGCGGCTGGATGTTATTGCTGGTGAGTGTCTTCCTTGTCGATGGTTTGTGATGCTGCATGTGAGTATGGATTGCTGATATAGGTCAGACTTACTTGCGGTGCTGAGAGAACAAGGCAGCAGACGACATGGGGAAGTGCTGGAATGGATTGGTGAGTATCCTCTGAGGTAATGAATGGCGTTCAGCTCACAAGCTATAGTTATCATTCTCATTGCTGCGGAGATCTTGGTTGCGTAAGTGGCTACTCTTGAACGACACTTCCACGAGGACCCGATGGCTAACGTTTCTCCTCATAGAGCTATCAACATCGTTGTCGATCTCTATGCTGGCATTGACTGAGACATCCACTCCAACCACGGGCCCTTTCTCGGCCGCTGATTCCATACTCTTATTTCAAATCCGCCTTCTGAAATCGATAAGAGACCTCTGGGCGCGTTAGGGATGTCCCGGCCAACAATGAGGTGGCAACCAGTAGACTTCTGTAGTATCCCTACGGCCGCGATAACACAAATTCACCTTCGAAACCACCTCGAAATGTAAAAGTCTTAGCTAGCGAAGGCGTTGGAGGAGTTGACAATCCTCCGTGCACATGGGGGCTCGGGCTATACAATCTCCGCAGCCGCATATGTGCTTTGCTCCTCTGTATATGTTCTATAGATGTGGTTTAATCTGTACCGGGCAATACGTGTGGTGATTCTTGAACCCGTGGATGGGAATGGGCAAATAGGAGACAACTTCATGGAAAGAAAAAGACCATGAGGAAGTGCTTACCGTCCGTTCCTTTTTTTGACGTTTCATTTCTCAAGCTGTCACACGTCCACGAGAGCTGAGAGGCGCCATCTATCAATGAGCATGTCCCGAGCTTGCCCTGCCCTTGGTGGTTGATGGACGGTGGCTCATGCTCCCACTCTACCCTGCAACTCTCCAGTCCCTCTGCTCTGCCCTTGCCCTGCCTTGGCCTCTCTGCTCTCTGCTCTCTGCTCAGAACCCATGCAAAGCATCCACTCAATCCTTCAGCTCGGGTTGTTGTCCCCCCTGAGCTTTGTCTCCGCTTCTCACTCCAGAATCCATCTCCATTCCTACCTCCAAGCGCACCGTCCGTCCATGTCCACTTCCACATCTCCTCCGGCAATGCGCTTTCCCTTTCCATTCTGACTGCCCGCGCACTGCTCCCTTTTTTTTCTCTGTTTGGGGTTGTGTATCGGTCCGCTTGCTCTCGCCATGTCATTCTCCTTCGTCATTCTGGACATACCCAAACACCTGATCGATATCGTGCTGTGCGTAGGTGGCAGTAGAGAGGCTCAAGGAGGAGCGGTGCAGTGCGTGACGCGAGTTCCGGGTTCCAGGGGGCCTTCGTCTCCTTTCTTCCACAGCCAGTATCCAAGTCACGCAGCCTTGTCACATGACACAGACCGCCAACAACATTCGCATAGGAACGTTTTCTGCCGCACCTCATTCAGAGCTGCCAGATCCTTCTGCCCTGCTGTTCATTGCCAACGCCAAGTCTCCCTCGATTGATCCTTAGCACGCTGGACCTTACTAGGCAGTGAGAGCCAGCGCCGCCAAGCACGAGCCCCGTCGCGAAAAGGCATAAATATCTGTGGTTTTTTCTCTCTCAGACACCTTCTGTTCTTTTTCCTTTCCCTCCTCAAGTCAACCGAGATCAAGGTCTGTTGCGAGGACTGCCCCAGGCCTTACACTTATGCCTGGCGCTTGTCAAGTGGTACCTTCTCTTTCTTGCCACCTTCAGACTTTGTGTCTTGTTTGAGCTTCAAACAAACTGCCGTGTGATCTTTCGAACACCAGCAGCTTGGTTTGAGGTTCCCCAAGAGGGACACACACAAATCATCTCGAGTCCCAGGATTCGATGAGTACCAGTGAACCACTGTTGTTCACATCACAATTTTTGGAACCCCTTCCACAGAATCTTGTCCTTCTGGACAGATTCATCAAAATTTTTTTTGTGCAAAAACCTTTTTCTGTCCCTCGGGACAGGTTTTCAAATCCTTTTTTGAAAACACCTTGAATTTTTGAAAAACCCATATTCAACTTTTGTCTAGACAATGCTCAATTTTTGGAACCTTCTCATGGTTGTCCTCTGGACACCTTTCTCTTTTTCATCGTTTGACTTGGCCTTGTGCCAAGTAGCGGAGAAGAAGATCCAACAAACCTGTTGACGCGACCGCGAGCAAGCGGGTCACATCGAGGCCCCTGCGGTCAGTTGTCCATTCCACCTATCTGTACCTGAAGCCCCGAGCTCCAGGTGATCATGATGCAGGTGGTGTTAGTCAAGCGCGGGCTAAAGGGTGTTCATCAGTGAAGCTGCCGGTCATAATGATCTGACATGCAGAACGGCGAGGCAGCGGAAGCAGATGGGCTCAACGAGAGATGGTTTAAATCTTGCTTACAACAACAAAATCATGCAACATAGTCTCAATTGCACGACTCTCAATGTGTTGGTGAGAGATCCAAGTATTGCAGTGCTTGATCATCATAATCATCATCAATCTGATCCGCCACGCTGCCAGTTGGACTCTCACTTCTTCGCTCCCGCCTGCCCCTGCTGTTGTTGCTGTTGCCATTGCATCATCTTTGCTCTTGCGCTTCGACTCCCTCCCAGCTTCGGACCTCTCGACTCCGAGACACCTGCAGCCTTTGGCTGGTTGGTATGCTTCTTGGTCCTCCTCTCGGCCATTGCATCCATGAAATCTTGCCGGAATTGCTCAGCAAAGCGATCATCCGTATCACCCTCTTCAGCGGTTTCGCCAGCGGCGGACCGGCCGCTTGCCAGCCCTGGAGAGTTCGTATCATAAAGATCAATTTTATTCTCATGCAGAAACTGCTCCACAAGAGCGTCTCGCGCAATGTCTTCGCTGTTCCTTCGCTTCCTAGGTCGCGGCCGCATGGGTTTGCCGTCCCGACCCAGACGCGGCTTTCGAGGCTTCGGTGGTTTGTCCACTTCTTCGACAGGGGCTCGACCAGCCTTGACACGTTCGAGAGCAGCTTGCGTGCGGGCCAGATTAGTATCGTGGACAGAATTCCCCAGGTCGACTTCGGCCAATTGACGAGTGGAGACGGGATTGGTTGTAGGTGTCTTCTGGGCTAACGACCCTGACTCATTGGACGAGGGAGCATCGTGATATGTGTCATTCTCCAGGTTCCCCTGAGAGATGGTTGAAGGGGTGACGAGATGGCTCCGTCTCCTAGCCATTTCGGAGTCTATGAAAGCAACCCTTATCTTGTCAGCCAACTATGTCTCCAGGACTGGGAATTCTTGGGGCCCCACGAACATATGTTGATCAACATTAACAACCTGCCCGGTGCTTCCGACAAAACGGTTGTTGATGTCTATGGGCTTGTCGGCATTCTGATCTGATTTGACAACCTCCATGCCAGTGTCTCCATCCGCTCGTTGCATAACCTTCGTATTTGAGAATTGAACACCAGATACAGCCTTTCGGACGTGCTTCCGTGCACGGATGAGACTTGAGATTCCACCTTCGTTGCCATCATCATTTAGTGTCTCGTTTTCGCCGCCCAACGAAGCGTCATCCGTCTGAGAAACATCGGCCTCGGGGTTTGCTACTGGTGTTTCTTGCTGGAGTCGTGCAAACCTCCTACGCTTCGCGGCTCTGAATACCGGAACGTCTTCCATGATTTGATATTGAAGAGAAGGAAGGAGAATGGCTAAAGGAACAAGTATCGCGCTGGTGGCGACTTGCTTCAGATGCGGATACACTCGCTATAGGGTGGATAACGGTGACATGGTTCTTCAGAAGGAAATAAATTAACCCTCCTGAAAACAGATGTTGCAGCTTCAAGTCGGGTCCAGTTGTTGTCGACCGGTGAGAAAGGGTATCTAGGTAGGAATGATGTCCGGTCTTGACGCCTTCGACGTTTCCTTCAAGTCTCAGTGATGGTCACGTGTCGCTTGGCACGATTTTGGCTGTCAATGCGCGATGGTCGCGAGATGCTAATTTCTCAGACATCCGGTACAATCGTCTGTCCCCATTATTCGTTTTCAACAGGTTCCTTTATTCCCCTCCCCATTCTTCATCGATCCACGATGTCGTCGAAACTCCCATCAGTGACGTATCGTTGCTGCCATCTCGCATCTCGGACGCAAAAACGCAGTCTCTCCTCCCAATGCCTCCGGCTTTCCTCCACAAGCTCCGCAAATCAGCATAGACGAAGGAACAGCTTAGTATCCTCAAAGTCCTCAAGAAGATGGCAATCGACGGATGCAGCTGCCGCGCCTACGAATCCTAAGATAGCTGGGATTGTCGATCAAATATCACAATTAACGTTGTTGGAGACCGCAGATTTGGTCGCGAGCTTAAAGGTATACTCGAGCATCATTTTTCCGCCCCGGATCACACGCCTCATTTCTCAGTGGCTTTTGTCATATGTCTGCCTGGACTTCAACTAATATGGACAACTATAGTCACGGCTTAACATTCCCGATATGGCTTTTGCTGCTCCCGCTGCTGCCCCTGCTGGCGGTGCTGCGGCTGCAACTCCCGCTGCCGAAGCAGAGGCAGCAGAAGAAGCCGCGCCCGCCCCAGCCGAAAAGACGATGTTCACACTGAAACTCGATTCCTTCGATGCGACCGCTAAGCCCAAGGTCATCAAGGAAGTGAAGGGATTGCTGGGTCTGAGTTTGGTGGATTCCAAAAAGTTTGTGGAGAGCGCGCCCAAGGTGATGAAGGAAGGTGTGCCCAAGGAGGAGGCGGAGAAAATTGTCGCCGCCATGAAGGCATTGGGAGCTGTTGTTTCCATGTCGTAGGGATGAGGGGCGAAAATAGCAGGTGAAGAGACGGTGCTCATGACACACTCCACATCCGTTCAGCGTCTGTTTAGGACCATTTTCAGAGACAAATGGCTGCACGATGCACACGTCAGATGTCTAGAGGTGTTGTACAGGAACTAGGGGTGAAGATGCTATCTTGGTGCATTGATGGGGCCGGTCAAGCATTCTTCTACGAGGTCGTTGCCCCCGTTGAATCATCCTGATCGGGGGACGCTGTAACTATACCATGGGCTTGCAGGAAGACTTGGACAAGATCCGAAAAATGTACAATTCAAGATTCGACTACCGCCCCAGAAGTCAGATCATTGCATTTTAATTGTGAAGTGTAGCAGCTTCGCTGGAGCCAGGCACACCCATGAATCTCCAGTAAAATGTGCTGAACTTTTCTCCTGGATATAAACAGTGGAAAGAGTAGCCAACATGCCATGTCATTATCCGTGAAGTCCGCCATTTACTTCGTAGTGTCGTCGCAGTTTCCTTACCTCGAATTCCTTATCCCAAGAAGTCCAATATCCCACCCTTAACCTCTTCTATTGCCTCTCAAATCTCGTCCCATTGACGCCGCTAACCCCCTTACCTAACTGCGCGGCGACAACCGTAGCCTCTCTCACACTCCTCGCTACCGTTCCTCTTACTCTGCCCTCCTCCAACACCAACAAGCCACCAATCGTGCACCCTCCGGGTGTAGACACCTTCTCCCTCACCAGCGCAGGATGTTCCCCGGACAGGACCATCCCGGCTGTGCCTCGCATCGTCTGAGCAGCCATAAGTTGAGCCTCTGCACGAGGAAGGCCCATTGCGACGGCGCCATCGGCGAGAGACTCGAGCATCAGCGCGAGGAATGCCGGTCCGGAGCCGCACAAGGCCGTGGAAACGTCCATCATTCCCGGCGGCAGGTGCACGACTCGGCCGATCCGCGTGAATATCCATTCGACGATTGCTGATAGTTCGGCGGGTAAAGGAGGAGTGGTGGTGGCGATGACCGTCATGGACTCGCGCACAATCGCGGCGGTGTTGGGCATGACTCTTACTATCCGGCAAGCGTTCTCGGGAATGCCCTCTGGATACGACTCGCCGTAGAGAACCCGGCCAATCTGTTCGACGGGGACACCAGCGCAGATCGATATTAAAAGTTTCCCCGCGAGTGCTTCTTTTATCCCCTCCTCGCGCAGAAGCTCGGCGACCATATAGGGTTTACATCCGAGTATAACCACATCGGCGTTCTGCGTACCCTTCACATTTTCGTTCTGCAAGATCGTTACAGTCGGGCGGTATGCTTGAACGGCAACCCGGATCCGTTTCGCGGATTCAGGACGGCGCACGCAGGCGATGAAGTTTGTTGGTGTTCGTTGAGGAGGCGATTCGGTGGTGGGCGTTGCGGTGCCGGAGTCGGGATAGGCGGGGGATGGGGCGTGCGAGGCAGTGGATTCGGACAGGGAGGAAAGGATGCCACTGAGGATGGCGATACCGAGCGTTCCTTATTCCCAGTCTTTAGTCAATATATGGATCTAGCACAAGGGAAGGGGGTAGAGGAGTGGTTGTAAAGAGAAACTCACCGCATCCGAGAATTGTCAGTGTCATGCCATTGGAGTCAGAGCCGTTGATGCCGTTTGGCACACGCAGCATAGCCGCCATGTCGCACGAGCTCTTTGATCTGACGTTAGGATATACCAACCAAAAGGAAAAGGCTCTGCACCTGATGCTATTGGGCCTTTCCCAAAAAAAAAGTCCTACAGCGTCTTGCTGAAGAGGAAATGCGGGGAACAAGTTGAAATATTTTTTAAAGAGGGCGAAAGCGGAGGGCCTCGAGAACCATCGGCCAAATCCGTTCTCGTCATCTGCAAGGCACACCAATAGGTAGAGATTCTATAGTGATAGTTGCTGTCACAGCGCCTTTTGAACCTTCTGCAGTACCTGTACGAAGTATACCACATCCATTTCGTGCATTTTACACCAAGCCGAAGTGGCGCTTCCGGAAAGGAAGGCCGTCTACCCCACTGGCAACAGTGAACGATCCATGCGCGGTGTATTGTTTGCCCTCCCCCGAACCAAAGAGCAGACCATGTGAACACCACCGGTACGCTTCCATACTTCTTGCCACAAAGCCTTACCTCCTGCTGGCAATCGCTCCCCTGTACACATCACCATCATCATGGCCGACCCTTTCGAAGTGCGCATGCGCTTCACCAACCTCCTCACCCACCTCTCTGCGTCCGCCACAGCCTCGATCAAAACCGCGCACTATGCCCTCAAACACCGGGACATGGACGAAGACCTCCACTCGTGCATTCTCGAAAACCTCGAGCGAGGAAACACAAACATGAACAACCGCGCCAACATCATGTACTTCTTGGAACACCACGCGGACATCAACATGAAGGAAGGAGGCCACGAGGCCTACGTGGAGATGGTCAAGAGGGACATTGCGAGGATCGTGGACGCGGTTGCGCAGAGCGGTGCCAACGTTAAAGTCGTGAGGCGAGTCGTTACGGGGCTGGGCGAGAAAGGCGTCCTCACGCCCCAGGTGATCGGCACAATCGAGAGCGGGTTGAAGGACAAGGAGGAGAAGCTGGGGAAACTGCTGGGAGACGAAGATGGCGAGCCAGAAGCGTCGGCCGACAAGGATGCCATGGACCTCACCGCGGCGGAAGGAGGCGCGGGGGATGGTGCTCAGAAACCGACGCCGCGGACCGGAGCAGAGCGGTCGGGGAAGCCAAACGGCGTATCGAAGATGGATAAGCGGGCGATCGAGCAGAGGATAGAAGAGGACAGAGAGCGGAACAAACGACTACGGGAAAGCGTCTGGGCGGTCACGGGCGACGACGATCAGGAATTAGACAAAATGTGGGAGGAGGGTGCTTTGCTGGGTGAAGACGAACATGTCATCGCCGATGAAGAGGCGGAAGAACGTCTTCAATTCGTCTGTTATCATCGAGCTCTCGCTACTTGAAATCTACCAGCCACGGACAAGGCGCTCTGTGAAGCCATGCGATGGTTATCCTAATCCTCCAACTCTGGCCCAGAAGCCTCGGACTCGGATCCCGCCACCGAATACGGACGAAAGGTCGCTGTTGAAACACGGCGGCGGTTTCTGAAAACGGCAACCATGAACCGTATGAACTGTTCGAATGAGCGCAATCAACAAGCGCAGAGAATGGCGAGAGAATGGCCTTAAACTTTTGGCCTCTTAGGCCTGGAGGCTTCACTGTTCGACGACTCCTCATCCTCATCATCCTCAACAACCCTTCTTTTGCGCACGACGCTGGATGACTCTCCGTTTCCATGCTGATCTGCTTCTTTCTCTTTTCGCAGCGCATACGACAAGATGAGGCCTTCATATTCATCCTCCTGTGCACGAGCACTATCCTCAATTTGAGGCAGTCGCTCTTCGAACGGGATCTGACTGAGCAAATCCTTATTCTTCTTGATGATACGCTGTTTCAGTAACAGTCGCCACCAATAATAGGCGCGGTCGTCTGGATTGGGAGCTTTGGCACCCCTAACCATAAGGCTGGTAAGGGACGCTCCACCAGCCGAACGACGCGAATATGGGATCTGGGCCAGAAGATACATTTCCACCATCCTGGCAAACTGACGCCCTGCGATCTTGTTCTTGGACCGGATCGCTTGAAGCTCATCAAGGGGGAGCAGTTTCGCAGTGGGTATGCGTTTCAAACGTCCCCGTTCCATACTGGCAAAAGGCGACGTGTCTATCTTGAGATTGATTGCTTTGAACTGTGGTTCTAGAATGTCGAAGTCATTCATGTCACGTAATTTGTCGAATTCCTCGCTCGGATCCTCAACTGTTAGTTCCAACACCGTCGGATCGGCCATAACCTCATCGTATATTGCCTGGTAAAGAGCCGAACCATGGCCCGAGCTTTGAAAAGGTGGTGTGATCAAGAATTGCGATATTCGAAGTCGTGACGGGAGTGTATTCGGTGTAATAGTTTCCGAAGACGGAAATGAGAACAGAGCGTGGTCCTTCGAAGGTTTCTGAAACTTGTAGAAGCGATAGGTCGTTGCATAGCCAACAATCGAATATGGAGACGCGTTGGGCGCCGGGGGCTGTGAGGCCTTTTGGTATGTGAGATAGACCCTCCATCGGTCCAATGTCCAGTCGACATCTTCCAGATTGATGAACTGTCCACCTTCGATAAAGAAGACAATGAATATTTGGATATTGTCAACCAGGGTTCTCATCGGCAAGTCTAGTAGCGAGCCAGCCCACACCTCATAGTTCTCACCACCTCTTGTGTACTTCTTTACGCACACGCCCGGGGGTTTCCATTCTGCCGCTTTCGGGTCGTTCAGTAATTCTGACTCGAAACCTTGTTGAAATGCTGTGGGAGGTAGAAAGTTGCTGAAGGTCTTATTCAGATCGAGCGCGCTCGTGGTTCCGATGGTACTGAACTTCTTTTGGTATGAGATATTGATATGCGGTCGCAAATTGTGAGCTGCAAACTGGATCTCGACGTCCAGTCCCTTGTAACCGAAGATCTGCTCTGCCTCTCCAACGATGGGATAGGTGAATTTGGGATGAAATTCGTGGCGGGTTAGGAGTTTGTTATTGGGGCCGGGCTGAACGAGGGAGACACGAACAGCTTCATTCGCATTCACCGAGACTTTGGATATCAGCAGAGATCCCCTGATGCGAAGCGCGATACTCACATTCCTCGGATGGCGCAGCCATGTTTGAGATGTCCTGCAATAGTGTTCCTAATTCATGTCAGGCGCGAAGTTGTAGGAGAGCAATCTTCAGGCTGCAATGAGACTAGCAAGTTTTGTTCGAGAAGTCCGAACACGGTGATGGGAGCGAAAGAGCGATATGAGGATGAAATGAGTTCTGGGTGACGAACTCTTTCGACGGCACGGGCACGTTGGTCTGCAATTTTGGGGTCATTGCGAACACGCTTTCGAGCAACGCGTCGTCAAAAATTAAGGCAGTCAGACTGTCATTTCAGCGCCAACCTCGGGTCGGACAGTGCAGGAGGTTTTGCTGTTAACACCAATACATCCAACCATCCTCAGATGTTGGCTTCCGACTCTATTACATAGAGCAGTTCCGATACCAACTATCCGGTGGTGCCGCTGCAATATCACACGCATGCACTACTCAATATGAGATCGCATCAAGAACCCCTTGAGACTGCGCCCCGAAGTCATGCACATCAGCCTCACTTATGAGCCTCCATCTGAGATGATAGTCCTCTGACCTGAAATATCGATCTGAAGGATCGGCCAGGGACGTGAGCGAGGAAAGCCAACCTCGTATTGCATTGCAATGGTGCGACGTTTCTGTATCCAGTCTGGCTTTCCAAGGTTTCTCATGCAGGAGACACTTCCTGCTGCCAGTCTCGTATTCAGCTTGCGCGGGCCAGCCTTTCCCTGCGTCATGCTCCTCCTCGACTTCGGTTCCTTTTCATCTCGATATCCATTCTGGCTTGCCGAGAACGGTGATGTATCTCGTTTGATATTCAGATATTCTGAGTTCCGAGAATCTCCAGTTTCCAACCTAGATAGGAGAAAGGTATTAATGGAGCGAAAAGCAGTTGGTCCGTGCAGACATTCCCCCTCCTGAGCGACTAAAGCTTCTCGCTTCTGCAAACTACGGAGTCTTCAGGCATAGCATTGGATGGCATGTTCTGTGGTGCCGGGAGATCTTATGTGCAGCGAGGTCTGAAGGGCCGGGCGATTATGTGAGCTTGCCAGTTGCCCAGTTCCAGGAGAATACGATCGCCAATTATTCTATTCGAAACCATGCTGAGCGCTATTACGATCTCTTGACGTTATTTCCCGATGTTCCCGACTCTGGATATCCGTTCCCGACTACCTGGCTGTTCGGCACAGTCCGCAAAAGCTGGAATCCTGATCAATCCGGATAATCATACGAGGTCTTTGCTCCTAGCAAGCGACTCGGGGGTCACACCATTCCTTTTAAGGGGGTATCAGGAGGCTATAGTGTGATGCAGCGACCTCGAACTGGCGCAGGCAGCCCTGTTCGAGCACCCCTTGCCGAGGACTCTCCAAAGACTGTTCATGGGCAGGTCTTGTTGGAAGAAGGGGTTATGCGATTAGGCTTCGGTTGGATGAAGTGGTCCGTGCCCAGGGCATCAGAGATGAACGACCCGCTAGCCTGGGGGCTAGCCTGCCCACAAGGCCGGAAAAGGATCATTAGCGATGGTGTTTTGAGCGGTGTCGACTCGAGGCCCGCGTGAGGGAGCCCAGGCGAGTCGTTTCCCCCTCGAAAATCCACTCATCCCGCGTCCCGGGTCTGGTGGTCAGCACTTTGGATTTCTGGGTCTCCCGTTTACCCGCCTCTTCTTTCCTGGGACCGGCGACCCCATTTCATACTCCATCCTGCTCAACCTTCCCTTGACTCTGTCCACTTACTATCTCACAACACCTACACTGAGGCGGTCTACAGTTTTCCAAGAGGAGACACCGACACTTTGACAATGCAGCAGAAACCTTTTGAATTACGACTTCAAGATGCTGCTTCCTTTCCAACCGCCTAAGATAATCCCTCCATTCGACAGGTAAACGCAATCGCTGATTGTTCCGAGTCGACTATGCGACGGCATAATGCTCGTTTCTTCTGAAGAAGCCAAACTTGGAGGCTGGGTCTGCGCGGGTGTATCGTTGGTGATATTGATTGTTCGGATCATTGCGGCGAGGATACACTATGGATCGTTCGACGTCAGCACTGCTATTTGTGTCGCTTCAGTCGTTACCGTTGTGATTCGCCTTGTCGTGAATCAGTATGTCCTTACTTATGGCACCTCAAACGACGCTCTGAATGGAAAATCGACGTATTTCGACTCCAAGGACCTCGAAGATCTCAAGATCGGAAGCATTCTATCACTGATCGCGCGACTTCTTATTACGACAATTTGCTGGCTTCAGAGTTCCTTGTTGTTGCTGTTCTACTCCCGCATTTTTGAAATCAGGGCGAAATGGACCACCAGACTTATCCGAATTTGTTGGATTGCAATTCCTGTCACCTACGTTGGTGTGGTGCTGGCCACCTTTCTCGAATGTCAACCATTTCATCTATATTGGCAGGTCAAACCCAACCCAGGAACATGCATCAAAGCTTATATTCAGCTGCTTTTGCAAGGAATTTCAAACATTATCCTGGATTTACTCCTGTTGGCAACTACTTATCCGCTCCTTGCTGCGGTGCGCCATCGAAGCATTTCTGAGCAGCTTAGAGTTGGTGTATTATGCTGTCTGGGGGTTTTCTGCATCGTCATAACACTGGTTCGGATTGGTTACATTTACGCCGAGCAGTCGTATCAGCCGGTGCGCAGCTTCTTCGCGTCTGTCCAGATAGCTGCCTCGTGCTTCGTGGCCAACATGCCGACGATCTATGGCTGTGTCAGAATGATCAGAAGGCGTAAATCGCACCAAATGCAGAGACGGGGAAGTCGACCGGAAGTTTGGCTGCAGCTTCAAGTCACCAATGAGAGCAATACTTCATCCAATGTCCCGATCGCCATGCGAGAGAACAGTTCGTCAAATAGTTCAGAGAAGAAGTGGTCGCGCCTAATCCCCTAATGCCTCGTGGGTGTCGGCAACTACCGGATTAACATCCTCCCAGGACCGCGCGAATCTATCATATTCATCGCATAGGGATAGTCTGAAGGAACTTCCCGTGTGCTTCTAGCCGGAAAACTCCGTTTCTACCAGAATCCTGAATGGAGAGCATTCGCTGAACAGCTCAGGCGTTTGAAATCCATAAGCGCCAGTCAGCGAGTCCGGCAGAGTTCAATGAGCAAGAGCGCAACGAAGTGTTTCAAGGACCTGCAGGTTCGGGTCCTGTCATCACAGGTCAGATGTGGTGGAAAGGGAACCCAATATAAGGAAGAAAGGGGCCTGTCGAAGAGGTGGCAGATTCTGACTGCGAAAACGGCAGAAGGGGAAGGCCCCAAAAGTGACAGCAGGCATAGCTCGAAACTGGTTGCGTGTGAGCAACGGATCTCCCTAAAGTTGTCACAAGGAGACTCACCCGGATTGCGGACCAAGAAGCGCAACAATTGCTATGCTTCAACCTGACACTCGATGTGTCGCTTGCGTCGATGCAACGCTTCTCCGTCAGAATACCTTTATTTGGCCACAGCGCATATTCGCGGCTGGCCATGGTGATAAAGGCGACGAGATTGGCAACGAGCAGACATCGATTCATGATACCGGCATTTGAGGATCGTTCGGGAGATACATTGATCTCCTAGAGATGAAGGAGTAGAGGCGAGAAGCCACAGAGGGCTGGAAACCCTGCACCGGAGCGCAGCGAAGTCCCTAGCCCCATATCCGTAGAGGATGTGAATGGGCCGATTGTGGTATAAGGCCACGATGCCTACCACTTGAACATAGCGAAAGAGAAATGACAAGGCAAAACGGGAATAGACATGATATATGACATTTGAATTAAAAGGGACCATCTTCTACTTGCTAAATTTGCCACACGACCAGCGGGTTTCAAGCAGGAGGCCTTCATCTACAATCACTGCTCACGTCGTTTTCTTCAATCATGCACCTTTCGAGACGAGACACCACAAGTGGAATGCTGCACATGCGTGGAATATCTGTTGGCGCAGACACCGTAGAAATCATGTCAGGTATATCTACATATCCCTGAGCAGCAGCTTCATATCATCCACTAGAGGAGCGGGATGGTTGGTCGATCCTAAATTCTGTGTTCTTCAAAAATCAAACCGCAGGCAAATACGGAGGTCGGTATTCAGGTCCCTATATAGACTTGCTCCCCTTGCTGGCCACAAGCCAGTGTTGTGGTCCATGGCACGTGGCGATAAGGCCGCTTATTCGGCTTATCGGAGTGTCGCGAAAAGGGATAATCCTCTTCGTGCCTGCGCCCTCAGGAGGCCAGATGCTTGTTCAATACCTCTCTATGCCCCTACAACAACCGCGACCGCGAACTCCTCCATCCGCGCTGAATTGCAGCTTTGAGACCGACCTCGAAATCAAGCAATATGTTTACCTCGACCGCTCTGAAGTGTGTTCTCTGTTAAATTGAGCGTAACGCCACAACGCTAGGCCTGGTCAGCGTCTCTGCCGCCTGCCAACATGGACGGATTATTCACTTTGCTCAGTCTGAGCATTGTCATGGCTGTGGCCTCTTTCCTTGCAGGCATCCTGCCACTGTCTTTGACCCTCTCGCAGCCACAGTTACGGTTCATTTCAACGATCGGCATGGGAGTCCTAGTTGGTACGTCTCTGGTTGTCATCATCCCTGAAGGGGTGGAGACTCTCTATAGCGCCTCTGAAGTCGGACATGCGCATTCGCAGCTCAAAAGGCATGTCTCTGCGCGTGAGATAGGCATTCAATGGAGTCAGTCTTTTGCAGCTCAACCACTTCACGAGATCCGAGTAAGGGACCCTGCCGATTTGAGCCCTTTCGATGTTCCGGGGCCTGTCATACCGTCTGATCTTGAGGCGCCACCGCGCACTCCTACAAAGCCTGGTGTGGTCGGTGTAATGGATGTTGAAGGGAAAGGCGATAAGCAGGCCGAAACAGAGCATGACAGTCAAGAGGAGGATGAAGACGAGGTCCACAAAGAATCTCACCATGCGTGGATCGGAGTTGCCTTGTTGGCAGGATTCATGCTCATGTACTTGATTGACAAAGTGCCGCAGTATAGTCAGCCGACAAAACAAAAGGCGAGGACACATCATATTGCCTTGAACAACTTGGGCCGCAGATTCAACTTCACTACATCTTTGGACCGCGACGAGGAAGCAGACTCGTTCATCGACTCGACGGAAGGGGGCAACGTCCACCAACGGAGTTTCGCAACCACCATAGGTCTGGTTATTCATGCGGCGGCTGATGGGATAGCACTGGGAGCGTCTTCGACTGCAACAACGTCTGGACTGAGCTTTGTGATATTCTTCGCTATCATGATTCACAAAGCACCCGCAGCGTTTGGGCTGACGTCTGTGCTTGTCAAGCAAGGGCTCTCTAAAAGGGCAGCTAGAGGGCATCTGATCCTCTTCAGCCTGGCTGCGCCTACAGGGGCGATCTTTACGTGGTTGCTTGCTCACCTGCTTGGTGGTGGTCGGAATCAAAGTGCACAGAGTACCAGGTGGTGGACGGGAATGCTGCTGCTGTTCTCTGCAGGGACTTTCCTCTACGTGGCTATGCATGCGATGCAAGAGAGCTCTGGCTCGCCCCACGAAGGAATGAATGGGCATGCCAACGGTTATATCGACGGGCGCGAAAGCACGCAGAGTGAACCCAAGCCGTCTTGGAAGGATCTAGGAGCGGCTTGCTTTGGAATGATTCTGCCATTGTTTTTACAGGTTGGGCATGCTCATTGACGTGGCGAGCATTTCTCTGGGTATGTGACCAGCATCCTTGGTATGGCTTGAGGTCAACTTCAAGAGCACGGGTGGGTGACCAGGGCGCAGACGGGTTGAAGGCCACAAACGCCTCGTCTCCAGATGGAAACGATATCATCAATCCATTGGGCTCATCGGTCGTGTCACCGGAAAGCAACTCCTTTGAGTTCCTCCACTGAACCAAGGCCATGAGACGAAAGACGCCCGTCTTGAACCTCAGACCTTTGCGACGCTCGGCCTCGGAGCCAAGCTGGTCCTAGGATTTCGAGTGTGTCTGTTAAAACACGGTCGGTCTTTGAGGTGCAACCACCGGAAGCGGTTGTCTACGCCACAGGAGTCAGATATTTGACTTTCATAGTGTGTGTTAATACTTGTCAGCGTGTCATATCTGTTTGTTGTGTTCTCGTCGGGCATCATTCTTGGTATCGAAAAAAGCGGGCCGGGAATTGTCAAGTCGACGACCGTGTGTTCAATATTGGAGAAGGTGCCGTTCACCCTCAACCTGTACAATGCCTGTATGAAGGAGTCTATATGATTTGGTATCCAGCATGGGGTGCGAAATTCCAGCCTAGCAGTTAAGCGTAGGCTCTGGACACAATCTAGACTCGACGATCATTCGACGAACCGATGGAGCAGCGGCAGAGGGCGGTCAGTGGCCAAAGTCGAGGCACGCTGGGCAGCCATGGGCAAGTTAGGCATGCACTTTGGAAAACGGTGCATGCTTCAGGCACCACCTCCTGCGCGGACCCCGCCCCGAGAGGCCAATTAGTCCCGGCGGGCGACGGGCTAGCCACGGGCGTGTGGGCTACTTCTGCACTCCTTGTTTCCTTGCTGCGGGCTGCTCCTCCGCTCCTGCTGCCAACATTTCAGCCTCTCTGCCCCCTCGGGTCTCACGAGTAATAGTTGAGTGCTCCGTACCTGGCGAATCTGGCCTCTCCCGTATCAACCACTGATTCCCGAATTCCCCTCCTGCCCACAAACCGCAAAACCCATCAGCCCATCCAGATATACCTTTCGAGATCAACACCACAGACGAGCTTCGCTTTCTCCAAGCTCCAAGGTAGAGGGCGACCTTGCTTACAAAACCCACGGCCCAGCCTCCCACGCCTCCTCTCGATCTCGCCGCCACCTCCCTCGCTCCCTCCCTTTCCCTCGGATCTCCATATTCTCCGGCTCATTCCTCTCCTGGGCTAGGCCCTGCCTCGCATGTCATAAGCGCTTTTCTGCCAGCGAGACACCTGCAGCTCGAGTCGTCCTACTCCGTTGCTCTCTACCCTGACGCTGACATGGCATGATCAGGAGAGATTTATAATATAGTCTCGAACAGGAGTCCTCTCGTTGTCTATCTGAAAGCTCTTTCGCTGTTCCCTTCGTTGTGCCCTTTCCTCAGACTTCCGACCTGTGTGGCCAGAAGGTGCAGGTGCCGTCGCCGAAACGTCACCCTCCCCCCCCCCGAACCGGCCTGCCCTGTGTTGAAAGAGATGGACCTGGATGATGACCATCGCTCTATGTCTATGGACAGACCTCTGTCGCCGAGACCTTCGAGATCCGTCACGATAGACCCAAATCAACTGGCAAATCGAGCCTACAGTAACTCCAGATCAGAGTCTCTAGATCAAGAACATGACTTCCCTTTCACGACGCCCCACGGCCACACCCCCCAGATAGACACCCTTCGCTCCTCGAGACCTCCACGGCACAGTGTGTCGCATCCGCGTCCAAAGCGACTGTCCACCTCGAACAAGTCAGGCATGCCTTTGAGCATATTACCGTCGGCTCCCGCCTCTCCTCCTACACCAGCGCCTTCGCCTACGCCATATCAACGGGCTCCTAGTTGGACTTCTGCAGGCGAGAATGAAGATTCGTTTCTCCGGGATGCCAGGGGTCATTTTTCCAATCTGAATGCTGCAGAACGAGAGAGATATCTGGCTGAGCTGCTCAACATGTGTGACAGCCACTTGCTTTCATTTGTCCACAACTTCGTGTCACCTAGACTAAAGAAAGACCCCTTTGAGCATCTTCCAGACGAGCTCTGCTTGAGGGTAGGTCTCATGTCCCTTCTCGGAAACCGTATCAACTGACACAAAAATAGGTATTATCATATATCGACGATCCTCTGAGCCTGGCTCGAGCTTCTCAAGTCTCGCATCGATGGCATAAACTCTTGAACGACGATATGCTCTGGAAGATCATGTGCGATAAGCATGCCTGGCGAAGAACCTCCTCCGTCGGTCCAAGTGACGAGCTGGACTCGCCATCTCCCTCGCAAGCGAGCCAAGGCCCCTACACATTCAACAGTCGGTCTCCCAAACGAAACATCGATGGTTCTGTAGTTGGCCCGTCAAGCAGCGCACCGAACCTAACGTTACCCAAACAAGATGCTCTGTCGACCAGCCCTCGTGCTAGGAAGCGAGTGTCACAGTCGCATTACTCTCATTTCCGTCACAAATACATGATCGAAGCCGCTTGGAGGAAGGGTGGAGAATGCATCATCAAGCACATCACCCCAGATCAAGGAGTGGTCACCAGCCTGCATTTAACAGACAAATATATCGTGGTGGCTATGGATAATGCCAAAATTCATGTCTTCAATACCGTGGGTGAACATCAAAAAACACTAAAAGGTCATGTCATGGGTGTCTGGGCGATGATACCTTGGGACGATATTCTAGTATCTGGGGGCTGCGACCGTGATGTGAGAGTATGGGATATGAAGACAGGCAGGAGCATTCACGTCCTAAGGGGGCACACTTCGACGGTCAGGTGTCTGAAAATGTCGGATGCCAACACGGCCATATCCGGGTCGAGAGACACGACGTTGCGGATTTGGGATCTGCAGTCTGGGGTATGCAAGAATGTGCTGGTTGGGCACCAAGCCAGTGTCCGGTGCTTGGCCATCCACGGCGACCTCGTCATTTCCGGATCCTACGATACTACGGCCCGAGTTTGGAGCATATCTGAAGGCCGCTGTCTTCGGACGCTCACTGGACATTTCAGCCAAATTTACGCCATTGCTTTTGATGGTAATCGCTGCGCCACTGGCTCGCTTGATACTAGCGTCAGGATATGGAATCCAAAGACGGGTATGTGTACTGCCATCTTGCAAGGTCACACATCCCTGGTTGGGCAACTGCAGCTTCGCGGTGATACTCTTGTTACAGGTAAGCCTATCAACCCCGAGCCTGTTGCGCTGAGACCAGATTACTAAATTGGTATACTCTGCAGGTGGCTCCGACGGATCCGTGCGTGTGTGGTCGCTAAAGACTAGCTCGCCTATTCATCGTCTGGCTGCACATGATAATAGTGTTACGAGTTTGCAGTTTGATGACAACCGAATCTTGAGCGGTGGCAGCGACGGCCGCGTAAAGGTCTGGAGTGTTGAGACTGGTCAACTTGTCCGTGAGCTCAGTCAACCTGCCGAAGCTGTGTGGAGAGTGGCTTTTGAGGAGGAAAAGGCCGTCATCATGGCCAGCCGGTCAAATCGAACCGTCATGGAGGTACGCGTTCGGAGTGCATGCTGGTCATTCACGCCGCTAATCTTCTTTGCAGGTTTGGTCCTTTTCACCGCCAGAAGACCCAATAGATCGACGGTCGGAGAGTCCTCTGAGCTTGCCCGAACACGTGCCGGCAGCTGAAGAGGAAGAAGAACCGACTCAATTCCACCAAGAACTAGGTGACGGTGATGCGACCATGAGCGACATCTAGGGATCCGTCGCCAGCCAGAGACGCAATGCCACATCGAACTCAACGATGCGTTCAGAACGAACGACGAGACGAATGGTGTCAGATAATAGAAGGTGATGTCGTCCACGAAAAGGCAAGCCCACCGGGTATCCTGTATACGAAAGAAACAACCAAGGGCAAAGCCGGCAATAGACGTCGCGAGTATCCGGTCGTCGGTCCTACCTCGAATCTGGGATCTCAGAAATGAGGACAGAAAGCAGAAGGAGGGTTCTTTGATGAAGAACCGGTGCTAGTTACGTTGTGTGGAAGTCGTGTTTGGCTCACTGATATTTGCGTATCGACATGGCAGTATGGAGATACCCCAGAAAGGTTTTTCTTTTTCGTCCAGAGCATAGCGATTGGTGCAGGGAAGCCTGAATTATGGCCGGCATGAATCTATCTTTATGGATATTACTCATATTGATGTTGAACGAGAAGTGCATTGGTACGCTGGTATGCTTTAAAAAGGAAGCAAGGCTTTCCCCCGGGGCAGGGGTCTCGAGCGCCCACATCGCATTGGACGTCAAAGTTTGAAATGATATATATTATTCCTATTACATATGTTGTGAGCAGATTCGATGACACCGGGTCATCATGTCCCTATTTCCTTGTTTCATCGCCCAAATCGGACTCGTTAGCACGCAATCAGAACGAAGTGAGTAGAAGGGCAGGCGGGCAAACGTATGCAGTAGTATACCTTGTCCTGTTCTACCTGCGTGTTACACAAATGTCCCGGTCTATCTCTGGTTTTCCATGCTCATCTAACGACCTAGGTACCCAGCTAATATCCTCCCCGAGGAAACCATGCGTGACAATTCGAACAGGCTCTGGAATCCCGGGAACCCATTCTGATCCGCACAATGTGCCCAACCCCTGCTTTGTACCAATCAGCAAAAGACAGGAACTATTCCAAAGCGGCAAACAGTAGATCTATTGGTCGGTTTGCTTTTCTCCCCATAAGAACCATGAAACGGGAACTGAAATGAACATATCGTGGTCCGCGGCCCTGCCAAGCTGTCTGCGTAGCCAAGTTGAGCTGGACCTGGGAGGAAGGCAGCGGGTTCGAGAGTTCAGGAGAGAAATAGAAGGCGGTGAGACTCTTCTGATCTGTTTTGCTGGTACCGAGAGACCGTGAAGTGTTGCTCAAGTCGTCATCACGGATCTGCATTCTATTCTCCTCCTGCTGTGCCTTAATAAACCTTACTAGAGCACCACATTCCCCCGTCTTCCGCCGCCAATTCAGTCGAAATCTGGGGCTTTTCGGAATCGAGAGAGTGCAGGGCGTAGATTCGGAAGGATGTGTGAAGACATATCGTAGGACAACCTTTCGACATGAAGTGTCTCGGTCTGATGGGGATGCATACTGGTTGAGCCCGCGGGGAAATTGTGTTGCTCAATTTCTCGTAAGCGAACCCTGCAAATTGTTCCCGCGCGCTATATAGAGGGCTAGTTGGGAAAAAGACTGCTCAAGAAGGGGAGACATGTGCTCGAGGCAAGAAATGTGTGCACATGGTCATAATATCGTTTCTCTCAAAAATGTGATGGTCGTTTGTCGTTGCTCGAAGGCGTCGCGCTCAAGGTTGTGGGACTGAATGTAGTAATGCCGTTCCTGCATAGCAGGTTCGGATGTGTGATGTTGTCCTCGAACGATCCCGCGTAAGATGGTCTAGTGACCGCCAGTGGTCGGCAGACCGAGCCAGACCTTAAAGGAATCGTAGCTGCACAGTAGTTAGCATGTTTCCTTTTGGATCATCTTGGAAATTTGGTCAAAACGTACATCAGCCATTGGAATCCAGTCAACGTTCCAATCATGACGATTCTGACTGGCAAACCATTCCAGAGACCTGTGAATCCAATGTTGCCGTAGATCCGGCTCATGGCTTTTCCAGCAGATTCACCAGCTAGAATGGGTCAGAACATATTCACAAGAAGATGGGGGACTCTGGAAGACATACCTTGGCGGTCCGAGTTCAGTTTGCTGACCATGACGTCGGCGGGATGACTGACGATGGCGCAGGCGATACCGGCAATATAACCAGCCAGGAAACTCACACCTGTTTGTTGTAGACTGTTGTAGCTCTCCTTGGGCTTGCCGAGTTGTCGATAGATGATCTTAACCGTCTCTTCAAAGGTTGCGAACTTGCACATTGTGTACGGGATTTGACGGCCCCAGAGCGGGTAGAGACCCTTGTACAACCCGGCAATGCCCTCCTTGTCGACGATTTTGGTCCATCCCTCCCGCAAGTTGTTCGCGTATGGCGGTAGTGTCGTCTGCATGCGGACTTTGATGGCTTCCCACGGACACAAGAGGATGTCTGCAATGAATTCTGCCGTGGCGCTGGCACCTAGATAAACTAGAGTGCGGTTGCTGTTGGGGAACATGTTGTCGCCGTACTGGTGCTTGAAGATTTCGTAGAAGCCGTATTTCCCAAGACCCTGGAAGGAGTACCCGACGAACGTCGGTGTCCAGCCAAAGAACACGCCACGAACACCTTCTTTTGCGTAGATGGAACTCCATCCTTGGAGGTTTGATTTATAGATCTTCGGGTCGACTTGACGGCGGGTCTTGACCAAATCAAGAGGTGTAACAAGGGTGTGGGTAGGTCCGCATGCGACGACGCCGCCCAGCATGCACGCGGCGAAGTATTTAGTCTGGCAAGAAGCTGTTAGTTTCTTTTCTGTCCCAAGAAGGCAAAGGCAATGTAATCATGGAGAGGCAGATGTATCAGATGTCAGGATCTCAGGCTGCGTGCCACAACATTTGAGCTCAAGTGATGTCTGATGCTTCGAATCGGCCCGTAGGAATGGTCGCTTGACGGAGAATACGTACCGAATACGGCTCGATCTTTCCAAATGGGTAGCTCTTGAGCACCTCGGCAGAGGGTGGTTTGAGGGTCGTCTGCGTAGTCATTGCGGCCGATTGATCTGGTTCCTGGGACTGATGAGGAGAGAGCGCAAGGATGAGACTCTTTGGATACGAAGCAACGGTCTTCTTCAGGCAGCCACTGCTCTTGCTTCAATTGGGTTGCTGGTTCTGCCACGGAGCACGTGCGCCAAAGTCAATGACGATGCTGTTAACAAAACTTGAAGACGCAATTAAAAAGCGCGACGGAGAAGAAATGTACGATGAGAGGAGATTCAATATTTGTCACTTGACGAGTTCCTGCGAGCTGCGAGGAGATGCACAAGAGGAATGAAGCTGCCAGCAAGCAAAATGAGAGCTTGCAGGAGCTGAGGGAGAGGTCAGAAGTAAATAAGGGACGGAAGCTTGCTCAATATGGCTCAAGGTAGCCGCACCTGCCGCAGGAGCCGTACGAGCTGCCCTTGCTGCGCAGATCCGGGCGGTGGCAGAGTGCGAGATCCCAGAGATCCCAGAGATGCCAGGAGCTGATTTGATGCTGGTGGGCGAGTCGGTGCATGTGAAGAGCGCCATAACATCATCGCCGCTGATGCGGCCCTGGCGCCCAGGCGAGACTATTCCCGATCAGGTTCGTGATAGCCGGGAATTCCGGGCGTGGGCCAGTGACATCATGCGCCCTAAAAGCTTGTCTGGAGCTAGCGGATGCTTATTCATCCAGTGCCCATATCTCACTCAGCCAACCAGCAGCCGGGACAATGTTCCTCTTTGAGGATAGATACGACCATACCTTTTTCCTGGTCGGTGTATATGTGCACGCATACACGCATATAAACAAACTAAGTGCCGGAGACCCTTCGCCCCGATCCACGTCTACGAGTGCATTCCCATACCAAAGTGATGGGACGGCCCAAGAACGCCAGGATTGCTATCCGGCGGGAAGAGTTGATCCCATTCGGCCTGTACACATATAAAGGTCAGCGCTGCACTTGTAGGTATCAATCTACGGGCAACGGGCAGGCACACTCACCCAGTCAATGTCTAGCATGACAGAATCATTCCGGTTGCTGTTCTGAAATTGCGGGATGTTGATCTGATCGCTTGGGAAGCCCGAATTGATCCCAAAGGGACTGCCACCTCCGGATGAAGGCTGCCTGGGGACGACTCCAGGGAGTGACTGGATGGCTTGAGGAGGCGGCGAAGTCTGTGGACCTGGTCCCAAGACTGTTCGCCAGCTGACTTGATCTGTCGTGATCAGTGGCGGCCAAGAATCATTTGTGCCGGAGTCGCTAGGGCTGTTAAAGTCAATCTGCTGACCTGGCGAAGCTTGATTTGCGTCGGTCCGGGGTGGTGTTTGTTGCGGCTGTGGTTGTGACTTTGATTGTGATTGTGATAGCAGCGGCGACTGTTGTCTTGCAGAAGCCGGTGGTGAAAACTGTGAAGATACGAACTGCGTGAGATGGCCAATATCTGCAGGTGGCAGGTATTTCGCGTCAACATACATCGTTGCCGGTGTATCAAAACTCCATGACTGGTCGGCCGAAAACCTCGGGTCTCCTCCACCCACATTCTGTAGTGGCGTGGATGTGACCGCTGAGGGGTGCAACGAGTTGGATGTGTCGACTTGGCCCTTGTCCTTCATCGATGGTTCGGAGCTCTTACGGTGTTTGTCCAGGCCGTCCTTCATACTAACGGGAATCCGTATCCTGCGTAGGTCTCGATACACAGCCGTTCGATCCCGGACTGCTGCAATAATTGCCCTGGCTCGTTGAGTGCGTGACAGAGAGAGCTCTGGCTCGAAAACAAAGTCAATCACGTTCCATATTCGTTCAGCGTCCCGAAGTGTCGGCTGTTGATATATGACTGACAACAGCAAAAAGGCGATGTGCCATTGCTGATAGGCCCCGTTATACCACTTCCATTTCCTGAGTTCTGGGATTCGTTCCATTGCAACCGCATTCTCCATGGCGAGCAGACCGCTTTGAATGGTAAGATTCGCGAGCCTCTCAGGCACTTTGTTGCTTGTATTGTTCAAATACCGATGCAATATCATGACATACATGCGCTGGACCATGAGGTTCATCAGCAATTGAGCGTATTTTTGTATGGGCACTTCAGTGTTCAAGATCGGGTTGTATTTGGCCTCCATAGCCTTGCGGAAAGATTCCACTTTGCTCAGGACATGGGTCAATGACGCCCTTTTCTTCTCGATGCGTATGCGATCGTACCATATGACTCGTTGCATTTCTGTGCATTCAAAGTGTATCCGTGACATGGTCATATCTGTCCACTTGTCCTTCACCTCCTGAGGCTTCGCTAAGAGGAGATCGGCATCATTGATGTTGAGGGGAAGTTTCGTGTCATAAGCCTCTCGCGTAACGCCCGGCCGCGGGCCTTGGGACTCGCACGTGCGGAAATCCAGGAAGCAAAGTTGAAACCATACAATGCGGCGAACATGACACTCCACCGGGGACAGGCCGTAGACAGTCTCCGGATCGCGGTGTAGTCCCATGCATTCAGCAAGCCGAACCGCCATGCCAACTATCACCGAGTGAGCGCGGGAGAGCTGGTCTCGGCACATGGGGATCAGGTAGACCACGAGAGCCTGTAATGTTTCGATTTTTGTCGCCCTCAGGATTTGTGCTTTACTCAGGGCCACCTCAGTGCCCGTCTGAAAATTACCGAGTATAGTGCTCTTGGGCCTGGCGAAAATAGCCGTGACCTCTGACTCTGGCATGCTTGCCACGGCCGAGAACAGGACCGAGAGGACGATGGATTGTTGCCACGCTGGAGGTTCGAGGCCAGCAAGGACCGCAGTCCAGAAATTGTCATAATGCAGCTGGAAGCTTGGCCAGTGGACTACACGAGCAATGAAGTGAACGTTCTCAAAATAGTTGCGCACCAAAATATCGGCCGCGGCTTTTGCCGGCAAGAAATTGATGAGGGATCTCTTACTGCCGACATCTCCAAACAAAAACCCAGATCCCGGGGCAATGTAAGAAGGTCCAGGGGCTAGGAAGTCACTGTTGTGATCCGGGAGTTGAGGCATGGCTGAGCGCTTCTCGTCGGGTGTGCGACGATCATTGGTGGGCTCTGAGAGTGTAATGTCCATCTGAAGCGTTGGTTAATCTCAGGGAAATATACACGCCATTGTTGCACTTACCTCTTCATGGAGTCTAGGTCGGAAGAAGCCGCCCAGGCGCTCCGTTAACCTTCATGTTGGTTAGCCAATCTGTTTCCTCAACATTCAGGTTGCAGGTAGAATCTACCGCATTTTCCCTATTCTGATCCCCAGGTCTAGGACATCATCATTTGCATCGTCCTCGTAAGAAGCATCGATGACTGCCAAAGGTGTCGGTTCAAGCCCCTTTTCGTCTTCGGGGACGGCAGCTTCATTGTCAGAGCTGCTGTCCTCGCCTCCAGGAAGATCGGCTGAGGTTCTGCGCATGGATCTTTGAGGCGAGGCTGTGGCGGTCCTTCCTTCCTTGCGTGCTACGTCCTGCTCGAGCACTCGTTCTAGAGATCCCATCTTTTCCTTGATCTCATTGAGGCGCTGTTGCGAGACCGAATCCAGAGCCGGGGCTAGGAAGAGACAATCGCGCGAGAACTTGCTGCAATTAGTACATGGATGCAGCTTATCACACTTGAGTTTTCTTCGGCGACATTCAAGACACGACGTGATCATGCGATTTCGTCGGCGCACCCGACTTTGAGCGGTGGATTTCTGTTTCTCGTCGGTCGCGCCGCGACCCTCGGACGGGGGTGAGCTGTCCATGTTGCTCAGCGTTATTGTTGACAGGAGGAACAGAAACGGCGAGATCTGTTGCAACGTTACATAAACCGTGTGACCGTCCCGACACTGCGAGATCTGCCAAGGTATCAGCGGGGTAAGACGGAAGATAGCTCAATGCAGAGCGAGATCGACCTCGCGCTCGTTTCCAAGCCCTGGGGACTCGAATGATCCGCGACGTCGATAGAAGGACTCGCCCTGAGAGAGCCAGGTGCAAAGCCGAGGGGGGTTTGAGACGAATTTGAAACCCAGAGGCAAGAATATCGGGAGAAATCGAGGAAGGTCGACTGGGCCTAGTGGTGGTGACGGATGGTTGGAGGCGCTGAGGGATTGGCTGGGTGGCTGAACGGCTGAGTGGCACTGGTGGCACGTGCAAGCGTCTTTGCTCAGCAAACAACACCAACAATCGTCAGACAGGCTATGAGCAGCGGAATTCATCCCTTTTGCCATTCTGCGCATCCATGTTCGCTCGTCCGCTCCTCTCGCCCGTCAATCTAGTCCTCGCTACACCCCAAAATCAAGCGTCGTATAAGCGGCAATGCTGACTCGCCACTAGCTCCGCCATTGACTGCGGGTGTTGTTGCGTTGTTGTGGGCACCCCAAGGCAACTCAAGGCATAGGAAGGGCTGACTCAGCGACATTGATGGGCCAGAAGGGACCAAGACACGAATGCGTGCGAATCACCACGTTGGTGACGCCGGCTAAAGCTCTGCCGAGAGACATCAAGTCCACCGGATCATCGCACGACGCGCTGATGGGCGCATTATTGGACTTGGCTGAATGCTGAAGTGTGCCAGTCTGGGGAATCAGGAGGATCTCCAGTAGGTGAATGGTCTGGGAGAGAGCATGCGGTGGAAGTGCTGTTGCCAGTTCCACATCTCGTATCATCCATCGACGTCCCGAAACTCATTTTGGCCTTTCCGAGGGTTGTTTGTTGTATTAATATCAGTCCCTTGCCCCCAAGAATCCCACAAGGCTTCCCCCAAGAAATGCTAAATGGTAAGCAGGGCCATTCGGAGACCGGCCGGTTTGAATGTTCTTTCCCACCCGGATGAGATGCTGAACATAATATATTCGCACACGGACTCTAAAACCTTGGTAAGCTTGGGCGTGCTTGGGAAACCTACCAGTAACAGACGTCCTTATTCGTGTTGCCCATCTGAAGACGGTGGCATTTCTTGCTCCTAGTATCGAATCTACAACACGCAGCTACAGGATAACAATAGCATCATGCCGCCGGTTGCAACAGAAATCGCGCAGTTCAATCTTATTCTCGGACAAGACCCCAGGAATCCTGGCTCGTCGGCTGCTCAGTTCCTCCAGAAGGTTTTCGACATAGTGAAGCAACGGGAAGGGTTTATTCGTGGCTACTGGGTACGTGTGTTTCTTGAGACACGACCGAGTTCCTGATCTTTTGAAGGGCATCCAGGATCAAAATCCAGGGATCCTCGTCGTGATTGTTGGTAAGCCGGGCTGGAAGCAGTCTGGGCGCAGTGACTGATCCTCTGACAGACTGGGAGGACATCAAACATCACCAAGACCTGGTCAACAGCGAGGATTTCGCAGCTATGACCGAGAACTTAGTCAATCTGGTGACCTTTGAGAACGGACCGCCTGTTGTTAGTGAGTGAAGTCGAAGCTCTAGCCTAGAGGAGGACTGAAACAGTGAACAGCACACGTAAATTTTACTTCCGACGCAGCGAGTGCCTGTCAATCATCTGTTACTGCAGTGAAATCATTCAGGTTACCCGAGGATGCAAGCGAGAAGCAGAAATCGGCATTGGAGGATTCGTTCCTTAGCCTCGTCAAAGTCTACACGACTGAGACTCCCTGTAGCGGATATGCATGTGGTTGGGGTGAGTACTACACGCAACGGACTACTCTGGTGTGACTGACCTCGACACCAGTCCTGGAAACACTTCCAGATGACAACGCTCCTGGGGACGAGGCGCTTACCTTCACTGGCATCTTTGGCTGGCCGGCAAAGGAGGGTCCTGAAAGTTCGAGAGACAACTCTGGCGACCCTGCACTTGTCGCAGCGGTGGAGCAGATCTTAAGACTTGCTCTCCCTCAGAAGAAGGGAGACGCCTTCGACGTCAGCCTGCGCAGTTTTGGATAGACAATAGGGACTATACTTGTACCTCGGGGAAACCGTTACCCACACTTTGACGTCTTTTTCCAAGTCCAGTAACAGTGAAGACGACTGCCGAGGACTGGACCCCCCGCTTTCCCACAAGGCGATCGCAATTGCGACAGTTCGCCAAAATCACGCGTTGCTTTGAGACAACCTCGCTGGTGCCCTCCTTAGCCGAGATCTGGGGAAATTGGTTGAGCTCATTGTAGCCAATCATGAAGCGGATGGTGCAGCAAGGTTTAGCTTCACGATGGTTCATCTGATGGCGACCAGCCTTAGTCCAACGCCACTTCAAGTCTTTTCTTCAGCACTGTCAACAAACACCTGCTCCAGACTGCTTGTCTTCAAGAGAAGATGGCGCTTGACGATTATTGCCCCAGCGACCGCGCCCTTCGAGGCCCTCCTTCGCATCGAGACAACCCAGTGTCGATATCCGCACTCCACATCGCAAGCTTCACGCAAGCACGAGGTGACAAGGGCCCGATCCACAAGCAGTGCTAGTTGCTCATCCTTGGTTTCTTCAGTTGTTCAAACAAGATTCTGTGGACGTATACGGCTTGTGGTCTTTGTCGAAAACCTGTACCAGCAGCAGCTCCAAACCGGAATGTCTCATCCACTTGAGAGGCCAAATCGAGGTCTGTCAATCTTGCAAGAAAAAAATACTTCTTATGATGTGCATGAACTCTCCATCCTTCCGCGTTGATCTCTCGCACACGGGCGGGTCGTCACCTCTTCTTTGCTTCAAGGAACCTCCGGTATTGTCTGCCAACGCCATTACGAGGCCAGAACTCAGACTGGCGAAATGCCGGGGATGGTCACTGCTTACCGGTCTGCTGTGCCACCACCGAATAAGCTCGTCCACAGCAAAATGAGGAATCTGGGCCTCACCTACGTACAATCGCTGCTGCATTTGCTGTTGTCGGTTAGGTTGTTTTGGAATTAGAGTTCGAGGGCAAGGGCCCTCGTGAATATCCTGGCACTGTTTTCCCCACCAGGTAGGTCTGTTGCTGGTCTAGGTGTATCCGGTGCGAGGCGTGCTGGCAGGCGTCGTCGTCATTTCTTGTTTACGGAGATATCAGAGGACCTTCTCTCATTGTATATGGACGCCGCTGCCGCTGCTGCGTGGACATAATCTCCTACTCCTCTGTCCGTTTGAATCAACGTCTAAATCTCCACTTATCCCATTACTCTCCTCCTGATATGAAGTCTTTGGACCTTTCTCAATCCCTATGGCCGCTCGCGTTGCTGCCCGGCCTCTCACATGCCTACTGGCGCATGGCCTGCAGCGTTTCTCAGACCGCTCGGGTGGACCTCATTCTTAACCCAGGCGAGGTGTCTGGACATGTGCATAAGTTCGCAGGCGGCAGCAGTCAGTGCAAAGAGCTCCGGAGTCGACCATTCTGCTGATGTCTTAGATGTCAACCAATACTCGGACTTCAATTCGCTACAAACCTCGAACTGTTCGACGTGCGAAGTCCAGGAGGACAAATCGGCGTACTGGACCCCACAACTCTACTTTGCCCACGCAAACGGCTCGTTCGAAGAAGTACCAAACTATGGAATGACCGTATATTACGTTGGTATGTGAAGGCCGTCTATGCCTCGTACTACGGCTGACTGTTCAATGAGGCCGCGGGGGCAATTCTTCCAACACGGTTCCATTTCCGGCTGGATTCAAGATGATCACGGGCGACACTCGACAGCGATCTTACGACAACTCAACCTTGACATATTTGAATACCAGGCCTGTGGCCGACAGGTTCGTATTTCCCTCCAGGCTTTCAAAGATTCTGCTGCTAACCTCTTGCTAGGGTAAGTTTCCACTGCATAGACGAGGCTAACGATATTCCAGAACAGCACTACATGTTCCGTACGGATTGTGTCAACGGCATGCGAGCCCAGGTCAACTTTCAGTCATGCTGGGATGGAGTGAATCTTTATCTCGACAACAACGCGCACGTCGATTACCTGTCGGGCATCGACTATGGCGTCTGCCCTCCTTCTCATCCGGTTCCTATTCCTGGCTTGTTCTTCGAGTGAGCGCTCTCCTCTCGCTGCGATGGGTCCAAGCTTATTTCAACTAGGGTTCTTTACATGACAAACTCGGTTGACCAGTCGGGCGGTGGTCAATTTGTCTTCTCCAATGGGGATCCTACTGGTTACGGATTCCATGGCGATTTCCTGAACGGTTGGGATATGGACATACAAACCGCTGCTGTTCAAGATTGTCTCTACACGGACGACGGCGGGGTGGTGAGCGCATGCTCTCACCTCGCTCCAAGTGACGATATCAACTTTCCACGCAATTGCCTTGAACAGCCATCAGTATTTGATGAGCCTGTGCACGGCTTGATTTCTGCTTTGCCTGGTTGCAACCCCATCACGCCTGGTCCTGATCTGGCCGAACAAGTCGTCTGCCCTCTCGACTCTCACACACTTGATACATCAAACCAAACGTCAATCTCAAGCGCCACGTCTACTACAGCGGCCTCCTCCTCTTCTTTTGACGCTGCTGCCTCGATCACAACAACCGATTCTAGCATCTCAGTCACAACCGATACCTTCACCATCTCGAGCCCAACTCCAATCAATGCCGCGGACTCAAGTGTTTCTTCCTCCTCCACCGAGCTGGCATCGTCTGACCCGCCTCCGATACCACCTACGGTTACATCCTTTGACCAGTTGACTTCAACGATGGAACCAGGAAGCGGACTAGTGACTACCACCGTTACCGAGTGGATCACCATCACAGTGACGGGGCCCAACGACATTCCAGCGAATTTCGTCGCTGTAAGCAGCACCTTGGGTGTCGCAACCACACTTATGGCCACAGACTCAAGCATCGAGGCAATGGTTTCTGCAGGCTCGACCATATATACTGAATCCTGCCCGGAGCAAGATCCGAGGCCGACTGCAGCGGGTATGACCACCATTACCTTGTACGCGACCGTGGCTCCGACGAATACACCCCCAGTGTTTTCGCAATTTATATCCTCCGCAAATACCGCTTTGACGACTATGGACACATCCGCACCTATCAATACGTCCTCGGGATTTTCACAATTTGTATCGTACCCACCAAATACCACTTTCACGGCAACAGATACTTCCGTTCCTACCGATACACCCTCGGCGTTTTCGCAATTCGTGTCCTATGCAAATACCACTTTCACGACAATAGGAACTTCTGCTCCCACGGATACAAGCGACAGCAGGAGCATCGCTATCTCGACAACCCTGGCCCTGGCCTACGGATTTCCTTGTTCCCTTTACTCAGGTGTTACGATTGACGGGTGCCCGACCCCAGCAACTACCTCATCAACCACGGATGCCACCACAGCGAACGTTCCGACCGCAGTTGCAACTACGACACAATCACTCGCCAACGAAACGACTGTGGCGCTTACCACATCCGCGCCAGCTACGACGCCTTTCAGGATTCGAGGACGTGAAGTATTCTTGACAGAGAAATAGGGGGGATATTGGGCACAGAGAAGTATTGCATTGACATTATGGCACTAATTAATGACAGAGAACGGATTTATTGACATGTAGGGACGGACCATGACGAGCACAGACAGACCAGGAGTACGGGGCTGCGGCAAAATATAGAGATACCCAAGGGGCAGGACCTTTGATCTTGCACAATCACATTCCGGCCGGCGTATTACTGGGGGCATACTAGGGAGAGGGACTATCTGGTGGCTGGAGGGATTGGGGGAAATTGGTGTTCTAGGTGGGGGGGACATAAGCAATGATATATTGCCGGGAGCAAATGCAAAGTCTTATCTATTTCAATATGCTCTGTGTCTTGAGGCGTCTCAAGCTGTTGTAAGGTTGGCAGTGGGTTTGCTACTCGTAAGGCTACCTGCAATTGTGCGGAGAGACAGGGCGTTTGCGCAGCTTCACGCTACGGCGCAGCATATGCGCCAGACTAGTAGCTCTCTTTTCCACTTCTGCTCGGCAAGCCTCGTCAACCTCATCGCAGCTTTCGACAATGTTCAATTGACATAATCTCTCAAACACTACCACCACCGCTTCACCTCAGCCGCGTGCTGCAGTATCTTCGACATCGCCCTAATGTTATGACTAAACGCCTCTCTGCAGCCAGCTGCATTTCGTACCAAACTCCAAGATTCGTGTGGATTTCCGATGCGCTCTTGACCGACACGTTCAATCGCTTCTGTCACCACAAGCGTTATGGCAGCAGCGTGCCAGGTCCCCTGGAGGCACAACGGCGCGCTGCGAGACGTAAAAATACAAGTCTGGCGTACGCCAGCCCCGGAGGCATCTCGGCCGATCCTTCAATTGTCCTTGGAAGCTCCGCGAACAAGCTAGCTTGGTGGCAGTCTCCCCAGCATGCAGAAGCAGCAGATTCAGGTATGCGCCGCACAAGGTAGATTGCTTGAGAATCTCGTGCTTATTTTCTGGACTGTAGCTTCTCCTCGAGTCCTACCGTCATGGCTTTTTCCTTTCGAAAGCCCGGCTCCGCACGCCGTGCCCACCTGCGGCACAATCGACACAGGGACGACACAGTCAGAGCCGCGATCAACATCTGAAGACGAGACGAATCGACTATCCCAATGCAAAACTTTAATCGAAGTAAAGGGCTGGATTCAGGATGAAGGAGTCAACCTGCGGGAAGATGCTCACGTCCGAGCTGCAATACCGAGACATATCCTACAAATGGATTTCGAGACACACGAGATCGCATCGTACGTATGCGACCCAATATTTCATCCACCGGGAACGTCATACATCCTGGAATTAGTGCGTGGCTTGCTCGGCCGTACTTGGGACGCCACCTCCTGGGGAATCTTGCGTGATGCACTCTGTTCCGCTACCGAACTCGGGCTTCTCAACATCAATGACTTGAAGGAAGTCATCGCCGAATTGGTCTGCCTGGCCGAAGTGCAACTGACCGACGCTCACGGTCGGGAAAAGAGGGTGAAGGCCAATGCCCAAATGTACCTGATCTACGGAATGCTAGAATCTCTGGATCGCTCCGCAGTTTTGCGGATCGGCGACCTTGGATCCTCCTTCCTAGCTCGACTCTTCTCGAACATTGCGACACTGAAATACTACCGTGGCTGGTGCCGGAAGCTATTGTGGCGCCTCCTCCCGTGGGCACCGAAGACTCACGTTGCCGTCATTCGTCGAATCGCTTTGAAACAGCTCAATTATGCTTGCCGACACAATACTCAGGAGAAAGTAGGGCGAATGCTTGCGCAAAGGCTCGTGGTAGCCCATCCAGAAGTTTTGCAGCTCGTCTCAACTGATATCACGGAGAAGTTGCTGAGTATGTCGATGGAGTCTGGTACAATGCTATACAAATACCTCTGGCATCACTGGTGTGGCACATTAGCCATACTCGGATCTGCAGATTTTGGTCTCACCCTGACACGAAATGCATGGATGTCTGTACAATCCGCCAAAAGCTCCCTATCACAAGATCAACGTTTGTTGGCATTTTCCTGGACTGTTATGTATCTCTCTCAAAGCCATCGAAAATCAGTGGACGTGAAGGAGCGACTGCAGTTCCTTGGTCACTTCGAGGAACTGCTGCGGTCGATACCGGAGTTTAGTGAGGATTTCCTGGATCGCGCTGTGATTGAGCTTGGTAATACGACTCTGCCGAACAAACACATCCTTCTTCGAAACCTCGCTAGACTGTCGACCAGAGCAGAGGCACTGCTTCCAACATTGGACTCCCAATCTACTGCGAAGTCGACATTGGAGCCGGGCATATCACCGAGCTTAATCGACAACCACACTCAGAATGCTCACTTTGAAGGCAACGAAACTTTGGCGGAGCTGACCGAGAGTTCGAACAATGATCTTTCAGCCTTCAAGATTCTGTCACGGCGGATGATTCAGAAAAGCACGAATTCTTTTGGTTTCGTTTGCCATCTTTTGGAGACCAACTCACTTTTCAAGTTAGCTTTAAGGACGCCTGACCTTTTCTCTCCAAAGCCAGCCACTCTTCAGAAGCGGATGGTGTGTGAGCGCACCGGCATATTCGCGAATCTCGGCACTCCGGTAGAGATCGAGTCAGTCACCTCTTCAAGACCGGAACGTGCATCGAGAAACTCGAGCTTGCCCAGCAGAGACGAAGTAATCGACTTAATCAGTCATCTTGCCCTCTCCTTTGCGACCTCAACTGTGGCTACTCCTCGGGCGGCACTTCGAAGAGTATACTGGTGCTATCTGTTCCTGCGCCGCTACGGAGCACCCGTCCCACCTGCCATCACTCGAGCGTTATGGCATGTGGGCGTTACACGATACGGTGACCAAGGTACAGCGGCAACACTGCTGAAGTGGATTCTCCTGCAGGTCAAACTGGTAGAGGGCGAGAGCGTCGCAAATCTCTTGCTCTGGAATGAGACCTTCCGTCAGATGCGGCAAGAGCAGATAGCCGCTTGGACCAAGATTGATGAAGACGAGGAAAAGCGATTGGTTGCCGAATTACAGGCGACGGGAACAAATAGCAAAGGAGATGAAGGAGATGGTCATACACCATTCACGTGGTCGTCGGACGACGGCCTTTCCGGTGGCGAGAAGGCATCGGACCCAGACCTGCTGAAGAGAATCATGTTCATCGAGTCCGAGCCGCCGGACCAGCCTGTTTGGATGCCCAAAGCACAGAGGATCGCCGGTTGCCATGAATCTTCAATGACAGACGAGGAGGAGCAGCAGCAAGAGCAGGAGATACTACAGCGTAGGGCAGCCGAAGCACTCAAGGTGGCGAATCTAATGTATCGAGGCTGATGTCTGGTACACGGCATTCAGGAGCTATAGGACGCGGGCGAGAAGGGAACAAATGCTCCAGACGGGGTGATCTATATCGATGTATATACGATACGAGAACATGCACAGATGCGTTCAGATACAGCCCCTGCCTCCAGATGGCTTCTTACATGGCCTTGCCTGCCTACTGAGCGTTGGATCTCGATTTCCAAACCGCTGGTTCCCATTATTACCCCCACCCCCCCGGGGGGTACAGAACGCGCCTGGGAGAGTGGGCGAGTGGTCGATCCCAGATCACACCCGAACTTTTGGCGTCAGCGTTTATTACTTCGACGATGGCGCCGTTTGTTCAGGAACGAGAAAGCGAATCCCGGCGGAGGCACTTTCGCCGTAGGTAGGTAAGTGCCTTCTCTTCATGTGCCACCGGTGGTTGTCTCCAGATATTGTAGGAGAGCAAAAGGGAAGAAGAGCACATGGTACGGGAATTTAAGTCATCCAGCAACTGGGGGAGTCACAGGCCATGGCTGATGGCACCGATACACCTGGGCAGATGGGAACGCTTTGGAGAGGAGAGAAAACTACAAAGCACGGACTGACCCGGCCTGTAGCCGAAGACAATCCTCCCTTGGCCAACCCAGTTATCCATCACAGAGCTGCTCTTCGCAGGCTTTCTGTCAATGTCTCGGAAGTCCAGAGCCAAACAAAAATCCGAATATTCCAAGAGCCAGAAAGGTCACGGAGATATCAATCACCTGTCACGCGCCGCAGCGAGACGGCAATGAGAACGGCAGTGTCCCTGAAATCGTGCACCGACAGCATGATTGACTGACAAGTTCCAAAGCACCATGCAGAAGCAGTCAGTCAAACTCGCGTGGTACGGCGAGTGGACAAGCGCATGGTCAGTGTGCTGCGAGAGAGCTACACAACGATCCGATACTTTTCGGCGAACCTGGCCATTTCCCGTCTTTGCAAGCTACCTAGGCACCTAGGTAGCCACTCGGTTGAACCAAGGAAAGCAACAGGACATGTGCAATGCCAATGCTGCATTTTCTTGCTTCGACCTGCCTCGAAAAGCAAGGCCTGGCCGGCACCCTGCCCCAGCCGTGTGCATTGTTTCGGGCCCCAGAGAACAGGCGGATCATAACACCTTCATCCGGGTGGATACCTCGACGCCCTAACACGAAGTTCAAACCTCCATCCTGGCCGAGGCTATGAGCCGTGATCCTGGACTCCGCTTGTTGACATTGGTTTGTGGCGCATCGTGTGTCGCACGGCATCCTTTGCTATTGGTGGGACCGAAAAATGACACGTTCGCTGCAGGTCAATGAGATCGCCAAGTGTTAAAAGCCTCACTTTGCGGCATGCAGTCGATCCCCAGTGGTATTGCACGATGGCTGACTCCATGGCACTCCTGCGCTTTGACCAGGTGCCAGCCAAGCAAAACTTTGCTAGTCAATCGCTGCAATAAGTTGCACGCAAGTCCCAGCTAGGATAGTCATTTTTCGCGCTGGCAATGGTTCCGTGAACAGCATCAGCGGCATGGTGGTCTGCTCAGTAATCCACTTGCCCGCCAATAGCAGCTGTGCTTTCAGAAGGGTGCCCCGGGCATCATTTCCATATCCGGGGGTCCAGACTCACCATTCAATTCGAACGGGAGAACCCTGTATTGCAATCTTGGATCCATCATCGGAAAGTTCGTAATGCACCGAGTACAGCAAGGAATGCGAGACCTAGTTTGAGAGGGCGAGCAAGAAAGGTGGCGATGGAAAATGAGCAAATCAGCGATGCTTGCTGAGAGCCCTTGCTAGTTGGGTCCTTTGCAATAGACTTTCCTGGGAGCTGTCAAAGCGCCGCCAAACGGGCTTTTGTCCAATGCTCGATACCAGAATGCTTCTATGGTCAGCGACCTCGCTATGCGTTCAACGCCAGGCTGGGCAACGGCCTCGAAGCAACTCCTGACGGTTTCGAGGACCTAGGACCTTGGTCGGCATGCTAACCATTTTAAAGTGTCGACCTGCGGTATCGATGCAGAGAGCCCTGGTGGAAGATCCTGCCACCTGATATGGAGGTCTTTCAGACTGGACCGGGCATGATTGACCAACGCCACGTGTTCGACATTTGCTTTCACTGCGTATGGCAGCCGCTTGACTCCGAGATCTAAGTCTAGCTCTCTTGGACTTTCCGAGGAGCCTATTTCGAACATACTTTAACAAGCTGGGGCAAGTAATCCCCAGTGATCTACCGGGCATGGTCTCACACTCGGCTCCCTCCTCCCAGCTCCGTCTGGGAGAAGCAGGAGGCCAAAATAGAGACCCATTTGCTGGGACGCCATTGGTGAAGGCGTTCTTGATGTGTACCATGCATGGAAAGTGGTTCCGTTAGCACCTGTGCATGATTCGACCGAGACGGCGAGCAGTGAGGAGACGAGGGAGGCGGTCAGAAAGATCCAGGCTCAAACGGTTGACGAGTCATATTCTGTGGGAAAGAACCTGGCAGCCCCACCCCCCGGAGGCTCGAGTGGTTTGACACTGGGGACTCTGAGAGTTGAGGGCTCCGAGCCAGCTGGAGCAGGGGCAAGGTGCAGATGAACGAGTCGCACAACCGTGAGCATGTACCACCAAGCAGGACCCAAATCTCGGTGCAGATCGCGCAGTACCATCGATTGAAATCTTAAGAAAGGACTGGCAGAGTGACACAAAGGCGCCGAGATGTAACACCCGCGGGCGGGAAAACTGCTGTTCCTGAGAGGTGGAAGACAATAGCAATCCTGGAAAAGTGAGGGGGAGACCCGGGAATGTGGTCAGAAGCGGGAGGCGACATAGGTTTACGGCGATTGGCCATTACAGGAGCTTGGACAACAGGGAGGTCTGGTCATGGGGGGGCAAGACACAGAGAGCAAGGTGGAAGGCTCCTCAACTTGGTCTGCCACCACACACACTTGGTCGTCTCGAAGCAAGGCAAAGGCAAAACAGCCGACGACAGATGCGAGCTGCGAGCTGCGAGCTGCAAGTGGATGGAAGAGGAGACAGGAGCGCGGCAGCAATGAGGCAGCGTCCTTTTGGTCCTTCGCCAGAGGCAGACAGACGCAAGAAATGGGGCCAGATCTTGTACGTAATGGTAATAGCCCAGGCTCGTATATATACGGAGCCTTCGAGCTAGTAGTAGTGAGCTAGCACGCCAGCGATTGGAGTGGCTCTGGAGGAGGAGCAGCACTAGGTTGTAAGCGAAAGGTGTGAAATGAACGCAGTTCATGGTGGCGCTGAATCGAAGGTGATTAGGGACTTCGCCTAGGCATGTAGCCACCCACGTACCCAGTCGCTGCGCAGTCACCATCCCGGAACCCTGTCCAACTTAACCTCACCACTCAACTTCCCTGGCTTTGTGTGCCTTGCCTTGTACGGCTTGGCTAGGGACACTGCTTGCACTATCGGTGAGGGAATGCAACAACAACTCTTTCGACGCCGAGCTGCCGACCGAGGGAGACCTTCGATGTCCAGCCTCAGACACAAACCGTCACCATCTTCCTCTGTTGTGAAAAGGCCACTCCTACCACGGAGCACAGATCGAACAAACGCCAGCTGGGAGAGTCGACGTTCAAGTCGATCATCATGTCCACCAGGCTTGAGCGTCACAAAAGAGAAGGAAAACGTACAGCAGTCATGGCGAGTCTTGAAATGCCTGTTACCTCTTCGACCACGCAGCTCCTCAGATGCATGCGATCCAATGCATCTGCTTCCGAACCCCCCTGCTCGCCCTTCGCTCACCACCAAGTACTATCTAACCTGAACGGCCTCATCCTGTCACCTAACTACTGCCCCGCTCATTTTGCCTCTGATACTGCTGCTCCCTTACCTCGTGGAGGAATACGGCCAATAGGACTTCTTCTCGTTCGAACCAGTCATGTTGCTTTCCCCTGTTCAGCTCACTGCTCCCGAACAAGATGCTCCTCGCAATCCATCACACCCTACCGTGTGTGTCCTTTGCCCGCTTCAGCCCCCTTGCGTCGCTGTTTCTCCTCCTGTGCGTTACGTACTTGCGTCCACGGGGCCAGCCAGCCCTATCTCCTGCAAGCGGAGCTTGTCCCCTACGTCTTCTCACGGTGTCCCAGCCACTGAATCGCTCTGGGCAATATGGCGAAGTGGACTCTTCCGAGCCCACCACCAGATATCACATACCCTTAGCTTCTCAGTGAGAGCGGAAATTTGATTCGTCCTTGTGCGCCATGTGCAAATCACACCGTCCGCAGCGAGTCCGTCTGCATCTCAATGAGACCCCGATGCCTTTTTTCCATCTGCCAGATCGACAACAATCCTGCTGCAGCCGGGATCTGGGACACACATAATGGAGACTTCCACTCGCCATGACCCTGTCACTCCGTGCTGCCCTCTCAACTGTTCCAGCACGGACCCTGCCTGGGAACTGTACACCCATTCACATCGCCTGCCCCCAGACCACCTTTCTCAGAGTGGCCATGTCTGCTCCACCACGCCACCACTACACCCGCTCGCGCGAGAGGCCCCAGATGTCCCCAGGACGAAAACGCTGTTACTATATTTCGAAGAGGGTTCATCACTTTTGAAAACTCGACCTCGATTCTCATTTCACTTCACTCGCAGACTGCGACTCTCCCGAAGCTTTCACACACTGTGGACAGCCTTCAGACTGATCTTCTCCCAGATAGACAAGAGACCTGCTATCATTTCAATTCCCCCCCCCTCATATCCTCTTGCACCTATTTGTCTGGTAAGTATGTTCCCTATGTCCACTTTATCCTGAAGGTCATTTCCCTACGTCGCGCAGCAATGCCACCCAGACTTCCCAACAAGGCCATGTCATCGCTGTCATGGTTATATTTGACACAGGTCTTCTGAGGTCTGCAGCATTGGCATTTCGGTAATGCACCACCTCTGCCTGTTCGCTGTCCTCCTCTGATGGGCCTTCTGGTAGCACATGAGCCCGTGGATGCAAAGTAGGATATCCTGGTCTGACACTGTCGACTGCCACATATCCTCGTTCTTCAATACAAGGGTCGCTCGTGGCTCGACGAACTTTTGTTTTTTCCCTTCCTCTCCTTCTTCATGGATCCGTACGCTTCTTACGTCTGTCCTTCTAACTTTGGGACTACCAGAATACAACGCTCGAATCCTCCCATCGAGGAATCCAAACTTCTTCTTTCACAACAGCAGCAACAACAGTTGCCGCCATTCCGAGAGGTTGGTGGGCAGAGACACCCTTGAACGAGCTTTTGCTAATACCTAGTAGCTCCTGGGAACCAACGTCCAACCTTCGATCGACCCTATAACAGCGAGTGAATCTATACCAATTGCTCAAGCGGACAATATGACAAGAAGAACCTTCCAACCGGCATCCGGGCCATTGAAGATTGAGCCGCCATCACCTGAACGATCGCAGAATGGAAACGGGATCGAGTCTTACGACAATATGTCTACCCAAAGCAGCGACTCGGCATACACTGCTCCGCGCCACCACAGGCAGAACCCGTCCTGGAATTCGACTTCCCATTATACTGATCTCGTCAGTCCGTATAGCACCCAACAGCGTCCTCCATGCACAATTCAGACCCAATTTCCCTCTTCCAGAGTGAGCCCATGCTTGCCGTCGATTCGGGATTTCGACCGGTTGAATGGGTACAGCCCTTCCTTTTCATCCACCAGCTCATATGGATACGGTGCCCCGGGTGGGCCTCCCTCTGGCCACGAGAGCTACTCTTTCAAGACGGAACCGCCCTCCTATTATGACCCTCCTCACCGATATGGACAGAGTTATCCGCAAACGAACCGACCGAATGCTCCACCGATGGAGTACTCACGATACCCACCCTCAGTCTTTGAGTATCGTGGCGGTGTTACGTATCCCTCGCCCTATGCGGGCGATTATCTTCCTTCGCCGACCGGATCTCATCATCCTGTCTCTCCGACAGTGTCAAACGAAGGATGTGGACTTCCAGGCAGGAGGCGAAGGGGCAACTTGCCTAAGCCCATTACAGACTATTTGCGACAGTGGTTTCTGGCGCACCTGGAGCATCCGTACCCAACGGAAGAGGACAAGCAACAATTTGCTCAAACGACGGGTCTCACTATTGCCCAGGTACTATTTCCCCTGACGTATGTGAAGCAGCACGGACTAATATTCGTACTTGTGTGTAGATCAGCAACTGGTTCATCAATGCCAGAAGACGCCATCTCCCCGCGCTGCGTCATCAGGTCCGTGAGAGAGCCTCACAAACATCGGCAACTGAATATGAATCAGACCAGGTGAGACGTTAGAACCTCGTGGCTGATGCGGCCAGCTATGAGCTTCGTCTGGAATATTGCGGGTGGAAGAGTGAAACAGTGGATGGGCTTTAAAACGGGTCTACAGAATGATCGCCAGGTCTGGTGCCGAAAAGTATGGATTTGTCCTTTTTCCCCTGCATCTCGGGCACTCTACCTCAGCCGATCCACTCCTTTTTCTTCCGATATTGCTGGGATCAATAGTTGAGAATCATCGATAGTTGGCGGTGGCGATGTTGTTTTGAACGTCAATGGATTCGATCACTAGTTCATGTGAGGGAACGAGTCAGCGCTCATGCAGGTAACTGGTGGCAGGCGGTACTAATGGCACAAAATGACTGATTGTATGCAATGGAAGTCTCTTTCGGAATCTATATGCTGTTCCTTGTCTTCGTAAAGCACTGTTATTATTCTGGATGAAGCCAAATCAACGCGAAAACTGTGTGGAGGTGCCACTTCGATACATAATACACATGAGGAGATGCAGGCAAGCTGTCATGGGCCGTGGTCCCTCGAAATTGGGTGTTAAAGATGGACACAGCAGTACCCGCGTGTCAACCTCCAGTCGAACAACAACAACAACAACAACCGCACCTGCACATGTCGAATCGTTGCCGGGGGCGCAAAACTCTTGTCAGTGTTATCCTTTCTCTTTCACCTAATAGACTTTTCCCCTAGCCCCAAAGCTAGGCTCGTACATCAGACTTTGAACTGTCTGATAAGTGCAAAGACATGGCTGGACAGTGTATGGGCAGCCAGGTAATAATGCTTCATGCTGCTCAGAGATATCGAGGCGGAAGGGTGGAATCAGCTCCTCCAACTTCCCCGGCGGAAGAAGGCTGCTAATCCAGGGGGTTCAGCATTAGCCAGTTTGGAAGGGAAGCTCACTATGCGTATGCTGTATGGCGGACGTAAAGGAGTCAAAGGTGCTCACTGCTTCCGTCTCCTCCTGCAGACTAAGCTGTACTAGCCTTGGATTCACATGAGAATGGTGTTAGTCAGGTATCACTGATGTGTCGGGCCTGTCATCAGGCCCACGTGCTCGAGGCTCTGAATGAGGATCGGGGAATGGTCGGCATTGGGAGGAACAGGGGCATAGGAGAACCTCTCTCCAAGGAATGGATTGTGCTTGATTCGCTATTACATGACAAAGATCCCGTCCTTGCGAGGCCGTAGAAATGCATGGTACAAGGTACTCTTTGGTGACTGTTATTACAGGATGACCAAGCCGGTAGTGGCCCAGAACCGAAACAACCGCGCGAATTATCTGATCAACAAATTCCAGGGAGATAAGATTAGATGACGTGGAAAGCATCAGTTGAGTTTGGCATGGCAAGCGAGGGAGTGCGTGCCAGGGGTAAGGAGAGGCCACGTCTCGCGGACGGCGGCAGGGAGAAAGGGAAACGCCATTGTAGCGCTGATGGTACCAGAAATGGGGGGGGGGGGGGTCGCCGAGTCGCCGTGATCGGAGCTGATGGGGACGCCTTCATCCTGGAATCGCCTCAGCACCTCGACGAACTCCGCAGTTGGGGATTGCAGCAAGAGGAAGAGGCTCAAGAGATGTCCTGCACATACCACCCTTTTTGCCTGGCAAGCCTCTCTCTGCAAGGTCAGTGACTTTATGTATGCCTGCGTACCTCATGCGACCCGTTCGGCGGACACCGGAGGGAGATACGAGGAGCAAACACACAAGAGAGAAACAAGGACCGGAAAAAGAAAGAGACTTTGTACGAAGGGAATGCCGAGACTCGGTTGACAGCCGAGGGAGCCCGATAATCAAGGTCACGGAGATTGATCATATCTTATCGTATCAATCGCCTGTCAGATGTGGATGGCAATGTGGGACAGCCGTCAAAAAATAAGAGCCTTGGGGGACAACGAAGGACACAGGAGCGCAGGCACAAGGTCGCCCGGCCCCGAAGTCGCAAAGCAACAACTCGGTACGAAGGACGGCAAGGAGAGGGTCTTGACTGCGAAGGGATAGCCGTTCCCAATTGCCTGTTTGGTGCAAAAAGAATGTCCATGGTTCGACAAGCCGGGAATCGGCGCGGGGCACGGGCTCCAGGGTCGAGGTCGAGATCGGCTTTTCTCTCTTTTGCCCACCAAGTCGATAGTAGTGGTATGACAACTCATCGGACAAGCCCCTGGCGAAGGGAGTAGGTGGCAATCATAGGCCCAACGGATTCCAGGTATGGGGTATGGAGTGCATGGGATAGGAGTTGGGCTGTGGTGTCGTGGAGTGACCGTGTCTCATTCATTAATCATGCTTCAAGCCAGAGGGACAATCGAAAGAAAGAAAGCCGTCTCCACGCCGAAAAGGCCAAGAGAGTTCATGGTGGACAAGGATTCGTACATCCTTTGCAACGGTGCCGATACCCACAACCCCCCCAGGGACTCAGCAAGCCCAGAAACCGGAAGCCAGACGCCAGAAGCCACCATCTCGTTCCCATCAAAAGATCTGCCCTCCCCCCCCATCGATTCTCCGATTCCATCCACCACCACCTTTTTTTCCTTCAGCTTCTTCCTCACCATCATCCCACTTTGCACTCTCCTCTCGCTTTCTCGAATTCAACCGCTGCTCAACCAAGCTGTTGCACAGATGGGCCGTGGAATGTTCAACAGTCTTTACCGCTGAGTTCTCGTGTCGCCGCTACTGCTTCCAGCAAACCCTTCGAGCCAAGCTGTGTGGACGCGTTCTGAGTCGAGGGCTGTTCCTGGCCTTCGCCGCCGCTCCGAGGACTCATTCCGCACCTTACATCATCCCCTCATCTGCCCGTAAGTCCTCAGCCCACCAGCCCACACAACCCGCTTTCAGCCGTACTCAGCAATGCCATAATGCTGTCAAATCCCTTCCTTCATGGCCCTTCATGGCTGCTCGATTTATTATACAGCAGCTGAATGCTCCTGCACGCCACAAAACCCTTCAAAAATACTAACTTGTCGCTGTGTCTAGGTTCTCTACACAGTATTCGTATCCTTCCCAAGATGTCAACCACCATGGCCTCGGGGCACCCATTGCCTCTGACGGCTCATTCACACCCTGATAATCCTGTTCCTGAAGAGCCTATAGCGTCGAGAAAACTCTCAATCTCCGCCTCGCAGCTTTCACACTCCCTCACCTCGAATGTTCCCTCCAGCTCCTACTCCGACAGTGCCTCGAGCGTGGACACAGAACCCACAACGCCGACGACCGAGAACCTTTCAGATGTCCCCTTCGATGAATTGAACGGTCAACCACCTCAAAGTCCACAAGGCAAGAAGAGACGGGCTTCAACGTTACTAGTCTCTCAGGATTCTGAAGATGCGAGGCGATTTTTGGGTGAGCGGGGCGCTTCTACTGCCATGATCCAGAAAGCCTGCTGTGGTGGAGGTTGCTGCATGCTACAAGAGTTGAAGACAAAAAGACCTCGCCCAGGCCAAACTCCCCTCAAAGTCCCTCAAAATCTCGCCTACCAAAGCTTGAAGATCAACCTGGGTCATTTGAGTTTGGACAGCGACCTGTCTGGTATCGTCGAGATCCCTTCCAAGACGGTTTCATTCGAGTCCTTGTCGAGTTCGCCAGCCCGCACCTATGCGGAGCCTCAACGACAGCAAAAGGCGGAGGTTCTGAAGCATCCTCCCAATTTCGTCACTCCGCACCCTCCCTACGAGGTATTTTCGGCGCCTCTGTTTCACGCCCGCGAGTTGACGAAGTCTGGTGCGGAGAAGAGGACGTATCACTTCGACATCGACGTGACTGATTACCCCAAAGAGAGCGGAGATGTCGATTTCGTTGTAGGAGGTGCCATCGGCGTGTGCGCCCCGAACCCGCCCGACATGGTCGACCAGATCTTTGATCTTCTCGGTGTCCCAAGTTTTGTGCGCGACAAACCGATCTTGCTGAAGACAACAACGGGAAGATGGCCCACGATTTGGGGGGAAGAGGAGGCCCGAGAACTGGTCACGACGCGAAGGGAGCTTCTAACGTGGTGCTCAGACATTCAAAGCTATCCTCCCACCAAACAGCTCTTCCGACTCTTCGCCGAGCATGCCGAAGACGAGAACGAAAAGACGATTTTGATGTACTTGTCTTCAGCGCAAGGTCAGGGAGCGTTCTGCGACCTCCGGACTGGCCCCTACATCACTCTTCCACAACTTCTCAGCGCCTTCCCTTCCTCCAGACCTCCTCTCGACCATCTCCTGTCTGTCCTCAACCAACTTATGCCTCGATTCTACTCTTTGTCTCAAGACCCAACAATCTCTTGCCAGCGAGACGGCACAAAATGTCGACGACTGATTGAAATTGCAGTGACGGTCCACGAGGCGGACGACTATGCCACTGGCAAGCGAACCGGCGTAGGGTCGGGATTTTTGGAGAGACTGGCGAAGCAGGTCATCCAGGCAGAGCGGGAGGGGAAAAACCTTCGCGACTTGGACCTGAGAGTCCCCATGTTCCGAGGCCTCATGGCCAACCCTTTGGCCCGTGAATTTGTCACCGATGGGCCAATGCTTCTTATTGGAGCCGGCGTCGGCATCGCCCCATTCCGAGGATTCGTCCACCGTCGACTAAAGTCGGCCAACTGCGCCAATAAAGTCTGGGTGCTCCAGGGGGTGCGAGACAGTCTCCTGGACGAGCTCTACTCTGGTGACTGGGGTGTGCACGAAGACAAAGTGAAAAAGGTTGTCCAATCTCGACGAGGGCAAGGCCGTTACGTACAAGAAGAAGTCCGCGCCCAAGCCGACTTGGTCTGGTTTATCATCAATGCCGTGGACGGCAGAATCTTTGTCTGTGGCAGCTCAAAGGGCATGGGGGAAGGTGTGGAGGACGCTCTGATAGATGTGGCGATGGCTAAGGGCAAGTTGAACCATGAGGAGGCACAGAGCTTCTGGGATGAGAAGAAGAGTTCGGGTCAGTATATCGCGGAGACTTGGTGAGCGAAATCATGGCCAGCGTTTACCAAAAGTCTCCTCGAAATATTCGGCGCTCAGACAATGGAGTGCGAGACAACAGCATCGGAGAAACGAACAAGACGTCTGATCCCGGGATCCTTCTGTGGTTCACTTCAAGGAAAAAAGCCATCAACGATTGGGCGGGCCACTGCTATTGTGGATTTTCATTCGACTTGAGAGAAGCTATGGCGCATAGCGAGGGGCGTTTTCTGGCTACGTCGAAACAAGGGACACACAAAAAGGTGAACTGTCTCGGGACATGAGGCATTTATGTTTGGGTGGTTCAATGCTTTGCGAAAAGAAGGGGATCATCCCGTTAGACCTGGGGCGGTGTTCTCACATTGTGTTTTTCGTGGCTTCTGCATTATCTGGTGAGCGGGCATGTTGAATTTTGTTCTGTCCAACATCAACATATGCATTATTATGTTGTTTCTGTTTTTGGATATACATATTGCATCATCATGATTATGGGTACTTTATCCTTACACATATGGAGTCATATACTCTTCGATATAAGATGAACTGTGAATATGCAATATGAATGTGAGGATGAACAAGATCCCTACAATCCTCTCGAGTCGAAACCCCTTTTTGCTATCTACATCTACCTAGGAAGGTAAGTATGTAAACCATAGCCCGACCCCGGGTGGTAGGCCCCACGCGCAGTCTTTGTCTCTTGCTGCCAGAAAGAGTAAAATGCGCTCGCGCCTTGAACTCTTGGTCCGGTCGAGGGTGATGCCATCCTGTGCTCATGGGTCCACTGCCACAAGCGACACGGATTCGGCCTTGTTTCTCCGGCTCGACCGACATGACCAAGGAAACATAGGCGTAGACGTCTGGTGTAGGTACCGGTGTCTCTCAAACTCGCTCTGCTTGTCTGTCGCCCTCGAAACCGCGAATACCTGTGTGCTCTCTCCGTGTGGTTGGTTATTGTTTATCATATCATTGAAAGCAATCGTGACGGAAACTGCCGTTCGTCGCATTACTTGATATAGCCAAGATCGCGAAACGCGCGGTCCAAGATCTCGCGGACTACCTTGTCCTTGCGCACAGTGTACTCCTGCATCGACTCGCCCGCGGCCTCGGAACTCGCGGCGCACTCACGTTTGACGGCCGCGTAGAGCTGCAGGTCCTCCGGCGACTTTGCGAGCCACTCGCGGAAGATGCGGTGCCTCGCGACCTCGGGGCAGTCGGGCCCAAAGACGTGGAGGTTGATGGGATACGCGCCGGGGCGGTCCCCTTCGTCCACGAAATAGCGGTGTCGATGCCACGCCGGCTCGCGGAAGAGGAACAGAAAGCCCGCGCGCGCGAGGGGCTCGGCGTACGAGCCCTCGTCCTCGACGTCCTCGACCACCAGGTCGACGTCGATGACGTCCTTTGCCGGCAGACCTGCCACGCTGGTGGAGCCGGCGTGGAGGACGGCGACCGCGGTCGAGCCCAGCGCAGCCTCGATCCGGGCTTTGGTCTCGAGGAACCGTTGCGGCCACGCGGGGTTGGGCTCGACGATGGCGATTTTCAGTCGCGACTTGCGGTGGTTCACCCGTTCCAGGGAACTTCCGTCGTCCACGTAATTCCTGGTAATGTCTTCCGGGGAGAGTGGCATCGTTGAGTCAAAGTGGTATCATGAGTTTCCGACAGATGTCTTGACATGGGGTTGTTGAGAAGTTCGCGTCTTAACGCCTCATTCTGCGCGTTCTTGGCGGCTCCACTTTGCAGCAGTCGCGCATATTATGGCGTGCACACCATGCGAGATAGAGTTCGCTGTAATATCACGATTTCTGGAACAATCTTTATTTGCGGGGACTCTTGGATGTTGCTGGCACGGCACGCGGTGGAGGAAGTTCAGGTTGAAGAGTGAGGGCGAAGGCGAGAGGGAGGGAGGTACCGAGTACGACGAGGGTACCCTGTACCTAGTAATAGTCATACGCCTTCTGGTCACCCTTTTGTGCCAAGCCTGCACGGCAACAGCAAGCCAATTCGCGATTCGCCTAATTGGACGCTTGGTCTTGAGATGCAGCAGACTGCGGCTGGCGGTTGGTGGTTCGAGATTGAGGATGCGGCTGTGTCCCTTCAGGCTGCGCCGAGCTGCTCTGTCCATGACCCAGCCTAATTAATGGCCGGTCTGCGAATGTTGCCAGCCTGCGAGATGTTTCACGCACGAGTGGGAATTCATCGAGTTCGTCAGCCTGATCGTGAGGCGAGATGCTCACCGTCGCCCGGCCTCAGGATGAGATAACTGCCTGGTGGTACTCCGGCAGGAGTTCAAGGTGAGGACTATTCTGCCACATTGATGGACGCGCGGCTCACAGAGCGTTGTAGTTCTGCCACAATAGCTGCGGACGCATACGCAAGAGCCGTCGAGTACTTCGAAAGAGAACTTGCTGAGACACAGAGCGAAAGAGCATGGATTCGCGGAGTGACATCGCTTGAAGACGTCAAAAAAATTGTCGAGCAGGCGCGGGATTCCTATGAGGATCGATCGGAACATCATGCCAGGGCCAAGAGATGGATTGATACCTTTGCAGCGAACATGGGCCGTTATGGCGCCGTGCTGGACATTCTCGCCAACGCTGACCCTCTGCATGCCGGGCTTGCTTGGGGGGCTATCAAATTTGTCTTTGCTGTACGCACCTGTGCACCGATGAAAGAAATTGTGTTGACCGATTTCAGGGCGTGTCGACCTATTCGCAGCACGCGGCAGAGCTCGCAAAGGCTCTCGCCCAGATAGGCGACGTTCTCCCGCGCATTCGCGTAGAGCTAGCACTCTACACAACCACCCAGATGACAGAAGCCGTCGCCCAGTTGTACGCCCATATCCTGCTCTTCCTCCAGAGAGCCGTTACGTGGTACAATGCGAACCGCACCAGGCGCGTCTTGAAGGCTGTCTTCCGACCTTCCCAGCTCTCGTTCCAAGAAACCGTGGCAGACATCGGACTCTGTACCAAGAATGTGGAGATGATTGCGAACACTGCGGGCCGCGCCGAGATCCGTGGCCAGTCGTTCGCCTTGGAGGAACAAACTATCCGTCAACGACAGATAGAGCAGCGACTCTTGGAGATGCAAGCACGGCTGGAAGAGGTGTCCATTTCAAGTCGGCAGCACGATCAAAGGTTGCAACGGCTGATCCAGCATACCCTGAACAGTCACGATCTCTTGAAATCCATCAAGTTCGATACTGGTGATTCGAGGCCCGTTCTCACTAGCTTGCAGGTTTCCCAAATCATCCAAGCTCTACGACCCGCTGCGCTGCCTGAGGATGTTCTTCGGGTTTCTCAATCTTTCTCAAGACGGCGAATCTCTTGGCAGCAGAATGACCGAGCCACGATGATGATGATCAAGCGTTTGAAAGAATGGACCTGGTTTCCTCGGTCCTCCATGTTTACCGTCAAAACCGCACCACCAGCATTGCAACGTACTCTGGATATGGTTGTGGAGGTGACGACGCTGCTCAAATCAACACCATATCCTATATTCTGGTGTATTTCAAACCCCGGTGATCGCAAAAGAGCTACAGCTGTCAGTGACATCCTCCGCAGTTTGATTTTTCAAGCTCTCCGGCAAGACCCTTCGATTCCTTCACGAGATGCTCAGCTCGGCGATATCTCCTCCTACGAGCGCCCGCACAGCTTGGATGAATGGGTTAGCATGGCAACACTTGTTCTCTCAAAAATACCGCGAAGTTTCGTCCTCGTCGCCACTGAAGATTTATGTCGGGGGACAAGAAATAGTTCAGAGGTGCAACAGCAACTTTACGCAGCCTTGACAGCGGTGTTCGAGGGTGTATCGCAAAACGGTTGTGTATTGAAGCTTCTGCTAGTCACTTCGAGCAGCTCCAGGGTTCCAACCTGTCAGTCCCGGGACTATACTCAAATCGTGGAGACTATGAGCTCTCCTGTGCCTGTAGCTAGGCGCTTGCCACTTGCCCGGGCACAGAACGCTGCTCTAGGACGTGCAAGATCCATTATCCGATCTAGGTAACCAAAGCTAACTGCAGGTACTCCTGGGTTGATTGACGCTCCGCAAGTTGTTGGTTGTGGGCATGGACAGAGCTTGACCCGTTCCTTCTGATACACGGATAATGCAATTTTGAAACCTTCAGGCTGATTCCTTGTGAAACGCTGAAAGGGAGGTGATTGTTCCTGAAGGGTCATTTTTTGATTTACCTGAATAAGTGCGCTTCTTAATATCAGTTGGTTTGTAAATCGGACGTAGGACTCCACCTTTGCTTGAACTCTGCCATCAAAAATGCTTAAAGGGCATCATTTTGTCCAATAGCTTTGTTAGAGGCCTCAACGGATCCTGAGCAAATCGAGCCCGAGGCTAGTGGCAGCTTTGGTGAAGCCATCGATACCGACCTTTTGCCATTCGCACCAGCATCGCAATGAGGCTGTGCTAATCGGTGCCTGGCACTGCCTGCCCGGCTCGCCCACCAACTTCCCGCGAGCCCTCCGACAACATCTCTTCCATCATCCATCGTTTCACAAGGACTCAATCATTTTGTCTCGGGCACTACTTTTAATTGCCACAATTACACAAGTCTCAGTGAGCAGTTTGCGAGACAAGTGAGGCGCTGTCGCGAGTGAGGTGGCAGAAATTGCTGTCCCATTCTACCCTCTTGAACAGTGATTTCCTCTCTCCACCTCCGTCCTCGGGACGAATTCTACACACAACGCGCATCCTGGTGATTTCTGGCGCCGTGCCTAGATACCATGGATGTGAGAATCCCGATGACAGGGACCAATGGGCTCTCTGGACTTGCTGCCCGACCTCTCGAGAGGCGTTCGTTGACAGCATTCGAACCTTCACACCTGCTCCGAAGTATTGGCCCGGGGCTCAACCATTTACAATCGCCTCTTCCAACCCAAAAATCAGATCTTTCTTCTCTCGGTTCTCCTGCACAGCGCCTCGAAGCGCTTGATCCTAGAGTTAGCGCTGCAGTCGCTCAGCCTGTTGTGGACACTGCCCTTCGTCAGCACAAGTTACCGCAAGTGGGTAAGACAAAGGAAGGCGATGCTCATTGTCAAAGTATCCAAGAAACGAAGCCTCGAGAGTGGCAGTGGGATGACCCCGATGATCGTGATAATGAAGGCAGTAGAGAACTCGTACGGAGGGTTCGGGTCAGGGGTGGTGAGGAACGTCGATCCGGCGTCAGGAAAAATATGCAAGTGCCTAGCCATCGCCCTCATACTAGCTATTTGTTCTTAAGGGCAGTTGGTGGCTACATTGATGAGTCACTGAAGACGGTGCGGACCGAGATATGGGACGATCCAGATGACTCAAGCTGTATCTTGATAAGACGACAACAGCAGTTGACGGATGAGAGCCAACTCAGTGATTCTGACAGTGAAGATGTTGATGCAACTCCGCAGACACCTGAAAATGGGTTTCTCAGCCCAAGGATAGAATTTCCTCTGCACATTGGCCTTCGGAATGACAATGAGAGACTTTCAACGGTCCTCCGCGACAATGAAATCCCAACGCTGAAGGCGCTACGGCAATCTCCTCCCACCAAACTCAGTCATCTCACGTATACGCTCTCAGAAGATCGATCGGGTGATTCAGGTTCAGTCATCCGACAACTCCTTTCCGCCTTGCGCTCCCTGGCAGGCTTTGTGCCGATTGTGAATAAGGGTGGTACGACTAGACTTGAAGGGGCCGCGGAGGTGATCTGGCCTTGCAACAGCTTGGGCTCTGAATTCAGGGAGGAATACTGGTTCTTGGCACCCATCTATAAACGTGTTTGGGTTAAATATGCAAGAGCAAAAATTTCAGGGTGGACAGAGTTTCCAGAACCTCTAGTTTGTGGAGAAGCTTTGGAGCAATTGGGATACTCGGACTGGTTGCTTAATGATGTGAGTCCCTTCTACCAAATTCCAATGGATGCTCACCAACCAAGAAGCCATACAGGAAAGGGTGAGAGTATTTCAGTGTCTTTCACCAAGTCATGTTGAACAAATAATCACATTGTCAAAGACTTACTCCCGTGTGACCGAATTCAACGAAGCAGCCGATATGGTCGTGGAGGCGCATTATGACGACTGGTACGGACATATCTTGTCGTACTCACGCGGGTGGACAGAAATCCTCTCAGAGGACATACACTACAAAGCATTACTGGATCTGGGTCTTCCATTTCGGCGTCGTGTATGTTCTTGTTGTCAGACCATCTCCTCTAGTATCTCATTCTAAACAACTTCAGGATTCCGCTACAACCGTTATCGAAGAACCTCTCAGCTCTGCGGTGCTGCGTGAGATTTTCAAAAGGACAAATGCGATTCGACGGGCTGAAGCAAGTTGCTCGATTGTCCCCAGCTCATGATTGAAGTGGAAATGGGGATAGACGGTAGATGGATTTATGGGAGAAAGCAGTCTTACCATTCTTGTTCCTGTCTCAAGGACTACCCCTGGAATAATTCAGAATACTTCCTGGTCATAATCTACGAAGCTGAGATTGAACAACCTGCTTAACGAACGCTTCCTCTCGACGCTTCCCCGTACTACTGGTCGGTTTGCCGCCGCGAGCATAAATACCGGTGGCCTTGCGGCAAGGCTGGCGAATCACCGTCCATTTGGGATCTTCCCCACAAATCGCATGGCGCGCCTGGTTGATGTATGGGGCTCACGTGGCAACTCAGACAGCTCGAACACCTACACCTCATCAACATTACGCCCAGCACGCTCAGGGGTTCTCAAGCATTGCACGATAGCTGTTTTACCTCCTCCTACCACTGGTGCCCACTTGTAACTTTGGTGACCTTGAGACTCAGCACTCGGTGTGTAACCATTCTCCATCGCAGCCTCCAAGTAGGCGTCAGCCTTATCTGATTGCTATACCTTGTTCTTTGGCCATCATTCGGAACGTGATTGAACGAGCTAGATATTATCTTGACGGCAGCCCTACTCTACTACGCCGTCGAAAAGGCATGTCGCACCCAAATGAGCCGCCCGAGAGTCGAAAGCCATGCGATGAGATTGATGGTGATTCCCAGTGCCGACCCGCTCAAAACAGCGCCCACGATGATTCACCTTTCGATTGGGAATGCCCCATCATCCACCGTGTCTTCTGTGATCACCCCGCCGTCGATGGCGAAGACCACAGCGAGCACCTAGATTCTGCAGACTTCCTCGATCCCCCTCGGCTTTATACAAATGATCATCGGGCCTCAGCTTTACGCGGCAAGCACCAACTTCCCAAGAGGCAACAGCCCGAAGTAAATAGCCCGATTTTGATAGTCAGAGGCTACGACTGCCCAGATTACCACAAAACTATTAGAGGATCTTTCGGCGCTGTTCCTCCGAGCCTAGAGTCCCGTCTCTCGAGCAGAGTCAGACCCTACGCTTGCGCCCTCGTAGACCATGGGCCCCTCGCGAAACCGACCACGGAAGAGATGCTTATTTCGAAGGGATTGTCAAATGCGCTGCAGGAATACACAAAGACGTGCGACCCACCAATGGGCACTTGGGACCCTAAGCAAGATCTCTATGCACCCTACGACTACTTTTACCATTTCCGCCGCGAACTACGCACCCGATGTGCTCCTAGCTTGCCCCAACCAGAACATCGACAGCTTCTTCTACTTCTCAACTGCATTGACAAGATCCAAGGCAGCAGTTTCGACCAAATCGACCAGGATTTCGCAGGGGGCAAGGTCCGGCGGGAAACTTTCAGCAAGCTCTTCGCTCCTAACGAGCTCATTGTGAATATCCACGAAGATCACTCGCGGGCTTACATTGCAGATACTGTCGAGATGAACTCAAAGGACGAAATCACCCTGGAATGTTGGACTTGGATCTTCGACGGCAGCTTCAAGAAGCACAACTCCACCATAACCGTCCCATGGCCATCAACGAAACCGGAAGAGGTGGAGATAAACAGCCTCTCCACTTTCCCACTACGACTAGACAAGACAGGTCTTCGGGAGAGACTTGTAAAACGGGGTCGAAAATTCTGGAGCTGTCGAAACAGAAGGCTCGTGAGCTACAAGGCGCCCATCCCGACCATCTTTGAGCTACAAGTCACAAACCCCAAATATATGGTGGACTACAATACATACCGGCAGATTCACCCCTCCCAATTTAAAGATCCTCCAGCAAACGAGAGAGAGATGTCAGAGCAGGGTGTAGTAATGGACGTAGAAGAGCCTCCCGACGACACTTTCTCCATTCTTTTGCCCGACACAATTGTTGGATACGCCTTCCACGACAAGAAATGGAGAAGCCTCTACGTTGAATACGTCGAAGAGGTGGTTTGGAACGAGGAAGCCTTCAGTCGCCTCGTCCTGAAGTCGCATAAAAAGGATACCATCAAAGCCCTCGTGAGCATTCACCTGACCACTGTGAAGAATGTGGACTTCGTGGAGAACAAGGGAAACGGCCTGATCATGCTTCTCCATGGGTCTCCCGGTACGGGCAAGACCTTGACAGCAGAGTCGGTGGCCGAAGTTGCCAAGAAGCCCTTGTACCGAGTAACTTGTGGCGATGTTGGGACGTCTGCCGAGCTGGTGGAAAAGTATCTCGAATCAGTCCTGCTCTTGGGTAGCATCTGGGAATGCGTCGTGCTTCTTGACGAGGCTGACGTGTTTCTGGAGGAGAGGCAAGTCACAGACCTTGCCCGCAATGCTTTGGTGTCGGTGTTTTTGCGTGTCTTGGAGGTAATCTGACGTCCCCAACTCTTCTCGCACACATGGACGCTGACCAGAGTAGTACTACGACGGCATCTTGATCCTTACGACCAACCGCGTCGGCACATTCGACGAAGCTTTCAAGTCCCGTGTCCAGCTCGCCATACACTACCCGGCCCTGAATAGCGAGGACCGCTTCGAGATCTGGTGTAACTTCATCGACACCCTGAAAGAGAAGAAAGTGTCGATGCTCTACGAGGAGCTCAAGCGCAAAGCCTTGGTCATGTCACGGCGCCGCTTCAACGGCCGGCAGATCCGCAACTGTCTCTGGACGGCGACCCAAGTGGCGAAGTACAGGAACGAGCCGTTGGGGTACAGCCATGTTGAGCAGGTTATGGATATATCACAAGAGTTTGAAGATTACTTGGAAAAGGCTCGTGGGCATACGGACGAAGAGAACGCCCAAGCTCAGGGGGTCAGGGCTTTTGACTCGGAAGTCAACGGCGATTGAGATGTAGGGGGTTCGAACAAGCCTACACTCAAAGCCATCAGCATGTCGGACATATCATGGACATTTATGACAGCAGGTGGACAAAGATGGCCTCTCGAGGTGGATCGGACATGTAATAGCGCCGTGGCCTGGATTGTGGGAGCAGCAGGCGCTGCTACGGCTGCTGAAGAAATAGGGAGACATCTCATCAAGAACGGACTGAAGCTAGAAGCAATCACGAGGACTTGGGGACGATAGAATGAGCCTGTCCCGATGATAACATATGCCTTTTCTACGTACGGGCCACTCATTAACAATGTATCTGAAACAGTATACGTTCCCGGGATAGAAATACCCATCCACTCTGGCGATTCCCTCCTATAAGAGACACATGATATCACCACGTATGGTGATTCCAGTATTGCATGTCATCCTGGGGACTGGGTAAAACCAGGCCCTCCATAGGCGTCAAAAGAATGCCACAGCGTATAGGGTGAGATGGATAACCGGGTATTCGGGTATGGAACCCACCAGACTCCGGGAATCTGCATGATCACCAAGAAATTCCCGAACTCGATTTCTCCTTTGCTGATACTTCACTTTGTCGACTTCATACTGAGATGTTGATTTCGTAGACGTGATATCTGGGAAGATGGACCTTGCACACACCCAAGGCCCATCCCGCAAAGTCCCTGCGAAACGGGCTTCGTTAGCATGTGTGGCCTGTCGCGCTGCACATGTCAAGTGCAATGCCAAAAGACCCTGCAATCGGTGTTCCGTCGAGGGCACCGAATGCCTCTATGCCAAATCTCGACGGGGAGGGCTGAACCGGGCTGCTTTGGCGGCACGACGGAACCTGATGGCAGCCATTCCTTCTGCTCCCACGGCGGAGTCGACCACTGTGCAGGATCGGCTGGAGAAAGGAGAGGTCTCTGCCTCGTCTGAGAGTGAACAGAGAAATACAAGAACCTCTCTGCCCATGGGGGCATCGAGTGCGCAGCTTCTCGACACCTCAGGTTCGACCCTCGTCAGTCTCGCCAAAGATCCGCTCGTCGATCTCTACTACAGGCACTTCCACCTGTTCCATCCCCTGACTATCCCTCTTCCACACCTCGAGAGATTGTTGGCGGCGGGAACCACCAAGCTGAACTTTCACCCATTGTTAGCCGTCATGCGTTTCATCGGCTCACTCTACTCTCGCTCAGTCAATTCCAACGAACTAAAAGCTGCTGCCGCCAATGCCATCCTCGAAGAGTCGTCGCAGGCCCTACCAAGCCCCGTTATGGCACAATGTTATCTCCTGCAGTCTATCTCCCTTCATTGGTGCGATGAGTTGGAGCGGGCACAAGAGACGATGGACGCGGCAATCCGGATCGCGCTTCAGCTTTCCATGAACCAGGCCGATTTCGCAGTGAACCACAGCGAGGGTGACCCCGTCATCGAAGAGAGCTGGAGGAGGACGTGGTGGCAGATCTACATCATAGACGCCCACTACGCAGCCATCCGGCACGCAATGACCTTCCCGACCAACGAGGTGGACATTACGACCGAACTGCCCTGTGACGAGGAAGAGTACGAGTCTGGGGTGAGCTACCTTGGAATCTTCTCCCATTTCCTAATCTGAAGGCGAACACTGTACTATACGGCTCTTGCTGACACTTGGGCATGTGCCTCTCCAGAACATTCCGGCTCCAAAGACGCTTGCCGAGTTTGATTCCCGCGAATTCGCCTCGGACGACCTCGTCTTCTCATCTTTTGCTTATCTCATCGGCGCCGTCCGCGGGATCGCATCGGCAATCAGCAGATTCTTGACAGGTGTGGCCAAGACGGGCGACTCGTTGAATGTCCTCGAGGTCGTCGATGCCGCCATTGATGGGTGGTTGCTCCTGTTACCAGAATCTAAGAAGGTCCCAGTGTCTGCTAGAGGCGAGACGGACGAACACATGTTCCAAGCACATATGGCGATTCATGCGTGAGTTCCCAACGGCCTGTCTGGGGGAGAAGAGCACTTACATCAATCTCCGCCCGCGGTTTTTGGATCTAGTAGACGCGGAACAGCTGACTTTTTCCGCTGTGTCAGGGCTTCCGTGGGACTCCACAGACCGTTGTCAGAGCTTTCCTACGATTCTCTGGAGTATCTGTCCAGCTGTTCACCCGCTCCTCCCGAAATTTCGTCTTCGCTCGAGCAATCGTTCCGGGGCATTCACACAACCCGCTGTCTCAGGTCTATAGATTGTTTAGTGCGACTTCTCGCCGTTTCTACCAAGCCCGCATACCATACGCCGTTCACGGTCTGCATGGTCTCCTCGGTTATTATCGCACACTTGTCTGCGTGCAAGCTTCTTTTATCCGGGCCGAAACTGGATGTGGCTCGCGACCAGATTCGGATGTGCATAGGCTGTCTGCGGTCTTTTGCTGGTGTATGGCCACTGGCCAGCAGGACTCTGCACGAGATTCAGACTATTGCAAGAGAAGTATTGGGTCTCAATCAACCGCAGCAGAGGATCGAATCAGTGGACCCAAGCGTGGCGGATGTCAGCTCCTACCAAGAGGGCACAATTGCCACGGAGACTCTGGGCGGCTTCCTGAACTACCTTAACTTTGACGACTTGCAGCTGTCCTCGTTATCGTGGTTGCCCGCCGGCGGATAATTGCCTTGTCCACCCCCACTGGCGAATGAACTTTTCGTTCCTCTGATGCGAATAAGGTCGCCTCCAGAAAGTCAAGGGCACGACTACCATCCGCTTGAGAATGATTGTCAATAGCAGCAATGAGGTGTCGGAAATGAAGACAACGAGCACGAGATGGTTCGGCTCGACCTTGAATTGTGCACTTCAGAACGAGATCTGTCACACACAACCCTATACCAGTCCAATTGGGAGCGCTGTAGCCATGTATCTTTCGTTCAGACGTCGAATACTGAATATCTGCATCTGGAGCGAGTTAGTATCCACCTCTATACCCACGAGGCTGACCAAGGCTCCGCAGCATACCAACCTGGAGACGACAAACAGATTCATCTTCCGAGTGCGCTGTGCATACCTCGATGGCAATGGAATAATGATAAATCTAACCAGATTTTTTTTTGGGACTCGCCGGGTCCGCGTACTAGACATACGTTTTGCACAGATTGCCGAAAGCCGGGTATCCAACCTGTGATAGCCTGACTGCGCCTCAACTTTCCGCGAACACATATATACCTTCCGTGCCGGCAAACAACCAAAGCTCCGCAGCAAAAGCCACTCTTTTCATCACGGATCCAATTCTGCATCCTCCGCGATGGCTGCAAGCTTCACGCACAAAAGTACCATCAGTGTCCTTCTTCTCGGCGCCACTGGATCCCTGGGCTCTCGCATTTTGATCGCCCTGCTCGAAAGACCCTCCACCAGTGTCACTGTTGTCGTAAGGAACCGTGACAAATTGAATTCTATCCTCCCAGCCCGGCAGCGTATGTGGCGGCAGACACTGGGACCTGCCCCCGTATCTTTGCCTGAGTGGCAGCTCTCTATTATCGAGGGCAATGCCACCGACTCGGATCTATTGGCTCGAGTTATGCGGGAGAAGTCCATCCGGGTCCTCGTCAATGCGGCAGGCCATGCCCCTATGTTTGCGCGGGGAAGTTCTAGTTCTGCGCCTGATGGAGATAACAAGGCCTTTAGCAGCGACAACGAGATAGCCCGCATCGTACGGGCTTCCATCGATGCGGTCGAGGAAGTCGCAAAATCAGCAGGGGCCGGAACAGCTGAAAAGAGGACACGAGGGTGGTTTATAGGAGGGATGTTGCTCTTGGATTTTCCCGACTCCAACGGGGCGAGTGCTACTCAGCAGACTCGTGAGACGGCCCAGTCTCTGGACCATTAGTACGTTCTATGTCTTGCTCTCTGTTTCGAGCCGTCGAGGATTTTTGCTATCTGTTTCACCCCTGGGAAGATTTCCTCTAATTCGTGACAGTCTACCACTCTATCTCCACCACCGTCCGGTGGAATCCATGCTTCGATCGTCTGAACATGTGGACTGGACGCTTGTCTGTCCCGCGAAGATGATCCCACGCTCTCAGCCGTCCAAGTCACCTCCTGTTTCAGCCACTGCCAGCGACGAAGCCACGTTTGGTACAGTACTGCAGGAACCGCTACCATACCCATCTCCAGCCCTCATTGCGAGCGCGGATGTACCTCCAAAGTGGACCGTCTGGCCCTCTCTCCGGGTGATACCCTGGGGCATCGGGCCGTTGCTGGAGATCATTGCAAACTCCGCACGGTACACGGTCACTTTCGAGGATGTGGCGGAATACATTGTCGATCGGATCGTGTATGAACACACGTTGCAACGGGAGCACGACCACGAGAGCGACCAGGCTGATGTTTCGGAGTCTGTGATTGCAAGAACTGGAGGAAGAACAGCCGAAGACACCACCGATAACAATGTCTGGATCAACAAGAAGATTGGCCTGATTGCCTCTTCCACCAATACCTGAGGATAACAAGCGGAAAGGCGAGATGGGAAAAGGGGGAAAGGAGATCGGCCTAGTCTAAGCTAGATTCTAACACGCACCGGGTCCAGAATCTGTGTACCTCGAGTGTATTCGAAGCAGGGACATCGGAACCAGAAGGGAATAGGTGTCTGGGAGGAGGTTTGGGCGGGCTAAGGCCGCGGGCAAGTCGTGGAATCGGCGGTCATCATGTATACTTTTCGTCCCATGCTCGATCTCGATATCGCTACTACACAATTGCGGATGGGAAAACCCTGCCTAGCAGAGCCTGGACTGGTCTTGTCGAATACCATCCATCGGTGTCAATGTATACACACTATTGGACATTCCCACCCCATAATATATACTCACTGACGAAGGGACACCGACCACTCTGTTCTCTGTACCCCGTTCCCGGGACGCCCCTGTCTGCATAATTTTATTTTTGAGCTTGTTCTATATATTTGCCGCGCCATTTTCCTTATCTAGAACAATTGATGATGTTTCTTATTGTGTGTTCACACTTTCCGCCTTGACTTTTCGTGGGACAACGCACACGCGCCTCGCGCTACTCACCCTCGACTCACGCTGGCTGTTTGTTGACTTGCTCAGACTCGTTCTTTGGTAGGGCGTGATAGTACATAAGCTGGGAATGAGGGCCTCGGTCGCGCTTTTTCGTCGCCTGAAAGTATTCTCCATCCGGAGTGCGGACTATATAAGAGAATCCCCATGTGCAGGTGCTTTGAGGGTGGGATCAATTGGCGACAGACTTCTTCAACTGCAAGAAGATGCGGTTGCACTTTGCCGCCAGGGCGTGCTTTGCCGCAACGTGGATGGTCGTCAAGTCTTCGAGGCTTGTCACTGCGCGTTATCTCATCGGTGGCAGGCGCTGTTGAGTCGGCGCAAAGAAGCGGATCGGGGGTTGTCGCATTGGCGTGCCGAGAGTGAGCCTTGCTTCCCGTAGTCGGCCAAGTGTCGTGGTGCTCAGAAGAGTTTCGGGCAGGTAGAAGAGGTGTTTGGCTGGTCCCGTCGCCATGCTGTGCCGGGGACAAGGAGGCGCTCCTCGGCGCCCATACAGTGGCGGAATGGCCGGTGGGATAATTGGAGGTTCGTCTGATTGTTAAGGGTGGGGCGTTGTATCTCTTAGCTTCTTGATCCTCGAAGAATGTCCAGATACAAAGTGGCCAGGTCCCAGTCCGGCGAGGCATCGCTGCTGTCTTTATCCTTCACATGAGACTTGGTGCGTCGAATCAGGGACCGAGTAGTTTCGATGCTGTAGATTGAAGGCACTCCGCTGCCGTCGGTGACCGAGTCGAGCAACCCACGTAGCAGGGTCTCGTCTTCCTTGCTCACACCCTTCGCGTTGACGTCTTTCGGAGCATCCTCTGGACCTTGATTGCGTGCGGTGTCGACTGGTGGCTCAATGAAAGAGACCTCCACGACCATGCCTCTAAGATTGGAACCGGCTTGGTTCGGTCGAGACGGAGTCTTCAAATCTCCGACGCGGATGGTCCACTCGCCATTCTCCAAGGACAGCGCCGTGCCGTTGTCTATGACCATGGATTGTCGATGAGCCCATTGCGGTTGGAGCTTTGTCCCGATGAGTTGCGTGAACGGGTCTGCGGAGCTCGAAGGGATGGTGACCACGGTAAATGTCGGGGATGTCGACTGGTCCGTAGCCTGAGATTTGTCCTTCGGAGTAGTTGTGGCAACGTACGTCTTAGAAGGCGTGTGTGATAGAGTCAGGATACTGACCGACTTACGCTGCGATATGTCGGAGTTGGGGAGGAGCGAAGAGGTGTCGACGAAGAGTCGGTGGTCAAGGTGGAAGGACGGGAGCGGTTCGGCCGGAAAGGAGCGCGAGATGTGAGATATGAGGGCCGACGATGGCGAGGTCTGGCCTGGCGCGATGGGGAGGATGAATACCCCTGTCAATGCCATGCTGGGAATAGAGGGTGCTTTGTGCTGTCGACAAAATATATATGGACATGAGCGAAGGACATTTTGTGAAACGGAGAAAAGGCGGAACACCTCCGGGGAAGGGCGCAAGATCTGCCGGCCAGGCACTTTTTAGCGAGGAAGTTTAAGCTTAAAATCTTAACGGCACCTTAACGAAGGACCTTAATTACAATCTCGTGGGGGCCGGTTCCTCGACTCCAGGAACCCAAGGCCCCCTGAAACTCCAGATTTGGGGGCATGTTTCTAATTGCGGATCTTAATTTCTCTCCCTCCCCGTCAGACTGCATCTCCGACCACATGGAGATCATCACTCACTGCTCTGCAATCGCGCCAACATGATACTGATCCGGCGACTCTGGCTGTTGCCAGCGTTCTTCCTGGCCTGTCTGGTCTATTACATCTACCTCTACCCCAGCGATCCCACCGCGGTCCCCTTCCCCCCATCGGGTCACAAGACCACCCTCCACTGGACGAAACGCCCCGAGCGATATCCTCCCGCCGGGTATCGAGAACTCCCCACAGGCCCTCTCGAGCAGATCCCCAAGATTCAGTTTGACTTCGATGCACACCCCGAATCTGCGGCTGCTAAGACGACTCGAGAAACGAGAAGAACTGCGGTCAAAGAAGCATTCGTTCATGCCTGGAGTGGATACAAGAAATATGCCTGGGGTCAGGATGAAGTCGCTCCGGTCAGCGGTGCATTTCGCTCGAGTTTCGGCGGATGGGGGGCCACTCTCGTCGACACGATGGACACCCTCCTCCTCATGGGTTTGAAGGATGACTTTGATCTCTGCGTCGAGCAAGTCAAGCGCATCGATTTTACTACCAACGATGTCGACACGCTGAATGTCTTTGAAACCACGATCCGCTACCTCGGTGGTCTCCTTGCCGCATATGACCTTACGGACGGAAAGTATGGGATGCTCCTCGATAGAGCCCGGGAACTGGGCGAGATTCTCTACTCGGCCTTCGATACTCCCACCCATATGCCTATGACGCGGTGGAACTGGAAAAAAACAGCCTTGGGCGGCGAGATCGAGCCCGGTACCAACACGCTGCTCGCAGAACTTGGCAGCTTGACTGTCGAGTTCACCCGGTTGAGCCAACTCACCGGCGACTTGAAATACTTCGATGCTGTCCAACGGATCGCAGAGGAGATGGAATGGGCCCAGAACACCACCCGTATCCCTGGTCTGTGGCCTACCATTGTCAACGCCAAGGAAATATCGTGGGATTATAACCATTTTACAATGGGCGGCATGGCCGATTCGACCTACGAGTATCTGCCGAAGCAGTACATCATGTTGGGAGGGCGAGACCAGAAATACAAGCACATGTATGAAGAGGCCATTGATACTGCAAAAAGGCACCTCTTCTTCCGCCCGTTGGTGCCAGGGGGTGAGAACATCCTTTTCAGCGGCAACGCCGCCCTGACTTCTTTGGAGACTATCCCCATCGCCAACATTGAGCCGCAGGCCCAACACCTCGCTTGCTTTGTCAGCGGTATGGTCGGCATCGGCGCCAAAATCTTCTCTCGACCTGACGAGTTGGACGTCGCACGTCGACTAATCGACGGCTGTGTCTGGGCTTACAATGCCATGCCATCGGGCCTGATGCCCGAAACCTTCCACATGATTGCATGTCAAATTGGCACGAATGATCCACCGCCCGGAAAATGTGACTGGACGGATGATAAGTGGTATGAAGGCGTGTCTCGGAAGCATGCCGCGACCCAAGGAACCGCAAGCATGAGCGCGGTTGACCGCGGCAAAAAACTCGTCCAGCAACGTCGTCTTTTCCCGGGGTTCACAGACCATGGCGATAACAGATACATCCTCCGCCCGGAAGCCATCGAGTCTGTGTTCATCATGTACCGGATAACGGGAGACCCCGGATACCAAGATATTGCGTGGAAAATGTTCCAGTCCATCCAGAAAGCCACGAGAACACCCATTGCGCACGCGGCCATCCATGATGTGAGGCATGCAGAGCCCGGGAAAAGCGATCGGATGGAAAGCTTTTGGCTCGCCGAGACGCTGAAGTATTTTTACTTGGTGTTTAGTGAGCCGACGTTGGTGAGCTTGGATGATTGGGTCTTCAATACTGAGGCGCACCCGTTGAAGAGGCCGACTGCGTGAGGGCTCGTTGGTACCTCGAAGTGCTACGAGGTAATGCCTCGTTACGACCCATGGTCGACAATCGTCGAATCTCGAGCATGGATTGTGCCCCTGCCTGAGAAACGTTGGGAATGGCCTCTGGCGTCGGCAGCTCGTCGTTTGAGCCAGCTCTAGCTGCCCTCGGGTCATTAGGATACTGTCATTTCGACTCAGCACGCATCTTCGGTCCGTCTTCAGGCTTCAGATTGGTCGGCTAAGACCAGCAGTAAGAGATCTTGGATAAATCTATACTCGGCGAGAGTGCATCAAGCCCACAATCCCCGGTGCTCGGGAGCCTGTTGCACCACAGTATTTTGGACAGAATACCGGACTCCTGCGGCGCTTCTTGAAATCAACGAGCTCCCCAACCACGATCAGGCCTGATCTGATTGACAGTTGGTCAATCTTGATCCGGTTTTGTGTGGTCGGCCGTCAAGAGAAGCTGCAAAAACCAAAGAAACTCAGACGAAGAGGCACTTTCTCCAGACCTGCAGTCGCCGTCCGGAAGGGCGACTCGATCATTTCCAGCGCCTTTTCGGGGACGGAGGACACACGTACACCCCCTTCTTTCTACATGGCTGAGGAGCGATACGAAGCCAACAAGGCACTCACTCAGTTTTCCTGTTTTCCCCTCTTGGGTTTTAGAGGACATTGGCGCTCGAAAGGGAAAAACGCTGTACACATAATTACATAGATAGCCACGGTAGAGAAAACCAACAGTCGCCGCATTTCCTCCTTCTCCAGGAGATCTCTCTCTCTCTCTCTCTCTCTCTCTTCGTGTGAGTGTATGTGCATTTTCTGGTATCCTATTGCAACTATCATCGACAGGAATGATGGGTCCCAATCATGAAATATGTGTCCCAAGCCCTCTTGTGCTTCCCCTGGTTCACGTTCCAGTAAAAGCCTCTGAAAGGACGGGGACGTACAGTAGATACACAGACAGAGAGATCGAAGTTGGCCTAGCCCATGTACAAAAGCTTCACGCGTTCCTCCCTCACCGGGATTCCGCAACATACCAACCACCATCTCCCAAATATGATCAAAGAAGCACGCGCATTTGTCGCACATCCATCCTTGCTCTGCGCCTCATTCTCAATCCACTGCCCACTCGGCCGTCTGCCTCTTGATCACCATCGGTCGTAGGGCAGTCATAGCCTGACTCAAGGACACTTCAGATCCCTGGCACGCCGTTCGAGCCTCGAGCAGCCTCTTGCCTCAGCAATTCATCCACGTCCTCGTCCAGATTCTTGAGAAGATCATCGCCTCGAGTCTCTGTCTGTTGCCCTCCCACTCCGGGGCCGGCCCCACCGAAAGTCCCCGCGCCTTGATCTTGACTCTGTACTTGACCGAACCCTTCCATGCCCATTTCGCCCAGGTCAGGAACCTGCTCTTCTCCACCGTGAGATATCTTGCGCCTTTTAGCACCCAAGCCATTGACGCCCTGTCCACCACTTGCAGAGCGGACGCGCGGCATTGCTGGCGCGTTTGCGTGGCCGCCCGCGCTGCTGGGGAGGAATGCCGTATAGTCTGGGGTCGGCGTCGAACCAATAGCGGAGAAATCAGCGAGAGCAGCTGCAACGGCAGGGTTGTTGGGTCGAAAGCTTCCCAGCCCCGGAGAGGCAGGGGCGGCGGGAGCAGGAGCTGGTTGATCCCACTGTGCGTTACTGGGTGGAGGTTGATCGAACATGCCTCCGCTCGCAAAGTCGCCCTCGTCATCGGTAAGTTCTTCAATCTCGGGTCGTTCGGAGAGGAAATGGCTAGCTGAATGTTCGCCGCTAACATTGTTTCCACCAATTTCATTGACTGCAGCGTCGATGCCGCTCGAAGCAACCCCTGTATGGGTGCCTCCGAAATGCTCGGACGATGATGCTGCCTCGGCAGAAGATAATCCACGAATAATGGCATCTTCCACCTCTCTCTTCTTTGCTTCGGTGCTGGCCTTCCGACTTTCTAGCGTCAGGTATGTCTCCTCGTCTTTAGCTAACGCTGCCTTATTAATTTCCAAGATCCGCTCAAGGTCCGCGATCAGAGCCTTCCTAGCCTTGATACTGGCAGAGACGGACGATTCAGCCGCCGCAAGGGACTTAATCAGGCTTGACAGCCGCGCCGCGTGAACGGGCGGACTGGGCAGCACCGCTTCGGGGTCGTTAAGTTTGGCATACTCGTTCTGTGCGTTATCGATGGCAGGTCTGGCGGAGATGGTCTCCTTGGTCACCGTGATCTGCAACGGCGCCAGACTCTCCAATTCCTTTGGCATGGCGCCTGAGGAGGAAGTTGAACCGAAGAGTGAGTTGCCCATGAGGGTCTTCTTCCCCCCGGATCCTTTTGATTTGTCGATTTCGTCGACTCGTGCATCGATCGCATCCAAAATCGGGACCTCAAAGACATTCCGCGTTCGCCATACCTCGACAACGCGCCGGATCTTGCTTTGGATCTCGGGTGGTGAGGAGCGATAGGCGGTCTGGATGGCCTCGGCCATTAAAGGGGAAAACGCGTCTGGGAATTCACTACGCTTCCGTGCTCGGGCGTTTTGGACAATGTCGTTGACCAGGTAGATGAAGTTGAGGCGTTTCGCTGGCGGTGAATCGCGGAGACGGGTGAGCCAGTAGTTCGCGATGCGGTCGGCATGTCTCCTAGACAACAAGTGTTAGCTGTTGTTCAGTTCTCGGCGGAATGGCTTTCCATAGGAGGAACTATGGCAGCCGCATAGGGACGTACTTATGAAACATGATCCATTGTGAAACCGAGACAATACTATCTTGTGTCTCGTTGAGGGTCGAGAGCTTGGCCTTGAGGGCCTCATCGGAGTACGACATGTTGGTCCGTGATGCCTCCGTCTACACCATGCGACACCCCCTGAACGTAAGTTGGCGCGTGTGTGGCTGTTCTTTCTGCGCCCTTTGTCACCTACGCGTGGATGAAGTAAGGCGCAGGTAGAGGTGGACAGAGGATTCACGGCCGGGCGGGCTATGCTACAAGCTATGACGGCACACTGAGCTGTGAGTGAAGAAAGAGAGCTCAGTCACAGAGCGGTCGTTGTCTGCTCGTTGCTGCCTGAATTTTGTCACCGGTCCTCCTAAAAAAGACTCTCAAGACGCGAATCGTAGATTTATCTGTGGCTGATGATGAGTTTAGATGGGCAGAGAGGAAGAAGTTGAGATCCAGGTCGATGAAGTTGTTGTTTTGGACATTTGCGGTTTCAAATGACCACCAGAGCACGTGACACGATCAGGTATGCTGAGGACGGCGAGGCCTATGAGGACGGCTCATTGACAGGACTATAGATAGATACAAATACGGCACATGGTCGTACAAAATCCCTAATCCAGTATATCTAGTCTGCCTATGGATTGCAAGATCTCGCACAAGACCACTCCGAATGCCATTGTGTCATCAAGGGTTCGTTCCAATAGTACCTCTTCAGAGACGCCATGGTAGTGTCCCAACTCTTCATCTGCGGACATAGCATGAAGATAAGCGCCATGAGCTCCTTTCTCTCTTCCTCGCTCAACTTGCTTTCGTCCGCTGTCGTTACAGTAATCATTGTCGCCCATATCATAAAGTCACTGTCCACCTGCGACCCAAGCTCAGTCATATTCTGGGTCACTTCTCGCAGGCGATCCCGAAATACTTGGCCCACTCGTCCGTATAGTCTCCGAGGTGCGGCAGAGTCGGAAGTCGTTGCAAGCCAGGACCGTTCGAACATGAGGGCCAAGAGACAGATTTGTCGCTCCAGTTTTGGTACGGCTTCCGTGGCCACGACGCGCATAAGTTCGAATTGCTCGCTCTGACCCCAGACGTGTGGAAGTGCTTCAGGGTGCTCTCCGGATACCCTTGAGGTGAGTTCATATAGGAGCCCAATGGTCTGAATTGAAATCTTGCAAGTAAGTGCCAGTTCACGAAAGCCACCTGGAAGTTTGGTCGCCATGTCAGAAAGCTCAGAAGGGAATGGGTGTTTGGGATATTGTAGAATCAGCTCGGGAGTTATGGGCTTCAGTTGGGTCTGTCGTCGTCTTTTGATGGCCATATCGCATACAAACTCCGTTCTTCATTTGCTTTTGTCAGCAAAATTCACGCCCTTGTCTAGGTTCAACCTTACGACGTTACCATGAGTTTTGTCATTGCGTCGAAACTTCCGTTCTCCAGTCCACCACGCATCGCTATCACTTGCCTCAGACCAGCTCGATGCATTTCCACGTAGTCATCCTCGGCCATGTGGAACTGTAGGAGCAAGTTCAGCATTGGAGCATTTGTACGCGGAGGATGACTTACGTCCGAGCCGAGGAGGGAAGTGATAGCATGTAAGGTGGTATCATCGGCGCATAGCCGAGGATTGGATATCCTTTGGCGTAGTTTCTTCAAGATACTGGCTCGATACTGGAGACAGATCTGGCGGAGTGCGGGAAAGGGCCTGTAGGAAGGAGGTAATTGGCAGAGAGTATACAACACGAGGCACTCAAAGAGGAGTTCGGATTGAAGAGAGACGGAAAACCGATACGACATCAGCCAATTGTCGCCATTTGCGTCGGTGAAGAGCTCCCTGCTTTTGATGGCAACATCTTGTACATCTGTGAAGATTAGCCATTTGCTTGAACCCCAAGAGATAATGCTTCGGCTTTTGCTTGATGAAGCTCCTTCACGATAGTATGGACATACATTGGTCGACGGCCCATTTCACCAAATACGTGGCTTCAATTGGGTACGATTGGAAAGGATCGTCACGCACTCCCCCAAGATTACCGACCAAGGGAGCAAGCAGGTCGCTGACGCCTGCCTCAGGAAGCGGACGTGTTTGAGGTCTCTTATTTTCAAATTTGGCCCTGCCTCGCGGCTTAGAATTAACAGCACGCCAAACCAAGGGCTCAAATGAACGGGTTTTGGAGTCCCGCGTCTTCCTCTCAGACCTTTTCTTCCCAGTCTCCGTCGGTTGTCGACGTGCTGCGAATGACGACACTTGTTGCTGCTTATCCCGGTCCTTCAGTTGACAGGGATGAGTATAGGTGACGAACATGACTTTTGGAGAGCTGCTAGGCCGTCGTATGAAATTGTCCTGTCAGGCCCGACTCTCAATCAGCGAAGCTGTAGTCTTCATATAGTGATGTCTGCAAAAGGCCAAACCGCATTGACCTATCAAAGCTGTCCCCAGCTGATACAGCTCCCTCGGGCGGGTGAACACCGCGCTGCTTACGGGGGTGTTGCATGGCATCAGCAAATATAGATGTTGATCCATGCGGTTGAATGAAAAGAGAGGAACAACTCGACTTTGTGGTAAAAAGGTCCTGATGGAGTTGCCGGAATGTTCCTGAAATCGAGTATACAAGAAACCCGACCAATGGCAGATATCATCCTCACAACAAACCGAGAAATGGGGGCGAAGACGTACCTGACTGCAGGAGGGACATCCGACCAGGCGATTGGTGCCTCAGGCTGACTTGCATCAAATGCCAAACGGCCCCTTTTGTGGCAGTGTTGGTCAATATGTGAGGAGAGGAAAGGTATCAAACACAAGTCCTGAAGACAGTTCCATGAGCCGTGACGTTCGACATGCTGGCACGCTGGATAGTAAGCAGAGCACAATCCTAATGTTGCATAATCGGACGAGCTCGACGTAATAAGGGCCACGAGGCACCAATTCAGCAATGCACTCCGAGACATGGCCGCCGTGAGGTTGTCCTCATCCGTAAGGAGATGGAGTGATGAAACAGGACTCCGAGAACGAGGTGGACATCAAGTCCACGGCCATGAGAGAGCGTCTCAATCTATTCGAAAGCGCATGTTCCGGCGTACATCAGTTGTTTAATTCTGGAAAGCAGGCCTTAAGACCGCACCTTCCCATATTCCAGCAAATGTTCTGTCTGACATAACAAGCTCCCTTCTTAAGCGTGTCAACTGCGCACAAGGCCCGCCCTGTCAGACACGTGAATTTTCGCGAGGCCAATTGTCTTTCCCTGCGACGTTCATCGCAAACAACCGTCTCACAAAAAGTGCCAGCTTGACCCATTGTCCATTGCACGGCCATTTTACAGATCATTGCCTCTCCAATCACCATCATACACTCAGTGACTTGTAGTGACTTGTTATCTGTAGTCTGTCTACTGGCAGTGATCCATTCCGCTGTCGCAACGCCTCCGCCCTTGCGCCTTCCTCCATCATGGCAGACCGGTTCCCTTCAATTGAAGACATTGATGCAGGTAAGGCTTGGATCTCTTCCACGCAACACCCTCGACTTTACCTTTGCTCTGGATCTCTGACAGTCGGGACAGGAGAAACAGATGTCCGCCCCGATCCGTCTGCCCAAGGCAGCTTTCTCGAGCGCGAACGGGCGTTGCTGGGAGAGGACGCCGACCTTTTCAATGCCAACGACAGACCTGGTGCAGCTACAGTCGAAGACGGCGATGACGATCTGTTAGGTGGTGATGGCGACTTCACAGCTGCTCCGACACAGCCATCAGGTGGTGACGGACAACAAGACCTAGATGACTTTGAAAGCTCCTTTCCTGCCATTGACACACGAAACGAGGTAGGCAGCTTTAGCACCGCTTTCGGAGAATGGAGAGCATCAGATTGACACAAGGCAAAATGAACAGAGCGTCGCACCCGGGGGCACTATAACCGATTCGACCTCCTTCGGCGGCTACACAAACTACACTGCTCCAGCACAAGACGAAGACACCGAACCGATCCGCGAATGGCGAGCCAAACGGGACGCCGAAATCGCCCGTCGCGACGAAGCCAGCCAACGCAAGAAGGAAGAGACCATTTCCACCGCACAAAAGGACATTGATTCTTTCTACGAATCCTACAACCGCAAGGTCGACAAGCAAAAGGCGCAGACTGCGAAAGAGGCAGAAGAATTCCTAGCAAAGAGAGAAGACACCACTGCGGGCGGTACAGCTTGGGAGAGAATTGCCAAGTTGGTTGACTTGAGCGGGAAAGGCCAGTCGGGCGGTGGGGATGGCAGTTCCAAGAAGAGAATGCGCGAGCTGCTACTGAGCCTGAAAGCGGACAAGGACGCGCCGGGCGTAGCGGGGGTTTGAAGATCAGATGAGTAGGCGATGACTGCGCGGCTGGGAAGAGATAGACAGGGAGAAGAAGATTCGTTCGTGCTCGTGGCTCTTGACCATGGAACCATGACCTACACTTTGCTGCCGGTCATTTCCCCGGGCCAAAAGCTTTTGAGGACACTGTCGACATATCGTGGCTGAAGACTATGACACTCGTGGAGGATGTGTGGAATGAAAATTGGCGTTTTTAGAGTCGGCATCATGGCTTGTAATGGATCTACATATGCGCGCTCGAGGTCCTAGATGGGACGGATAACTGTCGTGAACAAATACATCCGAAGCATTGAGGGGAAGAGGTTTCCTGCCGCCTCGCATTGTGCAGAAAAGCGCTGGGAACCGACGCGATACAAGAACCAGAGAATGAAAATTGCGTTGATTTGCACATGTCTGCCATTTCGGACGCAGTTACAACTAACCTACCTACACATCTGCCGTAACTCGTACTCTAGCTCCTAGCCAACTACTTCCCTCAGACACCTAGTCTTGCTATACCGTTCTGCCACCAGCTCTCACTTACTTCCTCTTTCTCCCTTATCCGGCCGGCTCCTGCGTCGTACAATGGCATGGCTGTGTCCCGAAATGCAATCAGGTAAGCAGACAAGATGCCCAATTCCCCATCCGAACACATGCGTACACGGTGAATACCGAAAAGAAGTCTTCGTAGACCCAAGCGACGCCCTTTGATCCATGCATCCATGTTGTCCAGCATGGCCTGGAGCCCCGAAAAGACAAGACCGAGCATTCGTATCGAGCATTAGAGCAAAAGTTTAGTCCACAACCCTTTTTTTTGTGTGTTTTCGTCTTTTCTTTCCCTCTTTTTGAGATGGCGTTCCGCAGTACAGCCATTGCATTGTTTGCACATTGCTTGAATTCATTTCCGTTACCCTTTGTGAAATTCAGTCATCGCGTAATGCATTTCCTCAGGAGGTCAATGAGAACTGCTCATGCTGCTTCCCTTTTCTTCCTCATTCCATAACGCCGCACGCCTTTGAGTTTTCGATAGAAGTCGATTGTGAAACAGTGTCTCAGCGTTTCCTCGGCCAACATAATTATGGCTTTAACCGGGAACAGAGGAAGACCTTCATTTTGTGCTACCACTTACGCTTCGGCATGCGCTTGCGGCGATTCGAGACAATCTGCATCTGCGAGAGGAAATTGCGACCAAGTCGCTCCATGTCAGACACGGCTTGTTCAGCTTGTTGCACAGAGGGAGGAGCTGGTGCTGCTGCATTGGCGGCCGCAGAGTTTGCTACCGCTGGTAGAGTAGGGCCTGTGATTTGAGACTGCGGTTTCCCTTTCCCGCCGTTCATCTTGCTGATAATGTCGAAGGCTATAGTCTTTTTTCTTGCGTTCGGGTCCGCCAAGGTTCCATCATTACTGTATTCACCGCTGCCGTTAACTTTGAAGTTCTCCCCCAAAGGCGTGGGCATGGTTTGTGCGTAATAGTACTCCATCCAAGTTTGCAGTCCCCTATAGCCCTGAGCTCTTGCAATGATCCACGCCATTTCCACATGGCCAATGAGCATGTCTTCAATTTGCCACGCCACGCCATCGAGAGCGAGATCGCTCGCACCATGATGCATGACTGACGCAAATGAGTGCATCATGTCTACGCTGTCAGAGAAATTGAGCAATTGGTCTCTGATCTCAAGTTCTCGGTCCGTCATGTGCCAGTCGGACTCGTCGTCTTGATCGGCTGTGGAAGCGGACTTAGTCTCAGCCACCACTTCATTTGGTTCGGTCGAGAGCGATGTCTCGTTCTGATGTCCAGAGTAATTCTCTGTTGCATCTTTTTCAAGGTTCCCTTTCTCGGAGGTGTTGCTTGACAGGTTGTTTTGGATGCTAGGAACGTTGACAGGGACTGACTTGAGACTGAGCTGTCGTTGCATGCCTGTTGAGTCCTTGGCCACCGGTTGGATGGGAGGAGGAACCTCCGCAAAGCGACCAGTCCCTACTTTTGCCCTCAACTCTGCTATTCTCCGTTGATTTCCTTCGTAGGTTACAGGGCGCTCATGTAGCGCCAGGGCATTTTTCTCCAGCACGTCCCACAAGTCCTTGGGAGGTTTCAAGCCTTTCTTGACCATGGTCTCAAGTTCAGCCAGATTGATATCGAGAGCGTGCTTGAGGACCTGAATATCTTCGGCAAACTCCTGGTCAGCACGACTACAGGAACACTTCTTCTTTTTCTTCTTGTTACCCTCGATGCATTTCAAGTGTGGCGTGAGACTTTTGGCGACATCCCAATAGGCATTGACTGTTACTCGAATGTGGACATGTCGCGGAGGGCCAGAGCTAGTTTTAGTTGAAGACGGCGCAGCCTTTTCTGGGCTCTCTTTTCCTTTCTTGTTCACTTTCAGTGGCGCGGGGACGAGCGAGGCAAACTTCTCGGTGACAAATCGGGAGTATGTCGCTTGACATCTATGGTCTGGAGAGCACCTGTACCTCGAAGAATCCTGGCACATGTGGACGTACCGGGAGAAGATATCCCGGCACTTGGTGATAGGGGTACGACTTTCCATCAGAGTGCTGAGGATAAACTGCTCGAGGTAACGTAGGTTAAGTTCAGCTCGTATGGCGTCCATGGATCCGAGCACGAAAGTGGATATAAAAGCGACAAAGTCCGCAGCCATGATTGCGATCTCGAAATTGACCTTGCCGACCAACTCAAACATCAACATCGCAAAGATGTCTGCCATGGCTTGACCAATGAAGTTGAAAGACCTGGCCCATTCTTTGTGCTTGAGTGACTCACAATCCGCGTAAATGTCCCTGAGCGCCATAATGTTGATTTTGGCGGCTTCGGAGTCCTGCCTCATCTGGAAAGCGATACGCTGCGTGAGTATGATAGCAGCCCTCGCAGGGCAAATGCCGAGCTCTTGCAGCTGCAAGACAGTATCAGCAACCTTTGCTGTCGGTGAAGCTGCGGCGACTTGCATATTCTCGATGCAATATTTCTTTTCGGCCTCCCAATTTGCCCACCAGAATTTGCCCGAAGTTTGGTGATTAAGCACGACGTGCAACATGTCCCACATACCCTCTTCGATATTCAAGTGGTGATATTCGCAGAAACGGGCTCGCAATGCTGCGGTGTCGTTTGCCGATGGAGTGCGGAAGAACTTCTTGAAGAGTTCGAAAGCCTTTTTGTCGACATGTGTACCCTCCAGGAGATGTTTAATCGGGAGATCGGGCTTGGGAGGTGGGTTAGGATTGGCTTTTTCCTCAGCGTCGATCTGTTTTATTTTCTCGCCGTAGGCTTTGACGAATTGTGTCATTGAGGCTTCTACCTTCGAGATCGCCTCGAGAAGTAGATCAGGCGGGCGTTTCTTCCCTTTGATTATAGCATCTTTCGTCATGCTTAGTGTTGCCAGATATTTTCCCGGGCTGTTTCGGGAGGTCGAAATAATAAGGGAAGTCACCTTTCCAGATAGTTGCGCCAGACTTGAACCCCTGGTGGCTTCAGCAACCAGAGCATTGACCGATCGTTGAAAGAGGATATCGCTAATCACATCATCAAGAACGATATCGGAAAGTGGTGGGATGGGCGATTTCAGAATAGCCTTTGCCTTGATCTTCTTGAGCGCGGTAGTGACATTAAGTGCAGTGTCTCCGGCCATCCTGTCCACCATCTTTTGCATGTCCTTCTTTGCGGCATCTTCGACCTTGATACATTCTAGATTGGCTTTGATTGTGTCCTCATCCAGATTGAGGTCGGGATCGGCAGCGGCGGAGGGATTGTCGGAGGCTTGCATCTTTAACCGGAGGTTCATCATAACCTCGACCACGTTATTACAGGTCCTCGTCTTTCCATCACCAGTGGTGACATCAACCGTGAAGCCTTTTGCATTGGGTTTCGCGAGCATCTCTTCGAGAGCTTTGAAGGATTTTTGTAGGACAGGAGACATCGGGCCATTAAGTTCCAGAACGCTACGCAAGTCCGTGATGGCGGTTTGGACATCATGTGGATCTGAAGCACTGAAGAAACCCTTCATCACACTGAGGGCTTGAGAAAAGGCGTCAGCATTGGATGATGCCAAAGTGTTCTGAAGCACTGTCGTCAAGCTTGCCGGGGTGTTGGGGCTTGTGCGATTCCCTGCGGCGGCAGGATGCTGATGCAGATGTGAAAGAGCAGGTTCGGCATCGAGAATCATCTGCCGGAACTCGTTGTTCTTCCTCTCGGCTTCCGCCATCTCAGAGTTTGCTTGGTCTAGCTTCACACGGGCATCCGCAGGTGAGACTCTTCCTGCATTCACGTCGTGTCGAATTTTATCCAGCCGTCCGCGTATTCTGCGCACAATGTGCTCATTCTCCTTGGCGGCCTCCAAGATTGCGCTGTTTTTGGGATCAAGGAGAAAATCTTTGGATGCCATGGGGAGCAGATCTAGCGCTGAGGTCTCCAACGTGCTGCTGCCTTTGTCATCCTTGATTGTTGGTGTTGAAGGGAGGCTGGTGCGAGTGGCTTTGTCCAAAATTGCGTTTCTGCGGGCTCTTAAGGCGGCTTCCTCCTCGTCATCTTTTTTAACGCGCACTAATTCCACATCTCTCTGCTTGCGTAGCGCGTTTTGCATTCTTTGCGATTTCTCGGCCATGATTCTTGCGTGGTAGTATTTTATCGTGTCCATCTCCATCCAAGAAATCCCTTTTGTCTTTGCGCGGAGGCAGATTTCGTGCTTACAGAAGCCGTCAGTGCCCTCGGCACTTTCGACTCCTCTCACATCAACGTCCAAGCAACAGGTCCCCGAGCCCGTGAATTTGAAGTCGCCTCCTAAGTGGGATTTGAAGAGCTTGTCCAGAGCCGTGGCGTTTTCATCTAGCAAGGCCCTTTGCGTTTGATGTCTGGAGGATTTCTGCTCCAGCTCGTTCTTTTCCTTTTCCAACTTTGCTCTTTCGTTGAGCAGTTCGTTGTAAGTTCGGATGTCCTCGTCCGCCCAACCGTCCACATTATGGCCGTCGGCCGCTCTCAAAGGGCTCGTCGGCCTGGGAAAAGAGAGGGGTTCGGAATATAACTCTTGGGGAGTGTCAGTCGTCGCCGATTTGAGGCCTTTACCTTTCGGTTTGCCCATCCTCCTTGCGACGAAAGTGGATAGAAGGATTGTTGGCCGCTGAGAAGCTAAGCGGTCTGATACTGGATGGTGTGGTTGAATGTCGGGCTGGCCGGACTTTGTTCGTTTCTAGGTGGGGCAGGTTCGCTGCTTCAGATATGATGGTGTCGGCCACGGGATGTCGTCCAAAAGGCCAGCACGGGATTTACTATCACAATGCTATCGATTTTCACCGTACAATGATGTTGACAGCCTTGATGGTGGATATTCTGTGTGAAAACTCTCGACTGCTGCGACCCCAACCGGCTAAAGGCTCAGAGAAAGCCTTCACCACATCAGGGAACTCTGCATCACGATTTGTTGACACGGCAAAACATGGCTTGGTGAGAGGCGCCCTCATGTTTCCAAGGAAAGTAGACTGCAGCCTCCAGTCCTGGAATTTTTGCAGTGGGCGTATTGCGACCGCGTTGACTTGTCGGAAGACGTCTTACCGTCAAGGCTGGGTGGGTGAATCAGACGTCTGGTGCAGAATCAAGGACAGCCGCGCCGGTAAGGCCACTATCCTGTTATGAGTCGAGAGGGCACCAAATGGACGAGATGGCCATCGCGCGATGAGATTGAGCCTGCAAGAGTCTTAGAAAGCAAGACAAACCAAGCTGAGGTTAGTTTGAAGTTGGTTTGCCAGGGCAAGTCGATGGCGATTTCTGCACCCGGACTTTAGCTGGTCTTGGCCCGGCCCCGGATTTTCTATTCTTCCGCATCCGCCATAACCAATTTTCCGAAGGCGACCAATATTGGTATTTTACCTACGCTAAAGGTGATGCTGGCCAAAGCTGAGCGAGAAGCTGAACAGGCCCCAGTCGACATGGCGACATCCCCAGTGGCTGGAGGCAATGGGAGCACCTCCGACGACAACATCCGTGAAATCATCCGTGCCTCGGCCAGCCACGACGCACGGGCACTGCAAAGGTGTATCGATCAATATTCCTTCCCAGACTGCAAGGTTGTCGATGTGCAAGATCCGACCACCGGCTTCTCGCCGCTACATGCCGCGATATCCGCCTGTGCTACGCAAGTCAATGGAGATTCCACTCCTTCCTCGCACAATGAAGAGAGCGGAACGCGGTTTCTCAAGTTCTTGCTCGAGAATGGCGCGATCTGGAACCAGCTAGACAAGAATGATGAGACCCCAGGATGTATTGCCTATCGCCTGAGCCTGCATGAGCTCTATCAGATCATGGTTGATGCAGGAGTCCGTGCCGAGATGGTCCTCAACCGCCTGGAAGGATACGAGAGACTGCATGACGATGAAGACGGTGAGGACATCGATGGGCCCGAAGATTCGCAGCGTCAGGACATTTCGGAAGCAAACACTTCACAGGAACATGTCACTAGCTCTGTCTACCTCTCTTCAGCGCTATCACTCGGCGACAATAGCCTTCTGGATGAACAACAAAACGGTGTCATGATGGCATGGGAAAGCGAGATTATGCTTCAGTCTGCAAACGCTCTGCTATCAGAGCCGGGATTGAAGATCTTAAACATCGGCTTTGGCATGGGCATCATCGATACGCACATCCAAAACCATGCAAACAAACCCGCTAGTCATCATATCGTGGAAGCTCATCCGGACGTTCTCAGTAGCATGGAGAGGAACGGCTGGATGGACAAACTCAATGTGGTCGTGCACAGAGGGAAATGGCAGCACATTCTTCCACAACTTATTGCAGAAAACGAGACCTTCGACGCCATCTACTTCGACACCTTCGCCGAGCCATATAGCGCCTTTCGCGATTTCTTCTCGGAGCAGGTGATCGGCCTCCTGAACCAGAACGGGCGGTGGTCTTTCTTCAACGGCATGGGTGCCGATAGGCAGATCAGCTACGACGTATATCAGAAGGTCGTCGAGTTCGATTTGTTTGAATCCGACTTCGACGTGGAGTGGGAGACCCTTGAGCTCCCCAACCTGACCCGGGAATGGGAAGGCGTCCGCCGAAAATACTGGAACATCGACCGCTATCGACTCCCAATCTGCAAATTTATGGATTGATTGATCAGCGAGTCAGACCCCATTTTATCATGTTGGAAATTGAGATTCTTCTGCTCCAAATGGCCAACTTATGAATCACTTCTGCTTGTGTTCCACAGATATATGTCTCGGACACTCTCCTTCACCGTTAGGGCAGTATGACTCTAATGCTTTCTCATCAGCGCGATACCGTTGAGTGTCAGCGGGAATTCTGCACAACCAAACTGGATCAAAGGAGCGGAGCCTGACCTTGGGATGCCTCGAAGTCCTGCTTGGGCGAATGAGATGAGAGCAGGAAGAGGCCCGACCTCGACGGCCCAATCTGTGGAAGCAAAGAATTCGGTGCCATTGCCCCGAGCCGGTGGAAGAAGACAAAGCAGGGAGGGCATCATGGGAGCATGTCTTTGTACCACCCCCGCCGATGACGCTTCTATGAAACCCCTCCAGAACAACTGCTGAGGGCGAGCCAGGAGCGTGCCACTCGACCAGCGTGAAGCCATCCAGTGAGGCGTCTGTATCTCGTACAATATCTCGGAAAAATTCCCGCCCGAGCTGCGTTCGGTCCTTATTGCCCCGCACTTTTCTCTCCCTCCATCTTTTCTCCTCGCCCTACTGTTGCTCACGCATCTCGTTACTCCACATTCGAGTGGTTCGACGACAATCAATGGATAACTCACGCGGGTAGGTTTATCATGACACTCCGCGTGTCCGGAGAGGAGAAAACCTCGGGATGACGGCCGCGAGATTGCTCACGATGTGGACATATATCTTGTCTTGCGAGAGGTCCAGATGCCCTGGATCTGCAACCAACTTGAAGCCTTTCGAGAATCGCCTCGCCTACGACACCAGATAGGACCTCACCTTCCCACCCGTCCAAGCACGAGATTCGTACAGAACAAATGTCTAAGCGGACAGCAATTGTGACAGGCTCATCCCGTGGGATGTAAGTGTGCCCTCGAGACCACCCAGCCATCAAGCAGCACTCACTAACCTCTGCCTTTCCTCCCAGCGGCGAAGCCATCGTTCGACGACTCGCGGCGGAAGGCTACGCGGTCTGCGTCAACGATGTCTCGGCCAACAAACCCGGCATCGACAAACTCGTGTCCGAGCTCAACTCCAAACATGGCTCCGGTGCCGCCATTGGCGTGGTCGCCGATGTAACCTCCTCCGAAGAAGTGCAATCCATGATAAAAGAGTCGGTCGAGAAACTTGGGCCCCTGACGGTGATGGTCGCAAACGCCGGCATCGCGCAGGTCGCGCCGGCATTGGACATCTCCGACGCGGACGTCCGCAGAATGTTTGACGTGAACTTCATGGGCGTGTGGCTGTGTTATACGCATGCGGCGAGACAGATGATCGCCCAGGGACCGGTCCCCGACGGCAGCAGCGGATATAAGATCCTGGGTGCGGCGAGCATCGTTGCCTTCAAGCCGTTCCCGCTCTTGTCGCACTACAGCGCGTCGAAGTGGGCGGTGAGAGGACTCACGCAAGTGTTTGCGATGGAGATGGCGAAGTACAAGATCAATGTCAATGCCTACGCGCCGGGGATTGTCGGGACCGCCATGTGGGACCTCATCGATGAGAAGCTGGGCGAGATCGAGGGGAGGCAGAAGGGCGAGTCGGTCAAGAAGTACAGCTCGGATCTGACGGCGTTGGGGCGCGTGAGCGTGCCAGAGGACGTCGGCAACGTGGTTGGCGGGTTCATGTGCTCCAAAGACGCCGAGTTTGTCACGGGTCAGACCATGGTCATTGACGGCGGCATCGTTTTCACTTGAAGTCCGAGCGGAGAGGGAAGCCTGTGGCATCAACAGCATGTGGTATTGGGTCATTGAATACCTTGCCGCCCCATTTGATTGTGGTGTTTCGCGAACAACGAGAAAGAGATTCCAGCCCAACGAGATGAAACTTGGATTTGACCATGCCTTCTTCAACGACCTTATTTTCCCACATCACGCAATTCCTGTCCTGCCGGCCTGCCTGTATTTCAAACAAAGGAAAAAAAGAATTTGCCCTCGCCCAAATCGCTCATGTTCTCCTTCCCTTCCTTTCCCTTTCCTTCTATGCGTGCACCCCCCCCCCCCCCGGTGGCCCGCTGGGTTACTCAGGATGCCCCGTCCCTTGCTTAGGTGGGTACACCTTCCCATCGACCTCGACGGGGGGTTTGCAGGTGCACCAGGCGTCTTTCGGTATTGAGTCCATGACACTGGGGACGTGTCTGCCGCAGCCCCACCAGGTCGTCTTCTCTGCTCGGGCGCGTTAGTGGGCATTCGGAGAGGGTGCGTGGTGGAAGGGAATCGAGGCAGAGAGCGCAGAGGGGGTAACGACAGGGAAAAGAGGCCGGCTCGGGATATGGCGAGAGAGGGAGCGAAAGAGAAGTGGGAAGAGAAGAGCGAGGAAATGGTTCCCCTGCGCTTTCGAGGACCACAGAGACCAGAGGGGGGCAATAGGAATGGGAAAGGCAACTTACGACAAGTAGGACACGTTCTCTTCATGCACATCGTTGGTTATGTGTGTTCTTGTCTTGCTCCGTTGTCCGGTGTGTACGATTCCCCTTGGGATTGGTTCCTTGAGTCTGCTGGGTCTCTTTTCTGTTCGAGTTTGTGGCCTGTGTGCCTGCCTTTCGAGCTTGCTGGTATGGTTATGATCTCGTGTACTTCGAATTTCTCAACTGAACACCACGCGCCGGCTGGAGGGGAAAGTGAACAGATATTATATATGTGACCGTGTATATCCCCAGAAGCCTCGGGCAGGATACCTTTTCCCTGGGTCGTTATGTCCGGGCGGATCACCACCACCCGCCAGGACAACTAATCTAATGACGATTCATTCCTAATACAAAGAGCGACTTTTTTGCCTGGGGGCATTCCTTTTTGTTGTTGCCCCTCTTATTTTGCTGGGCTCCCTTCTTCCATCATCGGCGAACTAGGCTTTTTCGCCAGGGCGGATGCGTCGTCCTCCTCGGGGAGGGCCACGAGGCGCCAAACATTATTATTCAACATCATGACTGAGCGATACAAAGCGGGCAGTACTTTGCTTTCTTATTCGCCACATCCACCTTTTCTTCGATTTGTTATTCTCCCGGCGTCCCCCTTGCATTGGAAAGGGGAAACCCAGGAAAACCACCTCCTTGAGATCCCCGTCGACGAGGCCGACATGCCGAACAAGGGCGGCCGATTCGTCACGTCACCATCACCCCGTGTCGAGGTCTGCGAGTCTGTGCTCTTGAAACTCTTGGCTTTCTGGCCCTTGGGAAACTCGGACCCCACTAAAGGGAACCGGCATCATGGTTGGAAATCCAAAAAGGACTACTGAGGGTAGACCCCGAGGTCGCCGAGGGTGGGTGGTCGTGGTGGGTCAAAATGGGCAGTACTCCAAAGACGAGCATTTTGCGCGACTATCAAACAAGAAGCAAGAGAAAGGGCCGTAAAAGGGGGGGAGCGTAAATTGGGAAACATTAGTCTGGATATACTTCTACATAAGCGAGTCGGAGAACTCGTGGCGCGTTCGAGTCTCGATTCGTCGAGTCATGGAGTCATCATGGGTATCGTAAACAGCAATCGGAGGCGCGCAGAACATGCAGATCCTCCACGACGCTCGTCCCTCTTTCGGAGTACTTGTAGATATCGCCTTGTTGCAGTGGTGTCCGTGGGCGAACGCGCCCAGGCAGCTGTGTCATCGTGGTTGTCCCCTTCCTGCGCCCGCGCCCGCGCCCTGGACGCCGTGCCCGTGCTTGGTGAGCTGAACGGCGACCAGGCGCTCAGGTTACGAGCACCAACTCACCCCGAGCCAGGAAAGAGCGACTGCCGTAACAAGAACCGTCGACCATCTCATCCTCTCGCCTCCGCTGACATTTTGATTCGAGTAGACGCATGCCCATCCGGAAAAAATCCCCCCACTGCCGCCGCAGCTCAGTGGCCGCAATGGTGGTTCCGACACACCATTGAACTGGCATTTCTGCGTGGTCCAGTCGGCCGCATTCAATCTAAGGACCCAGCCAGCGGGACAACACGTTGCCCATGCCGAGTTGTCGCTGTTCTGTTGCAGGATGAAGCAGAAGTTTTGCGGGCAAAGTGAATTGGTGGATGGGTCGGGACAGGAGGCCTGTCGCGCAACAATGGAGCCTGTTAGACTTCCTGCGCTGAATATATTGATCTGAGATATCGACTCCGAGATGTTGAGGTGCTGAAATGAAGCTGCGGAATCCGCCGGATCTCTGCTTAGGTTGTGGGCAATGGGGTTTGCCCACACTGCCCACGGCAGTAAGAGAAGCGCTAATTGGAATGTAGGCAGAAATCCAACCATTGCGACGCTGAGACGACGCTTTGACGATGACGCGCAGTCTGGAATGGCTTTGATCTCGTATATCAACGGATCGGATGGGCTGATGAGAGAAATAGTCTCGAAGTCAGTGGCTGGGGAGGTATCGGAGCGCGGCTGCTGACTAAGGCATCAAGGCTCGCTTCGTGCGACCGAGACGACGTGATTGGTTCGTCAAAGTCTCAGCCTTGACCAGGCCTCGTAAAGCCTCACGCCTCACCTGAGCCTTGCCTGGACCTGCCGGACATGGGGTGATACAGCCTCTGCAGACTTCAGCGTGAGCACCGCTGCTTCTTGTGCAATGGGCAGCACCTCCTCGAGCGCGCGGCCCTTCGCGAGGCCTGCAATAATAACACCCAGCATGGTGTCGCCAATGCCGTTGACGGAAACTATTTCGTCCTGTTCGACTTCGATGAACGGTGGAATCAACCGCATATACAAGCCCCCAATCTCAGAGTCGTGAGACAAATTTCTCGACAGCACATATGGGGCGTTCTCTGGCCGTGTGAGTCTAGGATCGCCAGGCCGCAGCAGGCAAGCCAGGAGACACCCTCTATGCCCGAGCTTTGTCACCAGATTCGGGATGAAGGGGAGAAGCTGGATGCACTGTTGTGGGATTCCATGCTCGACTAATTCATGTCCGGCAACAGAAATCAATCGATCCCGAGACCCCGAGCCAGAGAGGCCAAGGCCATCGATTGCTTTCCACCACTGTTCCGATTCGAACATCAGAGCGTTTCTGGCCGCAGTATAGATTGCTGTCAACTCGAGTCTGTTGGGAGATGCAAGGCTAACGACATGATTTGGCAATACGTTAGCGCTGGTAATGGCAGAATTGTCTTTGTCGAAGAGACGAGCGCCCTTTGCAACGGAGACGGGCTCGAATGCGACAAAAGCTCGATGGGCTTTCGCAGCCTTCAGGATAGACGAGAGAATGGCAGGGGACCAGTTTGCGTCGACGACCACCCACTTTGGCTTGCTTTCGCCCATCTTCTCCATCCAGTAGTCTGCCGATTCGAGCTCTGGACGAGCAAATATGGACATATCTGCCATTGCAAGTACGAGATCTTTGTTTGTGTCGTTGACAGCGACATATTGTGCTGTTCGCGCGCCGTCGTTGGTGGGAAGTCGTCGTATTGCCGTCGTCTCAAGGCCACTCTTCTCGACGTGATCGAGAAGAGATGCACCAGCAAGGTCGTCTGCCACAACACTCGCCAATGTGACTTTGGCACCTGCCAGGTGAGCAGCCATCGCAACGTTACGACCGACTCCGCCCGGCGACTGAGAGATGGTGGACGGATTTGATGTGTGAAGCGCCGGAGCCGTCGAATCGGGCGTGATTTTCAGTGGTTGATGGTCACATATTGTATCACTTGCGAGTGACCCAGCAACGAGCACTTCCACGGGCTGAGAGGACTGTTCAACCGTGCCATATACGGGGGTTTCTTGGCCATTGGCAACTTTTTGAGAGCTCTTTGTGGGTTTGCCAAAACTCACACCCTTGATGACCTTGCTGGCATTCTCTCTAGATCGTGTCAGCAAGTGCCTCATCTATCCTATCCAAAGTCTAACATGGCTCACCGTTGAGGCGCCGCTCCATGCCGTCTCTCAAGCTTAGCCAATTCGACGGCGACTTTGGTTCCGCGGACAACATTCGCCTCAATCAAAGCCTCATTCGCCCGTACACTCCCGCCCTTGCTTAGTTCTCGAATCCGCTTCAAAATGTAAGGAGTGTTGGCACTTCCGCCAATGCCCTTCTCTTCAGCTTCGGCGACTGCGGCACTAATAATTGAGTCGATCTCTTCCTTTGCCATTGCTGATTGTTCCGGGACTGGATTGGCGAAAAGCAATCCGGAGTGAAGCGGAAACCCATGTTGTGCGTAGATGATGGCTGCGGCATCCGCTTCATCGTGGATTGTCTTTGGACTTTTGACACCGCTGTCTCGGGAGAAGAAGGCAGGGAAGTCGACATCTCCCTGTCTGCCATCCGCAAAGGTGCCCACGCCCACTCCCTGAGTCTCCAGATATTCTAGCGTTCGGGGGATATCCAAGAAGCTCTTACAGCCGCTTGAGATCACCGCCACCGGTGTTCGCCCAAGTTCTGTCAAGTCTGCGGAGATGTCCATAGAGTTCTCTCCTCCACGATGGACACCCCCCAGGCCACCGGTCGCGAAGACTTTGATGCCCGCCAAATGGGCAAGGATCATTGTCCCAGCAATGGTTGTTCCCCCATTGAGCTTCTGGCCCCGAAGACCAAGCCCTCCTATTGAACCCAGATCTCGTCTTGATATCTTCCACGTGTTCTCACTACCAGCAGTCGAGACGAGTTGTATCAGCTCTTCAGTGGCCATGCCAACACAGGCCTTGCCTTCGAGGATGCCGATGGTTGCGGGCACGCCGCCATTGACGCGGACTAGGGATTCCAGGTGGGAGGACAGAGCAACGTTTTCAGGGTAGGGGAACCCTGGTGAGCTGTGAGCCTTGAACGACCTGTATTAGGCTATACGCTATACCATGTGTGTATATTGTGGTTTCCAGTGCAACGACCGGCTTGCCAGTTGCAAGGGCATCCTGAACCTCTTCCGCAACGCGGAAGAATCTGTCTCGGTCAGTAGAGTTCTTGCGTATTTGGTGGCTAGTCCGCAGAGATAGTCGACACGGAGAGCTGACAAACAGCGGTCGCCTGCACAGAGCCATCACTCGGGCACACGAAGCTTCAACGGCTGGAACCTGATCGACGAAGAAGTTCGCGGTCAAGTCCCGCACCCAACAAGTGTTCAGCCTGATCAGCTGTGATTGGCCCGATGTGGTGTGCAAGGCTGAGTGGAATTTGCTCATATCCATACGTCATATTCGACGTGCACTGGGATAGACCGGCCAAGTTTAAGAAGGTCAATCACTGGCATTCACTCTCGATCTCTCGATCTGATTCTTTCAATCTCCTCTCTCGTAGTCACTCTCACGCTGTGTACTCCCAAGCAACATGGTCCGCGTAGAAATCGGCGGCAGACCTATCATTGATGTTGACACTCGTCCTGGAGATGTCGGGCGGCTCAAGCAACAAATCCGGCGTAGGATGCGAGGAGGCGGCCGGAGCGTGCATCTGAGCTGGACAACGACCACGCCTCGACTTGTCCTGACAAGTGACACTGAAGACTTTGATCCGACAATCATATCTCACTTCCAGGAAGAAGGGTTTCAGCTGAGCTATCTTCAGTATGCGGGAGACAAGGCGGGCTATATGGCACAGCTGCAACACTTACAAGACCCCTTAGAGCTAGGGGAGCGCTACGCCATCGTAGGTAAGTGGTTTACAAGCATGCTTCACGCTCGAGACAGCCATAGATGCCTGCCCTGTGTCAAGCCGCTGTCGATCGCGAACCCCCGAAGACTCAACACCATTCAATTTTCCAGGATCTGACGGTGCTTTTCTATCCAGCATACGGCGACGCCGCAAGCCTGGTCCTGGAAGCCTGTATGAAGCCCATGCCCAAGCTTGTTGCCGTGGTCGCATACTATCCGGGACGGGTCCCCAGGTCTACCACCGATTTCCCCCCGACCCTCAACGTGTTGATCCACCTGGCGGCCTCGCAGAGATGGGGCACACGGTTCCCGTCGTACCGCTACGAGAACACCCAGCCAGGTTTCGCCGAACACGACCTCGACGAGTTCGACAAGATTGGGGCCTCGTTAGCCTGGTCGCGAACACTCGGGATCCTTCGCTTGGGCTTCGACATTGAAGGACCGGACATCGAAACCATCTGGGAGGCGCACACGCGACTCGAGTTTGGGGAAAAGGACGCCGACAAGACCATGGCGACGATGGTGCCCCAGCCGTACGTGAACCACGTGCCCACCATGACGGGCGGGATCGGCCACGACCAGCTCCGCCGATTCTACGCCGAGTTCTTCATCCCCAACAACCCGCCCGACATGCGGATCAGGCTGCTGAGCCGGACCGTGGGCGTGGACCGGGTGGTCGACGAAATGTTCGTCTCGTTCACCCACACCACCGAGATCCCCTGGATGCTCCCCGGCGTGCCGCCCACGAACAAGAAGGTGGAAGTCGTGCTGGTCAGCGTGGTGTGCCTTCGTGGCGGCAAGCTCTTCCACGAGCACATCCACTGGGACCAGGCGACCGTGCTCGTGCAGGTGGGACTGCTGGATCCGAAGTACATCCCGAAGACGTTCAAGACTGCAGAAGAAGGGCGGGAGGAAGAGGTCGAGAGGCTGCCTGTTTGGGGAAGGGAAGCCGCGCGGAAAGTCCTGGATGAGGACAGTTCGCAGAGCAACGAGTTGATTCCAGATTGGTGATGGATTTTTACAGTAAGCCAGTGGACGGAGATTCAGAAACAGTCAGTGCAAAGACCCCGATGTAGTTTCAAAGCGACGAGAATGGGGTTCGTTCAGTCGTTGTCTCTTTGGACCTGCTGGACCTGCGAAATGGGTATAGTATGTAGTAATGACAAGAGCCAATCTCTCCCTCGATGGCGCCAAAACACCAATGTCCCCAGATTTTGACGCCATTCGATAAACAATCCAGCCAGACTTAGCGCCACGCCACGCATAGACAGTCGAAATGGAAACACCCAACGGCCTTGTTTATAATTTCCCCCGACCATTTCTCCGGTGGAACGCTTCGGCCTCGGTGTCGACCTGCTCCTCACTCAGCTTCAGCTCCTCCCAGATCTCCTTGAATCTGTGGAGATCTGTCCTCGCAAACTCCTCGACGTCCCTCCACACCCTCCTTCTGGTCCCGGTACACTTGTCGAGGATCTCCAGCTCCGGCGTGAGGCGCTGGGTCTTCAAATACTCCCGGCCCAGCCTCTGGCTCTCCTCGGGGTCCAGCATGTGTTCCAGATGCGGGATCTGCTGGCCCGACTCGATCTTCATGTGCTCCAACAGCTCCGCGAACAAAGCTCGCAGGGCGCCGAGGAACCCGTCTCCCTCGAGCGGCACGTGGAACAGCGCCAGGAGTTCGGAGCGGGCTCTCTCGTGGTCCGTCCGGTCGTGCTCGGCCATGTGCACGCCCTCGTCGCCGAGGTGCTCGATGAACGCGGCCCGCATGACGATGTCCTCCGAGACGTCGTGCCGGACGAGGCGCCAGGTGACTTCCCGCAGGAGACGGGCGCGGTCCTGAGGCGCCTTGGCTCGGAGCAGGCGCCCGGCAAACTTGTTGATGGTGTTGTGGTCATGGTCGATGACGGTGGAAAATGTGAGAGGAGGGTCGTACGGGAGATTGGGCGCACTGACGCCGTGGTGGCTTGAATCAGAGGACGGATGGGAGTCGTATGAAGGTGAGGGAGCTGCCATGATGGGGGCCGGGACCCGGGCTGAACCTGTAACAAGTATGAAAGGGTGATGATAGCTGCTGCTCAACAACAATCTTACAGCTTGGACCTGGAGTTCTTGGTGAAGGTCGTGGTGCCCGCCGAGGCATTGGGGAGAGGATCAGTGGGCGCCTTTAATACCAAGGCCTCACCAAGACCCTGCAATGGCCAATGTGTGAAAGTACCGCAAGAGCCTCGTATAACGCAACCCACCAGAGTGCCATGAGCTTCTGCCCGACATGGATGGACCATGTCCTGCACGATGGAGACGTTAGAAGAGAGAGAAAGGGCGCCAAAAGCGACCTTACAGTGGCGAGGGCGGCCCAGATCTGACCGTGCGAAAGCTTTCATGTCCGATAGTGTCGCAAGGCGATCATTCAAGCATGGAGCCCATCAGCAAAAGCGTCCCAATCATGTCTTGGAATACGAACAAGAGGGGCCAGCAGGACAACGGTCGCAGGATGGTGCCGACATTGCATCGATGGGTTTTGGCGAGGTGGACGAATCAAAGAGAAATGCTCGCACAGACGCGAGCAAAAGTACATTGGCAAACGGCGTGGCCGATAACTTGGTCCGACCGAGTCTAGGCCATTTCAGGGAGTCGGAGGGGACATGGACTGGCGCCATCTAGACGAGGCCAACAACCACACTTCGAGATACCGAGTAGAGTTGATCGAACTCTTTCGTGGCTGAGAAGGCGACTCTCAAGGACTAAGAAGCCAGTCACTGGGTCGGCAACAACCAAATTCAAGTGCCAAACATCTCCCAAAACCAGGGATTTCGCTGCAGCACTCCCCTTTACAAGATTCGGCCTGCGGTCTGCAAAACCGGCAACTACTAAGTCATAATGCGCTCAAACGCAGAAGAATAGCAACAAGCAACATGAAACGCCAAAGGGAGAAGCAACCGATCACCGCGTTCTTCCATACCCAATCATGAACCCTCACGCCGATCCGGGTTCCCCAGCATCATACACTTCCCGACTGTCCCAAATTCGCCGTATCAGCGCCTCTTCCGGTGAAAGCCCAAATTGCTCGTCGTCCTGAGCACCATCGAGATTGCCCTGCGACGGTGTCACTTCGATATCGTCATGGCTACTCTGCCGCTGGAAATGGACTCTACCCCCGTGGCGGCTGCTGTTGGACCGTGACAACAGTGGCGATGGCTTGGGGTCCTCAAAACTTCGGCTCATGCCAGTCTTCGCATGTCCGTTCACGCTAGTGGTACTAGGTCCACGCCGACTTTGCGGTCTGCTCTTGGAAAATGCGCCGCTCGAGGTGACGGAGCCAACGTCCTGTGGCAGCGAATTTTGCTCCTTGAGTCGGTTCATGCTTTCAACTAGTGGACTCCGGAACCGCCTGACCACCATCAGCTGTTTGACCGCACTTTCATAATCCTGTTTCGCGGCTTTGATTTCCCCGGCCAGAGATCGATTCCTATTTCTGGATCCCGCGCGGCCGTGTAAAGCCGTCCCAGAACCTAGAGGGAGTCCCATCCCAGCCGGGGGAGGGGTTGTGGGTGTTGCAGCCCCTGCTCTCATGATCTCCCTTCTCTGAAGCTCAAGCTTCTGCTGCGTCCTGGATGGATTCTGGGATATCCTTGCCTTGTGAAGGGTCTTGGTCTTCTCCGGGGATTCCGACGGCTGGGGTTTGTAGTTGGAAAGAAAATTCGACGGCGAGTCTTCATCGGAATCGTCTGCAATATGGCGGACAGAACCAGCTGGAGTGTCGGTCGGTAGGAAATGCGAAACACCACCTTCTACAGACGAGGACACCAAAACAGGCCCGGACACGTGGCCAGACGAGGCAGGTGTCAGTTTCCCGGAGGCGGGAGTAAGGCCGGTGTGGCCGGTGTGGCCGGTGTGGCCGGTGTTGGCTGTTGACGAAGTAGCGTCGGCATGAGAGATGTGGGTGAAGGATCGGGATGAGTCATTGCGCACCAGCTGGCTAGGTCCAACGTGCGCGGAAACCGTCGACATTGCCGGAGGGGCACGAGAAGAACGTGGATATTGTTGAAGAAGTGCAGGATCAGGCGGGTTCTGCAGCTGTGATGCAACCGGCTCATTCTTGAGATTAGGCGCAGACCGGTTCTTGGTCTTCAAGGATGCTTGGGGAGGCGAGGAGGTCTTTTCGGGACGGCTGATGTCCACCTCTGAAGGGTGTCGAGGTGCTGCCTCTCCGTTCGGAGTATGTGCCCGCGCAGGCGTAGATGTCTTTGAGTTGTTGCGCGTGAGTTCGGGAGACTGCGTAGTTGAATCCTCCCATTCACCCTCCTCCTCATCGTCTGAAGATCGATCTCCCAGTTGGAACACGCCATCTTTCTCTCCCTTGCTCTTTTTTCTGACTGCTGGCGTCAACCCGACCTTTTTCAGCGCTCCGTGAGAGGCGTTTCGTGGCAGTGCGTTGGCGGACTGATTTTTGCGCAGGTTCCCGTATGAGGTGTTCTTGACCAAGGCAACATGGGAGCTGTTCCGTTTCACCAGAGGCGTTTTTGGACTGTGGGGAGGCGAGGTGCCTCCCGACTTTTTCCTCTGATGATGAGCTTGGTAGTCGGAGGTGATGCTGGCTGTAGACTGGACCTTGCCCAGTTTACTAAGTCCTTTGCCATGAGAGACATTTCTTGAATGGCGGTTGACGACGTGAGGCCGGTGGACTTTGTGGGTGGTGGTGGTCTGTCTGCCCGAGGAACTCAGGGAATGGGTAGAGGACGTGCGTTCATTTAGCGAGGGCCGTTTGATGGGAGAGGGGGAAGCCGAAGGCATTGTTTTGAGCCCATCGATTGAGAGGTGCGGAAGGGCAGTCAGAGCTCTTGGGACCGGGTAAGATGATCGCCTGTAAATGGGTGTGTTGGATGAAAGCTGCAATGAGGTAATTGTCTGGAAGAACACGAGCGCAGTTTGAGATCGTTGATCGGTTCGAAAAGATGTTGGCGGGTTGCCGATGCTGCTTCTGGGCTTTTGCGGGATGCCCGCTTTTGGCGCGAGCTCCACTGCCAAAGGTCTGTGCGAACGGCACTGCTCATAGAGAGGGGGGATGTCACCGCGTGCTCTTCATTGTTCTCTCGATATCGATTTCGTCCTTTTGAATATTCAGGTAAGACGTCAAGACTAAGGGCCATGTCGAGAAGTATCCGCTACATTTAAGCACCCAGTCCATCCCGTGAAGCAACCGAAGACTCGCCTCGGAGACACTGTTTCGAGGACGCCCAGGGACCATCGCAATCGATGCGTTCCACAGGACCTAGTACGCGAGGCTCTCTTGATGCTCTCGAGTCGCTGGGTATTGTCGAGATAGCCGAACCGCGACCAGACACATGATGAAATTTAAAGGTGCTGTGACGGTCTCGAGGATGTGAAAGCCTTCGCTGCAGAACACCCAGCCTTCGCTCGATTCTCTCGTGTCCTTCGCTACCCCTGAGCCTCGACACACACAACCTACGAACTCACTTCTTCACTTCTCCTGCATCCTGACGGAATTCTTGTGATGCCCAGGGCAGATCTACGGCCACGGACGCGGTCGCGGCCAGTAACTGCGCCTCTGGAGTGATCCTCGATGTCCATATGCAGATTAAATCCGATCTCAGGAATACAGAAGGGGCTACGTACATACCACCACGTGTACACCAAACCGCAATGGCCTGCATCCTAACCGATAATCATTAATATTATATTGTGGGGGGCGGCCGGCCATTCTCCAGGATCACGACTAGGTCAACCGCCACACCTTACTGGGAGTCTCCCTTCCCCTTTGATCGAGTGGCCATTCGCCGGTTCCAAAAAAAGATCAAACACTCACCATGTATCATCAACCGGGAGGACGCCGACCAGCTCCCTTAGACTCTGGTCTGGGTTATCTCCTGGGATTTTCCTCAACCAGAGATCCTTCGTTGTCGAAGTCAACCACAGTCTTCAGTACTCAAGTGCAGAGTACCCGTTGCGCCTCGTCTCGCAAGCCAGGGAGCACCTATTCGACGATCAATCATGGACTCGTACGAAGAATCCAATGTGCCCTTTCTGCAGGATCTCAAAGACGACTCGATCGAAAGAGCCGTGGCCCGTGACAAGCCGGTTTCGAACTCCAAGAAGCTTGTCTGGTGGACCTTTTGCACCCTGGTTCTCATCGTATCAAACGCGTTCACCTTTTATGGTGCTCGAGTCTACCGACACAGTCAATTAGACAGGGTGTGCACTGCCCACACGTCACAGAGCTGGAGTGAGCTTGAGACCTACACGCTTCTAATACATGTTGTGCACTAACAAGAATGACCTAGGCCCCGTGGAGCAAGACGTAGAAATCCATTACAACAGCAGGCGGTTCAATGCATCTTTCTACAAGGAGTCCATCTATCGACAACCCGCGAGTCCCGAAGTCGACGCGGCGTGGGAGGAGCTGGGCACGGAACGTGAGTACAACCACGCCTCGACATCGCCCTCCGCGATTACACTTCGAACCCAGTGCAGCCACAGAATGGTATCTGGTTGAATATGGTTTCTAACAACCCTGGCGATCATTAGTCAAAGGTATTGTCCTATCGGTCGACGAGGCCAAAAGGTCTGGATTAGAGTTGGATCGTGTCATGGTGGGAGAGGACTATGGAGGCCCTGGATATGTGGCATTTGTGGAAGTAACGCATCAGATCCACTGCTTGGTATGGAATTCAACGTTCCCAGATTCCAAGAGCATCTCAAAGCATCACTCATCCTAGAACTAACGCTGACCTGGACTTAGAACCTTTTACGCCGAGGCCTCTGGTTCAACCACGAGTACTACCAGTCCAACAATATCGCCGAATTCGCGGACGGGGATCGTATAGTCAAACTCCATATTGGTAAGCGGGAGTGGTTTCCTCTTTCCATTTCGATAGAATCCCTTTTTCTTGTGTTTCATTCAGACCAAAAAGCCCGACTGACCTTGTGCCTCTGTATTAGGGCATTGTCTCGACACACTCCGCCAGGCTCTCATGTGTAGCTCTGACACCGGCCTCCTTCCCTTCGTCTGGGTCGGTAACCCTCCGAAACAATTCCCCGACTTCTTCCGGGAACACAAATGCCGAAATTTCGAGCCTATCCTGGACTTTGCAAAGAGAAGAGAGGTGAAGGCGTTGGAGCATATGAAAGCAGTTCCGCATAAAGGGGCTTTGATTCTGGACGACTTTCCATGACGGCGAACAGCGTAAATGGGGCATTTAAAATGGCGTTCGTCGGGCATCTAACACTGCCAATTGAGATATGGTTTCTGGATTGGATAGATGGACTTGTCGCATCGGGAAGCCCTGGAGTCCGCGGAATTATTGGTCGACGAGTCACGGACTGGGCCTCTTGGGTGATTGCTTGAAGCTCGAGTCGCCGGCGAACACTTTTCTTCCAGTCGACATACCTTGGTGAGAAACAGCGGTCAAAGCAACAGCCGATGCAGCCCAATGGCGGATTGCAGGCCGTCGATTTATACGGCGGCTTTGCGCGGATATTCAAGGAATCAATTCCTCGAAAGAGGAATTGCCGACCATAGAGCAAAGAGAGTGAGAGACAAGAGAGAGGGAAAGGACAGTCATGTGCACGAGCATAACATTTGTCGATGAAAGTCTGGTATATTCTCAACAACACGTCCAGCCTCGCACAACTTCAGCTGAAGGGTTATCGAATCAAGTCGATTACCACATGCCAGTGCTCTCTTGGAATCGCACGTGCTGCTGCTCGACGGTCTTCTCCATATCTGAAGGTCTCAGTGGCCATGTCATGTGGAGCAGGGATCTTTGGGCTTTCACGGCCAAAACGGAGAAGTAGATGGAATCTAGGTAGGCAAAGAGTCAGGAGGCTCCGTGATGATGGCAGCCTGCAGTTTTGTTTATGCTGTGTGATATCAGTGATTCTTTTCCAACGGCATTGTGGCCCACGCCAGACTGAGTTGTGACGGGGGAGCTTGGTCCAATTATCGGGATGAGTCTTATCGGACGCCATCACCAGGTTGTGAGGGAGTTGCGAGCACAGCAGACACAGGCTTTGCTCTGTACGACGCCCTGTCAGGTCCAGAACCACGGCCAAAACGACAGCGAAAAGGCTGGGGCAAGTTATCGATGGCAATAAGGGGCAGCTCTGGCCGAGTATCGGACTCAGATACTTCGCGCTATACATCGGGGCCGTGGAGGGGTCATCGTTCATGGTTCATGTTGCCAGTGCCAGCGCCAGCGCAGCATTTTAGCGTTGTTGCACAAAACGCAGATCAGGTACCGCAGATGTATTATCTGGTCGGGAGCTAAGCGAATGTATCCTTGACCAGGGGGTTCTCAACTTCAACCGCAGGCAGGGGTGGGCCCGCTTTCCAAACTGCGTTGCTTTCGTCCGCATCCAAGGTTGAGCGGTCAGAGTGTAGCGTCTGAATCTAGGTAGTCCCTATATGGGAGAAGGTACAGGAGGAGGTGTGTCATCAGCGCCTGGTTCCGCAGGCGCTCAACATTAGGTATTGGCACATGAAGCACATGGTGGGAGTAGCCGAGGTGATTGGGTTTGAGACCTGTTCCCGCGCCAGTGCAAGGTGCTGAATCAGGTGGCAGAAAGATGCTCGTAGGTGCAGGGGCATATGGTGCCGTCGTATGTCAGGCTGCGCACTTGTAGAGGTGGTGGAGGAGTGCTGGATCGAAGTACCTGCAGCTGTGTAAGTGATGCAAGACATTGAGAGGAACGCACAGGTCGATGTCCCTAACTTGGTGAGGGTGGAAGTAAGTGGGGGAGATGGATAATGGTTCCTCGGAAACAACCTCGTCCAAGGGGCCAGCAGCGGCATAGGGAGCTGCGGCTACAGGCTGGTGCTTTCCCACGAGGATGCACCTGGGGACCGAGTCAACAACTAAACTTGGGCGCGAAGGTGGGTTATGGAGCCTGCCCAGGGTCTGCCTGCGCTCCTCTCTCCTTTACTTGTAGGAGGGGGAAGAGTTACGCAAACAGCCCCCACTGAAAAGAACATCGACGAGAGCATGTTTCCGCTCGCAGCAGTCACCATTTCTCTTGTTTTGCGCGCAATGCCCTACGAGTCATTATGTCTTGTTATTCCGTACATACTCCGTGCTCCGTACCGTGTCGTCTAATTGAAACCCTCTTTTCTTCTTGCGTCCTTCTCCTCGTCAATTGCGCCATCGACCATCCCTGACCATCTCTCCCCAGAGTAGGTAATCAATGCATCATCACCCCCCGTGGGAGGCCCTCTTTCTCTCGTGTCGCTGGCCAACGACAGTATCTTGCAGAGTGCTACTGACTTATCTAGCGGTCTGCCTTTGAAACTGACCAATCTCTCTCGCCTTTGGCCTCTCAATCTCTCAATACCACCACGAAACCTTATCTCACTTGGACCGTTTCTTTTTCTTCCTCCCTCAGAGCTGGACAAATCGACTCTCGCCGGGAAACCCACTTCTTTTCTCGTCCATTCTCATCCAGGCTCGCAGTCCATTGACCTCCTCCGCTGATAGGCACACACGGGCACCGCAGCAGTGGTACGCCTGTCGCGAGTCGGGTGGCCAAAGGAGCTCAAAAGTCTCGCCCCGTCCGTACCCTGGTCCTCCACTCCCTTACCGGCATTTCTCCCCCCATTGTCGCAACGCCAGCGATAAGTCGATCGGGCAAAAACAATTGATATCCTCCTCTTTGTCACTTTTCCGTTATTTTCCTACCCAGACTACAAGTCACCCAAGTCCTACGCGCATCCCCCGTCTCTGTTGCCTATTTGACAAAGTCTATGGCGTCATGATATCGATACACTCTGTTCGCAACCCGGAGTGGCCGTCTGATCTGCGCTTCATTGATCGCTGATCCACAACCCTGGTGATGGTGAGATTCGATACTCACATTCCAGAACAATCATCACAACAGAGTACATCTTGAAGCACCTGTCACATCGAGAGAGGCCATTGTCCTCGTTGCTGTTGAGACTGGGTTCTGGCAGATTTGACCTTCGGCGATTTTGCTTTGTGTTCCAACGCCACGAAAGGCTGGACCCTGCTTCTCAAAATGGCCTATACTCTCCAGGCGTTTCTCCCGACGCCGCTCACGCCTTCTATGCCGCTATACGGTCCGCTTCCTGAACAAATTGAAGCCTTGCCAATTACACCGCCGGATATACCCACGGGCTTTGACGAGAAGACCTTCAAACCAGACAGTCGAACGATAAAGAAAGCCTTGCATGTGCTCGCCACCGAACGGCAGGCACTCTCCCATCTTGAGGAACTATACACCAATTCTGCCGATGTCCAGGATTCTCTTCTTCGAGCCATCCGTCAGATCATTCTTTCAGAGACTCGGCATGGGAAGACCATCTTCACCGGCGTCGGGAAATCAGGCCATATTGCAAAGAAGCTCGTCGCCACTTTTGTATCGCTGGGCATTCATGCCATATTCCTTCACCCGGTTGAAGCCCTTCATGGTGACCTGGGAGTTGTTCGGCCCTTTGATACGGTTATCATGATTACATTTTCTGGAAGGACACCCGAACTCTTATCTCTCCTTCCGCATATAGATTCCTGTGTACCACTAATTGTCATGACGGCGCACCTGACTCCGACCACTTGTCCTCTCCTATCCCATCCAGCAAGACAATCCTCGACGAATATACTTCTGCCCACTACCATCCATGAATCCGAGATCTCATCATTTGGTGTGTCGGCTCCAACAACCTCGACGACCATTACTCTGGCTCTTGGTGATAGCTTGGCGCTTGCAGTCGCGGATGAACTTCATGCTGCTGCCGGGCTTCAGACGCCGGCCATTTTTGCAGCAAATCATCCTGGCGGCGCAATTGGGGCTGCCTTGAAGACGTCCACTCCCACCACACCCAGAATGTCTGAACTGGCGACTGCGGTGACTCAAGTGCCAATTGCGGTGCCACAGCCGAACCACCCGCTCCTGTGCTTGGATGTGCTTGTGGCCGCAGTAAGGTCACCCCGTGGTTTCGTCCGGACCTCTCAGACTCATATGATAGGTCCACGAAGGATTCAGAACCTACGAGATCCCTCTGCACCTGTTTCAGCCATGGAGGACGAGTGCGGCAGAATGGAGGTGGAGAAGACCGACTGGATCTCCGTCCTCAGCTCAACCACGGTTGAAGAGTGCAAGAGATGGATTTCCCAGATGCGGGACGAGGGATCCGGTCGCGGCAGAGAATTCCTCAAGCGAGGCACTTTGCTCGGGATCGTCGACCATAACGAGGTGACCGGTGTCGTGGAGATAGAGGATGTCATGGGCGAAGACTTTACTTGATTTTCCCCCATGGCTGTCTCACGTTCTGTTTGAGGGAAATCTTGATATAACCTTATAGAGTTTCTACACAAGGGCGGCCAGCAAGTGATGATTGAATGTCGATGTTGCATGTTCCTAGTTTGGCAGCATTATGAGCTTCACGAATACCACTCGTCTTCTTCCTCCTCCTCATCCTCTTCTTCGCCCTCATCGTCCGGGTTTTCAACACGACTTTCCGCTGTATCCTGTCCAGCAGTGTCAGCAGATGTCGAATTAATCTCCTGCCCCGTGTCCGTTCCAGCCTTGACCCCGCGTCTGAGTGCGTCGCGCTTTTCTCGAAGTTTTCGGACCCGTTCCTCCATTTCCTCCATGACATCGAATTCCTCTTCAATCCTTCTCTCTTCATCTTCCTTTTCGTCATCTGCTTCAGTTTCTAACTTCCGCCGTCTGTCTTCCTCTTCCTGGGCTTTGAGCTGGGCTGTTGTGACTGGTGCCGCCGTGATTGTTGCCGAGGTGTAGTTTGGCTGCGCTGCGGCCAGCGGTGCAACCTCACGCTCAAAGGCCGCCCATTCATCCTCATCTACTGTAGCTGGTTGCGAGGTGCCATTTGGTAGAGGTGCATTGTCTGCCGCAGGCGCAAGTGGTGTCGACTTTTTTGCCTCCCTGCCTCCATCTTGTCCCTGTGAAGGCAGCATTCCTGCCTGTATCCTGTCTTCCCCTGTATCTTCAACCACAGCGATACTCTCGGGCCGAGACTTGGGCTTCTTTCGTGCATCGGCCTCTGCTTCATCGCGTTCTCGCAGTGCTTCATCATCAACATCTTCAATCTTCCTCTTGACTCCCTTGCCTGCGGTTGCGCCGACGTTTGCACTGGGGTTCTCTTGTGCAGCGGCCTGAGCGGCGTTTCTTCTGTGGTTCGCGCTCTTCAGATGCCCTTCCCAGAGCGCCTCGGACTTGATGTTCAGGTTGCAGACAGTACAGATTAGCACACCGGATTTGGTGTAGGTCAGGTGAGGGTGGGAGATTCGACGAGCCTGCCGCTCAGCGGCGAGGAGGGCTCGAACGTCGGCCATGATTCCCCTAGCTTTTGAATCAGGCCCTCGACGAGAAATGCTGGTGGTGAAGGAGACGACCTGCGTGCTTCGGAAAGAAAAGACTTGCTTGCGACGGCCTCGAATTGTCACCAAGGCAATCAATCCACAAGAACTGGTGGATCTCGGGATGCCTAGTTTGGCTACGTCAAGGGCGTTTTATTATGCCGCTGCTTTAGCACTAGTCGAACGGCCCTCTTCTCTCGCCGATGGGTTCAACCAATCCCGGCTTTGCAACCTCACTACATCTCCGCTTCCTTGGCGCCTCGGCGGGTGGTTGTCGCAGTTCAGACTTTGAGGAGTTGCTTGCCACTTTCACGATCTCCCGCAACCCGCATCGAACTCCTCTCTCCTATCTCCATATTCTCATCACAACATTAATTCGGGACACTCGTTGACTTCGTTATTCCATCGCGCGCTGTCTGCCATAGGACTGTGGCGAGGTGCCGTTGGCAGAGTTTATTAGTCTACTCGAATCTGGAGGCACATCCACTGGTCTCGTGGACACGATCTCTGCTCCTCCAAACTTGTCGTAGATCGCGATATTAGACGTGGTTGATGACAAGCACCCACATCCTGCGTGTCTCGTGTACATTGTAGTGTCTAGCGACTCGTCATTGTTGTCGCCATGGCTGGTAAGCATTGCCATTATCTCGGCCGCATTCGCTGCGCGCGCCACTCTGTTGAACTTTACTGACTCAGTCACAGAAGAACCGCGGCGCTCAGGTCGCGCGACAAAAGGACAGTACTCCAAAGATCGCGATATCGCCGAAGACGTCCCTACGAAGAAAAAAGGCAAGGGGAAGGCCTCCAAAGCCAAGGCGGCAGAACAGGAGGAGAGTGAAGATATCGTCCGCTGTGTCTGCGGCACCTACGAAGAAGAGGAAGATGTCCCTCGGGCTATGATCTGCTGCGACAACTGTTCAGCTTGGCAGCATAATGGCTGCATGGGCCTTCCCGAAGACTATCAAGTTCCACAATACTTTTGCGAACAATGTCGCCCCGAGGATCACAAGGAACTACTCGCAGCAATCGCGCGAGGAGAGAAACCGTGGGAAGAAGCAGCCAGGCTGCCAGACACTGGGAAAGGAAAGAAGAAAGGAGGCCGAAAGGGTCGGAAATCCGCTGGTGGCCGCACAAGCGAGGTCGTCTCTCGCACTTCTCAGGATGTCGACGAGACTCCGGCTCAGACTCCTGTAGCAGGACAGAAGCGCAAACTGGAAGAGTCGCCATCTGTTCCAGAAGTCAAGGTATGCTATATCTCGCGCGCATGTCAGGAGACTCTTGCTAACCACCCATCAGAACAAGAAGGCACGAGGGACACCCGCTGCTGATACCAACGGTACCAAAGCAGTCAAGGCAGAGACCCCTTCCAGGCAGGTGTCCAGATCAGAACCTGTCTCGGCGGTTGCGGTGGACGTGAAGGAGCTTACAAATACTTCGAGGAAGCAGGCTGCGTCTACGTTGATCAGGCTCATAGAACAGCAAATCAAAGAAGCCGTAAAGCAAGGCGACTACAGTATTCCTACCGGCACATCCGCGACAGAAGTCGCCAACCAGATTGGCCTCCGTACGGAACATGCTCTGTATCACGTCCAGGTCGGCGGGAGCGGTGACCCTAACGAAGCCTACAAGAGCCAATTGCGAGCGATTACCTTTAACGTTAAGAAGAACCGCGCGTTAGGTGTACGGCTGCTGAATGGAGATCTTCTTCCTCATACCCTTGCGTCGATGGATCCGAAGGATATGGCAAGCGATGAGCAAAAGAAGAAAGATGCAGCTGTCATGAAAGAGATGGAGAAGCAACATACCATCGTGGAAGAGCCGGGCCCGAGAATCAGGCGAACACACAAGGGTGAGGAGTACGTCGACGAGTCAAGACAGGTTGCAGCAGAGTCTGCGACTTCGAATGCTCCTGTACGGAAACCTAGTGTCGCAGAACAAGATGGAGATGCAAAGAGCCCCGATGTGAGGAGCCCGTCCGTCACCCCAGCCGCTCCTGGCAAAGGAAGCAAATCAAGACCCTCTGTTGATACCACCCGACGACAATCCTCGGCTAACTTCGACATTGACAAAGTCTGGTCAAACGTCCAAGGTTCCCCCGACGGTGACAGTCAACGGTTCGGTGAACTACCTCAGACGACGTCGCCAACCGTCGCTGTGCGAGAACCTATTGCTCCAGGGACCAAGGCAGATGCGGACATCGACGAGCTCCTCAAAGACGAAGAGGCCGAGTCACCACCCTATTCGCCCAAAGAATCTGCTGAGGCTGACGGTGTCATTTGGCGAGGCATCGTCAACGGCGGTAACTTAGGCCGATTTCATGCTGTAGCGAGATATGCAGCTGGAGCCACTCCCGATGCCGATACGTTGCGCATGACCTATGATCAGATCATCCCGGCTGAGATTGATATAGGAGGTCGAATCCAGCCCACTCGAGCCGACGAATACCTATGTGGCCTTGAGTACAGCAACACGTCCGATCTGGTTATTGTGTGCATGCCAGAACCCACAAGCTCGCATGATCAGGAGCAATTTGACAAGTTCTTCCGATATTTCAAGAACAAGGATCGCTTTGGGGTAGGGATCCAACACACGAATCCGGCCATCAAAGACATTTACTTGATCCCGCTGGACAAGGGCCAGGAATTGCCTACCTTCGTCAAGAAACTCGAAACAGATTTCCCGGATCCTGCTCAGGAGAGAATGCTTCTAGTCCCGATTGTCATCAAAAACAGTGAGCTGTCACACAATGCGCCTGCGGCCCTGCTTGATGGGACATCTGCTACGGCTGCCAGTCCAATGGTTGGAGGAGGACACATAGCTCAGACTCCCATCACGCCCCACGAGGGTAGCTTCCCTTACAATCAATCCCCAATGCCAAGTCAACATGGAGCGAATGGAACACCTCAGGTTCAACATGGTCTGGGCGTGACAGCAGCCTTTCCCACACCAACCCCTCCCTCCTCATTACCACAACCTCATCAACAGCCCTCCCAACAACCACTACAGCCCTCACCTCCCCCCAATCCCGCCATGGCCATCGCTCAGAAAGTTCTTGGCCCCCAGTTAGCCTCTTCCCCTTCGGTCGTGCAGTTATGCACCCAGGTACCCACTGCTGGAGAAACCGAGTTTCTTGTGATCAAGGGGTGTCTCGAGCAGAATCCCGAGGCACAGACCAACTTGGGAGTCCTGACGGGCATGTTGGTTAACGAGTCACGCGGAGGTGACGGCGGCGGTACGGCTGCTGCATAAGGGTAGGAGCATGAGATGGCCAGCGAGCAAAAGGAGAAGGCGTCAGAAGGTCTATGCGAGAGGAGCTGAGAGTTTGGATAGGGTGTAGGAGACTAGAAGAGGGGAGTCTGACCCATCCGGCCTGGGGATAGCAGAGAGTGGAAAGGATTGATACCCCTGATAAGTTGTGCAGTGGAAAGGAGCGCTGCAATTGTTCAAGCACCAGGAATCCGACTGATGAAATGCCATCACAAGCACAATTAATCGCGCGCGCTGTAGTCTCCTGTGTCCACATAAAAAGCGCTCGAGGCTCCGCGCAGGATACCACTTGCGTCGCATCTGGCGTCCAATACTAGAGCTGAAGGGCACATGGATTATGATTCGATGGCGAGGGTCACGCAAGGGGTTATGTATGAATTAGTCCACGCAGGCGCAGGAGGCAAGATGGGTGTTCACAATGCTAAATCACAATGCTCCATTGTACAGTCCCTTTTTCCCGGAAGGTGACGACGACGCTTTCGATGCTTTGTAGGAGCGCAGCACGGTTTGAAGACCGCAAGGAGGCTAAGAGGCGTTATGGTTAGATAACAGCAGCGACAGTACTGGGACTGGGAATGGGGATCTTAGTTCAAGGCTGTTCTTGTAGTTTTGAAGCAGTCAACAAGAGAAGCCTCATATGTCCCTACGTCGGCTAGTTTCCTACAATCCCACAGATATACAAGCGCACAACCTGCGCGCCGCGAGCTCTGCTTTAGAGTGTCTCGAGAAAGGTCTTCACAAGCTCATCCCTCCTGGCAGGTTCCAGGACATAGAACCTAACATCCCGCAGGGCAGTGTCCGGCAAAGCTTCCGGAGCAAACTTGTCCCCGTCCCTGAGCTTGTCGAATTTGGCCTTGTCGATGCTCTTGAGCAGGCTCACCAATTCCTTCCTCCTCTCGGCCTCACCGAGTTTCAACTTGCCGACGAGCTCGCGGTACAGCTTCTCCCGGTCCTTGTCCTGCATCGACCGCTCCTGCATCTCGGGACTCCTTTTGAATTTGCGTCTGAATTCCGGCCAGTACAGTTTCGGCGTGGCGTGCTCCTGCAGAAACCGCAGATAGTCTACCTTAGGGTCCTTCTTGTTCTGTTTTGCGGCCGCCGAGGCCTTGAGGGCTTGCTGTTCTGCGATTCGGTCCTTGGACCATGCCACAAAAGCCTCTTTGCGTGACGAGGTGTTTGGCAATGCGACGTAACGCGGGTCTTCTAACAGAGCCGTGTCCTCGATAAATTTTTCGAAAGTAGAGTAGGGTGATATGCCGGAGTCGTCGAGGAGGGACCGGAAAAGCGCAAGGTTGTCCTGCGCGGTTAGAGGAAGGCCTTCGTCTTCTTCCACATCCTCCACATCTTCTGCTTCTCCTCCATCGCCGGGTGTATAGTCTTGGTCCTCCCCATAGCCGTCATCGCCCTCCAGCTGCGCCAGTTGCCAGGCTATATCATCTTCGTTGAACTCAACAGGTCCAGCAGGTGGTGCGTTCTCGCTTCCAGCCTCGTGGGAGAGACGTCGTCGTTTTGATGGCTCATCAATTGCTTCTCCCTCGTCGTCTGTCACTTCGACTTCCTCGTACTCGTCGCTGTCATACTCTTCAGGCCCAACAGATGCTCGAGATATGTCCCTCGTAGGACTCTCTGATCTCCCTGCATCAGCCTGTGGTTGTGATTTTTCATGCTCCTTGGTCGTCTCTTCGTGCTCAGTCTCCGCCCTTTTCTTGGCTTCCCATTCCAGCCTGTCCATCTCAATTACCGCCATCATGACATCCTGCGGAAATTTCCAAAAACTCTGCTTCGTCTCGGTATTATGGACGAACCTCCTGCCTAGCTTTGTCTTCACCAGCACCCACGGGGCGCAATTCGGTATAGGTGCCTTCGATTTGGGTCGGTCTCCCTGATTGCCTCTCCGACGAGAATGTTCTTGGTAACTTCTCCCCCCTGTGAAATGGCTTGGCTGGGTCACGGCACTGTTTCTGTTGAACTCTTCCATGGCCTGCATTGAGGCGCGCATAACGTGGTCGGGCTCACTTGCGCCATAGTCGATGCGGAGTGGTTCATCAGAGGGAAGGCTGGGTCTAGCGTAGGTAGATTGCTTCGTCTCAGCATTGTAGTAGTATGTATGGCCGGTGGGCGCTTTGTGCTCTGTCCACCCTGGTGGTAAAGGAGGCTGAACAGGGACCGGAAGGTATGTAGACTTTAACTTGCTACTCATTTCGCAGGTTGCAAGAGGTGTCTGACTCCAAGAAGGGAGAAGAGGGCACAAAATACAAACCTGGAGCAAGTCCGTTGCGAGCCTTGGAGAAAAGTTCCCGAGAGATGATTGGCTGAACAGCGGGCGACGCGTGAGAGCCGTGCCTGCTTCAATCCTCAGAACTATTTCTCTCTACGTTGACATTTGCTTCCCTTGCGCTTCCCTTTACTATCTTTGCAAACCTCACTCGCAACGAATCGGTCAGAATGTCTCGCAGATATGATTCGAGGGTAAGCTTCCATGCGTTGCAAGATGCCACATTCGTCGTTGAATTGATGCAGCTGCTAACTCGTCCCGCAGACAACTATCTTCTCCCCTGAAGGCCGCTTATACCAGGTCGAATACGCTCTCGAAGCTATCTCGCATGCGGGCACAGCATTAGGCATATTGGCGCAAGATGGGATAGTCCTTGCTGCGGAGCGGAAAGTGACCAGCAAACTGCTGGAGCAAGACACTTCGGCAGAGAAGCTGTATATCTTGAACGAGTATGTCTCTTGGCTTGGGGAAGAGATTGGAAGTTACGGCCACATGCTGATCCTTTTTTTCACGCAGTAACATGATTTGTGCCGTGGCCGGAATGACTGCTGACGCCAACATCCTCATCAACTTCGCTCGACAAGCCGCTCAGCGATACCTTCTGTCCTATAACGAAGACATCCCCTGCGAACAACTGGTGCGTCGCTTGTGCGACTTGAAGCAAGGATACACACAACATGGCGGTCTGCGACCTTTCGGTGTTTCCTTTATCTATGCTGGCTGGGACCCTCAACGGCAGTTTCAACTCTACCAAAGCAACCCTTCAGGCAACTATGGTGGATGGAAGGCTACGAGTGTAGGAGCAAACAATGCCAGTGCACAGAGCCTCTTGAAGCAGGATTATAAGGAGGATTGTGATTTGAAGGAGGCATGTGGTATGGCGGTGAAGGTGTTGAGCAAGACGATGGACTCGACGAAATTAAGCAGTGAGAAAAGTGAGTTTGCATTCATGCTTGATCTCCTGCACGGAAGAACATTCGCTGACTTGTATTTGTGCAGTCGAATTTGCGACTGTTGGGAAGACCAAAGATGGCAAGATATATCACCATCTTTGGTCCGGTGACGAAATCATGACCCTCCTGAAAGAACACGGTCTGGCCAAGGAAGAGGAACCCGAGACCGGCTAGGTGCTGGCTGGTGCTACGTTCACAGCCAGCATTAGACGGCGGTGAGCGCAAAAATACATCGTGAAAAGATGCAAGGTCCTCGACTTGTCTTTTTTTGGTGGGAACCACACTGGTGCTACCGGAGTTTGTACGTTTCTACATGTTACAGAGAAAAGGCAGGAAATTGAAGGCAGCATCGCATAGCACCAGGCGTTCATGGCGAACGGCTTGCAATCCGCTATGACAAGAATCACTGTTTCCGAATTCCAATGATCATGGGTAGCAGCTGCCTATCTTCAAGTTCAGCCATGAGCGTCAACTGGAAACCGTTGCAATACTCGATCTACTATCTCGTCTGCACGACCTGGAGATCTTTCAAAGAGTCTCTGTGTTCGATCCACGTTGCCCCTCTTGGTGCAGCTGAGCAATTCCCCAGCGGGTCATCCCATTTGAGAACTAAGAAACATTCATTACCCTCCACATGGATACGTGGAAGCTCTTACAAATACATAGGTCGTGAGGAACTGCCACCACCGGAACAGCGCCAGCTTAGTAAATGCAGTTGTCAGTTCCCAGCTCTGCAGAAGAGAATCTGGTGCCATTTCTGGCGGAGGAAATCCGAGAAGAATCACAACCGACTGAGGCCCTCAGCAATGCCAAAACGACCTCAACCCATAATAAAACTTCAACTCAGGTCAGGAAAAAGCCGCCCAGGCGATGAGAAGATGGCGGTCGCTTTCGCCGACCACGATGAACCTCGTTATTTGACATAGGAACATTTCACCCTTTCCCACATTTCGACTAATTATCTACAGGTAGGGATGCACTCCAGCAATACGCTTATAAAGTCCCATTCAGTCCCCCCACAATCATGAAGAAGTCGCGCGATGGTTCCTCAGGGCGATCAACGAGCAGCGCGAGGAGGGAGCGTCATCTGAGGCGCCTACCTCTTCCTATGCGTACCTCGAGCCATGGGATAACGAGCCCGGTTTTGACACCAGATCACTTTCTGATGCCTGTTCCAGGATCGAGTGGAAACATGTCCCGAGAGGGACGCTGTCCATGCGAGGACTATACACTTTCAGTGTCCGGCGTATGTACAGACTCGCGGCATGGATAATACTGGAGCCTCCTCCCATCTCGTGCGAGTCCACATAACTGACGGAATGTCGAAGAGAAGAGAGGAATGGCGGGAGATCAAGAAAAGGCAATGTGCATGCCCGCGTGCATTCTGTTCGGCAAAGACTGACCATGGTCAAGAATGGGCAATACCGACAGCAGCAAAGGTCGACAACGAGTGACCCGAAGCTCGCCGACTCGGTCAAAAGTGATTCAGCTGGAGCGCAGCTGTGGGCCGGCCGGGAAGGAGGAGGACCGGAGGCATTCACCCTGAACCCCAGCCCTTGCGACGATGCTCGCAGCGTGAAAAATGAAAAGGAGTCTGCCTGGAACATGGGGGCTAGACCCAGCTGACGTTGTTGTGCAAGGCTGAAACGCTGGGACCAATTCGTCCATATGCAAGATCAGCTGGCCAACAAGTGAGGGCGAGTCAAAGTTCTGTACTTGGCGATGATGCCACAGCCAAAGTCCCCCGGTAATATCTGGATGCCTTAATATTCGAGCCTCAGGCATCTTACCATGTGACCGTAATAGACTACGGCTTATGGGTGAGGCCTTTCCCTTCGCTGGGTTACAACCGAGGATCACGCGGTGGGATCCTTCAAACAGGCAGCAGTTCGCAATCGAAAGTGACAGGCGCCCGGAATCCGTTGAGGATCGTCCTCCAGACCGGGATATCCCTCAAGGACCTGCAAAGTCACAAGTCAAGTCACAAGTCAAGTATGTCACAACATCCAGCGAAGGCAACAGGTTTTCAACGCGGTCTACCAACCAGTGTCCCTTTCTCTCCAGTTTGGCAGCCTGGCCACTAAAGTGACCATGAAAAAATGTCCCAGTTGATTTGCTGGAGTTCGGGACTGTCGAGGGGGGGTCCCGGAATGCCGCGAAACATCTCGAGGGTAATTTCATGAAGTTCCACGGGTATGGACGCTGCAATCTCGCCGCTCTGCATGTGCGTACCAAAAAAGGCGTTGCTGGCTTCCACATTGCTTGACTGTCGAGTCATCTCCTCCAGCGTCTGCTTCATCCGTAGTATGATGCTCGGCACCTGAACAGTTCTCGTCGTTCCTCGTACTGCCGCATCGTACGTCTTCCAAGTGACCATGATAATCTTGGCGAAAGCGAGGAAGAAAGATCTGTTGTCTGTCAAATGAGACGACCAGACTTCATAGTTATCGCTCATGACCTCCCACGCCCGCTGCCGTTGTCCACAGAGAGGTCGCATCCTCAGGCCGTGTGCGATCTGCATGTAGCCCAGGAACGGGAAGAGGTGGTGATTGAGCCAAAGAAACCTCTTTGGGAGGTAGGAGGTCATGATTTTCGTGTCGCTCGCGAGCATCGCGACGGTGTAAGAAGTAGCGGTGTCGCATTGCGAGTCGGTCTGTCGTCGGCCGGAATACTTTGACTGATGTTCCAGAAGGCGGAGTTTGGCCAAGTATGCGCGGGTCGTCCACATTGTCATACAGTGTACGGGGCTGTCTTCATCACAAAATTGGAAATATCGATTCTCGATGGCTTGTTCCAGGTTTGCTAACTCCACTGTTTCGGAATCTGGACCTTTCGAGCCATGCCGCGCGAAGGCCATCAAAGACGGATTGATGTAGTTGATGTGGAAAGCTGTATGGCGAGCGAACTCGCTTACTTCGCAACATGCAACCATGAAAAGTGCCTCGGAGCATCGTGCCTGGGCTATAGGCGGCACTCTCATGTCCACCCGTAAATCGGAGTCGTTCACATTCAGGGGGGCTTTACAGTCCCAAGTGGGATCCAATGTTCGGATCCTGGAACTTGCGAGCTCGCACATCCTCGTGTCAAACAACACCAGCGACCACCATAACCGACGGCGTAGTTCAGCCTCAAAAGGGGTGTGCTTGGCCAGAGCAGCCTCACTATGCATCCCCATGTTCTGGGAAATGCGAATGGCAATGGCTAGGATAACGGATAGTGACCGAGGAACGGTTTGGGGTGTAATAGAAAGCTAAATTTTGGTCAGTGCGAAGAGAGAGAACCAAGACTATGTTTTGGTCTTACAAGATAGAGGAATAGAGCGGTCAGACAGTCGCGATCGGTGGTTCGTATAAACCTGCACTCTGCTAGAGCCTTCTGGCAGCCGCGCTGGAACCTCGTCGACAGGTCTTCCTTTGAAATCTCGAAAGTGTCCTGGCACTGCTCTTGAGTGAGGCTGAGGACCGAGATGCAATAGATGCCGAACATGAGCGCCTCGAGGTTAGGATCTCGGACCCTCGCAAGATTGTTTGCCGCATCGACGAGCCGTGCTTGAAGAGTGGGCGCCTGAGTGATCTTGAGGAGGGGATCCACGTTGTCCAGATAAATTTGCCAGAGCTTGAACACCTGAGTAGGGGTGGGGTGAAGAATCGCAATATCGACCACTGGTCTGCTCGAACCAAAGAAGAGGTTGTCGACCTTGTCGGAAGAAGATTCATTGAGCGCCTGCTTGGCCGCGGTCTCGCTCGCGGCGTGATTGGAAGAGATGGTGTCGTCGTACCTGTCTCGATTTTGCTTTAGTGGGCTTGTTAACATTGGATCGGAGAGGCACACGTTCCGGATTAGAGCCTACTTACCCTTTGGCTCATTGCGAGCCATGAATTTCTGCCGATATTAGTGAGCGGCGCACTACTTAGTTGATGACACGCACTTGGTCCTGTCATGACTCGTAGTTTCATCACCAGCAGTTACGGGCGACCAAATTTTGTCCGTTGTCTGAGGATTTTCCTCGTTCGAACTGTCCACACCATCGCTACCGGGAGGGACATCATGGCTGAAGGCTGGTTCTTCGGGAAGCCGTCCAAATGGGACTTAGTTCTGATGTAGGAGTGCCTCGTATTTGCGCAGACGATCCAACAGCTTCCTCTCTGGTCGCCTTGATTGGCGTCGATTTCGCGTTGCCGGGACGCACCGGGCTTGAGACTTGACACAATTGGCACAGGGGAATTTGCGGTCGCATTTGACCTTGCGCTGCTGCCAGGAAGTGCAGGCAAGCACTCGCGGAGATTGGCCAACACGAGACGGCATGAGCGGCAGATCTAGCTGTCCTCTTTCCATGGTCGAAGGAGCCACCAATGAGCGCTCGTACTTCGTCTAGCAAGCAGTGGGAGATGTATGGTGGACATGAGAAATCCGAGGATCAGCGGAATACAAAGGTCACGCCCAGCCTTGCATGTGGGACTCCGGGTTACACGTGTCCGAGGAGCCAATCATCATTCGAGAACGCACCTCGACCGCTCCGGGCTCTCGGGTTTTCGCATAGATCCCATGAAATTGAACCGGTATACTTCTCCCGGCTGGAGGAATACATAACATCAGGCTCATCGCCCAACAATAAACCATGGCTTGGTGCGCAGCCTTAGTAGATAGCTCATTACCTAGCTCAAGCAGCCCAGATGATGAAAGTCGCATCATCTACGCAGCGAGCCGACCACGAGGCTGCTCCTGTGCCCAGCCAGCGTGGCGAAGCCGTGGATGAACATGAAGATGCCGAGAGGAATTATGATCTCGGATCGCCGAAGTTCTGGACCATTGTCGTGGGCATGTATCTCGTTATTTTCCTGGTTGCTTTGGTGAGTCTCTACACCCTCTTCCACACCCTCGACGCCGTGCCGTGACTGACGAATATCTGCTCCATCAGGATCGGAGCATTATTGCAACTGCCATTCCTAGAATCCCCGACGAATTCGATTCCATCCAAGATGTTGCCTGGTACGGCAGCGCCTACACATTGGCTTTGTGCCTGCTTCAACGTTATCTCTGGCCGCGCTTATCAGCAGCGTGGTTTCCAATACTGTATCGATAAGCCTGATACAATACTAGTATGAATTAGATAGTATTAGTATCATGATGATACTCTTAGCATCTCGATACTAGTACTATATCTAGACTAACGTAGTTAGATCGAGCCTAGTCTATCTATATATAGTCTAGCGTAAAGGCGCTCTTAAATTTCCGCCCCCCCCTTTACTCGGCCTTCCGTTAGTTTTGGCCCCTAAACGCTTCTACTAAAGTATTATGATACCTTCGATACTTATGATACGCGCTAATACTAGTATTATCATAATACCTTTCGATACCTGAGGTATCAAAAACCACGCTGCTTATCAGCTTCACTCTACAAAACGTCTCTTTCTGCTCTCGATCCTTGTGTTCGAAGCTGGTTCCGTACTATGTGGTGCAGCTCCTTCCTCTGTTATCTTCATCGTGGGACGAGCTGTTGCAGGCTTGGGATCGGCATTCATCATCTCCGGTGGTATGATGATCCGCTGCTCAGCCTTGCACTGCCCGTAGACCCATTCCCAGCCTTCCACCTGACCTCGTCACACCTTTCCTTCGTAGGTGAGTTGGCCTCCTCGAAGGTCATGTTCGTAACAGTCTGCTCAGCTCCTTAGAATAAGACAACAAGTCTACCTATCTAGTAGTAAGGTAAGATCACAGCTTCAAGGATGGTCAGTCATAGTTGTTACTATGTCAGGCTGGCGACTATCAATAGTATTAACAGAGTTGCACCCTACATTTCCATAGCAACCTAAATTGGACTACTTATTCGTCAAAGCTCCCTTTCATTGTAGACAAATCTGACATTCGAACATTGCTGCGTCTTCACTACGTTTTGCACAGTATGGAAGCATGACTAGCTACTGAAAGCCTCACTCTCACCACATGGTTCGCAAGACCTATCTGTTTCGCCGTCGAATTTGCGGCATATAGTCCGTGACAGGGCTTGTGCCCATCATGAAACCATTTGCCAGTCCATAGAATTGAATGGTCGATTCTCTGTCACTGTCCTGCATCTTCGGAGGGAAATTATAGCTCATGATCGAGTTGTAGTTCATGCCTAGAAATTGGATTGCACCGTTGCCCTCAGCCTTAATTTTCTTACGGTCGTCCCCCGTAATGGCGAACTCATGCCGGAGTCCAAGTATGTGACCAATCTCGTGCTGAAAGACGTTCTTCAAGATAGGCAAACCATCAGGATCGAAACCCTTTTTGAAGACAATCACGTCTTGATCAATCTCATGAGGGAAAAAGGCTCGAGCAAGTGTCCTCGATCCTGGTCCGATGGTAGGATTGACTTTGTAGACAAGGTAAAAATTCGCAGTGTCTTGGACATCAGCTTCAGAAATCGTGATGCCAAAGTTCAGTTCGTTCCAAGAATCGGCTGCATGCTGAAAGTTGCTAGCTGCTATGCGAGCCTTGTCCGCAGACGGAAAGCTTTCTGCTTGCACAAAATATTGGAGTCTCCTGCCATTTGGTCGATCCACATCCCACCGCGGAACGATAGTTCCAAAGCCCACCACAAGTGAATCTGGCTCGTCTGGAGCGTTATCGCCTGTGGTTCCGGCAAGGTTGGAAAGCGGTGCAGCACCAAAGCTGGGATCGTTCTCCTCCTGCGTGTCGCAGGGATATTGCATCTCCTTCGTAGGTGGAGCGGTAGTCACCGTTTCGGAGGCCATTGGATTAGTTCTGCCGGAGACAAGGGCTGCCATGGCACGTTCGTTGATATCACCACACCAAGGATCAAATGCTTCAGCCAGTTTGATGTAGGTCGAAGCTGATGCGAAGGTTGATAAATTCAAGAAGATGCGTGACTATTGATGTATGGGTTTTGACCACAGCATCATATGCAGTAAGTGTGCGGATCTTAGATTTGACCCTGACATCGTTCTGTAGTCATGATCATACGGTCGACTGAAATTGGCTGATCCTACGCATCGTAAGCTGGTCCACAATTCAGCTCCTACTTCATAACCTTTGTTGTAAACACATGTGGTGCTCAGCCAGCCACCTTCATACTGCTACCAATGGTGCTTCAGTCAATGGAGACGGCATCTGCAGTTACATATGTCCAGGCAAACAGAAACATTCCACAGATAGACGGGGAAATGGAGAGGTAGAACCGAGCTCGCAGGCAGTCTCAAAGTCTAGCCAGAACTCAAGCGTTTCAGGCATCAAGAAGCGAGGACTTTGACTGATCGGGGCAAGCCGAGACGTCGTCTCCGTCGAGAGAGCCCCGCAAACTATAGTTCTACCCCGTCCGCTTGAACCACGCCTTCCATCTTAGCGTATATTGGTGATGCCCTGCTTGGTAGATACGAACGTGGCTGTAGCAACTGAACCTCAGCTGAAAATACTTAGCCCCCCAAATTCACTGCTTGTGATGTTCGCCCACTTTAGCGCCGTGCTGACAACTGCGCGTATATCACATCATGATTTTCCCAGATCACAATCGCTCACCGACATCAACCAGTTCAGCCAGCCTTCTCGATGTCTTCAGCCACAGAACTGTGTTTGTACAGCTGGGAGGGGTCCAGACTCTTTCTCAGCTGCCGGTCAAGCAGACAATAGTCTGAGACGATAACACATCGAGTGCTGCGGCTCCAGCTTACTACAGCTCTAGTGTTCGGTCACAGACGCATATTCGTTGACATTATTAGCGCATGAATCTTGTTTCGTGAACAAAGATTTGTGTTGAAGGTTGAGTTCTCATGCATGCTCATGTAAACGCCTTTGAAATCACAAGACGAGGCCACATAACAACGTGGAACCAGGTGCGAGGACCGACTCAATCAATCCTGATTGTCAAGTTCAAGCTGTCGCAGAGAGGCTCAAGTTACGTCAACAACGTACTTTGACCCTTTTCATTCTACTGACCATCGTGAACTGTGCTGAGTAAAGGATTAACGCGAAGCATGCAGGTCAAAGACTTCGCACTTGCGGTGAAGGCACAGCTGAAGCCAAGTCTTATCGCGAACACCGTGGATGCATATTTTAACACACCACGAGACGGAACAAGTTGAAATTGTGGCTTGAGCCAATGCACCTGGAACATCAGCTCATATACCTACAGCTGGAATTGAGTAGCCTTTCTACCGTGGGCCTCGATGACAGCTTCTTCGACGGTAGCATCTTCTGAGGAGTAGGTGCGGGACTTTTGGGCCGAGACTTCGCTGAAGATGGTTTCCTTAAAGGACAAGGTATAAGAATCTTTTCTTTATCCTGCAACGTGCAAGTCTTCCCTGCCCATCTTGCCGCGTGTCATTCATCGTTTTCCTCTAACTCGCACTTCAGCAAGTCGGCTATCACCATGTTTTCTCCATATCAGGTGCTCCCGTTCCTGGACATCATCAGCAATGAGATCATTACTGAGGTCCGTCGTGATGACAACGTCACAGATGACCCCGAAGCCATTGAGCACAACACCAAGATGTACAACAAGGTAAGCTGCACGTGCAGGCCAAACGTATTATAGCTTAGCAGTGATGTTGCAGGTCATGAACACTATTGATACATCCTTGTCCTTGCTAAGAGGCAATGGTGCTGCGCAAGGCATACACGCTTTTGAGGATGTCTCCCTCAAAGCAAATGGGCAATCAGAACCGTTTGGATTTGAAGCACCAAAGGACGCTTCAAAGCCAATCGGAAAGACACCAGAGCAAATCGCTGCGATTGAAGAGGTCAGAAAGTTCCTCAAAGGTGAGAAGAGTAAGGGAGCGGCACTGACTATGAACACCATGGTCAATGCGGCCACGCCAATTCTCAACAATTTTGATGAAGTCCTGGTGAGAGCCGCAATATTGCAAGAATAATGGCAACAGCTGATCGTCTTCCAGTCACAACCCAACCTCGATAAGTATAATGCAACACTCAACACATCACCCATTGTCGGTCTAGCAGGTAGAGCTATTAGGTATTTGAACAAAACTGCCACAGGTGATGGTACAGGGACAATCACCGAAAGCTGGGCTCATCTGGACAACCTGCCAGCTGAGGCTGATACTACCAAAGGCGAGGTTCACATGTTCCCGTACTTTGGGTCCTTCTATCTAAGTGTTGGCCGGAGTCTATGGCGGAAGGAACCTCGGCCTATGACCGACAGCAAGCGTGCAGAAGCGAAGAACAACTGGCCAAAACTGTACCTCGACGGCTGGAAAAAAGTCGGCGATCAATGTATGCCTGCAGCTGATCTGGTCTCCGTTGCAGCACACGCTGAAAGCGTCACTGCGGACGCAATGCCGACATTCAACCTATTCATTGTTGACAAGGATGGCAAAGTGAAAGTGTTCAAAGGCAATGATCTCAAAGACAACATGACCTTCAGCGACGTCACAGTGACATCTGGTGGGAAACCGAGTACTGTAAAGTTCAAGAACATCTGTTACTATGCTGGGAAGCTCTACGGTATCGATACAAGCTCGTACTCCTGGAGCATCAATCCCAAAGACAAAGACGTGACCAAGCTTGAGATCAAAGACAAAACATTGCAAGCAACGACTGAAGCACTGAGCTCCAACGAAGAAGGTCTGATTGCTCTCCGCAACAAGAAGCTTTACCGTCAAAGAGTTTCGAAAGCCCTGGATGATGAGGAGAGAGCCAAGGAAGACACTTCTTGGAATCTTGTGATCGACAGTCCTGAGATCACCCACATCGGAGTTGCTGCGCCTGGCTCTTTGCTAGATCTCAAAACTCTGACCCAGATGTTACGTGATCAATATTTGAAGACCCAGGTCGATGTGATGCCAATGGTGAGGACCATCAGTAGGTCCTCGAAGCAACACCTCGCACTCTTGAGGCTCATGAGTAAGGATGCAGACGAGTACGAGAAAGCATCCGATGATAGCGCGAAAGCAAAAATCAAAGAGCGAGCAGTCGCACGAGGTGTGCAGGGCGCATTAAAAATTGCTACCACCATCAACAAAGCTTCCGTCAATGCATCTAACGCCATTGTCAATATGGGTGTTGCTCTCAGGGGCATCAGCAAAGAGCTTACAACCTTGCAGAAGCGCATGGAGGGAGAACTTGCAACACTGAAGAAAACACTCGAAAGTCAGCAAGGAGCCCTGAAGAAGATTCGAGATGTGCAATTTTGGAGTCTGGTTGTGATACTCATCTGTAAGTCAGCTTTGCGGCAGCACGGTCTTGCTACCTGTCCTGTGTCATCTCCGTGCCTTGGGCTGATCGTAAATCTCTAGCGGCGGTGTTGATCATATTGACAGCAGGTGTGGCCGCACCTGCTGTCGTGATCGGACTTGGTTGCATCTTTGCAGCAGCTTTCATCGTCAACAAAATATACGAGTCGAAAGAGAGCGAGATGATGTCAGATATCGCCAAGACGGAGGCAAGTATATCATCGTTGAACACGTCACTAAAAACAGTGAAGGCAATCACGCCAAAATTCGGTGAACTCGAAATTCAGTACCAAGCCCTGAACATGTTCTGGGGCCGGATGACGCAAAATTCTGGAGATCTACTTGGATGGACCAAAGACCTGGCTGACGAATTATTCGATGACATGTTCAGCAGTCTGACAATTGAAACAGCCAAGGAAAATGCAACGGACCTCGAAAGCGGCTCTCAGAAATACCTTGACATGCTGAATGCTCAAGGCATCATCATCCCAGAGTCGGGTACCGATAGTGCAGGCTTCTCTGCAACATTTTTGGAAGCTCCGATCTCAAGCGAGACTACCTTTCAGGCCTTGATCGAGGCTGTCAATCAGCCCCTTGGAGACGACATACAGGCGGACAAAACGGAGGTGACTGTACTATCATCTCTGCCTCAATCAGCCTCAAGCAGAGAATTCTCTGTGCAAACCGGAAATTCAGAGCATCAGGAGTTGAAAGGTCAAGTGTCACATGAGCATCAGTACTACATCCCAAGCAGAGTCCAGCTTCTGACTGACCAGGCTTGTGTGAGTTATTCCGACCAGGCCATTATGGCTTTGGATAGAGGCGATTTTGATGCTTTCGAGGGACATATGGACGTCAGTACGCGACTGCTTGATGCGCCTACTGTCCTCAAGGCAGACATGATTATCAAGTCGGGAAAGTGGTTCGACATAGACCTCGTCAAACAGGGGGTTTCGGTCTGGCTCAATCCTGGACTGAAGGAACTCCTTGCGTACAACAATACCACATTATACCTAGATGGACTTGGGAGCGTCTCAAGTGGTAGCTTGCTGATGGGAGCCAAATTCATCTCAGGCGCAGTTGTCATGGACACTATCAAGCTTGCGGGCATCATGCAGGATTGGGCGAAAGACATCAATAAGGACATGACAGACGAGCAAAAGCTTGCTCAGGCAAAGCCATACCTCAGTAACGCTGCTGGTCTGTGTGGTGACCTTGCAAATGTCACAGCGAAGCTCAATAACGGTTTTAACACGATCAATCATGCAGTCACGGATGCCCGCAACAAGGTAGTCACAGAGATCAAAGCACAAGAAGGACTCATCAATTCCACAAACAGTGGATGGTGGCAGAAGATGGGATGGATTCAAGACGAGATCCCAATGATTACACAGCTCTTTTGGTCACGAGAAAGATTGATGAAGGCAATCCAGGATCGAGCTGAAGATTATGATGCACAGCGCCGAAGAGACATTCAACCATTTGAAGACAAGAAGGCCACCCTGGAAAAGCTTCGTGATAGCGGAGTCATTTATCAGAACCAGCACCTGAATTGGGTTGACCTTGTACAAAAGATCAGCATGCAATTTGGCCGCATTTGGTCGACGTTGGTTGGCGTCCAGAGCGGGATCAAAGAGGACATCGTCTTCAATTCGACCATCATACTCGAAATCGACTGGCCCGAGTTGAAGAGTAATGCTCAAGAAGTCTTGAGTTTGCTTAATGTCCCTGCCAACTTGGACCTTCCTAGTATGCTGAGGAGTGGCTTGACGTCCAACTTTGCGACGGCCTCAGCTATAGCTGCAGCAGAGAATTTGTTCTCTCTTGAGGCTCCTGCGATTGACGGTCAAGAGCCGGCAGATTTCGAGAGTGCCGAAGCTCCTATGCAGTTCGCTTTGCAGGCCCATCCTGTGCTGGAGACCTCGTTGTCGGACGGGGCGAATGAAACTCGAGAGTTCTTCAAGGACGTCAGAGCCATCCTCGTCTTGCCTCACGTGCAAACCATCAAGGGTTACGAGAACACCATCGGTACAGTCTCGATACACAGCGGTATGTCAGAGACTATCACGATGTATGTGCGATGTTTTGTCCTGATTGGGAAAGCGTTGAATCGCTTGAGGGCTTTGTCTGCTGTGCAAGGCAAGCGTCTCAAGAAGCTTGAAAGCAAAGACATTGAATGGATGACTTTCTACAAAGGCACACAGCAAGCGATTATTGACGCATCACGATATGTCGGCACAGCAAAAGATGGTCTCGAGAAATCATACAAGGAGTTTCAGAGTCTTTCCAAGTTGATCAAGGACAATCGTGACATGTTCGACGCCAAGATCAAACCCGTTGATGCGCTCATGGCTGTCAAACAGAAAGAAGTGGATGACTACATCTTCCAGCTTGGTGCCGATGCCGCAGCAGTGATGTTTGTAGGTGCTGCTGCTGGCTTAGCAGTCGTCGCAGGACCAACTGTCGCCTTCAAGGCCGCCAGTGCTGCTCTGGAAGCAGCTAACAAAGTCGACGGCTTCAACACGAGAAACATCTTCAAGACATTCTACAGTAAGATGAACTGGGATGAGTTCAAGGCAAGCATGACCAGCCTAAGTGCCCTCAGGGATTCTTTGAAAACAGCAGTGGACTCATTAGACGGCCTTCAACAGTCTTTCAGCGACACTTTGAAGTATGGAAAGGACTTGGAGAGCCAGCTCAGAGAGACTCAACAACGTCTGACCGATTTCGAGACGGCAAGATTGATCCGTACGGAGAAGCACGGTCAGGATGCTGCGGCTGTGTTAGCGGACTACTTGAAGGACGTCAACTTCGAGGAGCTCATCAAGGGTTGGGACACGGTCGGTGACAGATCTGACTACTGGAACGATGTGTTTAATGCGCAGGGATATCTTCTCCCGAATGACTTGGAGCTGAAGTAAATTGGCACGTGACGACCGTGATGAAGCTACCATGCCGAGGATGATGTTGAAAGGATTTCTTTGTTATCTGATCATGTCACAATGTAAAGTTGGTACAACTTTCTTTAGAGTCTTTAATGATTGATCGTGAAATGTGCTTCGCGCCCACGACGTTTACGAATGAGCGAGTCTTCCAGTGCAGTCGAGTCTCCAAGTGCGGTACCAGCCTGTTGATGTTTGCCTATTCGACCTTGCCTTCCCACTTCAATGTCCGCCCATGCACGTATGAAAGCGCTGTAAGAGCCCAGTGAAAATCTTCATGCGGAGATCACATGTGTCTCCTCCTTGACGCCGGTGTTCGGTAGTGGAAAGAAGTAATCGGAGGAGTTGTGAGAAGCCAGGTGAGTTTTATACCACGATCTGATTCTCCACGAGATCCCTCAGCCCGTGATCGAACGCGACATCCTCGGGACGTATCCGGACACCCGTTTGCGCACCCAGTTAAGCGGACACCCACCTCGGCACAAGACTCTTGGCATTGAATTTGTATGGCAACCGCACCAATTCTGAATGTGCACTTACTGCTCATTGTGTTGACTCCCTACGAACTGTAGGGGGGGAGGTAGGATGATGGTGAAGCTTGACCCAGACTAACCAATTTAGAGAAAGGGAGCTTTTGTGACCATTACGTTAGCTTGAATCGGGTGCCAAATTATGGGTACTGTAGGCTAGGGCATAGGCAATACAGTAGGTCCGCAAAAGTCACCGGACACTAGTCGCTTGGCACCCACACCACCAAATAGACGTGTACAATTCAATTGATTATTTCTCAACCACCATCGCTTCATTTATTGTTTAATTGTTATAGAGATGCCTTCGAGACGTGAATATTCTGATTTTGAGCGCGGAACAGTATATGGCCTTCATCTAGCTGGTAAATCTGTACGCGAAATCGCGACCACTATAAATATCCCGAAATCGACAGTGTTAGATATACTACAGAATCCATAACCAGATAAGAGCGCTCGGACTGGACGGCCTAAAAAGCTATCTAAGCGTTTAGAAAGGCTCATTCTACGTACAGTTAAGCTCTTGCCTAAGATCTCGTACGCTGAGCTGAGAAAAAGGCATCAACTTGATGTCTCGGACGATACTATTTCTCGCCTACTCAGAGACAATAGGATCAAGAAATGGCTCGCAAAAAAGCGTCCTAGGCTTACGGACGAACGTGCTAAACAGCGCTTTGAATGGGCTATGGCCTATAGGGACTGGACGTGGGAGGATTGGCTTAAAGTCATCTGGAGCGACGAATGCTCTATTCAACGCGGCAGTGTATCACAAACGGGACCTGGAAGCCGGGCACAATCAAGATCGCGCCAAGCCGGACCGCGCTAAGCCACTTTAGGCCGCACACAGCCCGCATGAGAAAAGCATGCTTCTCGCATCCGAGAAGCATCCTCTCCTCATACTATGAGTTTATGTTACTACAGGTGTAGAAGGATACTTATTACCACGGAATCTACCTATCGCTGAGTACTGCCTATCTTCAATAAGGCATCCTTGATATTCTCATAGTATCCCTTAAGATCGGACGGACTAGCGATAAAAAAGGGGGCTCGATAGCTCCTCATACACGATCCGCGGGCGAATCGAGCGCGACCCTAGAACAGCAGCAACAAGGTCAAAACGACCAAGATCTCGTCGAAGACCAGGAAGAGGACCAACATCATCCCCGGCGAGAAGCAAGCGACTCGCACGCGGGCCTCAACACTCTCGAGATAGAAGAGGCGGGACTAATAGCCCAATATGAAGAGGCTAAGAGAAAAGTCGCCAATAAACGCCGAAGGGAAGAACTTAGAGTAATGGAGGACGAGCTTGAAGGAAGAGAACCTACTCGGTTTATGGAAGTCGCAGGCATAACGCTACCAAGTCGCAAGCGACCTCTAAGCTCTTCAATCTTAGAAGACTCTGGCATTTCAAAATACATCAAGCTCGCACCACCACCAAGGTTCGACGGGAAGTCGACCGAGGGCCTCCGGAGGTACGACCTTAGATGGAAAAAACTCTTCCAGACACTCCCAGAAGTCGCCGAGGATGAGTATGCGTAACGCATACTACTCGCGGCAACCTTCTTAGACGACAGGGCGGACGACGCATAGGCACGCCCGTATGCCGAATTCCAAACTTGGGACGACTATATTACATTCCTCAAAGGCGTTATCGCAGACCCTACGACTCGTAAGAGTGAAGCACTTATTAGACTGGCGTCGACTAAGTAACGGCCGAATCAGTCGGCGAGAGATTTACTACGCCATATTGAGAACATTAAGATAGATATTCCACCCATGATAGAGGACGAACGGGCGGTATAGGTACTACTAAACGCGCTCTCGCCTAAGATTCGCGCGCTCGTCATGTATGAAAACAAAGAAATTACATCAAGAGAACAGATCCTCGCCTCAGCCTAGCGGCATAAGGACGTCATTAAGCAAAAGGCACGAGCCGCGCATCAAGATAAGTCGCAAACGCGCACTAACACCAATACGCATACGACTCACACGACATACACAAACAAGTCGCGTGAAAGAGGACAACAAAGCGAAGAAAGGAAGGATGCCCCGAAGAGGGATACACCGTCCTTCCCTAGTGAATGCTTTAACTGTGGTAGAAGGGGGCACAAGGCTGATTAGTATAGATCAAAGCCTCGTAGGTAAGACATAAGCGTAAAGGATGTACCAAAAAACTAAAGTATAGCGCGAAGAGTGCCGCTGTCGCGCTAGGCTTACTAGGTACTGACCCTGATAGAGAGCTAAAGCACTACCGAGCTCTCATAATGAACGTAGAGATCCAGACAGAAGCTGGACTAAGGGAGATACGCGTACTACTCGACAGCGGGGCGTAAGCGAACTTCATCTCGCAACTCCTCATTACAGAACTGGGAGCAAAGGCAACAACTACTGAAGTTCACGTCCGGACTGTCTCGGGACAGCCGATCAGGACCTACGGTAACCACCGCTTCTTAACGCATGAGACAGACGTGCGAAGAGTACGCAGATCGCATGCGCATACGTACATCGCTACAGACATCACGGAGTATGACGCTATCCTTAGATTCCCTTAGCTTAAAAAGGTGAACCCTGACGTGGACTGGAGCACCAGCACATGGAAGTTTAGGCCTAGGGGCGAGAGGCTTGCGAAAGACAAGCGAGTCACCTACGTCTCAGCTGCAGAACTCCTTGCAGACCTAGATGTCTCTCAATTACGCATGCTAGTGGTTAAACCTATCATCGACACAGACGGGGATCGCACACAAATCGCTAGCGTAACGCTAGCGGGGATCGAGGTTCAAGAAGTAGAACTTCCCCAGCACTTACAGGACCTAGCTAGAGCCTTCACAGAGCCTAACTCTAAGGCATTTGGAGACGAGACCTTTACACGACACTCCATCCCCATTAAGGAGGGCGAGACAATCCCGTACGGACCTCTCTACCCCATAAGTGCGAATGAGCTACGAGTCCTACGCGAGTACATTAAGACAGCTTTGGCAAGAGGATGGATCCAACCGAGTGACTCCCCGGTAGGAGCGCCTATCCTATTCGTACCGAAACCCGATGGTAGCCTACGACTTTACGTCGACTATCGTACGCTAAATAAGGTCACCCGGAAGAACCATTACCCTCTACCTTTGATTCCTGAGGTCCTAGATCGCTTAAGTAGAGTAAAGATTTTCACTAAACTCGATCTTAGAGACGCATATCATCGAATCCGAATTACCGAAGAAGACCGCTGGAAGACTGCGTTTCGTACGCGATACGGCCACTTTGAGTATCTAGTGATGCCGTTTAGGTTGACGAATACTCCGGCATCGTTCCAATCGTATATTAATGAGGCACTACGGGGACTGCTAGACGACATTTACGTTACGTATATGGATAATATACTTATATTCAGCGGTAGCGAAGAAGAGCATGAGAAGCACGTACGACTCGTACTTGAGCGCCTAATTAAGTATCGTTTGTATGTGAAACTGTCAAAGTGTGCATTTGGAGTCTCCGAAGTTGACTTCCTTGGCTACCGCGTTGGAGTCGTAGGCGTATCGATGGATCCTAACAGGGTAAGCGCCATCGAGGAGTGGCCGACCCCTACATCATTCCGTAAGGTCCAGGTCTTTCTGGGCTTTACTAACTTTTATCGGGGCTTCGTCCATAAGTACTCGAAAGTCGTGGCTCCGATCACTGATCTCCTTACGGGAATGGTGGTAGGGAAAAAGGCGGGCCCCTTCGAATGGACTGCTGCCGCTGCGCAAGCGTTTCGCACGCTTAAGGACTGCTTTACGAGTGCGCCGATACTAGTACATTATGAGCCTAATCGACGATGTCGAGTCGAGGTTGACGCTTTAGGAGGAGCAATCGGGGGTGTGCTGACCTAAGCGTACGAAACGCAGGCGGGGCGCACGCTCTGGAGACCGGTAGCATTCTTTTCGAGGAAAATGATTCCTGCGGAACGGAACTACTATACAGGTGACGGAGAAATGCTAGCAATCGTTGAGACTTTCGTAGTATGGAGACACTACCTTAAGTCGCCTACGACTAGCACGATTGTCCTCACCGACCACGAAGCTTTGAAGAGTTTCATAGAGACGAAGGTCTTGAATAGACGACAGATGCGCTGGGCAGAGGTACTAGCAGCGTACGACTTCGTTATTCAGTGGCGACGGGGAAAGGATAACCCAGCAGATGGGCTCTCTCGTCGGCCAGACCATATGGGGCCAGACGAGCCACCAACTGAGAATATCCTGGTAGAACTACTAAAGAAGCGGATACTAGAAGAATACGAACCGTACGCTAGTAGTATGCGAGTCGGAGACAGCCTCGTTGTAGGTGTTCTAACGCGTTCAGCAGTCCGAGGGCACAAAGTGGGAGGAAAGAGCGTCTATAGCGTCGTTACCCCCCTGCCTGAAGAATAAGGAGTTACGCCAGGAATCAGCGAAGAGCAAGAGGCTCTGGGGCGAGAACGCCGCGAGTCGCTGGTGACTCGCCTGAAGCAACTTTAGGTACTAGACCCCTAGTGTCAGGAGAAGCAATAGGCCACTACCTCCGATAGCCAAATCCTCAGCGGAATGTTCAGAGGAACATGGAGCGTGGATCATGCGGGTCTCGTACGAAGAGACGGCTATATATATATACCACGGGATCCTGCTACGCGGTGCGAGATACTAAGAGTAAATCATGACGACCCGTGGCAGGGTGGACATTTCGGTCGGGCTCGGACGTGTGCGACTATCATACGATACTACTAGTGGCCGCATATTAGGCGCGATATACATAAATATATCAGCTCCTACGACATCTACCAGCGCATGAAAGTGCCTCGTCATCGGCCGTACGGCCATTTGGAACCCCTCCCAGGGCCAGATGGGCCATGGTAAGATATCGCAATGGACTTTATCGTAGGGCTACCGCCGTCGATGCACGGGCGAAACGCATGCGACTCGATACTCGTTATTGTCGATCGATTCTCGAAGATGGTTTCCTTGACTCTATGTCTCAGCACTATCGATACTCTATAGATGGGCCAGTTGGTCCTGGAGAAGGTAGTTACGAGGTTTAGGGCGCCGAAGTCAATTATATCTGATCGGGGTACGACGTTTACGTCTTTATACTGGGGTACTCTATACTCCTACCTTGTGACTCGCAGGCTATTCTCAACTACGTTTCATCCGTAGACCGACGGATAGACCGAACGGACAAATCAGACTCTGGAGTGCTACCTCTGATGCTACGTTAACTACCAGTAATCGGATTGGGCGGAGCTACTCGCCAGCGCTGAGTATGCGATTAACGTAGCGCCTAATGCCTCCACGGGGAAGACGCCGTTCGATCTAGTCTTGTCGTTCTCGCCTACGTTACGTATAAACGTTAACCGTGAGGAGCTCACACAGCAGCCAGTGAACGTCATAGCTGAGGAAAGAGCTATCACCCTCATGGAATCGCTCGCTGTAGCGGAGGAGACACGCGAGATCAGTGAGACTCGCATATAAAAAAAACTACGATAAGAAGAGGATAAGCATCTCCTTTAACATCGGTAATCAAGTTCTTATTTCTGCCCGAAACATCAGAACTCTCCGCGCTAGTAAAAAGCTCACTGACTAGTTCCTAGGACCCTTTGAGGTTATAGATAAATATGGCGCCAATGCGTACACGCTAAAGCTACCGAAGAAGTACGGGAGGCTCCACCACACGTTCTATGTCTCCTTATTGTAGGCGTATCGCGCGCGTCCTGGCGTTAGCATACCTGAACCTGTCAACATTGAAGGCGAGGAAGAATGGGAAGTACAAGAGGTGCTAGGGGAGCGTCGCCGGCATGGCCGAACCGAGTTCCACGTTCGCTGGAAGGGATTCGGAGAGGTAGACGACTCGTGGTAACCAGCGATAGACTTAAGAAACGCACGCGAGGCGATCACTGACTACAGAAGGAAAGTAGGAACAGGAAGATGAGCAAAGGGATTTGCATTTGGCCCAAGGCCAGGCACGCGAAACGCATGTGACGCCGCAGCGTCTCAACCACCACCAGGCCACAAGCCGCAGGCGCGCACAGCGCGCACTGCCCAAGGGCAATGCCACACCAGGAGGACACACACCCGCCACACAGGCGACACACCAGGAAAAACACACAACCGCCACACAGGCGACACGCCAGAGAGACGCACACAGACCGCACGCTACTCGTCGTCGTCACTCTTAGGAGGATCAGACAGTGGGTCTGGGTCCGACCCACGACCACTGTCTGCCTCATCAAACCAGACCGGGGGATTCAATTGATTCTATACAAGTTAGTGCGGAACGTAGGCGAGGAGCACGCGCTACCCACGACAACCGCATAGGCCTCGGCCATGAAGCGTAAGGCTTCAAGGATGCCACTAAGGATGTTGGCGGTGCGGTCGGTGGGGGCGGCGGCGGAGGGGGAGGCGGCAGAGGCACCAGAACCAGAGGCAAGGTTGCGTCTCGCAGACGCCTTTGATGCGTTTTGCATGCGCCTAGATAGCGCAGAGGCTTCGTCTTAGACGGCCGCGATGGCGGGCGCGTCCGGATCGCCATCCACAATCATCTGATTACGGGCAAGAAGACGGTTGGCAGCGGCCACGCAGGACAGAGGAACCTAATGCGATAAGCATACGACAAGCTTACGGGGATGCGTACAACAGTATGATACTCACAGGAACACAACCCTTGGGACCAGCACGATTACTACGCTCGCAACGATCGCAGCGGGTATAGCCCTCAGCAGCACGCGTGTCGCATGCGACACGCTGGCCAGTCAGACAACCGCGACCAGCGCGGAGCGCGCGCAGACAACGCTGGCAAGGCAGCTTCTCTCGGGACGAACGCCGAGACGCCTTGGAGGGAGTTTGGGGGGGAGCTAAGCACGCGAGTTAGCTGCGAAACGCATGCGATAAGCACAAACCACTCACGAGGGCCGCCAGGGCGACGAGGAGGTTGGCCACCTGCACCTGAGGCGGTGCTACCAGGACGGAAATCGACAGTATTCATCTGCGAAGCGATTAGTACGCGACCAGCATGCGACGGATGCTACTAACGTTGGAATGTTGCGTGAGACTAGTAAAAAGGAAGAAAGAGACAAACTGAGGGAGAAGAAGTGGTATCTATATACCCAGGCGCAAGAGGCGACCGCATTAGGACACAATGAGGCCATTCACGACTATACTATTGTTACGACGCATTGACGCTGCGCATTCACGTTACGCATTCATGCACGCGTTCAATGGGGCTCAATAGCGATTCACGCTCAATAGGCACAATGGCCATTCACACAGCGATTCACACAACAGTTCACATGGCACATTCACGCACACACCCAATGGGCACATTCAACAGCGCATTCACACAATGCATTCACACAGGGTGCACACGCACCATTCAGACGATACATTCAGGCGGTGGATAAGTGGCGCATACAGGACGTAAGCTACTCGCACGCGAGCCTCACTAAGTAAGAGGGAAATACTACCTACACGGGCCTCTCGGGGACGAGAAGCCAAAAGGGGGGGGCAATATCACAAACGGGACCTGGAAGCCGGGCACAATCAAGATCGCGCCAAGCCGGACCGCGCTAAGCCACTTTAGGCCGCACACAGCCCGCATGAGAAAAGCATGCTTCTCGCATCCGAGAAGCATCCTCTCCTCATACTATGAGTTTATGTTACTATAGGTGTAGAAGGATACTTATTACCACGGAATCTACCTATCGCTGAGTACTGCCTATCTTCAATAAGGCATCCTTGATACAGTGGCAACAAGAGAGAATGGGTCTTCCGTACGCCTAAGCAGAAATATGATAGCGATAAAATCACTACCAAAGGTATGTCTAGAGACATCTCTATTATAATTTAGGCAGCGATCTTTGGCGAGGGCGAATCGTCCGATGTATACATCTTGTCCCGCGACTTAGGAGTTAGTAAAGATGGGCTACTCAGCTAATTCCTATATCTAAGTCCTCGCCGATAACATTCTAGCAGTCTAGGAGCCTAGGAGAATATTTATATAGGACAACGCGCCTATATATAACGCTAAAAAGGTTAAGTAGTGTGTAAGGGAAGCGGTGGATAGACAGGTTGATAGAAGCAATAACGCCTAGTACTGATAGCTCTAGCCCTATATACAGAGACTCAAAGCCTTGAAGAGGGTTTGAGCAGGGTGCGCGCAGCATGCGCCCCTGATATGTTGTGTAACCTTGGCGCCCGTGCTTGGCCGGTTTGTTGTGTTTGGGGAGGGATCCCTAACATAGTGGCTAGATATTTATAGAATAGATATTATGGATTAGCCGCTATATTCGCTAGATTTGAACCCTATTAAGAACCTCTAGTTTAAGCTTAAATGCCTCGTCAACGCAATCGATCTAGAGCTTCAGTATACAATAGGAGACTCGTAAGAGGTCCTCGATCGCTTTGCAAGAGCTATCGCTAGGGCCTAGGCCAGTCTAGATAAGAAAAAGATCAAGAATGCTATTAAGTCTATGGACGAGAGAGTCAACGCAGTTATTGAGGCCAAGGGCTGGTATACGCGGTTTTAATCTGGAAGATGCGATTTCCTGAAAGTGCTTCGCTTAAGCTATCTATTGATACTCATTGTACTATTCTACCATAGTAAATATATGGAAAAAAACTATCAAGTGTACGGGGGGGTAGTATTCAGGAGGCGTGCCAAGAGACTAGTGTCCGGTGACTTTTGCGGACCTACTGTAAATTGGCAACTATAGGCGGGTGCCGGGAACGGGGCCCCCTGGCCCAGATTGTGGGCGCGATTGATCCGTTGCTCAGGCCGGCTACCACCCTTCTCAGTCACGTACAGGAGCATCTCAGGTTGAAGCAGCGAGGCTCAGGGCCACGCTCAGGTCCAGAGATGGAAATGGAAAGTACTCGTGTCGAGATTCCGACCACGAAATCCCTGTTTCTACATCAACCTACCCATTGGTGGCTTCACCATGGTAGCGGTGTTTCTATTGTTTAACATCGAGTCACCTTCGCGCGAGAAGCTTAACGTTGTGGCTCAGCTCAAGTTTCTCGATCCGATTGGGATTTTCTTCTTCATTCCCTCAATAGTCTGTCTCATGCTTGGCCTTCAATGGGGCGGGTCAACCTATTCTTGGTCGGCGCCAACGATCACCTGTCTCTTCGTGACCTTTGGCGCGCTCTTCATCATTTTCGTTGTGGTCGAGATTAAGACTCCAGAGACAGCCATGGCGCCAATGAGGGTCGTCTTGAACCGATCAGTCGCCGGCAGTATACTGTACATGTTCCTGGCTTCTGGAGGTGTGATGATCCTCATCTTCTACCTGCCATATTGGTTCCAAGCAATCCAAAACATTTCAGCAACGCAAGCAGGTATCAGGACGCTCCCCCTGATATTACCTTTTTTTGTTAGTTGGCATCGCCGCTGCCGCATTTACACAGATGATCCGCACCTATGTTCCGACAATGTTGTTCGCGCCAGTACCTTCCGCGATTGGGGCTGGACTGCTTTCAACTCTGTCACCGGAGTCAGGACCAGACAAATGGATCGGATATCAGCTCTTGTTCGGCTTCGGGATTGGCTGTGGATACCAGAATGCGCAGTTGGCTCCGCAGTACGTTTTGCCGCGCGCTGATGTTCCTCTCGGGATGTGTCTGACATACTTTGCTCAGCAGCTTGGCGGGTCGATATATCTCGCTGTGGGCCAGAATGTCCTGTCGAGCAGTCTTGTGCACGATCTGCGAGGAGTCGCGAGGGTTGATGCCCAAGATATCATTGAAACGGGTGCGACAGATCTTCGGCACCTTGTAACCTCGGACAAGCTCGATGCAGGCATATCTGTGTATAGCCATGCACTCACGCGTGTCTTCCTTGTCGCCGCTGTGACGACCGCCGTCATGGCGGTAGGTGCATTCATGGTGGAGTGGAAGGAGATCAAAGAGAAACCCACGGAGCAGAGGAGACCAAGTGGTCAACAAAGCGACATCGAGCTCTACACAAGAAGAGAACCACATGTGAAATATGTTGGCATTCTCCAGCGTGGAACTGTTATCTTGACCACGCATGGCCGAGTTGATATCGAATGCGACTTTACCCCTAAAATGAATGGTGGCTGAGCAAATCTCCCTTCTTTCGCTCAACGACCGGAATTACTCGAGGATCCAAAACCCGACTACCATATACGGGTTTGGTCCTAGCTCTAAATGGAGTTCAAGGCAAATGGAGAGAGATTCAGGCTTGGCATCCAGACAGAAGCCTGTCCGGGAAGTGCATGTTGTGTCAAGATATAGGAGGGCATATGAAGTATACTGGCGTCTGCAAGACGTCACTGCCCGCTCAAGTACTCTCGAAACTTGGGACGCGCCTTGCGAAACTCGAACCACTCCTCTAGGCTTCGACCATCCTTGGCAGGGACGAGGAGATCGACCTCGATGAGGTTGAGAGTTCCATGACCTATGGGATCTTTGCTTAATGGAAAGCGAGCATCCGTCCAAGACTGGCGAGTCGATGGATTGGCAGACTTCGGAACTGGCATCAGCGTCTTCGTCGGCGGCACCGGAGCCGTCCAGTCTTCTTCTGGCAGCCGCAAATACTCGACAAGGTACACAAAGAGATCAATACTGATGTAATGCCAGGCTCGCTGCGGTTGCTCACTCATGATAGCCATGAGACCTTGAGACCGAGGCCTGAACTTCGCAAACTTATGTTTCTCATGGCCATTTGGTTTGTCGAAGAAGATTGCGTAGCTGCTGATCTGGCCGTCGTCCGAAAAGTCTGCAGCGCAGAACATGTGGCAACTTGTCCCCATGCCAGCGAGACAATGTAGACTGCTTCGGAGAAGTGGCTCCTGGGCCATCCTGACAATGGTGGCATTGCACGTCAGACACCTCACACCGGTCCCGCTCGGTGCATACCCATGGCCTGCTTCAAACCGCACCATCTCTCCCCTGTACAAACTTGGATCTGTGTATGTGGAAGAGATTCGGCTCGGCTGCCAGCACGCAAGCTCTTCATAGAGCCCGGCATGCGTCACCCTCAAGCATTGGCGCAATCTGCCCAGAAGTTCAAGGTTCCCGCGGAAATGAAGAAAGGCACGCAAGACAAGATTTGCTGCCGTGCCGTCGTAACAGTTTTTGAATGAATCTCCTCTTTCGACCAGAGATAGCAGCCCTACGACCCGGTCACGTATCAGAGTGCATTGCGACGAGGAATACCTTATCAGAAGGCCATTCAGATCCGCCGACTTGCTCCCTTCCGGTAGCTGCTTGAACACGTCTCGTTGCTCTCGGTGCCTGTACGCATATGAATGGGTAATGCTGAACCGCTTGGTGCCGGGCACGTCCCGCTCACCGCAGATGCGCAGCAGAGAGTCAACGCCGGTCCAGAAACGATCCCAAGGCAGTAGATCGTCGTTGTACATCAGCTCCACCGTTGAAGCCAACAGCAGCTCCTGCGCGATCCACATCCGGGACCAGTAGGGAAATTGAGTGAGCATGTACAGAGTGCGGATGTACGTCTGCAGGTCCTCTTCGGTCAGATGGCTCAAGTCTTCAGCCGAGTCCGCAAAAGTCCAGAACAGGTAGCTGATGGACACTCCGTCATTCCCCAGCCATAGGATGACCTTTTCGGCTCTGCCGTAGATGCTGCTCATGAGCTGGACTTGGTGGCCGCGCTCTTCATTCGAGTGCTGGTCGATGCACAGCGCATCTATCCATAGCATTGACGAGGGCAGTGTTTCTTGGGCTTGCTTGAGGAATGACCAGAGATTGGCTCTGACCTTGCACCTCCTTCCGTCAACGAAGATGTGCCGTTCGTCGCGCTTGCTGCCCCAGGTGTAGCTCAGCGCGTAGTATGCAGGACACCGAGAGAGCGTGGTGTGGAGTAGCCTGCAGCGAACCTCGTCAACACCGAATTTTGCCGGCTCCAACTTTAGAAGTCTGATGGAGTCTGAGTTTGAGTCAAGGCGCTGGTGTTGGAAATTATCCATGATAGAGCTCCTGTACCTTGTTCAGGGAGAAGCTCTAGAAGGGAGCTGTGGTGTAGAGTAGAGGAAAGACTGCTGATTGTAGAATTGTCGCTCGGTTGGTGCATAGCGGGAAGGCATAGTGAGGCTGAGCCATGGGGTTTTGGGCTGGGCTGTGTTTCTCTTGGCCTCACTAGCCTGCAATCGTTGGTGCCCACGCTCTTCATTCGAGTGCCAGTCAATGCAAATCATTATGACATAGACTATGCTGAATCCCGTCTCTAAGTGATTGAACAAGAAGAGAAGCAATGGTGAGCTTCTTCGGTGCCGCCTCGCCCTCCAAAGCGACAACATGCTTGGTGGGTACGTTGATAGACCGATGATTGCCCCTCAGCCTCGTCTCCAGCAGCCACAACTCTGTCGGTTTTCTCTCCAGCCTCGACCGTTACCCATCTTCCCCTATTCCCTCTGGATAGTCCATCCCATTTCCAGCATCTAAGTTGCCAAGTGTTTTTTTTTAATCAAGCGCGTATACCTACGACACGAACCTCTTGGCCGGCAGAAACTGAGACAAAGCAGGCATATCGGCCATTGAAGGCACCGTGGCCAGGCTACTGCCGCGCCGACCACGGGAAGACCAACGAAATTATGTTCTTTATAATCCGGCCTCATATACTGTGTACCTTCTTTGCCCCGTAACCTACAGACTTTTCCCGGACTAGCACTCCTCAGAATGCCACAGTCACCTCCATCCCCTAAGCTACAGCCACAGCAAGTCGGCAAACTCCTTCCTCACCAGGAAGCGATGGTAGAAGCGTGCAAGGCTGGCCAACTCGCCGACTTACAGAAATTGTTCGACGAGCACGACGTCAAGAGTGGCGGCGACCCCGTACCGGACTTGAACCCTTCACAAAAGGGTGCGCCAGAGACAGCAATACTGTTCGAAGCGGCCATTTCCCACGGCCACCCCTCGATCGTTCGATATCTGCACTCGATATATCCCAAATTCGATTTCTACAATGGCCGCCTCCTCCACGCGATCATCGGGCGACCAGATCTCGACATGGTCGAATTACTCTACTCCTATTGCCCCCGTCTCATATCCTATGCGTTCGATGATCATCACTCGAGTGTGTTGAACATGGCCTGCCAAGGCGGACCGACCCACGCAGAGTTCATCCACTTCCTCCTGGACAACGGAGCGAATCCTAGCCGTGAGGACAGCTTCACACTGCGCTTGGGCGGGGATCTCACGTCCGCGCTCGACGGCAACCAGCCAACGGAAATCATCAAGAAGATGATCCCCAAGACCCCTTACCTGTTCACTCCGATTTACGGAGCACTCAAGCGAAAACGCGCCGACGCACTCGATCTGCTTCTCGACGAGGATTACACCAGAGGAGATCACGCCTCCGATCCATCATATGGACAATCGCTGCTCCGTGACGCGAAGGCCACAGGCGACGAGGAGGTAATTGCCGTGGTCGAACGGTATGTTCGCAACTCGGAGAAGCGAGCGAGGAAATTGGCTACGAAGGACTCTCGATCCAGAACCACCGAAACAAGAAAATGGTGGCAGCACAGTTCGCCAGCGGACACCCAAGGAAAGGCCCAAGCTAAGGATTCCGATGCCTCACGCACTGCAGATGGCTCTACAAAGCCCTGGTGGTCCCTGCTTAACATTGGGAACAAGACCATGCCTTCTGATTCACACCATAAGAAGCAGGATCTCGACAATTCAGCCTCGGACGAGGAGCCTTGATGCTGCAATATTCGACACGACAGCCATTCCTGCTAACGCCAGCCAGCCCTGGTATATCTACGACCAGGACTGCCACGCCACACGTATCTGAACCGCGTGGTTCCCGGCCAAAGTGAACAATACCAAAACTACACGTCCGTGGTTGGATGGTCTCGAGGGAAATCGGGTTGTCGTAGATCCCCATGTCTCCCTCACAAACAGAAAAATCATGCTGGGAGTCTGGGACACATTCCCATGGAAACCCATCCCGATCTCAAAGGTCCAGGAACGCCGGGGTGTGTATGTTAGATCTCATGATGCTTCTAATCACTCCTTCTCCCCAATAGTTTTCGTAACGATGCTTGGTACACACACTCCAGCATAACCCATTCTGCGGGAGGTTGATCTAATGAGCTAGCTATGCTTGCGGGGAGAATCTGCATATAGGCGAATCTGTTGCTTCTGTGGATCCAGCGGGCGATATTGGGAAGGAGAAGTGTGGTCGGGCTTGCTGAGTGCTCGATAATGTATGTGAACCCATCCATTGGGCCGAACGACCACAACCACGACCACGGGCCGTCACCCGTCGCCCTTGTGATATACGCAGAAGGGCTTTATCGATCCAAACACCAAGTAAGAGCTGGTCAGGCTGCACGCTAACAGACCACGGATCATTGGCCCCCTTACGAGTTTCCTACACAGTACAGGCCCGTGTTGGGCGGGGTCTCGGCCGCCGCCACAAGACGCAAGACACAAAAGTGCACACACACCCCCGCCCTTGGGGGGGCCAACGGCCTCAACGCCGTCTCCTAGTCACTAGTCTCACTAGCCGAGTCCTTTGGCTGCAACGCTGCAAACCAAACGCACAAGTGTTAGGAACCCCATCTCAGCCTCACCAGCCTCGTGCACAGCCTCGAGCGCCACATCAGGCCCAGCGGGCGGGGGCCAAATCCCGCCTTTTTGCTTACCCCCTTCGCGGCCCACAATCGATTGTTCCAAGAGTAATCCCACCGCTGCCAACGTCACTCCACGAGGTAGTCATATGCACGTCTTTCGGGAATGAGAAACAGCTTTGGGGATTGGCCGCCACCAAGGCGGGAAAGGTATTATTCATGTTCACAACATTGACTTGACTTGAATACTATCTACCGTTCCAAAGTCCCTCCCCTGAGGCCCCCCTCCAAAAGTCAGCCTTGCCCCTCAGCAATTGTCGCATCGTTCGTCGACAAATGCCATAATGCCGCTGCCTGTTCGTGTCATGTGCATCATCTGTCCACAATTCAGCCCCCTCACTGTTGGAGGCATCAGAGTTTGGTCACCTCGAGTGAGATGACAGCCACAATAGATGAGTAATCTCAACCCAAAACAATTGCGCACTCCTTTTTTTTTGTGAATTGTTGATAGTTGCTTGCCGCAATGATGTAACGAGACAATCATGAAAGTGCAAAAACCCCGGCGGCGTTTTGTTCAAGGTGACAAAAACATGACAACCAACTTGACCCCAGTTGCCATACCAATCCTGCTGACGGCAGTGCTGGCGAGCCTGAGCCCGGCTGGACTGCTGCAAGTCGTGCTCCCCTTTCGTATCGGTTCATCGCTGGACCATCCAGTTGTGTGGTGCTTGTCGCTCACGGCGTGTTCTGGATTCCTTCCGCCCAACCATCTCGCGTGATGCAGGGTCATCCTCGCTGTGGTCGATGCCCTCATGTTGGTGTCATTGTTGATACATTCCATTAGATCCATAGTCCCATATCCAGTAAATTCAGAACTCCCCTAAAACGCCCGAGTCCTTCACCGCCGGGTGGTAAACCGCTGGCCAGGCGCAGCGACAATGACAACAGGTTGTCGCTCATACCGTTCCCGCCGTCTCCTCTCCTCTTCATCTCGGACATACAAGCTGCCCTTTCCTCCAGTGTAAGCGACCGACTGGGGCCTCTCTCGGTGCTCATACCGAGTTCGGTCAGCGGCACGGTCATCATGGTAGACGATCCTCTCCCGTCTGTCCCTCCGGCTGGAGTGAGGGATGATCTCAACCACATCGTAGTCGTCACAGACATAGCTGTTGCGGACATAGCGTCTTTCCCGCGGTCGGTCTTCGGCGGGGTGCTCTCTCCGTCTCGTGGACGAGGAAGGAGGAGACGACTTCTCAACAGCGTCGTGTCTCCTCGTGTTCTCGACGACGACAACCCTCGTCGAGTCCAGCTTCATCCCCTTGTCAAAGGCCTTGATGAGAAGGTTGATGACCTCACAGTCGGCGGGGACACGGACTTGAACCCGTTGGTCATTGGTTTTATCGATGAGGGAAAAGGGCTTTCCGCCTTTGGCGTAAAGATATTTAGCGACATCCTTTGCATACGCCAGGCCCTTGCTGCATAAGGGTCTGTCCTCTCGGTAGGCGGTGTAGGGGTCGCGACAGTATTGACAGTGGGCCGAGTGCCTGGCGAAATGCTCCATGACGGAGAGCTCGTCGTCGCGTGGCTCCCGACAGGAGACCACCTCGGTCGCAAAGCCGACGTTGCGGGTGCTCGCTCCTCTCGCCATCTTGTCGAGCGGAGTTGAGGGTGACTTAAGAATGGGCGACGGGGTGGGAGAGAAACTCAATGGAGGTGTCGACGGGGGTGTTTGGATGTGAGTGTGAGCCCTTTTCGGAGCACGAGTGACGGTGATGTACTCGTAGGCGGGAGTTAATATATCTGAAGCATGGGACCGCTTGGGGTAATAGTAGTAGGTGACTGAGCGTGGAGACGACAGCGTGACGACGTATGGGTGGGTGCAAGTGTGGTGTACCGGCAGCCTGGTCGACTGCGACGAGGTAGAGGGCAACGCGCCTGTGGAAGACTGGATGGGTGTTTGAGTAAGTCGAGTCAATGTGGAATGTGTTGATGGAAGGAGAGAATTTCAATGAGACCAAGAGTGGGAAGCATGAGGAGATATAGCCTCGAGGTGGGCGTGAGCCAATTGAGGTGAGGACACATTGGTGCAATGTCGAGCATATCGAAGGATGGCCTTTCGCAGGGACTTTGGTTGGAAGCCTGGTGACGCGTTAAACCCCAACAGGAAACAGGTGGAGCGGGAGGGGACCAAATCGCCAGGCTGCCGCCACGGCCAAGACAGGCATCAGATGGAGGGCAGCGCACCCCCGGCGTGACTCATGATAGGCCACAGGAGCCACAAGGCCAGGGAGCGCAGGGAGCGCAGGGAGCGCATCGGGCCAGGACCAGGAGGGCCAGGAGGGCCCGCCGGGGCTCTGCTTCAGTGCCCCCCGAGAACACCCTGGTTGACCCGAGGCCGACGTGGGCGAGAAACAGGCATGAACCATAGTTTTGGGGCCAAAGAGGAGGTTGACAGGATGGCGGGTGGAGTGATGATGAAAGAGGCATGTAGTACCTGAGAGAGAGGGAGGCACAGTGAAACAAACATGTTTGATAGAGGGTGTCCTCGTCGAGGCCACATCCCCCGTGGGCATGGGCGAGGCGGTGTTCCGTGGGTAAGTAAGTAAGAAAGAAGGTCGCTTAGTGACTTGGAAGGTTTGGTGGCCGGCTGCCTGCTTCGCCTCCCTCAACGGCTGGCGGGGAGTCGCCAGGCCTGACAAACCCGCCCGTCATTGGTGGTTATGGGCTTGCCGCTTGTCACACCGGTCAACACCCCTCCTCTGGTGTCTCTCTGGTGTCTCTCTGGTGTCTCTGTCGCTGCTGAGTGCTCCCAAGCGGCGGCACCTGGCACCTGCAGCATCTCATGCACGTTGCAGTCATCATCATCCTCCTCCCCCTTCTCCTCGCCCAGCCGCCGCCTGTGATGCTTGCGTGCAGCTCAATCGAATTACTCAAGCCCAGTCATAACCCAAGGTTCCATGCGTGGCCCAGACCCAGACAGTGCAGCACCCATGCCCCTCGTGTTCCGGGAAATTATCATCACCACCCCCTCACTGAGAAGGTATCATCATGATCATCCATTGACGCCGTCCTCCACGGTCAGGTGGTCGGTGATCAAGTGCGCCTTGCCAGAATGTGGCCGGCGACAAAGAAAGGAGATTGAGAAGAAAGTCGGACTCGGCACTGCCATAGACAACACGATCGCCATTCCCGAACCCCTCATTGTCACTGGTCCCCATTGGTGCTTGGCCTCAGCCCTTTGATCTAACGGCGTCACAGCCGGGGGAAACTGTCTTTTCCAACGCTCCTCTCCTCACTCGATCCTCACTCTACCTTCACTACCCTCACTACTCTCCTCCTCCACCACCCTCCACCACCCTCCACCAGCTTATTCCTCATCCGTGTCCCGTCCTCGTCCTAAACCTATTCTGTCTAGCAAGACAAAGTCCTCCAAAAGTCCCCCGGGCATATCCGGTGTTTCGGACTCGTGCTCAGCTCTGCATGGCACATGCATGAAGGATGCATTACGAGTACTCTCTGCTTCCCATCAGCAAATGCCCATTGATCAAGATTTGGACGTCGCTGATTGCATCATTGGCTAGATTCCTCCGTACCTGTGCATCCAACACAGTCACCCTCTATGCGAGTCACTACCATGTCGATGTACCGAGGATTCACGAACCAGATGCCTTTGCTCCTAATTGACTGTGGGTGGAAGTCAATATGTCCTGCGCTGGTACCAGCTGGTAGTCGATGAAGGGGCGATTGTCTACCAGTTGTCGAGATAACAACCAAGCCTCACTCCTGACATGTCAAAAGTTGCTTCTCTGTATCACTCCAAGATTGGTATCAGTGGCCCGTGGATCGTTGCCTTTCATTACGCGCATGGGTCAAACCCCCGGTGTTTGTGCAAGGACTGGTATACTGCTGATCAAGGCTCTCTTGCTGCCGTCCATCTTCTGGAAGAAGTACAGCGCATATCCCTTGTTAGGTCCAAGCTGGAAGCAGGACGCGTACACAGCCACCGTCAACTGCCAAGCACCCCTGCCTTCTCGGCACGTACTCAATTCTCTACACTCCTCCCCCTTCTGGCCCCCAGTGTTGGTTGCTGTTCTCTCCGTGAGCAGAGACTGAGCACAGTGCAGCACCAGTCTCTTCCCTCGACAAGGTGCGTCACGACCAGGTTTCCACTTGCCGGGACAAAAGTCGCGACACGGATCATGTCCTTGTGACACCTCTAACGGCCAGCTTCATCCTCACTTTCGCTTCTCTCTGTTCGGCTCCACCATCCGTCACCCGGGCGCCCGATTTCTTATGCCTTGACTATACTTTCCCCTTTCACTCTGGGACTCTTGTTTCTTCTAGAACGTACCTAGGTATGGTGTCAACCTAGGACTCCGTACGCAAACTTGACCTGTCGACCTGCATGAACACCGCAACGCCCTAATGTGCAACACCGCCCCGTTCTATCCACTCCGGTCAGGTCCCGTTTGTTCGTTTATCCTACAGGTATACTGGTTCCACTTCATCTCAGAGCCTCATACCTTCTGAAATACGAGTGGTTGCATACAACAAGCTGGGTGACTTTCCGTTGTTACCCGTCGAGGTTGTAACCTCACCTGGCGCCCTTTGGGTCTGCCCGTATTCAAGCTCGAACTATCCAGTTCAGCTCCCAGACCAAAATACCCTCCGCTTCATCCGGCTGTGACTGCCGGAGCAATCCTCGGACTTTCTTCTACGCTTCCGCTATATCCTCGTACTTGACGCCTCGAGTCGTTTACCAGCGGCATTGTCGGTCTTTCGCACATTGTATCCCCGTCACGGGTCCAAGATGCAGTCTCTCAAGGCTCTACACCGTCTTAGCACTAACATCGAAGATACCTCGTGTAAAGACAACCCTTTTCAATAGTCTACGCCACCCACGCCATCTCCCACCAGTCTGGCACCGGTCGGGAATCCTTGCTGGTCAAGAAAGCCTCACATCATACTTTACACCGAGTTTGTCACGGGTTGACGCTGCATGCACTTGTGAAACCTCGAGGTTTACGTTCAGTGTCCATGGAATGGGCAACCTTCGAAAGGCGTCCCTGCGACAAAAAAAAAAACACGAGGGTTACCTTTGAGGCTCGGAAGTTGCGTCCCCGGGTTCATGAGTAAGCGAACTTTCACTGAACGAGCTGGAAGAGAGACTTTTTGCTAGGTTTGTCGAATCTCATAACCAGCCCGTGTGTTGCCCTCCCCCCTGGGAAGTACAGGGGACGCCTTCTTGCTCGAGAAATGATGATGTATCCACTTGGCGAGGATTGCGAAGCTGCGGCTCAAGCGGGACTGACTCTGGTCTGGCGACCAGACTCTGAGGCTCAATCTTTGGTAAGTTGGCTGATCGCTGACAACTCGACCGGTCTGCCCAAGAGCCCGTACGGTTCCATCGGACCTCATCCAAGCTAGGCTACAGTGCAGCCACGGAGTTCCCCAGCTCCCCATTTGGACTACACACATGTCGCGTTGGAAGATGATCGTCTGTCAAGAACCGGTGAGGCCACGAGGCTGAAACCGTAGTCTGAGGCACGAAGCCTGTGGCGTCTTGCCACCAGAGATTCCAAGGTCATTCGCAAGACAACCCCAGGGTGCCATGGCAAAAGAATCGAGACTCGCTCGTGGCATCTCCCGGGGCCGCCTCCCTTCCGATGTCGCATGCTTGAAGTGGCGTGCTGATCAACACGTCGAAATGGCACAGAAGGATCTGGGCAGGGAACACGAGCACAGGTCGGTCGCAAAACAACTCGTTTGTCTTGCGCCTTGATGATGGCGAGGGACAGGCGGTCAGGGGGACGGAGGGACAGAGAGCACCAAGGAGACAAACGCCCGACGGAACTGCGCCGCGGTTTACTCTGTTTTTTTTTTTCTCGCATGCTTTTGGCGTGATTTTGCTCTTCATTTCCATACTCGAATATGGCCATCTCGCCTGGGGGCAGAGATCAGAGATCAGAGATCAATTCTACACCGCTAGTCTCCAGAGACAGAACGCCCATGAGCACCTGATGTGTTCCCTCATTTCCTTGGCCCGCCGTTCCTTGAAACATGTAGCAAACACTTGATTACACCCACCCATCCACGCGCACCCAAACACACCACGCGAGAGAAAAGGGCCACCCAGCAGACCACATCTGTTGCCTACAACCCGTTTGTTTGCCTGGTCTCCTTCCCCCTTTCTCCGTCTGCTTACTCTTGCATCCCAAGAAGAACGTCGTCATCGTCATCGTCATCGTCATCATCATCGTCATCATCATTCGCTGACGGCCACCACAATCTTGCCTCTCGCATGACCGGTCTTGAGCTTCTCAAACGCCCTGGGGGCGTCTTCCATGGGCACGACCTCGTCCACCACGGCCTTGACCTTGCCCTGGACCATCCACTGGGCGATCTGCGCCAGCTGCGCCGGGTCGCTCGACACCATCATCATGTGGAACTTGCGCTTCCCGCCGCCCAGGAAGCCGGGCCAGAGCGCCTTCAGGGCCAGCTGCAGCACCGCGCGCGCGGACATGCCGGCGCCGACCTGGACGTACTTGGCGCCCGGGGAGGTGTAGTGGTGGCACTGCCAGTAGAGGCTGTCGGCGGTGCCCACGTTGTCGACCACGAGGTCGAACTTTTGGTCGTCGTCGGCGTCCGGTGAGCCGGCCGTACCACCTGTAGCACCTGTAGCCGTAGCGGTAGGAGGCGTACCTGTCGAAGAGGCCATCTTCTTCAACGCGCCCAGGACGTCCTCCTTCGTGTAGTCCAGCACCTCGTCCGCGCCCAGGCTCCTGCACAGCTCGGCGTTCTTGCCCGAGCAGCTCGCTACGACGCGGCACCCGAGGGCCTTTGCGATCTGGATGCCCCAGACGCCCGTACCGCCGCTGCCCCCGTTGATGAACACGCGGGGCTGCCGTGCGCTGCCGCTGTCGGCTCTCTTGACGTTGGGCGCGATGGCCTGGTACGCCGTCAGGCCCGCGGTGCCGACGCACGCGGCGTCTCGCGCGGCGACGCCCTCGGGGACGACCGCCAGCCCGGCCCTGCGCGCGACGGTGTACTCAGCCAGCGCGCCGAAGCGGGTCGGCTGGTCCAGGCGCCCAAACACCATCTGGCCGACCTTGACCTGGACGCTATCCTCCTGCTCTGCGGACGGCGCACCACCACCACCACCACCACCATCAACCCCGACCGCCACGACGCGCCCGGCAAAGTCCAGCCCCGGCGAACTCGGCGTCCGGATCGCCAGCCGGCCCACCACGGGCAGCTCCGCGATCTTGTAGTCGACCGGGTTCAGCGCCGCCGCGACCACCTTGACCAGCACCCTGTCGCGGCCCAGCGCCTTGGCGTCGTGCGGCGGCAGCGCCGCCGTGCCGTTGAGCTTCAGGTTCTTCTCCAGCCCGCCGTGCGTGGACGTGAATTGCCACGCGCGCATCGTCGGGGGGAGCGCCGGGGCCGGAGGGGTGGAGGTCGTTGTTGTTGGTGGTGATCCCGGAGATGGTTGAGGAGGTGAAGACGCCATTTTTCTTCTTTCTTTCTTGATTTGTGTTCTTGCTGTTCTTTTTGGTCACTGTCCCTTTTCCTTATCGAGTTCGAGGACCAAGCGGTCAAATGTCGATGAGACCTCAATACTCTCTCAGGTCCCTGTCACGTCACCTACTTGTGGCGGGTCTAACAAAGGTATAGGGTGAGGCTGGAGAGGCGCAAGTTTCGTTTGGATTGCCTTGCTGGTGATCTCGTCACTTCATACCACCAAATTGGAGCTACAGGTACTTGTATATTGCTGTGCACTTACCGGAAGATCTTGATCAACCTGCAGTGTCCAAATACTTGTGTGCTTGTAGGAATTTGCATTGGCGGTCGGTGGTGTGATGATGGTGCGAGAACTGCTCGGCACTGCAATGTCCAACCATCAGGTGGTGGTTGACATCATCTCGCCTGACTGGCTGGCGCTGCTTCACTACCACCAGCGCCCTGTGCTTGTCCTTCTTGTTTCCAGGCCCAAGTCCTTGCACACCACGCTGGAAGTGATTCTATTACGTTGATACTGCTGATCTACTTTGATTCGAGGATAAATCCTGGTCCCGTAGCCCTCCCTCCGATGAAGCGAATCCTTGTAACACCATCGCTCCATGGCTACGATACAAATACACCTCCGCAGACAAAACAAGAATGTCCCAGTAATCTAGAGCCTTCACCTCTCGACTTAGGATCCATCGCCTTGGGCCGACGTGATGCTCGCATAATGGCTTTCACCCTGCACAAGGTTGATCCGAGCACGGCGACTGCGCCCAGGTATTGGCATCGTTGAGCGGCCATGCGCATGTCACATCAATCCCTGTAGAGAAATCCAGTGTCTCATGACTGGTTGGTCTTTGCGAGCAAGACTGCACACTCATTGATCCATTCATCCACTTCCGGTCTCTTCAAGTACGCCTCGGTGTACTCCATCAACTTTGGCATCTTCAGATAGTCACCTAGGTCGATATCATCGCTTCCTGTCGACGCATTGAATCGATAGTACGAAGTCTTCTTGGTAGGTGCTCGCTCGTTGCGCTGGCGCATGTTCCGATCAAAGTCACGATGCTTGGCTTCGGTATTGGTCACAAAGGCCACCGTCTTCGTGATGGTGTTGAAGAACCTCATTAGGCCAGATCCAGGTCGTTTGTTGTCGTCATACTCGGGGTGGGTGGTTCCTAAGCTCACAATACATTTGATTTGAGGAGATGGAGCATCGCGCAGGACAAGGTCAAATCGATTGTCCCACGCCTGTACGATAGGGTTGTTGTTTAGAAGCCCGCCGTCCCAGAAATTCAATCCCTGGATACTAGCCTCCTTGAGATAAGTCGGTGCGGCAGAAGTTGCACGCGCTGCCTCTTTGATGGTAACAGTATTGAAGTTGAGGGTGCTAGCCCCAGTGGAGACTGGAAGCGGCGCGAATGGAGGGTCATAGTTGCGCAGAAGAATGCTCTCTCCCCTGTCGGCTAGTGTAGCGCACATGAACCTTGCTCAACTTAGTTCCCAGCACGTTCCGGTGTGACGAGTCAGACAAAGGAACTTACATCTGGCCTTTGCTCGGTTTGACGAGCGCAGCATCTCCTTTTCTAACCCGGTCCTCATCGTCGAGAGGGAAATTCCCAACCACCGTATCAATCGCCTTCTCGAGCGGCTTGTGGGAGAATTGCGACCGTCCAGCAAGGGCCTTGAGCTTCAGCCAGATGTCTCCAATCCATTTCCCGAAAGACCCAAGGCTGTTGAGACGAATGGATCCCAGCATTGGGCTGAAGACCTCCTTGGCCAAGTCCTGGTATTGTGCAATCACATCGGTGCAGTTCATCTCGAGGCGGAATAACATAAGGGCGATGAGTCCGCCGGTACTCGTTCCTGCGGCAAGGTCGAAATAATCGACGGGTTTTCTTTCGCCTGGGTCGGTTGGTTTGCCTTTCAGGAGGTTGGCCTCATTCTCAACGTCGCGGATCCGGTTCATCTAGATGCCAGATCGAGTCAGTGTTCTTGTTCCGAGAATAGGTTCCCAAAACAGCGCCGTAGGCATCTGCCTGTGGACTTGAAATGAACAATATAACGAGACTGACTTACAATTCCCTGGAGAATCATCGTTGATGAAATTCCCTTCACACCGCCGCCGTCCAGGGCCAAGATGTTGTAAGCCTCGGTCGATCCGGACTTTGGGGGAGGAATCTTTGAAGGGTCACCGGTGAATGACATGCTGGCTGAATTTTGATGAGGTTGTTTTAACTTGATACTGATGCGTGGGCGTGTGACAGAAGTCTGTCTCTCGACAAGAGGCTCGCGGGGTCGACGACTGAGCTTATATAGGCGAGCTGACCCGATGAGTTCAGGAGGAAAAAAATTAAAATCAGGCTGAGTCCTTCAAGTGAACAATTTGTTGCCTGGAAGGACGGTGGTCCAAGCACCATTCACCAGTCGGAAGTGGTGCACAGGCTGTTGCTCATGGCAGAGGATTTTGGCACGCCCAGGAAAAACCATACGAGAATGATGGTGGCAAGTGAACACTTGGAGGAGAAATGTGTGCCAGGGCTGGGGATGATGGTGCCTAGGACTGTCTGAAGATGCCATTCTACCTGCAAGATGAAGAGTGTGATTGGGACGAGGCCAGAACAGAGGGTGGGTGGCCACTTCCATTCCGGTCGCAAGGTGTGTGGTTTCTCGTAACAGTGCCACCACGTCCCAACAGACAACCAAAAGTCTGGGGAGGAGCGACGTCGCTGCCTGGTGGCCTCGTCACATTTTTCAGCTCTCAGCCTCACGCACCTCGTGTATGCACAGAAAGGCGTTCTAGACAGCCAGGGCCAGGAGCGCCATAGGATAGATCAATGGGAAGATTTCCTGTCACGAGGACGCGCTTGTCTTCTAGATTTTCCCCCTACACAGGACAGGGCTACGTCTTGGATGCGAGAAGGAGGTTGCCCTGTCGGCGTAACTGACCCTCGTCAGACATCCTGTACATTTCACCTGAGTTCACGTGAAGTCATATGCTGTACACTACGATCTTGTAGTTGGTCTGGGGTTATTCTATGCCTAAGCCACGTCGCTGTCGTTATTCCGCACACAATATATTGCAATTCTATCCCACTTGTGTTCCAAGGGTTCAAAGCCTGTTGGTCCACCTCAAGCATATATGCGACCGTCGGTGGGCGCCGTAACCCTACGATTCGAGAGAGAACAGTGACCGGTTTCGCTGCCACTGTCATAACTGACCTCACCCCACATCAATGCCCTCTGGGCGGCATCTTTGTCGCCGTTGCCGTTATGACAGGCAGCACTTATAGCCCACGAGTTAGTACCCACAACTGGCATACCAGGCGGAAGTGGCGTGCATGCAAATCCAACGAGCACCAGAAGCATGATGATAAGGACGACAGCCACTAGCAGAATGGCCAAAGTGCTGAAGCCACAAGCCGAAATATTTCTATCGGGCTGAGGGTGGCCGGTCCAGTCGAGAACTTCTATCTCTACCTGGAACAGACTCCGAGACGTCAACCAGTGCAATGCCACGGAGAGCAAGAGCGAAGGCAAGCTGATCTTCCAGGGCAAAGAGAGCCAATAAGTCGACCGCTGGTCACCAGAGGGGATACTGACGCGTAACGTCGTCGGCTGCTTGTAGAACTTGCTAAACTCCAACGCACACATCATGCGCGTGAGGAGCCCGTTGTACATGAAGTAGAGCATGGACAAGAACAGCTGTGGTGCGTTGACCATGAGAATCGTTCGCAAGGTCGCAGCTGAATTGCTCACACCGAAGACCTTGGGCGTAAACGTCGAGTTAGGATCGACCGAGTCGAATCCCTGCGTGAAAAGCTTCGATACACCAAGGCGCTTCAAGTGCACAAGACTAAAGCTGAGGACAAGAAGCGTGACAATGACTAGCAGGGCGAAGATACCGCCAAAAATCCCCCACCGTGTTGGTGAGGCGGCCGCAGCTTGCCACTTTCTCATCTGCCCCTCAAATGCCAAAGGTTGTGGACCAAACACCCTTGGACACTCCGAAGCTCGTTGTTCGCGGGGTATTTTCTCAAAGCAGTCTTCATCATATATCCAATTTAGGACGGGCCCTTGAAGGGACCGGACATGCTTCTGGTCGACCAAACACCTTGCCGCACTTGTCTCATCAGGATAGACGAGGAAAGATTCGATGGCATCGCCCAGGGTAGCAAGTTCCATGTCCTGTCGAGATGTACAGTGTCTTGGGCAGACGAGCAAGACGTAGACGATACAACAGACTTTGACAAAATCGCAGCCCATCACAACAGAGAGGAAGATGACGTTGTAGTGGACCTTGCAATCTTGGTTTTGTTTCGTGTCGATAAGGCAGTAATCGACTTCCACTGAACTTGGGGTCACCCTCCATTGGTCCGGATCTTTCAGCGCAGTGGCAGCATCGCAGTTTTTGAACGCAGTATATCGACCAGTGTCGCAGAGCCAGGCTCCAGGGTCCCATCGATTTGGGCTCTCCACCCTGCTATCCGCAGTGTTGAAATGTGTGTACTGGGTAGTGGTCAAGTAGCCGTAATCCAAAGAACTCCATAATCCTAGAAGTGTGCTCGCATTCCATAATGTGTCCGTGGGCTCCAGGAGAAGGCTGTGTTGGAGCGGGCTGGAGATGTGGTGGAGACAAGTGGCATTGCATATGGAGAATGTGTTTGGGTCTGTTGCTGGTTTCGTGAACAGGCTCCAGCGCTTCTGCTCAGTAGTATTCTTTGCCACCAACAGCACGTTAGACGCCGCGGTCTCAATGGCACCGGAGTAATGTTGTATACATTCCCTGGGCTGTTTTCGGCTTAAACCCGAATTGCTCCTTTTCGCAGCATGATACATGCTGCAGGCAAAATTTGCGGTGATGCTCAAGGTGTCGGAAGAGCACAAACTCCATGCCGAGTCATCCAGGAAGTCCGAGCTCACTAGCATCACCCCGTAATTGTTGGACTGTAAAGAGGCAAATACCACAGAGTTCAGCAGCAAATGTATGGGGATCGATGAAAAGAGCAACATCGACCACATGAAGAACTTTGTGAGGCCGAGGAACCGAAAGTTGTTGACTGATGGTGCGCCAATGTTTAGGTATCGGCCGTTGGCGTGTGCTTTATCAACTTCTCGGCGGCTAGGTGCGTTCAGAAATTGCATGACATAGTTGCTTGTCCCGAGCAGAGTGGTGCCGATGATGTTGAGCGACGTCACCATTGCTAGAGTGATCGATTTGGCCTTTTGACAATCACCGGCAAAGATGACACTGTGACCAAGAACACTTCGGTCAAGTTTGAGGAAAACAGTCAATAGTACAGCCTCAAGCACCAGACAAGTCAACGCCCCGGCCAAACATAGGCGAGCGCCTTTTTGCCATCCGGCGGTCTTGACAGAGTCGAAGTCATTCTTTTGATGAACATTGTTGTAGCCTTGCGCTGGGCCAGACCGCAAAACGTACCGCTTTGCTCTCCGAACAAAGTTGGCGACGGAAAGCCTAAGGCTCCCAGATTTATCGTATCCTCCGATTGCGTGGCGTTCTGAAGAATTCATAACAATTCTTTGCGAATGTCGCAAATAAAGCGGATCAAGATTCAAGAATGGTGATCCTGACTTCAACTGGAGGTGAATATGAGGTCCAAACAGAAACGAGCCTGGCTCTCGGCCAAGCAGGGAAGGGACGCAAAGATGGATTTTAACCTGCTGGGGTTTTTGTCTGTGGAGGAGCCATTCGAGTGTGCGTAGAGAAGAACGACTTGACTGTCAAGCGAGGATCGGGTTCGTACATCTCGTAGATTTAATGGTGCCGAGGCCAATGCATCTTAACCTAGTCCCCTAAATTCAAGGCCATCTTCAAGGTGGCTTAGGCCAATAGTCTTGACAGGCATCGCCCCCTGCATCGAGAACAGGGCTGGTGAGGAATTTGGGAAAGTGTCCAAAGCATGGCGCAATGATTGAGCTCCAACGACGTTAGCCCCCTGGAATAGCGCAGAGCCGCACCCTGGCCACAAATCGTCGATTGGCTTCGCAGCAAGCCAGCGGCACCCCAGGACCATCGCACGGCACTTGTCCAGGCGATGTACTCTCAGCCTCATCTGCACAGATTGTGGAAACGTCTCCCTAGATTGGTGGAATGAGTGCGAGTTCAGGTGAGACCAAAAGGTAGCGCGGCAATGCAACTGCCATCCTAGCATTTTCTGTCAGCGCAACAGCACCAGGGGATTAATAACCAGAGTAACGATTGTTCATTGAAGGCCGGACATACTGTGTAGACAGTTGGCGTCGCACCAAGAACCAGGATCCATCAAGGATCACCGGGGTTCCGCGAGCCGAAGCCGAATACAAAGCGAAGTCTGTTCTCGCCAACGGGGTGAGTCGACGTCGCTGTGCTCCTTACCGAGTATATTGCTCTTGGTAGAGCCTGAGTGGCTTCTAAGGCGCCTGGACCAGGCACACTGAGAGAGTACAGACGCAGAAGGAAACTTTAGGCAAGCAACCGACTAGGGTCATTGAGGCTTAGCTGAGACAAACGTCTTGGTGAAAGGAGGGGGCCAGCCGACAGGTGGGGGGCCATATATGTATCCAGGGTGCATCTGCGTGATACTCAAGCGTCAATGAACCGCTCCTTACGAAACAGGTGAGAACTTGGAGGGTTTCTCAGCGGCCTTCCAGAAATGCTCCATCCATTCGTCCCTGGAGCAGTGCCTCAACATCGATCCGACCACCGGCAAGATATCTCTCGCTGACCCCCAGGTTAATCCTCTTCTTCAGCAATGCGTCCAACTCAGATCGCCATTGAGAAAGCTGGTCTTTGCTAATTGCAGCGTGGTCCTTTTCTTTCTTTGCTCTTCCACCGCCTCTCCCCCTTTTGCCTCTCTGGCCCTGACTTTCGAACTCTTCGCTGTCATAGTCCACCCCCAACTCTTCCGCGGCAGATCGCAGCCAATCTTCTTTACTGGATGTTTTCTCCTTGGCCTGGGTTGCTTCGGTGATCTTCTGAGCGAGCGACACATGCGGATCCAGGCTTTGCATGAGTCGCCCTTCTAACTGAACTGTTTCTGGAGCCTCACCACCCTTGTGCACTTCGGCAATCAGTCTTCGTACGCCAGCCACCTCGTCGGGCGAGCAAAGCAAAATCGACTGCCCTGACGTCTCTGCACGAGCAGTCCTTCCGGAACGGTGGACATACATGTCTGCAGTACGGGGTACATGGTAATGAATAATGAGTTCGATTCCCTTAATGTCAAGTCCTCGAGCGGCAACATCTGTGGCTACCAGGACGTTGCTCTGTGCGGCAAATCTTTCCAAGGATCGTAGTCGTGACTTCTGCGGCATCGTCGAATGTAAGCCGACTGCAGGTTGCTTCAGAGTCTGAAGCAATGCGGTAACTCGCTTAACGGCGGAAATGCTGTTCGTGAAAACCAACGTCTTTTTGGTTGGATGCTGCATTAGCAGGGTATAGAGAAACAGATCCTTCTTCATTGCAGGACATTCCACGATTGATTCGGCGAGCGCAGCAGCCATCTGCGAACTGGGATTCACATCAACGAAGGTTGGCTTCTGTTCGCGGAATGAGAGCTTCCGCAGGAGATACTCCATCGACTGTTGGTTGGTGAGGAGGTTGTTATTCATCGGATCCGCTGACTTGAGCTTGCCTGTGAGTTTTTGATGCAAGCCCTTATGGAAAGTAGCTGAGAATACAAGGGTTTGCCTTGCCGAATTTGGCGACTCCTGTGCTGTGTTCTGCTCTTCGTCCTCGTCCACAATCTGCCGGTCAAGGGCATCAAGAATATTTTCGACTTCTTTGAAGTGGCCTTCGCTCAACAATCGATCAGCTTCATCCACAACTAAGAATTGAATCCTCTTCAAGCGGTCCACCAACCCATCAACATTGTAGTCGGTCGAAGCATCATTCATGACCTCCCACAATCGCCCCGGAGTCGCTACCACAATATCGGCATATTCCAGTTGCCGGTGTTGCTTATAGATGGAGAGTCCTCCCGTGACAGCGACGATCTTGGGATGGTCTTCTAGGCCTATACACAGCTGGTTAAGGTGCCTGTTGAGCTGTAATGCGAGTTCTCTGGTTGGGGCGAGAATGAGAGCGAGGATAGAGTCCTTGCTCTTCGTGGAAGCAGATGCCGCGTTCTCGCTCGAAAGCCAATGCTCGAAAATCGGAATGCCAAATGCCAAAGTCTTCCCGGAACCAGTAACAGCCTTGCCAATCACATCGTGTCCTTGTATGATGGGTGGAATGCTGGCCGACTGTATAGGCGTAGGCCTAGCAAAGCCGAGTCGGGAGAGCTGCGAAAGACTTGTCGGAGATAGCTCAAGACTCTTCCATGCTGACACGTCAGTCTTGGGATCTGCCAGGCTCTCTAGCAGAACATCGAACTTGACATTGGGCACAACTTCGTCTTCTTGCGTGGGCTTGCTCTTTAGTTTCCGCTTGTCAAGGTCTTTAGGCTTTTTAGAAGATTGCGCAGCATCCTTGGAAGAGTCTGGCGACGTGGTCGGCTTTGCTCTTTCTTCCTCAACTTCTCCCCTTTCGTCGTCGAAACCCTCCCATTCTTCGTCGAGCTGTTTATGGCTGACGGCGTCATCCACAGCTGCTACAGATTTTGGTCGAAACATCACATGGTGAGTGGTTTCGTCTCGGACAACGTCGACATCCTCGATCTCTTCGAGTCCGAAGAACCCTTCGGCGTCCTCCAGTCGCTTCGGTAGTGGGACTGTTTTCCATTTCAACGCATCACCACGAATCGCCGGCCCCTGGTACACTTGACCCTTGGTCGACTGCGACACCTTCCGCCTCTTTGCGCCATGCTGGACATGCTGAGACGCCGATGGATCTTTTCTCTTTGCTGCCTTGGACATTGGGCTCCGCTGATCCGGGTTGGTCGAGGTCTGGGGAAGAATGGAGAATTCAAGTGTCAGTGAAAAAAAGTTTGGATCGGAGAATTAGGTTTTGCCTGACGACACATATTGCCACGTGCAGACTAGTCGGCACACGCAGGCAACTACCACAATCGCCCGTCAGACAGAAATATTCCCTTTGTGCGATGCCTTGGCGTGACCGATTTTACCCGAAGCATCGAACCAGCATGCAAGACTTTTCAAACATCCGTTTTTATTGTCGCCGCTGGGACAGGTACATTCAACTATCCTCGCAATACCCGTCGAACATCCACTGTAAACAAACGCTCTCAGAATGGCTCACGATACGTGGCAGAGCCCGCTGGCGGCTCGCTACGCCAGCAAAGAAATGCTCACCTTATTCTCACCTCGAACTCGAGCTACAACCTGGCGCCAACTCTGGATCTGGCTTGCTGAAGCGGAGAAGGAGTTGGGGCTCGATATCCCGGACGAGGCCATTACGCAGATGGAGGCGGCTAAAGTCATGACGGACGATGATTTCCAGGTTGCGGCTATAGAGGAAAAGCGACGACGGCACGACGTTATGGCCCATGTTCACGCCTTTGGCCAGCGGGCACCTGCAGCCGCTGGCAAGATACACCTGGGCGCCACTTCCTGCTACGTGACGGACAATGCCGACTTGATATTTTTGAGGGACGGACTGTCAATCCTATTGCCGAAAGTCGCCAAGTGCATCAAGAAGTTGTCAGATTTTGCACTGCAATACAAGGCCATGCCTTGCCTGGGATTTACCCATGGACAGCCCGCTCAGCCCATTACTGTTGGTCGTCGGGCTACGCAATGGATTGAGTCGCTACTCATGGATTTGAGGAACTTCGAACGTGCTCGTGCAGACCTCGTCTTCCGTGGCGTCAAAGGCACCACTGGGACCCAAGCCTCTTTCCTGGAGCTATTCCATGGCGACCACGCAAAAGTCAAGCAGCTCGACCAACTGGTCACCAAGAAAGCCGGTTTCAGTAAACGCTCTATTGTGTCGGTGCAGACCTATAACCGCAAGATTGATTTTGACATCGCCAACGTGTTGGCTTCATTCGGTACCACCTGTGAGCACATTGGTACCGACCTGCGGCATTTGGCTATGTTGAAAGAAGTCGAAGAACCTTTTGAGAAGGACCAAATTGGCTCATCAGCCATGGCTTACAAACGCAACCCCATGCGCTCGGAACGTATGTGTTCTCTGGCTCGGAAGCTGGTTTCGCTCGCCTCCGGATTCGGGCAAACGTACGCCCACCAATGGTTTGAAAGATCGCTGGACGACTCTGCAATCCGACGTATTGATATTCCCGAGATGTTTCTAATCGCCGACGCATTATGCATTCTGCTCGAAAACGTGTCTTCGGGTCTGGTCGTGTATCCACAAGTCATCAGCGCCCGCCTGCAGCAAGAGCTTCCCTTTATGGCCACCGAGACAATGATTATGCGTATGGCTGAAAAGGGCGCCAGCCGTCAAGAAACTCACGAGCATATCCGAGTGTTGTCTCATCAAGCCGCTGCGGTGGTCAAATTGGAAGGCCAAGCGAACGATCTTGTTGACCGTATCAAGAAGGAGAAGTTTTTCGAGCCTATCTGGAGCGAGTTGACGCCAGAGGACTTGCTTAACCCATCGAAGTTCGTTGGCAGGTCGGCGGAACAGGTTGATGAATTCGTGGAAGAAGCGGTGGATCCAGCTTTGGAGCCTTACAAGGACCAGATTTTGAGCAGTGGGGCTGCAGAAATCAATGTTTAAGTCTTCGAGAGGGATGAGTTTAGTAAAATGCCGTTACATGGCTTTGTTCCTGGAGAGCTCCCCTGTCAAGATGCGGCCCACATGACGGTCGACACTTCCGGTTGTTTGAGGACATAAGTTGGTAACAATCGTGATACCCAACAGTTCTGTGACGGAATGATTCCAGAGCGTGGTCTCTGTCCGAGTTCGGGGGATGGATTTCATCAAGTCATTTCTTGTATCATTTGCCACAGCCTCCGCTGCTTCTCCATCATCTGGTCGCGAGACGCCTCGGTCGTGGAAGATTCCTCCTGAGTGGCGTCTGGAGCACCCGATATCCTAATCTTGCCCACATCTGCTAAAAATTCGTCGATTCTCTGCTTCACTTTGTCGCACTCGTCAATCTCTCTCTGTCCGTCTTCCAGGATGCCTTCCAGCATTTCCTTGACGCTCTCTCGTGCCTGATGAGGCCGGTAAATGTTAATTACCACGTGGATGTTCAACAAAAGCTGCCGTATGTCTTCCATCTTTTCTTCGTGCTTTGTTGGGTCAAGGGACAAGACACTCGTGAGTTCGAGGAAGTTCAGCAGCAGGGATTTCGTGAGGCGACTGAGCAGGACAGCGTGATTGAGATTTGGGTCGTCTGGATTGAAGAGAAGTTGTTCAGTAGGCAAGGATGAGGGCTTGGTCGGATCGGTGACCTGTTTCTGGCCAAAGGCCGTGTAGTACTCTGCTGAAGCCGGTGGAGGAGGGGGAGGTCGCAGGTATGCCAGGTGAAGGGACAGCTTTGGCTTCGGTTGGTCGTCCGTGGAAGACGATTCGATCTTTCTCAGCTCCTCCTCGTTGGCGACTGTGAAATACCTCCAGAATGGTGGAGGTGCTGGGAAAGGTGCCTCCGGCAATTGTTGTGCTTGTTCTTGTTCTGCCATGATAATCGAGGTGCGTGGTGCAAGAAAGAAAGAGTTGATGAGGCAGAGCCGCGAAGAGAAGATCAACCGTGGTTTGTGACTGGCCAATGAGGGCGGCCAATTTGCGGGGATCGCGTACTGCGCTAGTGTCCCTGCATCTTCCAACTCCAGTCGTTCTCCTGTCGGATTCTTGACCTCGTGCCTCTTTCCTCCCTATCTCACTTTCATCCAAATTTGCATCGACATGGCCTGTCGCTAATTCTCGGACAACCTGTTACTCAAACCATCATGAGGCAGGGAAATATCGATGCACCTGGGGTGGTAGCAGCCATTCGGCGCTTCTGGCAACGGTCATATGCGTCTGACTATGTTGGATTTGCCCTACTCTTGACAGGATATGCTTTGGTGAGTATCGGCCTTCCGATCAAATATCTCCTGCTTAGACATCTAGGCGCAAGTCTTTTTCGAACCAGTCCATCAACTGTTCCGCCTAGACAACCGAGCGAAACAGTATCCCCACGCTCTCGTCGAACGGGTTTCTCCCGGAGAAAACATCTTGCTTGCTGGAGTTGGTCCGCTGGTCCTTCTCGTTATCTGGGCCGTTGTCATGCGCCCAGGACTCCATCATGCCCACGTTACAATCCTCGGACTTCTCATTAGTCTCTTCTTAACCGCACTGCTGACGGATATCATCAAGAACGCCATCGGCCGGCCACGTCCAGATCTGATTGCTCGCTGTAAGCCAGAGGCTGGAACACCTGAGCATGAGCTTGTCACAGTTGCGGTGTGCACCGAAACCAATCCGCATACTCTCCACGACGGGTGGCGGAGTTTTCCAAGCGGCCACAGCAGCTGGGCGTTCGCAGGACTTGGATACTTGGCTTTGTTCCTGGCGGGCCAGCTGCATGTCTTTCGACCGCATGCAGATCTCGCCAGAATTCTGGTTTTTCTGGCTCCGTTGACTGGGGCTGCACTGGTCGCAATGTCGCGATTGGCCGATTACAGACACGATATCTATGATGTTACTTGCGGCAGTCTCCTGGGCATAGCAGTGGCCTATCTTACATATCGGCGATACTTTCGTCCTTTGCGACATCCCAAATGTGACGAGCCCTATCCGAACAGAGCAGATTATGCCATGGCAAGAGCGGCAAGAGCAGCCAAAGCTAGTCCCAGAGATTTGGAACAGCAATTGGCCGACGAGTTTTCGTTGAGTGACCAGTCTGAGGATGAGTCCCAAGCATATCTTTTGACAGAGTCCACACCTGGTAGGACAAGGGACCATGCTGGTACGGCGGAGCCACCATAGTATGGTGCTTGTGAAGAATTACATATTGTCATCTGCAGCTAATCCAAATTGCTCTGTGTCATGTCGGGTTCATAAATCGTAGCTGATCTTTCTTCCGTTGCCGCCAAGACAAGCCAGCTCACTTAACGCGCAGCTTGCTGCCGAGTATCTTTTGCCTGTCTGCAGTCTCGCTATCGAGTCCCCCGTTTCCTTATCGCTCTTCCGCCTTGCCCCTTCCCAATGTTTCCTGCCCAAAGTCTGTATGCTTTCTGCTGCTCCCAGGTGCTTTTGAAGGCCCTCTTCATTGGATGGTGCACGGGATGATGCAACATTCACATTCGAAGTCGCCACAGTCGCAGGGAATGCACGGTTTCGTGGGTCCTTTGACACCTTTCTTGATGCTGGAGGTTGAGGAGGTGGATGGAGGCATTATGGCGGCGCAGGAATGGGCTTGAGCTGGGTAAATGTCAACTAGGAAGGTTAAGCGACACGAGATGCATACCTGTAGTTGATTTGAGACGTCTGAAAAGGAGAACTAGGTTGCGAGGTTCGAAAACAGTTGGGAATAGTTTGAGGCTCGTGGTGGTTGTGAAAGTGATGCGAGTTGAACGGCGAAAGATGAACTTGAGCTGAGTTGAGTTGATGTGACGTCTTGAGCCTTCTTATGGGGGCATGAGCGAGTCTCCCCAATTAGCTAGGTACTGAACCAGTGCATTCAAGCCTGAAACACGCAAGACTGGGCTGTGCTAAGCCAAGCTGCGGGTACCTGGACGCGCACCCATTGGGCTTAGCGATGCCTAAATTGCTCCAGATTATCGAAACACCTGGTTTGGTCTGCCCGCAAACAAAACCTGCTTTCAATCTTCAATCATGTCTTTCGACAGCACAGCCACTCTCCACACACTCTGACCTGACGTTAAAGTACGAATGACTCTCAAAATGATCCCTTCAGCAGCTGCGGCCGCCAAGTTTACTAACCCAGTGCGGCTCTCGATAGAGACAGGTTCAAAACAGCGGCGCCCGTGCTCTCTTCCAGGAGAACCAGCGACAAGCAATTTGTTCCTTTCGCTCTGCAGCCCTTGCAAACGACCTTTACAGGATACCAACCGCACAGGGCAGCATACCCCCCCCCCCCCCCGAGGTCTGTGCTCATACTTGTGGATTGGGCTGCTCAGCCAACAGGTCCTACGATTCAACGGTATGCAAGTCCCCTTGTGACTTCGACTGAACAACACTATTGTGTGTCTGATCGAACCGCTTCTTTCGTTCATCCGACAAAACAGGCTCGAAATCTCAATTCCATGGGAACGATGCACCTTTCACTTCGCCTAGGTTTTCTGGCTGCCATTGCTTCGTGCACCACAACATGCCTCCCCAGCCCAAGGGTCGCAATACCCGAAAAGACCACGATTCCAGACGCTTCTCCTACACAAACTACTTTCAATGGCCCGTGGATGCCATCAAACCGTAACTATGGGCTGTTCGACCGCCCATTGCCTCCTCCGCTTTTCGATGGCAATGTCCTTCAGATGGTGCTTTGAAAATGCAGGGAGTAGATTCTTAGAGCAGTGGCCACAGCACCTGAAACCCAGAGTACATCGATTCGCTGTCTCGGGGAGCTCTTGCAGCACTTTCTGGAAGGCACAGGCCAGAGTCCTCTGGCAGGTTAACAGGAATAGTTGGCAGGCCGCTGAGCCTATGTCAAACCCGGTTCTCCACTTGTCAAACTGCATGGTTATGCTGCTCGGCGTGCTACGGAGTCTCCAGTTTGCATCATAAAACCGCGGTGACCGCCATTCGTCCGTGGCCCTAGATGTCGTTTTCATTGAGAATGCTGCCTATACAGGCTGTTCTCGCGTTCGACAGTTAATGCGAGGCAGGCAGAACAGCGACTTCAAGGTGGTCCTGCAGCATAAGCCTCGCAATCACGACCTACCACGCATCAGATTTCGACCATCAAGCACGACTCCAGCTCAGCCTTGTCCATTATCCATGATGGGCGCGCAAGTTGAGCAGCATGATTTTCACATGCTTCGACCTTGCTGGAGGAGCCACCAATGACATATTCCAGTGGGTCTGGCCCCCAGAACAGAGAAAGAAATGCACCCTACCTTGAACGGTACCTGCATAATGACGTCCGCAGTTGTAATATCTTCTCATTTCTGCAGAGTAGGATTCGAATTATTATTTCGAGCAGCCGACTCTCATCTTGTTGTCGGCCTGGTCCCATCCCTGTGACAAGCTACAAGACATGGCCTTCAGTCCTTTTTTCTGGCTCTACACCATTCTCCAATGGGTCCTCGACAAGATATTTTCACCCTACCCACCACCTCCTAACGCACACCTTCGACGTCCTAAAATTGCGGTAATTGGTGCCGGACTCACCGGTGTCTCCGCGGCAGCTCACTGCGTTGGCCATGGCTTCGAGGTAACTATTTTTGAAGCCGAAGATGAAAAGCACGTCGGCGGGATATGGACACACGTGAACACGACATCTGGTCTCCAAATTCACAGTGTCATGTATCGATTCCACCCTTCTGTTCAATGGACTGGAGGATACCCGCAGCAACACCAGATCGTCGATCAAGTTCAGCAATTGTGGCACAGGTACGAACTCGACCAGAGAACCATCTTTAATACAAAGGTCGAGAAAGTCTACAAGGACAAGCAAGGCAGGTGGATCATCAACAATCCCTCGAACGGCCGGTTTGATGGGATCATACCGGCTATTGGGACCTGCGGGGCTCCAAAGATGGCTCACTTACCTGGCCAAGAGACCTTCAAGGGAGACATTTTCCATTCTTCGGCCTTGGACGGCAAAGATGCGCACGGGAAGAGGATCCTCATTGTTGGAGGCGGCGCAAGTGCGGTCGAAGCATTGGAGTGGGCGGTTAACACAGGAGCTGCAGAAATCAAGGTGCTGGCAAGATCTGACAAGTGGATTATTCCACGAAACGCACTTGTGGATGCACTCCTTGCCTTCAACATTTTTGGTCAAGAAACTCTGCTCTCATGGATCCCCGAGAACCTCCTGCGCATATTCTTCTACCGCGACCTCAGAGACGTAGCGCCGGCAGATCAAGGCCTGTTCACTGAGACTCCCATGGTCAATTCGGAGATCTTCAAGCAAATACGGGCCGGCAAAGCAGCTTGGGTACGAGGGGACATTGAAGAGGTCCGTGAGAACGGCATCTTCTTCAATCAACGGGCAAAGGGTGTACCTAAAGGAGGACCCGGACGGCATAAGCTGGTCGAGGGAGATATGATCATCATGGCGACAGGTTACAAACGTCCAAGCCTTGACTTTTTGCCCGACGAGGTCTTCGCTGACGGCTACCAACCTCCACGATGGTTTATACAATGCTTTCCTCCGGCTGCGCCTTCAATTTGTGCGATCAATTCGACCTATGTATCTGCTATTGGGTAAGTGAGGTATGGCCTATTGGGGTGGCGATGACAGCTAACTCATCATCCCAGAACTGTTGGCAATTATCACATTGGGATCTACACGCGAATGCTCCTGATGTTCCTCGTTGATCCTTTGACGACTCCTCGGACTTGGTGGATGAAGCGATGGGTGGACTTTACCAGTACGATCAAGTCGTTGGCTCCGACGAAAGCATTCGACTTCTTCACTTACTCGGAGCTGCTCTACTGGTTCTGCTTCATCACGCTGATCAACCCGTTTCGATGGAAGTGGGCGCTTTTTGTGTTCTTCGGCATTGGGAAAAACTTGCCCGCCAGCATTGTGGAGCAAGAAGACAAGCTGAGGAACGGACTGGGATTCAGCAAAGATAACCATTATGATTAGTCCCTAGATAGTTACGTAGTTCGACAGCTTAAAGCGAATCTGCGCGCGTACTGCGTACCCGAAAGACTTGAAGGTGTTCTACTATAGTGCTCATCTGCGGGAGAACTTTCTCACATCTTCTATCCTCTGAAAAGCGCGGTCCTAGGTTAGGACGGAGCAGCAATAATGGTGGGCTCCAAATGGAGGTTTCAAATGAAGTAACCCGTCACCGCCAGTGGATAGAGTACTACTAGCACTGAGCAGAGGCGGTTGAGCCGCATGGCGAAGAATGACGTCAGGTCTTGTCGGAACTCCAACCGACTCGGAGCGTTGCTAAACTTCACATGTTCATTCTTGAATCATATATGATCATGCATGATACAGCAAGAAACCCGCGGAATCTCGAGCCTAAAATCCTTGAGCTTTTCGTCCACCACAATCAAGCGTCCTCGATCTCAATCAAGCCAAGAGTCTCTTTACTCTCCTGCCAATCTGATCTCCTCCCGGTGAACCATAGTGGCACCAATTTCACCTAGTACAAAACGACAATACCGAGACGTTCAGCTGCCACAAAAGCCTCCTTTTCTGCCTTTCCAATCCTCAAATTGTACTACTAGCCAAAGCCGTCGTCTATCATGGATGATCCGGGTATGGTAGTCTGATTACCGGCCACTTCACTCCTCAAGGCTATCAAGCTCTGGCTAACCAAATGTTCGTGAGTGCAGTGGCCGATATCCCTCAGATCATCGAGACACTTTGTACAGCTCCACCAGCTATCCAGAGGGCGGCAATTGAAGCCTACTTCACACCGACTGCATCCTTCACGCATCCGTTTTGTCGGACAGGGAGCTTTCCTGGCTCAATATGGCTCATCATCATGATTTACCGCTGGTACAAAATCCTCAGTCCTCATATTGATGTTGCAGTTGACGGAGTTGGTACGTAATGCACCACAGTAGGAATGCGTCAAAGTATTAACGAGGAGCAGCATTCGACGAAAGAAACCTGCGCCTCTACGTCTCCATTCACCAGAACTTCAAGCTCTGGGTGGTCCCCTTCTACAATGCTCCTGTCAAACTCGTCACTGTCCTCCAGTTGACCACCGACCCGACCCCCATGCCTCCTGAACCCCAAGAGACTCTTCAGCTCATGACCACCACTGAACTCGACAATCGGAAGGTCAGCGACACGGGGGTTAATATCACGCCCGATTCGTCTCAAAGTGGCGCTAGTGGAGGCAAGCACTGGACGCTGAGAAATACGGCCGGTTCCACTAGTATCACATTCCGCAAAGACGCCGCGGACGGTGATAGCGACAAGGTTAAGTACTACATTCAATCACAGAACGACCTGTACCAGACCACCGAGTTCATCAAGTTCCTTGTCCCTTGGGGCATCGGGGCCTTCCTAGTGATAACCTGGCAATTCTGCGCAACAATGTTCTGTGTTATTGGCACCAAGATCTATGATCTCCTGATGTGGCTACCACAGAAGCTGTATCGTCAACACTTTGAAGTTTTCGACAACAGAGAGAAAGCACACCCACATCTCGGTGCCGATTAAACGTGTCCAGACCACGAAAGGCAGGGTACCCAACACCTGACATACTATTCATCCATCGCCTTCGAGGGGCATGTAGTAACTGATAGACGGAGGTAAGAACGTCGGAATCCAACAGACCGCTCGGGCTGCCGAGTACTATTGATCAAGTCCAGCTGTACATAGACGGACATACGCATTATAAAAGCTGATGTTGTAGGGGTGCAATGCCATCGTGCTCAAGGTCATGCCGTAAATGGGTGAGAGGATAGAGACTGATCAACTCTATGATAGTATCTAGGGTAGGATACTACTAGTGTCGGAGGCACGGGACAAGGAACTGTAAAGAATACTATAGCTAGGACATACATAGTAACTTAAGTTGTGACAATGTTGAATGGTACTACTATTCATTAGTAGAATGCGTTACTTTTCTCGACCGTTCTCTATGATTCAGACCAGAGACGAGGTGAGACCAACTTGAAATCAAACTGGATCAGGGTCCCTCAAAGCGACTCAGGCTGAGCTAGAGTCGGGCAAGAGTCGAGCTGGAATCAGGCCGGGACTGTGTTTGCTTCAAGGTAGGATCCTACCGGGACGGCGGGGAGTACACTTTGGATTGTTAGCACCATGTCCTGTCGAACTGACCTTCGGTACTCAAAGTGAATTCAAAGCGTTGTGAGATCCTCATGGTGATCAAGTGTGGCACAACTTGACGTCTTGAAACGAGTCACCATTTTCGCCCAAAGCGGTAATCTGGCTGACCGAATCCAGTAGCTTTCCAGCATTCGCATCACGTGACTAGATAAATATGGACGTTGCTGGTGAGTCGATGTCAAAGACAAGTTGCACTTTCGGACCAGGAAGACTCCTTGTGGAATTATCTCAATGGGTTTACGCGCCTTGCGCAGCTATATGTGATCATCGGAGGCTGGAGTTTGTCCCTTGACGAGCTTTGGAAGAGTGCGCTTGTCAGAGTTGGAGGCTGCCGGCGCCCTTGCTCATCCTTTTGGCTTTTGGCTTTCCCGGCTGCGGAGAAGACATACTATCTCACTCAGTCTGACTTGTTAGCTGAAAGGTGGTAGTTATCATTCATTCATGACGGTTTTCTGTCGTACCCTAGACACAGTGGTATCCTTTCCGTGCTGACAATATTGGCTGCATCTGAGCTGCCTGCTACCTCGTCGCTATCGAATAAGCTGTGGCGACATTGTTGGATGGCATCTGCTCTCCGTCAGATTGTGCCACTTGTGTCTAAAAAAGGCCTCAGGCGCTGGAGCTATAGCACGACAGTAGTAGTAGACTATAAGTATCTTGTCCACATGCCTATGCAGCAGCGGCTTTCATACATGCTATTTGGGACGGCGAAAGACTACTGCTACTCCTGCTGCTACCTTTACTGTGCAGTACTGCTGTTCGTGGGTGGTTCCGCCCGTTCAGGACCATTGCGAATTCGACTCGATTTCATTCTCAGATCGAATTGAATCAAGCATTTGGTTCGTCAGCCTAGGGCGCTTTCGTATTTCGGGAACGAGGTATATAATAGGCGACATGGCTCACACGAGAAGAGCATGTAGCTGTAGTCGTGGTCATCAGACTCGGATTCCCTGCAGCCACTTAGACTGGAAATGCTAATGATTATGCCGCAGTACGAAGTATATCTTCTGGGCTTCACAATGAGGAAGATTTCAATAAGGTGCTGATGTCACTAGTTGAAGTGGCCCTGCGCTAGCTAGTGCCTTAAGGGGTTTAGCTGCCGCGGCCCAGAAAAGTTAACCCCGCAAAGCTTGGCGTGGGCGATGGACATTCACGGCCCTGGAAAAGGAGGCGATGCGAGATTAGATATCCAGAAAAGCTTGTGCGAGCTCCACCACAACAGCCGCCCAGCTGTACGAGGACTAGCTACAACGGCCACGATGACGCGAATGCCTTAATCGGGTGCATAGCTCTCGTGGAATCGCTTGCGATCGCCAAACAGCAGACGAACCGAGATTACCTGTGCCCGCGGCGTTGATGGTCAGGCTCTACCTCGTACTCTGCTGAGACAAGTATTTTAGCAGCCTACAAAGGAGCAATAATCACACCGGGCGACGCAAGCAGTGGTGCTTGCCGTTGATCCTTCAAGCACGATCACGTTGCGGGCCAGGAGGACAATAATATAACGGATGTGAGCCCATTCTATCCCCCTTCGCCACTACGTCTCTCCCGTCCTTTCTCTTCACACGCTCCTTCCTGCCCTGCTTTTGCCTTTTGTTTTGCTCTTCCGTGGTGGTGTCGCTCGTTGAACTCCTCATTCCCCACCAGTTCCATTCGTACCTACTCTGGTTTGCTCTTTTGAGATCTTGCCCACGAAAGTGACAACATGGTTACCTCCAAGGTTCTGTCGCTTTCGCTGTTTGCTCTTGGTATTCAGGGCCTTGCCCTCCCTGGCTTTTTGGGAGGTCCCCCCGGGTTTCCTGATCAAGGAGGTCCCCCAAGCGGACCACCAGGCCGAGGAGGTCCAGGAGAAGGTCCTCCTGGAGGCAACTCTCCAGGCTGGCCGGGATCTCCTGGATTCCCGCAGCCTGGTCCTCCGGGTGGAGGACAGCCAGGATGGCCTCAACCCAGCTTTCCAAGCTGGCCGAGCATCCCAGTCACTACCACTACGTCCGAGACAACAAAGCTACAGTATGTTCACCCCTTGCCTGTCCGGCGCAGCATCAAGTTGCAGGATCTGCACATCGCCACATCCTTTTACGAGTCTGTCTTGGATAAGGTTCTTGCTGGCGACGTATAGATTCTTTGCAGAATCCTGCTGACTCGGATTATGCATAGCCCGACGACGTCTAGCACGAAATCTCCGACCTCTGAAAGCACCACTTCCTCAATCTCAACGTCCTCGTCAACGACTACTTCGACGGTGCCAACGACAACACCTACAACTCTGTCAACCACAAGCACAGCAACAACACCCAGCACCACAACCACAACCACAACCACAACCACTACCACAGCCACTCCTACCACCACAACTACAACGACGAGCACAACAACAACAACCACTACCACAACAACCACAACAACGACCACGACTACCACGACGACTACTACTACCACCACTACCACCACCACTCCTCCTCCGAACTGCCCGACCCCGACGCTGCAAAACGGTGGATTCGAGTCGAGCACTACGGACATAGACCCTTGGGTCTACTCCGCCTTTACTCCCGACCTTGTGGAGACGGTTGCCCAAGCAGACACTGGCATTTTCCAACCACATTCCGGCAACAATTACTTGTACGTCGACCCTTCCTTATTCTCCAACTTTCGCTCTCCCCTTTCTTCCCTCATAACTCGTCTGTACTATATCCCCGTACTGGCACCATGGCGCTAACTAAGGCCCTTCTTTTTCTTTTCCGTCTCTCTAGCCAGGTGACCAACGACAATACCTCGCCCTCGGAAGCGCGCATCGCGCAGTCCCCGTCCTTCTGCAACGGCGTTGAGTACACCATCTCGCTCTGGGTCATTGGAGACTGCGACGGCACGGGCTCGTGCGCCGCGTCTGGGCCCGTCCGTATCCAGATCGTCACCGACATCGGCTTCAGCACGGACATGACGCTCACCAATAGCGGTCCCGACGACTGGCAGGAACTTACGTACACATTCACGTGGACCGGGGGTGACGGCCTCTCCCCCGTCATGATCGATGTCTTTATGGACAACGAGAACAATTCAATCGGTCTGGACGACATCACAATCTCGTTTGCTTGATCTAGGCTATCCTATCAGTAATGTTGTGTGTAGGGGGCCTTTTTGTTGCTTGTTCTGGAGGATACCGTACTCTAGATAGACATGTTTTGTTTACTGCTCAGGTATATTGCCTGAGAGGATCGATGGTTACTACTAATGAGCTGGATTTTCTTTCCCTCAGATGAATTTGACAAATGTTCAGGGGACCACCCTATAGCTGTCTGTTCGTGTCTTGCGGTTTTATTCCAACTTCTAGCTAGACGTTCTGTTGTACTACTGGGGGTGAGTGAAAGCTGTCGGCATGCTCGCCCACAACAAAAGTTAAGCTTACTCCCAAACAACAACCACGCCCGGCATCAATACTATCATTCAATCATAAGAGGCTGTCATTTAACCGCCGCATTCGATTGCATATTTGGTAGTCATTGAGCACGAACGAACTATCTGGGATCGTACTGTGTTCCAAGGCTCTTACAACGGCGGGCAATTTCGCTTCGTAATATCGACAAACCCTGGGTCAGAAACAGGTAGACTACCGATCAAAACGCCCGGGAATACATACACCACGGAGCACCTTCCACGATGATGCCGCGGTTCGATTCAGTCGTGGGTGATCGAGAAAGGATATCCGTTTGGCGTAGACTAGACAGATAGCTGTGCATCAAGACCTTTGTCGTCCTATCGCCTTCACAGCGGCCCATGTTTGCACCATCGTCGCGACACAGGATACGATGGTAAGGCCCAGGATGAAAAGTGCAATCCAGAACGTCCAGAATTGCTGAGGGTTCCGCCTGTCGCGCCACAGCTGCGCCCAGCTCACCGGCGGGGACTGAAAGACTTCTTCGTACAACTCGAGGACGCGGTCTCGCCAATGCACAAAATCCCACAGGTTGAGCGTCCGATGGGCGTCGAATTCTCCAATTTGATGGAACGCCTGTCCCTGCGCCTCGAGGAAGACTTCCGTGTCTCGATCCCACGGTGGAAACAACAGGTCGAGCGTCAAGATTGTCTCTGCCAGCATGGAATGCGGAAGAGGGCTGGGCCAGTTCAGTAGACGCTCTTATGCACTGCGAGGGCTTGGAGAGAAAACGTACACTGGGTGTTGTTTGCTACCGGAGCCAATCCCAAGCATGGCTTGCAGGACGAACTTGTGCGGGAAGATGGAAAGCGTCTTCGTCCTTCTGTCCAGAGACAAATGGTCTTCTAGGCTGGTCGTCCATCGAATCCGCAATCCGCAAATTCTCACCATGTTGGTCGCGGTGAACTTGGGATCTAGTCTACTCTCCTTTGCGGTGAGTCTCGTGTAGCGTGGGACCGGGAATAGGCTGGTCAGAAACTGTTTCAACGGGACGTCCGCCGCCCAGACCACACAAGGGGTGCTAGACCGCAGTGATGAGAGGCTCTTGTCCCGTACATTCACCAAAAGGCACAAGCGGATGCCGAGATTTATCGCATTCTCAATCTCATTCTCGCTCTTGTCGGCGAAGTTGCCTCGAAGCACTCGTTGCAAATCTTGCCTGGTGCCGTCGGCGTGAACTCGGATCGCCCTTGCAATTTGCATGATGTCTTCATGCGTCGTGGCAGCAACTCGAGCGGCTTGCCGTGCCTGAGTTCCGATTCCGATGCCCAGAAGTCCAATCTCTTCGACATAGAACGCAAAATAGTCTCCGAGATAACGAAGATTGCTTGGAGAGACCTGTGTCCCAAAGAGCGCCTCGAAGATCTGTAGCTTCAACCCAGGCATGGGCCTGTGTCTGAGAGGTGTTTTGTCGCTGCACATGTTATGTTTTTGTCCCGATGAAGAGAAACTAGTCCTGGGAGGGTCGAACATGACAACCAGCGACATGGACAAGCGGCACGAAAGATAGAGCAGGATACAGCCATACACGTACGTCAGTGCGCCGTCTGGCGAATCTCGAATGTCGAATAGGGGCTGGGCGGCTGGGGAGTCTTGGGCACGTCAAAGGTTTCTCAGTGAGGATGGGATTGCTTCAGAACTAGTCACTTCGCTGACAAGACTGACCATTGCAGCTTTTGGGCGGCCTGATGGATTCTTGCCTCAGCCTGTTGCCTGCGCACTGTTCTGGTCTGGTCACAGCGTGTCTTGTAATCGGTGAGGCTGAGCAGTACTCGGTACTGGTCAGGTTGTTGCGCCACTTACCAAGTCTTTGCATTAGCCGCCGCCTGTGGACGTTTCCGATGTCCAATGATGTTCTCAGGTCTATCAACCGGCAGAACATGTCCAATTTCACCTACTCCTTGGTCTTGCATAAAACTTTCTTGTCCGCGATTCTTGACCACTATCTCGGAAAATCAGGCTCCGGCTCGCCGACAGGATGAATTGATGTTTGACGGGGTTGAAATGGGTATCCCAATGTCCTGAAGCTGTGTCGCTGACTTCGCGCGACTTGTATCCTAGATCGATATCTCAATTCACGGACATGGAGGCCTGTGCATTCAAAAATCCCACAGTCGACCTCGACCAGCCTCACGAGGTATTTCACCACCAGGACGATGTTAGAGGTGCTTTTGATACGCTGCCGGAGACACCTGCAGCTCCACCGAAACACCTACACCCATTGGAGACATACCAGCCTACCGCTGATGGACGAAACTTGAACGTTGTTCAAAAGTCTGGAGAATTGCGAGGAGGGGCGGATCGTCATTTGCCGACGGTCGAACACAGCTTTCCATCGTCTTCTGCGCTAACGATAGGCCTCGCGGCTTCTCTCAATGATCAATCAGCGCCGACTGTCTTGAGGCAAGGCATCACTTCGTCATTTCGACGACTATTCGGCTCATTCAAGTCATCTGTTGGAGGAACGTCAAGTGAGGGAAGCTTGCTGAGCCGGCAACAGTCACGATATGCTAGCACCACCGACACCAACGCCACTACACCTACCTCTCTTGTCACAACCTCCAATCTCATGTCAATACAGAGGCTCGTTGCCGATCCAGATATGCCTATAGAGACATCAATCGCAGAATTGTGGACATCGAGGATACAAAACCGGCTGTATTGTGAACTCGAGAAGCATGTTGTCGAAGCGTCGTGGATATTAGAACTGTTGATGGTTGGTGAAAACCAGAACAAGCTCAAACCGACAATAGTCATCACATGCCGAACAGACCGAGCTCGAAAAGAAATTAAAAAGGTTTGCAAAGAGCTAAAATGGCTCAAGCGACTATGCAGCGAGAATGACCTGCGAGTAGTTGCACATGTTCAGCAATTTGTGTTGAACGGAAGAGTCATAAATGGCAACACTGCATGTTCCGTGAAAAGGTCATGCGTAGTCGAAATCCCGCAGGGAGCCAGGACGTTTTGCGGTCAAAGGGTTCAGGTTTTCTCCGAAGCTGGGAATGAGGTTGGCTCTTGCACATTCGGGGGTCTGGTGACGATCGGACACATCGTGTACGGAATTACCGCAGGCCACCCGTTCATCACGGGCGGTGGCGATGACTCAGATGCTGCTGAAATCATGGGTGGAGAGGATGTCGACAATGAGAGCTCATTCGAGTCGGAGGATCCATTCATCTCTTTTGACAGCGACGATGAAGAGGATACATCTTCAATATCTGCAGGCGACAACGGCAACCCCAACCCGACAGGGACAAAAGTAATAGCCAGAGATTCGGTCGAAGCGGACAGTGCAAATGTGCAGCAGCTAGCTCCAGCCTCAAGGCCACGCATGCCTCCAGAGTGTCTTGACCGGTTCCACCACATCAACACTGAAAGCGGATCGGAGCCTACATTGATAGCTTCTTCGGTCAACAGACGCCCCATGACCCCGGATATTTGGCCCACGGCACACACCTCGATTCCAGGTCTTCAGCTTCAACAACCATGCCAACACCGTGAGCACGAGATGGACGATCCGCACAGAGAACTTCGAGCAGCTACCGTCTCAGTAGCAGGTGATTTCAACCAGTTCCCACTTCAAGAGTTAAAGATGGAGGCAGACTGTGCTCTTATTGATGTTTCGAGCTGGCCTGACCTCCTGCCAAATGCGATATGTTTCAGAGATCCTCGTCGGGATATCCTCATTGAGGGAGCTGTGGAGCAGACAGACAATGTGAATGGCGAAGTGACCGTTATCGCAGCCGAAATTGGGCCACAATATGGTGTCCTTTCAGCCTTGAGGTCCATCCTGAAGATAGGGAAATCGGTATTTGAGGTGCGCCGTGTCAGCCTCGAACGCAACCTGCCGCGCGGTGTCTCGGGCGCCTGGGTCGTCAATGACAAACTCGTTTGTGGCCACATCATCGCCTCGCGATCTGACGCACCATGGGCGTATATGGTATCTATCGACTCCCTTCTAGACAGTATCAAGGGAGTTAAAGCTGCCGGAAGCGTTCAAATACCTCGTCCGGAAATCGTGCAAAGAGCCCACAAGACGACGTCTCGGTGTGTGAAGCAAACAGTGACGGCTGAGAGGCAGAGATGTGGACCTTCAAGCAGCGCTCTTCACACTGTCCACGAGGAAGATTTTATGCGGCAACCGCGCCATTTTTGAGCTGAAAAGATGAGGAGAGTGCCATGCAACCAGGCCTCACAGCAGTCGATTTCGGTCTCGAAGTTTGAGATGCGAAACCAAGGACCGTCCCATGCTTTAGAGAAACGCACAGGATTGTCGGCAGCAAGGGTCCCATCTCACCAGGGAAAGATTTGGAGTGCTACGGTAGCCAGAAAGTCACCCCTTTCGAATATGCTGTGATTGCGTAGTTGTCTGAAGTCGCTTGTTTACCGTACAATGTTCTTTCCGCCATGGTATAGTTTGTCAGCCAACATAGGGCTCCTTGAGAACGAGGAGACGAAGGTAGATACAGGAAGCAGGCAAAAGCGACCCCGTCCCACTGGAACCAAAGGTAGATTGGTGTTCCGAAGAAGCCTTTCTGAAGACTCTGGTGTGTCTGGCTAGGTCCTTGGTTGTCGGGGTCATGGTCTGGGGATAATATCGTGGCTGTTCAAGTAAGACAACGGTAGCGGAGTGAACTCAGTCTTGTATGCCGCAAGACTGATGCTGTATAGATATCGCAGGAGGAGGCAGATCACCACTTGGGCCTCGTGATCATTACGGGAAGGCTGCTGAATGCTAGGGATCAACGGGGTCGTTGTTGGAGTTGGAGTAAGAAAGTGACTTTCCGACCAAATCACGGCACGATCCGTACAAGCGCATTTTCTCGCAGGTCGCAGGGCATTGCAGGGCTAGTTTCAACTTCCTGCACTCTGACCTCAACTCCCTGATGTCAGAATGCGCTCCCTCTCATCTCGAGAGGCCCATTCTTCTCTATCATTAGCGAGACCACTCGGACACCTGGACTGATCACGTTTCAGTGTCATGGATGACGAGCCTAGACATGCCATTCAGAGAACACAAGCTCAAAGGTGACTCCAAGTGAGATAGAATGGTCGACTAACGCGCTCCTCTTTCAGCTTGCAAGCCGCCGTACTGCAGGGAATGGCTTTCGAACCACTGCAGTGGCTTCGATCACTGCACGACTCGATTTTAGACCCGACTCCTCGAGCTGGTCTTCACCCAATTCCCGGCACCAAATCGCTGACCTTTACAAGCGCTATCCTTCCGCCTCTGATCTACTACCTGGCGCTCCTCCTTCTCGCCCCTCCGCCGCCGCCGGCGGTCGATAGCCTTGTTGTGAAGACTTTCCGGAACTGTCTCGCCCTGGTTGCTGGAGTGCTATTCTTTCGCCTGCCCCTCGAATACCATGTCCCGCAGAGCATTGGTTTGACCTACCAGCTGGGCCTTGTTGGTCTGTACGGTGGATGCAGGGTCCTTGACGCATTCTTCATAAGCCCATACTTGTTTGGACACATTCCGCGGAGGGTCAAATATCATCACCGTCGTCGAATGGACGCTGTTGGGCCAGTGGCACAAGTCGAAGAGAAGGAATGGACAAATGGAGGAGTCGTCGATCCTTTCCATCATAATGGTGATTCTCAAGAGGATATCTCTCAGAGGGCAAGTAACGGTGGTATTTCAGGAGTCACAGAACAAAATCCATACCCTGCCAGCCCTCGTGCTTCTGCTATGCGGTCTGCTCTTCGCAGATCCATCTCCGGACCTGACCCGGTACCTGTCTTAGAGACAGCAACCACAGAAATTGGGTGGCCAACGACTCTTCTGGACCGCGCGGCATGGGCTCTTGAACTTGAACTCTCCATGCGTGGCATTGGCTTCACTTGGACTACTGCAGATGTGCGGCACACTCGCAAAACCTGGCTCCCCACCGTCCGCAACCGGGTTCACAGCGTATTTGTCCATGTCATGCCCGTTCTCCTCGTCAGCTGGGCCATTATCAGAACTGTGTATGTACGTCACCTCATGCCAATACAAGATGCGCCCTGGGACATGTATTCTGCATATGACCTGTTCGACCACCGTATACCGATGGGGTGTCAACTGCTTTTGACGGCTGCACTCGGAGCATTCCTTATGGCCGCGTTCTCCTTCGGGCATTCTCTGTTCGCGATCATGCTTAATCCGCTTGCACCAAACCCACTCGCCTTCTTTCCTCCGCTGTACACGACAAGGCCATGGCAAATTACGAGTGTACGGAAGTTCTGGAGTTTCGGTTGGCACCGACTGTTTGCGAGGCTGTTCCTGGTCTATGGAATATGGCCAGGGGAGTGGTTGGAACGAAAACTCTTGAGAAAAGGCCCGGATCAACCAGCCGACGTTGGCAAGGTCATTGGCGCTTTCTTGATTTCTGGATTCGTCCACAGCTTCTCTGTCCGCGGCGTCCTCGCAGGCGACTGGAGAATGGCAACTGGGGAGGCTCAGTTCTTCGCCTTGAACGGTGTCGCAGTCGTGCTGGAGGGCGTAGTTATTGAAGTTGTGCGTAGAGCTAGGAAGAGAAAAGGCCGGCCACGTCAAATGTGGTACGATCTCATTGTGGGAAGGATCTGGTGGATCGCGGTTCTGCTGTGGACAGGGAGGAATTTCGCGCGGGGTTGGGTCAAGTCAGGCCTCGTACGCGAGATGGCCTTTCTGTGAGAGTACGTTGCGGGCGATATAGATCTATATGTATGTCACGCCGATAGAATCTCTACGCGAAGGAGCAAGAGAACATTAAACGAATGAAGATTTCCGCTGAAACGGGTCCTTGAAAGGGTGTCCCAATCCAGGAGCCCAGCAGCCCGAAGGCAGTCTAGGTATGAGTAGCCCACAATGGAAGAAGGTAAACACGGACTACAACAATGAAGGGAGGTGTAGAGAATATTTTGACTGCGCATAGGGCTACCGTATCCTGCACACTGCATCCGATTTGCGGGCGAAGGTTTCGGTTGGCCCTCACAAAGCCTATTGTGTCGTCGACCCCCATGCCTCCGATTGTTTGCCTCTAGCATCGATTCTTACTTCGATGACATCGAACACCATCTACCCAACAATTACTCTGAGAAGTATATCCAAGCAAAAACAATCAACAGCTAGGATTCCCACCTGGTCACCCACGGTAGTACTAACTGGCCGGCATCAGGCTTAAGTACGGCTGAGCGAACGGGAAGCCCTGTTTTCCTGATCCTATGGTCGATTGCGAAGGAATATCTTCAACTACGATAGATAACCTTCGGCCGGCCTGGCGTTTGATTTCATTGAGACAGGTGTGGGACGAGGAGAGGTCAGAAAGGGACCTCAGGGCATTCCAAAAGGTGGAAGATACCGCGCTCTAGGCTCTCGTATCAAAGGAGGAAAAGGCCCTTCCAACAAGGCGCGGAATGAATCGACAGCTACAAGTACGTCTGCAGTCCCAGACCGGCTGGTCGGCATTGAATGTCACCCCACGAGCGACTGCTGGGATCCATCTATGGTCACGAACATCGAAGCTGGCGGTGGCCCTTTGCTAATGACGCCGCCCGACTGCCAGAACTGGCTGCGAAGCCTCGTCGCGCCAGGCAAACAGGTCTGGGGATGTCGATGTGGGAGCACCAGCCAGCCAGTTTTAAGCGGTACCTGGTCCATCTGGGCCGGCTCGTGGGCCGTGTAGTTGTATGTCAATCTGAGTCCCCCAGGCGACGAGGCTCTCGACCTCCGCATTAAGCTCATCGCTCTAGAACCGAATCCTGCTCTGGTGTTGGCTTGAGGCCATGTGCATTTGCCTGTTGCGCCCCCGATAGTGAGAAGGCAACAACACACGTGGATTCTGGGGATGCACATTTCCGCTTCCCCAACCACCCTCTGCCACGTTGCAACCTAGATGCCCCTCAGCTGCCTAAGCGCCATGGGGCTGAAATGCTCGGGCTGTAAGATTTACTGAGGCGTCTCGTTACAATTCACCGTCCGTCCATCTACTCAGTACCTTTGTTGTAGTCGTTGATTCCGATATTGCCGCGACACGATTTCTCTTGACTTCTGGATACTGGATATCGAATACTAAATACTACGGGTACCCTACTTGTTCATTATTTCTCCGTGTGGCACAGTCCACTGCGCACCCCCCAGCGAGGTCGCCCGCCCAATGAGAGAGTCTTCACGCTTGCTGTCTCTGCGCTCCGTTCCAGCTGTTGGTCCTCGATTTGAAATAGCACTCTCTCCCTCCTCGATTGGCTTTCAACATGAGCAACAAACTCCCTGATTCTGACCAGCAAAAGGGTATTTCGAAACCGGGTACACGCCAGACTAAGAAAGGTTTCAGGGACCGTTTTCTCAAAGCGATTCGGCCCGACTCGCCACCTCCAGCTTCCCGGGTCAAAAGTATCCCCCGATCCTCACACCGTAAGGTGCTGCAAGGTCAAGGTGACAAGCACGCAGAAGATGCCCAGATCGCTAGTTCCTCTGCTTCGGCCGCGCCCGCAGAGGCAGAGCTGATCAATGTTCAAGATAGACAGAGGATGACAGTGGATTCATACAAAGACAAAGACATGTGGGCAAGAGCTGAAGAAGAATTGCGGAGAGACGCCCAGAAGCGCGAGAAAATGGAAAAATACGACCGTATCCTTGAAGATTATTTCGCATCTAAACTAAAGCCCATTGGGACCTTGGAGAGACGGGAACAATTTTTAGGCTTCCTCAGCTTGGAAATCGAAAAACTCAACAGGGCTGATAGCGAGATTCTGCCTACGAACAAGGCCAAACGATTCTTCAGAAGTGCTGTCGAATCCATCATTGCCTCCAAGGGCATCATCACCGCAGCAACAGCTCCCTGTCTTCCTGCTTCAGTGGCATGTGCGGGTGTGGTGGTTCTTTTGTCGGTAAGTCTGCGACCAGGTCGAGTGGTGGATACTGAATTATTCCCAGTTCTGTGTTCAAGCTGCAGATCAGCGACACGTTCTTTTGGATGGCTTAAATGCCATCTCTGGCTCAATCCGTCGTCTTGCCGAGTACGAGGCTCTCCTCTCAAAGGACGACAATCAGCAAGTTGAAGAAGTCCAGATCTTGATTACCGTTGCCTGCCGCAATATTATTGAATTTCAAACCCGGGCAGTCTGTTTTCTGCAGCTCAACCCAGTCGAGAGCAAAATCCGCAACATGTTTAAGTGGGATAGATGGGATGAGTTGCTGTTGGCAATCAAAGACGCCGAAGCCAAGATTCAAGGTTGCGCAGAGAGAAAGAGCCTGAACGTCATTTGCAATATCTTTAACAAGCTTGACGAAGTCAAGACTGAGCTTAGAGGTACAATAGACGAAGGTTTCTCGAAGGTGGCAGCGACACAGGAGGCAATCGCTCGGAAAAAAAGTGCGAGTACTTTCCTCCGGCTCTTGTACAACAAGGCATGTCCCTATGAGGGCAGCAAAAACAGAAACCGTGAGCGAGTCACAGGTACATGCGATTGGTTCACCGATCACGACTTGTTCAAGGGGTGGAATTCGCCAACAGAGAATATTCACAAGACGTCAGGTGTTCTCTACGTCACAGCAGATCCGGGCTGTGGCAAGTCTGTTCTATCCAGGTATCTTGTCGACCAGATCCTTCCTGACGACGGGCGAACGGTGTGCTACTTCTTCTTCAAGGATGACTTTGAGGACCAGAAGAGCTCCCTTAACGCCGTCTGCACTCTCCTCCATCAGCTTTTTGATCTGAATCCCCACCTTCTGACGGACACCGTTCTTTCCAGGCATGATGGCCGAGGGGAAAAGTTTGTCGAGTCGTTTCCTGAGCTATGGAATACATTTGTCGATGCAGCTAGCTGCCGAGAGACTGTTTGTGTAATCGATGCTCTTGACGAATGCCGAGACTCCGACAGGAGAGAGCTTATTGACGCCATCACTGGAACTCAGGTCCCCAATTTGAAGTTCTTGGTAACCAGTCGACCATACGAGCACATACGCCGTGAAGTCTGTCGCAAAAGGAATACTCAAATCCCATTGATTCACCTACAGGGGGATCGTGGACCCACAGCAGACGCGATTGTACAGGAGATTAGGCTGGTTGTGGAAAGCCGGGTTGATGAAACCGCGGACCTTTTCAACCTAGAACCTGATGAGCGGGAACTAATGAAAACCCAACTGGAGTCTGTTCCAAACAGAACTTATCTGTGGATCACTCTCGTTTTCGATGGCTTGATGGACAGCAAACGTGGCCTCGACAAAAGCGACATTATGGATTTAACAAGGAAGCTCCCACAGTCCGCTAACGATGCTTATGAGAAGATCTTGATGAAATCCCTGGATCCTGGAGAGGCAAGGAGACTTTTGCATGTCATCTTAGCCGCAAAAAGACCGTTGTCTCTAACGGAGATGTCGATTGCAATGGCATTCAAAGGTGTAGACTGCGAACGACAGCGTACCTCTGCCGAAGGCAGGATCATACCAGAGAGCAGAATGAGGGGACATCTTCGAGATATTTGTGGTCTTTTCGTCGCCGTCGTCGATAACAAAGTCTACTTGCTCCACCAGACGGCAAGAGAATTCTTAATCCGAGATACAACAAAAGATACGGCTGAGGAGTGGGAAGCTCTCGAGCTTTCCGGAGACGCCCGCACGGAAGATGGTCCTGGATCATACCTCTGGAAGCATTCCATAGATCCGGCAGACTGCAACTCGGTTCTAGCAGAAACATGTATCCAGTACCTGCTGTCGGAATTAGTGAAGAAAAATGCTTCAATGCTCGAATACTCAGCCACCTACTGGGCAGATCACTACCGCCAGTCAAAGGAAGGTTATCAGGAGGCAGCAAAAGGACTGACACGGAATCTCTGTCTGCCATCCGAAACACGCACAACGTGGACTGAACTGCATAACAAGCACCACCCCAACAATATTACCATTCCTATGACCGGGTCCCCACTATGTCTGGTATCCGCTCTGGGACTCGAGAAAACTGTAAAGATGTTTTTGGATGATCAGGACTCTGCTAGCGGCCATCTTCAAAACGGAATTGACTCGAAGGACCGTGAGAAGGGTCGGACACCACTCATGTGGGCGGCTGCAAGTGGGTTTGTGGCTGTGGTCAAGCTACTACTCGAGAAGGAGGCTAATCTAGAGGTTAAGGATTATAATAGCCGGACGCCTCTCTCAAATGCTGCCTACTACGGACATGAGACGGTGGTCAAGCTACTACTCGAGAAGGGGGCTGACCTAGAGGTCCAGGATAAAATTGGCCGGACACCTCTCTCATGGGCCGCCTGTGACGGAAATGAGGTAGTGGTCAAGCTGCTACTCGAGAAGGGGGCTGACCTAGAGGTTAAGGATGATATTGGCCGGACGCCTCTCTCAAATGCCGCCTTCTACGGAAATGAGACGGTGGTCAAGCTGCTACTCGAGAAGGGGGCTAACCTAGAGGTTAAGGATGATAGTTGCCGGAC